TTAAGCATTTTTATTATTTTATAAAATAGTAAGTGCAGATATTGCTAGTAGGCTTGTTAATTTTAAGTAGCTTAAATAAATTAAGTTTTTTATTGCTATTACTAATTACTAAGCTATAATTGTTTTTATTTAAAAATTATTATAGTTTTAGGAATATTCTTTAAAATATAAAATTAATAAGTATTTTATAGCTAACTATAGTAGTATTATTATAACTAAATTAAAGCTATAAGTTAGAGATAACATCTTTAAGTAGAGTATTATTGCTATTATTAAAAAAGCTAAATAAACTGTTTCTATCGCTTTTATTAGTAAAATTAATAGTTATATTTTTATTTAAAAAAGTACTATTATTTTTATTAGTAAAGTTAATAATTATATATATTTATATAAGTACATTTAATAACTACGCAATACTATTAAAATATTATATAATTAGTTATAAGTTAAACACAACGTTATAAAGTAGTTAGTTTATAAAATAATTTTTAAAAATATATATTTTTAGAATTTAAAAAAAATTTATTTATTTATTTAAAAAATAAAATTTTGCAATTTAAATAAGTTTAAAGCATAAGTTTATACTTAGCAGCTATTTTTTTTTTGCCTAAAATTAGGTTGCCTGTTAGTAATTAAATATATAAAAATAAAATAAAATAATAGTAAAAATAAAAAGTAGCGTATTTAAATATTATTAGCATGCTATTTTTCTAAACTATATTAATAGTACTAGTATATATACTAGTAATAAGTTTAGTCTTTTTAAAAAGCAGTTTTAGTATTATTAATAATAATAGTTAGTCTAAGCAATGCGCGTAAAGTTTTATATATATATTACTTTTTATACTTACTTTATAAAGTTTTTATTATTAAAAAATTTATTTATAAAAGCAGATAGCGCAAAAAAATAGCTATTAAAAATAAATATAATATTATTATTGCTATTGCTGTTATCGTCGCTATTTAAGTTAAGTACTATATTTAGTACTTAAATAAGTTTTTATAGTATATAGTTATTAATATACTAATTATAAAAATAAATATTATTTATATTAATTATATTATTAATGCAAGCTATAAAGATGCGCCTAATTTATTTAATATTAAAGTACTAAACTTAGCAAATATTTTTGCTATTTATATATAAAAAATATATAATATATTTTTATAAAAAATAAAACTTTTATTAAGCAGTAATAGTAATGCAGAATTTAAAAGGCGTAGTAATATAAATTTATACTTTTTATATATTATTTTTACTAAAATTAAGTTTCTTGCTATAAAAAGCTTTATAAAAAAATTTTTTATTTTATAGCACTTTTATAAAAATTTAGTTTTTTTTATTAACAGCTTTTTGTATAGTATATATTTAAAAGCTTTTTAGTAAAGTAGTACTGCGCAGTATTTCTTTAGTACAGTTAATAATAAATTTAGTTATATTAAAAAAAAGTGCAAAGTTTTTAATTATAGCTAAAGTATATTTATATATAATCTAATAAAAGTGCTTAATTGCGCTAATTATATAGTAAGCGTATAAAATACTAAATTTAATAGTAATACTTTTACTATTGCAAAAAGCTTAAATAAAATATTATAAAAATTTATTATTATATTGCATGTAAATAATAAGTTTACTATATTTTATAAATATATATATAATAAGCGTAGTAAAAAGCTTTATAATTTTATTTTTAGTAATAAATAAAATAACTTAAGTAAATTAAGTAGTATTATTAATAAAAAATAGTATATACTTCTTGCCTTTTAGGCCTAGGATAAAGTATAATTTTTATATATTTATAGTAATAAATTGCTTAAATTTCTTATAATAATAGCAAGCTAAATTATAAAAAATTTTATAAAAGGCGCAAGTAGTATAGTAAATAAAATAAATATTTTTAATTTTAGCTTTAATTTATATATTTATAATTTTAAATTTTTTACTTACTTTAAGTAGTATCTGCATACTATTAAAACTTAAGTAACTAAAATAATAATACTTTAATTAAATTAAATTATTAAAATTAATAGTAGTAGCAGCAATAGGAAGCGTAGATAAGTACTAAAACTAAAATATATAAATATTTGCTTAAAAATAAAGCAAAGTATATATAAATTTTACTTTATTATTTTTTTTATATATTTTTATAGCAGTGCCTGTAACTATAATAATAAAGTTTAATTATATAAAAAGTAATAGAAATAGCAGGTTGCAGTATACCTAAAAAGTATATTATATATTATATAGTTTAAAAATAGTAAATTTACTATATAAATTAGTAATAATAAATTTAATATTGCTTATACTAATAATATTAAATTAAGATTTTTGTTTGCATTTTTTAATAGTTTCCTTATAAAGCTTAAGCTTAAAAAAAAAAAAAAATTATTAATAATATAATAAAAAGCACTATTATTACAAATCTAATAATTAGAAAAAATTAGTAGTATTAAAACTATATATACAGTTTATATAAATAATTTATTAATTCTATTTAAATTTTATATATTTTAGCTATTGCTATTTACAACAGCCTTTCTTGCACTTATTTTTAGCCTATATTTATAGTTTTATTGCGTATTAGATATAAAAAAGTAATTAAAAGTAAAATATATATATTTAAAATTTAAAATATAAAAAAAATTAAAATTAAAGTTATTAATTACTATTGCGATTATGCGCTTAAGATAGAAATTATTAATAATAGTAAAATTAAAATTATAATTTTTACTTACATTTTTAATATTTAATATTTTTAGTATTTTATTACTTTTTGTAACAGGTAGCTTTAATATATTTAAATTTACTATATTTAGTACATTTAAAAGTATTAGGCTTACTAATATAGTAATAAGTTTTAATAATATAATTAGTATAATTATAGTAACTGTATATAAGGCTATTGCTTATATTACAGTTACTATTTTTATTATTATTATTATTTTTGCTTTTTTTATTGCTATTGCTCTTACTATTGCTATTAGTATAAGTATTACTAGTAGTATTATTAAATTTATTTTTAGTAATATTTTAAGCATTTTTATAATTATTAGCGTACTTAGTAATAAAATTTTAGTAGTTTACTTAAGTTTTTTAAGTAATAACTTTCTTTTTAAAGTAAAAAAAATTCTAAATTTTAATAAAAATATAATACTGTTATAGAAGAAAGATTTTATTAATTTTATAAATTAGAATAGTATAAGTAAAAAAGCTTTTAGTAGTATTAATATTTTTATAATAGTATTTAAAATTAGCAAAAAGTAGGCAAATAGCAGAAAAATTTATAAGTATAAAAGCGTCTAGCTTTGCTTTAATACAGTAAATAATAACTAAATTTAAAGTTTAATACATTTTAGTAATATTAGCCTAAGCTATACAAAGTTTTTTTTTTTATTTATTATTAAATTTGTTTTAAACATAGTCCTTTATAGTATTTTTAAAAAAATAAAAAGTAATAAGTAACTTTTTATAATACTTATTATAAAATTAAAGCTTAAGCTTATAAATTTTAAGCTTAGCTTTATACTTAAATTAAATAGTATTATTATTATTACTAGGCAAAGTAATAATACTAAAAAAAAAGTATTAACTTTTAAAAAGCAGTATTATAGCTTTAAATACAATTTTAGTATATAAAAAAATAAGCTTAATAAGTTTAAAGTACTAAATTGCAAAATTATTATAGTAATTAAGTAAGTTTTATTAAGTAGTAACTTTCTTAAAAGCGCGCTCCTATTTATAAAAGTTATTAAAATTAATTAATTTAATAAAATTTTTATTAAGCGCTTATTTAATATTAATTATAAGTAAAAACATATTTAATATTATACTATACTTAATATAGTAGTGCTTTAGTAAGTTAAATAGACGCAGTAGTTTTTAAAAAATATAATAATTAAGCAATTTAAATAAGTTAATATAAATACTATAGTTTTAAAATTAATTTTATAATTAAAAAGTAACTAATATAGTCGCGCGATAGTAGCGCAAAAAAAGTATAATTTATTATAGCTAAACTGCGCGCAAGTGCGCAAAAAAGCTTATAATTTATAAAATTAAAAAAAAATAATTATATTAATATAAATTTATATATAAAAGGAAGCTATATTTATATATAAAAGGGAGTAAAACTAGAGTAAGCTAGTCTGTATGTAGACTAGCGTGTTAAGCACATAATAAATCACGTGTTGGGAATCTAAACCAACATTCCTTAGTACATGCCCCCACTTATTTTCCCCGTGGCGTGGCGGGACAAAGAACACCCTTCTCCACCCAGCCAAGCTATCATTATACTCCCTTAGTCTAGAATCCAGCCACGCAATCCAAGCCTTAGAAATCACTCGCTCTTTGTCTGCTTTTCATGCGTATACTATGTACTATTCTAGGTGTTACTCTATCTTTCTCCGAGACAAAGATTCATTTCTTGCGTCTTCCTGGCCGGTGGAGGAAGGCACGAAAGGTGGAGAGGAAGAAGAAGAAAGAAAGAAGGAAGTTACCGAGATGATGACATACTCCCGATCAAGCGTCCTGGCCGAGATGGCTTTCTTCGGTCCCGATGAGAGGGCCATGTACTGACCGTGACAAAGAGTATTTGCCACGGGCGGTGCGTGGCTGACGCGTAGGTATGTGTGCTATGGGATTGTGCACTGTTTTCTGTGAAATGTGGGTAACAGAATGTAGGTAGATTACGTGGCGAGTTGGTGTATATGTCTTGTCTTTGAGTATTATTAGAGTTGCATTTGCATTTTCCCTTCTTCAGTGGCGAGTGAGCAAATATAGAGATAAAAGTTCAGCCTATCATCGGAGAAAATGCGTAATAATATATTAGTTTCAGACTGTACCTTTATCTGTCAGCGTCGCAGTGTAGGTCAGCTCAGCATCAAATTTGAAAAGGTTTGAGCCTCTGTATTGGAGAGGAGTGGGCGAAGTCCGTTACTCGGGTGTATGTGCATGGTTGTATTAGACCAAAGGAGTGAGTTCTACTTTGGAACCAATGTTAGGAGGGAATGTTTTCATTGTTATTTCGACATGCCCAGGGCGTGAGGTGTACTAGGGACTATGAATACTATCAAGGATGATGTCAGATTTTGAAGGCGTACAAATGGAACAGAGTAAAACAAAGTAACAGTGAACATTTCCGCTGCGTTTAATAGCAGATTCAGGTACGTGTCATCGGTCAATGCATCGAACATTCCAACTCATCTACCTCGTAGGAACACCCCAGCCCTTTCTAAGCAGTCGAAAGGCATCCACTACGCCCCTGTCCATCCTGTGCTCTACCGTGGATCCGGATCTACAAATATCAGTATACCTAGCCCCATCTAGCGCATGAAAAGACTTACGTTGCTCGTCCTCTTTCAAAATCAACTCCATATACGGTTTCTGCCCGATGACCTCACACAAGATCCGCCTTCGATCTGAAGATTTATTGAAAACTTCAAGCTCCAGCCGAGCGATATCAAACCCCGAAAAATACGCCATAATCTTACCAATCATGAGCTGGCCCTGGTCGAACAGCCCCGACTTGTCATCGTAATACAACGCGCGACTGTAACCTGAGATGCGTAGACGCGGGATAGTGGTGTGCTTCTTCGCTATAGCCTTGGCCAGCAGATGCAGATCCTTGCCTGCAATAATTTCATCCATGTATCGGTTAGGATCCTCGTACATGGCTAAACTGTGGATGTGTAACGTCATGTCGTTGGATATCTTCGAGACATCGATGAGATTGGCGGACGGGTTACGCGGCCGCTCGGCTAGTGGAGTGCCGTCCCAGAACCACTCGGCCTTGCGAGTGTACTGCTCGAGTGCTTCCTGGAGCAGCTGCTTATTTGACAACAGCGACTGGGGATACCGGCCGTCGAGCCGCTCGAGGACCCCGTAGCGGGGGCCGCAAAGACCCATCTTATAGGACCCTTCGTAGCGTAGTTGGAGCGCACCCTGGCCGCAAGGCGTGTTTGAGGCGTTTAAACATGGATCTGCTTGCCAATAGTGGTGGTATATGGAATCTCGGATCTCACGTGGAAGATCGAAGAAGGAAGTCTTGCGTGCTTTGCCGACTTTGTGAGCGTTACGTGTTTGGGTGGGATCAGTTGGGATGATTGGTTTCGAATCGACACCTTGATGCGAGTCGTCGTCAATTATATCCTCTAACAATAGTCCTTCAGCTTGAGAATTGACCATCTCTTTCTTATAGTGTTAGACTCTTATCGAATATCGTTGTCTTCGTTGATGTTTGTGAGCAAATAAATGAAGAAACAAATCTGTGTAAAAATAAACCAAACTTAAGAATTAGCTTGGGCTTGAATCTTGAAATGATCTCTTCGACTTGACCTTATACACGTGTGATGCCTAACATCGAGGGGTTATCGCTGGCCTGTGCACGACGCTTAGAGCCAAATCCATCTTAGCGCTCTTCCCCAGCCACATATCTCCACAACTTCTGCACTGCCACCAAAAACAATACGAGGCGAATTTCCTCCTGTGGCGATACATTTGCGAACCTGATATTGCCAGGCTTCAGCACTTCTCAATTGAAGCATTTCCATGCCACGTTCTGGCGGGGCTGAAGTAACATCGGCGGATTCCTGCACCGTCTATGAACTGGTTTGACTCAGGCTTGGGACGACCCTAACAACTGCGCCGTATGCGGGATCTGGGGTGTAGAAGTACACACTCCCCTGCGCTTCAAGCAACGTGGGAAGACGGTGTCATTGCAGAGATGTCTAAGTTGTAAAAGAAAGGGTCAAGGATCGTTAGGCCGGCGACGGTAACGTGGAGACAACTTGGATGAGGATAGCGGCTCAGCTCTCGGGCCTTGGCTCCTCGTTTGCCATATCGTATGGTATGTTCTGTCATTCCGTCCAAATCCGAATGGTTATCACATTTTTAATGTTATTGCTATCATGATTGACCAAGTAGTCAAGGCGGAGGAGCACTACATCGGGAAGAGTTTCAAAGGATGCTCCGAAGCGACTGCCTAATTGGGCGACACCGAGCCATGGCGCAATCACTGGGTAATTTAGACCACATTTCTCCTCCATCACCCCTCCATTACACCTTACCTCTCGCTTTCCATTGCAAACTTCCTAAGAGGCATCGTAGACGTTTTCGATTCTCGCCTGGTTATATTCACACAACCTGCTAGTCGAATGAATACGTTGTCTCTACTAGAAGTGGTCACTTTATTATTATTATTATTATATAAATTGCATCTATTCTCTATGAATCGTTTCTCATCTACTCATTCGTCGTTTTCTATTCTTAATCCATCTATACATGGATCCACCTACCCATCCAGGTGTCGACAACCTGCTTGGCCTCGTCGACCAAGCCCATATCCAACAACAGCTGGGTAGTGCCCCGCACCGCTGAATCGAGGGCTGAGAAAATCCAAGCGTGCGTATAAGAAGTATGTTCGCCCACAAAGATGGTTTTGTACTCGGTCTCATAGTATGCGGGGAGATACAGGTCTTGCTGGCCGACCACTGGATCCGCCCAAGCACCAGCCTGATGCTCGTCCAACTCCCAGCACTGGCGATCAAAAGCACCAGTGAATTCCTCAGCAGCAATATCGCCGTGGACCTCAACCATCGCACGTTGTACCAGAGCAACGTGATCAGCAGTGCTGAGAGCGCCAAGCGAGCGAGCAATTGTACCACTTGCGTAAGAGGCAAGGATGACGCCAGGTCCGGTCGAATTGATCTTGTATGCAGGGTAGCAGACAGAGCCGATGCCTGGGATGTCAACTGCACCACAGCCGCCAATGATGGGTGGGGATAGCTTTTCCCAGAACCGTGTCTTGTAGTGTAGAGAGACTTTGCACGACTGCTGGTAGTTCATGGTACTGATGGCACGAGATAAGAGCGAGGAATACTTCGGAAGACTCCAAAGTCTAACCTTGGAAAATGGTACCGCAACAACAGCGTAGTCGTACTTCTCGCTTTGCGGCTCCATCACAAAGGGGTCTTGGCGCCACTCAACCGAGACCTTCCCTGTGTCGTTATCATGCTTCAGGCCAGTTACTTTGCGACCGAGCGTCAGGCGACTCTGAACGTGAGGGAGGAATGCACGAGGAAGCGACTCTAAACCCTTATCGATCGTGCGCCAAGTTGTTGCCCCAAAGTATGTAGTATCATACTCCCATATAGGGCCGTCGGCGTTTCCAGTCATAAAGTCGACCACGTCAGCGCTTGCGTTGAGTGCATATCGGAGGTAAGCAGCTTCAGACCAGTGGAAAAGACCCTTGTCTACAGCCGCTTTGTGGGCCTTATAGATGTTGGTTGAGATGTTGCGTAGGACCTCAGGTGTGACGCCGATGAACTCCTCGTAGGCCTCCTCGGCATGCTCCTGAGCCTCTGGATCAGGCCCTTTCGCACTTGGCAGTGTGTATAGAGTTCTGTTGGCCTTGATTTGAGCAGCGCTAGGAATGCGTCCGTTCGGGAGGCGGTAGCCGTTGGAGTTGGCAGGTACATTGGCGCTGCTCTGGATCCAAGGAATGAAGTTGACGGCCAGGGCACTGTCGTTGCCATTCATCTGGTTCAAAACATCTGCCAACTGGAAGACCATCTTGTGATCTTGGATGTCCAGTGTTTCGTTTGTGTCTGTGTATTTGGTCGACACAGGGAAACGCATTGGCCCCATTTCCTGGTACTGGTATTGATCTGGCGTACTACCGGCAAGATATTTCGTTCGGATGCGACCGCCGATGCGCTGCGAGGACTCTGTGATATGCCAATCATGAATGCCTACAGAATCGAGCAGGAGACTGGTCAGGAGACCCGACATTCCTCCTCCAATGATGGCGATCTTCTTGCTCTTTGCAACAGCAACGTACGACGCGTTGTTCTGCTTGGCTTGCATATATGCGACACCATCGAACCACGGTCCCATCATATCAGCAATCTTCGATATCTCCTCCCTCTTCCTTGGCTGATGCTTGACAGAGACTGGTGCTGAGCGTCCGATGAGTGCTGGGCCCGAGTAGGCGTGTAGGCAACCTCCATGGACAGCATTATCTGGGACAATCCAAACGAAACGCTCTGGTCGATCCGTCCGCTTGATCCAGTGTGACGCAACCTCGTGATGTCTCTCATGATGGCCGGCCATGTCGCAATTTCCATATACCACCCGGACCTCTCCCTCGAAGTCATCGTCGCCGTAGCCAATGTGGATGTTGTGTACAGAATCGGTGGCGACCGTCAAAGGTTTAAAGAAGAGAAGGTCAGAGCGGGGGATGACTGGGCTTGACAGAGCTCCGCTGGCTAATGATAGCACCGCCGAGGAGGCTGTGAGAAAGTCCCTCATCTTGATTGATGAGACGAAGTAAGTACTGGGAAGATGAAAATTCTGAAGAGGAAGAAAGACTTGTCTTCAAATACCTGCCGCCACCGAAATCTTCTCCGAAGCTTTACAACTATTTTCCATTCGTGTTGGTCACATCACCGTGTTATCATCTAGGGCGTAGTAAGGCGTGTAGGGCGCACATGAGCAGGCCTTCAACTCCCGGATAATCCTGGCCATCGCATACCCGCGCCCATGAAGCGGGCCAGGCGACGCATGACATTGCGATAAGAAGATTTGTGAGTCGATGTACGCGACGTCAAGGAATTTCCGCAAAGAATGGGGTCCACGACGAGTGCAAATGCCCGTATTCATGTGACCCGCAGTATGCTTTCGAAGCGATGTGCAGTAGTAGCAAGCCACTACGAATCATAGTGTGGAGTTGGATTTACCGAAGGAGATCGGCAATCATCCCTCGGAGACAGCGCGAGAGATAATGACTACAACGTAGAACGGTGTCAGCTTCGGAACCCGACTCTCGAGAAGGCCCTAGCCTGGAAGTGCCGAACTTCACAATAGCACGCCGACTCTGAGCCACAATGCTCTATGTCCATGGTATGTAAGCACCTTGATCACGGAGATGTAACTAGCGTACACCGAACCTTCTGCTGAATAACGAGTCAGCTCTCGAAGCGACGTGTGATTTATCGATTGCCCCATACCGAAGGTAGTTTACCGATCACACTAGGTTGCACAGCGTTCCGAGCATGTGCGACGCCATGTGCATGTCTACTTCCGGGGAGGCAGACTCACACCGTGCCCGCAAATCTGAGAAGGGAGCCGAGTAAAACGTAGTAGCCTAATTCTGCGTGTGGAGACATCGCTGGCTTAGGCGCACGTCAACAAATTGGGTCGCGATACGCAAGCCATGATCTACGCGAGTGGATACTTGATATCGATAAGACCCCATAGCTGGCCCTATTCCCCGGTTCTTATCTCAACTCCAGCCTTCCTTTATCTCTACTTACGTCAGAATGTCAGCCGGCTTCGCGACGCAGCGCGTTTACAAGTGCGAGACATTTATAACAAGTCTCGGCGCCCAGGCTCAACGTTCCCTCGTGTGGTTTTCCTCGCTTGTAGCTCCATTCGCCTGGGTCCACTTCGCAACAAGCTATACCTCCTTCCTTTCTCGGCCAGCTGGAGATACTTGTCAGTTCTTCATCCCACGAGATAGGCTTCACCGCTATAGCATGGCCCTGCCATCTTGAGGATAGCGGGGTAGAATGGGCTCCTCGATAGAAATATCGGTCCTTGGGGCCGACGGCCGACTGGAGACAATTACGAAAGAACCAGACGGTATCACTCAAGAGTGGGAATCAATAGCCGCGGGAGATCTACGGAACTCTATCATGTTCCTCAGCAGTATCGGCACACTGGCTTTACCTGGTACATGGAATCTCGCAGCTCTTGGACTGCGCGGCATCTGACGCAAGGCAAGCGGCGAACTTAGACCGGATAAGATTGCCACAAAGTCGCAGCGATGAGTTATGGTGGCCGAATCTATAAGAGTGATGGCCACCCGGTCATGCTTGTATCATCCAACCAGCAAAGCTCAAACCCTGACCACCTTTGCTCCTAAGCCGTTCTAGCCCATTCTAGTCACCATGGTTTCGATCACCTCTCTTCTCACCAGCTTCCTTGTGGTTGCTGGCGTTGTCATTGCCAAACCGACGCCCAAGCTCGCTAAGCAGCCCGTAGTCACATACCTCGGCACTCAAGGTCCTATTTTGAGTATGCTGCATGAATCTCATCGAACGGAGTATCTCTGACCTGGACACAGCAAGTGGAGCATCGACAACCAAGGGCATAGTCTATACCTCTGGAACGGTTCCCTCCTTCAATGGATCAACTGTCGCGGGCGGTATTGGACCACAGACGGTACATAAACTAATTGCTTTTTGCTTCTTTCACATACTCACGCGAAGCAGGCGCAAGTTATCAAGAACATCGCTGCCGTCCTTGAGGAGGCTGGTACATCATGGGACTATGTCATGAAAACCACTGTCTTCCTTGCCAACATGTCCGACTACACTGCGATGAACGAGGTTTACGCTGCCATGCTCCCCACTCCCAAGCCGGCGCGGACCGCCGTTCAGGTTGGCAAGCTACCTGGCAACTTCTTGATCGAGATTGAGGCTATTGCTGCAATTCCCGACTCATGAGGTGCGCCTGTAGAGAAGAGAAAAGAGCTGGGTATAAAAAGACCTGTCAAAGTGACGAGGGATTATGGCTGGACGACTTCAATACGAAAACCTCTACATGATGCGAATGAATGATGATCAACTTCTACTTTATTTTCAGGATATCACGTGGCGCTCTTCTGTTCCACCCTTTTCTCGCTCTCAAGTTCTCCCTTTGCTTGAGCCCGGGAGTCCTTCACAATGAGTTGCATCAAAGGCCAAACGTCAGGGGCAACCATCGATGATTCATCCCGACGCCAACACTGGTAAAGAATTTACCATGCTTTTCTCAGAGCCTGTTGTTCTCTCTTAACCAACTTCTCTCTTACTGTTCCGAATTTATTCTCGCTTACACCGATATATGTGCAGTGTAATGGATGAACTCAGTACCCAACTCTGCAATCGCCTTTCATCCTTTTTAATGGCCTCGAAATGAAGCGACGCGGTCGAGGGGTATTATGGCTGTACGCACTATCGAGATGTGTTCGTGTTGCTGCAGCACTACTAGGGAAGGCTGACGTTGGAGGTTTCGGTGCACTGGTAGGACAGCTTCGGAACGGGTTAGCATTGGCCCTACTCCCCGAAACAAAAGGTGGTAATACTTTGGATTTGACGCATACGGTGGTGTTTGTACAGATTGAACAGCAACAAAACCGTCGGTGGACAGCTCACGAGCAGCGTGATCAGCGCTATTATGCTTTCTGGGTTGAGTGGCATTGTCGGCAATAACACTAACAGTTGTAGAAGGGGTGTAGCTACTACTAGTGTTGCAAGCGGAGGTCGAAAAGGTCATATGCCACAAGAGAAAGCGATCATAGTTCCAAGGACATAAGTAGTCAGCTGTACGCTTCCTGATATATGCACTATCAGGCAGGTACTGTATTGTCTGGAAAACACCCTAGAATTGAAGATTTTGGAAACGGCGAATGAAATGCTGAGAGCTGCATCACTTAAATTTGACTGGCCATGACTTTTCGTTACGCTATTTGGGAGACGACGAGGCTAGCAGAGTGTGAAACCCAAAATGCACAGATTTTGGCCACCGCCAATGACATGAGTTGCGGGGAACGAGATTTTGGCTCCAGCTAATGACTTGGAGGTCCGGTGAGGCGTGTGCTGATCACGCTGCAGAGCCTCAGCAGGCTGAGACGTGGGCGCCGCATGCATAAAGATTCTGGACACAGCCAATCGCGTGATAGGGGCTGAGCGAGCCAAGCCAAGCCTTCGTCCTCCGCGCTCAGGTGTCCTTTTTTCCTTCTTCCCTTCCATTTTATTCTTGCTCAACTAGTCTTCCTAACACTGATTTCTTCTAATCCACGTACTCATATCTTCTCAATATATTAACAGTGCGTCTTGCACACCCACTCACTGGTGGTTCCCGTAACACTACTTGGCAAGGCTACATAATTCGGCATTGAAGTTAACAACTTCCACCTCAACACCGAGCTTGTTAGGCGATTCTAACGAAAATGCCTAAGCGGCGGGCGGAAGACGATGAGTGGGATCTCCATCGAGATGACATTGTTCAGCTGTACATCAACGAAGATCGCCCTCAAGCTGAGGTCATGAATGAACCAGCTGCGCGAGGCTTTAGAAGAACGTATGTGTCTTGAAGATGGATGAGATCGAGGCTAATGTTCTGCAGCAAGGCACAATGGGAACGCAAGTTGAAGAAATGGGGCCTTGCGAAGAACGCCACCAAGGACGAATGGAAGTTTATAGTTGGTCGATTACGAGAGCGGGAGGCCCAGAACAAATTATCATCGGTGATTGTCCGCGGTATCACCCTGCCGGAGTCTAGGATCAAGAAACAAAGAAGGATACATGATCATCATACCACATTCGAGCGCATTGCAAGAGGCAAGTCATGGATGGTAGTACCACTTTATGAAAACAGCATCTGACTATTTACCAAGATCTGAAACCTCTCAACCGACTTCCAACACCACCTGGTGTTTCCATATCTACCCCGAAGCCGCCCCAATCTCCAGGATTCGAAACTCTACCACAAGACCGTATCACAATAAGGCAGCCTGGGTCTCTGCTAGTTGGCTCCGCCTCATTCGTGCAAATACGCGATTCGCCTTGGCTGCAATTCTTAAGTTCAATCAAATCTTCTCTCACCGCCCATACGAGCGAGCATTCCAACTCACCTTGCCAGTTGGCAAATTATGGTGCTTCTGAAAGACTAGACGTTTACATTCCCAAGGAAGTCACTGAGAGTCCCGGCGCTCAGTTTGCGCATGGTGGCATCGTACTCGCTCAGTACCTCGATTTCGAAACCCGTCTCCACCCGATATTCTTCGATCAAAGACCATACATACCCAGAGATCAGAGCGGAGTTATCAATGTGGAATTCAATGACTCATATGACCTCATTGAAGTTAATTCTTACTTGGATACTCTGAAGTTAATTGTTGGTGCCATTGCAAACAACTTTGGAACAGAATCGATGGCACGACTTGTGTCTGAGCTCGCAAGGTCCAGATCTGCCACATCCATCCTGCAACGTCTGCTCCGTCAAGAGCTTGTCGTGGTGAAGGCTTGCGCAGAGAAGCTCTTGATACCTGCGGTGCAGCAAAGGGACCTCTATCTTGTTCGAATCCTTGTTGACTCTGGAGTGGACATCAATGTTCGTGCATGTACAAGAAAGTCTTTCCATCCGGTTACTGCTCTTCAGTGCGCCGTTGAGGTGAAGGACGAAAGAATTCTCGAACTCTTGCTTGCTAGAGACAATGCTGACTGGGCTGCGCATCTCTATCACTACAGGTACGAATGTTATGCTGATATCAAAGCAATAAACAATACGAAAGGCACCATTGTAGATGTTGCTGTGATAATGGGAGAAGGTAATATACTAAAGAGGCTACTAGCTATTGCGCGAGACGAGCCGAAAGTGTCATTGCGTACTCTACACCGTGCAGTACTACAAGGTCGTCTCGATTTTATCGACATGCTTATCGAGATTCGTCCCGAGCTTTTGGTGGAAGCGATGGAAGTCCCTTGGATTCTCCTCGAGGCAGCCGCGACATGTGAAGGGACTGCTGTGTTTGAAGCTTTGGTTAGCCAAGGCTTAGATGCGGAAGATGTTGATGAGTTGGGTAGAGGCAGTGCGCTTGCATCAGCTTCTGCACATGGTAATGAACGCCTTGTACACCATCTGATAGCGGCCGGCGCCGAGCTCTCGGGAACAGCCTTCGGATCCGGAGCACCAATACATGCGGACAACTCTCAATACTTCTCCAAATGGAAGCTTAGAGACTTATATGGAATGGCTGCACTGCATGCGGCTGTGTATAACGACAAAAAAGACCTCGTGAGTTTGCTCTTAAGCCACGGCGCCGATCCGAACCAATCCTGTCGGGTATACCCTATTCAGCTTGCGGCATGGAACGGAAATGAAGCGATCGTCAAGTTATTGATCAAAAGTCATGCCGATGTCAAGGCCACACCACACGAAGTAGAAGACGGTTACTACTTCAGGGATGGCTCATTAAACTTCGCATGCGGAGACGCTACGCGCACGGCCATCCGCCTTGCATTTGAGAAAGGCCATTTGGGCGTTGTTGATGTATTATACAAAGCCGGTGGCAGCCTTCCACCCTGCGATCCGGATAACCCCTTTTACGCTTACGAAAGCCCTTTCGATATTATCAGATGGCAGAAAACGCGGATAGTGCGGGACACGTACAACACAAACCAGGAGTGGGACCCCCTGGCGATTGCTATAGAGAAGCAAAATAGCAAATTTCTAACTGGTGTGATACGAAGAGGATATATAAGATCGCCTATGACGACCATCCATTTGTGTCGCTGTATTTTGATACACGGGATCGATTTTACGCAAAAGCTGATGCAGCAAGATCTACTCACCTTGGACATTGCTGTTTGTCCAATGGTGCTGTACGCTGCCACATGTAAAGGGGAGGAGGTATTTGCGAGCAGACTCGTCACCAAGCTGATGACAACACTTGGCCATAAGGAATTCATTCAACATCATGGCCCTACAGCACTCAAGTTGGCGGTGATGGCATCTCAACTGGCCCTTGGTCGCATGTTTTTGAAAGCCGGAATTAATCCTTACGAATCTGAAGTTGATCTGCACGATGAGGATTCGTGGAGGTTAGATCGTTGCGGGGATTTCCCCAATGATGATGATGACTTCACCTATGATGGTGACAACTACCCTACAGCATTTCAAACAGCTTGTTGCTTCGCATCTACAACATTTATTGAAATGTTTCTGGTGTTGCATGAAGAAACGGCCGATCCTGAGCAGTATGCTTACCAAAAACGCCATCTCAGTGCAGCTTACATCCGCGCAATTTGTTCAGGAGATGAAGACTTGGAGAATATGATACTACGAACCGGACTCGTCATCAGGGACGTAGAAAAGACTCTTGGATTCGAATATATTGATCGACATCTACGCGTAGGGCTTCGGTATGCCTTCAAACTGAAAGCATACAATGTTGCAGAACGGCTTCTCAGCATTGGAGCAAACCCCAACAGAGCGGAGGACTCTGATCAAACCTGTAAGAAGTATTCTGATAGAACGGTTCTTCAGTACGCAGCGCGTGATAATGAAGCTGGATTAGTCAGAAAGCTTTTAGAAAAAGGCGCACAAGTGAACGCAAAACCGGTCGCAGGTTATGGTGCGACAGCGCTTCAATTTGCAGCAATAAACGGCAACTTCGAGATCTGCAACATTCTTTTAACGGCAGGTGCAGAGATCAACGCCTGTCCAGCTGAAATTGAAGGACGAACTGCGATTGAAGGTGCTGCTGAGCACGGACGACTGGACATGACACACTACTTACTTGAGTTAGGGGCAGATATACGAGGCCGGACAAGCAGAAACTACCGAAGGACTGTGTATAGAGCTTGGAAAAATGGACATTATACTCTTGTTCGTATGTTACAGGACTGGAAGATGCAGAATTACGGCTCCGAGGACTGCGAAGATGTCCAGACGATCCTGGACACTATCACAGGCGATGAGCTTTAATTTTGCGACTGAGGCGGCAAAACAGTGGTACAGACGTAAATACTCACAACTACACTGAATCAAATGACGACACCGGAAGCGAAATTACTGATGACTGATCACACTTTGCCAAAACCATATGAGCCTGCAGCAAATAGCGATTGTGGAGTCATGGTAGGAATTGGGTGATTTCGGTAGAACATGATAGTAGAACACTAACTTCTAGCTTACATTATAACCTACTATCTATTCTGTACTCATTTGACAAACCTTTAATGAAGTGTCTCACAGTCAGTTGCTTACTCGGCCAATAGTGCAATGACAATAGACCTCTGCATCGCGAATAGTTTTCCCCTCACTTATCGTTCTTCCCTAAGAGTCCTCACGCTGAAGTGGTTTGTTGGGTATGTAAATCTTAAACTGCACAGTCAAGGCTACTAATATTGCACAGCACCAATACATGAGACACGTCGAGAAGGAAGACGCTACGATGTGGCCTTGCTCTAGGCTGTTACCGTCTCCGACCTATCAATGCCGTTCTTGGAGTGCCCGTCAACGACAATTTTCCTCTCATCAGCCAATGCCTCTGTCCTCGATCGACTGCTTGGATCGAGGTATGGCGCCTCTCCTATCCCCACGGCACGATTACCGAAGCGCTCACCAAGACCATCGTAGTCGAAGGTGGCGCTGTGAAACGCGCTGCGGTTGTCCCAGATAGCTGCACTTAGATCAGTCCGAGTCTAATACAAAAGTACAAGAAAGAATGCCTACCAAGGTCGTTCTCATTCCTCCACTTGAACCTCACCTGCAAATCATGGTTTTCCGTAATCACAGATCGGAACTTCTTCAACAACTCACTGCTTTCCTCATCGTTCAACTCATTGATGTACTTTGGGAACGGTCCAAGCGCGAAGATGCTCTTCCACCCCGTAACGGGGTTCGTGCGCACAACGGGATGTACAGCACTCAGCGATTTGCCGACATTTTTTAGGCTGCCACGCTCCTTCTCGTACAGTTTGATCTTTTCTGGGTTAGCTTCAGCTGCCCGAATGAACCCATCTCCTACGAAGGTCGCAGTCAGTCCTTCGAAAAACTTTTGATACGCCTTTGAGAAGCGATCGTAGACCTCGTAGCCGGAAGCCCAGAGCGTATCGCCCCCAGTTTCGGGCAACTGTAATATTCGTAGAGAGGTGTAGTCAGCGGGGACAGGTTCGAACTGAATGTCGGAGTGCCATTGAGCGGCATCGTAGCGGCGGTTGCCACCCTGTCGACCTTTGTTCTCGTGGCCGAAGATCTTCTTGCGAGTCACAGAACTGATCTTGCTTATTTCAGCATCGTCCACGCCGAACTCAGACGAGTTATTGAGCATGGGATGGATATGCAGCGTTGAGTCGGCTGGTTTGCCGGTCAGTTGGCCGAGACGGTGAACGAGCTTTTTTTGCAAATCGTCGGTGAGATTATTCTGTGCGCGGAAGAAGACAACACCGCGTTCCGAGACTACAAAATAGTGAGAAAGGATAAGGCTTGACAACGTGGTGAGACCCTTACTTGTGATGGCAAGATCGCGGATCAATTCGTCGGCGTTGGATGCATTGAGAATATCATCGACAATGTTTACCTTTGGGTACTCTCGGCCAATCACGGGTGTGGCTTCTTCATATTCGAACTTTGCGTCCAATGCGCCGGACTTCTTTTGCGGTGAGACGAACTTTGCCGATTCCGTGGCCGACATGATTGAGAGGTGAACAAAGGGTGCTGTTGTATAGGAATGTGTGCTGGTGAGGAGGCTAGGACCAAAATCGCGATGGCGGGGTCTGCTGAAGATATATCCCCATTTCGCTGTGGTTGCGCTGGTTCATTGTGAGACATTGAGGTGGGGGAGGATCACGCAATTGCTATCCCGAGCACGCAACGTGTATCGCGCGTCTCTTATTGACCGAGACCCAACAGCATCGTCCCCCTACTGCAAGCTAAGTTCCACATCAATTTGGTGGTGTCTAGACTTTGGGTAATTCAATTTGATCCGTGAACCTCCTAGATCTTTGCTGCCATGAGCAGTCTCGCGTAACTCGATTGTATGACGGCTATATGTAATGACTTACTGCAAAACTTTGAGTTATTTTTTTTTGAGAAATTAGGTACTTCTTAAGTATGAAAGGTATAGTGAGTTATTGTAGGATGAATCCACATGCTCACGTGATACATTTCCGCGCTCATCGTCTCAATGCATGAAAGAGCACTAAGACATCGACCCTTTCTGCAGTATCCAACTTAACATCGTTGTTCTATGAGCCATGGACTTGGAGAAAGGAAGGCTAGAATCTACCCTCCGATCAAAATTGTTGGCACAAGGGCTCGTTCAGATGAAGACATTAGTACAATTGAAGTGGGGTACTGGGACACTAGCGTTTCTTGGCGTGACGCGCTCTCACGTGCGCGAGTACGACTTCAGAACGCGACAACACGCCAGAATATTATGAACAACAACTTGTGTAAACAGAGGTGCGGCAGTGAACTGGAGGACCAAATAAAATCTGACAGAAGCTTCCTATAAACTGCGTTAAGCATCCAGTCTACACATAGCCACCTATAGATTGTTAAACCTAGCCATACGGCAAGCCACATGCCTAAATACTTCTATACCAGTCTTTGAGTTGAAAAAATACAGGCTCGCTCTATTACTTGTTCAAGACTTTTTCTTTGCACCACTAAAAAGTTCTACGCCTAAACTGGGGAGACGAAAAACCCCTATCAACCAACGGATGCACCTACTACCCCGTATTGATGATTTGGCTAGAGAGTGCAATCTGAAGTTAAGAAGAACTCGAAGTTCGCGCCCTTTTAAAGACCAAAAAAATATCATCTAGCTAATCCAGCTACGTCAGACGTGCTGGCCTCTTCTGTACGATCCTAGTGACTCCACTGACCAAAGCGAAAGGCGGAAATGAAGACCCTCAAACTCAATTAAAGAAACTGGGGAATTGTGATCCGCTACCCAAACCGAGCTCCAAATACCAATAAGAGGATTTGGCAAAGTGACGCATCGTATGAGGTCCAAAGCGCAAAGACGGGCATCCTCAAGGGCTCGTTGGTATCTCTATCACCCATGATATCAACGTTTTCTCTTTTTGAAATCGACCAACCAACGTTGGATAGTTGCTTTAACATCGTGCTCATGAAAATCCTCTCGAACCTTGCGTATCGCGCCCGTTCTCTGAGTTGGATGGTTGGTACTTATGTTGGTTTTGTCTACCCCTCCGTTGCCCATTGGTCTCATTCCACTATTCGTTGTCTTCCTCTTCCTGTTCGCTGTCTTCCTGCTCCTGTTCGTTATCTTTCTCTTCCTGTTCGTTGTCAGCTACTCCCTACGTCTCTTGTATGCAAAACGGCGCTCACCAAGACTTTTTTACTTATCATCTGTACCCAAAATTCATCGCTGAGCTCAGCCTTGGTGACATCAAAACTGAGTGCAGGGTCCACTTCCACGCTCAGACGGTACCCGGAGTCAATCAACCTCTCCGCCAAAGGGAACACCTCACTGTAAAATGACACAAGTAGTTGAATATCCTCATCAGTATAATCCCAAATGGCGCGAGACTTTTCCGTGGGTAGTATCAGCGTGATATGAGTACGCGGCTTAAGAGCAAAGAGACATTCTAGTTCTTTCAATGCAATTGCACGATTGTTGTAATATCTGGCTTCCGTTTTCCGGAGCACTTCGGGATACCAGACTTGAACGGCGATTTTCTTCACAAGATCGTATACTGGCAACTGAAGGTCCCAGAAGTCTTGTTCGACTAGCTTGTTGACAAACCCTTCGCTTTCGAAATGAAAGGTGCACGACTTGTACCAGAATTCAAGTACCTCGTATTTCGTGGCTGGGTCGGCAAAAGCAGGGTCTAGGAGATATTTGCAATTTGAAAGCAAAGGTCTCGTCGCTTCCAGTTCTTTGATGGGCTTGAAATCTTCCTCGTCAATGGACACCAGACGGTCGACTATGAGCGAGTCGTAGATCATCTCTCGTATTTCACGCGGTAGCTTGCATTGCATGTCGTCGCAAATGGCATAGCATCTGAGCGCAGCGTAGGGCTTGATGTGCACATCGATCTCGTCTGATAATTTCGCTTCAGCCTCTTCGATACGTGAGAATAAAGTGTGCTTATAACTGAGATGGTCCCAGTATGAGGGCTTCCTGGCCTTGTCTTGGCTAGAACACATAGTCGATGTCAACCCTTCCTCTCGCCTTGGCAGCTCTCGTCTAGGAAGCGGTTGCTTTCGGACATGCTTCATAAGCTCAATTTTTCGGAGCGCGCTGCCATGTCGTGAGTAATTTCCACCACTCTCACCACGCGCACTCACTTGTAGACGTAAGCGTGGTCCAGCTCAGGTGCGTTTATCGTCGCCATAGTGCCCTGATCACAGAGGGCGATATCGGCCATGATCTCATGAGACGCTAATCGCATGCGGGTGCTGGGAAGTAGAGCTTTGAGCGGAAATGGAGGTCGCGAGGAAGGTGGAACCAAAGCTCTTGGCGTTGACTCACGCGCATATGCACAGACCGTCGGTGTAAAACTCACGTGACTAGAGAGGATATCAACTAAATTTGACATTATATAGCCTCATGGAAGCTATATGGGCACTAATGAGCATGTGTTTATATCGGGATATCATAAAGAGGAAATTCAAATTGGTAATGCTACTACAAATTTTGACCAAAGTAATGAAAATCCAATGAGAACAGAGAACACAAAAGGAGATTACAAAAGCGCGTATGCCCCCGTGATACCTGTTAAGCTATCACCGGTTCTGCGTAGTTACTTTGAATTACTGGGAACAGCCTCTCGTAGTAACCCGTAGTAGGAACAGTTGCCTCAATCGCGCCTCGTACAGCGCCCCAACAAAACCAGAATTCCAGGACACACCAAACGCATCATCGCGCAGCATCCAGAGAGCATATATGTGGGCCCGTTGAGAAAATATGTATTACGACTATAGCAAGTAGCAATCCTGTTGCAGAGTAAGCTACGTGTATGAAGAGCTTTGCTCAGACACAGACTTACCTATGAGGCCATGTAGCAGGTAGTTGTGCAGTACGTTTTGAAATCGTGAAGGAGTGCTATCGGTTTCGTATAATTCTTTTGTACGTGGTGGACCTCCAGTTCTCGCGGAGATCGGTCGAACTGCCGGAAGTGCTGTTGTTTCACACTGGTCGTGAGCTTCGTCTAGTATCTCTGCGGCTTCAGTCCTGGATATATTATCGTCTGAGATGCCAGTTGTTGTGGGGACGTCCTCTAGTAGTTTTATGTCCCTCTCAGACCCAGGATGTTGCTGCTCTTCCGTCCAGTCCTTTGCTCCAACGGAAACCTTCCTCTCGTCTTCACGTCCTTTCTTGATCAGTTGAAGAATGTCGGCCGTATTTTCGAAGTTCCAGAACTTAACCAGTTCTTCTAGCCCCACGCTCTCTTCAATTCGCTCAGCTAGCATTTGAATAGTCGGCGCCTTCCACTGGTCTTTCATAATCTCCTCTACGCAGCTCTCTCCTAAAACCCCTATCCGGAGAATATAGCCCAGAATGGGGCTCACGCAGTTTAATGACGATGATCTTTCTACTCGGAGATACATTGAATGTAGTTTGATATAAGATGTCGATTTTTCGAGGAAAGACCCAATGAACCGGCCCATTACGTCTGAAGGAACAGGACTGACTGCATCGTTAGGCGTAGTACGCGCATACGCCATGATTGACTGGAGAAATTGGTATCGGACTTGAACAGGAGGGCCATCTTCAAGTATGAGCTCAAAACATTGTTGAATTGTTTCGAAATCTCTTGAAGGTAGACCGTAGAATAGTTGATGACAAAGAAGGTGTAAAAGGATGGCTGAGTGGAGGGAATCCTTGATCAGAACTGGTTCCTGTTGCACTTTCCAGTGTACATATCGAACGGCACCTATCGAAGCTGATACTAAAACAATAGAATCATCGAGTAGGGACATGCCCATACCACGGGTTGGGCTCGTCATACTGAACATGTGCACACTAATCTTCTGGGCTAAGTAGGCTCTTTTCTCTGGTGACCTGAGTTTTTCCCGAACCGTAGACTCTAAACGCGTCAAGTAAGAGTAGGGTGAAACGTCTCTGCCCCCACGGAACCGCATGTTAATTATGTCCATCAAAATCTCTCTCCATAAAGCTTTATGAATCAAGAGACGATGCGTCGATTGGAAGTCGGCTAGGTGTACTTGAGAAATAGCTTCGACAACGTCAAAACCGACTAATGTGGCGTCCATGGCCTCCCGAATAAGAGGGCGCTTGAAAAATTCAATGATTGTTCGATGCAAAAACCGGATGAACCTAGGCTGTTTGGGATCAGAAGGATCGTGGGCGTGGGTTCTGTGCATCTCGACCAATCCTTTGCAGCATCCCTGCATAAGCCTTCGCGCATTGATAACTCGGCCGTTCTGCCAGCTCTTTAGTACGTCGATGTCATCTAAGCTTGGAGAGCATAATGGAAAAGGCTCTTTGAGGGCGAACTGCGGGTCCTTTTCATACGCGTCGAGATGCAGAGGAGCGAACAACGATAGTTTCGCCGCATTGCTCTCGAGCTCCAATACCATTGCAAATATCTGATACGCTTTCTTCAACTGGCGTTCAGGAATACTTTTCAAAAGATGTTTGAAAAGTTTCTCCAGGTCTTCTGGTAGTGTCGCTAGCTCTTCTTCAAGAGATGCGAGGTCTCGGCCGTCATCAAGAGCTTCACGAAGGGCTTTGACCACTAGGGCAACCCACAGAAATATTCCATTCGACCTTGACACGAGGTTTGTTGTGAGACGCTCACGGTATTCGTTTTCCGGAATACCATCGAGTCTACTCCGAGTGTATTGGAGCATGTCGTTCTTCGTCAGATCCTGTAGCCTGATCCTTGACTCTGCTAATAATCTGTCCTGAAAAACATTGTGCTCTCGACTTGATACACACAGCTTGATATCCCCGGACAGACATGATGTCCATCTGCGAAATTCTGTTATCATATCGACATAATCTTGCTGGGTGGTAGATTCGAATTCATCCAATGCATCAATGAAGAAGCAGAATCGATGGCTTTTGCAAATGTTGCGCTGTTCCAAGAATATGTTGAATCCCCGCGACACTGCCTCGTCGCTAATTTCAACATCGCCTGTTGGTATTTCTGAACGTCTGATACGGTCCCATGCGCCAGGGAAAACGAGGGGTATCAATTTCGGAGAGGATACTAAAACTCCGTGCAAAAGGGAGCGCAAGAGGCCTTCGAATGACTTCTGCAATCGGGAACCAGGCCTCCAGAAGAAGAAGTTGACAACAACCAACTTACATTGCCCTGTAATGCGATCAGTAGTGAGAAGAGGTTCACGGTCATAACGGTGCTTACCGGCCCATACCCTCAGCTCAGCTTTAGTGCGTGGATGGCCACAAATGAATTTCATCAGTGTAGATTTTCCCGATCCCAGCTTGCCTGCTATGTGAAATATTCCCTTGCCTGAAGAGAGCCAGCCAATGAATCTGTCACGAGCTTCGGGAACGCCTGGTGACTTGTTTATTGTATCGTCATCGAGAAGCCATCGAAAAGTCTCAACGTGAGCTTGGTTTACAACGTCAAACCTCGTATGCATGTCATCGAACGCTAGAGATTTTAAAATCTGGCGTTCTGCGACCCTGTCCCGAGCTCTGTCCGTCATTCCAAGCAAAGTCTGTAGCTGCTTTTGAGCCTCGCCGCCTAAATATGTCACAGTGACACCTTTTTGTAATTCTTGTGTGCGACTATTCAAGGTAGCGAGTTCTGCGTTTCCGATATGTGCGCTATCTGCTAAGGTTAACAATTGGGCTTCGATTTTCAAACTTGGTTGGGTCAGCATATGCCTTCACTTCTGGAACGCGACTAACTCACCTGGACACCCGAGCGTGTTCCACTTGAAGCATGCTACGGTAGTCGGCTAACTTCTGTTCGAGCACTTTCCTCTCACTGCTATATTTTCGAGACTTGATCATAACATTGATAGCCTGGATTGGCCGGGAATTGGTCCTGATCGGCGCCATTTTGTCAGTCAAGGCTAAGATCTGCTCTGACAAATGGCGACAGTCTTGAGCTAGGCGAAGAAGGGGTTCGTCATTCTTAGGATGCGGCTTGGTAGTCGCTGGAGCAATTCGCGTGCTTAGGTTGTGCATATCCCTGGCTAAAACCCGCAAGCTCTCGATCTCTCCTGGTAGGCCGGATTTTGACTCTTGAATCTCCTTCGCAGTCTTGATTACTTTCGTCCCAGCCTCGACAAATTGAACAATGCAGCCGACGAGACCGATAGCGGCGAGGGCCTCCATACTGACTAAATCTCACACGGGTGGATAGCACATGTTGAGCCTTAGAGTTTCAGCGAATGTGGCTGCGAAGACCCAGATCTGAAAGTGGGTGGGTCATGGCCATATGGGGAATGTTCCCGTTCGCGGAGGTAGTACTGCCAGACACGTCTGCTCAGACTGATATGGGCGGAGTCGTACATGCAGGCCCCATGACGAAGGGTATCGTAACTAGAGATTACCCATGAGCGCACTTGGATGTCTTGTTGCGGGTGTACGGACTCTGGTAAGACGAGTCACCAAGCTGCCGTGGGCACTGTGTTTCGACGAGAGAGGAAGGCGCCTTTTGGCCACCACACCTGCCACTTGTGCACGTACCTGTCAGGAAAGAATAGTGTGACGGCTTGGAGATGACAATAAAAGGAGCCTTAAGCAGGACGCAATTTGCTTTTGAGAGCTGTTCTAAAGTGGCATTTCCGGCCAATGACGTTCCTTCCTCTATCCTAGGGATCCTTCTAGATAATCTCTAACCCGTTCCTCTGCCCGTAAGGACTGTATGCTATCGTAAATCGTTGTATGTAACTAGCGCGCTGATATCGCTCAATGTAATCGAAGTCGCCATGCTCACAGGGTATTTACTAGCAGCCAAAGTATAGCGCTATATTACCCTTGACCTGTAACAAAATAGTACGGCCGTGATGACCTGCTTTGGGTGTTGCACGTCTCGTAAACCCAAAACTCATGTCATGAGACTGGAGGCGTAACCATGCCAGCGCACTTGTCCGCGAGAATCGCTACCTCATCGACATCTATCCGTCTCGACTTTGCTCCAATGGCGCCACCAGGGTGGTTCCTCTTGAACACACTCTTTGCCTCTTCCTCATGCAACGCCTCGGCTACTGTCAATGCCAGCATGTCACCAACAGCGATTGTCACGGTGGTGCTGGTTGTTGGTGCACACACGCCGAATGAAGTCTCTTCTAACTCGTGTATCGGCGCGGGCAAGAGGATCGAGTTCGACCGTTCGTTGAGGAGAGGACAGTCACACAACTTCGTGTGCGAGGTTATAGCGAGGACGGGTGTGTGCGAAGGTATGTGGGTGAGCAGGGCCATCAATTCAGCTGTCTTGCCAGAGTAGGATATGAACATGATGGCATCATTCTATCTCCAGTTAGCTTACATTCAGCCAAACAGTCATGAGGCGAAGCATACCTGCCTGATATCCCCAAGATCCCCATGCAGCGCTTCAGCAGCATGCATGAAGGAGCTTGCTATACCTAAGCTTTTCATGGTCGCGACGACCTTCCTCCCTACGAGCCCGCTTTTGCCTACTCCGCATACTATGAGCTTGCCCCCCGCCATGTTCCCGTTCGTGATAACCTCGACTGCCTGTAATAGGCCTTCCCGCGCGACATGATCAGATTGGTATAAAAGGGTGACTTGTGAGAGGGCGGTTGCGGCGGTGGAGAGGACATTCACGGCGCGTGAGAGAAGGCGTGTACCCTCAGGGTCATTCGCAGTTAGCGGAGGCGTCAGCGGCTGAACCTCGGAATCGGCGCGCTTTCGCTTTTGTGAGGTTGGCGATGCCAGTTCGCGTGGAGGGGTGGATTCGAGAGTCGCTGCCATATCGTCTGGTCTAAGGTGGCGCAAAAAGAACAGGTCGAGGAAGAGACAGCTGCAATACAAACAAGCGATCTATAGAGGGTGTATATGAATACTGGGGTCTGGTCGCTATCGGGAAGCCTCGGAGTCAGATTGCAATTTGTAGGCGTAATACACTTGTAGACGTACGCGACGCGGTACGCAGGCCTGACATTGAGGAGGGACCAAGGGAAGAGGCACGACGACCTCATTAATAAATGGCACATCTCAGCAGCCCACATGTTAGCTCCATGAGGCACCACATCTCCAGGCCTAGCCCATCTCGTTACCATAACTCGTCCAGCGGGCGTCAGAGTGCCCGGCGGCGAGCCTTGGAAGACCCTAGTTGATAAAGAAATGGCGAGCTCCAAGCTAACCCAAAACACTCGAGATGGACCCCTCCACGCTCCGCCTAACCCGAAACAGCTCCACGCGACATCATCATCGAGCCGAATCATCAAACCACGTTCTGCTGCACCACAACGTCAGATCTGAAGCCAAAGTCCACCATGCGTCTTTTTGCACTAACGTTAGGCGTCCGTCGCTTCCGGTTCGTCCTGCGGAATGGGTCCAGCAGCGGACGCGGCGTCGGCGAGAGTGGCCCTGCGAGCGCGCATGCACGTTAGCGCCGTGTCTTCCTCCTCCAGCAACTGCATGCCCAACTCCTTTCTATACAGCTTCGCCGCCTGCTCACTCCCCGTCAACAACACCAGGGAACGCAAAGCCGGCATCTCCAGGACGATTTCGCGACAGCATTGGATAAGCCATGTTCCTAGGCCGAGAGCGCGGTAAGAGGGTTGTAGGTATACGTCGGTCAAGTAGGCAAACGTGATGTAGTCGGTGATTATGCGGGCCATGCCCACCGGTGTCGTCGTATTGTCAGGGGAGATGAGGTAAACACCGGTTGTAAGAGAGTTGGAGAGCATGGTGCGCAACTGGTCAGAGGACATAGGCCTCGCCCAATACATGTCTTCAGTTGCGAAAGATTCTTGCACAAAAGCATGTGGGAGGAGGGTGCGATTCGAGGACAGTAGGAACGTCTGCGAGTTGATGGTGCGCTGCCATTGCCATACTTTCTTGTCCATGTTAATGCTCTAATATTTCTGTTCTGCTGATCGTAAGGGAATTTGCCTCAATTATATGCGCGTTTGTCTCCGTATTGCAGCGGATACTGAAGGGAAATAATGCCTCGCTCTAGGAACATGATACTCAGGCATACTTCCAAGCCGCAAAAGTCGGGGCAAACTCACCCGGTGCCTAGGGCCTCGATTGGCATTCAGACGTCCAACCAACGGACAAAATACATCTCTCGCCATGCTTCGCTGCTGCCTGGTGTGGCTGAAGCTATTGGAGGGGCGACTCATCCAGAGCTGACCTGCAACCTGTCCTCACCCAAAGAAACCCACCATGAATCTCCTCACACAATAGCCGCAATCAAGTAATTCGCCTTCAGCTCTTCAGACACTTGAGCAGATCTACTCCTTTTGAATTATCAATTCTCTTCCGCCCAGCATCATCGCTCCCTTCCACTGTGCGACTGCCACGCCCACAACTAGTGGTTGCGAGGCTGTTCCGCTAGTTGGAGCCCTATCAATCGCATTAGGTTCAAGGAATGAATTCGCTGTAAGAAAGGTTTTGAGCGGGGAAGTCAAGTCAACCCCCAAAATATATCGCTCCAATGCCGCAACCAACCACACTCCAGAATGACTCGCAAGGAAACACACAATCTCTCCTCTTATTACTGTGTAACGCCCGCGCTACCATGTACGAGGCTACAAGGCACGACCACAGGACACTATGCTACCAAGCCATAATCAACACTTAAATAGTTGAATCTAATGACCATCCAAGCGGCCAGTCACACCTTTTAGCTTTAGTGTTAAACTTTGGAAACTCGCATTACACTGTTTTCATCACTTCAATCCAGAATAGGAGCCACCAAGAACAGAACGATTTCTCGCCCCTCTGGTATATCACTTTCTATCTCACCAGTGCTATCGACGTGATAGCTAGTTCCACCTCTCTTCTCGACATTGGTTTTGCCCAGCATCAAATGTACATCAAGCATTTTGATCTTCAATATAGTAGCCTTGGAATATAGCTGTCAGCGACTTGGTATGTACCCGGTGAGACCTCATTCATATATTCGTCAATTCTTCACTTCATCATCGTGCTTTATCGCCTTGGTAACGGGTGGCATTGTCAACAATCTCTTGGATTGGCGAGGGCACACTTCGCGCTGGAATATTGGGTGTGATACATGAATAAGATATTGCCTCTAGCTTCTTTTCATCTGCAAATGGTCTCTACGAGAGAATTTGTTAAGGTTGTCTGCCGCGAGAAGAGCATCTGCAGTTTCTTCGAGTCATCTTCTGCTTTCCTGACGTATGTCACCTTGCACCTAGCGTTGCAGTATTTGAAAATTGGTCAATCGTGTATCTTTGCTTCTGCATGTCTGTGATCCCGCATTGGGCCACTCAAACAGAGTAAAAGTGAGGTATTGCCCACGTGTCATCGCCAAGACCCCGTTTGCTCTCACTTTAACTGATTGGGATTTCTCGGCTAGTATATCCTTCAACCGTACACTTGCCATTGACATTCAACTCACAGCTACGATAATTTGGCGCCATGGAGGAGAGTCTATCGAACCTCATGGCCGTCGCCAGTGCCGCCGTTAAGCACACTTCACCCACCGCGCTCCCACAAGGTGTAGCAATGCAGTGAGTCTTATAACTTGGTTACAGCGGTGAGTACTCACGAACAGAAGATTGGACCGCGAGCTCGAGGCTGCTCTGCTGACAGACCCTATTCCAGTACGCGATCGGCAATATCTGTATAAGTATGCGGCTACCAAAGTGAACTAGACCGAGCACTAACAGCTTAGCAGGGTTTTCAGAAAGCTTAAGTTGATTGAATTACGCATCCGCGTGATTAAGCATGCGATAGTCATGCTTTGTGGCGATAACCCTTATTCCCCTAGGCCTTATATCGCACAGAACCTTCAGCGCCTCGTGCAATCACTAAGCAATTACATCCAAAGCGCCAGTTCTCTCCAGGATGAGATCAGCAAATATATCGAACTCTACGCGGCTCCCAAATGCCGCGAGTTATGCGACTTGATGTACGATAAATTGCCTAGGGAGTTGCGAGAAATGGTGTATAAGTACATACTGCGGGGGCCCAAAAAGCTATTCGACGCACATGTTCTCAGTCCCTCGTCTTGGCCTTTACCCACGGTCTCGGGATTCAATTACCCTACCCCTAACGACAGCAGCTCCCTTTCCTTCCACAGGGATAACGTCACATTCTCGCATGTCTTCTACGACGCTTTCGCTGGTCCGCACATACGGCCTGAAATCATTGAGTCTTGGTATCGAGCAAAAACTTTCACCTTCACGGACTGTGAAGTCATCGCGTCCTTCTTGGAGCGCGACTACTGGGGCTGCAATGTAGATCTCCGATCTTGTGTCAAGAACATCGAGATCGTTAAGACGGTTTGGGACCAGGAACAGATGGCCGGTCTGGACGAGACGTTTGCTCTGGTGGTGGAGACGCAATTTGCAGCTATCAAAGGCCTAGATATCTTATTCAATCTGAGCGAGGGAGCAAAGATTACGTTCCTGATCAGGGGTCCAGGCGTTAGAAAGTGGCGCAGGGCGTCGTATAAAATAACCTTGGAAGATGTCCGACGCGCTGTACATAGTTTGAGAATGTTCCCTATAATTAGTCAGGTGTTGAAGGAGGGTTGTGAGGTCCTTGTTAAGTTTGAGGATCAAGAGACTTTCGAGGTGAACAAGGGGCAAGTGACGGAAAACCATTGGGTTGAGAAGAGCAAGTCCGGTACTGGAAAAGCCGGATGTCACTAGGTTTCAACAAATGGCGCCACGGCCAACTCATCCTTTTCTTCAGGTGCATCGGGGTACACAAGAATGTCTACTGCGACTATCGGATTCAAGGTCGAAATATGGCATAGCTAGATGACTATCGACAGAGAAGGTCACACTGTCAAGCAGAATACAATACCCATTAACATACTTGTAAACCAATTCATCTCCCTTTCCGTATGGTCTGCCACCAGCTCCCATCCTCAGGTGATCGGAGCGTAGAAGTTGAACTTCCCAAACGGATCATACTCGTTCTTCAACCTTCTCAACTTCTCCAACCTCCAAGGCTCATACCCATACAACTCCTCCATACTCTCAACACCTGTCGCATAGTTTACATATGCTCTCAATTTCCCATCCGTTCCTTCCAATAAAGCGTTCCGTATCTTCTCTCCAATCTCCCGCGCAGTGGCATCCAGACTGGCGTTCTTCGGGTACGTCAAAACAGGGGAGAGCAATACTTTCTCATCTCGGTCTGGAAACGCAGAACTATCGCCTGGAATCTCCTCAACGCGGTTTTTAGCATAGCCTTCTAGCATCATGACAGTGGTGCGGAACTCGGGTGGTAGGGCAGTGAAAATGTTGAGGACTTTGCGTAGTGCCGGGAGCGAGTAGGTTCTGAGAGATAGTCCGACCAGAGCCCGTGATAGTCCTTTCGCGCAGGATGCCCCGTCACGATTGGCAAATATGTGTGAGTTGACTTCGGGCAGTTCGGTCACGCTTTCGTCAACGGCTACGGGCGAGAGCGCGTATAAAGGGTCTGTGTACTTGGACGGAATCGCGGGTCCTTGCCAGTATATCCACATCATGACGATAGGCTTTTGCTGTCAGTACACTTCGCAGGTTGACGAGGAAGCCATCTTGCTCACATTCAACGGGTCGACGTCTGGATTCAAAGCGAATAGACCATAATGCGTCAACTCGATAGGTCTCTCTGGGCTCTCCAGCCACTCGTTGGCAAGCGCAAATATAGCCTCCAGTTTATCGTGCGTAAACACAAACCCACTGGCGGCCCACTGATCCTGGTCAACCTCCCTATCATAGATCCGCATCTTGACTTGCGTCACGACGCCAAAATTATGTCCAGCTCCACGGATGGCCCAGAAGAGATCGGGGTTACTTTCCTCGCATACTGAAATCGCTGTTCCGTTTGCGAGAACAATGCGCGCGGATATTAGCTGATCGGCTGCGAGACCGTATCGGCCTTGTAGCCAGCCGTGCCCGCCACCAAGGATGGGCGCGATGTAGCCTACACAATCGCAGCCCGTAGACATAGTTAGCTTGCCATGGGACCATAGATACGCGATAAGATCGCCGTTGAGAACGCCGCCTTCGAGGAGAGCCGCGGAGCCATCATCAACGATGGTGATGTCGTTCATTTCGTGCATGAGGATGCCTACGCCATTTATGACGTTGTTGATCAAGGACGTTGTTCCGTGGCCGCCTGAAATGGTGTGGAAGGGTCGATTGTTCTCATTAGCGTATAGGATCTGTAAAAGATTCAGCTCTGTGTAATTGAGCAAGACAGAGGCGTCTATACAGTCTTTTGAACATCCTCTTCTGTGGCAACCTTGACGATCATTTCATAGTGCGGAGTTTGGGAGGCACTCCACCTTGCGCTGGCTTGAATGAATTGTTCTGATCCCGGATAGTATACTACTGCTTTGCTATCGAGTGAGGCTGCAAACTGTTCGTGGTTAGAACGTGTGGTCGCAGTCAATGCGCCGAGCAAATTTGATGAGAGAGCCCCCAAAGCCCATAGAAGCGTGCTCGTCATCCTGTTGTAGAGACAAGAGTCGTTGGGTAGTTGTTTCGATAGATGTTGTTTACTTTTATGATGTCAGATAGCACCCATACTTGCTGCACCTTTCTCACACGGGTCGCAGGCATCGGCGGAGGTAAGACGGCCCCGCGTGCTCCGTCCGACGCCATGGTAACACGACATGTGCGAGTATGTATAGAGTTAAGGCTATGCTTGATCTACCTGTTTGCAATTGGTTCTGAATCAAATGGCCTGGAGGAAATAATGGCTTGGTCTCCCTGTACAAAGTTTCCCTGGGGTGTTGCGTGAGGACTGGGTATAAAATCGCCCTAAAGTAGCTACTATTCTTTCTCATTGCGTAGATTCTGGGTTGGACAGCTGTCGCAAGCTATGTGTCGAGACCCCAACATCCTAGAGGCAATGATGACCCCGCAGATCCTGGCTAACGAGAGTAGCGCCGGGAAACATAGAGCCACATCGCTGCTCCGGGGTAACTTGTCGAGTCTGCAATTCGTGGACTTGTGTGAGACGGCGATGCGTCCGGTTCTGATTGCATGGCACAGCTGCGGGGCATTCAAAACACAGCCAAGCCCGTTCGTTGGGCACAAAGAGATTTCATGGGCGTGCAGCATTGCACATGCGTCGAGTACAAAGCTGGCGAGATGATATGCACAACGCGGGCGGTGTCGAGCTTGGTAGTGACGCTTCTCCCGGTCAGGACAACGGGCAGCTCCTCCCGGGTTGTTGGGACTTGGCTCAGTGGGGAAAGATCCACTGATCAACACGGCACCAGCATTGTGATCTACGATGATGGCATGGTATCCTATGTCATCTCCCCCATTTAGTATACTCGCTTCACACGCTCGTGGCGTGGCTTATTGCAAAGGCGACCTATAAGCGCGTTCACAGCCCCCAGCGCGCAAATTACTCATCAGAGGACACATCCGAGCTTTCTTGTGATCTAGCTATTTGCACTGCCAGCAAACTCGACCTGGACGACATTAGCGGTACTTTGAATCGTGTGGCGTCGTACCATGTGTCTGTTGATGAGAAATAACTAATAGCAGGGGCTGGTGGCCTTGAGACCGTGCTCCCCTAGTTTCAGGTTGCCTCAAGCCGGAAAATCTATTACCTTATCTCATCACTTTCTGTTTCCTCCTCAGTCACGTCGCAGTACGTCTCGCTTGATTAATGTTTCCGCTTATTCCCGTGGTGGAATTTATACCCTATCAATGAATACTGCTTCATTCCGCCTGCATATCGCGCAATCGGCTTGTCACGTTCGATTTGACCATGTCAGCTCGTGATGTTGCGATTTCAGCCACTCGTGTTTGACTCAGGAATATGCCCAAGCGCAGTTTCAAGGGCGGTCATGATAACGGATCTCGATGCGATTGTTTTACCAATTTGAATTCTCTCTGTGTGGAACGTTTAAAGTTGCGTAAGTCACATTGGGCTTCAAAATGTGCACATGGCACATTGGGCTTGAGACACGATTGCGACAGCACTATGCAGGAAGCTTACTTTTATAGAATTGTAGAACGACAACGACAAAGTGGCTGGCTATGTGTGCATATCCTCGCTTACTGTCCTATGTAAGTGAAGATGTTCAGATGCCGGCCTGTTGGATATGAGAGCGAGTTACCGTCGTTGTTTCTCGGGAGGATTTCAAAATTTTACTGTTTTAAATCCTCCCGTAAACGAGGTTGCCGAGTTTCTAACTTTCAGCTCTATAACGAACTAGATGGTCCGACTCCAACTGCAGCACATCCTTGCCCGAGTCATGACCTCAGTGCACATTCTCCTCCGGCATAGACTGTCAGCATCTCAGCAATGACAGACAGATCTCACGAGAGCTTAGATTAGAATTTGTCAAGCAAAAACATCACATCCTTCGTTATTAGCCCCTTGTCTCACCCGATTTTGGGGTTCGCACTGCAGGTACCCGTCCCCCGACACGCCCAATGCCAGGCGAGACGACCCGCTCCCGCGCATACCCCATTGAGCAACCACTTGACCCTATCCGCCCTATCAACTCTCCGGACCAAAGTGCCGGTCACGTTCAGGGGCTCTTGCGTCTAGCTCCGTTCAGCTCCGTGAAAATCCCCTTGAAAAAGAAAATTCCTCTTCTCGTATACTTTGTAGGCCGATCGCATGCCATTTGAACTCTGTTTGTGTAACACACCCTTCACCTTCACGAAATCAATATTTTACATATGCCCACCGATCTGGCGCTACTGCTAGAGGGCTACCAGGGAACCATGTCAAGAATAGCGTGCGTCTGGGCTGATTTCCGCGATGACGCCGCAGCAAACGACTGGTACGAGAACAGGCATATACCCGATGTCGTCGGCCGTCTCGATACGCAAGCGCGCAATGCCGAGCCAGTAGAAGATAACACGTTCAAAGAGGTCGAACAAATTGAGGGCGCCTTCATGACCGTCTACGACCTACCCGATGGGAAGGATGCGAAAGAAGTGGACGCGCAAATCCAGCCCGCATTGGATGAGCTGCTCACAAAAGACGCGCGATTAGATGCGCGCATTTACGCGGAGCATGCGAATTGGTTTGGGTCGGAATGGCGAGGCGGTACGGAGAACCTTACCTACTCTGACTTGACCGTGTTGGCTGATGTGCGGTCCTAGATGTCGAGGATGTTCAGATGTGGATTGTAGTCCTGTGGCAACCTGCCGAAGCCGTACATGACGAATTCGTCAAATGGTTCACAGAAGAATTCGCGCCTGGCTTGCTTGAATGCCCAGAACTCCTCCGCACACGCGTCTTCAAGCTCGAGAACGCTTCGTTAGTTCAGGACCAAAAGCGCGAACAACAGACACTTAGCTCAATGTACCAATACATGACGTTCTGGGAGTTCGATTGCGATGACCTGCCGTGGGAGCTACTGGTGTATCTGGGGAGCTCGGAGCGGTGGAGATATTATGTCGAGGGTAATCATCTGGTAGGCTGTCTCAGTGATTGCAGAGATGATGATGAAGCTGACAGCGTGACAGAAATGGCAGATCGGTCAATTCCTAGTAAACAGGATATATCCCGAGGAACAGAGCGCGGACTCACCTGCGACGAACCGAACGAGCATTATCCTGAATGGAGGGTCGAATAGAGATGGGCAGAGTGATTCTGATGAAGACGATGACGATGATGTGAACGCCGATCCCTATATATCACGCTGATGGGTTGGGATGAAAGATAGGCTGGTTCTTAACTTCTGCCAGACCGCTTAGCGCGTCATTTAGAAATACCCCGTACTTGTTCAATATACTTCGCGTTGTTTGATTACATACACAACTTGACCTGACTGCAGTGAAGATTTGAAGGCATCGTCTATCGATATTCCTTCCAAAATCGGCGAAGATGATCTTGGAGAGAGAGCTTGTTGTTGTGATAGGAAATCATCACCAAGTAGTGCGTTCCTCGTTCTAGTCCGGCTGGAGACTACGTTCAATAGGCACTATGCGATGGCCAGTACTTTTTATCCAAATAAGGCTTTGCTATGTAAGTTAACCACCCTTTCCGAATACGAGCTCCTCTGATTGTGGAGCTGTCATCCTTGGTTGTCCGAAAGGGCTGCCTAACGCTTCCGAGATTATAGAAGCAGAGAAATTTAGAATCACGGGAGATCGTTGTCACCATTCTTCCGCTATAACTACGAGTATGAGAGGTTTTTCATGCTCTAGAATCTGTTCGCTAGTCTTGGCGTACATGTTGGATGCTCTCGTTCCAGGATCGGGTGCCAACATCCCTCTTTGACCGAGATGAAGTGAGGCGGATATTCAGCGGTGGTATGAAGCCTCTCTATTCTCTAGGGAGGTAATGAGGTAATGGGTGCTCATGTGTGCACGTGTAGACTAGGAGACAGACTAGGAGAGAGAGCGACCCTGCTCGGTTTCCCCATCCTCAAATCCGCACTAATTTCGGACCGACTGGTATTCTCAGGCCACGTCTGACCCAACCATCGTTCCTGGCACTGCACTTGATCTCAACACTATTTACCTTGGCCACCATGCCATCTTGTGGTGCTCTGTATGGTTTGTTGCGTGCTTGGAAGAACCTATGCCTCCTGCCTTTTGAGGGTTGCCAGCCTGGATGCCATGGCGGACCAAGAAGACTCAGCGACTGCTGCTTGCGATAGAGCTGCTGTAGCTGGAGGACGGTCTACCTGGAACTGGAAGAGATCTTCCAATAGATAGTTTAGACGGTCTTGTCAAAATATACAGATGAAGAAGGTTGCGGTGGTGGTGTTCGTATCACCTTGGCGAAAGGAGCGAAAGTCGAGGGCATTTCGCTTACTCAGCTGTGGTTAGCTTGGCAAAATCGCTCATGTGCGAGCAGGATTCCATCAGAGCAGACGCATTCGACCTCTCGCATGTAGACCTCGTACCCTCCGGAAATTTCTCGCTATTTCTTGCGTGCCAATGAACGGGTGAGTGGGCGCTTCCTAAGGCAAGCATCTAATCAGTCCCAGGTGGACACCCCACGGCTTCAGGCCAACGGACGAGGGCTTACGCCATAAAGCTGAAACACCATGCGGCTAGGTCCCTTGCAATGTTTCCACAAAACGGCCATCGTGTCCACGCTCTAGGTTTGCCACTCACCAACTCCATCACACACTGCCTGAAGTAATACTGGGGCACGATCAAACTTCTCCACTTTGCGCAACATCACGACATGGCGCCATGCATTTCCACCTTCCTCAAGAGGTAAACAGTCACGGGGAATAGTCACAGTGAATGGTCACAGTGCAGTGTGAGTAAAAGCAGCAGCTTCACGGTTTGCCCCTCATTTCAGTCTCTCTTCACCTACAGGATATCGACTTGGAAGTCGTACCCTGATCTTTGAAGGGCAAACCCGAGTTTGACCCTCAGGCCATCCAGCCCCCCTGGTTGGAGTGGAAACTGCGGGGATGCAAGAGGACGTGGTATACGAGCTATAGTCTCTACATCGCAGCTCGGCACATCTCTGAAGCGAACGGTTGAGGCGCTCGATGCGGAAGGAGGGAGCCGGGTGATCAGGCTCTAGTGGCTCCCCCGATATTGGACAGGTACACGACCCTGGTGGTTCTCTTTTATACCCGTGACTTGGCATCTACAGCGTCTATTTATCAATAGTGGTGATAATAACTTTAATTTCCGACTCCCAGTATCTTCCTATCGGAGTGATCGCTTGGCTTCAGACTTAGCCCGGGAGATGTGCCTAACACGGCAGAAGTCAAGACAGACAAGAGATGCTTGTTAAGATAGTGTCGCTTGGGCATAGATGATGTCTTCTTCCTCGCCTCACGCGCCATAAAGGTTGTGGCAGATCGTCGGCCACTGTAGCGGATATAAGTACGTTGACACTGCGCGGTAGTAGCGAACGACACTCACCGCGCGCAGCAGTAGCAAATACCACCCAACCCGGCCGATCTCCCTCGCTCTGTCATTCTTCCGCCACCTGCTCGCAATGCAATTCTTCACTCGCTTCCTGGCCCTTGCGGCGACAGCAGTGCCGTTCATCGCACAAGCCGCTCCTCTTGCTCCACGTGCAGCAGAATTGATTCCCGGAAAGTACATTATACAATTGAAGCCTGGTACCGACATCGCCTCGATCGCTGCTCACCACAACAAAGTGCGTGAGATCCACGCTCGCAACCTTGCTCGACGTGACGATGCCGAAGTCAGCGCGGGCATTGAGCGCCAGTACGATATCGGTGACTTCAAGGGCTACGCTGGGTCTTTCGATGCTGCGACCATCGAAGAGCTGAAGGCTCTACCCGAAGTAAGTCAACTTTTGTATCGAAGCTTGATCAGATGGAGACCTAACATGGCCACAGGTCCTAGTTGTCGAACAAGATTTTGTCATGTACCTAGCCCAGGATACCGCGGCACCCAAAGCAGCTGTGACACGTAAGCCAGCGCCATCTTGCTCACGCTCCAGAATCTAACAGGTATACAGAGAACAATGCTCCATGGGGTCTTGCCAGCATCTCATCCAGAACGCGTGGGGCCACGGACTACATCTATGACTCCTCTGCCGGTCAAGGCACGTTCTCGTATATTGTCGACACAGGTATTCGCACCACCCACGTCGAGTTCGAGGGCCGAGCAGTCTGGGGCTTCAACGCGGTCAACAACATCAACACCGATAACAACGGCCATGGGACTCATGTTTCTGGAACCATTGGCAGTAAAACATACGGCGTGGCAAAGAAGACCACCCTCGTAGGAGTCAAGGTCTTCGAAGGCAACTCTGGAACTGCTTCCGCGGTGATTGCAGGCTTCGAATGGGCTACAAACGACATTGTCCAGAAAGGTCGCGAAACCACAGCGGTCATCAACATGTCTCTTGGTGGGCCGGCCTCAACCACCTGGGATGCTGCCATCACGGCATCGTATAACAAAGGCGTTCTATCCGTAGTCGCTGCGGGTAACGAAAACAGACTCGCATCTCTGGTATCACCTGCCCGCTCTCCGGAGGTCCTGGCCGTTGGCAATGTTCAGCCAAATGACGTTCGCTACCAAGGCACAACAGGCTCAAATTACGGACCGGTTGTTGACATCTGGGCCGCTGGTACTGGTGTTCTCTCCACATATGGCACCTCGGATTCCGCAACGGCGAGCTTGTCGGGTACCTCTATGGCTTCCCCACATGTGGCCGGTCTGGTGTCCTATCTCCGTGGTCTCGAGGGAGCTTCCTCTGCGAAGGCCATCAGGGCCAGAGTTATCGCGCTGGCTACTCCTGACCGTGTTAGTGACACAAAGGGTGCCGCCAATCTCCTGGCCTTTAATGGCGCCAGCCAGTAGATCATGATTCCAGCATGCCATCAAGGAATGGGCGTGCGGATTGACAACTAGCACATGACAAAGCCATGACGAAGGGAAATAATGGTTAATGATTTCACTATGTGTATCAAGACGTAATCGAACATGACTCGAATAGCTCATCGAGATAGATAGAAATCTACTCATTATATCCTACTAGCCCTCCCCATGCCCAGCCCAAATCCCATCCCACTCAGCCGTCCCAGCGGCGCAGCATCTGCAAGCGGCCTCTGCGGCCTCCACGTCGCATCGTCATCCCTCTCCATTTCCCTCTGCGCAAACAGCGGCCTGGGCAACTCCAAATACTGACTCGAAGTATCCACATACGCAGGCCTAGGTCGTCCAATAGTACTTTTATCCAGCCACGCACTCACAGTCCCAAACGTCGATCTCCTGCCCACGCTCAGCCCACCCACCGAAAGCTTCTCCATCTGATTTTTCTCCTCTTTCTCCGTCGATCCACGCCGTGTCGAGCGCGTCGTGTATTTCGATGCGGCGGATGGCGCCCGCGACTCGGGGCGGTGACCTCCAAACATGTACAGGCCAAGTCGAGAACTGAGCTTTGATCGCCGGATGGGGATCTCTTGGATGTCGGATTGGTTTCTGCGGCGATAGAGGAAGAAGGCTACGCCGATGAGGAGCGCGATTATCACCGCGGTTCCGGCCGCGATACCAGCGATTAGCCCGGGTGTGAAGGGGGAGGTGGGAGATGTGCGTTGTAGCTGCTCTTCAGGGCGACCGGTTGGTGAGATGGGAATCAAAGGGGTCGGTGTTGGCGTTGGTGTTGCTGAGAGTGTGGCTGATGATGAGGGTGGTGGGGGAGATGAAGTCGAAGTTGAAGTCGAAGTTGAAGTTGAAGTTGAACTCGAAGTGGAAGTGGAAGTCGAAGTAGAAGTCGAAGTAGCAGCAGTAGTAGATGTGAAGGGGGAGATTGAGACGATTGATGTAGGTGTCGCAGTGCGTGTTAGAGTCCTCGGTGGTGGTTGAGATGCAACCGCTGCAGGTTCATTTCCAGTGTTGCCAAATCTATCTGGAATTGCTTGACGTTTGGTGAGCTGATAAGTGTCTCCATGTTGTAGTGGCGCTGCAGACACTGATGAAACCAAGACAATAACGGTCAATAGCACCCAACTCAAGGTGGTGAAGCGTTTCGACGATGACAATTGACACCATGGTAGGACGCTTAAGTTCTGATTCCGTTTTCTTGACATTCCTGGTAGATTCGAGAACGGCCTCTGTAGAGAATATTCCTTGCGTTGTGTGCATGATGTGTCGAGTAATTGTGCGCACTCATCTTCGTAAATCTCATCCGAATATGCTTGGAACTGTGTCTGCTGAGGCCGTGATCTACTCTTTGTCAGAAAGAATCGAACAAGAAATGCTGGGGAAAGTACTTCTTCATCTGGCGATCCGATTTCCTTCCAGGTGGTTTCTCTCCCCCCGACAGCATCCGTCTGCACCTTGATAGAAGCGACGTGTTGTTGCAGTCCATATTAGAATAGACCGTAGAACCCATAATTATACAAAAACAATAGTATATCATCCACTTCCCTCGAGTAGATATCGAAAATACGTCCCTAACTCACAAATTATTGAAAGAGTCAATGTTACAAATTGAACAGAAAAGAATGGCGAACTGAACAATAGCAACATACTCTCTTCTCAACACGGCACCTCATCACACAAGTAGGCTGAACCATACAGCCGCCATTTCCACAACATCTCACCCATGGCTCAAAAATCTCCTCTGCAACACAGCCGCATCGCCGTTGAAAAGAGCCGCAAGCCACGCTCGGCTCAACCGTGTACTCTTGCGCAACTTCGGCAATCATCCGAGGTCTGTCCGTCGTGAAGATCCGGGGTAAAAGACCGATGCATAAGAAGAATCTGCGCCACCAAATGTCGCAAGTGTACGTTTAGCCGCCACCCGCTGCGCAGGGGCGTGAATCAGATACGATCAATGGGAATCAAAGCAACATGTGATACATTGTTCTAGAAGGGGTGTTCTAAGGTTCGCAAGTAGCACTAGGTATTGTGCGAGAAACGTGAGGCTGCGGGCGTTGTGGCCATTTCGGGTAAAATCTAGCGAACATAGCCGGGAGTGAAGGTGGGGATTGACTATCCATGCGGCAGACGGGAAGTAGAAGAACATTCGAGAAGGGGATAAAATGCGTTCTGGGTGTGTTAGGAAGGAAACTACATGCTGTACGTTGTCCACAAGATTGCGTCATTCGTATCTACAACGAAAATGATCTCGCATCGAGTATTTACTCGATCGGATCGCGACCTTGGCGCTTCCTCATCTCTTCCAGATACTCATCGTCTGTCTCTAGATCAAATGGCAAAGGCCTTGTAAGAGGCAACATAGAAGCACCCCTTTCCTCCAGCTGCTTGAGGCGTTTAGCCGTCGCTGGCTTGCTCCTGTTGACACTGTAGCTGTTGACGGTCAGCGCACACCCGGGGAAATATTAAGATGCAGGGTCCGCATACAGTTTGACACGACTAGACATGATTATTAGCGTTATGATCTATAAGCCGTTCAATAGTGCCGCGCAGGGTATACATACTGGCAGGACGAAGTTACGTGGAGATCCCAGTTCCTATACGAAGTTAGCGCATTTCGATATAAGGCCTCAAAGGTCAAAGCTCACCATGCACTCCGCACAAACGTAGGCTGCGTCTACCGGCAATGTTAGTGATGTTTTGCTTCCAGAAGCCGCAGGAAAATCCGTCCAACAGGGTCGTAACATGTCGACTAGACTTCAGCTCATCCGCATGGATGGCCTTTCCATACACGCCACATGAAGCTTCCACAAGACAGGCTAAAGAAGACTTACATTCAAAGCATCGTCCCAGCATCGCACACAGAATTCACTATGCCTCGTCAGTTATCATGCTTTTAAAATGAAGTCTCTCGGAACTTACAGCCATCCTTCAGCATCGACCGGAATCTCGAACTCCCAGGTGCGCCAAGCGTGGAAGTATTTCGTACTGAGTTGCTGGTATGGCACCTCATACCAGACACCGCCTCCATCATTGCTAACCTCGACTCGCTCCGGCCATCCACTGCCGCTGTAGGCCCAGCCGGTCAATTTGATCTTTCCGTCATGAACGATGACATCCTTGTCGACGGGCGTCATGATGGCGCTGGCAACTGGCATTGTCTGAATGCTGAAACCATTGGAATAGGTGACATTTTGCTTTCCCATTTGCGGTGTATAATATATGTATTCTTTCATTTGAACCGGTGCCATGCTGGGGTCTTCGATAGCGTTGATCCGGGTCAGCCATTTGACGCTCCGGGCGCCGATGTAGCCCATCACAACTACACGAAGGGGTGCACCGTGGATAGGCGGAAGAGCTTCTCCGTTCATCTCCCATGCAAGCATGACTTCGTTGATCTTCACCTTGCGGGTTGGAACCGAAACGGCGTAGTTGTAAACGTGGCCCTTCTTGAAGTACGTGTCGGCGCCAAAGAACTCGACATGCTTGCTATTGTTCTTGAATCCACCGCAGTACTTGATCACTTTCTTCAGACTTACACCCACATAGCGGGCAGTTCCGATAGCACCTTCGCCCCATGGCGCATTGATGAGCTCATCGCCATCACCAGGGTAATCGTGGATCTGTTCGATGCGTCTAGTACCACTGCACTGTAGTGTAATAGTAGTCTCCATGCGCGGAAAGATACTTTCATCTTGAAGTTGTGCCAGAGAGATTGATTTTGGCTCGTTAACAAGACCTTCAACTTCGAAGTAGTACTCGTTAGGGTCAATCTCCGGTATTCCGCCGTGGTTACGGACGAAGTGATCTTTGTTGTCAGTAATCTCAGTCTAGGTAGGTTAGCTGAGCACATCAGTTGAACACATCCGACGTGGCACGTGCCTTGACTAAGCGTTCCTACATATTGATCAGTTACTGGCCAAGAATACTTCACATGCCTACTCACTCTTGGCGGTTCGCCATTGTACGGGAATTGCAGGACATGAATCATGTCCTTACTCTTCCCCTTCAGAACATGCTCCCAGGAAATGTTGGGAATATCGCTCAGAGTCGACCCAAGCGCATAGTGGTAGTACCTGAATGGGCCAATTAGCCTGTGATTCGATTTGCGTCCGAACTTGGAAGACATACTTCCAGCGTACTCCCTCAAGAACGGGGTTGGTGTCAGGTAGCGGTACCAGTTGGAATTCAGGCGGCTGATAATTTTTGCGTCAGATCCTGAAGTTATTCCAAGCAAAATGTATACTGACGACAGGGAAGTCATATTGCGCAAGAATCTCTGCAGCCTTCCGCTTCTTCTCTGGGTACCTCTCCCACTCGATGTAACCCTTCCATCCCTTTCGTTCTTCCGGAAAGAGAGGTGCTTCGCCAAGCAACTGGAACGGTTTTGCGTTTGGTTCAGCGGGCGCCATTATGGGGATCAAGGTTAAGAAAAAGGGTAAATTTCAACGACGATAGCCGGGAGACTAGACGAGTTTACTACCGCGGAATACTCTGTGATTTTTTATAAAGCTAGTACAAGTATGGCATGTCATGATCTCACAGTGACTGATGCTTATTCATGGGTGTTGCTACCCTAGACGAGGAATGCTGCATGCAAACCATGTGTGAGCGTTGCCCGGGGTACGCGGACTGTAATGCAACGAATCGAGTGGACCGAGGCTAGCTGCGACAAAGAGGCTATACCACCGATAGATAACCGATACATAAACGCGTCATCATGATGGATACAAGATCTTTCCCAGACAGGGGCCTTCTGCTTGAAGACCTAATGGTCCAACCTTGTAAGATAATGTCAAGCTAGAGATTCGAAGAAAACTGAAGTAGCGAGCGAGTCGCACTAGACTAGTGAGAGTGTCCTGGTGGTGTTGGATATTCGAAAGAGCTCAACCTGCTAGACTTTTTGTTGGTCGCCTGGCTGATGACGTACACATGAAAAACCAGCGAGCAACGTCCTAAGGTCTCTCCACGGCCCTAAGGTGGGCACTATTCTCAAGCTGATTTTCCACCGTGATAAGAATGCGGTATCGCGGCTAAAAATTATAGATTGGAAATCGACCACGGCAGGTTATCGGCATACCGCATGAGCGCTTTTAAAATCCATTGCGAGGTGATCATTTCTACAATGTGTGTGAATGATCTTCTACGTGTCAATATATAACATGGAAGGGGTATACGAAACACACAAGACATAAATGCTGACTCCAGCGATGCACTGCAGCCGCCAAGATCCAAATAGCAATACCAACCAAAGCTCCCAAACTCCAAATGCACCCTATGCTCATGAGGCCAGGATGTTCGAAATCGATCAAGGATTACTGATAGAACTTCCAATTGACTTCTTTGCACTCCCACTCTTTCGCTACCTCCTTCACGCGATCGACCAACCACCCGCTTGTCCACTTGTCGTTTCCTTCGGTCTTTTTGCCCAGTCTAAGCACTTTGCCTAGATGGCACTCGCCATCACCTTTCGTCGAGTACCGCCACTGCAGACAATCATCCACTTCTTCGCACGCCTTTTGGCAGCGCTCAGAGGTATCACCCGCATCCTTGAACTTCTCGGCAAGCTTATCCCAATTGATCGGACCATTTTTATCTTCTCTCTTAAGTCGCTGATTCTTTTCCTGCCCCTTGTCCTTACCTTTCGTCTCCTCCCCTTCTAGTTGATGTTTTTTACTCCTCTCTTCCTCCTCCTTCATCTGCTTCTGCCGTCCCTGGGGCGCCACAATCTTCGTATCCTGGCTCAGATTATCCCATTCTGCCTTCTGCGCCTCCATATGCGGCTCTACAAACTCGTGGAAGGCGTCGCGGTATAGGTACGGTTTCTTCCAGCCGTGCGTGTGCGTCCAATTCTTCTCTTTGTCCCACATGCCAGCGAGGTCTTCGCCATTGATGTGGTGCCACGACACAGCGGGTACGCACCAGTGCTTCTTGGTGTAATCGAGCGTGTTGGGTTGTTCGCCTTGGAGGAGGGGCCAAGAGGAGTAGAATTCGACGTGCGCGTCGTTGAGGGCGATGGCGAGGAGCAGGTCACCGCAGCATTCCGTACCAACACGTGCTTCCCATCTAGTAGAGTACAGTTCGTCGTACGATTTCGAGTAGCGTCGAAGTGCACCTTGTGATAGCAGAATGCCTGACCCGCGTTGTGCGAATTGGACGCTGTTCATAAAGGTGGGCGCACCGCTATAGTAGGGTATCCGGTAGTCGAGCCGGTTCACCCATTGCAGCAAGTTCGTCCAGCTCAGACTCGTATCCGCCTCGATGAAGACGTAGAACTTGGCACTCGGGTTCAGATGGTATGCCTTGTACACCATGGGCAGGAATTTCCACCTCTCTAGGTCTTTAGTCTTCTTTGGATCTGGCTTGTGCTCGGGATCCGCGTGCATGAGCTGGTATTCGCGGAACTCGTCGTGATTGAACTTGGCGTCGAAGCTGATTGACTCGAGTGCATTGTGAACGGTGTGGCCCTGGAATTCGCCGGCATGGTCACTGAAGATGGCGAAGTTGGGAACGCAGGAGAGCAGGCCGAGGAGATGCGGGGACAGCTTCTTGTCCATCTCGGCCTTGGATGTCCTAAGCACGACCATGACGTTGGGTGCACCGTGGACGTCTTTGCAGAATTTCTCGACCTCGGGTGTAGGGGTGGTTGCTGAGCTTGCAATGGTCGCATTCGTCGCATTCAGGCCGCTGAGGGCGGGTATCAATGCTGTGAGAAGTGTCGTAGGGACAGGTGCTGCGCTCGCTGCTGTCTTCACTCCCTCCGTCAGCTTGTCCTTGTCGCTCCATCTTCCGCCATCCTCGTCATGCCCGGTAGGCCTTGTTCCGAGCGATCCAGGCGCTGTCGTCGGCTTATCTGCACTCCCTGCCTTCGTTGTCGCGTCCTCCCACCTATGATCGTTGTCCTCCGCTGGTCGGTCCCCATGCACCGTCGGTGAAGGCGCTGTCGCGTGCGTCGATTCGATTATGGGTGCTGGTATTATCGGCTCTGTATGCACATGTGTGTGGTCATAATGGTCTATGATGGGCAGCGAGGGCTGTCCGAGCTGCGACGGTAGGCCAAAGGTCCAGAAGAAGCTGATGAGCGACAAGGAGAGGACAAGGATGGCGATGCGCGACGGGGTAAACAACGGCATTGCGGCGGCCACCGGGGCATAAATAGCCAACGGCTTATTGGAGCAATGTGAAGAACAACACCAAGGCCCGGGTCATCTATCTATACATGATCGCCGTGGCTGTCAAAGTCGCAAATATGACGCCTGCCCGAGTTGGGAGATGGAAGGATGCATGAGGCGGTGCTGCTTCCGGTGCTTGGCTGTGTGGCGCTCGGTCTAGAAGGCGCACCTCCTTATTGAGCCCTGGCGTATGACAGACCCACACTTGAGCTGAAGAATCAATGACAGCTGTGATTGGAACAAAAGCGCAAGGCTCGATAATTGGGACATGCGGTTGTTTCAACGGTTAGTAACGAATTGGTGAGGTGACGCGGCGGGTACATTCACAGACATCGACGAGCCACTAGCTCTCACGCTATACCTACGACTTCAGCCAAGCTGACTTCAAGAGATTCGCCCTATCTCGTCAATTACTATAATCACCATATCACTGCCCTTTCACATCCCCCTCCCACCTAATCCCCTCACTCGTCCATATCCTCATGACCCAACACGCGACCACCAAATCCCGCTTCGACTCATCGTTCCCACCCATGTCCGTCATCTCTAGTATCTTCCCATCTCCACTTGATAACGACCCTCTTCTGGACAAAAGCCTATCCCCATAACCCCACCGCTTCTCCTCTCTTGCTATGACCGTACCGTCAACATCCTCCCACACCCCCTTTTTGATGGCGAATAACAGCGTCTTATCGTCGTGCGTGTAACTTCTCCTTTGCGGTTGTATACCAGAGTCTGAGTCTGGGTCCGACGTTGATTCCCTCCTGGGCTTGGTGTAGTGCCAGATACGTGTCCATTGGCCGCCCCATAGTGTTTTTCCTGATGAAATCTGAATGCTCCCACACAGCGCGCTGTCGGCTTTTCCGTGCATCTCAAAGGATGTTATGCTGTACATTGTCCCCTCCTCATCGTATCGTATCCTCGGACCTCTTGCTGCGTGTATTGCGGATACGGAGCATGACCGTGTCTCGCTCGGAAGTAACCGTCTGATGTTCAGTTTTGACGGCTTTCGAATACGATTGAATTCTTGTTGTATTTGATAACAAGGCATGTTGCTTGTTTTGGTAGTGTATATGAAGGGTGCTTGGAGGCGGAAAGTTCGTGCCCGATCGTCTACAGGCGCATACTCTGCTGGATGGGTGGATGCATAATCTGCCTGGAGTGCTCTTGAAGCTCGAACTGTTGACCAGGGATCGTAGCTGTGCGATGGAAATGTATTTGCTGTGAGTAAAGGCTGGCGGATCGGTGCAGTTACGGTCGGCGGTGCTGCCCTTGACATTGATGAATGGCCGATGCTTGGACGACTAACGCTTGAGCTGGTAGAGGGAGATATCGCTTTATCCGATGATGCTTCTTCGTTGCTCATACTCCTAGCACTGGCTTTCGCAAACAAGTCGAACGGATTCACCTCTTCTTCATATATATTGCGTATGACGGGTGTATCGTTCGGCAGCCTTTTATCACATTCACTAGCAGGCAGAGAATAGAGAGGTATTTCCATTTCTTTTGCAAAAGTCATTATCATGAGTGTTGTGTGCACGCGGGCAGGATACCTGGGGTTGCATCCATTATATTAGCCTTCGGGACGCTGATCTGCACACGCGTTTAATTCGGAATCTCTTCTAGAAGCTCGCTTGTTGCGCACTGTTGCGCGAATGGCAGTGCAGTTTGTGCAACTGCGGAGTCCTTCGGAAAGCTTCATAAGATATGCATGGGCTGACACGGATGTGGCGGCTATCACAATCTGTAAACGTATGAATAAGCGCATATCACGAGCATATCGTATGCAAGAACAACTCTTTGTAGCATATATATAGAAACCACCTCTTATCGTTAAAACAATTAGATGTTTGCCTAGGTCTTAAGCGGAGTGCGAGAGGTGGTTCAGTGGCATTGGCGTCACCCAACCTACATACGTTTCCTTCCAATGTGGGATCCACACATCGGCACAACCTTGTATTGATCGGCAACTGCTCCACTTATCGCATGTTGTTCCCGTGCACGTCCATTGGCTTTCATCTAGGGTGGTGTCGTCTGTATTGTTTCCTGCTAGAGAAACAACATAGCAGAACTCGTTGAAATTATACCTAGCACAGAGATATACTGGTATTTATACTATGTGAGACTCGCCTCAACGTCGAGACTACTAAACAATATGATACCTTGGTACCTATAAAAGAGAAGCGCCTCGCGATCGTCGCTCCCGAAATTGCACTGCTAAAAAAGAACTAGGCGTTTAGCTGCGGCCTAGCTAATATCATGGTGTTCGGTCAGTTATCTCTATCTACAATTTCTTTTCATAAATTCCCTTTCTGTAAGGCGATCCCGCTCAGCGGACCAGTCCAGCATCTTCGTCGAAATCACGTTGAGACTAAGTCCTTACAAGCGACTAAGAATAAACTTGTAGTCACGTTGGCAAATCCGCCTGTTCAAATTGCCATGTAAGAGGATTTTCAAAGCGCCTACGCCCTAGTTGAGCTATTGCTAGTTCTATAAAAGTACTTTAAGTATAAAAATATTTATAATTATATTAATTTTTTTAAAATAAGTTAAAATAATTGCTAACTATAGTTTTAAATTTTATTATTATTTTTTTATAGTACTAAAAATTAATTTTCTATTTTTTATAACTAATAAGTTTAATGCAAGATTTAGTTATATCTAACAGTTTAAGTATAAAAAAAATTATTTACTTTTTAAGCTTATATAAAGCTTTTACTTTATAATTTTTAGCTTTTATTTGCTATACTTCTAATATATAATAGTAAAATAATTTTTTTTTTTTTACTTATTTTAGTATTAACTTTTTAAACCTGCTTTAGCTAAAACTTTAAAAACTTTTTTTTAATAACTTTATTATAAAAAAAGCCTAGTAGTTTAAAAAAATAAAAAAAAATATAGCTTTAATATAATTTGCCTTTTTTTATTAGAACTATATAATAAGTAAAAAGCTTTTATTTTTTTATATTTATTTATTAATAATAAAAGCTATACTAAATATTAAGCTTATTAAAGTAGCTAAAGTAGCTGCTTTTTACTAGCTACTTTAAAAACTAATTACTAAAACTAAAATTATAAAAAATTATAGCTATATAAACTTTTTTAAAAATTTTAAAAAAATGCTAAAAGTATAATTATATAAGCTATATAGGCTATAAGTGTTAAAGCAATAATAGAAGTTTAAGTAAAAAATTAAATTGCCTTAAAAAAGTAAAAAATTTTTAAAATTAGTATTTAATTAAATACAGGAGCGGAGATTAAGTAACTAAAGTATTATTTTTATTAAAATAAGCTAGTTAAAAAACTATAGTTAAGAGCTACTGCTAGATTACTTTAGGCAGAAGAAATTGAACGCGTACGTTGAGGAGACTTTGAGAACTTTGAGAAGAATTGCCATGTAACACCCAACACACCTTCGTAAATGCATATTGCAGGCCATGTAATCAACGTGTCTTCTATACAATACAAGATCAACATAACTCACGCATCTTGCGTCAGTATACTCCCCTCTATAGCTTCTCCTTCTCTGGCCCTATCGTCTTTTCCGCCTCCAAGGCCGGCTTCTTGTACCCAACAGCCTCCAGCCACTTCGGGTCGATATTCTCCAACTGTATATATGGCGATACATCCGAGTCGGGAAACTTGGCATTGCACATTGCATACCCCATGCCCAGATGCGCCCAAGGATTTTTGTTCTGGTACTCGATGTGAAAATCTTCGTAACGTGGGGTGGCAATGACTTCGGCGTATTGGTTTGAAGAGCCGGGCCAGATAGCTAGAATGAATCGTCAGAATTTGCTCTTTAAGAGAGCGGGGTGGACGCAGCACGTACCGTCAACGCGTCCAGTATCGTTGTTTTTATACCAGGATCTGCATTCGTCTTTCCAGACGCTGTATTTGACCCACTCTTGTGTGTGCTCGTTGAAGCGGTTTGTGATATCCTGTCGTGGTACCCAGGATTTGATGTGGTCGCGCTGCATTTTCTTGATAATTTGGACGGTGTACTCGGCGACTGCAAAAAGGGGGCCGGTTACGGAGCCGTTCTCCACGGGCCTAAATGTCATGGTCAGCTACATACTTTGCGTGATTCGGATGTTGTAAGAATGTATGGGGTAGATGCTTACCATGTAGGGCCAACGGATATGATCCAATTCGGGAAATCCGGACATGCAAGACCAAGATATGATTCTGGCGTGTCCTTCCACTTCTCGGACAAATCGACGCCATTCTTACCGATGACAGGGAATCGTGGGCGGTAATTGACGTGGAAACCAGTTGCACAGACGATGGTATCGACTTCGCGCTCTATACCGTCGTTACCGATGACACCCTTCTCCGTAATCTCGTCCACAGCGGTGAAGTGTACGTCGACGTTTTCTTCCTGGATGGCCTTCATGTATGGATCGCCTGGGGTAATACGGCGACCTTTAATGTTGTCAGTAAGAGCAAACTTCACACTTGAAATTCTCGATGACGTACATCCAACATCGAAATTCGGCATAAACCCCTTTAGCAACCTCTCATCCTTGATAAGACCCTTCATATTTTCTCCAAACATGGTCTGCACCAGCTTTTGCGTCTCACTCTCCGTGTAAAACATACTCCAAGTTGAATTAACCTTATTCTCAATGTCTTTGGCGTGTGCCAACAGCTTTTGGGGATCACTTCGAAACTCGTCGCGCTCTTGTTGTGAGTACTCTCTGCTCTTGCCGAGCATGGTGGAAAAGTCAGCGAGCCAGATACCGGTGCGGACGAAGATATCCATGTGCTTGACATGCGGTTGCATGTTGGGCACTGTTTGGATTGAAGATGCACCAGAACCGATCATGGCTACACGGTCATTGGCCCACTCTTCTTTTTGATAATCCTCTGGCCAAGCTGCGGTGTGAGCAATACGACCTTTGAACCTCTCGATACCTTTGATGGTAGGCCACTTGTAGTTGTTTAGGATGCCAGTGGCGTGGAATAGAAGGTCACATTCCTCTTCGAACACCTTTTCCACTCCAGATGGTGACTTTTGTCGCAGAGTGACTTTCCACTTTCCGGTATCGTCTTGCCATTCTGAGCGAATGACTTCAGTGTTGAAGGTCATGTACTTGCGGAGATCAAACACCTCGACTACTTTCTCGAGATACGTCTGGATTTCTGGTGCGAAGGAGTAAAAGCGAGGCCAATCAGGGTTGAGAGCGAAGTTGAGCGTGTAGGAGTGGGAAGGAATATCGCACGCACAACCTGCAGCAGGTTAGCCCTCTGCCTCTATAGAACAATGGGTCACATACCAGGATATCTGTTCTCAAGCCAGGTTCCTCCAATGTTAGAGTTCTTCTCGTAGATGACATGTTCTACGTTCTCCGTGTTTTTCTGGATATGATACGCGATCTGGATTCCAGAAAGGCCAGCTCCAATAGTTAGGACTTTCAATTTCCTAGATGAAGGGTCCTACATGGGTCATCAGAAAAGTCTCCCAACACGACCTGACGATTTGCACTCACGTTGTACACAATGTTTGGGATGTTGTATCCACTAGATCCAGGCGTCGAATAATCCCATCGGCCATCGCTCCCTAAGTGGTTGATGTCTGGGGCCATTGTATAAGTTTCTCAATCGCAAAGTTACCAAGAAAGTGGAATATGAGAGCTGGACAATCAAGTTTGAGGTACCTACCCGATGAGACACTATAAGCAATGCGGCAGTGTTGGAAGACTTTATCGGCCTTGAATACGAGCAAATGACAAGACCTTGGCCATGATAATGTAGTAACCGTCTTGAGCTGGTATACTTCTCACGTAAGACACTTATGGTGGCCTTGCTCCACAGATTAGCTATAGGACATCAGGTGTTGCTTGGGTGTGGGCCCTACTCGAATATCTTTTCTTCTTATGGTGGCCTTGCCGGGTTCTACGGCTATAACTATTATGCGCCTGAAGCAGGTCGCACTTCTTGATTTTCTTGTACTAGGTTTGATCAAAGCCGCCAGTGAGCCGGTTATTTGAGCAATAGATCCTACTTACATTAACATTCCATATTCTATACAAGTTAATTGCGCTATCAGCTTCGTGCAACTATAACTTCGTTGTATAGTACTATTCGCTATGATCATTCAGTCAAATAACGCCTCGAATCGCCTTGCGCTAAACTAGCGTTTCGCCAGATCCACAGGGCCTTCTCCACCAAGTCACACCACGATCTCTAAAGGGAAAACCAGAGCCTCGATATCAGACCATCTATGCGCACTTAATATAGTGGCACGAAAGGATACTCCCTCCCAAAGTAACGCCCTTGTATGTGATCAACCTTGTTGGTCTGCGTGCGGGGCTGTTGCGGGGTCGCATCTATGTAGGTAAGTGAGCTTGGAACGCCGAAACAGACACAAGATGTAATGAGCGCCTACGCCCTGGTAGAGCGCTAAGGTCTTCAGTCCCAAGTTTTGGAGTTTATAAACAACGGAAGTGAAGAAATTAGTCATAATTGTGTTGTCGTTGCAGACGCTAATGCTGGAGATTGCTGCAAGTATATGGGGCGAACCTAACAAGTCGCGATTGGAGGAATAATATTGTGAGCGCCTGCGCTCCATTGTTGCTTGTTGAAATATCGCTGGCCTGAGCTTACTCCCGTAAGAAAATAGGTCGAAACGTACCTCTCGAGGTAAACGAGACGGCAATGGTTCTACTACAAGAAATCTGGACAATCCAACACCGCGTAACACTACTACGGCCGACCCACAATAAAACTGGACAACGGGACAATGATTATCCAACGCACGGGAATATGACTCATCGTGGATGGAGCCGTCATGATAAGATATGCACCTATACATCGTATCGCCGACGTGAAAGCGGATCCGTTGAGAGTCGGGGTTGGAGGTGACGGTTGCCCATCCTCTTCTGAAACAGTCAGCCGCCGTTAATATTATCATTATGTCTTCCGTTGGTTTCACTCCTTTGATTCATAAGAGAATTTCCAAAACGCCTGCGCCCTAGTTGAGCTATCGCTATTTACTCCATTAACTTATTATATCTCACGCGCCGTCATCTCATCTTTCCATCGTACATTTAGAAAGTGGTAACGATGATTGTCGCAAGCTGAAAAATGATGACTTGGACTGAAAGATAGCCAACCCCATTTTTTGCTCCCGAAGGTTATTGGAAACAGCAGATAGCAAAGGTGATGAATGGCTAAAGCACGCATCTTCCAAGGGTAGCCCACAGTCACGCCAATGGTTCAGGTAGGAGACTGCGCCAATTCTTGTAACAGTGGTAGGAGCGATGATAAAACCCTGGGAGCATCCCAAAATCACGCCAACATTAATCACGTGCTAACGCGTTCACGTTCCGATGCTTGCGCATACGTAAATACCGGCCCCGCACCAGGTACTATAACCTTGTGTTCCTCCCACTTAACAGCATACTCATCAGCCTGTTCACGATGCCGACTAGGGAACTCTATAGGACTCCTGCGTTCGATAGGCGCAAACTGAAACAATCATATATCATTGATTACACATACAAGTGCCCAACTAGTGAGGAAATCGAGAGTGCACGGCAGGATGTACTCCAGTAAGGACTCTCCTTCGGGTATTAGGCACCAAAACTGACACGCCAGTTCGCTCGAGAAAAGGAAAGATATTGCCGGATGGGTACGCGCGAACCGCAGTGCAATCCGACGAGTTCCGAGCGATCAGGATAGGCGCAAGCCTAGCCGTCAGAATCTGATCTACTCCCAGGTCTATGATCTAGCCTACAAGCACGTTATCACTCCCTCTTTTGTACAGCATGCGTGTAGGACGCTGACAAGTTCTACAGGGAAGTGAAAGAGGCGATCAAAAGCTACGCCCAGTGCTGCTGCCGTGAACTTATCGCAAATGTGGCCCGCTTTCTTCCTATCGAGTTGAGGATGATGATCTTCGACTTACTCACCTTTCAACCCAACATGGTGATTCCAGGCGAGCACAGAGCCCACTACCAAGGGTATATAGAATTCGAGCCGTACCAAGGTGCTATGGAGGTCACCAATCTGATCAACAGCAAGTACTTTTTGACGTCCTCCTTCATGGGCCCACTGGCAAAAGAGGTCATCGAAGCCTTCTTTAGGGTCAACAGATTCCACATCTACGATTCATACAACCTAGGGGCGTACACCGGGCCAGTATCGATTCACTGCTCCACCAATGAGGCCATCGTTCCGACCCATTCTATACGCCACATGGTCGTTGTCCTTCGTGGCGACATGCGCGATACATGCATCGAGGCTAAAACGCGCAAGATGCGATATGGGCAAACCAGCCGTCGTTTCGGACTAAGACCTACGAAGGAGCTTTGCGAGAGCCTCGAATTACTGCTTACGAGCAAGCGGCCTCGAGGACTTCACCTTGAAATCCCCATCTTGGCGAATGATGGAGAACGACTTGACGACATCCTGGATACATTGAAGGGGACACGACATCGCTTGATCGCAGCTGGCGTCCATGTTCGAGTCACTAGTCAAAACTACGAACAACTGTGGTATCCGCAGTGCCTTGACGCTTACTACGGTTGCGCAAAGGAAGACTGGTACGCGATACTCGCTGCGCATCGCAGAGTCACTCCTGTACGTCGAGGTGAAAGTGAAGGTGAAAGTCCAAGTCCAATTCCACAGACTGGAGATGGGCGAAGGGGTTATTCCTGGGCCAGAGGCATTGTTTAGATATTCTGTTACTTCGGCCTGCCTGGTAGCTTTAACCCAGCCTAGGGCTAGAACGCGTTTGGCACGAACAGAGTAGCGACAACACCTGGCGTGGAGCTTTCTTCACTCGTCATATCAGCGTCTCTGACCAGCGCTTAGGCTAAAGTGGCATATACACATCCAAAACATGGGATGGATACAAGAGGGAAGCACTCAAGCACTGAAAGGAGTATGTGCATTAAATTTGAGGGCGGCAAATTGTTTGTCTAAATATACAAGTTTAGACCCTTTGAAAAAAAGTATCCATATCAATGTAAATTGCTCCTTTCAAGCAATTAGCTCCTAAACAACATCAATCCTGCCTCCTCAGCATCAACCCCATCATCCTCCTTCTCACTTTCCACATCCTCGGCTTCTCCAAGTGCTAGTCTCTGGCCAAACAAACTGCTGAACAGATCTTCCCTCTGCCTATCTCCCCATTCGCCCCTCTCTTCTGGCGCCATAAAATTCTGCAACTTCTCTTGCACTGTGTAGCGCAATCTCCTTCCCTTGCTTGCCTTCGTATCAACCACTTTCTTGGTCTTGGCTTCACGCGCAACCTGCCATGGAGCCTGGACTACGAATTCTGCAGTGCCGTTGGCGTTGAGGTCTGCGGAGCGCTGCTCGAGAAGCTCCTTCAAGAGGAGGCCATAGAAATCGGCGTCGTCGTAAATTGCCGGGTCGGGTTGAGGGGCTTTGGTTGAGGATTGTAGTGGCGCACACGAGCGTGGTGTTTGGGTGCGGGTTACTAGGTGTGAAGATGTAAGTTGCGCGTCGAGAACCTCGGTGAGCGTTTGCTGTGCGGAGGCGTTGAGGCGCGCTTTGTTGTTTGTCACAGTTGTGGCTTTTGTTTTGTTGGACCAGCGCTGCAGGACCGCTTTGCGGTGTGGGATTGTGGAGGACTCTGTGCTTTGTATTTGGGACCAAATCTCAGACGACGAAGCGTTAGAATCGAATAACGTGCGTTTGCGCTTATGACCAGTTCGGGCCTCTTCCAGGGATATACGGAGGTCGGTGAGGTTGTTGAGGAGGGTCAAAGCAGCTGTTTCGGCGGCTTCAATAGATGATTTCGACGCAGGCTCTGCCTTGTAGGGCTCCGCAACCATGGAGTTAGTCGAGATTAATGCCTTTTGTAACCGAATGCGGGTGTTGAGGAGTGAATCGAAAGTCTTTCGCTGCGTCTTAACGGCCTGTCCTTTGGCGACATCGGATTCGGCCCCAGCAGCGAGCGTGGAGGTAAAGGATTTGCTGTCCTTCATGAGGTCACGCACCGCAGATGCGCCAGCCTTTGAGTCATCCTCAGAATCGTCGTCGTCTGAATCTTCGAGATTATCCTCTTCGTCCTCGCTGCCCATCTCTTCGTCTTCGTCGCTGATATCCTCATCAAACTCCTCATCCAGACCTTCCACTTCACTCCCATCTTCTCCATCAATTCTTAGTCCATTCAAGCCATCTTCCTCTTCACTACTCGCTTCGCTGTCGTCTTCGTCGAAGCCTTTGGCGAACGGGTCGTCGCTGTCGCTATCCTCAAGCTCTTTCCTACTGACCCCGCGTCCTGCGTACTCTGGTCCAAGCGGCACCTCTTTCGCTTTCCTCAGCTTGCTCTTGCCGACAGCTGTGTAATGTTCGCGCCCCGCATTCTCATCTTCAGCAGCGGAGGACTCTGCATCGGAGCGCTCGTCTGAGCTCGAGCTTGGTGCAGGATCGAGGAGAGACTCAGGGTCGAAGTCTATTCGCGGTTTAGCGACATTAATGCGCAGATGCATGGTACTTACCGTTGATCTTCGACTTCTTCATCTTGGCTCTCTTGGAGGGTGTCGTGAACCTGGCAATGGTGGTGGAGGAGAAAGTTCGCTTTTGCGCCCCACAAAAAAGTTCGAGCAGAGTCGGCGTTTCAATTTGACCGATGCGCGTCACCTCTCCTCCGCAATCAACTCCGCAACTAACGTCTGTACAACACGATGCGATGTTGAAACCGCGATTGTTCTCTACATTACGGTGCTTGCAGCATGAGAATCCTTTGGTCAGTCTTAGCATTTCTTTAATAAAAAAAGCATTATGAGAATCAATGGCTGACGATAGCTTACAGGGCCTCCCGCGCTCAGGCGCACCTCCGCAAATACCGCGCATGCAACGAGGACTACCACAGAAGAGGAGCATAAAAGATGTCAAGAAGGTCATTGCGGTCTCATCGGCGAAGGGTGGTGTAGGAAAGAGTACGATTGCTGGTATAGCCTCTCGGGAAAGCAGTCCACAAAGTATAGAATGCTAATAGACATGATGCTAGTAAACCTCGCCCTCTCCTTCGCACGTCGAGGGTACCGCGCCGGCATCCTCGACACCGACATCTTTGGACCCTCAATACCCACCCTTCTAAACCTTTCCGGGGAACCACGACTATCAGCTAGTTAGTCCGTGCTCCTGCCCAGTCGATCCACATCTCCTGACGCATCTACCATCAGACAACCAGCTTCTACCCCTCTCGAATTATGGCCTCAAATCCATGTCGATGGGCTACCTCATACCCGAATCTTCTCCCGTAGCATGGCGCGGGTTGATGGTCATGAAAGCTTTACAACAACTTCTGCATGAAGTGGACTGGGGCGGCCTGGATGTGCTGGTTCTGGACATGCCGCCGGGAACGGGGGACGTGCAGCTCACCATCACGCAGCAGCTTATTCTAGATGGCGCCATCATTGTATCAACGCCACAAGATCTGTCACTCAAGGACGCCGTGAAAGGTGTCGAGCTTTTTCGGAAGGTCAATGTCAACCTACTCGGCCTGGTCTGTAACATGGCGGGATTCAAATGCCCAGGCTGTGGTGAGATGCACGAAGTGTTTGGTAACATGGACAAGATCAGGAATATGTGCGGCAAGTACGATTTGAAGATGCTAGGCGAGATACCCCTGCACGCAAGTATCAGCGACGATGCAGATCGTGGAAAGCCGACCGTCGTGGCGGAGCCGGAGGGTGATCGAGCGATAGCTTTCAGCCAGATCGCGCAACAGGTCGAAGGTTTGATTGGATTGGAACAGTGATGTATGAGAGGTTGGATGTAATCTGACTTGGATAGACGTGTCGCCCTATACATCTCCAGTTATCTCAATTGCGGTTGGCACGTTCAAATCCATTGTGAGGACAGCTTTATGCTGGGTAGATTCTTTGAGGTTGATACCTTCAATCTTGACTTGAATATAGTCTCCTCTGACCACGAGCAGTGATACATGGATCGATTGCACCCGCTCTTGTACCTATGGCGGATCTTTTGCTGTTTGGCGTTTTCAGTTTCTTTTAGTCGATATTGTACTCCTGGCCACACTAAGTCCATCAACCTTCCGAGAGACCTGTTTAGCGACTGTGAGGTTAGCGATCTTCACGCACGTGCTGGTGGTAATGTGACCTCGGTATCTTCCGTTGCTGATACTGTTGGGATACTTTGGCCATGAAACTATTGCTTTTGTTTGGCATTCTGCCCCGCGTCAGCGTCCTAGGTTCCAATACGCGATAGTGCAATCACCTATTTAGGCAGGTATCATCTCAGGGTCATGGAATGCTGCCTGGTCTCTGTCTATCTAGACTGTGGACGGACGAGGGGCAAGTGCAGCCGAGCAGCGTCGTGTTTCACGTGTTGATCCTCAAACGCAACCCGTCACCTCATCCCTGTCCCCACACTCCCGCGCTCCCCTCCCCACATTTCCTTTTCACCCTCCCCGCAAGATTCGCTCCAACATTAGTTTTGCGGAACTACACTGATGGACCCTAGACTGGCGATAGATCAACAGATAGGCCTAGGGCATTGGCGCTTTCAATCATGTCTTCGCAATACAACGATGGACTTGTGACCCGCACAGCCCGACTACAAAGGCATCAGCATTCCTCTAAGAGTGGTTAACGACATTTTGATACTTCATAATTTTTCCGAGAGGAGACAAGGCTAAAATCGACACGACTCGCAAATATGCTACAATGTTTGCCTCAGAACATTTCTTCGCGTTGTGACAATGGAGCCCTTGTTTCGCAGCACCGTTTCATCCCTCGCTGCACAGTCGTCTCGCGTTTCACGAGACACATCCTAGAACTATCCAGTACTATTTCTTTAAGCCAGGCCCTTCAATCATGCCTATTTTATAATTCGTAAATTGACTATCGTTCTCTCACATCCTCAAACTCCTCCTATATTCTTTACACTTCCACTCAGTATCCAGCATGAAGACCGCAGTCGGGCTTACCCTGTTGAGCAGGGCTCTCGCGCTAACGAATGAGAAACTCGAAGTCGTCGGTCAAAAACCCCTCCTTCACGCATGCCCTTCAGACTCAATACTCCAAAAGGGCGAATGCCAGGACGCAACCTTCGGCTCTTCTCACGACATCATATCCGACGTCGCCTTCCGATCAAACATCTCTCAATTTCAGCAGACACTAGAAGAATCCCGGAAAAAAGCCTCACAAGTCAAAGACTTCCCATGGACCTTTTGGCCAGAATGTTTCTCGAACGAGAACACCACAGACCCGTACTGTGTCTTCACCGACCAGTCCTTTGCTTCGGGTCGCGGCATCTTCATCATCACTACAAAAGACCTCGCATATGACATGCTAGAACACGACGCATGGAGACGGCCAGAGACACTCTCGCGGGTCAACAAGTACGACAGTCCGCCCTTTGTGACACACGAATTCCCCGGCAAAGGCCGCGGCCTCGTCGCGAACAAAACCCTGCACCGCGGAGACCAGATCTTCGCCTCAACGCCTATCCTCATCACCGACTCAGGCGCATACGACCTCTCTGAAGCCGAGCGTCTCGCACTACTCTACCGCGGCGTCGACACGCTGCCACCCGCCTCGCAAAAAGTGTTCTGGGAGCTGTTGGGCCACTTCAACGACGACCCAGTCGACGACAGGATCAACACGAACAACTTCGACGTGTCCATTGACGAAGAGGCTCAAGCTGCCGTATTTCCTGAAATCGCAATGCTGAACCACGATTGCAGACCGAATGCGGCGTACGCTTTCGACGAGCGGACCATGACGCATTATGTCCACGCGGTACGGGACATCATGCCCGGCGAGGAGATCACAATCACGTACATTGACAATGAAATGGAGCGCGCAAGACGCGTGAAGAAGCTCAAGAGGAACTGGGGTTTTGACTGTAGCTGCAGCACTTGCACTGCGCATCCCTCTCTGGTGTCTGAATCTGACACTAGGCTCGGTGAGATTGCAGCTCTCTCCACTATCTTGGACGACTGGACGATTGATTCTGAAGCCACCCCGGAAGCCGCTGAGCTTCTCATCTCGCTATATGAGCAGGAGCGCCTTCATGCTAATTTGGCGACGGCGTATAAGCATGCTGCGGAGGCGTATAGCAGTTTTGGCAAGAAGTGGGAGGCGATGCGGTATGCGAGGTTGAGTGCGGAGATGAGCATGTTAGATAAGGGCTTTGGCGATTCGGATGTGAAGGAGATGCGGGAGATGAGCTTGAGGCCTGAGTTGAGCTGGAGCTGGAAGAAGCGGGTTGGTATGGGAGGCAAATCATGTGGGTGTGGACATGGCCATTGATCGGTGTTGGAGAACAAACATTTGTACAAATTATCATAAGGAGTTCTGGAGTTGGTTGGGCTAGTTTGTTGATAGTGCTCGCTATGCGAGAGAGGAAGCCGGTACTCTAGATGAATTACCTTGGCTAGATAGCATATGGAGATATCCCTTTGTAAAATGGTATGTATACGATTACTCTAGTACTCCATTGACTCTTCGAACAAATTCCTCAACTGCTCTCTCTCCTCATCGATATTCTGCGTGTCTAAACTCGGTGCGAGCATCAGCACTCGCGCCTGCGGAATGGTGCCCTCAACAAGCTGGTCTAGATGCTCATTTCCGAAACCCAGGTGTTTCAAGCCTCTCGGCTGATCTCCAAGCTTGATCAAAAACTCCGCGAGTGCTTCGCTCAACACCTCACCGGCACTCTCCCTCTTAACGTTTGAAATGTCCACACCGAAGGCCTCCGCGGCTGCCAAATGGCGTTCAGGATTCGACGCGCCTGTGAATTTGAACACTGCTGGTGCAGTTACCGCGACGCTGACGCCATGCGGGATAATTGTGTGGTCTACGTTGTAGCCAGCATGTTTATAGCCAGGGTTCTGGCCAGAAATGGGATACGACATGCCGTGGCAGAGATGCACACCTGCGTTGCCGAAACCAACACCAGCAAGCGTTGCGGCCAAGAGCATCTGCGATTGCGCTTCGTGGTCCTCAGGGTCTTTGACCGCGCGTGGGAGGTACTTCACTGTATCTCTCAATGCTTGGAGGGAAAAGATGTCCGAGATTGGATTTGCGCCCTGATATGCCGGGCGGTTGATGGGATTGGTAGGGCGTGGTACACGCTCGTAGTAGGGGATTGCAGTCCATGATTCGAGGGAGTGACAGAGGACATCAAGGCCTGAGGACGCGTGGACTGCGGATGGCATAGTGCGTGTATTCAGCGGATCGACTATGCCCAAAGTAGGCTTCAAGTTGCGATGTGCGATACCAGTTTTGGCACGCCTAGAGACGAGATCGAAGATGGCAGTCCCCGTTGTTTCAGAGCCAGTGCCTGCAGTTGTCGGAACTGCCACGAGCGGAAACAGTTTCCCAGGAATTGGCAGGCCCTTGCCAAGGGGAGCGTTGACGAAGTCGAGAAAGTCTGCTTCAGGGAAGGATGTGTAGAGGTTCATCAACTTGGCTGTGTCGATTACACTGCCACCACCCACAGCCAGATAGGCATCTGGCCGCCACGGCTTCGCGAACTCAATGGCTTCCTTTATGCTGCTGTCCTTGGGCTCTACCCTGACCTTGTCGAATACCTCGTACTGCACGCCTTCTTTTTCTAGCCCATGTATGACCTGTTTCATCGCATCTAGCTTGCGCACATTCTGATCCGTGACCACCATGACTCTCTTGCTACCCATATTCTTGAAGTCCATGCCGACCTCCTTTGTGCACCCTGGTCCAAAGCGGATCGATGAAGCGGCCATTTCGAAGGCATATTCCTTTTGCTGGCTGTGGTCAAGAGGCGTGGCAAGGTGTCGTCGCGCTTGCTGGACAGTGGACGGTGTTTGGTTGTGGTAATTGGAGTTTGAGTGACATGGACACGATGGTGGATGAGTGAATTGGACGGTGCGCAGAAGATTCACAGCGCGAGCTGCCCGTGAGGGAGCTATGCGGATTGCCGTTGATATCGCCATGTTGTATGCGCGCAGAGGAAGGAGCTATCAGAGGAAGGAACGCGCGGTGCGGGGGTGTATGTAGTAGTTGCGCAGGCTGCTCAATGGCGCTTCCAATGCTCCTAGCTCCCTCTATGCAAAAGGGCATTTGAACGATGTCTGACGTAGCAGAGTATAATGAAGTGCCGGGCGAAACGCGACCTCGGATGAAAGTCGCGCCATCCACATTGGGTATGCCGAAGTGTGGGGTAAACGAATGCCATCCCGGGGAGCCAGCCCGCATGTAGCTCCTAGTACCACAGTCCTAATTGAAAAACTGCTGCCACAGGTAACAGACTATCGTGGTTATGTTCAATTCTTGTTTCTTAATTCCTGAGATGTGGTATCGGGCTTCCAGTTAAACAGTTATATGGAAGTCGGTCTTGAAAATCTAGAATCAGCCGTAACACTCGATAGAGCGGTCCACATGGACAAATCAGTCCTAATGTTGAACTAGTAAGATGGTTTAGGGAGGCAAGTGTAATTATCTTACATTTTCAAGGTTACTTGGGTTCTCCAAGTGCTCTTCGCACTGTTGGCAAACATTTTCTCCCTCCAAGTAGTCATAATACTATTGGCTTTTCGAATCCCTACTCAGTGATATGTAAAGTGGGTTGATGACTTTTAAGCAAGTTATCTCAAGTCTTGTTATCGAAACCATAGGTAAGGCACGAATTGTAACTACTCAAGTCATTGTAGTGCTACCGTACGCAGAGGGGCTTCGGAACTGCCTTGGACAACTAGTACAGTATAGACCACATATGTTTAAAAACGGTAGTAGGCTAGGACTAGTTTAGAGTGCTCTATATACCTGTCGGCCTTAGCCAGATAGTGCTGCGATAGACATACAGATTGTCAGAACATGGCGCGCTAGCAGGCACGTGCGGGCTTCTACTGGCTAGCCTAGATCCAGCGCTTCGACAAGGCGATCCCTTTAGGCTGGTGCTCCACAACCTGACAACCTTGGAATGGTTTCCCCAGGGGAGGTCCGGAGAAGCTTGACATGTACTCTTTTGAAACATGTGAGTGGCAGCGGCCGTGCATCAACTAATCACAAGTCATTCGCTAGACACTATCAACGGGTACCTACGATAGAAGTTCACGATCGCGGGTACAATCCTCGTACATCCCTCGTCCATCGCCTAACACGCGGCATCGCAACAAATCGCACCACGACCTCTAAGAAGACATTTACCCCATCAATCGAACAACAGGCCATAGTGAAGCTCTGTCGCACGCAGAATGTCGTCGTTTCGGCTCGTCCAGGCGCAGGAAAGACGGCCACAGCTGAAGCTATCGTTGCCGCCAACCCAGGCCGACCCATAGCCATCATTACCTACTCCAAACGCCTGCAACTTGATACCGCGCGCCGCTTGGAGACCTATCCTGGGAATGATGTCCTCACATTCCACGGAGTGGCCGGTCAGCTGTTCTCAACTATTGTGCCTAACGATTCCATCTTGAGCTCCTTGAGGAGAAAAGGAGCCGTACCCGCCTGGACTGGTAAGCCGTACGAGATCGTAATCCTGGACGAGCTGCAAGATTGCACCGACGACCTGTTTTGGCTGATATGCGCCTTCATATCGGCTGTGACCGACGCAGCGTGTGGCAGGGCTCCCCAGATAGTCGTGCTGGGTGACGAACGGCAGGCTATCTACGGGTTTAAAAAGGCCGATTCACGCTATTTGAGTCTGTCTTCCTCCGCCATGGCCACCCTCTCGCACTACATGTGGACACACGTGGCTTTGAGCAAGAGCTTTCGCCTTAGCCATGAAAACTCGGCGTTTGTCAACAACGTGTTTCTCGGGGGCGAGCAATACATCATCGGCTCCCACAGCGGGCCGAAACCACTATACCTGCATGGAAACGTTTTCGACCCAGTGAGCTTCACCCGACATCTACTGCCACTTATCCACCAGTACGGGCCTGAGCGCACAGCCATCCTCGCCCCGTCCGTCGATAGAAATAGGCCACTTGCGTTGCTCACAAACTACTTATCTGAGGTACACGGCATACCGATTGCTGAGCCCATCTCGGATGAAGTACAGCTAGAAGATCGAGTCTTGCAGGGCAAGATATGTGTGAGCACCTACCACCAGTTCAAAGGAAACGAGCGCGACCTGGTCATCGTTTATGGCGTTGATGCGAGCTACTTCAAGTTTGTAGCTCGCGACCTTCCAGACGATACGTGCCCGAACACCACCTTTGTAGCTCTCACTCGTGCATGCAAACATCTTGTTATAGTACATCACAACCAAAACAGCATAATGTCCTTTGTCGACGTTGCAGAACTTTACAAAACAACCAATTTCGTCAACCTCAACTATCATAGGAAGATGCTAGAATCTAACCCCCCGGGCCGCCCACTGCAACTAGGCCTGCTTCTCTCAAAGACAGTTTCCGCCTCGGAATTGCCGCGCCATGTCCCCGATGAGATTATTGACGACATATGTGCGCGACACCTGCAAATCAACCAGACTCAGCCGTCCCTCCCAATTGCACAACATATCAACGCCCCAGCCATAGTCATTAGCGACCCCACCAGAGGCCACTACGAGGCTGTAAGCGACCTGAATGGGCTTGCCGTGGTAGCAGCGTACGAATATGCCTTACTAGGTACTCTTACCACTCTTGAAAGACCCAAAGCATCGTTGCTGGGATTCCCTTCCAACACCAATGCGCAAGCAATTTGGCTCTGCCGTGAGGCCTGTGAGTACAATGCTCAGGTGTCGGGGTACAAAGCCCGGAAAGTACAGATGAAAGGGCACCGTTTCGACTGGCTTGGATCATATCTCGACGCAGCTAGGGATCGGCTAGAAGCCCAATTTCCTGAAACGGCCGTGGTGGACTTCGAAGTCCAGTTGAAAGAAAAGAATTTTCGTGTAGCTAATCCCTTGGGAGGTGAGGACCAGATTACCGACCTATATGGGCGAGCAGACATTGTCCAATTTGAGGGAGCTTTACATACATCCGCAGCAAAGCTGAAAAGGAGAAAGGCGAAACGAAGCCTGGGGAATATTAATTCGGATGGAGTGTCGATCTGGGAGATCAAATTCGTTACCCAGTTATCACACCATCATGTCATCCAGGCCTGCGTCTATGCCTATCTCTGGACCAAAAAACACAAGCCAGACATACTTCCCCAAATCATCCTCTTCAATGTCCGTGATGGAGAGAAGTGGGAGGTTGTACCGCGTGATGGCGTGGCCAGCTTAAGGGTTGTGGTAGAGGAGATGTTGATTGCGAAGTACTCGACTAAAGATACGCTGACGACGGATGAGTTCTTGAAGAAATGTGCAGACACAAAGGCCGAGGTTGAAGAAAGCTATGGAAGGCTGGATAGGGGATCTCACTGTGTGGACATGTAGTATAACATATTTGTATTTGTTACAGTCCAACTTGTAAAGATGGGAACACCCATAGTCAAATTCAACGTGTAAAAGTACAGGAGCGTCTGTTTATGGATCAATAGAGGAGTGCGAATCGCCCCACTTGTCGCCCAAACCTTCTCTTGAAGTACTGCTTTCCTTTCCATTCCAACCCAAACCATGAGTCGTCCGCGACCTCGGATGACAGTCGCGCCATCCGCATTGGGTATGCCGACTGTGGGGTAAACAGATGCAACCCGGAGAGCGAGCATGTCTAGCCTCACGGGCTTGGTCTTGGGCGTAATTGAGCCTCCATGCTGTACGCGTGTAGAGCGCTAACTAGGAGCACACACATGGACGTCTCCATGGAAAGAGTGCTGGTCGCCTTATGTTGCTTAAAAACTTTCTTTTGACGTACGACACCCTTTTCCCTGACAGACCAAAACATACGCCAACCGGAAATCCCAAATTCTTCACCAGTCTGGATGTTTCTTCTTCTGTTGCAAACCCTGGTCTGCATCGCTCTGAATGGCTCAAATCTCACGCATACCGAGCTGGTGGGAAGCGCCCGTCTCTTGTCCACTGCTTACGCATCACACCCCTCCAACGAGACAAAGCTACGCTAGAGGCGCCCGCCTTCAGACCTCCACTTGACTTGTTTGACCTGTTTGAACATGCACAGTACAGCGACCACTACTCGTTGGTACATGCTCATGAGACTGTATCGTATCGTTACCGGCTCTCTCTCTTGCTATCCTTGATTACCGTGCACTTTTTCCAACTCGACACCAACTACAAAGCGACATCGACACGGCCACACAACAGGGTTGGCACAAATTTAGTAATTAGTAAATTACTATCTAGGTTTAGTGGTTTAGTGGTTTAGTGATTTAGTGATTTGTGCCAACCATGCGACACGGCTGTATTGTCACACATGAGCATCCACACGACTATCATCCACACGACTATCATTTCGATGCTATCCGTCTGGGCGAAAAAAGAGGCACAGCAACAAGATAACAATGGCTGAACGGCCGGGTTGCCACAAATGGATTCCTGGTTGTACGATTGTACAATTGGATCTTATCGCATCGTGATTGAAGCCCCTGGCAAACGGACAGGCCAACTGGGCGGCTTGAGGTGGGTTTGAGTTGACTCCTCACACCACATGGTCGCCTGCATAGCCACCCAAGGCTTGTCGCAACCCACCAATTCGAATCGCATATCGTGAAGGAGAGTAGTACCACGCACACGCTGCCAGGATATCACGGTCCTTTTTGGTTTCTCTATACCGATGAGAGGGCCAATGAGCGCCTACGCAGATCAAAACCCCTGCACCTACGTACGTACGAAATTCTCCGATGAGATCCGGGCGTCACTAACGCGGAGCGTTTAGATGAAAAGCCTACTGGGTGTGTGAAATGTCAAATCAAGCTGTCCAACACCTTTCCCACCATTCACACAAGAGGACTATGACCTGGTACCGTCACCGAAACCCACCTAAGCAACGCAAAATTGGACTAATAAACACTGTACTGGTGCCTAATACTAAAGCGGGTATTGCTTGTCTCCTTCCATTCCCTTGCCATGTTGCTCGGACCCCCTACGACCCCGCAACAAGAACGAGCCGAAACTTTATCTGCTGTCTCTTTGTGCAGGATATCCTCCGACTGTGGTTTTCATCCGCGCTCCTGAATATAATACGACTGGCCGCCACTGCGGCTGAGTTCATTGTCACTTGTGCCGTACTGAACGCCTGGGTATACACTGCGGGCCCTTTACCGGCAGTATGGATAGCTCGTTTTGGCTGATGCCCAAGGTTTGATCACGGGAGATGATATACCCCGACATACGTCCTTACTAGTGTGCTCATGAAACCCCTCGTCAATACCTCTCCTCTTCTTATCGTAAATTCTCCGTCATGACTCTACAGCTTTGCATCCGTAGTACGCGAGAACGACAGCCCGACCCGAAGGGAAATACGCGAAGTATACTCAGATTGAGCGAGGTTCCGGATTCACCTGCCTCTGTTGGAGCCATCTGTGAGGCTGTTGAGCTTGATGGACGTCCCTGTAAGACTACGCTGCCGCCGAGCGCATGCGACCCTTGGTGCAGCGCGCACCATAAAGAATGGGTGGAACTCAACATGCGATGGAGCAAGGTTCACACAGAAGCAGAGCAACTGGCAGTTACAGGTGTGAGCATCGCGAAGCAAAAGGTTTCCAAGCTCCGTTTATCTGTGGATCTTCGGCGTCAGATTCGCGATAGGTTCTACCCACACGGTGGCGACCTTCAAGATTACCTCAAGTGGCTAGGCAAGCTGGAGAACGATGTCAGACAACTCGCAGATATGCTTCTGAGTATGGCGACTCTTACAGCTTCGAATTATACTAACGCGCATGGCAGTGCAGAACCTCAACCGCGGTCCAACTCCAGAAACTCCAGGGGTTCACACTGGGACCCCCCATCCGGACAAAATCGATTCGGGGGAAAAGATAATGATTCTACAATCTCCACTGGACCCAAGGATTCCCATTACTTCGTTGCGAGGCATCATGCCAGATGATGGGACCATCCTCACTCTCAAACACTTTTATCTAGAACTCTGTGCTGACATCATTCGCCGTCTATACTACATCGCTCCCGCCTTGAACGACTCACCTGTGCGATATGGCTCTCCCAATAGGAACAATCAGTGTACTCCCGATCATGGCACTGATATCATCCGCGCTTGGTTTCGCATCATGGTGCTTAATGACAGCGAAGCTACGACTCTTCAACATGCGACCAGGTCGAGAGGCATCAACGATTTCTTGATGGGCTGTCAAGCAAGCCAGCTGGAAATGTACTGCGACTTCTTTGAGAAGGCATGGCGCCCTCATGCTGTTCAGTACTTACGTGTGGCGATCTGCGCCCAGACACTTACTGATAGTGACATCAAGACCATCCAACTCCTCGGAGGCACGATACCGAGTACGATTGAAGGACTCCAGATGACGAAGGCATGTTGGGACATACTGTAAGTCAGACGCAATCCACGTAGGGTATTTCTGACCTTTATAGCTATCGCTGGTTTCCCACACTGTTGACTCCCTGGACTATTGCAGGCATCTGCTCCAATTTCGAAGATTATACCACCATATGCAAGTTACTTATGCTAAGGCTATACAATGATGATTGGTACGACCCAAAGAGTGTTCTAGGCGATTGTGCGACAGGCGTATACATGGGCTTTATTCCGATAAGCAAAGGAGATTTCTCAGCGAATGCAGGCTTAAAACAAGAAGGGGAATTCTGGGTGGAACGACAATCACGTAACTATTTATGCGGCCAGATGGCCATTGGCCAGCCGTTCACGCAAGTGTTTCTTGACGAGCTCCAAAGACGAACCGCAACTTTATACCTAGTCGTTTACGAAGGAACGCATGCGGACGCCACGGTACATCCGACCGAACCCGATCTTTTCATCAGCCGTCATCGTTCTTCCTTGTCGCTTGACGAGCTAGACAAGGAAGATTTCACCACGACTCTCACTTTAGAAGATGTCAAGAACCAGCTACGAATGAGGAAGACGTCCATGTATGATCCGATTGTGGTCGATTCATGGCAGTTCATCATCATCGACCGCGAACCAGGCCTCCCATTCCAGCTCATAGATATCGTGCAGGATACACTACTAATGCTCGCTGGAGACCCATCCCCACGTCAAATTTCAAAGCGCGTCATTCGCGAAATCATACCGCCATCCGTACAAGAGAGCTTCCTTGAAGATATCCAAATCGAGAGCTCCTTTGATCTCCGCTACCCACCTCCTATGGAAGTACAATATGAAGGCAATAGGTACCGATGTTACGATCCGGATCCTGTGGTCCTCGCCACGTATCAAAACAAGATGGTTTCACAACGGAGATCACGGGATGACAACCGCTTCATTCGACGAGTCATCGAGGACATGGAGCGATGCGGCATCATCAGTATAGCACCAGAACACGAAGATTCACAAATTCGCCCCATCATCGTCCAGGGATCAGATGGCGCTCCTGATCTGTACTTTTCTTACGAGCCGAGCGACCCAACAGTAGAGGACGAGCGCACTCCAATCCTGCCATTACCAAAAGCAACATGTCTACTAGATTTCGCAAAGTCATATAAGCAGAAATACCCGAACGCGATCATGGCGAAAGGGACAATACAAACACATTACTGCGCATGGCCAATGCCAGCAATCAAAAGCCTGGGGAGAGGCGGGCTGAGTTTCCAAACATGGGAAGGGCATGTGTACCGATGGAATGCTATGCGTAAGTCTTGATATTACCTCCACCTTTGGAGGCTTCTGTTCACTGATTCACTTTGTTTACTGACATTAATCTAGCGTTTGACCGGCTCGACTCGGCCAACGCATGGCAATACTACATCCAGCACTACGTCAATTCGAAATTTCCCTTCGTCATGATCTACCTCAACACATTCGTCATTTGCGCGACAAACAAAGAAGACGCCGACGACAATTCGGAAATCATTCTCGACGAGATGGAAGATCGCGGGTGGAGAGCTTTCCTTCCTCTTACGCATAGTTGGACCACGGATATAGATGAGCTCAAACTTGAGACATTGTTTAGCGGAGTTAGACCAGCTTAAGACTAGATTCTGTCACGTATGGACGATAGAAGAGAGATGCGACGGCACGGATTGGTGGGTTTGAGCTTTGGATTTACACAGTGTAGGTGTAGGCGGAATATCTCACGTATAGCGTTTGGCGATGCATTAACCTGTCCCTTCCATCATAGCATCTCACTGGCGCCTTTTGATTTTGCGCATCCTTATTTCTTAGTAAAGTTACTGAATGGAGTATTAGCAAAAGCTTCGAATATTCACTCGGATGTACAGATTACCAACAGACGAGTGGGAATCTCGGAATATAGAAAAAGCGAGGAGTGTGACATGAATAGAAATCGCCTTCTAGCATTAGCTTGATCGGTCTAGCATAGTAGCTTTGGGTGGTGGGTGGCAAACGGATGAATGAGTAAGCGACAATTTTATCGAAACCTCGTATTCTACTCAGATCGGGGCATTCTTTTCAGCCGCAAAGCATGACTTTGCCGCAACGAAACAGAATTTAATCCAAAGTTTACATTCCTATTCCCAACTTTTACTTCTATCGCTTTCTTTAGTACTAAGTAATTACTAGGTGCGCTCTTGAATTTGCGCAAGAATAGCACAGTATCCTCAACCAGAAACTCTACGTAGAAAACGCGGTTGGAAGGAAACCCTATCTACCGAAAGAACATATTCCCTTCCTACAAAATGTCCACCATGGATGATAAATACCCAGAAGACAAAGAGCGCGGCGAGAACACAACAACCTCCCAACAACATGCCCTCGACCGCTCCAACACGTCCAATCCACCCACCCACTCCGCCCGCCAAACCGCCTTCCTCCTAACCCTCCTATGGACATGCTGGCTCGTAGCGTGTACATCCGACACGTTCCTCTCCATCGAACGAGCAATGGCAACATACACACGCATGACACCGTTGCAATACTGGATTTACCGCAAGCGCTGGGACGTCTGGGTGTATCGGGTATGTACTCCATACTCCACCCCAAGCTATTTCAATCGCATTGAGTCATCTAACGAACAGTACCAGACCTCTCCATGGCCCATCTTGCCCGGCCCAGCGCTGACCAAGATATGCATCGCCAGTCTGACCCTCTGCACGCTACTCTTCTTAACTCTCACCAACACCCGGCATGCTAGCAAAGACGACGTAAGCCTCGCTGTTACCAACCTTAGCATGAGCGTATGCATCGTGGTTGGCACATGGGTCGGTGCAGCGCCGCGGGAAGTTGCATTGATTGCCATGCCGATTGGGTGGCTGGTTGCTGCGACGGGGTTCCTTGTATGCAGCAGAGCGACGGGGAACAGGGACTTTGGCGCTGCATTACACGTCAGCGAAAAAGTGGGGAGTTGGGTTAATAGCGCGAGTTTAGCGGTGTTTTTCGCGCTGAATGTGTGGGTTTTTGGGTTTGAGAATGAGTTTGTCATTCTGTATTGTGCGTGGCGGGCGGTGGGGGTCGTGTATAGGTGGCTCGGCTGATTGATCTAAGATATCCCTTGGAGCTCTGCTGGTTTGAGTTGTTGAATACTTATCTTGGCTTGGAATCGAGGACGAGAGCATATGAGAAGTCTAGTCTAGTGTGTACGCCCGACACTACACCCTGCGAACCAACCACTCCAACTCCTCTGCCTGCTCTTCCGTAACGATATCCCTAAACTTGTCCAGCGTCAAGAAGTCGTGATCAGAGTACTCGAAGCCCGGTATAACAGTCTACATCTCGTCAGTTCAAAACCTCAACCCCATCAATCACCTCAAAAAAAAACTCACCTCACTAATCAAAAGCCTATCATCCGCATCCTTACCGCCCTCCCGCATGGGTAAAAGATAACTCGCCTTGAACTTCCCCCCCTCAACAATCCACACGCTCTTCTCCCCCTTCTCAACATCCTTCCCCACGACGAAACTCTCAACCCGCTTCTTCCCTTTCTCCCCATGTTCTTCATCATCATGAATCAAAACATACCTCCCCCGCCCCTCGACAAGCGTATGCACCGTGCGCCCCTTATTCCGATGAAAGCAGCCCTGCGGCGACGCCGGCGTCAACAAGTAGTAAATAGACGTACTCGCATTGCGCACCGAGTCGTCGCCGGAAAAAGGTTTATCAGCAGTTTGCGTATTCGACGGCGCGGACGTGGACGAAAGGAAAGGGTTCGGAATGATCAGCGGGTTGCGGTCGAGCTCAGCAAAGTAGCCGCCTTCAATGTGCCGTTGTAGGTTCAGGGCTGAGATGATGGTTTGTGTGCGGTCCGACTCTTTTGCTGACGAGGAGATATCTGGTGGTTGTGGGGGGTAGGTTGGGTGGAGTTTTTGCGAGGTGCTGGGGATGGAGGAGGGCATTGTTTGGGAAGATTCGATGCAGGTCAAGGGGAAAATCAGAGTTGGAAAAAGAATTCGGGTACTAGTAGAGTTGGGAGAATTGGGATTGTCATGGCAAACCCATTAGAAACCTTTATAACATAGATAGTGCGGGGCAGAGGGGCTGCATAAGCAGCAATACCCACGGACTAGCTAGGGTCCCCCGGCGCTGACGCTGATGCTGAGAAATTCAAAAGGATTCATTACGCCCTGCGCCGCTATCGGGCGTGGGTAGAGCATGGGTAGTTGGCACGACATACAAGACATGATCAGTTTAGTTCAACTCCTGCAGGTACAATCTCCAAAACATGCCAGCAATTACTACGTATATAAAGCAGCACTAGCTTGATAACTGACCGACTACTATTATATGATTGTTTGATTTCCGAGTACATCGCTATTCATCCGTCATTCCCATTTCCATCCCATTCGCATCCAAAACAAAACAGAACAAAAGGCGCGTTCCCGTCCTCTAGTAATGCGTACCGTACAAACGCCTGCCCTATACGCCCTGCTAGCTATAGCTCAATGTGACCCTAGAATAGACCAGCACCAAAAAACGCACGCACAAAATAACAATTAGAGGAGAAAACGTTGAATATGGTACAGAAGTGAGGAGGAGAAAAAAGAGGGGACATGATTCAAGCTCAAACGGGGCTGGTATTACCCATACTGCCCCGCGCTAATAGAAGGTAGATATGCCTGTTAAGACCGTGGCGGCTCTACTCGTACTTTTGCTCCTAGCCAATATTGTTGACTCTCCAAATTACAAGCTACCATTGTTACCACATGTCATCATCGGCCCTACTGCTCTCATCGGATTTCGAGTGATGGTGATAGCCCTTGCTGGATTGGCCCAGATAGTTCTGCGTGTTCGCGACGCTGTACCCTCCGCCATTTGCGCTGTATTGCGAGTGATGCGAGTCTCGTGGGTTTTGATTGTATGCATTGCCCTGTTGTTCTGGCCTCTGACTGCGGCCATTCTCTTCAGACTGTCTGTGGCCTGACTTTTCTGGTTGCTGGTAGCTTGGCCACTCGCTGGCGCTGTCGGGCTGCTCTTGTTGTTGTTGCTGCTGCTGCTGCTGCTGCTGCTGCTGCTGCTGTTGTTGTTGTTGCTGGAACTGTTAGTCAAGGACAAAGAGTAGATCGGATAGTACACACCTGCTGATACCGCTGATACTGAGCAAACTCTTCAGGCTGTTGCTGCGACTGTTGCTGCTGCGGCTGCGGCTGCTCCTTCTTGTGCTGCGCCGCCTGTTGCGTTTGTACAGCTTGTTGTGCTTGCCGAGCCTGTTTGGAGTTTCCAATTGATATCTGCGGGTGCATTTGTTGAACCTTGGCGAGATAGGAGTACATGAAGTTACTGAGCAGCACTTGTGAGTACAGCTCGCGGCGGGGGTTGGCGAGCTTGATGTGGGCCATGCGGTAGATTGCTCGTTCTTCCAAGATGGAGAATCGAGTCCAGTTGTAGTCGATGTCGGGCTTCAGGATCCGTGGCGGAGGTTCCGGTGATAGCCCGCGTGAAGCGCTCTTCTTGTGAGACGATTCCTTCTCGCTCTTCTTCTTGCCGCCTCCAAAGATGGACGATAGCAGGCCGGGCTCCTTTTCTTTCTTGCCATCACTAGACGCCTTTCGGTTGCTTTCTTTCTTGCGCTCTTCCTCGAGCTTCATATTTTCGCGATCTAGCACTACGCTTTCTCGGCCACGGTTGCTGTTTTGTAGTGAGGTTTGCAGCACATCGAGTCTTGCGTCATCGTGTCCTTTTTCCTGGGGTTTGCTGAGCTTGTTCTTCGCCTTCTTCGCCATTTCCTTCTCTCGCTCTTCTTTTTCTTTCTTGTCTCGCTCCTTCTCCTTGTCGCCGCCGACCAGCCAGCCCCAACTAGTCTTCCTTGGGCCTTCATCCTTTTTGTCTTTTGATTTCTTGTCCGACTTCTTGTCCTCTGGGAGGTTGGGGATGATTGACAAATTATCTACCCTCGTGTTGTTTCCTGGTAGTGGCGATGGTTGTTGGACAAGGTCATCAAACGATTGTGCGGGCTTTATTGGGGAGGCTTGCGCCGCTTGGGCATGCCGGTTCGGTCGACTTGAAGGGGATTGTCGCTGCTGTTGTTGTTGCTGTTGTTGCTGCTGCTGCTGCTGCTGTTGAGTCGGGTAGGGCTGGGGGTAATTACGAGGCCCATTAGGTTGCTGTTGGGACTGTGGAGGGGGTTGTCGTGAAGAATTACGCTCGGGTAGCTGCAGTGGGGATCTCCGCTCTTGCTCTTGTGGTGGAGTCTCAATAATCTGTGGTACTTGCTGGGGCTTATAGCCCGGCAGAGGCGCTGTCGTTCGGCCATTGGAAGCGATTCTCGAGTGGAAAGCCTTGGGCTGTCGCTGTTCTGGTTTTTGGTCAGACGAGGATGGCCTCGCCTGCTCCTCGGAAGAACCGGGTCTTTGCTCCGTACCAACACTAGGAATAGAGGGTCTCCGCTGTGGACGTGAGAAATTAGAATTAGAAGGCGACTCGAATGCTCCATTAACGGGTTCTGATTGAACTCTTGTGGGCGGGAGAGGAGGTACGTCTGGTATAGAATATACTGGTGAAGTAGATGGCGACTCTTCTCCCTCGCCCTCGGTTTGCCGAGATGCTAACCGTCGTGAGAGGGGTGGTCCTCCTTTTCGTAGACTGCCTCGTCTGTAGGTGGTGCGTGTCGATCGCTTCAGCGTGGCTAGGCCGCCCATCTTGCCGGGGACCATGGGAAGATCTCCGTCTGCACCAGAATCGCCATCTGCACCCGAATCTTTCGAGTCGATGCTCATGCGTTCGATTAGGGCAACGGGATCTTCCACTATGTGCTCGAGCTCATGGAGATTGCCAATCCCTCCACTGGACTGGGTGCCAGATCGTTTCCTCTCCAGCCTCTCGGCGCCATCCTTGTAGCCTGAGCCTGTGTCAATCTGCCTCGAGAGCATCGACTTCTTCCTCCGCAGCCCTCCACCACCGGAACCCTGGCGCCCGAGGGCGCTATCGGGCGACAACGAGTCTGCATCGCCAGAGCGGCGTCTGATCCTATCCACCTTCTCCTCGATGAACGTCTTGAACTCCTTGGGCGCCAGCTCGGGGTGCAAGCGGGCGGGCACCCAGAAGAGCTTCGTCTCCTCTTCTTCCGACACGGCTGGGGGGGATAGCGGGGGCGAGTTGGACTTGAACGAGGGGAGGTCTGGGTCGGCGTTGTTGACGCCCATGGACATGCGGCGGATAGCCTGCAGATTGCTGAGTTCCTGGGCCAAGCCAGCGGGACTCGACTCGTAGTCCAGGTCGTTGAGGGGAAACTGCTGCGAGGCCGTGTCCGAGTTGGAGCGAGACAATGGCGGGGACATTTGGCCGTTGGGGCCAGGCGGCCCCTTTGGTGGCTGCTTCTCGTCCTTGGGGCTTGTTGGCGACGCAGGCTTGTCGGGGGACAGCTGGGGGCGAAGGGGAGACCTTGCGGGAGGAGCACCTGGGAAGGGATCAAAGGGGTCGAAGCCGCCAAACGAGTGTAGCGAATCGCCGTTGGGGCTGGGCACGAAGCTTAGCGGACGCGAGGTGCGCTTGAGCGACTCGGTGTCGCTGTCTCCGCCGTACAGGTCGCCTATGGCCTCTGTGACATGGTGGCTGTCATCGCTTATGGATATCTGCGGCGCATGTCCACGGCGCATTTGGTAGACTCGCTCGAGCTCCTGTGCCCTCGAGTGCTTGTCCGAGGCCTGTGTAAGGCGGAGAGACGTGGTCAGTTCGCGGACAGCGATGTTGGGCGGCTGTGACGTGAGGGTAAACTCACCATGTCGCGCGGAATGCGGAGTGGATGGCTCGCTTGCCACGGCTTCGTCAGGGCAGGGCCAGGGCGATGGGGGCATTGAAGAGGGTCAGACGGGAGGCAGCGGGGAGGTGAGCAAGCAGGGCCGTAGGAGCAGGACGACGGCGACTTTTCATGACAACAGGGCGCGGTGAAGATGGGTGGGTGGTAGAGGTAGTTGAAGGGTACGTGCACAGCTGTCGGGGGTGGTGGTGGTGGTCACCGGTAGGTCCAGTGGAGGAGGAGGAGGTGCTAGCCCGAATGGTTGGGCTCCGTCCGGCACAGCCAAAAGCCAAAGCCAAAGCCAAAGCGACCTTTGTCCGCCACCAGGGGCCGCCTCTGTCCTACTGGTTACTTTACTGTCTTGCTCGAGTGAATTGGCGGCCTGGGACGCTTCGAAGCCACCATGACAGCCGCCCGATATCCCCCCAAGGCACCCCCAGAAAGCTCCTTAGAGGCTCCATGCCGACATGCACGCACGCGCGCACCCGTGTGCAACCACCCGCCTCATGCACATTGCATACATAGCCTGTGCGTGACGAGATGCTAGAATAGCTACTGCTACTACTCTGCATTGTCTTCAGCTGGCCTCATAGTACTCCAGCACTCCAGCACTCCTCTACTCCTTTCCACTTGGCCAACCCGACAAGGGGCCACCCCCCGCGGTCATTGCGACGGCGCACTCGTCCAGAAAGCCTATACAACCTCCGGTAACCATGACAGCAAGCTTTGCTTCTCCCCTTTTGTTGCCCTGCTTCTCGCCCACACCACCAATGACATGCTCCGCTGTACCCGCCGCTCTCCTGCGCATCACGACGTAATCTTTGCCCGTGTCCGTGTTCACATTTGCTCCACTACATTTCTCTTCGCGACAAGAGTATGCGGTGTTTACGTTGGGTTCTAATAGACAGCGCATTGTCATTGTAAATGAGCTTATTTAATCGGAAAATGGGTATCATAGTTACTTGGACCTTTGACCGACGTCATGTTTACCCTGTCTTTCTTCAAGAAGGCTAATATTCAGCCTCTCTTCCTCCACCAGCGAACAACAAACAAGCTTTTGTAAGCGTACCTCAGCTGGCGTGCATGAAACCTTGCCTTGTGGCGTCTGTCGGCGTTGGTAAGCTTGAACCATCTCTTCGCTTTGTACTCGACGTCTTTGCAACAGATATCCTTCGATTACCTTGCTATTATATCTAGCCCTTTCAACTACCTCCCTCTACGATGATGACCAACCAAGCAGGCCTCGTTGGTTCAAGCGCCAGGGGCAAGCTGGAGCAGCCCTGCAGCCATGATCCATCACGCGTGCCACTTAGCTCAGGAGCAAGTCGTACAAAACAAACCACCTCGCGCTACATGATGTCATTCCTTATCGGCTGAAGAGCGTAGATTACATATTAAACTATTCAAGTCCAGCAACCTGCCTAGTCAGGGGGTACCCTCTTCTGCACACTGATGATATCTATCTATCCAACTATCTCTAAGAACCAAGTGAGTAGCGTCTTCAACATCTCAAGAACCAAGTGAGTAGCGTTTTCAACATCTCAAGAGCAAGCGAGTAGAGTTTCAACATCTCAGGAAGAAGACCCGCTGTTGCGCTTCCAGATGAATATCGCAGAGGCAACAGCGCACGTCACAGCGCCCAGCGCGAGATACAGGTTCAGATAATCATACCCGTCTTCTTCCTGCTTCGGAAAGGCAGTCGAAGGGTGTGTCGCACACTCAGCCAGCTGTAAACTTGTTAGCTCTCTCTCTCTCTCTCTCGCCTATTGTCGTGTGTATGTGGCAGTACTTACATGGACGAACAGCTCCGATATGCTGTTCCACGTCGTGCTGACGTGCAGTGGCGGCGCCATCCTCAGTGCGCTGGTGAATTCATCGGGCTGCTGTTCGCACCGCTGCATCGTCTTGTCTTGGTCTGCCTTCAACGCCGTGTAGACCGCCGGCAGCTGGTCGAGCTGGGGGTATTTCTTCCGTAGCTCGACGATGTGTGCGAAGCTGTCTGGATCGCTGGAGTCGTAGGTATAGCACAGCAAATCGCATGCGTCCAGCTTCGCCTGGTTCTCGAGGATGGCAGGCTCGAGCTCGCCCAGCTCTTCGAGAATCAGGTAGCATTGCTTGCCGCCCTTCAGCTCGACACTGTTCACGGCTGACCGTGGTTTGATCGTTGGGTGGTACGTTTGGCTGAAGCGGCGCTGTAGGAAGGCTGACAAAAGCGAGCTCTTCCCGCTTCCACTCGATCCCACAACATAGCATAAGAAGACGTTGCGCTCCACTCTACCGGGCTTCTTCCGTCGTTTCCGGGCCTTGGTAACTTTCAGTGCGCTGGTTGTGCCTCCTCGGTCGCCGCTCTCGAAGCCGAGGTAGGCCAGATACTCTAGAGTGGTCTTTGGCTCCTCAAAGGTGGTCATGCTCCATTGCGCAAGCCATCCTTGCAATGTTATGTGTCCAGCTTCGTTGCGCACTGTGCAGGATGGGAATGCCGAGTCGATCCAGGACGTAGGGACGCCGGGGGTCGGTGCGAATAGGTTGGCCAGTTCTCCATCGTTCAGACCACCATCATTGTCCTTGTCAAACTTGAGGAAGAGATCGACAAAGAATCGGTATCCAGAGGGACTCAGTTCTGCCGACGAAAACTGAGCGACGTCGAATTTAGGATGGAGGAATGTGTCTTGCAAACTGAGACTATCAGTATAGTGAAACTTCCTCAAGATGATCCAGATGGTCTCATGGCGGCCTTTCTCTGCGAAGATTTTGTTCAATAAGAGAAACCCGCGTTCGTCCATGCCATGCTCCCCGGTTGCGCCAGGCGCGAACCGCTCCATTGACTTCTTGATGTTTGATAGATCATCCTCACCCAAAGGCTTCTCAAAGCATTTGAGCTGGAAGTTGTGAATCTCCTGGTCGTTCCAATAACCATCCTTATCCGTGTCGCACAGGTGGAAGACGCGCTGCAAAGCTGAAACAGCTGCAGGCTTCAGCGCATTCTCCTTCGAGTCGTAGAGAGGCGCGATGGGATGCGTCACGGCTTTCTGGCAAAGAAAGAAGACCTCGTTGATGTTGTGATGCTCCTTGGCACTTGTCCGTATGCAAGAGTCAATCTCCTTGAACTCGTTCATCACCGGCAGCATTTCCTCAGCTACCACCTGAGATGTCGACCCATTCGATGCCAGCTCGGACTTGTTTGCGCACAGCACAACCGGCACGTTCACGCCCAACGAGCGGAAGTATGGCAACCAGAACAGCGCAACCCGCTCATAGCTGTAGTGGTCCGAATACACCAGTAGTATGACGTTCGATTTGCGAAGCTCTTTTCGGAGAGCAGAGCGTTCGTGCGGCAGCGCTGAGGTGTCGACGATGGTGGTGGTGACATTGTCGGGCGTTCCGAGCGTAGGGGGCAGCGTCACCTGCGGGAGGATGGGCTGGATCTTTGCAGTCACGAAGACATCTTTGACAAGCGAGGTGATGATGGAGCTCTTCCCCACCCCTTCATCACCGCATATGCAAATCCGAACTGGAGGTAAACATTAGCTTTTGACAAGCAAGCTGGGAGGAAGCTCCAAATACCGGTTGCCATTACCAAGTGGCATGTTTATTGCATACTAGCGAGAAGCCGGCATTCGATTAGAAGTGATTTGGATAGGAGCTTTCCTCAGCGATGGATGCTTTCCAGGTGTGTCCACGCAAGTGCCTGGCCATGCGTGTTGCTTGGCGCACGTGGGAATCGATCGCAGCTCCAAGGTTCCCCGCCAGGTCGCCCCGCCAGATTGGCCGTTGGCAGGTAAATAGGATGCCATGCGGCTTCACCGTTGGACCGTTGGACGTGATAGTCGTCCCGTATTCATCTTTCTTTCTTACCACCGACGGGAGGGTCTGCGTAAATGTAAAATGCACGGGGCTTGTGAGCGGCAAGCGACGTCCCCGCTTCCCCAGAATGGCCTGCCGCGCCTCATCCTGCGTACCGACGTTCTTCCTTCCTAAGGCAACAAAGCCGTCTATCGCTTCTACAACCCCCGGCCCACCCTTCACGACCTGGCCGAGAACAATTCTACCTTTACAGATTAATTACCGGACCGTTCGCAGTATATTGCGCCGCAGCCATGTTGTGAGTTGCCTACCTCCCTGCTGACCGCCCAACGAGCCACCATTGGTGCAGCTGTCATGCTCCACCTGTACGCGAAGCTTGACTGAACTGTATGCAGTGTATTACCACCACCTCCACGCTATCCTATCGGTGGCTATCCTGGCATCCCTGGGCAGCTCATCGAGACAAACAACAGTATCAGTCACCCCACGGGTCCCGAGTATCAACTGGTGGTCGGAGAAGGTATTTCAACGGCCTGCACCCCATGTATATAACCCCAGGCTCATATTAGGACCACGATAGGAACCTACGTACTTCGCGATGACCTACACCTAGCTACGCCGCCGCCACATCCCTCGGAAGCTCCGGTGCACAACCCCAATCCGCTCGCGACGACCATATCTCCGCCAACCCGTGGCACCAACCTATCCATAGTTGCGCTTGCGCCCCGTCAACCCTCTCAGTCGCAATTATATAGATTTGGTACGCGGAACAGCACTCGGTCGCAAGTCCCACCCAGCATCCAGGAATCACCACATGAGACGAACAGCCAGGCAAGCGACGTCGGCTCACAGAGCGTGAATGGAATTGCAACATCACCACTGGACGGTCTGCGGACACCTGTGTACGGAGAGGGGAATGCTGCGCTGGCAATGATCAATGGAAAAGACTCAAAGGACCCTCTAAAGAGGCGAAAACCGAAGAGCAACATTATCAAGAGCAACTCGTCGTTCGTTTCGAGAGTCATCCCACACGAAGCCCTGACCAAGCGGCTGCAAGAGCACAACCCTAACGGCCTCTACGCTTTCGCCAACATCAACCGCGCACTACAATGGCTGGATTTGACGTCGCCTATCAAGGAAGAGCATCTGACCAAGATTCTGTTCACCAAAGGGCACGCGCTATGTCACGACATTAACCAGATCACCAAAGGGCCCAATCATCTCGACATCATCATGGGCTTCTCGACCGGGGATATCATTTGGTATGAGCCAATGTCCCAAAAGTATTCGCGCATCAACAAGAACGGTGTAATCAACGGGACAGCCGTGTCGGATATCCAGTGGCTTCCGAACAGTGAGAATCTGTTCCTCGCGGCGCACATGGACGGAAGTTTGGTGGTGTATGACAAGGAAAAGGAGGATGCCGTGTTTGTTGCTGAGGAACACTCGCCTACCACGGAAGAGGCTACGTCTGACGCAGAAAAGAAGGCATTGCTGACGGTCAAGAAATCCGTCAACTCAAAGAACCAGAAAGCGAACCCCGTGTCTTACTGGCAAGTCTCGAGTTCAAAGGTCAACGCTTTCGAGTTCTCTCCCGATCGCCGCCACCTTGCTGTTGTCTCCGAGGATGGCTCATTCCGGATCATTGACTTTCTCAAGGAGAAGTTGCTGCATCATTACATGAGCTACTACGGCGGTATGCTCTGCGTCTGTTGGTCACCAGACGGCCGGTATGTAGTCACAGGAGGCCAAGACGATCTTGTTTCCATCTGGTCGTTGGAGGACAGCATGTTGGTGGCGCGTTGTCAAGGGCACAACTCTTGGGTGACGGCGGTTCAATTTGATCCGTGGCGATGCGATGAGCGCAACTACCGCATCGGAAGCGTTGGAGAGGATTGCCGGCTGTTGTTATGGGACTTCAGCGTGGGCATGCTACACAGGCCGCGGGCGGTAAGTTTTCCCCATGTAAGCTTGATGCGAGCAACGCCTGATGTTCAACTAGGCTTCCGTGCGACAGCGGGGCAGTATCACCTCAGCAAATCTGAAGATGCAGCGAACGCGCACCGACAGCTCCGTCAACAGGTTGCGTTCGAGTTCGAACCTCACCTCAGGCAGTTTACCGGACGAGGAGGAAGTGGTCCATCCAGTTGAATCTCGGGCGCACACGGCCATGTTGCCTCCAGTTTTGGTAAGGCTTCCTTCAGCAAGAACGCCGTATAAACATGCTAACGCCAACCCCCTTTTACAGGCAAAGGCCATCGACGAGCACCCCTTGTGCTGGCTAGGTTTCGAAGAAGATTGCATAATAACATCATGCAAAAACGGTGAGTCGCACGAAAGTTTTTTTTTTCTGTTGCAGCGTCCACAGGGTGGCCATGGCCAGACTAAAAATATGCGATAAGGCTTATTATCCTTTGGCCAAGGCCTGCATGCATGCTCGTGCGCAGGAACACCCGCTTGGTGTCGGCAAGGGACCCACTGAGCATTATGAGGAACTTTTTTTGTTGAACGATGGAGACTGATAAGGAAAGTGGATCGCTGACTTTTTTGCTTTCGTAGGGCACATTAGGACGTGGGACCGGCCGAAAGAGGGTGCTACCAACGACGACAGCTCGACGTTTGCGAGCGCGAGCGCGAGTCATCCGTAATTCTTGTTTGGACTGGCAACTTGAAAAAAAAGGGGCCCGCTGTTGTGATATCAGAAACAGGTTTGAGAAGAGGCAGTTTGAGGTTGTATATGTGGTGCTTGTTGGCGCCCGGGAAAGCCCGAAGTTCTAGGTTCAGATGCGAGGTGGGTGCCAGTCTGCATTCGTCATTTCAGCCCTACGCACGTTTACTGCATGCGCGCAGCGTCAGACAGGCAGGCTTTGTACAAACAACGTCCATATCAAAGAAACGTCAATCGCAACCACCTTTCTTCAGACGACACTACAGTACAGTACAGTTTCGGATAGAAAGGATTTGAATAAATGTGAGCATTGTAGCGGTCACAGAAATCTCCGTGACACAGAATTTCACGGCTTCCCGTAGTGGGTACCTCAACTGTGGATACGGGCGGGAACCAGGCCCTCTTATCCTGAAAATCTACTTGAGGCTGGCGGTGATCCAAGGCCACTCATCAAGTGCGGCTGTGTAGTAGGTCCCTCTTAGTTGCAGATTTTCCCGCCTGTGTATGTCGGGCCGAAGATTAGATACGGGCTTCGTTGCGATTCACTGTGTCATCGAGGGTATATGTGACGGCATACCGGTATACAGAGTTTGAAATTGGTGTTCTAATGATGAGAGGGCGATGACGGGAGGGCAATTCATTCATAGTAAGAAAGAGTGTTGGGACCTGACATGGTAGCTAGCCAATCTACCCTTGCCACCACGTTTTCTTGTCTTGTTGGTAGGTTGTAGATTAGAGGCTGAAGGCGAAGTCCTTCATCGGGGAGCTAAAGCGAGGTTTCGTGAATCAAATCAAAGGGATGGATCGCTCCGCGTGCGGGCTGGCTGGCGTATAGTCCGGCGAAGTGCATTATCGCAGGCTCACCAGTGTTTCGGCGTATCTTTGCGGCTTGCCCGAGGCGGGCGTGCGTGCATTGCATTGCATGTGTGGCGCAAGCGCAATCATGGCGCAATCCCTTGGCATCTGGCATGGTAGAAGTGGTTCATCAGTGACTTGTGGTGGTAGACATGTTGGAGTGGTTCGACGGTAGCTGAGCTGTATCACTACAAGAAGCCAGTTTGACTCTATACCTGCCCTATTCTTTTCTAAATGGAGTGAGCGCGATCGGAGTCAGGTGGGAGTGCTATCGCAGGCATGTGTCAGTATCGCGCTGTTCGCGGTAATCTATCGGAGCACTTCCTTTCAAGCCCTGGGCTGAACGTCACCCTGCCCGCGCCGCCAGAAAAATTCTAAGACACGGGTAGAAGAAGCGCTAGCACGAGCCCAGAGACAGCGATGCGCGCAGCCGGCGTGTCCCCACTTGTTACAGTGAGCTCATCAGGGTGCGTATGGTGCTGCTGCTGCTAGTAGAGCAGCGGGCAAGCCGCCCTTGGCCGCATATCCATCCCACGCTCTCTGCCTTTGCTGTGTCGGCCCAGGTATAACTAACCTGGAAGCTACACGCGGTTGCGCCAGCTGAGCAAAGCACTACACACCTACTACATTTACTTTATCCTTACCTTGGATCTTCGCTCGTCGAGTGATTCCTTCCTGACCCGAGCCTCTTACCCTCGTTCGTCTCAGCCCGAACAGCCACTTTCTCACCACATCTCATCCTCATTCGCATAACGAGCTGCATATATCGCAACTCCTGCCGACATCCGCAGCAAACCTCGAAGCCTAATCGAGCCCCTCTACTTGACTGCGCAAATCCCCAGTCCTGGGAGTGGGGAACTGCTTCTTGCTTTCTTTGGAGCATCTTGCTCGTCCTTCGTTACACCATGCCTCTCCCGAGCGTTGGCGTATTTGGCAGAAATGCCCAGCCTGTCCTGGAGATCAAGTACGCCCCACCAGTACGCAAACATTGATTTGCAGGCTTCTGGAGAGAGAAATGGCGGATTCTAACCAACGTCTAGGCCGCAATCGCCATTCGTCGTCTACTATGGGGAGTCGTCAGAGTCGCACGAGACGGAGCTGCGGGGGAAGCTCGTCCTCACAAACCCAGAGTCAATATCCGTGAGGAGTATACGCATAACCCTAACGGGTACGCGCAAGGTCTCGTACGGTAGCACCGCTTCCACAACCTCTCCTTCTGCGAGCTAATGGCCCGCGAATAGATGGCATTTGACCAATACCGTCAGCCCGCAGCCCATCACGCAAAAGACAAACTTCCTAGTCGAGACGCTCAACCTGTTCCCTGTCGAGGGAGGCAACAAGAACAAGGCTCATAAGATCAATGCGGGGTACCACGAGTGGGAGTTTACATTCAAGATGCCGAACAACCTCGACCAGAGCGTCGAGGGCCTGCCCACCAACTGGGTTGTATACAATCTGAAGGCTTCGGTAGACCGAGGGTACATGAGCAAGCAGCTCTCTGCCCACTCGCACATCCGCGTCATCAGAACCCTCGGCCGCGATTTGCTCGAAACCATGCCCATGGAGCAGATCAACGAGGACATCTGGGCCAACAAGCTGGCCTACAAGATCACCGTGCCGCAAAAGAACTACATCATCGGGACCAACATAACCGCCGACTTTGTGTTAATACCGCTGAGAAAGGGTGTGGAGATATCGACGGTCAAGATGGAGCTCATAGAGTCGCGGCAGTTATTCGCAGATTACGCTGGCCGGAGAATAAGTCACCAGACGGACATTCAAGTCGCGGTCACAGAAGGCGACATGCCAGAAAACTCCGCGCGGCTGGTTCCCAGTGGCATAGAAGAAGCAGACGAGCTGTTCGACGAGTCGCACCGTTTTTCAATGACCCTGGATCTGCCAAAATCACTCAAACATTGCCGCCAGTCGGTTGACACGGAGAACATCCGTTTAACGCACAAGCTGCGATTATACGTCAACCTTAAGAATCCAGAGGGTCACACTAGCCAGCTCTTGGTGAAGAACCACGTCCATTTATTCATCTCGCCAAATCTGCCCCCGAACGAAGACCAGAGCGTGGTGGTCGATAGCAACATTCTGAATGCGCAGGCGATTCAAGATGAAGTCAACCAGAATGCTCCGCCAACATATGGGTTACATCAGCTGGACGAGCTATACAACGACATCGATCCATCCGGTTTCATTACGCCCGGTGGCTATCTGAACAGCGGTGCCAACACGCCCTTCTACGCGCAAAGTCGCAGCGGCTCCGCAGAGGATCTCGCCTCTTTGGACGCCGTAGCGCAACAGCCCGGTGGCGGCGCATCTGCCATCGCGCTCCAGCACCGCCTACAGAACCTCGACATGTCGCAAAACGACCGCCGATCCCGCTTCCAAACGCCAAGACAGCACTCATCAGGCGACAGCACACCTGCCGTCAACGGCGAGCAATCCTACTTCGACCTGCCCACAGCAAACTATGACATGGACGCCTTGGCGCGCACACCCAGTTACAACACTGCCGTGCGTACGCCCATGTCGAGGACGCCCGTTCTCGTTGGTATAGATCTCCCCAGCTACGAAATCGCAATGTCTAGGCCTGGATCTCCAAATAGGAGTAGAAGCAGCCGCGGAACGACGCCCAGTCCTGCTCGAAGTCTGGATACCCTGAATGAGGAAACGTACCGCAATACACAGCACAACAGCCGGAGGGAAAGCCCCCGGACAAGTGACGATGGAAGGTAATAACACCCCATCTTGCACACACCCTTATTTCCTCGTGCATACGATAGAAACGACGTCCCGATCTTAGCATCACAGAGCGAGGGGTCCTTCTAAGAGCTTTGCGGCTTCCGACTAGGGAGCATGTTGTAAGCCTAGTGAAGGTCTCCTGGTTGACAGCTAGGTCGCGGTATCTATTCTATTGCATGGGCGTCATCTTTGAGCGTTCTTCTCTGTATATCTCTCTTCCCCAATATTGTTGTTTGCAAAGGTTACATGAACACTATCCGTTCCACCCTTTTTCTGTTTTGTTCTATATACTTTGCATTTACAGACAGCAACAAGCGCTTAATACCCCTCTCTGCATTCATAGACAACTACATGTACATACAAACAATCTCATACCGGTGGCACCACTGCTACTACCATCGACTTGCTCATCCACCGACGCAACATTTCAACAAACTCCACGTACACTACTACATCTACAACTACCACGCCCTCCTGCCGCGCTACGCACTCGTAGCGCCTCACACTCATCCGCCGCCGCTGCCGCTCATCATCTGGACATTCCCCGCCCAACGAAGACGCGAAAACGCTCCACGTCGGCCAACTCAGCGGCTTCGATCCGCGAGACAATTCATACTCTCTCTGGGTTTAGGAAGGCGCTGCGCTATGTCGGCTAGTGAGCTCGTCAGTCCATTAGCTCGGCTAAGCGTCCGCACGCACGCACGATCGGTGGTTTGCCCGATGCACGGGAGAGCAACTTGCATTGGTGGAGAAAGAAGGTCGCGGGCGATGACATAGTGTGTGAGGCGGATGAAATACTCCAAATCACTTAGTTTGTTTTTTTGTTTGTTTTTCTTTGGGGGAAATTGGAATTGGGATGGGTGGGTTATGGTGTCTAGGCGTAGTTTGCATGTTAGCGATTTATTTCCACGAGCACTATTATCATGAGCATCAGCATCATCACGGTACTAAGCTGGGCTGGGGCTGTAGATTGTGTCAAGCATATCTCTCTGTTACAATAGTTCAGGTCGGGGAGCATAGCTGGCTCCCCCCAATGTTACATTAATATTCACATGTTTATTCACATGTATGTATATAAACAAACTCTCAAGGTTCGAATCCGATTCGAGGATCCGATACCCCGCGTGGTGAAGCAATAGTAACTGCATTCATTTATTCGCCCTTTAGGTAACGCGAGGCACAGTTTCCCTCTTCGGGCACCTGCGCGACATTATCTTTAGTGGGGCGTGGGCAACTTCGCATATGCAACTTACGTGTCACGCACGCATTGAAGGCGGTTTCACACAACAGCTGGGAGTCGGAAGCAAACTTCCTTTCCTCCTCTCATGAGGTGATGTGATGTGAGGTGAGATTTCATTTCTCGAGTTTCGATTACTGAGTTTGGAATGCCGAAGGTATGTATGTCCAAGGTTGTTCTCGTATCTTTAATCAACTCTATGAGAACCCCTCCCTTCAGCCGCTACGACTATGTACATGTAGTCAAATACAGGAGTGCATCCGCGATCGTCACCTGCGGTCTTGTATCAACTTCACAAGGTCTAGATCAGTTCACAGTCTAGGTCATCCAACTAAGCTGATCCAAGAAACGCCATGGCTTTCCGCCCTCCTTAGCTCTACCGTAATCAACAACGACATCGCAGTGTTGTTCCGATAAGCATCCGCTATCCTGCAAAAGGAGATATGCGTGGGATAGCAATGACAAGTTCGTGACGTGACTTGTGAGACATGCCAAGAGCGGATATACTTGACTCAGCATTGATATCACTCCATCGAGGTACTTAGGTTACTGCGGGTATTGCTCAAACAGGAATCCCGCGGCGAGTTCCACATTGCCGTCCGTAGCATTGAGCGCAGCAATGGCTTCGTTATGCGCGAAGCCGAGTACCACCAACTTCTGCACCTCGTCATTCGGCCAGGGCGCTCGCGCTTGCGGTAGACTGCTGACCATCTGGCGGATCTGCTCGGCCGTCACGTTTAGCGGCGGGCGCGACGTCTGCGGCCGCGGTGGCTCCTCCACCCGCAAGATGCTGCCTAGCGCTGCCACCCAACCTGACTGAACCGTTTCGTTGTTGAGCTCGAGGGAAGAGACGTGCACCAGATCGTCGTCAAAGTCGCCACAGTTGAAGTACTCCCAGCCCATTACGCCACCGAATCCGTTGCCAACGTTCTTGTACTTCTCCCGTAGCTGCGCACATACACTTCTTAACTTGCTGATTGGTATGTGTCCCGCGCCGTTGCCCGGATTCGTGACTACACCCATGACGACTTTCTCGGGCTTCCAGCCAGCGGCTACAATGGCGTCGTACCATTGGGTTGTTCCCGCATCACCCCAGCCGCAGTAGAATTGCGTGTTATACCATGCTATTTCTCTCCCATGGATACTGCACTCCAGCTCGGGATAGCTAAAGCCACTGAGATGAGGTAGTGTGGGGTGTAGAGGGTTTGGGCTCGGCCCAGAAGCAAGCATGGGGCGCGGAGGCCGTAGATGCGGTGGGACATTCGGGTCAGGTATGAGTGCTGTTGCGACGGGCGCAAGCGTGATGAGGAAGTTTGGGCCAAAGTCGGCGCGTAGGCGGGCGATGAGGCGTGTGGCGGTGGAGAGGGGAATTTGTTCTTCGATGTCGAGGTCCAGCCCGGAGAGGTGGTAGACGGATATAACTGCGTGCAGCGGGGTGTAGAATGCCTCAAACTATATATCGTTAACCTCCTGAATGCCATTAACTCTTACACATTGGACTTACAGTCTCGTCATCTCCGCTCAACTTCTCAAAGGTGCCCTTTGCAGCTCCCCCAAGCATGCCCAACACCTTGACCCCACTCCCCTGCAACCAAGCCACTTCCCCCCATAGCTGGTCGAATCTCTTGTCGTCAGGACGGTGGTCGTTCAAGGTGATGTTGCCAGGCTCGTCGTTCAAATGGATTGCTGCGACTATCACATGCGTAACCCCAGTGTTGTTGGTGAGCAGAGGAAGAAGCGAGTGGTAATTCCCGTCTGCGTCGTGGAAGGTTTGATGGTATACAATGAGACGTGGGCCAGTCGTCGGCGGTAATAATTTGGGTAGCAATGAAGTCATAATCAACCTCGAGAGAAGGGTGGCTATGAAGTGTCCTCAGCTCGCGGCGCGTCCCACATGCCAGTCCTCCCGTAGGGCTGAAGTGGGGCCAACGAAAGACGAGTTACGTCACATCAACAATCATGCCTCTTGCAACACCCAGGTTGCATCGTGAACTCGAATCGCATCTGGCAAGCAAGCAAATGCATAATATGAACTTGGCCCTGATATTCTCTGCCAGCAATGATGCCAAACGCAAAATATTGACATTCCTAACCGAACGCCTCTCGCTGTCCATTCTAGGAGCAGCCCATCCCTCCTATCCAAGACAAAGGGACGTCTCAATTGAAACACTAGCGTGTATACATCGCGCAAATCATGCACCCGTCAAATTCCATAACAGTCGTAGCATCCTCCAGGGACATCTAGCAGCTTAGTGATAGCCGTTGCTGTACTCGTGACGCGTGTCCCCGTTCATACCGCCAAAGTAAGGGTGAATGACCGTTTGTTTCGCTGAAATGCGGCCAGCAGGATCGTACACAAGCAGAGCATCCAGTAGGTCGAGACCTATCTCGTCGAGGGTGGTAACAATGTTTGCAATGTCTGTTCGGGCCCATTTGGGAAACGAAGGCTTAAAGTCGGGGAATGATGTGACGCCAGGCCAATCTTGTTCGTTGGGTGTGCCGAGGATACTGTCGGACGTTAGCAAAACGTAGGGCATTATTGAACATGTACACACCGGAAGATCTTGAAGATCTCGTCGATTTCTGAGTCGCCAGGGAAAAGAGGCTTGCGCGTGCACATCTCTGCGAAAATGGCACCAACCGACCACATGTCGACGCCAGTCGAGTATTGGCGGCCACCAAGGAGAATCTCTGGGGATCGATACCATAGCGTGACAACCTGGATGCTATTAGTGATGGGTCTAAACTGTCAATATAACAGCTATGTACCTCATGGGTGTATGTCCGCAGCGGCACACCGAAAGCGCGAGCTAGACCAAAATCCGCCAGCTTGAGATTGCAGTCCTTGTCAATCAAAAGGTTCTGTGGCTTCAGATCACGGTGCAGAACACGGTGAGAATGGCAGTACCGGACGCCTTGGCACAGCTGCATCATAAACTTCTTGACCATCTTGTCGTCCATGATCAGGCTCTGCCCCGCAAGTCCAGTGCCCTCTGGTAGAGCCTTGCCACGACCACCTTGGCTAACTGGCAGTGCCTCCATGTACTTCTTCAGATCGAGGTCGAGGAACTCCATGACCAGGTAGAGCTTGTGGCCGTCGGCGTGTACGATGTTCAGGAGGCGGACGATGTTAGGATCGTTCATTTCTTTGAGTAGGGAGATCTCGCGGATGGCGGTGGAGGGGACGCCCTCATCTTCGGCCTCGAGGCGGATTTTCTTGAGGGCGACGATACGGTGGTCCTTGGTGGTGAGGTCGCGCGCCTTGTAAACAACTCCGTATGTGCCTGACGGGAAACGTTAGCGAGGGCCGGATAAGAGGACTTGGAAGAAGTCCAGCATTTTCTAGAGGGGATATCATACCTTCTCCAACCTTTTCTAACTTTTGGTAGTTCTCCATGACGGTGCAATGCAAGTTGCGAGCCTTTGAGACGATAGGTGGTAAACCTACTTTAGCTAGGTCGAGCCCGGTGGTTCGCAGCGAAGCTGATTGAGCAGTCCTAAAAGTGGCCTGTACAAGTAGGCAAGTTGAGGACCCGAATGTACCTGCGAGTTAGTAGCTTGGGTATGGTGGAGGGGGTTGCGGGGGTTAAGAAGCGGCAGAATCTATGTTGTGCATCGGAAAAACGCGAGGTAAACAGTCGTCGCTTCTTCCCTGACCGGATCGGGTAACGCGCAGCGCCACAAACGCGAGCTTAGTCACAAAACCCTGTGCTTGTGAAGCTGCAATCTTAGAGACTTCTCATTTCAGCCAAACTTTGTCACCGTCACGAGGTCTTGCTAGGCTGCTTGGATACCGACTTTCGAATTCGTGGAAACGTAAAGATGCAGCATCTGGACCCACATCAGCGCCCACCTGATGGTATACGCAATGTCTACAAGAGATATCAAAAGATGAAGCTGAAAGAGCTAGACCAGGACCAAGACATCATAGACCTGTCGAGCGACGTATCGGTATCAGCAGGAAGTAGAGTTCGTCTTGTCAAAGAGTGGACAAGCGATGAGCTGAGCGCTATTTTCGGGGTCTTTGCTTGTGGGAATGGACATCTTGATTCAAGAACCGTGATACCTGTATATGAACACGAAGATATGCCAGGTAAGGCATTTCGTCTCGCTGAGTAGACTTCCCTCTCGAAGACTTGATAGTCCACCTCTCCCGTCAATCTATCAGACGTTCCTTACCCTGTGTTGTCCTGACCAAAGGTAGGTCTCCACATAATCCCCTCCCTCCTCCCACCTGAAATCCAACACCTCCTGCTCTCCCGCCTCCTCCACCGCGACCTCTCGAACCCTGCGCACCTCACAAACATACACACGCACTACAAGGTCTCTTATCCACCCCTATCACCCCCTACAACCCAATCCTCAACCTCGCCATCATTCTTCTCCTTACCCCCCTCCGCCCCCTCAGTCATCGCCACACCCATCGACCCTACAATCCATAAGCCTCTCAACATCAGCCAGTTGTTGAACAAGAAACTCCGCTGGACCACCCTCGGCGGGCAGTACGATTGGACGGCGAAACGCTACCCTGAAGCTGCACCGCCTCCCTTCCCACTTGACATCAAAGAGCTGCTAGAAGGAGTTTTCACCGACACGAAAGCCGAAGCGGCTATTGTAAACCTCTACTCGCCCGGAGACACATTAAGCGTGCACCGCGACGTGGCCGAAGCCAGCTCAACAGGTCTGGTCAGTATAAGTCTAGGCTGTGATGCGATCTTCGTCATTGGCACTTCAGTACCAGATGATCATGGCGCGGAGGGGCAGGAGAAGGTTCTAGCGCTGCGACTTCGCTCCGGAAGCGCTGTGTATATGAGCGGTGCGTCTCGCTTTGCGTGGCATGGTGTACCGCAGATTGTGCCTGGGACGTGTCCGGAGTATCTGAGAGATTGGCCTGGAACTCCGGATGGAGGAGGGCAGTATGAAGAGTGGAAGGGGTGGATGGCGCGGAAAAGAGTCAATTTGAATGTACGGCAAATGCAGGATTGAAGAAGAAGGTATCAGGATTCATCTATTTAAAGGGAAGAGTGCAACATATGGTATCATTATTAGGGGTATGTTGGGGGTTGAGACCAAAAAGGGGTGCAGAGGAATCCACAATTTCAAGATGCACTCTCCGACCACCATTACAAGAAGCCGAAATTCAGGTTCACCTCGGGCTCACTTCGCATGGTAGTATCTCGCTAGTACTTTCCAGGCTCTCCAGGAACAGCACTGTGCGGGGTGGCACTGGTAGGAGCAGCGCTACCTGGCGTTACAGCACTACCTGTGTGAGCATGGTCGGTCGTGGCTGTGCCGGTATTCTGTAGGCCCTGCGTCTGAAGCGGCGCAGGCTGCGTCGCACCGCCGGGGCTATTATTCCCAGAGACCGGGCTTGTAGGCACACTCCCTTCAGGCAGATCATTCGTAACCGTACCCGCTGCTTGGCGAATAATCTCCCACCACTGGTTCGCAGCTTGTGGCGTATGTGCCTTGAATTGCAACTCGTGGTTCATAGAGAAAGCTCCACCCAACTTGCCCTTTGACACGTCTTTGCCCTTGACGTTGAACTTGGCTCCGTTGGCGGCACCAATGACGCAGTCAGGCAAGTATAGAGACAACTCGGGTACGGGGTCCTTTGCGAAATCGTCGTCGGTTTTGAACTCGTGTAGGAACTTGGCTGGGGTAATGACATAGTAGTTGGTATCGTAAGACCGCATGATCTTGCCTTTGCGCTCAAGTGAGCCGGAGATGAGCGGCTTAGTAGCGCGATGGTTTTGGTTGGGAAAGCTGATCTGCGAGATGGTTCGAGCGGGCGCGGAGGGGTCGATGAGGACGGTATTGTTGCGCTGGATGAAGCCGTTCCACTCAAAGTCCAAAGGAACGCGCTGCGAGGTTCCCACCATGTCTCCATATGCAGCTTTGGTATGCTCGGCCTGTGTGTTGATGACTTGCATAAACTGAGCCAGCCCATGCTGGACTGTTTGGATAATATGCGCTTCGAACTGTGCGAATGAGTTCTGGACGCTAATCAGGTCCTGTCGGTTGTTGTTCTCTTCCTGGACCTGCTTGTTTAGGCGGTGCATGACACCACGTTGGAGAATGTAGGGATCATCCGTAGCCTTCAAGTTACCGCCATGCGAGTCGTAGGTTGCGGTGTATTGACCAAGCAACTCAATGTGCTTCTGGGTGTGCGCTCGAGACCTGTCCACGGCCTTGCTACCCTTGCCAGCTCCTTTGGTGAGCTCTTTGCTCTTGTTCTTGATCTCGGTGTGTAGGCGATCGAAGATGGGAAGGATAGCGCCTTTTAGTTGCTTGGCGGTTTCGTAGTGTTGGTTCGAGATGCTCTACATGAACAGTTAGGAGTGAGCTTGGCAGGATGTTTAAACGAAACCTACCTGCGTATTAGACCTGATGTTTTCGAACATGCCGGCGATACCACCCAGCGATTGGTCGAAGTGGTGGCCTTCCTTCAGTGGGTCTTTGACGGTCTGTCCTGAATCAGCATCCCAATACACCGTCTTAGTCCATGTCGACCTACTTTCAGCACTCTCTCGTACTCCTTGCCGTGGGCGTGATTCGTCTTCTCTGTTGCCGTAACATAGTCCTCGAGATAGGCGACGGCATGCTTCCATGCTTGCAATCGCTCAGCGAAGAGCTTGGTGACCTGTGCAGCTGCTGAGTGTCACGTTTTCCTTGCAGTGTATGTAGCGTCTCACCTCGGAGGTGTCTTCTCCTGGAACGGCGTCTTCGTCGACAGATCGATTCGTCAGACTGCGCGATGGCAGCTCGCTGGTAGCAGAGGTTGGCACAGACATGATGGTGGTATGTGTCGCTCAAAGATCCAATCCAAACGTGTGTCACGTCTCTTGAGTGCGGGGGGAAGCTTGAAATATGGTACGCGAAGGTGGGGCTGATTGCTGATGTCTGGACGGAAATGGAAATGACTTCAACCTGCAGAAAATAGAAGGGGAAATAGTTTGGGACGAAGGGATCAGGGCCCAAGGATATCAACAATGATTTAAACACCGGGACGGTCTAGACCAAGCGGTGAAAAAGGCTCATGTGAAGCAAGGTTTGGTGACACCACAATCTCTAGTTATAAGACGTCATCGGCTTGGAAGCCCTTCGCTTAGCGCCGCAGGAGTAGCCCTGCGATCTGCACTCGATCATGAGACCAGCAATACGCCAATATCGCCCATGAATGTACTCTGACAGACTAGGTTCAATCCAAGTCTCGAGGGAGGAATGTGAAGATTGAGGCATGCAGTGTGAGAGGGAAAGAAACGCGTCGCTGAGGCCCGGCGGGGTCGCGTCTTCACGTGCCATGGCGGGGGGCTGTTATCGATAACGATGGGCTAGTCTCAGAAACTTTTGTAAAGGCAGTCAGTTCCAAGCGCATTGTCCTGGTTCACGAGAAGAATATACCACCATGTCTACAGTCACAGCCATGGCAGCAATACCTGGTATGTCCCCATATAGCTTCAACGGCTACAACTAACAATATATTCTAGAGCAACTGCAGGCCAAATTCGATCTCGGAATCTGGTTCGCCCTCTTCAACTGGCCCAACCTGACCGTCGCCGTACAAAACGAATGGGGCGGCCCCGACTCTTCAGACAAGCGCGATTGGATCGCAGGCCAGATCTCTGATCTTTTCGCCTCAGAAGCCTCGACAGATGCGGAAGACGTCGAAGTCATGCTGCTCCAAGTGCTCGAGGACGAGTTCGGTGTACGCCTAGAAGACGAAACCGAGGTCAACGTGGCGCGAGAAATCATGGCGATACGGAAGGAAATCGGGGAGGGCAACACGACTACGGTGGACAGGCTACAGAAGAAGTGGGAGGAGCGGAAGGGCAAGGAGGTTGCGACGGGAAATGTCAGCGTGAGGGAGAGCAATCAGGAGGGCGAATGGGACAGTGTGGATGAGGAGAGTGATGAGGAGGACGATGTCGAGATGGGCGATGCGCCGGCACTTGTACCTGCGAAACCGAAGGCTGAGCCAGAGGTTGACGACGAGGGCTTTACGAAGGTGCTGGGCAAGAAGAAGAGGTGAAGAACGACGATGGCCCTCTGATTACAAAATGTAATAGCGAAGCCGTCTTGAAGAGGAAGAGGAGCAACTCCTCCTGCCTGCAGAAACCCCTCCAAACCGCACAACTCGCGGAATTGTACAGGCAGCAGAAGGTACGCCGAGCATGCCATGATGCTCTTGCGAGTAGAGAGCTCGAAAGAAACATACAAGAGATAGTCTCATTCAACCCTAATCTTGAACTTGTGTCTCATGCTGAAGCGTGACTTTGTGTAACAGGCCGCCAAGGAGTGCGGCTGGTTGCGGTGGAGCTGCATCTCCCCGCTTGGACCCTTGATGCACCCGCACTGTCTCACGGCTTACACCGCCATAGCTCCGCACACTACTTGTATCACGCACGCTGCTTTCTCCGACAGTCTAGTGCCATGGATTCCGCGTACGATCATATACAGGAGGAAAGCTATCCTCAGGATCCTACCAGACAACAGGCTGGCGGAGACGGCACCCACCAGGAGACGGCTAACAACTTCAATGCCGAGATTCAAGATGCCTACAAGGCGATATCAAGCAGTCCGTGGGCAGCGCGACTTGGAGGCTTCTTGGGCACTGTAAAGAAGCAGGTAAGGCATACGACATGAGAAGGCAACTAGCTTCTGACCGAGCATGGAACAGGGCGAGCAGTACTACGACAGTGCAAGCAAGCAATATGCCCCGCTAAGCAAGACTGCCACTGCCGGAGTCTCCAACCTCATAACTCATGCGCGCAAGCTATCCGTGCAGGCCGGCGATATTGCAGGTCCAGCTGCCAAATCTACAGACAAGGATGCCTCCTTCACGACGGTGCAAGAAAAGGAAGACCTTGAAGCCCACCCAGACCGCCCCGAATCGCTCCCAGCAGACATTGTCAAGGAAGCCGAGGGCATACTATCACGTTTTAGATCCGAAGCCACAAAACGGTTGAAAGACATAGAAAAGGCAGAAGACGCAGCCGACGAAGCTCTCCTCAAATTCGGCTCCAACCTCCGCAATTTCCTCCGCGACGCCGTAACCATTGCCCCTCCCGAATCTGGCTCCGAAGCCCACAAGAATGGAGAGGTACTTTTTGAATCAAAGGATAGCAGCGGTAAGAAAGTTGTGCACGCGACACGATTCGATGCGCAATTACACGTTATTCATTCTACCTTGGACTCGTTCCTAAAAGACCCTACCAGCCCTCAATGGGACGAGTGGAAGAGCAATTTTGATGTAGAGAAGAAGACGGACGCAATCGCCAAGGATCTAGAGAAGCATGAGGAGCTGCGGAGTGCCATGGAGAAATGTGTGCCCGAGAAGGTGGATTATGCCAACTTCTGGGTCAGATACTACTTCCTGCGACATGTGATTGAAAGCGAGGAGCAGCGGAGGCGGGAGATGCTGAAAGGTACGCCTTCCCTTCAAGAAATCTAGAAACATGACATACATGTGAATGGAGCGGGACTAACAAAGCCACAGCTTCAGCCCCCGCCGCCGACGAAGAAGTGGGCTGGGACGAAGATTCCGAAGAAGAAGAAGACGACGACGACGCCTCATCTTCCGCCTCGACCTCAAACCCTACCCCGCCCAACCCCACCTCCACCGAGAAGCCAAGCAACAAGTCCGCCACGAGTCTCGCCGCGTCGGTCAAGACGCTCAAGCCGTCGGATGACAAGCCTGCTGGCGAGGAACTGCTCAAACCCGCGCAGCCGCGCCGATCAAATGACGAGAAGAGCGTAGCGGACAGCGATGCGAGTTATGATCTCGTCAGTGGGGCTACAAGTAAGGCGCCGGGCAGTCCGCAGCAGGTACAGGTGAAGAAGAAGGGTGTTGCCGAGGAGAGTGAGGAGGAAGATAGCGATGAAGAAGAAAGCGACGAAGAGGAAAGTGATGAGGAAGAGAGTGAGGAGGAGGAGGATTGGGAGTAGGCAGGTTCTAGGAGAATACGGAGAATACGGAGCATGTGAATATGTGTTCTTGGGAGGCGTACTGGCGTAAGTCTGGGACGATCGAAATGATCGTGTCATGGTATGTTCATATGCTATACGAATTATGTGATGACATCTATTCTCTATACAAGTTGGTGCGCCTTCGCTATGCTATTTTGGTGATTGATTCTATGACTAAATCAAGTGGTATCTCAAACGCCTGCCATGATGCATATCGCCCAAAGAAACACCCGCATTGATGCCGCTTGCGAAGATTCTTAAACTATGGTTTGGATTGCTAGTTGCCATGATGAGTCCTGTTGACTCTAGGCTTGCTTTTCGACGGTGCTGGGCGGCGTGTCAGGAGCCACACTGCCCCTAAAAGCCTGTACATTAGGATCAGGTTGTGCTTGCCGCGGCGAGCTCGATGTAGGAGGTGCGGTAGGTAGTCCTCTAAAGCTAGGCTGTCTCAAGCTCTTGTTTGGGTTCTGGTTCGGCTGCGTAGTTGCCCGTCTCAGAAGCGGACTGGGAGACGACAGATGCGAGAGCGACGGCCTGTCTAGTCGAACGTTATTAGAGGATATAGAACGGCTGACTGCTGGCGTGGAGTTCGGAAACGAAGGCGAAGATGGCGATTGAACTGGCGTGCCAGAGCGCGAATGCGAGTTGATCGTCGACGCTCTGCCTGTCGGGTAGCCCTCGTAGTCATAGGTAGAACCGTCTACTGGAGATGTAGCTTCATACGCGTGGTCTTCGTGAAGTTCGTGCTCCAGATATTCTTCACCACGACGCTTGATTGGACTCTCATCATACGGGTCAAACCCGACCCTCATGCGAGCCTCTCGACGCACACGGCGGCGGAGATCTGAGTCCCCGCCTGCGCCTACGGTGCTACTATCGGAGAGGAAGAAGTTGAGGAACTCATCGGGGATGGCGAGATGCGAGGACTGCTGGAACTGTTGGAGGGCAGTGAGACGAATGAGCATCTCTAAAAGGGAGAGCGAGGTCTTGATCGGCGGTAGGGTCGTTGGCGCTTGTGGTGCGTATTGTGGTACCGGCACATATGCCTTCCGAGGGGAGGGGATGAGTTGGGTGTTCGGTGGAGGGGGCGACGTATCATTAGATGGCGTCGATGGACGGAGATTGAGGTTTGACATCCGGGAGAGAAAGGCAGGCGACTCGGAAGGATCACGCTGTACGGGGTGTTCTGCTGATGTAGGTGATGAAAGGTCCAGCTCGGAATCCTCAGTTTCGTCAAACTCAGAGTCCGTCGATGGGTCTTCCGAGAACACCTCAAAGGCCATCCATTCAAGGTCAAGTGTCGGTGGAAGGCGCCAAGGAAAAGTTGTTATCTCTGGTTCTTGAATTGGCTCCTCTTGAAGATTGGCCGTAGACTCGCGTCGCAGCTGGTCTTCCAACTCTGTCTCTTCTGGGTCAACTTCATCGCCTCCAACCGTATGAGAGTCGTCTGAATCGTAGCCTGTCTCCATGGCATCGCGCTCCATCATGCGGCGTGGAGGTGCTGCATTGAGATCCCGCTTTAGCAGCAAGATCGGGTTGTTGGTCTCGCCTTCGGTACCGATGTTCAAGATCTTCCCTGTATCCGCGTAGAAGATTTTAGAAACCTCGTGGATGGGAACAACCTCACGAACGCCAGCCTGCTCGATGCCGTCATATGGCTCGGGGTGAGGCTCGCCATCTTCGAAGTCGTGCATGCGGCCATCGTCTAGATCTTCAACAATCAGCAGCTGGTATGCGAATTCTTGAACTGTGCTGTCAGAGGGTATGTGGCGATGGTTGGCCTCATCAGATCGTCGTTTGTCTTGTCGGAACGGTGTCGGGTAGTCGTAGACCTTGTCGAGTGGCACTCTCAGAAGGGTTACGCGGGCCTTGTGCATGACTTCTTTCCATGTTGTCTCGCGGAAGCTTTCCCCGTGTGGTCGATTGGCGTAGCCTGAGAATAGCATGTACATGGATAGAGTGAATGTCGGCCCAATCTGTTGAGCTCGGGGCTTTGAAGTGCAGTACTGCATGTCCCCAGCCGTCAAGAATGTGCTGGCCTGCAGCAGACGTGATGGCGACACGGTAGCCGGGAGAGTTGTGTGCAGGCTCACGCCAGAAGTGGTGATGGCCAAATTGATGAGTGGAACGGCATCTTCAATGCGCTCGAGTAGTTGCTTCATCTCCGAGATGATGATGTTGAGCTCGATATCATTCTGGGCTCGTGACTTGGCCTTGGAGCTGCCCCTTCTTGAGAGCTGCTCTTCGGCTACAGCCTTTTCCACACGACTACCGAGCGTCTGGATATCCCATCGAAGAGACTTGGTGAGCGTCACGGCTGATTCGAGCGAGGTGTTTCCACGGGCGGCGATCAGCTCAATCATGTCGATTGCCGGTGAGATGATTTTGATCTTTGAATCAAGTCGCAGTTGCAGCTTAGCAAGCTCCTCTTTCTCGCGACCATTTACAGTCTTCATTAGACGGCCACATTGCTTGAGTGCATATGTGCTGGTGATGGCTATCCCGCTTCGAATAGCGTAGGTCATCGCCTGCTGCGTCACCTATCACCTGGTTAGCTAATGCCATATTCGTGTCAAAGATATCATGATGCTGACTGCACGTGACAGTCCGAAGAGTCAGAGCATAGTCATACCTTTGCTAGTAAGATGTCCATGTTGCCTTGTTAATCAAGTTCAACTTTGGGTTGGGTTGGGTTGGGTCGAGTGAGTGGGCGAGCGAGGGTTCATGGAAGAGAGAGTGAGGAAAACATTGGGGCGACGTGTGGGGTTGCTAGGAAAGTGCGCCCGAACAGAAATTCCAAGTGAGTGAATGAATCTCAAGAGAGACGTGTTGAAGGCATGCATGCGTATCTGTTTGTTTGGCTTGTGGCTATGGATTGAAATGTAGAGTGGTAGCCAATGTTAGGCAGAGAGGCATCGAGTCAGCCCCACCAGGCAACTTGGGTAGCGACGGTAGCCACCCCGCCAAATCCTGCCTGGCTGCGGCGACCCGCACACACTTCTGTAACTTTTCGCCGCCGGCGACGACGCTCCCAACGCCGCCCATATAAACTTCTCCAGTCACTCTTTAGTCGCCTCCCTCCGATACCCCCGTGCGCACCCTCTACCCTCTCCGCCCCCGAGACGACTGGGAAAGAACTCACCCATTTTTCCCCCCTCACACCACACCCCGCCTCCAACATGGCCGACAGCTGGGAAGACGAAGAGGAGCGACTCTCGCAGCAGGCCCAGGGCCTCAATCTGAACAACGCCAACGCGGGAAACTTCACGCCAGGCGCCGCGTCCTTCACCCCCGGCGCGCAAGCCTTTGTCCCCGGACAACAATTCCCCGCCTACAACCAAGGCTACGGCGGCCAGTATCAGCAATATGGAGGATACAACCAAGGCTATGGCGGCCAATACGGCTACCAGCAGGGCTATCCGCAGTATGCGCAACAGCAGCAGCAGCAACAACAACAGCAGCAGCAGCAAGGCTACCCCAACTATGGCCAGCAGGGACAACAACAAGGACAGCAGGGCTACCAGAATCAGTATGGGGGGTTCCAGCCTCAACAAGCGCAGCAGCAGCGACAGGCTCCTGTAAAGATCGCAAAGCGAGGGGAAGCCGACGTCTCCAGCGCACAGAGCTCAGCACCTGCCCCAGCTGCTGCTGACCCAACGAAGGAGGCACCGAAAGCAAAGGTCCTGTCCATCGGTGGCGATAGCGCGCCAAAGGCAAAAGTTCTGTCCATCGGCGGGGACACTACAGCGCCCAAGGTGGAGAAAGCTGGCGGCACCAAGGTGCTCTCTCTCGGAACGCCAGCAGCAGCGCCCTCGGCCGCAAAAGAAAAGGCCGACAAGGGAGCTCCGGAAGCTGGAGCCAAGGTCGCAGCCGCGAAGGCGATCGAGAAGACTGGCGAGCCTACCGGATCGTCCGCCGCATCTGGCAGGACTTCGCCAACTCCCTCATCGGGCCGCAACAGTCCAACACCAAAGGAGAAGGCGGCCGCAAAGGCAATAGATGTCGAGAACGAGCAGGCTGAAGTGGTTGATGAGGCGACATTGGCTGAGATATATGGCAAAGAGCACGTGAATATCATTTTCCTCGGCCACGTTGACGCCGGCAAATCAACACTCGGTGGCAGCATCCTTATCGCGACTGGTATGGTCGATGAGCGAACTCTCGACAAGTACAAGCGAGAAGCAAAGGACGCTGGTCGAGAGACATGGTACATCTCATGGGCGCTCGATCTAAACAAGGAAGAGCGTGCGCAGGGTAAGACGATTGAAGTCGGCCGAGGATTCTTCGAGACCGAGAGGCGACGGTATTCTATTCTCGACGCGCCGGGTCACAAGACTTATGTCCCCAACATGATTGGCGGTGCATCACAGGCTGATGTCGGTGTACTTGTCATTTCTGCTCGTAAGGGAGAGTATGAGACTGGTTTTGAAAAGGGAGGCCAGACTCGGGAGCACGCCATGTTGGCCAAGACCCAAGGTGTGAACAAGCTAATCATTGTCGTCAACAAGATGGACGACCCTACAGTCGAATGGTCCGAGGATCGATTCAAAGAATGTACCTCCAAGCTTGTTCAATTCCTGAAGGGTGTAGGATACAACCCAAAGACGGATATCGCAATGATGCCCGTCAGCGCACAGACATTCACCGGCATCAAGAATCGCGTACCCAAGGACCTGGCGCCTTGGTATGATGGCCCGTCTCTGCTCGAATATCTCGACAACATGCAGGCCCTCGAGCGCAAGCTCAATGCCCCCTTCATGATGCCAATCGCCGCAAAGTACAAGGACATGGGTACTATGGTAGAAGGCAAGATTGAGTCCGGTAAGTAATAGTCCACTGCAACATCGCATCCATCGCTCATTTCAACAGGTATTATCAAGAAGGAGAACAAATATCTCATGATGCCAAATCGACAAATGATACATATATCCGCTTTGTTTGGAGAGCAGGAAGAGGAGATCCCCGGCGCTACATGCGGTGACCAGGTGCGCATCCGTCTTCGAGGCGTGGAAGAGGAGGACATTCTCCCCGGATATGTGCTTTGCTCGCCAAAGCGCCCCGTTCACTGCGTCTCCCAATTCGAGGCTCAAGTGGTGCTGCTCGATATCAAGTCTATCATGACCGCGGGCTTCAACTGTGTGCTGCACGTCCATGCTGCGCAAGAAGAAGTCACCATCACTGCTCTACTACACAAGCTGGAGAAGGGTACCGGACGTAAGAGTAAGAAAGCACCGGGCTTCGCTACCAAGGGCATGAGCATCATTGCACGGTTGCAAATCACGGGCACAGCTGGGTCTATCTGTGTGGAACGCTTCGAAGACTACCCACAGCTCGGACGATTCACGCTACGGTAAGGCCGCTCAATTTTTCAGTTCAAACTAGAACCCCTACTAATAAACGAACAGAGACCAAGGTCAGACTATTGCTATCGGCAAGATCACGAAGCTCATCACGGATGCCGATGCTTAAGCCTGTTAAAAGTGACGAGTTACTACCTGTAACCGAGTAAAAGATATGAATATTACGGTTGGCTTTCGCATTCTGAGCGTTGATCGCCTCCGGCCTGGAAAGGCGACATACAGGGGATATGCTATAGATCTAAAGCGATATGAATGAGAACACTACTTTCCATCTACAAAAATTCGCACTACTTCAGAATGAAAGAGCAATTATTGAACGTACCTGACGTTGTTGACGTTGCGGAGTGGATGTCATGCGTCTAGAGTGTTTCGCGTACTCGTCCCGCGGCATACGCGTAGTGAGACAAGCCTTTTAGTGCCGTAATCAACAGCAACCTTAATTGACTTTCCAGACAAGGAAGTTTCCTGTTATGTTTCCTTGAGTCGGATTACTCTAGTCTACAACTGTAGTAGACCCGTCTGTTCCATCACCGAATGCAACAACCACTATGGTAATAATTGAGGGGTTTGACGTCACAAGCTTTCATGTACCTCAAATTGGCTATAGAAACGTATTCACGCTGGAAAAGAAAAGAAAAGGATTATCGCCCCTTCTACTTTCAATGTTAGATAAGTCAAGAGTTTAGTTCATGTTCGCTGTCGACTTGTTCATGTGTCACCGCCCGATTACATAACCTTGGGTTGACGCAGGGTCTCGTGGCGCAACGCCGCGATACTCCAACTTCACCACCTTTCACTTCACTCCACTCTCAGCCGCCAGAGCTCTAAGCGCACGCTGCGCCCCTCTCGCACGCCTCTCCGCCCATCATGCAGGGTTTCAACATGGGCCGGTACTACCCACCCGACGCCAGCAACCCGCCCGCCTTCAACTCCAACTCGCATCCTCTCGGTCAACGCGCGAACAAAATATCCCAGGGCATACTCACTGTCCGCTTCGAGCTGCCCTTCGCCGTGTGGTGCAACCACTGCACCCCACCTGCTATCATAGGCCAGGGCGTACGCTTCAACGCCGAGAAGAAGAAAGTAGGCAACTACTACTCGACACCGATTTGGAGTTTTCGCATGAAACATAGTGCGTGTGGGGAGTGGTGGGAGATTCGGACAGACCCGCAGAAGAGCGAGTATGTCGTTGTGGACGGGGCGCGGCGGAGAGACTATGGGCCAGAGAACGGGGGCGCAGAAGCAGAGGGCGACCTTAAGTTCTTGACGGAAGAAGAGAGGGAAAAGAGGAGGAATGATGCGTTTGCCAATCTAGAGGGCAAGATGGAGGAGAAAGGACTGGAGAGGAAGAATAAAGAGAGGGTGGAGGAGTTGTATGATAAATCTGAAGTCTGGCGCGACCCGTATGACGTGAATGCTCGCCTGAGAAGAGACTTCCGTGTGAAGCGCAAGGTTTTGAAGAAGGAAGAGAGGCATAAGGAGGGCATGCAGGATAAGTTTAGTTTGGGCATTGATATTGCGGATGAGACGGATGCAGATCGAGTGCGTGCAGGTCTGATAGAGTTCGGTGCCGGCGCAGCAGATACGATGGACAGCGAACATACACGCTGGAAACCACTCTTCGCCAGCGACGAGAAGGCTGAGAAAGGCGTCGAGACCACTCCGAAGACAAAGAAGCTCAAGGCGGAGGCAGCGGCGCAGAAGAGTCGGCACACACTCCAGAAAACGCTACTCAACAACACAAGAGCGACGATCGATCCTTTCCTTTCCAACGACGTTGGCATGCCATCAAGAGTTAGCTTTGGTGTCCTCAAAAGAAAGAGGGGTGTCCAAGAAAGTGCTGAGCTCGAAGAGCATAAAACTGTGGCTCTTCCGCCAGTCGACGAGACCCCTAAAAGCAAGCCGGCAGCAAATCTAGCACTAGTCGACTACGACTCGGATTAACAGGCTATGCGAAATTTCTATTAATATCGACGAAATACGGCGTTATCAATGGGATGTAATGAGGGTGGGACATATGCATTTATGGCGTTTGGAACTATAGCAAAAGATACCCCAGTGCTTGCACAGACATTTATATCATTAAGTCATAAGAATTCATTATAATGAAACAAGAAAAATTCACCAATAACACCTAGTAGATCGAAAATAGGACTCCAACGCTAAAAGCGCCCCAACATACCTCATAAATCAATCTGGTACTCCTTCCCCTATCGCACTTTCCTCCCCCATATTTTTGCACCACCGCCGTCATTCTACTCCTTCTCCCCCTTGCCACCAACGCGCTCAACGATCCTCTCCACCAAATGCCCAATACTACTCGCCTGCAAAATCTCAAACACACTCACACCCACCTTCGTCTCTCTCTGAATCCAATTCTTCATCTCGACCGCGACCAGCGAGTCTGTCCCATACGCGCTCATAGCCCGCGCAGGGTCAAGCTCAGAAGGATCCATCATCAAGCTACGAGACAGCTTCTTGAGCAGCGCAGTGAGAATATACTCCTTCGCCTGATCCGAGGACGTAGTAGAAGCGAGCTGAGCGGCCAACGAGAGCGTAGACGACACCGCGCCGTCGGAGGTATTCTGCGCAGCCGTCTCTGTGCGCAGATGCGGACGCAAGTAATCCAGATGACTGAACACTGGGTCTCTAGCGAAGAAGGGACCGCCGTCATCTTCCTGGTTCTGCGCCATGTCGAGGTCTGAATCTAGGCCAGTGACAATGTGGCCTGTCTTTGGCTCGCGAATTGCTAACTCGATCAATGCGAGGAGTTCGGTCTCGTTGATGTGCTTGAACTCTTGGACGCGCACTTTTTCCTTCTTCGCAGCTTGTTCCACGACGTAGCCCACGTCTCCTACGATTCCTAGATCGATGGCTGTCGCGGGTAAGCCGAGACCGTTCCTGTACTTGGCTAGTGCTACTTGATAGGCACATCCAGCGGCGTAGTTTGCTTGGCCCGGGTTGCCGATGAAGGAATGGAGGGAAGAAAGCAGGATGAAGAAATCCAGTGGTTGGGACAATGTGGCTTCGTGGAGGTTTTTCGAGCCGTGGATCTTGGGAAGGATCGTGGAAGTCCATTGTGCGTGGGTCATGTTACTGAATAGGGAGTCGTTTAGTGTCATTGCGCCTTGGATTACGCCACGAATTGGGGGAAAGCTGGCAAGCGTTGATGAGAGGGCTGTCGAGAGGGCGAGGGCGTTGGAAATGTCGCATTGGAGGACTGCGGTGCGAATGCCTCGGCCTTCGAGATCCGCGATGAAAGAGGATGCTTCAGAAGAAGAAGCGCCAGAGCGGGAAACGAATATCAAATTCCTGGCGCCGTGGGTGGTTAACCAGTGGGATATGCTGCGTCCTAGACCGCCGAGGCCACCGGCAAGGAGGTAGGTCGCATCTGATTCAAAATGTACTTGCTCCGGTGGTTTCTGGGTGACCTTGTCATTGTTAGTATTTCGTCACACACTGAGATTTCAAGACCAAGTTACTCACCAGGACACGGTCGCCGGCGCTCGGGACCATGACTATGCTGCCTCCATCCTGAACCTTCTCAATCGCTTGACGCAGTTCTGACCAAGGCTTAGCCTCTACCTGCGACAGAGACTGCAAGTCTATCCCCATCAGGAAATCCATCGCTTCTTGGAATACTCTTCCAGCTAACTTCCTATTCTGCGACTGTAGAAAGGCCACATCGACCGAGGAGAATGATACATTACGCTTGAACGGAGCCATCTCCAGCCGTTCATTAGCCCGCGCATTGCTTTTCCCAAGCTCAATGAACCTGCCGAATGGGGCGATGCAACTGAACGTAGCCTGTAGTACTTCTCCAGACAGAGTATTGAGCACAACATCTACACCGCGGCCCTTGGTGAGTCGGCGAAGTGCTGCGACGAACCTGATGTCTTGACTGGAGAATATGCGGCTAGGATCGATACTGTAGACTTCTGAAAGATGAGCCTTCTCCTCTGCCGACCTGACAGTCAGGAAGACCTTTGCTCCAAGCTTTACGGCAATCTGTATAGCAGCTTGGCCCACACTGTTCGCCGCATCATGGATAAATACTGTTTCCCCAGCCGCCACATGAGCTACACGTACTAAAGCGTAGTATGCCGTGATAAATGCCAATGGCAAAGTAGCGGCAGTCTCAAAACTGATGGTGTCGGGGATTTTGTGCACAAACGCTGCCGTGGTATGTACATGTGTAGCGAACGTACCAGTACACCAGGCGACAACTCGGTCACCAACAGAGAGGTGACTGACACTGCTACCAGTATGTTTTACAACACCTGCGCATTCTTGGCCCAGTTGTTCATCTGAAAGGTCGCCGTTGATGATTTGAATGTCTCTTGAATTGAGATTTGTGGCTTGGATCTCGATCTCTACTTCATCGGGCTGCAAGAGTTGAGGAGTATTCAAATCATCTTCAAACACAAAAGGACCCTTGATTCCAGAGTCCGATAGTTCGAGCCTCAGTGGGCGGTTCTCTTGCGCAATCTCTTCTAGCTGTGGCGGCAGTGCATCCGGATCCGTGCGAGCCGTCAGGAACAGGTTAGACCGATCATCCTCGATCGCACGCTTGATGTGTATTATGCCGTCTTGCTCGATCAAATCGCTGTCAGCAACTCCAGGGTTTCTGTTGGGACCGATACTCTGCGTGTACACGCGGAACAGTAGGTCAGCAACTCCATGGGACGTCAACTTTTGCTCTGCATTCAAGTCGACAGTGATGCACGGGAAGTCTTCGTGCTCTGATCTTAGAGTACGCGCAAGACCCTGGAAGACGGCAAGGTCGGGCCGCTGGACCTGGGAAGATGCTGCGCCGCGTGTTACCCAGATCAGTCCCGCAGATGTATCAGCGATACGTTGTAGAGACTTCAGATCACTTGGAGAAGGACTGGCCAGTAGAGGCTCATCAAGCTCTGCAAGGCTGATGCAGACTGCACCTGTGACGTCTTCTTGTTCGAGCATGGATAGAGGCAAGATTTGCACCTGTAACCCCGCGTTCTCCAGTCTAGTCTTGATAGCTAGCGGTATGTCTAGCGTGTTCATCTTGATCGGGGAGTCTGAGGATAGAAGGAGGATACGAGAGATTTCTGGTGGTGTGTATAGGCCATTACGCAGGATCGGCTTTGCTTCGACTGCTGTCGCGATCATAAGCCTCGTGCCCTCCTCCAGGGGGTTCAATACATCCGGACTGCTCGCCTTGAGATCGCTGAAGCCAGTCGTGTGAAGAACATCTTGCCATTGTGCCTCAGTGAGTAGTGGGCCCTCCGTTCGCCACTCTTCCGACGCATTCCACCAGCCTGGCAGGGTGCCAAAAATGACGGAAGCAGCAAGGAGGCGGTTCGTCATCTCAAGCAGAATCAACTTCCCTCCTGGTCGCAGCAAACTTCGCACATGAGCCATAGTGCGGTGCATGTCAGAGGTTGCGTGCAGTACATTAGCTGCGACTATGACATCGTAGGACGCAGGCTTGAAGTCTTGAGTGGAGGGGTCTTGCTCAACATCCAACTTCTTGAACTTCATAAACTGATTGAAAGTTTCGAATTTCTCCGCAGCGCGCTGGAAGAAGTAAGATGAGATGTCCGTGTAAGTGTACGACTTGAGACGTGGATACGTGTGAAGGTCTTCACATCCACTCAGCCCTTTCAAGGTTGGGACTGTTGCACCGCCAGTTCCAGCACCGATCTCGAGATAGTCGAGATTAGGGTACTTGTGTGAGAGCATGGTGACGTATCGGGAAATTTGCGCGTATGTGTTCGGCATGCCGACTGCAGTCGTGTAGTAATCCTCGAGCAGGTTCTCGTGTGTCATCAAGGCGAGTGGTTCAACTTCTTGCCTGAACACTGAAGACAAGGCTTCACCTACTCGTACCAGCAATTTGCCATCGTATGCTGTTTCGTGATTTCGATAGTGCTCGACTAGGGATTGGAGTCTCGCGGCTACTTCGGTGGTCTGGAGTTGCTGCCACTCATCCGTCTGCTGTGGATGTGTTCTTCCTAACACTGAATCTCGGAGCTGGCACAAGTTGCGGTAGAATCTCTGGTGATGTGGCAGCATTGTAGCTACCTCCTCTTCTTTCACTTCTTGCAAAACCCGATCGATGAAATAGTAGGATACTAACTCCAACTCCCTGACAGTCTTCGGGCGATCATCTGGCCGCGGCGCGGCCTGCAATTCTCGATCCAAGCTTTGACGGTCAATGAGTTCCACATCAGGTTCCCACACCGGTTTGAAGCAGTGCTTCGTTATCGTCTGGAGCTCGCTGGACTCACTGCCACTGTTGATAGCGACAAACTTGAAGCCGTCCATGAGTACTACTGGTTTTGCAGTAATCGGATCCAGGGCAAAGATGTTTGCTCTCGCTTCCCTTGATCCGTGTCTCTCGGCACTGACAACAATGTTAAGCTTATCTCCCGACTGAGCTGCGATGTTCGCTGAGATGGAGATCTCCTCTACGAAGGTGGGCACCATCGCACCCTTGAGGTTTCGAAGTCCGGCGCCGCCAAGAGCTGCAAGTGCAAGCTGCAAGAAATTATCAAGAGTAGCAGGATGTAACAGTCGTTCATGCTCAAACTCTTTGGGGTTGCTGAGCCGCGTGTTTGTCACTTCGACAACTCCCGTCACTTGGTCCGAGACGTTTGGATCCAAGTAAATCTCCTTGAGTCCTTGGAATAACGGTCCGTATGTGAGTCCGAGGGCGTCGACACTTTCATAGAATCTCTCCACGTCGATTTTCTCTGCCGTTGATGTGTGCGCATTTGTCCATTCGTCGAGACATTCATTCGACAACTCTTCATCCACGGTCGGCTGACTTGACACGGAAACAGAACCACTGCAATTCTCGACCCAACCGCCATCAACGGTGTAGGAGAAAACGCGGAACTCGTGCCAGGCGTCTAGCGATGATGTACCGCTACTTGACTGACAACGCATAGAGAACAAAGTTTCTATACCTTCATCAGACTCTGGGACAACAAGGGCTCGCGAGATGCTGACTTCTCGTAGCCGATACTCCAATGTGTCCTTTGACCCCTGAGGTAATATCGATGAGGGTTCAATAACGGACAATTGTCGACACGCTTCAATCGCCATACAGAGATAGCCACAAGCTGGAAATAGTACATCCCCTTGAACAACGTGGTCTTTTAGCCACGGCTGTTCACGTAGACGTAAATAGTTCCTAAACCGAGGTTCTAGCGGATTCCAGTCCCACACTGGTGCACCAAGAATATCGGTTCTAGCAAATTGGCGGAAACGATAGTCTCGACTAAGTCGAGACTCACACCAATAGCTGCGTGTATGGTTCCAGGGGTATTGAGGGAGGTCGGTGAGAACTGAAACAGCTTGTTTTGGCTCAGTCGGGAAGTTGGCAGCATGGAGATTGACTGGAAGTTTCCTGGCGAACAACTGGCCTGCCACTTCGAGTGCAGTGGTGTCGGCGGGCTTGTTGCGAATAAGTGTGGAGAGGTACTGGATGTTCGACTTCCCTGCAAATGTGTCTTCGAGTATCTCTCGAACAGGAAGTTTGAACAAAGCGTGTGGTCCGACTTCGAGCAAAATGTCAACGCCTTGATCGCCTTCTTCTGACTTTAACAGGCATAGCTTCTTTAAAGCGCCAGAGAAGCGTACACAGCTAACGAGATTTGATACCCAGTATTCCGCGCCCAATTGCTCCCGATCGATGACTTCTTCTCCCACAGAAGAGATCATTGTTACGCGTTGCTCGCCGTCTAGCACCACAACTTGAGCCTCCTCGAGTCGAGCAAGGTAGTCTTCAGCGATTGCCTGCATATGATGAGAGTGATATGCAGTGTCTACTTGAAGCGTCCTTGCGAAAACACCCTTAGCGACAACTGCCTTATATAGTTCTTCCATGGCGGGGGTATCGCCAGAAATCGTTACGCCACGAGGACTGTTCACGCATGCGACCAGGACCTTGCCCAGTTTGTCACCCAGCTCGGCAATCTCGTTGTTGGCTTCGGCTTCGGAAAGTCCAACAGCCATCATACGCCCATAAAACCCAAGGCTCTTCACCTTTGGTGATAGCAACCCGCGAAAGTATGCAACGCAGATTGCCGACTTGGTACTTAAGGCGCCAGCAGCATAAGCTGCCGCAATTTCGCCACTAGAGTGGCCGACGACGCTCTGAGGATGTATATTCCATGAAGAGAGAAGATCCACGAGAGCGATTTGAAGTGCTGTGCAGAGCGGTTGGCTGAATGTTGCTTCATTCACTCTTGACGTAGCTTTATCCTTGAGAAGCTCTTCCATGAGAGACCAGTCAGAACCGAGGCTCTTGATGATTGCATCGCTTCTAGCTAGACTGGTCTTGAACACCGGGTAGTGAAGCAGTTCACGGCCCATTCCCCACCATTGAGCTCCTTGACCTGTAAATATAAAGCCCAGTCGTGGTGGTGTCGTGCGTGTGCTGGAAACTGAGACAAGCTTTCCTAGTTGGGTTTCAAGATGCGACTTTTCGCTTGCGACAACTGTAGCACTATAAGGGAAGCGCGAGCGGCGTTCGGATAGTGTGTATGCGAGATTGTCTAGCAGCTCTTCCTCGTTGAAGACGGTTTGTGTTTGGAGATGATCTGCAAGTGTCTGGCCCATTTGAGCTAGCCCGCGCTCATCGTTGGCAGAGAGTAGAAAGACCCTTGACCTTGAAGCGGCGCTAAACGAAGTGTCGCTAGTAGGGCTAACAAAACCAGAGTCGTTCCTCGTGTGACCACGAGAGGGATGATATCGTTGGAGATAGTGAGACGCATCGTCCACGATGACATGTGCATTTGTGCCTCCATATCCAAAGGAGTTCACACTTGCCCGTCGTAGTCCCTCCAAAGGCCAATCTTTTGTCTCTGTGGGAACTTGCAGGCGCCATGCTTCGAAGTCAATGGCTGGATTGCCCCGCTGGAACCAGATGTTTGGGAAGATGGTGCCCTTCTCCACACTGATGACAGCCTTGATCAATCCAGCAATACCGCTCGCGCCCTCCAGGTGGCCCATGTTCGTCTTTACCGATCCAATGGCAAGGGGTATCGGCTCACCATTCGCTGCAAGGGGCCGCCGTGCAGCAAACACCTTGCCGATGGCGCCAGTTTCGATTGGGTCGCCTGCCGCAGTGCCCGTCCCATGCGCTTCGAAGTATCCTGTCTCGCTCACGTCGCAGCCCGCTGCTCGGTACGCGGACTGTATGAGCTCGATCTGTGCGTCTTTCGAAGGCATCGTGATGCCTGGTGTTCGTCCGTCTGAGCTTGCTGCTGTTCCGCGGATAACAGCTCGGATTGGGTCGTTGTCGCGTAGCGCAAGATCTAATGGCTTGAGTATAACGGTCCCGACACCTTCGCCTCGCGCATAGCCATTCGCACGCTCATCGAAGGCATACGATATGGAATCCGCGCCCAGAAAATGCATGTCGCTCATCTCAATCTGGATATCAGGACTTAGGATGAGATTACTGCCTCCAACAACCGCCATTGAGCTCTCGCCGGCCCGTAGACTTTGGCAGGCCAAGTGCACAGCAACAAGACCACTGCTACAGGCCGTGTCCAACGTCACGCTGGGTCCTTTGAGATCGAAGAAATAGCTCAAACGATTCGACAACATGGTTTGTGAGGCGCCTGTTGACTGGTATTTGGGAGCCAGTTCCATGTCTCGCCGTTGCATCTCCTCGTAATCTTTGGTGAAGCATCCAACAAAACATGATGTTTTGGAACCCGAGACTTTCGATAATGGTGTTCCTGCGTTTTCGAGCGCTTCGTATGTTACTTCCAGCAGAAGCCTCTGCATGGGATCCATGGCCATGGCTTCTGCCGGCGAAATCGAGAAGAATGGCGCATCGAATAAGGATACATCTTCTGTGAGGAAGTGACCGCCGCGATTGTTTGACTTGCACAGCGTTAGGAACGGTCCGCGCCGGGTATGTTGAGATCTCGCTACTTACCGTCCCGTAACGGTCCGCATCAGGGTGATAAAAAGCATCGATATTGAAGCGGTCTGAAGGCGCTTCACTGCGTGCAGACTTCTTCTCAACTAGCATCTCCCATAGCTTCTCGCTACTCGTAACATCGCCTGGGAAGCGACATCCAAAGCCGATTACAGCAATTGGCGTTGGTTTGGCTTCGCTAGTCATTGTCGTTGGATAATGCAACAGGGGAAACCTTACTTGCGCGGAAGTTCATGAAGACCCGAAGGTCTACAGTGCAAGATTAAGATTGACGTGAACATGTCGTATATAGCTAGGAGAGGCGGGAAAGACCCAACCTATTCACTCGTCTTCACGCATGCGCCCAGCAGCACAGCCATCGAGCCATCGAGCCGTCTCTCATGCACGCTTGGGTGACGCGCGATGCATTCGCAGCACGGACTCGAAAGGGAATGTAACATAACATGGTGGATAATCAATTCCCGGAAGAAACTTTCCATGCTCATCGACGAGGCGGATACAAGTTCCAGTAGAGCGGACCGCATGCGTCAAGCTCGAGCGTCCAAACAGCTGAGCTCTCTTCCGCGTTGGTCTAAATCGATGCAGAACTGTGAACTAGCATGCATCTAAGCTCCGATATTAGTCAATTGGTACCGTTGTGTTACGTGCATGATCCTGTAGGCATGGAGAAACGATGATCTGTTGCTAAAGACGCACAAAAACTACGCGCGGAGTTTTGGCCTATACTAGCTAGAGGACAACATTTCGTCGGTATTCATGCGTGTCGGCTCTTCTGGCGCATAAATGCTCCTAGGATGACCGCGAGACAAGCCGTAGTCGCGTCTGAGGATACGTGGTGGTTGTCTGTTGGCTGCTCTTGCCGGCGTCTTTGGCTTTCCCCCCGGCAGTGATCAGCTCAGGTATCATGATAACGTGCTTGGACAGTTATTCATCGGCGATATGGAAGACATTGTCTCAGCCCACGCAAACAGGATTCACCATGAGCGGCTGGGACATCCCGCCCGGAGCGGCAAACCAGCGGTGAGGACTCGTATGCATGGGTTTTGCGGCAATGGAACGGCGTAGGCGAGGCTAGTAGGTGCAAGTAAACAGACCGGGGTGTTATACATGAGCTTTAGAGTGGTATACAGCCGAGGTAAGGTACAGGCAGTCGTATGAGAGAGAAATCATGGACGTGGGAATTCTTCATCGGTAAACACAATGTTGGGCTGCTGGGAGCGCCGCGTTCCTGCTTTGTGTGACCTGGCGGCTGAGGACAACCCCACCACGAGCCGCGAAGAAAGCTGCATGCAAAGCTGACGAACGCGTGGGGTGGTGGTGCATGGGACTTGGAGCGAAGGAAGTGGAGGGGAGGGGCAGCTGCAGGCTGGCATGTATGAAGTATTGAATGCAGGCGTAGCGCCAGGCACGCTTCGACTACTGTCTCCGAGCGAATCCGACAAGCATCTGAATTACGTCTTCACCAAGTCTTCACAGTGGTCACACGATTTATACATGTTTTAACTAACTGGAGTGAGCCAATAGAGTTGTACTTGTCGCGCACTACTAGTCTCCCCACTCATCAATTAGCCCTAAAAGTGGCCTCGACTAGTCTCTGCACATCATAGACGAGTCCCAGTCTTCTTCTGTTGGCTGGCGACAGTGGACTCTTCCTGCACTTCGCCTGCAGCTGCTGCGTCCTTGACGGAGCCCTGCGTTTGGCGTGCACCATCCACATCCAGATACGCTTCGATCAGACTCATGTTGCCCTTGCCGTGAATGGCCCGAATCTTCACAAGCCATTAGTATCTCAGCTCATGAGGAGTACGCTAGACTAGTGTACTCACCTTGAGTCGTGAATCTGCATCTGAGAGCAGGGTTCGGAATTGTTCCTCCGTTCGCTGCTTCGCGCCGAGGACGAGCATCATCATGATGTCGACCTGGCGCATGCGATTGTCGTGGTATCTCGAGGCTTCTCCGAGCGCTGGAAGAACGACATCGTTGATCAGGAGTGGTGTCCCTGGGGGGCTCTTCTCCAAAGCGGGAACTAGTTGCCTGAAGATACGGATACAATCCTCGTCACTCCAGTTGTGCGTGATGTAGCGTAGAAGATACGCTGCTGCCCCCGAGACTGGCTGAGGGGTGAAGAAATCATGCGGCATGAATGTTACGCGACCGTTGAGGTCCGAGAAGTCATTCTGTGCGGCCGATGAGAGCATGGAAAGAGAGTCTTGAACAATAAGTTCCAAATTCGGAAAGGCCTAGAGTGAGGGTTAGTGATGCTTATCGTCGATAATCTCATTTTTCTGTTCAACTGACCCGAGCAAGAGACACACTCATATGGCCGCTTCCACCTCCAACATCGATGACCTTTCCTTTGCTGATCTGATCCCACGGGAAGCTCTCTTTGAGACTTTCAAAGTGACGTTCAACTGCAATGTCGTTAGACAATGATCTCAAGTCGGGCGAGGAAGATAGTACGTCTAGAAACTCCAGCCATAGCGCTTGCAAAGCGAGCTGCTCGTCGGGCATCTTGTTGATAGAATTTGAACAAAGGCGTCCCGTGCCTCGTTACAAAAGCATTTCTCTCGCCGTCCGTCACGAGTGGCGATTCCTTGATACTATCTATGGTTTCAGAGGCTGCCTTGAAGAATTCATCCAATCTGCAAGTCTCAATCAGCATTCAAATATCCGAATAGTACTTAATTCCCGCAAGGAGTCCTTACTGATAGTGCATGACATCTCGCCATTGCTTTTCCTTCAAGTACAGCGCACTTCGCGATGTATGTTTGAACACATCCTTCTCTACCTCTTCAAACACCCTGTCTGTGGCCAGCATTCGCAGGAAACGGCCGACGCGATCTTCGTCCAAACCAGCTTTCTCTGCTATCTGTTTGACCGTGGCGGACTCGGTCTCTGGAATGGCCTCGAAGAAGTTGAATTCTAGAGCCACTTGCCAGGCAGCGAGATCGAACAGATAGCAGACAAAGGTACGTGCATCGTTCCTGGGACCATTGACTAGGCGTAACAGGTCGCGAGCAGCATCATTGAGGCGTGCGCGGAGGTCAATCTGTTCCGGAGTCTCCGGGATGGTCTCCGAGTCCGTCTCAAAAGTAGGTTCTTTTACTTCCTTCGTAGACAGATCATTGACAATCTGAGTCGTCAGCTGCTGGACCGTTGTGGCCAGCTCGAGGAGGGTGGATTGCTGTTTAGCTGCCATGATGCGTGATTGTAGAAGGTTTGTCCACTCGTGAACGCTGCTGATAGTTCCAATGACAATCGAACCCTTTTGTTCAACTGGACAAATCCCGCTAGAACTTTTACTTCGTTCATAGTCTTTGCACCTTCTAACTCATCATTGGTCATTTGAGGAGGCGCCGCACACGGGACTTTTTCCGATGTAGCGCGCTCTATGCATGCATGATGCATGTGCATATACCGAAGGAGTTCGAAGGAGCGCAGCCTAGCACCGGAGAGTTGTTCAGCCACCAACTCCTGCGTAAGCGCAGCCTCTTGCGCAGAACATGCGTTTATGTGACTTGTTGCGAACGACAAGTTGCAATTGACAATCTTGAAGGTGAGACTATGACTTCATTTCCCCATGTCCTGGCCGTACGGGTGGCTGTCCCGATGAGGTTTGACAGCGGGCGGCTGAAGGCGGCTCCCGCGGTGTTGCGTAGCAGCGACCGAGATTGACTCGGCAGAGACAATATGCAGGGTGTATGCATAGGCGTGACTCGGAACAATTCAAGGTGCTAGACGCGGCCCGCGCGCTAGTTATAGTATACATATGCATGCGTTGGCAGTGTCTTGCTGTTTCTGGGTCATGTTCCCCATAACCGCCGAGGCGGCTCTGTTCCTTCTCTTCCCCGTTGGGAGCGGCAATTAATCAATCTCGCAGTCGTCCCAGAGGCACAGAATGCTGTCTTATTGTCCCAGAGTCATGAAACCCTGTATTGTGGTCAGAGGATTTTGTGATGCGGTGTTGTCAAGGTTTAGTGGGCCCAGAACACAGAGTTTAATTGCCGAGGATATTACTGACTCAGTATACCTTCCGAATGCGACCTTCACATGCCACACGTTCTATGGTGCAGAGAGATGTCTCATGCGATTTCCACCTAGAAAAAAAAAACCGAAGCAAAGATGCGTCCAACTGCATCTCCCCTCCGCTCAATGCTCTGTCTCCCCCACCCTAAACCTTACAATTCCCCATCCACTCCTCGGCCTCCTCTTTGAACTCAGGCCTCCACCTCGTCAATGGCGGCCTTTCATTCACAATATCGCCCACAGTCCACAACATGCGCTTCTTATCCGTTTCCTCACTAACATCATTGTCTGGACAGATGATGTAGAACTTATTATTCTGCATCTTTTTGTACATGTACTCTGCGACTTGATCGGGGGACCATGCGCCATCAGGCTTTGGCTTCTCTGAACCAGGAACATTGCCCACCTACTTGTGCATCAGCGTTTGTATACTAGAAGTAGAGGAAGTTGAAAATCTTTACCAAACCGGTGAACGTCCAGCCAGGGACCAGTAGATGCACGCCTACGTTCGTATCGCGTAGATCGTAGCTCAAATGCTCGGTGAGAGATTTCACGGCGGCTTTACTAGCATTGTACGCCGCGTTGCCAGGTGGGTTCGTGATACCCTGCTTACTGCCTGTCACGACGATTGCAGCAGGCTCGCTGGATGACCGAGATTGGAAAGACGGCACATAGGCATTTAAGCCATTGATCACGCCATAAAGGTTGGCGTGGAGAATCTGCTAGTTGTCAGGATGGTTGCCGTGCTTTATCTGGCGCAATTGCAAGACTAAGTCTTTGCATCTGGTGAAAATTAGAACTGCGGCATTACTCACCTTCTCAGCCCACCCCTCATCTCCCCAACTCCCCTTAACCATAACCCCAGCATTAAGCATCAGGAAATCGACATCCCCCACCTCTTTTCTGATTCGCTTCCACTCCTCATTGTCTCCTACATCCGCTTTCACAAACTGCACATCTCCTGTCAAACTCTTCTTTGCAAAGTCAAGCGTGGTTTGATTGTAATCCACGATTGTGACTTTCATCGAGTGCTTGAGGCATAGTTGTGCAACCGCGTAGCCGACACCGGATGCCCCGCCTGTTATGAGGGCGCGGGCTGAGGGGCGGAACACAGACATTTCGAGTAGTGCAGAGGAAAAGTTAGATCCTGTACGGATATTAAGCAAGTTTTAGAGAAGGTATGGTCTTGAATGTCCTGTGAATGCCTTTTGGAATTTTGAGAGCTCCTATTCGGAGCGGGGCTGGTGACGTTGATATTTCTGATTTCTGTTCGTAACTCCGTGGTTCGGTTTCTATCTCCGGAGCTAAGAATGAGGTTGATGAATTTCACGCTGCCTACCATCTGCAGTTAGAAGAAGTTATAACGAAAAAACTAAATGAAGATTCGTTATTCACATAGAGAAGCGTTGTTTAGCGGAACAAGGCAGAGTGGGTTTCAATTTGTTTGCGTGCTGAAATCGCTATATGAAAAGTGTGTGATGATATTACATATTAAATCTACAACTACGCTAGAGCGAATGGGTATCTAAGTCCAGTCTTCCCACTTCCGCTGAGTTGAGCCTCTTCGAATGTCTCCTACGCGAGTCCCTACCATCTCTAAACGAGTTGCTTCCTCCCAAATGCTAAATCACTCAAGGCTTCGTGGCGGAACTAGCAATCGTGTTCAGGTCCTCATGCGCTGTCTCAAACCTCTCAACAGGAGGTCTCTCTGCTGTCTCCCGATCCACAACCTTCTCTTCCTGTGTACGACTACTAAACAAGCCCGCACCAGGGGCGGTGAAATACCGTTCAACAGCGGGTCTGTCCTTCATCACCTGCTCGTTTACTGAATGTGCAGCTAGTTCAGGAGCACCGAGTTCCTTGTCCTGCTGGGATTCCTCCACGGGCGGCGGAGTTGCAATATTCACACTTTGAAGTGTAAGCGTGCTTGCATTGACATCCTTGCCCTCCGGCCCATCAACCTTCAGACTAAACGGATATGCGACACCACCCTTCGTTGGTCTCGTAGTCAGCGTGTCCGTGGCCGGTATGAGTGTGTTTGGTGATTGCGGGTTATCAGAAACTACAATGCCTGGAAGAGGAAGGATCGGGTTACTGATTTCGTTTGTTGGTGAGGGGAGGGGAGAAGCTCGGCGCTCGGATGTTAGGCCTGGAACCTGGGGTGCGATCTTAGTCAAGTCGTTTGTTGACTTTCCAATCTGCCCTTTATCGGTTACAGCAGAGTGTCGTGAATGCGATCGCGGGCGGCGTATCTTTTGGGCAGCAAGTCCGGAAGCCTGACTTTGCTTAACTTTAGCTTGTGATTCACTTTCTGCTACACTATCTGTCGTGAGTTGGTTGGCCTCCTGGCTTGTTTTCGGGAGTGGTGTTTGATCCTGAGTATTATCTGCCTTTTCCTCGCGTCCGATCTATGATGCATTAGCCACCTACGTATATGGGAATATTGCGTCGTTGAGTTGACTTACTGTCGCTCTGTCATGCTTGCTTCCCCATCCACTCCACATCGACATACCCCAACTCCTCTTCTTCGCCTTTTCAGCCTTCATACCCTTGACTCGCCTTCCAGCAAGCGCAGTAGGGGGCGGTGTTTCGCCATCAAAACCTTCGAAGCCTTTTTCCATATCTTTAATCCTCTGTTTCTGGATCTTAATTTTCTGGTTCGCAAATTTGCTGTTCCATTGCTGCTGTGCCTTCATCCACTTGCCTACTGGTCCGGTCTTCGGAACGCCAACCTCAGCACTTGGGAGATTAAGAGCTACGAGTTCCTCCTTAGCAGAAAGTGGGTATATGCTTCCGTGTCGATCGATGCGTTGGCGAATCATGTAGTGCTCGAATGGAGGAAGAGGGTCACCAGCCCTGCCGACCTTGACCTCTCTATGTTTGCCTGGTTTAGTGGTGCGAGCTTTTGGAGTCTTTGGTGCTTTTGCGTCCTCGAGAGACGAACTAGAGCCAAGTTTATCTGACTCTTGTGCCTCTGACTTTTTCCCTGCCTCGAGCGACGAATTAGAGTCAGGTTTGTCGGAGTCGGAGTCGCTGCTCGAATCGCTGCTAACAAAGGAAATGTCATCGTCGTCGAGAATGTCAATAGATTTCTTTTGAGCTCGCGCAAGCGCCCAGGCGCCGAATTGAGCGATGCTGCGATACATGTGCTTCGCTGGTCGCGTGAAGCTGAGTGTCGGACACACATGGCACAGATCATCCCAAACCTGAAGCTGAACACTGGTTGGTCTGTATTTCGCTGCTTGAGCTTGGATGCTTTCCGCAGTCTGATTGTTTGACGGAGGCGGCAAGTACGCTAATGGTTGTGCGGCCTTGTGCGCAACGTAGATTTGTTCGTCTCGCAGCAACTCACCGCCACCCGTCTGTATGAGCAGTGGCGGCAGTCCTCCTAGCGTAGGTTGTAGAGCAGGCGACACCAACGGGTGCGTCAAGAGATGGTTCGCCGCGTACATCTGGATTTGGTCTTTGATCTCGACTCGCATGTCATTGTCGAGCTGTACACAGAGCGTACTGTTCGGGCCGATGCTATACTTGCCATCCTCGGACACCCACGTGTCCCCTTGACCTTTTGCAGAAGGGTCCAACGGATTCCTCACATCCGGCTGGTCTCCAGAGCGGACGGAGTAGCCTCGCACACGTTCGGCTTTCGCTTCCTTTTGCGCTTCCCGTTCCACTTTGTTGCCTTTCGATGTTGATGGTCGCGATGGCCTCTTCTCGTTCTGATTTAGGGCCCCAGAAGCAGAGGGGCGTTCGAACGCAAGCATATCGTCTGCGTTTGGCGGAGCTGTTGTCCTATTAGCGTCATCATTGAGGTCAATCTAGAAGTTCCTTACGCCAACTCATGCTCGGCTTGTGAACAAAGCCATGCGACGGTATGTAATCCATCTTGTCATCACCAGTAAGACTTGGAAAGCTGTGCGTAAGGTCCACCCAAGGACTAATTAGAATAGCTCCTGCAGGCAGAGGTATCCCCTGGTCTCGCAATGTCACAAGAATGCTCAAAACCATACCGCCGCCTGCGGAATCGCCAGCAAGGATGATCGTAGAGGGGTCGTGCTTCTCTTCGAGGAGGTACAGGTATGCCGACAGACCTATAAATATTAGATTCGCGTTCTTGCACGTTGCGAAGGCTACTCACAGTCCTGCAGGCCACACGGGAATGGAAATTGGGGCGCAAGCCTGTATTTGGGTGCAAGCACCCGAGCTTTAAGCTTCCGTGCATGTCGTTGCATCTGATAGCGATGCTCATCCACGCTGCCAAAGAAGTATGCGCCGCCATGCACATACAGCATGATGCGATCCCCCTTGTCAATGTTCAACTGCTTCCTCGCATCATAGTCCTTGCGCATCTCAATCCACTCAGCCTTCAGTTTCGTTCCCTCTCGTCTCCACTGCCACCAGGTCTCTCCCCCGACGGCCTTTCTGCCCTCTGGCCCTAGCTGCGCGTTGATGTACTCGGCTGAGCGCGATAGTTGGTCATTTGTTATCTCGATCTCCTTCACGTGCACCCAGCGCGGCACTGGCACCCATTGCGATGTGAATGCCTGTAACTCGTCGACAGTGTGCAAGGACGCGTAATGGAGGAAGCGACGGATGAGCTCGAGGCCTTCATGGTACGAGATGTGTGCTGTTGGCTTCTGATGCAGCGGTCGCCTGTTCCAGTAGTGCAGGAGGTAAGTCTGGATAACTGTGGGCGTGACAGCTGCGCCCACAGAAATGGTGTTGACGGGCATTGCAGGGCTGCTCGATGGCCAGGGGAAGACGCGGAGCTAACGGAGGTAATCGCGAACGCGCCCAGGTCGTTGCGCGCAGTTGTAGCACTTGTCAACTGTCTTGGAAGTTGACTGCTTGGAGAAGAAACGCACGGAAATTTAAACAAAACAAAGGAGTGTAAATGACTTTGAAGGATGCTTGCTCGAAGGATGCTGGATGGAGCTTACGGAGTGGAGAAGCGTCCCCAAGATCTTCAGGGCTCTTTTAGCCGGCAGGGGTTCGGGGAATTGGACCCGCAGACTACGTCATAGAGACCCCTAAGAAATTCTCCTAGCATCACACTAAGTCGAGAGGTGAAGGTGTAGATAGGACTTCAACCATAGCAGGCCATGTAAGAAAGAATAAATAGGAGTTCGCGTCTCGACATTTATTTGGACTCAACATTTGACACCTCTAAACTGACCTAGCGCTCCTTTCTGCCTATCTCTACATTCCCGTCTTCTCGCTGCTTCATTCTGTTAGCACATACTGGCATTAGCTACTAAGTACATCTTATCAGAAATGTCAAAGGATGAAAGTTCAACATCTGCGTGTACACCGTTGCACAAACCCGCCATTTGCGTATTCATGCAACGCTATAATACGATCCGAAAACTGCTCGCCACTCCTTGGCCCCAACCGAGTCTTTTAGTTTTCTTGCTTCTGCTTCATTCATAAATCACTTATATTACCACGGCTTTACACTTCATGAACATAGGATACGAATGGGCAGATGGACGAGGTAAAAGGTGCGATTTCTGGAGAAGTGTGGCAGACCTGGTTCCTATGTAAAGACGAAGAGAGTCGCATGATGTAGGGAGTTGAGATGCACCGCGCTGTAGTTTGATTAACTTGATTTTCTCTCGTAGTCTGTCACTATCAAAATGTATCAAAGCTATCTTGCTGCAGAGTTGCTAATGATTGGTCGAGGTCTCCACGAACCCTATTACATTTATCATACCCTTCGTGTTCATCGCTAATACAATCAGGCATCGAAACAGTTTCTAAAACTTCAACCTCATCCAAAATCTTGTTCATGTTTCCATCTCCACTGGCACTGACTCCTGAAAGTCTTTTGACAAGTCCTCTTCATCCAACGGCTCGATGTCCCAAAGCTCTTCCTTCTCATTGCTATCCTCATCATCGACCGTATATTTCCCACCACTCTTATACTTATACTTCGCCTCACCGTCCCTCTTCCGCTTGATTATAATAACGCGATACGCAAACACAATCTTATTCGTAGTCCGCCCATGAGAAACTCTCCGAGCATTCTCAAGCTCCAAACCAACTTCAGGCCCAGATTTGACTCCCACCTTGAGCTTTGGACCGTGCTGAGTCTTCTTGGAAGTCGACATACTGAACCCAGTCGCAATCTTGAGGCCCGTAATCATATAAACCATCTTTCTCCCCGGCAAAGCGTTATCCAGAAACGCCTGCACACGCTGGGACGCAATGATACTGTCGCTGACAAATTCTTTATTGGGCTCGAATTCTACTGTTTCCAAAGTATCACAATGATATATGTTCTGTTTGTCGAGTACAAGTGCGTAGATCGTGCTTGCGGTTCCTTGTACAAGATTGGTGTTCAGGCCAACAGATGCCGTGAAATTTTCGTTAATGCTCTCGTTGAAGCCCTCAGCTGCGCTCTGATTCTTGAGATTCGGAGGAATGTGGACATGTTCAAATTGGTTGAGTGGATCTGTGAGTCGATCGAGGCTGAGAATGATGCTGCCTAATTTGGGCGCTGTCTCACTTTCGGGGTTCATGGAGAAATTTGGTGCTTGGAAGTAGAAGAGCTTCGGCATGATGGACGTCGATGTATCGAAGATGAGGGCTGAATTTACAGCTATGTTTGGTAATAGATTCTTAGACTCTGCGAAATATGATGAGACTACCAGCAACGTGATGAGGCTGAGTCTCGATGCCATGTGACGACCACGCGCTCTGATTGGGCGATTATGCATAGCTGCGCATGGGTGGCTGAGTGTTACGTCCTGATATGCTCCTGTGAAAGCTATAGTTGACTATCGAGGTTAACTCAACGCAAATTAAGAAATATCCCGAGTCTTTTGGCGCCACCGCCTTAAGTATGCACAATACATGAACAGCAACTACGCTCCAGGAGAGCTTGTTGCTATCTCTAGTGTGTAGAGTTGTAACTTGAGTGCGGAGATCTTCATAATCAAGTGGAATCTTCTATTAGGCTTGAGTCGATAGTCAAACATGGAATAAAATTCGGATAATGCAAAAACATACCAGGGTATATATATGCACTGCATGTCATAGAACGCCTTTGATCTCTCCTTGTATCCAACCTTCAGTCTTATTCGTGTCGAACCACTGCCAGTGCTTGATCCACCAGTACCCATCAGCTGAGTGATCGTCCTTCATTCTCTCAAACATACGCAGCATCGAAGTCGTTCGGTGGAGTTTCTCCCATTCTTGTTCATCTAGAAAGCCTCGGGCATAGTCTAGGATTAGTGCTGCGATTCCGGCGGCTATAGGTGCTGCGCAAGACGTGCCACTCATTAGTCGATGGTCTCCATTGCACTTTAGATGCGGTGGCCACGCAGACTTGACGCATTCCCCTAGTACCATGATTCTCATGCTGTCTTTTGGGCTGGGCGTAAAGGATGAGTGGGCGCCGTTCCCATCCCCTGAGTGAACACAGATGACGTTGTGGTCTTTTGCTGGCCAAGCAACACCATCTGGGCGGTTTTTACCGTCATTCGATGCGGCTGCAAACATGACAACCTTCTTGTAAGCCGCATGTTGAATCGCATCGTCAATTTGTTCGTGCTCCTCTCCAAAGCCAAACGACATCACAATGATGTCAACCATCCATTCGTCTACCGCGTATCGAATAGCCTAAAGATCTTCAGTTATAGAACAGTACGAAGTGCCTGGGACGTTACCTCGGCAATATTCTTTGCAGAATTCTTAGTTGGCTCGTTCTTGAAAACCCTTCCGACGTGGACAACTGCATTTGGCGCGATCTTTCGCAGAAGACTTGCAAGGTGCGTGCCATGACCTGCCTCATCCTTCCACTCTACGTCTTGGTCGACCCAACTCTGATATTTTATCCGGGGCTCGAAGTCATAAATGCCCTTTGCGTCTTGTGAAAGCTCGATCCCACTATCTAGAATGGCGATCTTCACCCGTCGAGTATTTGAAGCTACCGAGCTACGTAACTCGGCTATACGAGCAAGGGCGTCGTTATGCCAGTCGAACCATGCCGTGGCTGCTCTCACCCTAGGCACTTTCAGTGAAATATCTTGAATATGAAACTATCTAGTATCACTCACTTCTGTTCTTCGACAGTTTCTTCTTGATCCCTGCAAAAACAAGCTTCGCGGTGCACTGCGAACGATGTTGCGATATCCGCTTTAGAACTGAGCTGTGTATTGGCGTTGAATGAATTGACTGAAACTTTTAATATGTATACTTGTATCAGAACGGGGTTTGACTTAACGTACCTTTGTTATTTAGAAAGATTTCTTCGATTGACGCTGATGATCGACGGCTCAGTCTTTTCATGGCATCAATGCCATCAGAGTCCTTACTTTTTGTTTCCGGTATCAAGGATGTGTGGAGGTCTTCTAAAGCAACTTTATATCCTTCCTGGAGTTCATGTGCTAAAGGGCGCACGATACATGATAAGATATAGTGTCGTATCGGACCCTCTTCCGACAGTCGATTGCTCGGAAAGTTGGGTGGCGGCTCTAGTTTCAAACATGCACGGATGACCTGACTCAAACGAGAAGAAATTTGCCTCGAGCGATTGTGTCGGCCTTTCCTCTCTAGTTCATTCAAGAGTTGCCAAGCCTGGGCGTTATCTTTATTACACTGTTCCCATAGGGTATCCGCCTGTGTCCTCTTAAACATGGTCCCTGTAACGATCTCCAGCAAGATGATTCCAAGAGAAAGAATGGCAGGATGAGTGTGGATTTGCATATGATCTAGGGGCTTACTTGGCGTGTTGCGATCTTGGAGCTCCACAGAGATATAAGGGTAAGTCAATGCTAGCGACGTGGATGTACTTCGGCGGATGAAATACACCGTACTGCTGTTCCATTCCGCCTGGAACCAAGGGCCTGGATAAAGACATAACATTGAATCAGCGAGGATGTAGCATAATGTCAACTGCTCTCTAGGATTACACTTCGAGACATAGGAGATTCCAAGGCCATCCCCTAAAAGTTGTTGAAGAGGGTGCATCGATGTGTGATAGTTGATTCCGTCATGCAGCTTTGGTGTCAGGTGCCAACATTTATCGTTTTCGATCAGAACGTCCACTTGCGTCATGTCATCACTTTGGCGAATGTATTGACACAGGTCGCAGTTGATGGCTTTTCGTGAAGCTGTGGTATCAATCTCGGATCTGCGCGACGTGAGCATATATTCGCTGATTCGAAGTTTCTCCGGCCCTGCTTACGCTGAACTTTTAACCTCGACATTTGTTACTTTCCACTTCACACTGTCCTTGCAAATCGGTAGTAGAATCTCAAACTTCGCCGGAACAGGCGTTCTTCCTGTATCTATGCGTGTTGTGATATTTGGTACGAACCGACGATGACGTATCAAGCTAAGCCGCGCTTCCCTTGGTCCGTTTGATCTTATTGCTTGTTGAGGACAACTGCACCTCCAGTGTCGCTCCAGGATATGATAGACTCTATCAGCAAATTCTGGCATTCCATGGCTGGGGTGTTGAGATAGGCTGAAACTCTCAGAGTCAGATCCAGATTCTTCTTTGTAGTAGACATCCAGTAGATGTTTTGCAGCTCTTCGTACTCTTTTGAGAAACCTCTCACGTATATCTGGATCCCGTCTCTCACTCTTGTGAAACAATGACACATCTTCTCCGAATATAGCCAGATATTGTGTGTGTTTTTCTTTCGTCTGACTCAAAATATCGTAACATTCATGATAACCACCCCAGCCGGCTGATGCTATGGAGCTGGCAAGAGCGTTCAACTGAGGAAATTGGGCGCGGCCGCCATGTCCAATATCCGTCGTCTAAAATCCAGTTATCAACTGGCAGTTGGCTTGTGAGCAGAGGGGTAGCATACTTCACGTGGTATCCACGCCACAAAGTCGATTGGGAAGCGCTTCCTCCTGGTTGGGAACCGTGTCTCGAACGCCATCAACAGCTTGGTAACGTCTATTTCATCTAAGCCCGAAGCCCATTCACCACCGGACTTATCTATGGCTAGTCCTATATTGACTATGTCAGCGTAACAGTCTTCCGCGTTTCGTCGCCTTGTTGCGTCTTGTTGTTCAGTCTCAGAGAACTCTTTGGCAAGGGCTCCGAAGGCGGGAACGACCCGGCTAAGGAGCTCTAGTTGCCACATCAGGACCAAGAAGATAATCGGTTAGTCGGCATCGCTCCAGTGGAATTTAAGACAATAGTGCAAGAGAGTGTAGTTGACACAATGTCGTGACCTTGTGGGCTGAAACTTGGCAACAGCCACGAGGGCGGGGTTCCCCTCCTTGCCACCTATCAACCGAGCTTATTCTATTCTGACACCTCACCCCGCCAGGTCAGGAGTGCGTTCTTGACGTGCTTACGATCTATTGACTACACGTTCCCATCTGTAAAGGCGGTGGCGACCCCGTCCGGAGCAAACACGTTGCAAGATTGAGCACAAGTCTTAGGAGCGAGAGTGACTCCTTGCTTGGGCAGTGATATCTGATTTGTTGACGCACATATCCTGGAAGACACAGCCTAACGGTAAATATCTCCGCTCTTAGATTGCACTTACACACTGAGAATAGCTAAATAAGCATTCCTAGGGCAAGGCCACTCCTTTCACCCTTGCTCTGAACATTCCTCAAATTGAGGCGCTATGGATCTTGAAGCCGAACCCCAGGAAACTGCCAGCCTCAAGGAACTTGCCCAGGCTTGTGCAAAACAGTTTCGACAACTATCGCAGGATGAGGAGACTCGAGACCCCGGTGTCAATGCTAGAGATGGGTTCTGGGCATCGCGCCGGACTGCGGACTTTAACATATGGTGCACCATAATAGGCGTCAACTCCGAGGGGCTTCGATCTGTCGATGTGCGCCTCAAAGACGTCCCCGAGATCTGCAAACTACTTCTGCATTTACTTCGATCGCTTCGTCGCGACCTCGACGACTTGATACAACAACATGGTAGAGTTTCCCCCCCGGAGGGCAAAGCCGAAGCTGGCTATACCTATGCAGATTCAGAATCTGATGCTTCTTCCCTGTCATTTGAACCTCTCTCCTCTTCTGAGGGCTCTCAGTTGAGCAGTCTCACAGACAACCCTCTGTCACCAGGACAGAGTCGACAGATTGAGTTGAGACAGCATATTGGAGACACCGTCGACCGATTACAAGGACAAACAAGACGTATAGAACGCGCAGGTGCGCAGCACAGGCGAAAACGAATAGAAGTATTTCGAGAAAAAGAGCGGTCTCAACAGATGTATGAAGGGTTTGAAAAGCTCGGCCTGTGGAAAGCCAACGAGGAGTTCAAGTTAGCATCAAAGATTATGAAGGAACGGATAGCCGAGTCATTTGCCAGGCGAAGAATCCGATTCGAGTATCTGAAGGAGCATCAAAAGAAGCGAGCTGTCGATATGATCAGTTCGCCAGACAATAATTCAGTGCCTCCACCTCAGGGTTGTTCCCGTGACAACGTCGAGACCACAGTCGAACAAAAGAAAGAAGGACCAAAAAAACCCATTGTCTCGGGTGCAACTCTTCCACAAGATCAAAGAACCCTTTTCTCAGCGACAGTGAACACTAAGTACGACTTATCGACCGAGGGGAAGAAAAAAGCACGAGCGGAGAGTGTGCGGTCGATAGCGCTCAGACACCCTGGATTTCCTCCGCCGCCGCGAACACAGAATGGAAGATTCCAATGCCCTTATTGTCTTCTTGAGTTTCGCGACCGTGAAGCTGAAAAAGGTCGTTGGAGGTGAGTGCTTATTCTTGTCTAAAATATGATTGCACTTTTCTAATTACTTACAAATAGTCAACACGTTATGCAAGACTTCGAACCATACTTTTGCACATTTGAAGATTGCACCGCACCGTATGATATACCAAATTCTTTTGATGAGTTATTGGATCATCTGCAGAGCCATCTGCCCGTGCGACACCATGTCGACGAACCCGATGGCCAGCACAGAGCATACCTCGAGGTTGAATTCGAGCATCACATCATCAGCCATGGCAAGGTTTCTGAAGAGACAATGGCTGCTATGAAGGAAGCTAGTCGAAGAAAGGCACCGTTTCTATTCGACAGTTGCCCTTTCTGTGGTGGCTACCCCGACGTCATCGAGAAGCGTTTCCCCGACCCGGATACGCTAGACGCTCAAAGAGAGTTGCGAAAGCACATAAAGCAGCATATGCAGGAGATCGCTCTCTTCCTCCCTCCATATCGATCTGACATATATGATGAAGATGAAAATCTCAAGGGTTCCGATGTCACGCATCGAATGAGCAACCATGGTGAGATTTCGGGAAGTCCCACCGATTTTGAAGAGTTTTGCGACCGAGAAGATTGCGACTGCAAAGATGCTGGGGCATATGCAGCTGAAGATGTTGTGTCTTCTGCACCTTTAAAAAGCCAGCACATGACAGAATCTCGATGGGCCTGTTGCCATTGTGGAACCCATCATGATGATTTTGGTAATGGCAGCTGCATGCATTGCGACCACTGGAATTGCCATTTGTGTCAAACATACACACTGGATTGCCCCTACATCAGTGACTGGTCACAGTTGCTCGGCGACTTGTCCATATACGACCGCTCTGTGGTCACAGATGAAGAACTCTTTGCAGATAAACGCCTTCACCCATTCATCATGCGATTCGCATTTGGAGAGATGATATCGTTCAATGAGAATGATACGTGGGCCACAGCAAATGAACGTGTGGCCATCACGCGGCATCTGGTCAATAAGGTGGTGGATTTTGAGTCTCAGAACGTGAAGAGCAAGGTATCATTACCGTTGACTGCTGCAGATGGCGTGAATATCATAAAGCATCTGCTTGCAAATTATGCAAAATCTCAAGACCAAATGGCGGTATGGGAAGCTGCTAAAAACGGTCAACTATACACCGTTAGACAACTTCTAGCAAACGAAGGCATTTCCAAATCTCAAAGCAGATCCGAATCATTGTCACACATGACGAATGTTGATATTGATCTTGATGGAATCAGTGAAGAGATGAAAACCAGAGAACTCAACAAAATAGAGCTTGATATCGAAGAGCTCCGGCCACGAATTGGCGAGTTCTTCCCAGTCAATACTGTGGACGGCGACCGCATGGAAGCTTTCTACAAAGATGCATCCGTCTGGGTCGAGTGGAAGTTGAATGGCTATTCTTCAACGTTAGCTCCACCACTAGACTTTAGGACCCAGGAGTGTGTCAAAGATCTTGTCATCATGCTTAAACGTATGAAAGAAATGGACCAGGCCGAGAGTCTCTACATTCTGCATTGTCTCGGATATCTCAAAGACGAGAAGGAAGGACGATTAGGTCTTGTGTTTGAAAAACCAAGCTCTGTGGACCCCATGGAACAGCATGTATCTTTGCGCGACCTTCTCACCAATGAAAAGGTCAACAGCCCTAATCTCGCCAATCGGACTCAACTAATACGTCTCTTACATGGAGCCTTCGAGCGCTTTCATGCCGCCGGCTATCTGCACAGGGGTGTCCGTTCCCATAATATCGTGTTTTTCAAGTTACCAAGCACAGAAGAGGTCAGCTTTGCAGATCCCTACATTACAGGTTTTGAATACTTTCACTTCCGCGGCGTCGATGACATTAGCTTACCCCCCCTGAATAACTGGAATGTAATTTACCACCACCCCACTATCCAGGAAATATACTGGGGGTCCAATGGCGTCCATCGGCCTAGATATAGTATCAGTCACGACCTGTACTCCCTTGGCATTGTGCTACTTGAGATTGCGCTCTGGAAACCTATCAATGAACTCATGAACATAGATTTGCATCGAGCAACCTTCAGTGAACTGTCGAATGTCAAAGAAAGGCTGTTATCGACCGATGACTCGCACGTACTAGAGTGGCCTGCGTATACCTTAGGACAATCGGCAGGAAGTGTTATCCGAGCGTGCATCGAGGGCATTCCAAAGAGCTGGGTTGATGAAAGAAACTCGGACATTGCTGAGTGGGCAGAAACTTCATCAGAAGCAGAAGAACAAGGCCAGGGTGTTTATGACCCTACCACCACCCTCTTGAGCGGCTCCGATGCCCAGCCTTCAGATCCCAGAGGTATTCTCAAACGGCCCATAGGGAAACTTCCGGAAGATCCTCAGCGAATACATGAAGATGCTGCTCGGCACAATATTTCTATAGAAGACCCAGACATCCCTACTGGTGACCAAGGGACGAAGATCGGCCGCAGACTTGTGAGCCCCAAAGTTTTAGAAGAGGTCAAAGGGCGCTTGGAAGGGCATTTAGACGAGAGCCGAAGTATGGAGGCATTGCCGCCTTCTTATGATGAGCACGACGGACATCAAAGTTTGCCTCCAGCATTCTCCAGCGTACTCAATACCAGTGCCATAGATGTCTCATTAGTCTCCAACGAAGAGTCATCCGAAGATGATGACGAGAATCCATTTGAAAAGGCCAAGAAGATTCATGAAGCAAGAAAAGTTGCATTTGAAAGAGCTACGGAGGTTCATGAAGCAAGAAAGAGAAAGATAAAAGCAAATCGAAGAAGATCTTCGCAAGAGGAGCACAAGAGGGCCAACAGTGCAGATGACAGCACTAACGAAATTCCACTTAAAGCTGGAGAATATACGACTTCGCAACTACGCGACTCTCATAACGACAACGAGTGCACAACCGGTGGGCTTGACGAGATCAACCACCATGCACGCATATCAACACCTGATATTCGTTCTCCTTCGCCCACTAACTCGGGTACCAATCGACCTATTGCAATCACCCATGACCACATCGACACACCAAGCGGGCTTTTGAATACCGATCAGCGCAGAAAATCAGACATTATTCTGGATATACAACAAACCACAGATGCGCACCCGGACCCGTCCAACGTTACTTTTCTCCGTTCTCCTGTAGAGCCTACAGCCCTGCCACCAACGATAAGCCGTCCGTCACGCCCTAGAGCCGCATCAACGTCAGTAAGTTTCAGACCTGACGACCACGTCATGTTCAAGGATTTCCGTTCGGCCTCACGACAGCTTTGCGTTGCAAACGTTCGCTCCAATCCCTACACGGGCAAGGCCGAGTACCAACTGCGAGACTTTGGGTCAGAGGACAGTACTTTCCACAGCAATGGCAATTGGTTTCCTGAGTCGGAAATTAGGGGTGCTGGGTAGATATACTGTGTACTAGAATGCACAACGAGAGACGTTACAGACAGGTTGACAGTGTGTTGTAAGAAATAGGTTGTACACGTGTTTTTGCCATTGATGATAGATAGGGCTGTGTAGCATGCGTCGCTTTTAAAAGAGGTCTTTCGTATAGTAGTTTGGTGCCTTGAGTCCATCTGCCGTCGTTCTGCATGCTTATGCAACCGGGAGACACGTCTCATGAGCGAAGAGACGTGGTATATACAATGACTAGCAATATGGACGATCCACCAGTAGAGGCCATGATTGAACTCTAGTCGTTTTTTATGGGCTCGCTCACCCTCTCCTCTACCATTGCCCCCAAATCCCCTAGATACCCTTGTGCTTCCCTCTTTGCCCCATTCAAGCATCCTTCAATACCTGCCTCGTCGCGCCCTCCATCCATAATTTGGTGTACCATCTATGCGCGAACTGGAAGTTCCACGGCAGTGGCTGCGAGTCCTTGCCTTCGGGCGTTGTGTTTACAAATACGGATTTGAGGTGGAATGTCGCGATTTGCGCTTCGTCGTCTTTGCTGACTTCCATGGAAAAGAGGCCGTCGGAAGGTCGATGGTCGGTATTGAAGGGCGAGTCACCGCAACGAACTATGACCTATTACAACCAGAGGTTAGCAACCCACTATATTCTTTACTTTGGAAAGATGAAGAAAGATTACACTATGCGTACCTTTTCAGGAGTATGCTCAACGACCTCAAAATGGTCAGTGACTATGGTGCCAACCGGATATTCGCTGGCCTCCAACTCCTTCACGTCCCATAGCTGTTCTTCCCTCCCTGGTAGTGCCCTGTACTTCCTCTCCATATACCTTCTTTGGATCCTGTACCCAACACCCGACCAAATGCCCCTACAAAAGTCGGTTGCGAGTTTCCCTTGATCTACACTTATTCTCCCTTCTTTGCTCTTTGCCCAGTATTTCTCCGGAAGCTTGCCGTAGGGTATCGCCTTCACAGCGTGGTCTATGCATACTGGCGGGTTGCTAGTAGGATTATGTTTCTTAAAGAGCGACGTCGCCAGGTCGGGTGACGAGGTATCGTAAGGAACGAATTTTGTGTTGCGCGTATAGAAGTTGGCGAGGCTGTAGCCAAGAAGCACATTTGCGCCTAGACCCGCGGTCACTCCAACGACGACGCCGAGGACGCGCTTTGGGCCTGAGAGACGTTTTATCTGAGGGGGTGGGGATATCGTGTTCATGGCGGCGATTGGGTGCTGGGACACGAAGAAGAGAGACTGAAGGGCGGAGAGGAGCTGGCGCGTGGTGGTAAACTTTCGCGATGGCTCGTGTCGAGGCTGCTGGAGTTGGGAGCTTGGGCCATCCTTCCGACGGGACGATGGATAAGGCAAGCCGAGACCCTTCACGTATCAACTGAAAGTGCCTTTGAGATAAAGGACTTTAAGTTTCTGTGGTTAGTCCAGCTAGTCTAACAAGATGGAAAAGATAACTAGCAGATAGCATGCGCAATTGTTAGTCTGGACACAGTCTTCTTTTCCCACACTCCCAGGCCATTGATCCAGAGATGCCGGTGGCATAGAGAGGTAGAGCGTGAACAAAATGGTAGCTTGGACAACGAAGTCACCATATGGTGCCTTTGGTACGTCGCCTTTGAGTGCTGAAGATAAGATGCAGACTCGACTAAGGTGTAAAACTTGTAATCGTTACTGGTCGAAGCAACCAACAATACGTCACTACTACAGGTTTGGAACTATGGTTGGCGACCGTCTCGAAGCCTATCCTGGAAGAATCAATGTAATCACAAACATTTCCGCACTCAAAGTACTTTCACAGAACCAGCGACAGCTCAACTAGCGCGTAGGCGCTTTGAAAATCCTCTCACAGCTTTAGAAGACCACAACCCACATCCCAGGCCATCTACTTCCCTCTCATCCTAATCAAGGGTGCTCTACCTCGCTGGCGCAACCCTCGACGCTACACATGCGAACTCATGCGAACTCCAATCATACGACGACGGTGCTCGCAGCATCTCGAAAGCTTTGATCAAGACAAGGGCTGCCCATGCATGGTAAACGCGATATCTGTAAAGCAACGCGTGTGGTGCGGGTCGGCACGCTGCCGTGCGAGGGTATAGTAAAGCCTGTGAGGACCGAGAAAGCGACCTTGTGGGCAAGCGTGTCGTCTGAAAAGCATGGTATAGCCAATATGGGATCGGGCCGTGGAAGGATCAACGGGACCGTGTACACCGCTTGCTTCGCTGGCGGGTGGGGATCTCTTCATAACTGGGTACGGACGCTTTGGAACAAGGAGAATAATGCTACAGCAATGTTCAGGTTATTCTATTATTGGTTGAACTTCTGGGGCACTTTCTTCGCTGCACCCTTCATTTCCAACTTCTCTAGCATGCATCGCACTGAACCGGAGAGCGAAGCCGACATCGCCACTTCCAAACTAACCAATGAGGACAACGTTGATAGATTCAACTGAACGAGAGACTGGGTATATAAAGTTTGTCCAAGAAGCTCTGCACAACAGCTCAAACGATAATCAAGCGCGATTATTTTGACCTTCTGCCCAAATTCTTTGTGTTTGAGGGTTCACTGGCTTGCCCACTGCTGGGTCGCCCGCCGATCCACCGCCATAAGTGACTTGAACGGTCCGCTCGTATAGAATAGCTTCCTCGCTATCATTGTCCCCTCTTATTTCCTTGTTTCCTGGTCGTATCTTGGACTCTCGGACATTCACGCCCGTCTTGTCTCCCGTGCCTGAAAGAGGAATGTAATCTTCGCCTTCCATGCCGTCCACAGTATTCATCAATGTGTCGAACTTCGGACGCTTCGGTCCTAAGCTTCCCCACGTACGTAGTCCGCGGTTGCGACCAGATGTGTCTTTTTGCTCGGAATCACCGCCTGAGCTCTCGCCAATGATATGCGGTGCCACGTGTCGGAAAAAGCGTCGTAGGGTAGGCAAGCAACAGCACACGATGAACAAGTTGGCTTCAACAATACTATTGTTATGATGAGTCAGATACTTTTCAGAAGTGGTAGTGCATTAGCATGATGAGAACTTACATCCACAGACTACCTTCCGCAATGACCCAAGTTTGGTCCATATTGGTAAGAGATGGAATTAGCACAACAAGACGAATGATGGACGTGACCATGGTACTTCAAGGAATTAGCATACACCAGTTTTGCGTTATTGATACCGAAGGCAAGAGGTACGCACATTGATCCGATGGCAAAGATAGCAGTCAATCCAACTTTTTGCTTGGTTGGCATCTGTAGACCCCAGATTGTTGGAACGGGAATTCCCATTAGCATCACATCAGTGACAACGCCAATCACTGCCGTAGCGATGTAGATGGCTCCTCGGTTGGAGCATTTCGCAATGGGAAGTAGCAATGGGTTCCAACTAGCAGCAATCGGCTTGCATGCAAAGATAAGGCTGAAGAAAATGCCCGTGTACGCTCCAGCGCAGAGGAAAATGGTAGCCCATACTGCCGCTTGATATGTAGGATTCGGGGATAGGCGCCGATAGAAGAGACAAAGAGTGATCTTAGTCAGAGCGCAGCAAGGCGCGTAGACAAGTGGTGCGGCCAAAATGAGCTGCCGATTTGAGACATTAGCATAGGTTTTCTGATACAGACGATTGTACCGCAAGCAATGGGGGCGTTAACTCACACGTGAATAATAGCCATAGAGTTCGATGGGAATTTCGAAGGCGTGCGCGCCAATGCAACCTTGGATGAAACCGGCTACCAGGAGGGCTTGGGTAGTGACTGAGAGTACCCAAGCAAGAAGAACAGTGACTGTTTCCCATCAGTCAGTCGAGTCTGATTGTGGGTGCTTGTAAAGGACATTACCATCGTCGATTTGAAATTGTTTCATAAGACGAACTTTTGTGTAAAGCCGCTGCGCGAGGAAGACAATCGCCAGAATGTTCTCGACTATGAATATAGTATATGTCTCTGTGGTAAGTCGCCGCGCCGGATTCGCAAAGTTGACCACATAGCCTTTGGGAGGCGGGATCATAGTGATGGTGCCATTGACGTTCGACATAATGGCCAAAGCGCTTGTGCAAAGAAAGAGTGCTTGGGCAAGACACAAAGACAATCGAAAATATTCTCTCCGTGAGGTGCCGATCCAGAGTTCAAGACCACGACTCCACTGAGGAGAGGAGGATCGTTTGACTTATGCCCACTCCTCTCCGATGTCTCACGTTGAACATGGATGAGCATGGACGAGCGATGATCATGGCGATCGCGCCCGGTAACTATAGGGCCACCTTATGCCAAGTCGTATCCCGGTTGTGTTTGCTCCACCAGGAGACCTAAATAGTCTGAAATATAGAGGTCTGATTTCCTCTTTCAAAACTAGGGTGCAATTTCGTGTGAGTTCTTGGGTGTATGTAGTCCGAACGTCGGCACTTTTTTTCCTGCTTGGGTATCAACCTCGTCGGCTAAGAAGTCTAGTTACCGCCGAGACACATGGATTCGGTAGTACATTCGAAGATCAGGAGCACGTCAGTGAAGACATTCTATAGTATCTACGTAGAAGAGGGAACTATGGTAAACTGGACAGGAGAGCGGAATCGAAAGCTTGGGGTGATGTAAGTATAGCGTCGGGAAGGCCTGAACAATTACTCCTGTATCAGATGTGGGTAGTCAGCAACTTAGGTGATGTTCATAGGTGTAATTATCGGAGCCTGGTTTCGGTTGCTCTTGCCCTGGCACAAGTGTCCACCTGCAACATTATCTAAGGGCCTTCGAATTCGTGCTAACTTGTGTTCCGTAGTTGGGCCGCAAACGACCGGGTCGGTTGCGAGTTGCCGATTCATGAACGGTGGCCAACCCTGAATAGTTTCGTGCTAAGGTTGTATCTGTCTTCACCGCTTTGTTGCTGACCAAGTTATCAATCCAATACGAATACGAACTCTGGCCCAACGTCTTTCCATTACACTCTCTATAACATTCTTTATTACTTCCTTAGAGACCCCCCAGAATCAGCTGCTTGATATACTTAACAGAATCCATTTGAAATAGTGCAAGCACTGCACGGGCGGTGATTGAACCTGGTGTTGTTGGCAGAAAGGAAGTGAGCCGTGCTGACAACCCGATAGGCGTGCCACCGTCGCCTGATTCCTGCGAGGCCCCCACGTCTGCCGCTCTTCATTTCCTCTTTCGGGACACGGCACCGTTCGGACCTTTTTTTTCTGAACAGCTAGCAAGGAACTGAAGTTTACCATCGCATGTTCCCAAGGTTGGAGATGAGGCTTCGTCGTCCAAACCCATGTGGGGATGGGATCTGACGCAAAACAGGGCGAAGGATCGGACCCTGGCGGGTGGGTCCATAATTAGCCATTCACACCCGCAGCCAACGGCACCACCCTGGGAGCCGAGAGTCAGTCCATAGGGCCGGTCCGATAACTACCGCCTCATTCTGGGGATCTAAACTGGCGATCCTCATCTCTTAAAGCACGTTTTAGAAGTACCCACCCACTAAACCCCGAGACAACGTGAATGAATCGCACTCGAGACAGACGTAGTAACTGGTACTGGTAATCGGTTCAATGGCTTGAGTTTTAAGACCACGAAGTGACGACCCGCCTCCGCGCGGCACGCACTCTCACTAAGAGAAATCCGGCTCGGTTCATGTTGCTTGCCGAACGCTCATCTTCTTCCTAAACCTTGTAAGCCCGAACGGGAGAAATTTCACTCTCCCTAGCTACGACCCACCCACAGTCTTCATGTCGGCTACGGTCTTCCGTCTAGCAAACCCTTATAGTCTGCGGAGTTAAATCGGGGCCTTGGTCCAGTGCTTTGCGACGACATCCTCGTCTTCTTTCGTGCCTAGATACTCAAGTTGAAACAGCAAGCATGAAGTCTTTTGCGCCGACGCTCGCTGCTCTGCTGAGTTTGTACGAGGCCGCCCAAGCTGACTCCAATTCCTGCGCTCGTTCGAACGCAGCTCCCGCCAAGGATCAAGTAAAACTTGCAAACTGCGTATGTCAACATACCATCTAGTCGAGTTCGACCCCACCTGACCAGATACAGTGCAAAACGCTTCAGGACGCCGGTTTGACTCACGTCCTTTACGAGGGTGATGAGGAATACAAGGCCCGCACAGCCTCGTACTGGTCTGTCAGTGCCCAGTTAACACCAGGATGTATCGTCCAACCCACCTCTACCGAAGAGGTGTCCCTGGCCCTGAAGACCCTCTCCGGATACGGTGCGAGCGATTGCCAATTCGCGGTACGAAGCGGAGGTCACACGACCTGGGCTGGTTCCAACAATATCGATAATGGGTTGACTATAGATCTCGGTCTTATGAACACAACGACTTATAATGAGGCCGAAAACCTGGCCAAGATCCAGCCTGGAAACAGATGGGGAATGGTGTACGGCGCGCTCGAGCCTCATGGAGTTACGGTTGGTGGTGGTCGAGCAAGCAGCGTTGGTGTTGCCGGGTTCTTGACCGGTGGAGGTAACTCCTTCTTCACTGCTCATCGCGGCTTTGCTTGTGACCAAGTGCAGAACTATGAGGTCGTTCTTGGTAGCGGGTCGGTATTTTGAGTCAATGGTGCTGGTCCGAGACTGACGTTATGCAGAGAAATCATCAACGCCAATGCGGAGAACAACAGCGACCTGTTTCGAGCTCTGAAGGGTGGATCTGGCAACTTCGGAATTGTTACCAGATTCGACATGCAAACCTTCAAGCAGGGAAACCTTTGGGGTGGCTCGATGGTCTATTCCAAAGAACATACGCAAGCGCACATCGACGCCTACACGGCCTGGGTCGACAACGTTGAGAACTACCCAGACGGCTCCAGTATCATCTTTTGGACCTATCTACCTGCACTGAAAGACGTTGCCATCATTGCTGCGTATGAAGACGTCGCCGGCAACGTGGCTCCCGCAGGATTTGATAAATTCATGGCCATCAACCACACGTCTTCCACCATGAGGCTAGCAAGCCACAAGAATCTGACTGATGAGCTTGAGCAAGCTAGTGGGTACCGGTGCGTCATTACCCAACATTTTCTTCTAGCATCAAGCAGCTGAGAAATGGAGCTGACTCTTTTATAGTGATATCTGGTTCACGATGACATTCAAGAACAACCCTCGTATCTTCAAGCATATCGTCGATGCCCACCAGAAGTTTGTCGACGAATGGAAGGCGGGGACTACCGACCACGACTTTATCACCCAGTGCATGTTCCAGGCAATCCCAACAATTTTCGCCAAGCACAGTGAAGAGCGCGGTGGCAATGTTCTCGGTCTTGAACGTGAGAAGGACAACGCCATCATGCTCTTGTCCAACATCGCTGTCAAGGGTGGTTCAGATACTGAGGCCCGCGCAAGGACGCAGCTAAGAGCATATGGTGAGGAACTGCAAGCGTTTGCGGCTGCCCAGGGAGGGTCGGTCGAATGGCAATTCATGAACTATGCCGACTCCTACCAGGTACAAAATCCCCGTCTCGTATTGATGAACCCTACTAACATGGTGACAGAACCCTCTTGGAAGCTATGGCGCAGAGAATGTCGCCAAGATCAAGGCCGCATCGGCAAAGTATGACCCCAAGGGTATCTTTCAAACGCGTTGTCCCGGCGGCTTCAAGATCTCAAAGCTGCAAGATGCGACTCTTCCGAGGAGAGAGCTATAACAGCGGTCTAACCTACTCGAACCGATGAAAAAGGCGTGCTACGTAGCAAAATCTGAGAGGAAACCTCAGTACATACAAACATAGATTCATGCCTTCACATAGACTTAATGCATAATCTTAATTGAATGGAAACTTTCAGTCAAAAGTATAGGATATCGCCGTTGTATTCGAATGTTAACTTCACATACTCTTCGCCAGAGCAGAACTTGATGTTGGGTAACCATTAACATGAGAGTTGATCCACGAACGCGTGACGCAATCCTTATCGATAGCCCCTCTATAGCTAAAAAGTGGGGTCAATTCATTGACATTAACACAACTTTTTATTTTTCATCTCATCCCCAACAATAAATCCCCGACCAGTTAATACATCTTCTCTATAATGACTCAAACCAACCCATCCGGATTTACCGCCCATATACAGTCTGTTGTGCCAGATGGAACGCGAAGTGCACTTATCCAACAAGTGCTTCCTCAACTTCTCCGAACACTTCCGGACATTGCCCAGGCCCTGCGATCTACATCAGTGTCCGAAGCCGGTAGCGCCAACTCATTTGGCGATAATCAACTGAATGTTGACGTCCTCGCGGAAAACATCATTCGTTCCACCGTCGCTCAATGTCCTTCAATAGTTGCCGCGAGTAGCGAAGAAGACCCCAACGAGACGAGCACGATCGGAGAGAATGTCACGGAAAAAGAGCAGTATACTATAGCCTTCGACCCTCTGGACGGCAGTTCCATTATCGGGCCAAACTGGACGGTCGGCACGATCATAGGGATCTGGGATGGTCAAACAGCGATTTCGGAGACGGAGACCCCTCGACAAAAGCAAATCGCCGCCATTCTTGGAGTACTGGGACCTCGCACAACCGCCGTTGTTGCCATACGCGTACCCGGGGGAACCCCAACTTGCTTTGAAGTCAGTGTAGCAAACAACGAGATCAACATTATTCGACCGAGTGTACAGCTCCAATTGCAGACCAAGACGCGCTACTTTGCCCCCGCCAACTTGAGAGCAGCGCAAGAGAACCCAAAGTATCTAGAACTCATCAACCACTACATATCCCAGAAGTATACACTTCGGTATAGCGGCGGTCTTGTCCCTGATATTTTCCACGCTCTTGTCAAAGGCCACGGTGTGTATATCTCTCCGATTACGTCAAGTAGCCCAGCGAAACTACGTAGGCTCTACGAACTTACTCCTATTGCACTTGTCATAGAGTGTGCTGGTGGCGCTGCGGTAGATTCTGCAGATGGAACCGATATTCTGGATAGACCTGTTCGCCACACGGATGAGAGAGGAGGGCTCGTGTGCGGCAATAGAGATGAGGTAGACATTGTGCGCTCTAAGTTGCTTACATAAAAGCTAGCTTCTTCGTTTATGACGCGACGGGCCGAATCTCGAATGTAGAGCCTTGTATTGAGTAGTACAGGAGGCCCTGATTCATGGCTCTTTAGCAATGTAGAATTGGATAGCTTCATACTTTACTAAGCAGTTAGAAGACAGCTTGAATGGCTTTGATCTATTGTCTTCACTATAGATACAAGCAGCCGATGAAGATCTTGATAGTTGGCAAACTAATAGGACGTGCATACTAGTAGCGCTATCAAGTAAGGTCGATGAGATGTGATCTTCTCGTCTTAATAAATCATTCGAAGCTTTCAAATCAAAATATCTAGGTGTATTCGATAAAAAAGACATAGGAAAAGGTTCCAATTTGTACAAGAAGACACTACATCTAGGACTCTTTCTCCGGATCAAGTCGCCACTTGTAGCAGTTGTTCTCCACTGTCCCCCCTTGCTTTCCATCTGTTCCAGCACAGTTACAGCTATCAATCGGAACCTTCGTGTAGTGGTCGCATTCGAAGTCTGTATATTTGAATTCGCACCCGTCCTTGACCTCAAGAGAGGCATCGATGCCAATTGCTCCTAGTTCGGAAGAGTCGTAGGCGTAAGAAAATCTTCGCTTCACGACCTGGCCAGGACCGACATAACCCACGTCTTTGATAGCCCTGCAAAGGTGATTAGCGGCATCCTGTATTCGCGAATGCGATGTCCATTGTCCGGCATGGTAGCAATCTCGGACGTTCTGTTGCGGGTCGCCAATTTTGAGTACGATGACCGGCGGCGCCGGCTTCACTGTGACAGTAGGTTCCGGCTCGTCTTCCGTCTCTCGTGGGGATGGACAGACAAAATGATCATCTTCTAGAGATATTTCTGGGTCTTCGGATGGATCATCCATACTGCCAAATTGCCACTGGCCGTCCCAGCCCTGGCCCGTACAGGATGGATCATAAAAGCTACACTGGCCAACGAGGGGTGACGGTGCACCCTTCCTTACAACAAGCACCTTTGACGGCCATTGTGGTGGCGCTGGATGTGTCGGAGTTTCTGGCCTTGTTGTTGTACCTTTCCCATCTCCTCCCAGGAATACCAGAGGCGGCCACACCGGGGTACTTGTGAATGTTGGCTTGATGGATGTAACGACATCATCACGGCGAGCTTTTGCCGTCATTGCTGCGGCGTCTCCAATAGTAAGTGCCTCCATGACCCACTGAGTGACTAGAACAGGCTGGTGTGTGATTGTTGATGTCCAGCCCTGGCCCGTGGCAGTCACGACCGGGTAGCTGAGCAGAGTGGTACTCTTCTCCCACGGTGGCAGTTTGAGTAAACATGGGTGCTCGCACCAAACCGTAGGCTCGTCCATATCCCAGATCTTGGGATTGATCCAATAAATTTCGTTTTTAGCCACTTCGTAGATGGTAATCTGCGACCGCGGGGGTGTCCTTGCACGTTAAGGTTATCTTTTGCCGCGATTCCACGACCATCTTGAACGATGCTGTACTTGGCCCCAATCGTGATGAGATGTTGAATGCGGATGTTGGGTCCGTTATTCTCAAGCCATAGGAGTGCCTTTTGACAAGTTTGTCCGTCAATGCAGTCTTGGGAGTACGCTGAAAACCATGAATACAGGCCAGCCCCACCGATCACGATGTCGCTACTCTCGCGGATGATGACAGCCCAGGATGAATCACAGCCATCGAATTCCCCACCGGAACATTTGTACTGAGGATCTCCTGGAAACTTTCCGACGGCATTTGCAAATGGGGCTGGTGCTTTTGGTATTGGCTGGTAGTACGGCGATTCAGTCTGAATCATGCCAGCAAATATGTTCTTGGCTTTGTGGAAGTTGTACTGGTAGTACACTGAGTGCTCGGAAGCAGTGCCGTACAGCCATGTTGGTGCCTGACTTTCGATGAGAAGACCGCGGGCAACATAGACAGATGTCTGAACCTAAAGTTGGGAATGTCAGCGACGCGCTAAGGTTTCTCAATAGTCCCAATGCTTACCATTGTATTGTTGGCATCGACAAGATCTGGATCACTAAAGAACAATATCGTTAGCTACTTCCGCAATCTAAAGTTCGATGCGTAAAGACTTACTCGATCATGTGATCTGCAACCCAAGGCCACATGTTCTCGAAGTAGCCTGACGCTTTCGAAGTAACGTGCATCATCAATGAAGCACCTTGGCAATTCGGGTTCACTCCAGATGTAATAGGCGGACACTCTGCTGGGTTCAGCGAGGTGCCTGTTGCACCTCCAATGCGGGCGTGATAATCTGTGAGGAGAAAAGCATCAGCCCCATGCTCAGAGGAGAATTGAAACCCCAGAATGCAAACATACCCAATATACCGGCAGCGCCTGGTTTGGACGCCTTCATGTTCCACTCCACTAAGACTGCTCCTGGAGTAGGCCCTTTGGTCGTGAACATCAGATCTTGCATCTCTACGTCGCCAACTTGACCGGGAGATCCAACTGAAAGCATAACCTTGGGATTACTAGGAAGGCCAGTATTATCCCTCAATAGGCCTCACGGGCCGCTCGGCAATACATACTTGGCGTCCGAAAAGAATGAACCCGAAGCAGCGAATTGAGACCAGGTTTCGCCAACGAGTTTAGTTCCACTTGGGACGAAAACGGTCCGAGTGATGATGTAGGTACCGGCGTCGACATGGATAATCTTTCCAACATTTGCGTTCAACGCACTTTGGATTGCGCTTGTGTCATCGGAAACACCGTCGCCTAGCAGAAACAGTCAGATTGGGATCAAGAAACAAAGTTTTGACGGCATTACCTCGAGCACCAAAGTTCTTGATATTGACAAAGTCACCCACTGATCTATCCTCATATTGCGGCTTCGCCCTTTCGAAATATGGTACATTGGTGCCCCCTGAAGGATCCAAAAGGAAAGGTTGCCTTGTATAGGTAGTTGACTTGCCCATAGAAAACTCTCTCTTGGGACTGTAGGTAGGACCAGCGACCCACTGATCAATGTGCGCTGAGCTAGCCAGGATAATGTTTCCACTGGCGTCTGCGACGCCTTTCTGGACGTTGTTCATGGCAATGTTTTCCAGTACGAGTCCGGTGCTGCCGGCGCCAGGTGACGAGTTGATTTTGGGATGAGTATCTTTTCTGGGGTTATATGCGCTGTCTTAACGCGGGTTTCAAAGTTAATTGATAGGGCGAGGGTAGAGGCTGCGGGTGGTACGTCTGAGGAAACGTGGGGCCCGTTGACCAGGACAATATACAACAGCAACAACACGCTGCTGATGGGTACCTTGTTGTAACAAGGTGGGCAATATCCTACCTTTTAGCAACTAGTGACGGTCGTGAATGTCTTATAACGTTGCTCTTTGATTTGCCGTGAACAACAGAATACGGTATAGCTGAATGGCAATTGGAAAATGTTTGCAAATCTTGTTTTATGCGTTAAACGACAAAAAAGCTTTCAGAGGCACCAAAGACCTAGTTGAGTTATCGCGAGCTCTGTAAAGGTACTTTGGTTGTGGAGATGTTTGTGGTTATATCGAGTCTTCCAGATAGGATGCACATGATCGAACCACAACCCATCATTAATAGAAGCTTGATGAGTCAGGAGCTCACCGTCGCTGTTGTTTCCGCTCCTAGATATTTCACTGTTTTTCGTCTTTACGGTACGCAGGCTAGATAATGATGGGTGCCTAGATAGTGAGTAGAAGAAGGCGAGGGGAGTTGGACCTAGTCAAGAATTCCTTGCTATGCGTCAGAGCTGGTACGTTGCTCTCGATCCACTTTCGATACCAGGACTTGCATTGCAACCGTATAGGAAGGCAGGGAAAGGCGAGAACAGCTACCATTTGGTGTTGCATACCCCCTCATACTGCGATCGCGCCGCGTGGAGTCCGATGGATGGATGACGTCAGTTGGGCTTCCTTTTCATCAACATCGACTTTTCCAGCTCCTGTGCATCTCTTCTCCCTCATCACCTCTCCCTTCTTGGCTAATTTTCCCGGAATCCTTGCCAGTCGCTGGTCAAAGTGGCGCAATGTGGTAACTCCAAAGCGTCCAAAGCCATCATTACTGGCCTTGGCTTACCGGTACAGTCCTTTGGCTTCTAGGCCATCAGCCAAACCACGCAGCCTGCCAAAGGCCATCACGACGACGGAAGCTCCTGCGATATTTGGCCGAAGAGATGACACTGTAGTATTTTGGTCATGATATGACCCAATGTAGCTAACGGCGCTTGGTTGGCAGGTGGCTACTCGCGAAACAAGCTACGATTGGCTAGGGACTTTGTTCCGCACGTTGTCTCGGACTTTCCTACCGAGCGCTGCTCGCGGGAAAATTCAATCCACTGCGATGCTTCGTGCTTTTCTTCCTACAACCGTCGAGACGGAGATTCTGAAAGAGATACTCGTCGTGCTTCTGGAAGCAAAATGAGCCGATCCGATTCCGATTTGGCCTGGATAGGCAGGCAATAGACGCCCTCTAGGTTCGCCGTTACAACCACATCTCCTCGAGCACATATCCTATCGTCTGCAGGATCGGGCCCACAGCCAACGAACGCCATGGATCCCACCGAGCGATGGCAGTCTATCGCACCAGCCTCGGTTGAACCGGGACAGCAACGTTTAGCACCGGATTCAAAAAGGCGACGTCAAGCGATTCCTGTAGCGTGTATTCAGTGTCGAAGTGGCAAGGCTAAGGCATGCTTCTACCGCTCTTCTACCAGCGCTGCGGAGCAACAACTAACCTGTCGCAGTGCGATGGCACGAGGCCACGATGCATACGATGCAAGGACAACGAGCTCCCTTGCCAGTACGATGTCCCGGAAGGTGTCTCCAGGGCTGAGCGGATGAAGCTGTTGAAGAGGGATAGCGTGTCTGGCAGGCTCAATGAGTTGGAACGCATCGTCGCCTCCTTACGCTCAGGATCAGACTCACAGGCCTCGACTATCCTGGCCAGGTTGCGACTCGGCGAACGAGTGGAAGATGTCGCAATTTCTCTTCCCGCGACTCCTACGGTGCTGAGTAAACCTGCCAGGTATGCATCATTCGGCTAAGGCTCCCTCTGGGCGCGGCACCATGGTAACCCGGGTGCAGCTTACTGGGCCAGGATTCTTCAGGCACTTCTGGAAGTATGGTGAGCCAAGAGTCTATGAGTTCGCTCAACGAAAGTACAGGGACGCCAGAGTGTCGCCCTAACTCCCATTCATTCTTGACCTCATTTAGGGGCCAGCGACCGAACTGCCCAGCGCCCGCCTCCTTCGCATCATCTTCGTACGCTTCATCAACGAAGGGGAAACAACCAGCCACCCCGATGGGAGTCGACGGAAACCCTTTTCTCTACATTTTGTTCGATCGCGACGACTACCTTTTGGCTAGGAGCGAGGATGAAGATGAGGACGATGAAGACCTAGATGAAACTGTCGATCCAAGAATATTGCTCCAACCCTCAACCTTTGAGACTGCGACTTTGCCTACGGGGTCACCCATAGAAGGCTCGCGTAGTGGGAGACGCTCTTCGCAAAAACAAAAGCTAATCCCATCGATGTATGCGACCCACCTTGTAAGCCGTCAACACATAGTCCAGACAGTCCGAGTACATCCCAACCTCGACCTCTGCAACCTCTTTGGTAATATGCCCTTATCTAGCAGCATTCGAACAAACCATTATCCCTCTAGTATACAAAACACACAGGTCAACAATCTCTTTCTTCCAACATGGTCAATGATGCCGGTCAACACAAGGCCCGATCCTGGGTCGTTGAAGCATACATTTTCAGGGATTTTACAGGAAGCGACTGGAATGATGGAACGAGGTGCGCCAGTAGAACTGATCATCGAAACCCATCCCAATATTGCCGCCCTTCTCAATGAGGACGAGTACAACAGATCTGGCATACTTTCCAAATGGGCCGCCGGCATGGTACATAGCGCTCAATTGAAGGGTGAGTGAACGCCCTTTCGCTAGATAGCCCTCTGTCAATCAGTTTCGTGTTCTCTTCGCTAACGATCACAAGGCGACACCTTCACCTGCTTTGCTTCCATGTACCTCTTCTGGTACCTGATGCGATGGATGATCTTCCCCTCGCCAGAGACATACGAAAGAGTACCAGATTGGCTTCGACCAACGTATGTTGGACACCGTTTGGCACACACTGTTGCACAGCTGCTTACCCAAGTTCAGACCTAATCAACTCTTCATGCCCCATATTAATCTAATCGATTTTGTTGCGTGGCCTGCCTTTCGAGAGCTCGCTGTCCAGATGCCAGCTATGCAAGAGCGGATGGAATGGCTCATGGATATGAGTATCAACTTACAATGCGACTGGTCGTTTCTGACGGAAGAAGCATGTCGTACGAATGAGGAGACAGGACTTATGGATTTGTGTCCTGTGGCTAAAGTAAGCTAAGATTCTGCTGGATTTGGTGGATGGGAGGTACAGACCCTGCATCAAGCGCTAACCTCAGCAGGAAACCGTGAATGACTTGTTAGAATGGTCTTTAGGCCCCTCCTTTAGGGGCTACGTGAGCAATGCGGACTCTTATGTCAGGATCAGGACGGAGGAGTACTGAATGCATGTTGTTTGGGCACGAACACGCAGCGAACAAACTAGCATATGCGAAGATAATGCAATCATTATGAATGGCACGACGAATTCAAACGGTCTGAGCGATAAACAAGAACCCAGGTCAAGAATGCCACCAGCGGAATAGACGTAATCATTACTAGCGAATCTACCGGGTAGGAGAATCGAGGGCCGATAGATAGCCTAAAGATTGGCTCTCGCTTGCAGAACAGAGCGAAGTTACCACGCCAGCTGCCTTGCTAAAGGCAAAATAGGCATATACATGGAATGCGTTAACAAGTAACGCTGCACACCAAGATACGTATTCAAACATAACTTCTCACAAATCTTGTATATCGATATAACGCAGCGACTCGACCGCGAATAGCTACCGTGCTAGTTCGTCCGGTGGGGACGTCACATTACCGAGCGGGTCCTAAGTGCAGACAGTTTGAAAAGTCGAACCGCGTCATACTTCAGTAAACCTCGATGAAACACAGATTAGTGAACGTGGTGGGCGAACGAGTCGAAAGATTGGGGATGAGGAGGTAAGAAAGTGGGGTAACCGAACCTCGGCCCATCACGCTTATTTATACCCACTGTGCCAACCTACATGAACTGCTGAGCTTGCTCTACTTCTGGGCACATAAGTTGAACACGCAAGACCCTGGTCTTTTGCTTGACACTATATCAACATGGCTCCAAAGAACAACATTCCCGCATATGTGCTCGGCGTAGGGCTGACCAAGTTCATCAAGCCACGCAAGGAGCGAGCATATCCCGAAATGGGATATGAGGCAGGCGTGAAGGCCATGTTGGACGCGCAAATCAACTACGATGATGTTGAGACGGGCGTCGCATGTTACTGCTATGGAGATACTACAAGCGGACAGAGGATCTTCTATCAATTCGGCATGAGCTCGTATGTAGCACCTATTTTCTACCCCATTCGTGCACTATCAAAGAGAAGCACACTTCGGGGATATGCACTGAACTAAAATTAGTATTCCAATCTACAATACAAACAACGCCTGCGCCACTGGTTCAACTGGTCTGCATCTTGCACGCACGCTCATCAAAAACGGGGCTATCGACTGCGCCCTCGTCATCGGCTTCGAGCAAATGCAACCGGGCTCAATTAAATCCGTCTGGGGCGATCGGCCCTCACCCATGGGCCTCTCAATGGGCATGATGGCTGATACTCACGGCATAGCCAACTCGCCACCCAACGCGCAATATTTCGCCAATGCCGGTAAAGAGTACATGGAGAAGTACGGCGCTGAGGCACGCGATTTTGCCGAGATAGCGAGGATATCTCACGAGCATAGTTCGAAGAATCCGTACGCACAGTTTAGGGATGTGTATACCCTGGAGCAGATTGAGAAGGCGCCTATGATACATTTTCCGTTGACGAAGCTGCAGTGCAGTCCAACGAGCGATGGCGCGGGTGCAGCTGTTATCGTATCTCAAAAGTTTTTGGATGAGCGGCCGCATCTAAAGAGCCAAGCGATCCTCATCGCAGGACAGTCGTTAATGACAGACTCGCCGCAGCTCTATTCAAAGTCCGCCATGGATCTCGTCGGCTACGACATGACCAAGCGCGCTGCACAGGCCGCCTTGAAGGAAGCTGGCGTTAGCCCCAAGGAGGTCAAAGTCGCCGAACTGCACGATTGCTTCTCCGCGAACGAACTCATTCTTTTAGAAGGCCTCGGCTTCAGCGAACCCGGGAAGGCTCATTTGATGGTGCGCAACGGAGATATCACGTATGGCGGCAAAGGCCCTATTATCAACCCTTCGGGGGGCTTAATCAGCAAAGGGCATCCCCTCGGCGCAACTGGTCTAGCACAGTGCGCAGAGCTCACATGGCAGCTTCGTGGATGGGCAAACAACAGACTTGTCGATGGCGCAGATATCGCACTGCAGCATAACCTTGGCTTGGGCGGAGCGGTCGTGGTGAATGTGTATAAGCGAGCGGATGGGAAAAAGAGTGTGAAGCTCAGCGACGAGGAGATCAAAAAGGCGAGTTTGTTCGACTACAATCCAGCGGTAGAGGCGCGGTATGTGACGAAGGAGGAAGGAGATCAAGTGAGGAGTAAGACCGTAGCGAGTGAGTACGCGCTTGGAGACACACTGGAAAAGATCCAGAGTCGATTGTAGATCGCTCTGTAAGTTCAAATCCGAAAATAACCCATCCATTCCTATATATTGTAACTTCTGTTGGATACTGTTTCAACCCGCATGTGTGACTGTTTCTTCCTGATCTGCTTATCGGTGCCTTCACTGAGGAATATCCACCTTTGGCGGCGTAATCTTGATCTGTCGAGGTTAGCATTCGATCCCACCAGTATCTCATCGAGATACACGTACCTTTCCAAGCTCCTCCTTCACTTGTTCAAAACCCCCCTTTACCTCATCTCCCACAGACTTACCAAGGTCTTTCAGCTTGTCCAACAGGCCTCTCCCTGCTATTTTCTGTCGGTCCCCCTCGCCGCAGACCTTATAGCCCGGTGGATGCCACATCTCTCTCTATTAACCCATCGCTAATTAGTCCCTGTATGATCTCTGATGTAGTTGGATAGGTATGCACATACCCTCTCACCGAACATTTCAATATACTTGGGAAGACAACCGTCGGGACCTGTGATATCCTTCCACATGGGGCTAAGCTTCGCATCCTCATACTGGGAATCACGTTTGCGTATAGATGCCTCATCATCTGCTTCAGGAGCTGGAGCATCATCGTTCGCCCAACTTTTCACTGTGCGCTTGAGCGGAAGTGAACCCAAGGAGAAGGCATCGGATAGCGCGTCGACGGATTCGGGATGCGGAATTGATCGCTCGAGTTTGCTCAGCGGGAGCGGGTACGCCGTGGTGGCAATGGAAATTGCTAACAGCAGGAAAGGAGTAGAGATATGCATCGAATGGATAAAGATCTAGCTGTGTCTTTGCTTGAGACGAGAAGTTGTGGTCGACAAGAGTATAACCAAGAAGAGGATGTTACAGCTTCATTTAGTAGCTGAGACGTATACTCCACGTCCTATATAATATCGAAGATGCAGCACACCGAGACAGTCTCGCACGGCACTTGTTTCAATACTAAAGTCGCAGTAACCGTTTTCACGTCGCAATAAACTAGATGGTTGGCATAATGCACTGGATTTTTCGAATTGACAGACACATCATCACTGTGCCTCCCTCACCTTTGCAAACGAGTTTATTGGTTTGAGGTGGCCGAGGACTCATGTCCAATGGTTGTGACTGTTTGGAGCGAAGATGCTGTGCGGCGTGGGTAAACGCCTGGCTAACCGCTGAGCCTGATCTTGCCAAGCCTTAGCTGCAGCACTCATGGCAAGCGATAAAGCCCATAACGACAGGTGTTAGACAGTCTGGTTACTGTCTTCTTATTGTGCTGAAACCTAGTGACATGAGTACTTAGGGAAGGCGTGATGTGTACGGGTGCGCACGTGATAGCGCGCCACACTAAGTTAAGATGGGTTAGCGCGATTGTTTCGTGCAAGGCCTCGAGCCCCGCCGTGCTCCTCTCTCGGCATATGGATGTAAGCAAGTTGGGAAGATGCAGTGTAATGCTTTTGAGTATTGATTCTTCTTTATACAGTGCAGCCAGTCTCCCTCCAACCAATACATGAAGCATTAAGATCTATCTAGGAAAAGGAGCTGGCGGAGACGATCCTCCTCCTGGCCGTTGTCGCTATGCGGTGTGATCAAGAGCGACGGATCGATGGTAGAGGTCGTTACGCCTGCCTGGTCGCCTGGTTGCGCCCAGTCATCGCGTAGAGACTTAGTTGTAGATGACATACGGTAGCGGCGGGGAGCAACGTGCAGGGCTTGAGACGATGATGACGTCCGACGATAGTCGCTACCGGTAGCAAAAGGACTCAGTAGTGTTGAGTTGGCAGTGTCATATAGAGACGACGGGCTCATACCCGCAACGTTGTACTTATTGCTAGCAGATGGTAAGGGTGGGTTGTGCAATGGCGTAACAACAGAGGTGTCAACATGTCGAGCACGCGGTTGATGAAAAACTGGATACACCGAGGTCTGAGGCGATGTGGGTAACCATTGTCCTATATTAAAGTCGAGACTAGACGTAGCAGTAAGCCCTCCATCCTTGTTGTTGGATGAAGACCAGGGCCTCATGCCAGTCACAAGTCGAGAGCTTGGCTGGCGCGATTGCGCACCGTCAGGACTGAGACTCAGCGGTAGAGTAGTGTAACCACCTCCTAGTGGCGCCTCGGCGAGATGTCGCTGGTGACTTGGTGTACTTTGTATTGACCTAGGGCTTGATCGGGGATAGTAGCTCAAGGCGCTACCATCGTCGATCGGTTGTGAGGTCATCAAATCCCTTTCATGGCCTTGCTTCTTCTGTACCGGCTCTGGATATAGCCCGGGGTGATGTTTGCGTGCATGCTTGAGCCTAGCATCCTGACGAGCAAAATCTTTATAGCAGCCGTCAGCTGGACAAGTGTACAGGCCTCCCTTTACAGCTGTATGCTTGTGTCGCACATGGCGCGCGAGATTTCCACGCTGGTATGCACCCGTGAATTGCACACCGCATTGCCTGCAACAGATAGACCTCGACTCGGTCGATGGTGCTGTCGCGCTCGAAGCTGCCGCCCACGGTAACGATGTCGGCGGGCTTGGCGGGGAGGAATAGCTGGCGTGTGTGGGAAGACACAGCCTTGACTCGATGGTGGCTAGGTTGTCCTCGAGACCTTGGGGATGGTAGCTTTGCAACGCATGGGGAGCGAAAGCATGTGCGGGAGCGGGCGACTCGGAGTCGCTGACGGGGGCTTGGTCGTGCTCAAGCTGGTCACACGTTAGCAGTGGCTCCATCTAACTAGAAAGTAGTGTCTACCCGAGTGTTGATGCGTGACCAGGGATCGTCGGGCGAGAGCGCGGTGCGCACTGCGTTGACATTGGTGGTGTGGTTCAGCAACTGGCTGTTGGGTGGTAGAGGGAGGCTCATGCTCATAGCGCCATCGAAGCTACTTTCGTTGTCGTGATTGATCGGTGTGGTCATCTTCTCCTATGAGAGTTGTTCTGTCGGTGTGATATGGCGTACAGTGGCAGTGGGGTCACTGCGACATCCGGGTTATAGCAGATGGGCCAACGCAGTGGTCGAGGTCAAGAGTTGCCACAGCCTGCAGTTGTCGAAGAGCATATTCCAGAGGGAAAATCGAGGGAGTAGCGACGGCACGGCGTCTTGGTTATAGGCGTGCGACATGCATGCATGTGAGCGACCAGACACGGCGGCGGCCATGATGAGGTGTCTCCGACAGCTGTGCATGTATGTCTATTTGTCGGATTCGACGCGCCACGCCACGCCTGCAACTCCATGATCCGATGGTTCGCTGATGTCCTGGGTGAGTCGAAAGGTAGAAGGACGTTGAAGGCCCAAGCTATGTGTGGTTGCTAGCTTGCCCAGGTGAGCATTGGCCGCGAGCCGGCATCCCCTGCAAAGTGAGGCATGCCTGGCACCCAATCTTGGCCTGCAGTGATACAGTTCGCACCAAGTAGCTTCGGAACATGTGGGCAAAAGTGCAAAAGAAATTGGACCTTTGGTAGTTCTCGAGTCGCGTGCTGTGAGCTATGGGATAGCTTGTCGCGCTTCACGCTTCAGCCACGCCACGCGTACATATATTGCTGCCGAGGCGCTGCACACCTGACATCATTCACCCTTTCGGATGCGCAAGCCAAGCCGCACCTTGGTCGTCAACTTTCATGATCCATCAACCGCTCGTGGGCGGACTGAAGCGTGTAACGTCGCGGAGCCTTCTGCGTGAGCCGTGCATTGGTAGCAGAAAAGAAGGCAACTGCGAGAGTCGTGGCCAAGGCAGACAGGAGGGCGGGGGGCGCAGCGGAGGACTGTGGCAAATGTGTTCTATTGCATCAACCCAAGGGCGTTCTGTTGTTCGTTGTCACTCCCGGCAACAGAACATGCAGTTTCGTGATGTCTTACAGATCTTGTCAAGTTGTAACGGTTCCCATGCTCGTTCTCAACTCCACCATAACGATAACTCTTGCTGGCCTTCCCGCCCTAGCATCTAGTTGCAAAGTACCGCAACTGAGTTTCGAATCCAGAGCGGCGAGCAAAGGGTGCCTTCTCCAAAGCCCGTTTCGTGCATGTATGGTGGCGAACATACAGAGTAAATAAATCGCGCTATGCGGGGGTTTGATTAATCGCGCTCTGCGGGGCTTGACGACATGGTAAACAAGCGGGCGGGGACTTCGGTCATACCGTTGTGTTGCTAGGCTGACTTCTTGGCCTGCAGGCAGTGCGTGACACGACTAGATCCACGTTCATGTTACAGCGTAAGCAACAGGAAAGAATCCGGCTTCAAATAACGATTCGTGAGTGGAGCGTAGCTATAGCTTGCCCTTGGACTGATTGTGTCCTGTCAAAGAGAAGAACCACTTGACACCGCACATCTCAATCGATCCATTGCCACACACCCCCGCTTGCCCTGCCCTGTCAAAGATCGCCTCGAGCTTCCCCTTGCTATTCACGCCCACCGTAATAGATACCAGGCCCTCAGGTTGCCCTTCTCTTCCAGGGATGAACCCTAATCTCGCGTTGGTGAACGCAAGTAGATCTCGGCTCCGTGCGACGCCAAAAATCTCTTCCCATTGTCGTGCGCCTGCTTCGTGGCCGACGTCGCCAGGCTGCAACCGTAGAACGCAGCCTTCCAATGTGAGGTGTTCGCTACGCTTCATGCCAGGGTAATAGAGCCTGTGATCCGGGCCGCATGCGTGCCATGGGGAGAAGCGGGACTTGAGAGGCGTTGGATTGTCTGCCCTGGGTTCGTGGGAATCGAGTTCAGGCATCATGCCACCTGTCACCGTTACAATCTGGACATCGTGCACTGTCACACAGTAGTCGGGGATGACGTACCCTTAATGCCCTTGGGATGGTACTGCACGCATACCGCGTCATCATGCTCATAGTCAAATATGACTTTGGCGAGTCCTTTCTTCTCAATGTACTCCCGCCGCTCCTTCGCATCCTCGGTCTGCATGATGATCATATATCCGCCATCGCCGCGCTTCTCGAGTAACCGGCTGGCCGTCGTATTCGCATCGAAGGGTGAAACGACCTCGATGATGTCGCCGCCAAGTGGTACTGGTGCCCAGTTAGTCGCGGAAGTTTCGCGAGCAGGAAGAACGCACTGAGGAAGTTCTTTAGGCCCCACTGGTGGACAGCGGGATCCTCGTAGATGACCTCGGTACCTAGTATGTATGTCTAATAGGTCAATTACTTCTCCAGCGTGCCTCAGTCAGTGCGTGTCTCACAAGAAGCTGCTTCGATTGTTCAAGGTCCCTCGACACTAGAGCGATCTGGCGCAGTCGCGTCGGCGTAGGTGCGAGGCCAGTCTTTGCTAAATTCTTCGCTCCAGACATTTGCGCCTAACTTACCGTCTAACTAGGTTCATAGATGCGTATGTGGGCTGCTCATTCTTTTGTAGGCGGCTTACTCAAGCCGTACGGGTAGCTCCTCGGTTCCTGACAGTTCCCCGCATGCGTACCGGCATTGTCTGCAGTCCTGCATATATATCTTGAAAGAACGGTTTGTTAGTGATCGATTTAGTTTGATACTCGACTGGACATAGCATGGTGCCTTGGATGTCCGCGCGCACTATGGGTGATGAAGGAGCCATGGCGTCGTGTTTGTTGTGATGCTGGGACGCGTAGCTTGTTCGGTAGTGCGACCCACGCGTCATAATTTCGTCCCACCCACGATGCTCACATGTACTTTAGGAGTATTCATGTCCAACATCTATATATCCAAACGACGCTTCTCTCCAGAATTACGAGACTCTCACTACATTGCTACCTTTTAAAGTTACCCAGACTCACCTTAATCATCCCATTCATGCTCAAATGACGACCGTGCACCTCCACATTGTCACCTCACTTGTCCCCTTCTACTTCTCCTCGTAGCCTCATTTCATCATATACCGTTTATTTCTTTGCAATGATTCTTAAAAACGCCTATTACCTTCGTCAACCGGATATGTCACTGAGAGCAGTCCAGCTCTCGCACGACTCATCCGCTTCTGAACAACCTTCGATCTGCTGCCTTGGATTATAAACAGCAAGCAATATGCAAATAGCGCTATACCGCTCGATTCCACACTCTTTTCTCGCGTCTTTATCACAAATCTCGTTGATAGGATTACAAACGTCCTTGGCCGCATCTAACTAATTTCCGGCCCAGACATGCTCGAAATATCAGACAAACAGCCACCACTCATACTAGCTTCTGTATATTGGAGTGTAGAATTTGTAGTTTATGCGGTCGTCGACCACTGTGGACAAAGACAAAGACGACCTTTACCGACGGCAAACATCACCTGGGTCTACTTATTGTCATAATTGCACGCCAGTTCAGATCTCCTCTCTTGCTTCTACATCCGGAAAGCACGCCAGTATCCTTCGAGCATCTATCCCAGAGTCAACATACAATTAAGAAGTCGTGAGTGGAAAAGGCGCGTCCCCTACACTGGGCTTACTCCATTGGAGCATTTACGACTGCTTTCCTGGATAGACACTACTGACATGGACGATGATCTCTGGAAACTGACTTCGTCTCTGTTCAGATTCAAATTCCCTGTGTTGTATTTGGTCACTAACTATCGTAGACATTCCCTGGAAATGGGCTGGCCATACAAAAGATAGGACCTACCACTTGATCCACGCATATAGCACTTTGAGAACACAATTTGCGCATACACGGAGGAGCAGAATATGAGACTTCTTTGTGTACAACATTTCGGCACGTCCGCGACGTTTACCTACGACTTACACATGTGCAAGAGGGGACATTCTCATATGTCCATGCTTTCACGACCAATTCCTCCGCCACGCGCGCATGCGCCATCTATCACACACGCTATACGTCCGTATCGATTCTCTCCAGTGCGCACATATATACATGATGCGTTTCACTTGAGCTTCTCCGAGTGCGGCTACTATCCCACTCCACGCATTATCGCATGCCCCTACATCAAGATCGTTCTGTAGCCCGGGAACAATGTTGCGATTTCACTCAGAATAATACAACGTATATGAAACATATACATGACCCCGCGCGCTCATTTCCGCGCTTCTTCGCGTTCCCCGTTCCTCCAGTCCCCAGATGTCCGTCGCTTCACCTCGTGCGTGGACCCTGACTCGCCGCCCAGCGTGCTCAAAGTCGCAGTCACCTCTTCTTATATTCCATATCCGACAATACACAGATCAACTCAATCTTGGCGCGAGCATTTGTCACCTTTATATACTGGTCACCGTGGCCGGCCTTCCCTCTTCTTCTTTTCGTCTGGCGGGTTTTCACATATTGTTTGTATCTTTGTAGGATTACATCCCCCAACTATAACCCCTCCCCAATTGTACTAAATACATGCAGCTATCAGTACCGCTGTTACGATGCCGAGCTTTCTGGACGCGTTTTTCCTCTCCATTGCCTCAAATACACCCCTCCCACGCGACAATGTTGATATTATCAGCGAACCCACCACCACCACTTCACCACGGCCGTATACACGCTCGCAAGCACGCCCTGTTGCACCAGTTCCTACGCTTCCGCAACCCTCGTTGCTGCCGCAGATCAGTCTACCCTCGCAGCACAAGAAGCGCGGCCGCAATTCCAAAATCAACATCTTCATCGACACGAACGCAGAGTCCGATACCCCCAGGCCAGCGCTAAAGAGGTCAAAGACAAGCTCCCGTACTCCTCTTTCCGTCAAGACCGACACGGCAAATAGCACGCCTATGCCTTCACCCCGTGCGCCAGATACTCCGTTCCCGTTCTCGTCCACCGATCCGTGCTGGGACAATATCGAAAACTATGACGCCAGGCCCTTCATGACGCCTCCGCCTACTCCAGTCGATCTTTCGCCCGCGCAGTCCCCGCTCCTGCATTTGACGTTCCTCAATACACCTCGGACAGTTCGCCCTCGTCGTGTCGCGGCAACTGCCGTCCTCATCCCCCCCAAAAGCATGGCGTTGTATAACCTGTTGAAATTGGACGACTGGAAAGCCAGCGCAGAGGAGGTCAGAGTAGCGTGGAGGAAGGAGGCGCTCGCGAGCCATCCGGATAGGGTTACCGAAGAAGACAGGGGATATGCTACGCTGAAGATGCAGCAGCTGAACGCCGCGAAGGACCTGTTGTCAGATAATAAGCGTCGTCGTCGGTACCATGTGGATGGCAAGCTGCCGTGGGTTGTTTGAGCATGAGTGTCAGCAGAGCGTTTCCTGCTGTTGTGGTACTCTGTGACCAGTTTGGCGTTGTTGCTTGGAACTGAAGGTCAGCCGGTGGGTTGAAAGAACTTCTTAATTGAAGTCTACTATCCGGTCGTTGAAAGTTGTCGAAGCTGAGGTCTACTAGCTGGCCGTTGGGTTGAAAGTCTTCTTCACTGAAGCCTACCAGACAGTTGTTGAAACTTTGCATACACAGCGTAGTTTCATATCCGCTCTTCAGCTTTAATATCATTCTTTAAAAGTCATGTTTCACTGCGTGTGATGAAGGCGTGCTTCCAAAACATCCACTGACCGAATGTAGTACCAACATCCCTTTTCACCCAAAAGAAGTGGGAAAGGGATCGCAAATATCAATTCACTTACGGTCCCTGGGAGCGAGGGAAAGAAAGCCAAAGTGCGATAATTAATATAATGTAATGATTCCTTACTCGACATTCACCTGAACATGGCGAGATCCCATGACTGACTGTTCTCCCAAATTAGCGAATGTCTTGCCATATATAGTTCGTCATACGATAATCGCTCACCAAAGGCGTCGATACCTCATAAGTTCAGTGTAGAGTTTCAACATTCCGACAGATATTGCAAGCAGTCCATAAGCATAAAATCTCGAAATCGAGAAGCGGAGAACAACGAACAGTATATATTCTTTGACAACTTCCAGCGAATAACAGTGAGTGGGTATAGTGCCGTAACACAAAGCGGCAAACTCACCTACAGACATGAGGCGATACTAATTACAACAACAACAATATGTGGTGGTAAGAAAAAAGAATGGAATACAGCAAAACGACATCACCGTCTCGAAAGGCTAGAAAGGCTACCGTAACATATCAACACCACTTATTTCTATACAACTCACTGAAGCAGAGAAAACTAGTCCTGCTCCCCGGTGAGCCTTTGCGCCGTCCTCGAGCTTTCGGCAATGGCATCGTTATTCAACTCACTGAGTTGATTCAACGTCTCCTGCATGGCGGCCAACTGCTAGCGGCGTATTAGCTATCTGTCTCCTGTTCATCGCGAAACGGAAACAACAACAAAAAACGACATACGGGGTTCAACTCACAGTACCGACTACATCCTTCGATGCCCCATTCAGCGTGGGCGGTTGGGCGCCAGGCAGGGCATCTTCGTCCGTTTCTTCGTCTTCCTCGGCTAAGGTGTTCATGCTGCGTTTTTCACCCATTGTGGCTGCCGCACGGGCGACTCGGTCGCCTGCTGCGATGATGGCTTCGAGGCGCTCGACTTTGTCAGATAGGAAGGCGTTTTCCTTCTCGAGTGGTTCGACGCGGGCAAGATGCTTTCGTACGACTTCACCCTTCATCGTTTCAATGCGGTCTTCAGCTTCTTCGGAGGCCGTGAGGGCTTGGTCGCGCTCAGTCTCGACTTCGTTGATCTTCTTCATGAGATGTTTTACGTCTTCAGCTGTGGCGTTAGCATCAGCGGTGGCTTTATCGTGCCGTTGAAGAAGATCCCTGTACAGGGTTTGTTGCTCGGTAACATCCTGTTTGGTAGCTTCAAGTTTGGCGCCGTGATTCTTTGTCGCTTGTTCCAGCTCAGTGGCATGCCTCGATTCTGCTTCTTCCAGCTGGGCGGCAAGTGCGTCGTATTTCTTCTGCAGTTGCTGAACCGCGTCCGATGTACTAGCCTCCATGCCCACCATCAGCTCAGAGATGGCCTCCTCGTGAGCCTTATCCATGAAAGCCTTCTGCTCGGCGAGGTCATTGTGCTGCTTCTGAAGAGCCTCTAGTTGTTGCTGTAGGGCTTGGACATCATTTGAGTGGCCCGCCTTGAACTCTTCCTTTAGTAGCTCGATAGCATCTCCATGCTCTTGATCTGTCTTCGCGAGCCTTTGCTGTAGCGTGTCGTATTCGGACTGCAACTCAGCCAGGACTTTCTGATGATCCTCCTTTAGTGAATCGCGGAGTAGAGCGACGGTGGCTTCGTGGTTCTTGTCAGCTTCGTCTTTCTCGACGAGAAGTGCTTCATATTTCCTGGTAGCTTCCGCAAGGCCAGCTGAGCCAGAGTCCTCTTTCGAACCCAGTTGAGCTTTAAGCTCCTCAATTTCCGAGTTCAACTCTTTCTTGAGAGCACCCAGTTCGTTGAGAGCAGATTGCTTATCTGAGAGTGCTGCTGACTTCTCCTGCTCAAGCCTGGTGGTATCGGCCTGAAGGGCTTCCAGCAAGTTGGCGTACTTCTGCTCGATTTCCGCTTGTTGAGCCTCAAGCGCCTTGGCATGTGATTCCTGGGTAGTCGATTGCTGAACCAAGACATCACTGTGTGCTCCCTCAAGGTCTGAGAGCTGCTTGGAGAAGGCATCTCGCTGAGTCTGCAAGTTATCAATCTCGATCTTGTGGGTTTTCTCGAGTTCATGTTTCTCTCCCAGCAAGGTGTCATGCTTCGTTTCAAGGTCGCCGAGAAGTTGCTTCAATGTACTTTCCGAGTCCTGTTTCAAGGCCTCAAGTGCCCGGCTATGCGCATCCTCTGCAGCGGTCTTCTCTTCCAATAGAGAATCATGGCGGGCCTGGAGGTCGGTGACAATCTTCTGTGATTTTGCATGGGTGTCCTCTGCGGCGCCCTTTTCTTCTGTCAATATGTCAAGTTGAGCCTGTAGGTCCCCAACATCGGCGACTTCCTTCGTCAAAGCATCGACGCGAGCCTGGAGATCCGCCACCAGCTTCTGCGAGGTAGTCTGAGCGTCCTCTAGAATAGTCTTTTCTTCTTCGGCTTGCTTGTATTTGGCGATTGCGTCAGTAAGGCTTTCGGATGCGGATGCCGAGCTCTCCTTGAGCGTCGACAGCTCATTCTTCAACAGCTCGATCTCCTGAGCTCGCTCATGAAGCGCCTTCTCGTGCTGCTCCAGTGTCGTACTCTTCTCGGCCACGAGTGAATCGAACTCAGTCTGCAGTGAATTCAGGCGGTTCTTTGCATCGCCCTCAAGATCGGCTCGTAGAGACTCAATCTTGCCTTCATGATCCTCACCCAGCGCTCGCAAATCATTCCGATGCTTCACTTGCATTGCATCTAGCTCAGTCTTGAACGATTCCGCTGTCTTCTTGGCCTCGTTCAGCTCAGCATGAACCTTGGCATTCTTGGCAGCGTTTTGCGATTCTTCCTGCTGCGAAACCTGTTCGAGTGTATGGATGGTCCTTCTGAGACCTTCTGCTTCGTCCTTTAGTACATCAAGCTCAGCCGCATCGGCACTGAGCTGGTCATTGAAAGCATCCAATTGTTGAAGGAGCTCATCGTTCTCGACTGTCTTGACCTTGAGCGCAGCATCATGCGATTGTTTCAATTCCTCGATTTGCTTGTGCAGCTCTTCGGCTACCTTGGCGCCGTCGGTTGACCCTTGCTGGAGCGCCTTGATCTGGTCTTGCAGGCCGTCGATTGATTTGAGATGACCCGAGACCTCTTCCTCCTTGACGCGTAACTCAGTCTCTGAGCTCTTTTGCAGCTCATCAATCTTCTCTTGAATACTCTTCGCATGCGCGCTGCGCTCGCTCTCCAGGTCTGTTGTGGCTTGGTCAGCACGTTGCTGAAGATTGCTCAAGTCCTCCTGTAACTCTTTCTGGGTCTTGGTATGAGATGCAATAGTCTCATCCTTGAGACGAAGCTGTTCGGAATGCTCTTGTTCTAGTGACTCAACCTTGGACTGAAGCTCTTGAACAACTGCTGACAGTTCGGACGACTGTGATTCTAGGGATCGTTGTGCTTCTTGCAACGCATCGCCGTGCTGTTGCTCAGAAGTGGCCAACTCCTCTCGTAAATGGTCGACAGTCTTGGTAAGCTCGTCGATCTTCTCGTCTCGCGATGTAAGATCATTTGATTGGCTTTGCTCGAGTTCGGCAAGCTTGGTGTGAAGGTTTTCAAGAGTCTCTTTGGCGCTCGCCAACTCCTTGGCGAGGGAGTCCCGTTCGTCTTTCAGGGTCGCGACTTCTTTGGTGAGTTGTTCAAGCTGGGTGGCCTGCTCCACAAGTTTCTTCTTTTCGGCGTCCCACTCGCGACCTTGCTCTTCAAGCTCGCTGTTTAGGTCGTCCAGTACCTGCTGCAGTTCTGCCGCCCGTGCGGCTTCTAGCGCAGATTTGTCCTCTGCCTCCTTCTTCTCGACCTCGAGTTGCTGGCTCTGCTCTTCCAATTGCTTGGTCTCCTGTGCAAATTTCTTCTCCATGTCTTCCACAAGCGTAGTGTGGGCGTTCTGGTCCGACTCGGTAAACGGCAACGCGCCAGCGATGGCTTTGTCCTTCTCCACAATGGCCGCCTGCGCATCTGCCAGCTGCTTCTTCAGTTTCACCTTCTCCGACTGCAGGTTGTCGACTTCGCGACCGAGGTCATCGCACTGCTCCTGCAGTTTCTCGCGCATATTGGTCTCCTTGAAGAAGTCCTGCATAATCTCCACGCTGCGCCTCTTGGTCTCGGCGTCAATCTCTGCAGAACCGGTAGGAGCTGTACCGGGTCGTTGTGTTTCCTCGCCGAGCTTGGCCAGGGCAGCTTTAACGGGGCCGAGTGCCTTCTTCCTAATCTCGATTTCGGCATCGGAGACCGCCTTTTCCTTGAGAGGGCCATTCCTGCGGGGAGAGGCGTCAATGGGGCTGCCCCTGCTTTCTGCGTTAGCAATGTTCCTAATAAACGGTACCATGACTTACAATTCCTCTGGGGCGGCATCGCTAGCCACTGGTAGTGCGGGTGCCGTAGGCACCGACAGCTTCTTCGCGTGACCAATAGGCGGCTTTGCTGCACTGCCTGGCGCGGCTCTTGTGGTCGTGGCAGGACGTGTGGTAGTAGTAGTCGTCGTCCTCGTCGAGGGTGCAAGTGATGCACGGGGAGTTGGGCGGCTTGTCGAGGCTTCTGCAGCTGGCCGCGTCGTCAGGGGTCGCTTCGCAGTTGTGGTGGTAGATGAAGAAGCAGGGGCAATTGAAGATCTTGACGTCGTCTTCACTGGTGATGGCCGTGTAGGGGCACTCGATGTTACGGGCGTCCTGCGCACCGTACGCTTCCTGTTCTCGTCCCCTGATGTCACTGACGACAGGTCGGGCTCTGCATCTGACGAGGTAGCCTTGCCAGCTAGTCCCGTCCTCCTCGCGGTTGTACTTGGTGTCGGACGCGTCGGCGGCTTGTTCAAGCTGGACCCGACGGTGTTGGTCCGTGAAGATGAGGTGGTCGGTGGTTTCGACGCGGTAGTCGATGCTCGCGCGCTGCTGGCTGTTGCGGTTGGGCGGCGAGCGCCCGCCGTCGCGAGGCCGCCTGTTGTTGTAGGCCGACGGGGCGGGATAGCATCTTTGGAGGCTGAGGAGGGCGCATTAGAGGCCATCTTGCGCCGGAGAGACGAGGTGGGCGTAGAGGGCGCGGGCAGTTTTTTTCGCGTCGGACTCGTCGTCACTGACAGGTCCGGGAGAGCTGCATCGCCGGCGGCCTCGCTAGCCGGGGTAGGTGCCTCCATTTGGGAGAGAGTGGAGAATCGTGGGCTGCACCGTAGCAATTCAATAGAAATGTGCTAGAGCTACACTGGAGGTTGTGGATAGTAGGGTGTAGAGAGGATGCTGCTCAAACCTCCTCCGCAAGACTCCCGGCAGCCACTTCTTCAATGCGCTGGATAATGTGGGGGGAGCCTCACCCGCTCGTCGACACAGCGAACGACAGCGCATCTTCGCACCCACGCATTCTTCCTCTACTCTACTAGTCGCCAGATACTGCATCCACCATTGAGGAGAGCACACGTCGGGGGGTGTCGGTTGTTGTCTCGTGCATGGCCTCGTTGATCAGCAGCCTCTCTCGCAACCACCTCGTCTCCCCTCTCTCCATGGAGCATGGGTGCCTTGAGCCCACCTAGCCCTTGGACGCCTTGAGCTAAACGTCATCCACCATGTAGACGCAAATGAACGATCCTGCGAACGTCGCTCGTTGACTCTATATCTTCATCTCGCACTCTTACGAAGTCCCACCACCAGCTCCAAGTCATCAAACCAAGAGATCGCAGCTTGATAACGTAGTAATAGTCTATATAAAACTTGCCTTACCTCTATACCTACGTACCCAATCGCAACTTAACATCTGGCACAACACAATGGTCTACAATCCAGACCTGTTCCGCTCAAAGGAGCGCATCAACGCCGTCCTCGTAGCCGATCTCACACCAGCCCAGCTTGACGCTGTCCAAGACAGATTCGGAATTGGTGCCAACCTGTGTTCTCCGAATCCATCAGAACAGCTCTTCATTCACGACAAACGCGAATGGTCGGCTTCTTCCCACGCTGACATGAAGCGCGCATATCCCGACACCCAACCCCTCCTAGTGGTCGACTCACACACCCCTGTGGATGGAGGCATCTGGTACATCGACCGCTTCGCCGATGCCGACGACGTGGAAAGCGAACAAGCCGAAAACACAAACACGCTCTTCAAGATCCGGATGACGACCGAAGACGTCGTAATCTCATACGTCAATTACGGCCACAACACTGATATTCGCGAAGACATGGACGAAGTCGACATCGACTATCCCACCCCTGAGAACTTCGAACAAGACACCTTGTTCAAGACGGGCTCAGACTACATCAAGGAGCGCTTCATAAACCCAACTTGGGTCACGGCGACCCCGGACGAGATTGAAGAGACGACAGACGGACAGGTTTTGGATACATTTATGCCACGCCCAGATATAGCGTATCGCCTCAGGCCCCAAGTTGCACGCCAGCACGGCCTGAAGTCCAGGTGGACGCTCGGCAGTGCAGCGAGAGACGTTAAGCGTCCAGATGGTACGGTTTTGAAGTTTCCAGAGGGAAGCAAGATATTGCAATCCGAGTATGATCCAGCGACGGCGGTACCAACGTACGAAAGGCCTGAAGGGAGTTTGTAACCTTTACATTTCGGAAAGTATCTCGCGTATCTCAGTCTCGTCTCTTGCATTCGACCTCTCTTCCCCAGTCTCGTCGATCAGGCTCGGAAGACATGGGCATCCTAGTTCCCAGGAGTGTAGAAATTCGAGTACAGACCTACATTACTGCTATCTCACGTGCTGCAGCCTCTCATTATGTGTTTTATAGATCGAATTACGCTCCGTCTCCATGTTCCGTTCACGAGGGCGGGAACTAGGGATTAGCACGAGCGTAAGTTAGTAGGTGCATAGCTGGACACGTGTAGGCGCGCCATCACATGTCGATAACCCCACTTCGTGTCACTCTCGACTCGATTGGTATATCTCCATAGGACTACGGCACCAAGGTTTCGATTGAGGGACAGTCGTGGTTGAGGCTAATAACCGAGATGCTGTTGTAGGGTCGCTGACTTCCTGGGTGAGCTCCCTTCTAGCCTACCTGTCATCCGACTTGTCCACTCGGGGGCCCCGGACTCCTCAGAGCTTCGAAATCAGCTCTCCTGTGCCTCAGACACGCGAGCATGGCTACAGAGTGTCACCACGCCAAGTGGTACTCGGGGCAAATCGAACGGCAGGCAGATAAGAGCTTCAACTCCGCCTATCCACGTTCTCCGGTTGGAGTGAAAACTCTAGGGATGCGAGCCGGAGTGGCAACACCCTGTACAACACTCAGGCCAATTGTTCTCCATTCTTGCTGCATCAATGCGACGACCCGATATCACATATTTGTGGTAGGGGTGGGAAGTCGGCCCTTGCAGATGACGTGCTCTAAGCGAGCGATGTCAACATCGCGCCGAGGACGCTGGCCTCTGGGTAGCCAAGGCCTATCGCAACGACTTCAACATCAAATCTTTAAGAAAGAAGTGCAAATTCAGCTTTATCGACAGTAGAATGTGATCAAGAGATGGATATGGTCCCCCGGTTACTCGTCGAGAACGCCCATTTCAAGCATGTCCTCCTAAGCTCGTTGCCTTGGTGGTAGACGAAGCTCTCCACATTGGCAAAAGCTTGAGGCCGACGGGCACCGCGCGCCCACAGCACCAGGAAATAGAACCCAGCCGTACCCTCCCGATTCTAAATCCTTGGAGAAAGTGGTGAATTCGGTGCGACCTCACCCGTGGCTGAAGGACTCATTTATGTGTCGCCAGGAAGGAGCCGGCCAAGCTGTCGAGTAGAGAGAATGAAGTAGCCTAGGCCGCCGAGACACGCTCGACGAGACTTTGCCATGAGTTCACGGCACTTGGCAACTGATTTCCAAGGGCCTTCTGCTGCGGTTCAGCATGTGGAAACCTGGTGCGTGGTTTCTGGTATAAGTAGCCTTGCACACTGACGCCTGGTTTTGGCCACCACTGTCTGACGGTCTACCCTGAAAACAGTCAGATTTCTGATATTTGCCTTGCCTACGACTAAACTTCGCCTACAGTCAGTGTCATGGCGACGCCCGACACTAAGGATGTCTTCTATGACGAGAATGGAGTGCTCGAAGTTTTGCCCATGCGCGATTGGACGGCTGAGGAGGAAAAGAAAGCCAAGCGCAAGTGAGTTGTAATTCATCATGGCCACCAATACACTCAGTGACAATTATCCGTTCAGGCTCGACCTGATCATCATGCCTCTTCTCACTCTAGGCTTCTTCTGCTTGCAGCTCGACCGCGGCAACATCGCCAATGCGATTACCGATAACTTCATGAAAGACGTCGGCATCGACCAGGATCAATTCAATGTTGGACAGCAGATGCTTTCCTTGGGCATCGTGCTCTTCGAGATCCCCGCCAACATGGCCCTGTACCGCGTCGGTCCGGGCAAGTGGCTCACACTCCAACTCTTCCTGTTCGGCACTGTCAGCACGTTTCAAGCCTTCCAGACAAACTATGCATCCTTCATTTCAACTCGGTTCTTGCTTGGTATTACCGAGTCTGGATTCATCCCAGGTGGTCTGTGGACACTATCGACTTGGTATACGCGATCGGAGACCGCGAAGCGCGTCATGATTTTCTACTTCGGTAATCAATTCGGCCAAGCCTCTGCCAAACTGCTCGCGTATGGTATTCTACACATGCGCGGAGTAGGAGGTAAGCCCGGATGGTTCTGGCTCTTCGTCCTCATGGGTGGCTTCACCATCCTCAGTGGCTTTGTGCTCGGTTTCTGCCTTCCCGACTCGTTCAAGAAACCCTCTCCTACTTTCCTGCCCAAGTGGAAGGTCTTCACTGATAGGGAGATTCATATCCTCCGCAGCCGTGTGCACATCGACGAGCCTGCGAAGAGCAGGAAAAAGAAGAAGATTGGACCCGCTGCGTTCAAGAAAGCCGTGAGTTGGATTACCAATTCTAATTGAAACGCCTATCTGACATTGCTTTGCAGTTCACCAACTGGCGCATGTGGTGTCACTTCGCCATCACACTATGCAACAACGGCCCCCAGCGTGCCTTCGATACCTATGCCCCGTCCATAGTACGATCGTTTGGCTTCGGACAACTCCGGGCAAACGCCATGGCTGCAGTTGGTCTCTTCCTCCAAATCCCCGTGTCCTTCACGTTTAGTTGGTACTCGGATTATTAGTACGTCCCAACACATGTACCTCATCTCCTTTCGTATGCTAATGCTCATCCTAGTAACCGACGTGGCGAGGCCGTCATGGCCGGCTTCACCTGTCATTTAATTGGCTACATATTCAACCGCATCTTCACCGAGATCAACAACCGTGGCGTACGATACTTCGGCGTGGTCTGGACGCAAGTCTTCGGCACATTCTCTCACCCGCTCAACATCGCGTGGATGTCGCTCACGTGCACTGACTCGGAGGAGCGAGCTCTTTCCATGGCTTTGTAAGACACTCTCCCCCGCACATACGCGAAGAGTCTTACTAATAATCGTAGGGTTATCATGGGTGCCAACATCGCCGGTATATACGGTGCCCAAATCTTCCGCAACGACGATCGACCCCGCTACCGCCGCGGCTTTGCTGTTGCTTGCGCAGTCCTCGCTGTGGGTCTCCTGCTGGCGATTGTCCGCTTTGTCGATAACAAAATTCGTAATCGTGGCAAGGCGCAGACTCTTGAAGACTCTTCTTCTACCGAAGATGTTGCTCGGGTTACGCCTGTTGTTCCAGCTGAGGATGTTCCTGCTCCGATCGTTGGTGGCAGGAAGGCTTCGATTTAGGGCAAATTTGCTGTTAGTTGAAGATACTTGATGCAGTTGTATCGAAGAAGGGGAGATATGATCAAGGAGGTCAAGGGCCTGTAGTTCATATAGTAAGATTGTCATGAATATGCGCATTGAAACTATGTGAAGTAAAGGCTTACTTACAGCGATTGCCTACCTCACTGCGCTGAGAAGCATCACTCAAGTCTTCTTTCGCACCTTTTCCTATCTCTTGGAACCTAAATAACCTGTTAATGAAAGCGCTATTGCCACCCTGACTCGGCTCTTAGCGCCTACTGTCTCACCATTCCACGTGATCTCTAGCAGCGATTGGAAAGGATAGAGTCAAAAGTCCATATTAAACCTAAATTACCCATACCTTTAGACACCCTCACAATCCTGTACTACTAAGCCGCAGGCAACGCAGCCTTACTCTTGGTACACACAACTTTCGCCAACGTCTCAATGCTGCCACTAGCCAGCAGCTCCAAAACCTGCAAATTCGCCTCAAACATCCTAGTAATGAAATTCCTCACTTCAATCGCCGTCAACGAGTCTAGCGGGTAGTGACTGAGCGCGCGACTGATATCTAGCTCCTTGGGCTCCATGGCAATGACCTCAGCAATCTTCTCGACTAACGCGTCGCACACGATTTGCTCAGCGTCAAGCCGCGACGGAGCAGCTTTGAATGCGGCGCTCCAGGATATTGTTGTCGCAGTGGCAGAAGAGGCCGAAGCTGCTTCGGCGGCACGAAGTAGATGTACGAACTTTGCGTCGTTGGACCAGAAGGGTCGCATCGTGGGCGTGATGCGCATTCCCGTGATAGGATGGCCGTTGCAGCTAGCCAGTTTGCCTTCGACAGCGGCTTGGATCAGTGCCAGCACTTCCGCTTCACAAATGGTGTCGCTTCCAAGATTCCTCGCTACCTCTGCCGCCTTTTCCGCATCTTCGGCCAGGTACCCTGCATCGGATACTGCGGTCAGATCGATTGAAGCGGCGGAGATGCCTTGGCCGAGGAGGTGTTGCGCAAAGCCGTTGAGGAAGGTGTTTGCTGCTGCGTAGGCAGCTTGGCCTCTATTTCCGACTGCGCCAGCAGCAGAGGAGATGACAACGAAGAAATCTAAGGGTGTTCTGGCTGTGGAGAGCGCATGGTGGAAGTTCCATGCGCCTTGAACCTTGGACGCGATTACGGTGGTATATTGCTCGTACGTCATCTTCTCGAAGAGGACGTCCTGGCGAGATGTTAGTACGAACCGATTTAATGAGTGAGGGGGAAGACTTACGTGAAGCACCATGGCGCCATGAATGATGCCGCGTACGGGTGGTAGATCTGCCAACCCAGAAGAGATCAAACTGTCGACGTCGCTCCGGTCCGCCACATCACAGCGGCGGACTACGATATTTGCCCCAGTGTCATTAAGAGCGGCGATTTGCTCTTGTGCCTTGCCTTTCATTGCGCCACTTCGAGAGACAAGAACAATGTTCTTCGCGCCCTTGCCGACCATCCATTTGGCCATGCTGCGTCCCAGACCACCCGTGCCACCAATGAGAATATACGTTCCATCTGGCCGGAAGAGCATGTCATGCTTTTCGAGACGTGGAGCCTTGCAAGATGTTAGAAACATTTTCCAGTTTTTGGAGTAGAATGCACTTACCAAGACAAGCTCATCGTCACACGGGACGATTACCACCTTCCCGTGTATACCGGCACCCTGGACGTTCTGCAAGGCTGCTGCAAGTTCCGAGATGCCAAATACTTTGACCTGGCGAATGGGATGAATCCTGCCATATCGCAGCAGCCCAGCGACATCTGCGAGCGTGCGTTGCAAGACCTGTGGTCGATGCATGGCAAGCGCAAGGACGTCTGCAGATAGCAACGTAGCGTTCATCTCAAGGGGCATGTTTCCGAGCATACCATGTGCCGAGTCGATCTTCACGAAGCGGCCGAAGATTGAGAGACATCTCCAGGTCGCGCTGAGCATGTGAGCGTCTGTGAGCGTGTTGAAGACGACATCGACTCCACGGCCACTAGTTGCGTCTCGTAAGCTCTCGGCGAAGGCTTCACTTCCTACGAACCATATGCGGTCCGAAGATATGCCGCACTCGCGCATGAAAAGATCCTTCTCCTCTGCATTTTGAACTGTGACCCAAGCTTCTGCGCCGATCATCTGCGCAATCGCAAGCGCAGCCTGACCGACTGCGCTTGCAGCATCGTGAATCAAGATGGTTTCGCTTTCGAGTAGCCTGGCTTGCTCCATGAGTGCATAGCTTGCCGTGCAGTAGGCGATGGGCATCGTTGCGGCTGCCTCGAACGAGATATGATCTGGAAACTTGAATAGGAAGCGAGAATGCGCGCGAGCCATCGTGGACAAAGAGCCGTTCGGTTCAATCGCTGCAACGCGGTCGCCAACTTTGAGATGGGCAATGGCAGAGCCGACAGCGGTTATAATACCGCTGCACTCAGTTCCAATCGCTGAGTCTGCTGTGCCGGCCTTCGGGCTGATACCGATTGCTTTAACCTGAAACTCGACATGGTCTTCAGGAAGCGGTGAATGAAGACTCTCGTCATCCTCGAATATGAGATAATCAAATGCACCTGGCGTAGTGGATGCTCCCTTCAGTGGCCTCTCGATATCTGAGAAACGTGCCGACTCTGTTGCAGAGGGATGAACTCGATTATTTACGTATTCATTCATGGTTGTGTCGTGGACGATACGCGGAGTCAGCAGCTTTCCATCTCGTTCCATGAACTCGGTTTCTTCCATGTTGCTGCTCGCAGCAAGTGCTCGGATGAAAGTATGCAGGATTGTCTGAGCGATATCTGTGTGATCGTAATCTTTCCCGGCATCGAGATCAAGGGTAACGAACTTCATGAGCGTGCCTTCAGAGCGAATTGCCCGGCTCAACCCAGTGACCATGTTCGCATCGGGGTTCTTGGGGTTGACGTATGCTCCACGAACCACCCACAGAACGCCTTGAACGCTAGTTATGAGACATTGGAGTGCTTCAAACTCTGCTGCGCTGAGGTTTGCCAGCACTGGTCGGTTGAGCTCCGCAAGGAAGATACACAACTTGTCTCTCGCAAGAGGAACGGCAGATGAGAGGGTGCTCATCGTTGACTGAATTCCAGACAGGCGTTTAAGATGATCTGATAGCGCGAAAGCCAATTCTGCCTGTTCATCAGTCTGGTCATGGATGATGACTACTTCAGCGCTGAACTGAGGTGACTTGACCCCATTAGTCCCGGCCTCGGATATGGGCTCCCATTCAAGCTTGTAGCAAAGCTCACGAGGACCCTCCACCTCTGTTCCAGCGCTCATCTCGAGGATAGGCGAGATTGAAAGATCTTCAACGGATATCATTGCGTGACCTGCGCCATCTACAGCGAACATAGATAACGTATTCGACCTAACGTCTGACAAAGACGTGGAGGGCTCACAGAACGCTTGCAAGCTGCATCCGGGACTCTGGAGGTATTCGCATACTTTGGCTGAGACCGTAACCTTGCCGATAGACGAGGGTAGGTGGACTGTTTTGGGGGGTCCTGTGGCGCCGAGGATGGGCCAATACATGGAAATGAGTTGTTCGAGGAACGACGGGTGTAGAATGTAGTCCGTTTCTTGGCGTTGAGGCATCTCCGCGACAGTATGAGCCACCGTAATCTGTGCCGCAGAAGCGTTCGACGAAGCGTGACAGCTCTGTAAGCCTTGGAATGTCGCTCCGTAAGAGACACCAATCTCAGAGAGCTGCTCATACATGGCTTGAGTAGCCACTGGCTCGATCGCGGCCTCGCTGAGTTTTGAACTCCTCGAGTGTATCTTCCGTTCTTTGATCTGCTGTGCGCGCACTCCATCAACTTCGTTTCTGTCCGCAGAAGCAGCAGACACTATCCCGGTACAGTGCTCTGTCCAGCCTTTGCTCTTCGACCATGAACGTATATGAAACTCATTCGATAGCCCACGTTCGAAGCTCTCGGAACTCGGTCGTAACGTAATCGTCATCTCCAGGTCTTCTTCTGTCAACATTGCTGGAGCTCTTACGGCTAGGTCCTTGACCTCTAAAACATCGAAATTGACATTCTGTGTCTGAGCTCGCTGGACGATTGCCTCAAGTGCCATAACTACAAACCCTGAGATGGGGAATATGGTTATACCCTGCATCTGGTAATGACGTAGCCACGGCAAGTCATCTAGACGTACAACATTCCTCCATGTTGGCTCGAAATCGTTCGAATATGGAGCTAAAACTCCGATGATGTCGTTTCTTGGGGCATCATGGAACTTGTGAATCTTAGTAAGTCGAGATTCGTGATAGAATGTGGTTGAATGGTTCCAGGGGTAACGTGGAAGATCTGTAAGCACCTGCGACGGCCTGTCGAGGGGTGTGGGGAAATTGATCGCGCCCATGTTGAGTGCAACGCCTTTGACGAAGAGTGTCCCAGCCAAGGCAAGGGCTGTCTGAACTGCGTTCTTCTTCCTCCCAAGAGCAGAGGAATATGCGATCTTCGTTGCTGGACCGCCAACGTGCTTGAGGATTTGCTTGATCGGGCCTTGAAGCGCGGCATGTGGGCCAAGCTCGACGAGGAAGTTGACGCCTGTCTTGAAATCATCCGCTGGTTGGCACATGCTCTGCACGGCTTCGTCAAATCGGACTGCACAAGTCAGGTTTTGCACCCAATATGTTGAATCCAGCTCGATACCGGAGGCAAGTCGACCAAGAAGCGAGGAATGAAAGCGTACGGAAGATGACTTTGGGGGCTCGAGGTTTCGGAGCGACTCGGTGTACTCCTTAGCTACGAGGTTCATGTGGTGCGAGTGATAGGCCGTGTCCACCTGAAGCGTCCTAGCAAACATGCCCGGGTGTGCTTCTTCGATAAGCGTTTGTAATTCTTTGATAGCATCAGCATCCCCAGATACAGTAACGCTAGACGGGCTATTGATGCATGCGATTCGGGCCTCTCCAAGTGACGGCGAGATACGGTCCAGCAGGGGGGCAATCTCGGCTCTGCCAGCTCCAACAGCCATCATGCAACCGTCTAGATTAGGGAATTTCTTTTTTAAGATGGGAATAAGACGACCTCTGTGATATGCGATCGTCATGGCATCGTCAAAGGTGATGAGCCCAGCAGCGTAAGCAGCTCCAATCTCGCCGGAGGAGTGACCTACAACTGCTGATGGGCTGATTCCCCATGATCGCATCAGGTCAACGAGCGCCAACTGCACGGCTGTGCACGAAGGCTGCGATATGGTCGCCGCATTCACCAGTGTAGACTGCTCGTCTTTCTCGAGTTCCTCTAAAAGCGAGAATGTGGCGCCAATAGATCGGAGGTGTGCATCTGCCTTGTCGAGCGCTGAGGCGTAGACTGGGTACAAGCGATACAGTTCGCGGCCCATTGCCCACCACTGGGCTCCCTGGCCGGTGAAAACCCAGCCAAAGCGAAGCTCGTCGAGCTCTTGCTTTGCAGGTGTAACTTTACCGCCGCAAAGAGCTTCCACGAGGTCCACGGAAGATGATGCACTAATTGCGATCCGCCACGGGTGCAACGATTTCCTCTGACCGAGCGTGTAGGCGAGATTGCTCAGGAGATCGTTCTGGAAGACTTCGGGCCGCCGCTCTAGGTATATTCCGACATTCTGCATAGCCTTTTCTGTGCTGATTTTGTCGTTCGCTGATATTACAAAAAGTCGCTCAGAAGTTTGTGTGTCCACCTCTTCCTTCATGGTCTTGCGCTCAAGGGGGCCTCTGGTCATCACAACATGAGCATTGGTGCCGCCGAAACCAAATCCGTTGACACTGGCCCATCGCTTCCCAAACGGCCATGGTTGTTGCCGAATGGGAACTTTCAAGCCCCATTCGTCGAAAGGAATTTTCTCGTTTGGCTGTTTGAAGTCGTAGTTCGGCAAGATAAAGCCGCGTTCGAGCATCAGCGCCGTCTTGATGACCCCAGCGATGCCTATAACAATCAGCTATTGCTCTACTTTCAGTGCATGATGGGAATTGTATGTCATCAGTTATGGTGCAAATTGACCTGTGGTAGGGAAAAAGGACTGGATGCTTACCTGCAGCAGCTTCCAGATGGCCGATGTTAGATTTCACAGATCCAATGTACAGTGGCTTTCGCTTGTTTCTACCTTCACCAAATACATTGTGAAGCGCACCGACTTCGATCGGATCACCCACTCGTGTACCGGTTCCATGAGCCTCAACATAGCCAGTGTCACGAGGGTCCATGCCCCCGTTCGTATACACGGAACGCATCAGCGCCTCTAGAATTTACAGTCAGCGGAAGTTAGAAATGCTAATAATATGAAGCATACCCTGTGCAGACCCGTTGGGCATTGTGATTCCGGGCGTTTTTCCATCCTGGTTGATGCCACTACCGGCGATGACCGCTCGGATTGGGTCGTTATCCCTGATAGCTTGATCTAGTGGCTTCAAGAGGATCATGCCGCATCCCTCACCACGACCATATCCTGTTCCTCGCTGATCAAATGCGAACGATCTACCGGCTTCTCCAAACAATCGCGACATCGAGTAAGATATCCAGAACTCTGGTAGCATGTTCAAGTGAACACCGGCAGCTATAGCCATCGTCGACTCGCCATTACGTAGACTCTGGCAAGCAGTATGGAGTGCGACAAGGCTTGATGAGCAGGCTGTATCGACAGTAAAACTAGGACCTCGAAAATCAAAGAAGTGAGAGATCCGATTAGATTGCATGGCCATAGCGCAGCCTGAGATTGTCAGTGATCATGTTTCATATGTGCCATCAAATCGAGTGTTCACATACCTGTTGCCTGATGCATCGGAATCGTTTCTGGATCGCGAAACAAATCGGCTTCATATTCCGAAAATGTGCCTCCTACAAAAACCCCCACGTCCTTGCCCACGACATCATGTTTGAGAACGCCTGCACTCTCGAGCGCTTCGAATGTGCACTCTAGCAACAGCCGCTGCTGTGGATCCAAACTAATTGCTTCCTGCTGCGTAAATCCGAAAAATGGCGCGTCGAAGGCTGTTAAATCGTGCGTGAGGAAGTTGCCACCACGTGCGTTAGTGGTACCGCTTTTTCCGGGATTGGGATGGAAGAACCGATTTGCAGAGAACCGAGATGGTGGGATGGAGGTGAAGCCGGTTCGAGAGCGCGCGAGAAGCTCCCAGAACTCGTCTGGCGTGCTGACACTACCGGGGAGACGGCATGACATGCCAATGATAGCGATAGGTTGGTGTTTGAGTTCAATGTGAGATTTTCCGTAGCCCGTAGCGTATCCCTCCTTGTAGCCGTGGATGTATGCATCCTCATATGAAGTGGTGGATGAAGGAGTGCCAGTGTCATCTACTGGCCTATTCGTGGTATCATTGGAGGTCGAGTATTCAGCCCTGCTACCGTTGTCGCTATTGGGTTGAATTGCGGTTGTATCGATGCTTAAGACGTTCAAATTAGGGGTTCGAGGTGTCGAGTCTCCACCATTCAAAGGATCATCGTTCTGTAGAGCGGAGGATTCGATGTGTAAAGTCTCGATCCTCTCCGCAGTCGGCGTAAGAGCGTATGGAGCCATCTCCGACAAGTATTGCCCACCGAGCCGTAGTGACGTTTTGTGAAAAGAAAATGTACCGATTTGATAAGTTGCTATTGTAAGATGGGGATTGTATAAAACTGCCTTTTGAAGCCTTCAACAACTCAAAGGGAGCGCATATTGAAAGCTATGATAGTTTGTACTACTGTTACTTGATGATTATCACATGTTAGACCACTTAATTCGAATCAAACTGCATCAATTGAACGCTTGACCTTTCCCTGTTGATAAAGTATGCGCTAGCTTACCCACATCCGCGGTCACACCAAAACAACGTTTGACAGGAGTAACCCCCAACCAAAGTGTAAATGGCGGAATTTGATTTGACCATTCCGAAGCTTGACGAAACATCGGCATGTGGGGGTCAAAGCGGAATAATTGGAACGGTCTGCACCTCGTATCGATGAATCGCATACTAGATCGCCCAACAGATAACATAGTCATGATAGTGTTCTGCAACATGATGCGTAGCATGGAATGAAGTGAGGTTGCAGTTCTTATCATTAGGGGATCAATGCATTCCAGCTTTTGGCCATGAAAGCCTAGCGTAAATTCAACTTCGGCTTTCGGCTCATGTTTGGAATAGTCTTTTCCCATTCCTCCCTAGACAAAATTTGCTCCTACCCATGGCCTATGCATTTAGCTTGATGGAGATAATAAGTCCTCTGCACTTTGCGCGCCCTTCAGTGTATAGACTGCGAAGTGCATTTTGTCAGATTAATATTACCGCGATTCCTTGCCTCGAGGGTGGTCGTCCTTCGCTGTCACCATGAAGTTTTTGTGTTTGCCAGGCGCCTATGGAAGCATTGAAGTGAGCCTGTCGTTATTTATACTTTAATCTTACTGACAGGTTATAGAAGTTTAGAGTCCAGTTGGCTCCTCTTACCAAAGAGCTCGAGTCTGACGAGACTGCCAGTTTTCATTTCATCCAAGGCCCTTATGAGGTACCTCCGCCTGTAGGGTACGAGGATTTCTTTGGCGGAGCCCCCTATTATCGCTTCATCGTCCCTGCCGATGCCGATGCTGATACAACCGATGTGATCGAGCGTATTCGCGACTTTCCGCAGCTAGAAACACCAGAAATGACAATGCGGGAGCTAATGACTTATGGAGTGGCGAAAACGGACGACAGCGCCAGATGTACGTTGGAGTATCTCTATAGAATAATGGAGAATGAAGGCCCATTCGATGGGATTGTGGGATACTCAGAGGGCTCTACGATTGCAGGAACATTATTACTACACGAGAAGATGAGGGAGAGGGATGAAGGACGAGAACCCATGTTAAAATGCGCATTGTTCTTTGGTGGCTGGCCACCAATGACCCCTACGCTGGATGGTCTTGTGCTTGCGGACGAGAGCGAATTGATGATTGAAGTCCCTAGCTGCCACATAAGTACGCAATCCATCGAGATTTTCGCCCTTTCTTTTGCTAATCGATTACGACAGTTGGCTCACTAGACCCTTACCTTCACGGAAACATCGCACTTTACAACGTGTGTGACCCAGACACAGCATTCATTTTCGACCATGCGAAGGGACATACTTTGCCGCGAGACAAGCATATGGTTAAAGAGCTGGGCGATACCGTTCGTCGTATGATTGATGAAGTCAATGGTGGTGGTTCTGTTTATTGAAATAAAGCCTTTTCGAGGGCTTCGTTGTTCATTGTCTCTGCATGTATGGCAGAATCTAATCTTCGAAGTTGCTAGTCATTTTATTATTGAATGTTGTTGCTTGTAACACTCTGTGACTATATTCGGTCACGCTATACCCGACATATTTATTATACGATATGGACATGTCGGCAATCTAATCATTGCTAGGATAGATCGTCGATCATATTAATTAAATCGCCGAAGTAGATCTGTTCCATCCTGATTGGTGTTCGGAGCCTGAACTTGCCCGATCTTACCCTGAATCACTCCAAATCACAGGCCCGGTGCTCTGGTGCCTGGGAAAACAATGAAACCTTTGATGCAGAATGCGAGGCCCGGAACAACGGGATGACAGAATGTCAGTACCCTTCCCTTGGTACCCGCTCTATAGGGCCCACACTACATGCAAGGGAGAATCAAATCTCAGTTCCAAGACGGATATGCCCGCACTCGACAGGGATATTGATTGCGTTTTACGCGTTGACCAAAGACGTGCCTTGCCGCTCGTCGTGAAGGTTTTGCGGCCCGTCCCGGTTTCATTCTTTCCACCTCAGGGACCGATACCGGAATGGTATACTTTCAACCCTTGAACAGAATCAACCAGATCCCCATCACAATGTTGGACTGTTGACCTGAACCTTGTCGACGTTTCCACACGTGACGACAGCCTTGTAGGCTTGTGGTTTTCCACCGTCCAGTCAATCGGTCCAAGCAACGTCAAGATGTCTAATAATCCTAGAACAAAGTTACGCTGGCTAGCATGGCCATGGCATGCACCGACATGGATATCTGCAGCGGGAGGAAACACGCGAATCTTCATTGTATGCGCCATCAGCTTTCGACTGCACATACGCTAATGGAGGGGTAGAGGATATTCTCGTATTCATCAACAAGAGATCGTATATTCCTTTTGGCATCTTTAGTCGCGTCTGTGTGTGCGGGAGCAACGTTGCCGCTCATGAACATACTTTTCGGTAAGTATTATACGAGTAGAGCAACCAAGCTACTAATACTACCTTAGCGCGTCTCGTCAAGACGTTCAACTCGTTAGCCAAAACCTCATCAGACAATCTGTCTACAGACTTCATGGCCATCATAGACAGATACGTGTATGTGGCGTTATCTATGTTCTTCTCCGCCCACGCTAACAATTGTATAGCCTGTATATCGTCTATCTGTTCATCGGCCGATTTCTTCTAGCTTATTTTGCTATTGTAAGAACTCCTCTTACAATGTATGTTGATGATATTGATGATAATGCATAGATTGGTTTTCGCATTACGAGCCTCCGGGTTTCAGCGACCGTTCGGTCATGTTACCTCCAAGCGCTTTTCCAACAACCGATCTCTACATTGGATGCCCTTCCTCCAGGACAAACTACAGCTATTATTACTGTTACAGCTAATGTGTTGCAATTAGGCATCTCTGAAAGGCTGTCGTCTCTGATACAAGCAGTTACTGTGATCCTAAGTGCACTTGTCATCGGATGTTTGTTCAGTTGGGAATTGACATTGGTGACTGCAAGTGGACTTGTCGCGATTGTATCATGGTATTCGATTATAACGCCGCTCGTGGTAAAAAGGTATGCTGTGATACAGGAGTTAGAGAGACATGCATCGGGGGTAGCAAGCGAGGCGCTGTCAAGTATTAGAATGATTGCTGCATGCGGTGCCGAAGAGAGGTTGGCACAGAAGTACAACAAGTTTGTTCAACAGACAAGGGTATTAAGCCAAAGGCTGTCTCCTGTTTTAGCATTACAGCACGCTCCAGGTATGTGGTTTCCGTATTGTACATTCGATTAGGACTAATACGGCCCTAGTATTCTTCACTATATATGCGTAAGTCCCGCTGCTCGATACGGAGGGTCCTTGCTGTACTGACTTTAACAGAACCTTTGCGCTTTGCTTCTGGTTTGCTGTCAAGATGTATCTGAGCTTCAAGTTCGCCAACATAGAAACACTAGTGGTTGTTCTTATGTCTGTGCTTACGATGTTGGCACATCTGAACACTGTATCTGTCCCTCTAACAGCGGTTTCCAACGCCATCAACGCCGCATCAATCTTCTTTACAATCATTGATGCACCAAAACCTTCTACCGCTGGGGTGCGAGAAGACGAAGTGTCATTGGACGGTGATATTACACTAGACAACATCAACTTTGCCTACCCTACACGCCACGATGTGAAGATTTTGCACGGGTTGAGTCTACGTATACCGGCAGGCAAGACGACAGCTATCGTGGGCCCGAGTGGATCAGGCAAGAGTACGATTATGGCACTCATCCAGCGGTGGTATGAACTCGGTGGAGCCGATCCCATCGCCAATTATCTGCGCAACGGTACCATTAAGATTGGCAACAGAAATCTCAATGGAATCGATCTACATTGGTGGCGTTCGCAAATTGGCTTCGTTCAACAAGAGCCATTCCTATTTAACGATAGCATCTTCAAAAATGTGGAGTATGGGCTTGTCGGGACGAAATGGGAGAACGCATCTAAGGCAGTGAAGAAGAAGATGGTCATTCAAGCTTGCAAAGAGGCGTACGTAGAGGAGTTCATCCATATACTTCCAGAGGTAAGTACTGAGCCCTTGAGATCATCCCAGAGACTAACTCTTGTAGGGCTACTCAACGTCAGTTGGAGAAGTGGGCCTCCGTCTCAGCGGTGGTCAGCGTCAGAGGATTGCTATCGCTAGGGCTATCGTCCGGCAACCAAGGATATTGATCTTCGACGAAGCCACTAGTGCGTTGGATGTTACTAGTGAACGCATTGTGCAAGCCGCTCTTGAAAACATTGCACAGGACCGAACAACTCTTGTTATAGCGCATCGGCTATCTACGATCAAGAATGCCCACAATATTGTTGTTGTAGCAAAGGGCGCAGTTGTGCAGCAGGGATCGCATCAGACCCTTTTGGAAGACACGTCTGGCGCATACTCGAAGTTGGTACTTGCTCAGCAGCTAGCTGTCAGCACCGTAAGATTGGTGTACGACAATTCTGAAGAAGATATGAAAACGAAGTGGGAACGTATTATAGCCGAAAAAGAGAGCTACGAGGCACATGTTGAATCTGGAACTACCATCGCTGGTTTATCTGGTAAGTCTAAATCATGTGTATCCTAACTCGCCATCTATTTCAAAATCCTGTCCCTGGTTCAGCCTACTGTTCGACGTATTTTTCTTCACAGATTAGCGATATATCTCTTCAGACCTATACTGACCAACATCATCAGAACCCGACTTCGACTTGGCAAAGAAAGTGCCAATGTCAAGGTTGTCACCTAGTATCTTCCGTAGCATCAATACGATACTGCTGGAGCGTAAGGAGAATTGGCATAACTATCTCATCATTTTGGTGGCAGCAATGGGCGCTGCTGGTAAGTTCGGGAAGATATTCTGCCGTACTATGCGCCCGCTAACCCGGTTGAATAGCCAGCAACCCTTTACAGGCGTATCTTTTTGGTCGACTTATTTCTTCCTTTGCGTACTGGGGCGAGCAGCTTCGATCATCGACCAGTACTTTGTGTCTTATGCTCCTGGCTGTTGCAGCAGGGGTAGGACTATGCTACTTCGCACTTGGTTGGATATCCAATCAGGTCTCGGCTGTGAGTCATTTCTCAGGAAGCTTGGATGAGAGATTCTAACTACCAATAGAGTACCGTTTCGACATATCGCAAAGAGTACTTTCGTAACATCATCACGAAGCGAATCTCATTTTTCGATGAGCCTAGCAACTCCACTGGACTCCTTACTGCTCGGATAGCCACAGACCCAGCACAGCTGCAACAACTTCTCGGTATCAACATGGCGATGGTATTGATATCCGTTTTCAGCCTCATTGGTTGCGTAACGATCGCTATATACTTCCACTGGGAGTTCGCGCTTGTCGTCATGGCACCATCGATACCCATCATTCTAGCTGGCGGGTGGTATCGCGTAGCCTATGAGGTTAAATTTGAAGCAAGGAACAACGAAGTCTTTGCTGAAAGTGCGCGTTTCGCTACCGAAGCCATCGGTGCTATCCGGACGGTTGCAAGTTTCACCCTTGAGGGTGACATATGTCGAAGATATGACAACCTTATGAAGGCTCACATTTTCAAGTCCTGGAAAGAGGCTCGAGTCTCAAGTTTGGCATTCGCGGCAAGCGATAGTCTGGTTCTGCTTTGCATAGCCTTTGCGTTATGGTATGTTACTTCTTTATACCCAATGCAGCTTTGCTTTTACGCATATTTAACTTAGTATAGGTACGGCGGGAGTCTTCTTGCAAGATCCAAGTTGCTGCCTTTCAACTTCCTCGTTGCATACCTGGCCATCATTCAAGGCAGTTTAGCGGCTGGGCAGTGGCTATCCTTTGGACCAAGTACGAGTTTCTCTCTCATTTCGGCGATCCATACTGATAGCTGCCAGATATTGCGCAAGTCTCTGCAGCTGCCAATCGCATTTTAAAGATGCGCCAGAGTGATCTCGAAGATGAGGACACAGTTTCAGCAAGATTTCGGGAGACCTATCGCTGGACCCTCCCTGCCAACCTGCTGTGGAAAGGAGCCGACATCAAATTCCGCAACGTATGGTTTACCTATCCGACGCGTAAGATCCCTGCTCTTCGAGGCCTTTCTCTCAACATACCACACGGTCAATTCGCAGCTATAGTAGGGAGCAGTGGCTCCGGCAAGACAACGATAATCTCCCTTCTAGAACGATTCTACGAACCTGATCGAGGAATGATCTGGTACAATGACGACAAGATCGCATCGATGCCACTGAAAGTGCTCAGGAAACGTATGAGTCTGGTGGCCCAGGAACCGTATCTCTTTCGCGGTACAATGCGAGAGAATATCCTGCTTGGTGTAGACGACAATTACGTCAATGAGGATATATTACATCAAGCTTGTCGCGACGCAGGCATCCATGCCTTTATCTCTTCCCTACCCCACGGCTACGATACCGATGTAGGAACAGGTGGTGTTTCGCTCTCAGGTGGCCAAAAGCAGCGAATCTCGATCGCCCGAGCCCTCATCCGGGACCCTTCTGTATTATTGCTCGATGAGGCAACAAGTAGCCTCGATTCAGAAACCGAAAAGGAGGTCCAAGCCGTGTTTGAACGGACAGGGAAAGGGCGGACGATGGTGGTCGTTGCTCATCGTCTTGCCACAGTACAGAAAGCGGACATTATTTTCGTCATGGATCAGGGCAGTGTTGTGGAGCAAGGCAATCATGCAAGTCTGCTGAGCAGGAAGAAGCTTTACTGGCAGATGTGCCAAGGTCAAGACTTGGGCGTTTCATAGCTTGGTCGATCATCAGTTTTAGGATGGTAATAATGGTCTGGTTGAATTGTTTATGTTAAATTTAAGATGAGACTTGCAGTGGTACGTTATTCTTAGAAATAAGGCGTGCATCATTTGAAATGAAAGCTAGTCATTGGATTAAAAATGAGGGATACACGTGTCTAAAATAAAAGCGGCTATAATGCCTCGTGCAATTGACGCGACCGTGGCTTTACCTAAAACCAATGAATTCTAGAACCTGTCCCATCGTGCACGTGAAGATCAGTGCTTATATCGAACGAAAACTGTCATCGCTTCAAGTGCTTCGTCCCTAACATGATGTGTGTGTGCATGCCAGTTCACGACATATTACAGTTTGGAAGCATACGATGTGTCGGCTACGCATCCATCCACTTATTCGCGTCCCATTGCATTCCACAATTCATAGACTTCCTTATCAAGATATGCTGACTCAGCGCCGCACGATTTCGCTGCAGCTTGAGCACGCCTCGGTGTTCATTGCGCTAAGGTATGCCTCATGTTCGAAAGAATGTGGATCCCCCCTTGCGAGAGTTCTGATCTTGGATCTTACAATCACCCGTTAACAATGCTGCTGTAGCAGCGATTACACCCACAGTTCAATCAGTCATTTCCAATATTTTCTTGGCAACTAATCTTTTTCTTCTATTCACTCTCTGGATCAACGATGAAGACAGCGGCATTTGTTTTCCTTTCTGGCCTGCTAGGGATTGCCCAAATACCATTGGTGATCGCCTCCCCCAATTGTCCCTTAATCGGGGCGGAGTTCCCTCCGCCTCAGCGACTAGCTGAGCATCCGATATGGCAGAGGGCCATAAGAAATATCACAGCAGCCTTTGACTACATCGATGGAAGCAACATTACCGGCATTGATAGGTTCTCATACTCTATTCAGATCTTTTCAACCAATCCAGGGGCGCCTATCCTTTGGGACCGGCATCGGACTGCTACGGATCTACCTGCGGATACCCCTGGTGTCAGTGTGGTAGATGGAAATACAGTTTATCGTCTAGGTAGTGTTTCGAAGGTCCTCGCTGTTCTGGCGTGGTTGGCCGAGCTCGGTGATGTTCATTGGAACCAACCTGTCACAAAATTCCTCCCAGAGTTGGCGGTATACGCAGGGAGATCTACTTCTAACGCGTTCGACGGGGTACGAGAGACAGCATGGGATGATGTAACGATTGGGTCATTGGCCTCTCAAGTATCTGGGCTTGAGCGCGATTGTAAGACTCGGTTTGCTCCGGTGAGGTCTAGACTAACCATTTATTAGATGGGGTACTTGGAGAGATTACTCAGACGGAAGACGTACCTTCATCATGGAAAGCAGATTTTCCAACGCTGTCTACTGCACAAAAGCCGCCTTGTGGAGTGTGGCCTCTTTGCACCAGAGCAGGTATGACTTCGCCCCTTTCTACTATATCTTAGCAGGACTAAATAATTCAAATTAGAGTTCTTTAGGGGTTTAGGCAGCATGTTTCCTTCATATCCGCCATGGCAGACCGCAAGTTACTCGAACGTAGGTTATCAAATTTTTGCCTATGCGCTCGAGAGCTTCACCAAAAAGAGATTTGTGGATATCTTGAACAACCGGATCATCAAACCTTTGGGTCTAGAACACACATATTACGAGAATGCACCCGCTTCGGTCGGGATCATTCCTGGTACCATAAAAGAGACTTACTGGAGCGCTCATCTAGGCGACGCAAGCCCGTCAGTGTTACTCTCATCAACGTGAGCATACCTACTAATACATTCTAGCGGCGGCAACATGTACTCCTCACCGAACGATCTCTCCACAATAGGCCGCGCAATACTTTCGTCCAAGCTCATCAAGCCAGCTCTTACCCGCCGCTGGCTGAACCCTGTCACTTTCTCAGCAGATATTGCCGCCTCAATCAGCGCCCCATGGGGTGTTCGGCGTATACAGCTTGCCAAAGACACGCAACCGCATCGCTCCTTGAGTATCTTCACCAAAGCGGGGACGTTTCGAAAGTATACATCTTTCCTCACGTTAATGCGAGATTACAACCTTGGCTTCACCATTATGATGGCCGGGGATCCAGCGATGAGCAACTTCATGGGCGCGGATCTCCTGGGTGCAGCGGTGATTCCTGCGTATGATGCGGTAGCACGCGACGAGGCGGATAAGCTGTTCAGTGGTACATATGCCGCGCGAGATGGGCCCATTACCAGGTCTTGGTTGACTATCACCACCGATCCAAATAAACCTGGTCTTGGAATTGGCCCCTGGATCAGCAACGGGACGGACATGGTTGACATGGCCACAAAACTACAAGCTGGTACAGATTATACAACTATAAATGCGGAAGCTCGCCTCTATTACACCCAGCTGGAATCTCCGATGGCGAATGGCGGGAAGAAGCAGGCATGGAAAGCCGTATACGAGGACACCGGACGCCCGGCGGCTGGCCCACAATTGTGGTCCACTGACTGCGCTGCTTGGGTAAGTGTTACAGGCATTACCTACGGTTCGCTTCCTCTCGATGAGTTTGTCTTCTTTTTTGACAAGAGTGGGAAAGTGGTTAGTGTTACGAACCTGGCACTCCGGTCAACGCTTTACAAGCTAGAGTCCTAAGCAAGTAATCTTTTAAGTAAGCGCTGCGTAATGAATCCTCTTCCTCACAAACGCACGTAATGTATTTCTTATATCTACTTGTTATCCTATTTGTAAATATTATTATGACTATAAATCAAGTTGAGCAGCATCACCCACATCTTATAGCGCATATGGGAAATAGTGTTTCATATTTCTTTTCTTGTCTTCTAAGAGATTGTAATGCCCGGCCCGTGATGTTAGCTCTAGTTTCAGATCTACCAATTATCCTTCATTATATAGCTTTGCGAAAAGAGACTAACGCCGCAGCAAATATCCTCTTTTGAAGGAGGTCAAGCCTTAATCTAGACAAAAATCCAAGCACCACCCAAGAAGACAAGAAGGGCAAAAAGCAGTGCGACAGAGGACTTCTCAAGCGGTGAGCGCCCCCCCTGGCTAACCTTCGCCGGCTTCTTCGCCCTCTTTCCACCCTTCTTGCCACGCTTGCGTGGCTTCTTTTTCTCCGACGGCACCTCCTCGACTGCCGCAACGACCGTATCATCGGCATCTTCTGCCTTGTCTCCAGGCATTAAAGCCTCCCCACCCCCAAATTTCTCGTAAATAGCCAGCATTTTCACATCTTTTGCTGGCTTCGAAGTCTTCTTGCTCTTGCGCTTCTTGCCCGAATTCATCGTGACAGCCTTCCAGGTGGGCTCAACACGAGTGCTCAGAAGCGTTGACAGTGAAGCCGGGAGGCCGTCGACACACTGTCCATCCTCGACCGTTGCATCCAGGTTGGGTGTAGCAGGGAGGTCGTCAATAGGCTCAACCTGCTCAGTCGTCTGAACAGGCGTTGTGGGAGCCGGCTTGTCTTCAGTACATCCAGCCGGTACCTGTTGGACCACCACAGCCTCTTTGGGTTCGACGGCCGCCTCGTCTTCCGTAGTCAGAGCCTTCTTCTTCTTGCCCTTCTTGCCAACACCAACAGTCTGCCAACCTCCATCTAGATGTCTGCCGTAGACTATATCAGTCTCCACATCATGAGACTCGGTGATCATGTCCTGCGCCATCAGCTGCGCGATCAAGAGGTCCTTGTTATCTGCAGCGGGGAGGACTCGCATCCTAGCTAGGGCCTTCAACGGCGCGTCGTCCAGCAAGGCGTAGGGGTTGTTTGACGGAGTCATATCTTTTGAGAATGCGAATCGGAGTTGTGATGTGGTAGGCTGGAGGATTTCGATGAGTTGAAGTGGTATCTAAGAATCGAGAGTTGAATGTGGTCCTTGGAGTATATGTGCTTGAGTGGATGTAGAAGCTAAGTGCAGAGGTGGAAGAGTTTTATATGCATGCGAGACGATGGCCAGTTTGTTTTCGCCGCGTGCCGTGGTTACGGGATGCTTTCACCTACAGATGCTGAGCCAACTCGCACGGGCTTTCCACACGAACTATGGCAACATGGTTGCCACAGTACGATTCACTGAGAAATGCGAGACAAAGCGCTGCCTATTCGTTGAAAATTTAGCGCGGAAAGCTGGAGTGATGAGGCCAAGAGGCAAAACTATGGTTCTGCAACTCGGATTTCAATCGTGGTTGGGATTAAGCGACATAGTCAAGCCGATACATCACAAGCCAGGTGCACGATAGAGGATATCGTCTGAAACATGAAAAGGCTGCAAATGAAAAGGAGACAGGAGAAGGATGGCATATATCGCAAAAAAACAACGCTAAAATATCACACCTTTGAAATTGCATTTTGGACGTGCTTGACCCACGCAGGGACCGGCCAACCCTTATCTTGATGCAAATGAATGGACTCTTTGCACTTCCAAGCTGATTTCGCAATAATCTCTTTGACATTGTAATCACGTAGCACGCAGCCTGGGCCACAGTGGGCTCTAAAAATCTTCTCGAAAACGTCTGGACCTGGCTTGAATATTAGCTTGTCTGAGAATGAGTCATGGGAAATACATTTGAACATACCAGCAAAGCTCATCAATGCTTCGAACAGAACGAGTTCCTCCTCCTCCGTCCATTCTTGCTCTTCAGACATTGAGAAAGCCCAGTGCAACGGCAATGGCAGCGTAGAGCGGGCCCTGAACACTGGCACCCGCTCAAACCTCACACCATTTGCGTCCTTCTCTTCCATATCTGGAAGGCTAGTAATTTCCAGATGCCGCCTCCTCGTCCAATCAGGCTCACACAACATGCGTGCAATGTGCAAATCCTGCCAGCGACTCCATCGCGCGTTGCTCATTGCAATTGCCTTCCGGACCCTTTGTTCCTCATCCAACTCCTCTTGGCGCTTGCGCTCAAGTTCTGCGCGCATTTGGCGCTGGCGATCTGTAGCTTCGAGCTGATGTAATTGTACTCGAAACGATTTATCAAGTCGTCGAAGAGGGGCAATAAGTTTCGATTCAACCTCCTTGACGATCCTATCACCCTTATAGCGCTGAGGTACCGAGGCATTCCACTTGGCGATAGTGTCCTTGAATGCAAGGACTTCATGTGTGAGCGGGGAGAGGATGCGCAGGGCTTCCAAAGACTCATCTATGGAGTCATACTTCTCACCTAACCGAAGGTACACTACCTGTAGATATGCAGTAAGACCACGGAAAATATATCCATAGGCGTCGCTTTTGAAACTAAGCTGATCGGATTCCGACACATCGGTAGTAACCTGTTTGAGCACGCTTTGAAGGTCTTGAAAGTCGTCGATGATGTCGTCAACCGAAATATCTTCCGATTGAACTAGTTCGCATGATCTTTCACAAGCTCGCTTTATGGTAGTACCGAGTTCGGTCTGGCATTTCCCAGCACGTTCCTCAACATCGAGGAATTGGAAGACTTGATCAATGTCCGATAATGCGCTTAATCGACTGAGCTGCACGGGATCGTCAGCCTTGTCTTCGTCTTCGTCTTCATCTGAATCGAGTTCCTGCTCGTCCGCGTCTAGGTCACCAGTCCCAGCCTCGCCGGCTAAAGGCGTGCTATGTATCGACGCGGTCTCACGGACAGGTTGAACTTCCTTAGACACCTTAGCAGAGTCTTTAGTCTTCTGCTTCTCACTAGACCTGGATTGACTTGAAGATGCGGTTTTTTTAGTAGTTGGCTTCTTTGCACTTGTTCGTTTACCTTCAGCGGGGACCTTTGGCGCTGCTACTGCAATTGTCTCTGTAACCTCGCTTTGCTGATCACCGCTAAATTCGTCCACAGTTTTGCCTTTCGTAGGTTTCTGCCTACTTCTTTGCCGCACTGGGATCTGAACTTGTGGATGTGACTTTCGGGATGGGGCATTCGAATCCCTTTCTTTCTTGGACTTCGATGGCGCATATTGTTTCCCGGGAGTGTCTGCATGGAGGGTACATCGTGGGCCATGAACGGTCTCATTCTGTGCTGGAGCTCTACATTGCGAATCAAGATCGTCTTGATCCGTGACAGCACCACAGCGTACAGTAGTGGGTTTTCGCATATGAACATGGCATCGAAGGCCAACGTCAGTACGATTCGTCCCGGCTAAGGAGCACTGCTGGTAATACGGCCCTTTGCTATCATTTCGATACAAGACCACAGTGCACCGGAGCTTGCCGTTGGACAGATACTCGTCAATATGTACGTCTTCGGGCGCACTATCGTGTGTAGATTGCCGTTTTCGGATATGCGCTCCAGTCTCCACACGGTCGATAGAGCCTACGCGGAACTCGGGGGGAGAGGATGGTAGTTGAGGCTCATTGTTTGCTTCAGCGCGATACGATTCGGTGTCGCTGTTTCTAGCTTCGTCTCTGTGCGGTGCTAGCTGCCCAGAAGAAAGCTGTTGTCCCTCCACCTTATACTGGACCTTTCTCTTCTTCCGTGTAATTTTCAACGGCTGATGGTTGACCATTTCCGGCAACCTAAAAGCCCCCTTCTCTGGGCTTAACAAGAGATCGTATGCATTTCCGCGTCTTACATAGTCCGTATGCGCCTGCGCCGTTGTCATTCTGCTAATTCGCTTGAGCTTCCCTGCACCTGCCTTGGGCGCCATCCCTCCAGAGGTACTCTGACGGTCCTGTATGCGCGCCGCATTGAGAAGGCTTGCGCCCAGGGCTGCTGAAGACGGTTTGGGCTGTCGTGGTTTCGTGGCGGACCCTTGGGATTCTTCGAGCAATTGCTGTGTGGCAGCTTCGGCATCGGCTTCGACGTCGGTGGAGATGTGAGACGATAGGGGCGGTAAAGGGAGGTCTATCGTTGCTACAGTCATGTCAACCTAAGTGTCACCATGGGAAGCTGTCGTGATAGCTTCGCGGTAGCTAGCCGCCGCCGTTTGAGAACGAATGCACTGCCAGAATCTACGTTACTTACTGCCCTTCCCCGGTGCCATCATAAGGCGCGCCATGATTGAGTGAAGCGGGTATTAGAGCATGCGCATCGAGAGGGACGCATACTACAACAACAATGACAGTGACGGACGGCAACGGTGACGGTGACGGTTATTGTGGGGGGAAGCTACCGTACCCCAGTCATTTAATCGAGAGGCGGGAAGTCGCGAGTGGGTCCAGAATCACGCTATCACATGGTCTTTGAGCACCACCACCAACACTACACATCATGGCCTCACAAACCTCGACAGCCCCTGCATTGCAGATCCTGGATCCAAATGACGGCCACAGCTTCGCAGTACCTGCGAAACGCATCCACGATGGCGATGACGTCGCCTTCTTCTTGGCGAGCAAAGCCTATGCAGACATTATGACATTCATCTTCCAGCTCAACACAGCAATGCTGCCGCGGAGGATCAAGCTTGAGGAGGACACCAAAGAATCTGCCCAGGGATGGAGGCTTAACGATCCCCACGTCCCTCTTCCGCACATTACCCAGAACCTTGCCAAGCTTCTCGAAACATTGACGGCAATCATCGACGAAGCGCCGCCAGATCCAGGGCCGCGTCGGTTTGGAAACGCCAGCTTTAGAGTCTGGTATGACTTGGTGCGAGAGCGCGTATCGGGGCTGTTGGATCAGTATCTACCCAAATATGTGCTAGCTTTCGAATCAACATCCGATATCTCCGTTAAGGAAGAGCTTGAAGCGTACCTTGTTGGCAGTTTTGGTAGCTCCCAGCGCCTGGACTACGGAACGGGCCACGAACTCAGCTTCCTCGCCTTTCTAGGTTGTCTATGGAAGCTCGGCGCCTTCCCGGAATCCATTGACGGCGATCAAGAGCGTGGCATAGTTCTAGGCGTCATTGAGCCATATCTCGTTTTAATCCGCCGCTTGATACTTACATACACACTCGAACCTGCCGGCTCACATGGGGTATGGGGCTTGGACGACCATTCTTTCTTACCTTACATATTCGGTAGCGCGCAGTTCTCACCGGCCATTACTAATCCAGGAGATGTTGCGGCAGAGGGCTCGATACCAAATGCCCCGAGCCCAGCAGACATTACCAAAGGCAACGCTGTGGAGCGGGAACGAAAAACAAACATGTACTTCAGCGCCATCGGCTTCATCTACGACGTCAAGAAGGGTCCATTCTGGGAGCATAGTCCGATTTTATTCGACATCTCAGGCGTGAAGGCGGGCTGGGCAAAGATCAACAAGGCAAGTCTCTCATCTTTCCTCATCAACTGTCTGCGAGGTGAGCACGCGTCGCTGATACTTCCCAGGGCATGATAAAAATGTACAACGTAGAAGTCCTCTCCAAATTCCCCGTAGTCCAACACTTCCCCTTCGGCTCTCTCTTCGCCTGGGAAAAGGACCCAAAAGCAAAACTCATCCAAGCTAGCGTGCACACCGCTAGCCAACCCAAGTCCTCAACCCCCTCTTCCACAGCACCAACAGCTAGACCCCAACCTCCAACCGCGAAATCTCAACCTGCGCTTCGAGACCCACTAGCCGATACGACTGCTCGGGGTGCACAGGGCGGTATGCCAGTATCGACAGCAGCGCCCTGGGCAAAGACGGGCCGTGCTGCTGCTCAGGTACCAAGCGGGGCGAATCAATCTATGCGCGCACCTTGGGCAGCAGCTTCGTCGTCGCCTGCTGTTCCAAGTGGTCCGAATCAGCCTACGAAAGCTCCTTGGATGTCGAGTACACCGGCCCCGCCACCGCCTGGGGGAGGTACAAGGGCACCATGGGCGAAGGGAAGTGGTGGGGGGAACCCAGCCGCTGCAGCGGAAACTGAACCGGTCATCAAGCGCGAGTAAACGGGTGCCATGGGCGGATAAAACTTCACGGTCGTATTATAACATGGCAAACATGGCATTATTACGTGACAAGGTGATGAGAGAAAAATTATGTAGATATGCACTGCATGACATGGAGGCACAACACTGTGTGACTGCATTCAGGGATTAAACCATACAGCATCAATACTTCAGTCGTAGAATATGATGATTGCAATGCTGTTTGCAGATAGCACGTTATTCTGAAATATACTTTTTTTTTGAATCGATATCACTAACTAGTGAACTCGCAACGACATCATTGAGGCTGAAGACACTGACGTGCACTCATGGTACTCTAGGCCACATTCTCCATCAACCCAGCCCCCACTGTCCGCCCCCTCTCCCTCAGCACAACTCTCATACCCTCCTCAATCGGTAGCTCTCTCTCAAGTTGGACAACCACCCTTGCAACCTCGCCGGGCTTGACGATTCTAGGCTTCTTCTTGACGATCTCGCCCGTGAACTTGTTTAACCGCGCGCTCAACGTCCTGATTCCACCCGGAGAGTTCAATGTGCTTCTGAACACTTCAACTGGCATAGGCAGCACATGTTCAAACGCAAGAAGCTTCGATGTAAACGCTTTGACAAGCTTGACAGGTGCGTTAGGGGCACAAACCATGTCGCCTTGCCGTAGGTGGATCGGGTCGATATCCGTGAGATGAAGTGTGGGGATTTGGCCGGCGACAGCCCAGTCCACGGGCGCGTCTTGGACTTCGATAGCTTTGATGGTTGCAGTCTCGTTGGCAGGAAGTGCGAGGATTGTGTCGCCTACTTGCACGGTCCCAGAGTCGATGCGGCCGGATATGCTAAGTGGTGAACGCATGTCTCCCCGGAAGACATCGGCGACGGAAAGGCGGAGCGCTTTTTGGAGATTTCGCTTTGGTAATTCTACACGCTCGAGAGCTTCCAGAAGCGTCTCTCCCGTGTACCAGTGTGCAGCGGAACTCTCGATCTTTTTGACGACGTTCTCGCCAGTGAGACCTGCTAATGGTATGAAGGTGATGCGTTTCTCCAGGAAACTGGCTTCAGTAAGGAAAGCAGTCATACGTTTGGTTATATCATCAAACCGGGCTTTTGACCAAGAGACCGTGTCCATCTTGTTGACTGCAACGATGATATGCTGCATACCCATGCTTCGAGCGATCAAAATGTGTTCCTTCGTTTGTCCCTTAAGGCCAGATTCGAAGCTGTTTGTGCTTGCATCGATTACCAGGACTGGAAAGTCGGCTTGGGATGCTCCAGAGATCATGTTAGGTATGAAATCCTTATGACCTGGCGCGTCCAGTATCGTGAAGCGCGTTTTATCCGTCTCAAAGTAGTTGGTGGCAATGTCGACAGTTACTCCTCGACTACGCTCTTCGCTCGTTTCGTCCATGACCCAGGCGAGAGCGAATGACGACTTCCCAATGTTTTCAGCTTCTTTTCGCAGCTTGTCTATTGACCGTTGGTCGATAACCTTCAGATCGTACAGAAGACGGCCCATAAGCGTACTCTTTCCGTGGTCGACATGACCTGATCCGAATTAGTATTATTAATTTCAAGCGCGCTGCAAGTTCAGAACAGCCTTTATTAATGATGCTAAGCGACGTATACTTACCGACTACGACAAAGTTGGCCATTCGCTTTAGGCCACTTTTCTCAAATTCCTGCACTACATTCAAATTTTTACTCTTCACTTTGGGTTCATCGGCGACAGCCAGCTTCTCCACAGATTGCGCGAGCTTTTCACCCTGCACCCTCTTTTTCTTCGAAGTGGTTCCTGTTTGCCTTAGAAATATTCTCAAAGTAGCCGTGTTGGAGAGTCAACGCCGCCCGCCACCTGCAACCTTTGCCTGCGCTGCCCGTACAATATCATCTGGACTGGGACTTGCGAATGCCTTCGCGCTGTCGTATTCTTTGTATATTGTGTATGGCGCCGGGAACACCTCCAAAGTGGGAAATGGCCGCCTTGCTGCTGTGCTGCTACCTCCACAAAGTGTCGATGCGAACATGGACGCCTTAGCACGCTGGGCAGGTAATTCGCAAACGATAGCTGGTTGTTGGACGGCAGGCTTTAGGATCGCTTCGTCGATGGCTTCTGGCGGTGGAGATCGAGACCGCGAGCGTCTGCGACCGGGATATCTTGCTCGACTGGGACGTTCCGTATCACCCCCACGTAGATTTGATGTAGGCTCCTTGCTCTTGACTGTGAGCTTGTCGAGCATGGCAACCGCTGCATTTGCCTCGCTATTGGCTTTCGTGGCAGCAGCTTCCGCTTCTTCCCGGTCCTTTCTGCGCTTTGCCGCGAGTGCTGCCAGTTTGGATGATCCGCCAAGTAGGCCCCCTCTATAGCGAGGAGTGTCGAGGGTTATAACGCCTAGCCGGTGCAATGGCACGTTGCCCCATGGGACATCCCAGAAGAAGTCGCCTATGGCTTCGTTGGTAGGCATCGAGATCGGGGGCGGCGATAGATAGGCAACGCGATAGGCTGACTCTTCCAACCAGCTAGACTGCGGGTGAGTTTGCTTACCGGTAGTTGTAGGCGCTTTCTGATCGGCCACGCTTGCCGCTTGATCAAATCGCGAGGTTGCCTTCTCTTTCTTCGGCGCCTCCTGCTTGGGTTCTGTTGTCCCTAGCTTGTTCTTCAGATAGACTACACTCTTGTCGACGTCGTAGTAGTAATGCCACAATGCTTCTTGTATCTGCGCGTCGCTCGTGAATTCGCTCAATTCCCCCAGACCTTGCCGCACTCTTGTAGTCCCGACACGCATTTGCTCCTTGTCATGCTCTGTCATACCGTCACCGCCTTCTCCCTCTTCGGAGTAGTCATCTTCATCGTCGTATGCGTCGTCATCGTCGTAGTCGACATTTCTGGTGCGGGAGAAGCCACCAGGAGGCATGGCGCGCGTGGGAGCTTGTAGGGGTGTTAGACACTGTCTAGCCTGTATATTATGTTGTGAGGTTGTGCAGGTAGTGGAGTGGTGAGTGGTGAGTGGAAGTTGTGAGAAGGTGTGGCGTTGGAGTAATAAGTGTTTGACTTTGTTATGGTAATTAAGTTATTCGGTGCACGTCGGGCTTTAGTGGGGCAGATACTGACGTACCATGGCTCGATTGCCCTTGCCCCGCGGTTGGGTTACTTGCAACCACGCTTTCGCTTACATTCCAACCACTCCTCTGCTTTGCTTATGTATGCGAGAGATTATCCAATTGTATTGACATTGATTACTGTAACGAAGGACGTTGAATAGTCTGGCACGCAGTAGACATTGGTTGGGGGAAATCTCCATTTCTAAACGCTGACCTCGCTCATCAGTTGAGCCAACTGCTCATAGCGCTCATTGAAGTACACGGCAATGGGGGTATAGGATTAGTGAAATGCAAGGCAAATCGCAGTAGTAAAGACTCGAAAAAGAAAGCATCCGCCACCTGCGCAGTAGGCTAAGCAACCGTACGTACAAAGCTGCATGCCATGCTCCGCGTTAAACCAGCACACCCTGCCGCCGTATCCAATATATTTTTTGTTTGATTTTCGAATTTGAAGCTGAATATTACTAGGTCACATTGACAACCAGATCCCGTCGGAGACAGTCTATTTCTGCGCAGGGGTAGGCTGGGCAGCCGAGGGAGTGGTGTCGCTAGGAGCAGCAGGAGTTGGGGCTGGAGCAGCAGGCTGTGCTTCCTTGGCCCCAGCGTCAAAGTCGGGCTCATCCAATGGCCCACTCGTAGCACTCATGCCAGCTGCAGGCTTGCTAGCAGGAATCGTAGGCAAATCGAGGGGAGCAGCAGGTGCAGAGGGTTGGGCCGGAGCATCAGTCGCTTTGGCTTCAGTGCCCTTTGGGGTATCGGCAGCCGGGGTCTGAGCCGCCACAGCAGTTGGAGGAGGAGGCACAACAGCGCCAGCGGGTTCGGGGGCTGGAAGGCAGACTTTGTCAGTTTATGGTATCTCGAAGACAAAAGAGATTCGTTGGAGAGCCATGAAATCGTGAAATCGTCAAAACAAAGGAAAAGGCGTATCGGGCGCATGGGGGAAGTAGCTGCGTGTCGAAGCGAAGAATGGGTGAGTGCTGGCGCGACTTGGGCATTGTTAGATGGGACCACCCCAGTCGTCGTCCATTGCAATCTTCTGCCTTCGTCTCGCGCCATTCCAAAGTTCGTCTTCTTGGTATGGTTGCACACTGGGGGTTGAATGAGAAGTGGACCTACTCTGAGTAGCCTTCTTGACCTCGGTCAAGGCAGCAGCCTCATCCTTCTTGGGCTCGGCGGGAGACGGGACCGCAGCTGGTTGCGCTGGCTGAGCTGGCGCAGTGCTGGTCGTCGCTGGCGTCTTTGCAGGCTCGGGAGCGGTGGCTGGAGCCGGGGCGGCTGGCGCTGTCTCGCTGGGCTTCGTAGTGGCAGGTGACGAAGCATCAGCAGGAGCCGTGGGAGTTGGCTCCTCCTTCTTGGTCTTCTTCGAGAAGATGCTCCTGATGCCCTTCTTCAGTTGGGCCAACGCATCGGGTGCTGCCATAAGAGATGTGTCAGACAGGTGTTCTACTAGAAGACGGAGGAATGTGAATTGGAGACGGTGTGGAGAAGCTGTGGGGTTGAGGGTGGAAGTGGGGGTAGTGTTTGTGCAGTGTGTATTGGCAGTGACTCGCGCTGGAAAAGTAGGCAGGCAGGCGCAATGAGCGAGTGAATGGCGCAAGGGCAAACGAGAGAGCCATGGCGGCGTGCTCGCACAATGTCGCAAGGCGCGGGCAGTACGTTACTTACGGACTCCAGGCATGATGATAGCAGGCTAGGGGACAAAGTTCAAAGAGACGCACTCAAGACCTCGTGAGAGCTCGTGACTAGGGTGCGGGAAGGAGAGGGCGCAAACGTGATGCAGCAAATAAGTGAATCACCAAGGGAAGTCGTGGTGGTAAATACAAAAGAGGGCGAAGCATGTCGAGGAAGCTCAAGCGGTTCATGTTGGTCTGGCCTGAGCTTGGACCCCTAATCAAACGCCATCTCCACGCCCTTGTCATGCACCCCGATTGCGCGGCCTCGACCGAATCTAGCGGGCCGTCTGTGCGGAGTGGTATGCGCTCTGTTTGAGGCTTGCAGCGCATGTCTAGGAGCCGTTAAGTGGACCTCGTCGAGTGGCATTACTTCAAAATCAACGTCTCGATAGCCTACGACTCCAGATGTCTCAATGGCCCACGGCTCCACACATGCGGCAGGCGAGAGGAAAGATGCACACTCGTCTGTGTCGGGCTACTGCTGACACGCCAGCTGCACAGACGGGAGCGAGGGAACAGGGCACGCAAATTCGCGTTATTTTAATTCACCTGCCCCCTGTAACTGTTTGAGTGTTTGAAGACCGTCAACCACCACCATGGATACCAGTAACGCCACCAATTCAATCGACGATAGACCTCGTTTATTCGCTGCACTACAGCACAATCCGTACATCCAAGCTATTGTCACCGTCTTCGTCGCTTGTCTATGCACCCGGATACTATCATCGCAATGGTTCGAGGCAGCTAAATATAGCAATAGACGTGGTATCGAACCGCCTACGCTTCCGTATTGGATTCCAGGACTGAAGCATGCTTTTTCCATGGGTTATGACTCGAAGAGATTCCTGGCCAAATGTCTGTAAGTAACGGCCCGAACTGAACATCACCAGAAGGTGCTTCAATGACCGTTAGCTATGCTGACGTACTCACAGGAACAAATTCGGGGATGGAACACCGTTTTTCGTCGATGCAGCAGGACAGAGACTCCTCCTCATCTTAGATCCCGAGCACATCAAGGGAGTGCTACGCTCGTCTAAAGAACTCGACCCCAATCCCTTCATCCATGACAAGATACTGAGCGCCCTCATGGGAAGTCCCCAAGAAGCCATTGACCACTACAAATCGGACGGAGGGAATACGGACTATATCCAGACAACCCACATTCGACAGCACACTACTGGATCCAACCTCAACGCCCTGGGTAAGAGACTATTCGATACTCTGAGCCGCAGTGTCGAGCAAGCTTTACTACCGCAAGCCGACTCGGAATGGACAGAGATTCCCGACCTGTACGCTTTCTTTCAGCACCACGTCACATTGGCTATCGCCGAGACACTCTTGGGTTCCGCGATCGTCCAAAGTTATCCTGAGATCATCTCGGATCTTTGGACACACATCGAGCACACCGATCAATTCTTCATGGGCTTGCCACGCTTCGTGATACCGAAAGCTTACGCTGCCCGTGACCGATTGCTGGAAAACATTCGCAACTGGAGCAAGAAGGTCGAATCTCTGCGCCAACAGAATGCACTAGGTACCCACTGGGATGCCGTGGCCGGATCTCAGCTATTACAAGAGCGCGAAACGCTGTACGGTGAGCTGCCTGGACATGACGTACATGGAAGGGCAGCTCAGACTCTGGGATTACTGTACGGCGGGACCAGTTTAACTGTTCCAATATCATTCTGGTACTTCTTCGAGACTGCTAGGGATCGTGACTTACAGCATCGCGTGCTCGACGAGTTGAAAACGCACGCTGTTCCTGAGTCGTCCTCGTATAACCTCATGAAACTCGCAGCGTGCCCGCTTCTTCGCTCCATGCATGCCGAGACAACACGATACTACAGTTCCAATCTAACGATCCGCGAAGTTATCGTTCCCCAGTACGCGCTAGGCGCAAAATATGTTCTTGGGAAGGGTACCACAGTCTTCATCCCAAACAAATATGCCGCACAATACACTTCAGCATGGGCGCAGGTAAGGCCGCAAGCAATCACCAAGCCTCTCGATACGTTCTGGCCCGAGAGGTACATTGTTGCGGAGAAAGGGAAGCCCGAGCGATTCAGCGATGTTGGGTTGGCTGGTAACTGGACCTCGTTCGGCGGCGGCGAGCACAAGTAAGAACTCCGTCCTAAAAATTGCGTCTGGACACTCACTGATCTTCTTACCTCAAATTTAGGTGTCCTGGGCGTCACTTTGCGAGGAACATCGGCATTGTAACACTAGCAGTATTATTAGGAGTATTCGAGTGCGAGGTGCTTGATTTGAAAGGCGCGCACAAGACAGACCCCCGCTTGAAAGAGTATGCGTTTGGTACCATGAAGCCGACAGGCAAGGTAGCCGCAAGAATCTGCAGACGGCCAAACAGAAATAGCATACCAAAATGATGCACGGGAGATTTCGTGAGGAACAGTATTCAAAGCCTGGAACCCTAAACAACCTGTAAAATAGACCTAACGGTGAATAAGTTGGCTATGGTGTGAAGCATATTGCACCCTCTTAAGGAGTAATTCTATTCAAGCAAATCTAGTAGTCGAAATCCTCAAATACAACATTCTTGCCCGGCAGCCAAGACAACATCGCCTTCCTCAGCGGCTTCCCTGCGCATAAGTACCATGTGTCTGCCCCAATCTCCTCAACATCGCTCTTTGCCAATCTCCTCTTCTCAACCTGGACACCCATCGCCTCTAGCTTTCCCATCTTCTCATCCGTACTCCTTGAAGATATAATAGTAGTGAAGAATAAGGCGGTGCACTTGGCAAGCGCGGGATGTCGTTGCAGTATATCGACAGCCAGATCGATATCCGCCAGTTTAAGCGTCCAGAGAAGCTTGAACTTGCCCGAAGACAAATCAACGTTAGGAAGTTGCCCGAGGAGCGGCGTGATGCCTACACCTCCAGCGATAAACGGCGTCACCCCTTGTCCACTATCCTGCTTAATCGTGAACTCGCCGCCAACTCCCAAAATCGGGACCTCGAACCCAGCACGCTCGTTTTGGCGGAACAAATATCCCGTCACAGGCCCAACTTTTCGTATCGTCATCTCGAAGTCTTTCTCCTTTCCACCTTGCAACTTCGGAAACGAGGAAATTGTAAAAGTACGCACAAAGTCGTCGTTTAGACTCGTTGGATCATCATTGCGCATGTGTTCGTAGCCGATGTCAAGTTCTTCCTTGAAGTCTAGGGCGATCCATTGGCCTGCCTGGTAGTCAATCCCCCCTGACACTGAGAAAGTGAACCGCGCCACGGATTCCCCGATTGCTTCTTTTTTGACTAGCCGCGCGGTTTGCCGCTCACTTCCCGGCGCTGAAAAAGCAGCCTTGATATTTCCCTCCGACGCGAGCGTGCGTACAAGTGGGTTGTATGGACTAGGCGTCTTTCTCACGCCCCTAAAGGGCAGTCCAGCCTCTACAAATCGTGCTTCCTCAATGCTGATCCTGACCGCTAAGTTGCTGCCCGGAAGTAGGCTTGCGGCATCTGCACCAACGAGTATCTCTGTGGTTCCGGTGATGTAGAGGATGTTGCCGGTCTCGTAGTCCGGGAATGTGACGCCTATCTTGGGGTTCATTAGTAGGTTGCCGAGCGACTGGTACAGGCGGTTGCCTGAGTATTCGGGATAAATGATTTGGGTGGACGAGATTATTCGTACGAAACCAGGAGGTCCTCCACCTAGTACTACATTAGTATACTTATCAAACTGCATACAGGTTCCATAACTTACGGTGATTAGTATCGGCGTCGATCTCGGTACTTGTGGAGAGGAAGAACATGTCTGACTTTGATATCAAGGCTCGCCCCTCATCCGATAATGAGGGCCCTTGGGAAAGGACCCTTGAGGTTACGAGCGCCTGGCTGATGCTGTATTCATTTAAATACTTCGGACAGTTGCCCAAACTCTGGTCGATTTTGGTGATGAGCTGTATTTGATCCTGTTTCTTGTCTGCATCGCCTTCCACCTTAACGTCTACCTCCTTCACAGTCCCCGCCACCATTCTACCAGCAATCTTCACTCTCTTTCTGGTCATTAAATCGATCGCCAAACCCGAAAGTATCTTGCCTCCATCCTTTAGTTGTAACATCTCACCCTTCTCGGCACTACCGACTAGTGCCTGCACAACGGGGTCGTTCTTGCCATCGACAAGCGTCCGAGTGCCGATGAGGCCACCACCCAAGGGCTCAGAGAACCCCACTGAACCACCCCAGAGCGTAGTCCATGGACGAGATTGTGAGTCCAAGGTGCCCAGAGCGAGGAGAGGGCCGCGTTCGAGCATGAAGGATGCCTGGGGCGTGAGCATAGTAGCGGTTGGGTTGTCAAGTTCCGGGACGCGGAGCAGGTGCTGCATCTTCTCCTCGCCCTCGTTCCAGGGCATCGCCAGTGAGAAGGCCATATTGCTGGAGATGGGATTCGAGCTCCGGATCAGTTATATGGTCGTCGCCTGTGCGACTCCTTGCGCGTTCTTCGTCTTCGTATATACAGTAATCCGTCCTTCCAACGCCTTTCGGGATATCTCAAGTCAGGCGATTATAGATATATGTATTTTAAAAATCCTTCGCACCATCTAGCATTTGCAATACGGGCTTGTCGGGATCCTCGCTATCTTACTGACAAGGCTGCTGACAGTGCCGATATATCGGCATCGGCACTGACTAATGCTACGGCGGCCACACGCAAAGCAGAGAAAGCTTCTCAAAGTGCCGTTGGGACACACGAGGTACGACCCAGTTAATGGCATGAATGATTACTCAACTGTCTAAATCGCGTAGAAAGTGGGTAGCGTTCACAAGTCTACAATTAGCCTGGTACTATAAGTCAACGCCCAGGCGGGCACATGCAGGTCTTGCAGGGGTCCTGTTAATGCGGTGGGGTATGTCAAGACTAGAATCAAGGCACTCCTTCGTCTACTCTAGAAATGTCATGGTAGTATCTGCGATGCTTCCAGTCCTCCTTCTAGTCATTCTATAGCGGCACAATACTTAGATGCCACCTTCGAATATATAGCAAGTGCGGCTGAAAAACCATACAGGGTAGCCAGCTAACTGGACCCCTTGCTCTTTTCGCGATCTTCAGATCCCATCGACCTTCAACATCCCCCATCCTATGCTCTATATCGCACGGTCAGCGAACACCCATCTGTCTTTACTGCCACCTCCTTGACCTGATTGCTTGAATCTACACATCATGGCGTTCCGCAAAGACCGCGTGAAGCCTACGCACTACCCAAGGCTCCCTTTCCATCTGATCAGAAGCGCACAACTAGTCTCGTCCTTAGTAGTTGCGAGTATAATGTTCTACTTCCTCAAAGAACTAGCACACGATAATTACAAGCTGCCATGGACTTTCATATTAGTGCGCATCCTCCCTTTCCTCCCTCACGACCTGCCCAACTTGCTAACACTTCAGCCCCAGCTCTTCGCCGTCTCCCTCCTCACAATCCTCGCTCTGACAACGACAATCGTCCTACACTGCTTCTACGGTCTGAACCCCGTCCTCAATACGAGCTTAAATGGCGCCCTCACACTCCTCTGGTCCGTAGCCTTTTCGCTGCTATCATGGTGGTCTTCTAGTACACTTTCACACGTCTGCAACGTTGACAATTGGGAGGACGAGCTAGGCATCTCCGTATGCAGACTCTACAAGGCCCTGTTTAGCTTCGCGTTACTGGGTCTGGTGGCGACATTGTTGGCACTGCTGTTGGATGTGAGGGTGCAGCGTAATGCGACGCAGAGGGGCACGTTTCAGCAGCTTCAGATGATGGGTGGTGGGGATGGAAAGAGGGAGGTTGGCGAGCAGGAGCATGACGAACATGACGAGCATGAGGTGCACCCCAATTCCACTGCGGCGCGGAGGAACCACGGCCAGCAGCAGAGGGGGGGAGAAGGGTATGCGCTACCAGAAGAGCAGTTTGCATATGAAGACACAGCATATCAAGGTGCCGCGGGGCAGGTGGGACGGAGGAGTTTGCAGCAGAGACCGTAGGGTCAGGGCCCGTTATTTGCCCCAGAATTGCGTTGCTACATACAGTTCCTACAGTTCATTCTAGAACGCCGCCCAATGCTGGTGGCATGATGCCGGGTATCATAAGTGTACAAATCTAAAAGACGTCTTCCATGTTCACATCCATTACGGCCGCGACCGCCGCCTGCTCTGTGCCAATGCCAGCGTTCATAGACGGAATAGCTCTTGCGTTGATCTCGTCTTCAATGAAGATACCAAAGCCACCGAATGCTTCGCGCAATGTCCGACTGGCATAGTCCCTTACGTCCCACATTGCCACCAGATGTGCAGGGTCTTTCTTGAAAGTCTGGTACCAGTCCACCTCGTAGTCGTCCTGTTGCACAAAGTATTGTGGCGTTATTTCCCATCCATCGAAAGGGTCGAAAGGAGCCTCTTTGGGCGGCGCGACACGCTTTTTTAGCCCGCGAAAAGTGAACCCTGTGTCCTTGTCGTCTTTGTTCGCAGAGGTGTCTAGCATGCTCCCAGAGGAAGCGCTGGGCGCTTTTCGTTGTACGACGCCTTTCTTAAGAGTAGGGTGATCAGTGGGCAAAGACTCAGGCTCGCGTCTCGAGGGGGCGAGGTTGAGTTCGGCCTTCTGGTGTTCTTCCCACCGTCGTAGGCGGCTCTCGGTCAATTCGACGTCGACTTTGAGTATGAGATTCCACGTAATCTCCTCTACCTGTTCGAGGTAGTCGTTGTAGTCTCTAAGCGTCTCGAAATCGGCTTCTTGCTTGGTCATACTAAAATATAATTAGCCTCGAGCAGAATGCCTCTCACCATGCAAACTCACGCGCTCATTACTCTCTTCCGTATGTCCACCTCTCTCTCAATCTTCAGATCCTCAAACGTCTGCTCTCTGAACTTGTTCCTCCTCAGCGTCCTTGCGCAACCTGCAATCGGACATGGCGCAGGCCCATGACTGAATATTCGGTCTACGCAAGACTCGCACATCTTGTGATAACACTCGGGATTGACCCTGAATTTCATGTTGGGGTTGAGGTACCGCGACGATTTGCAGACGGGGCAAATGTCTGAGGAAGGGTCAGCGAGCGAGCGAGCACGAGGGCCCTGCTGCAAAGACAAGCTGTGAAGGGTCTTGGAGAGAGTTGACGCACCGCCATCTTCAGCGAGACGCTTCGTGGAAGCGCCATTCGCGCGCGTGGGTTGCTTCGACATGGCGGAGGTAAGGCGGAGGTGATGCGGAGGAGAGAGTTGGAGCTCGACGCCAACTTTACGTTGAACTTCACGATGACTAAGCGATGTTCGCCGTGCTTCGATGAGTTCAGTGAGACGGAGGGGCGCACATGTCCTAGTGAGGGAGGAACGACGTTGTAAAGCACCTTAAGACTGAGCCTTGGAGGAGCGATAGCTCTGTAGCTTTCACTGCTGCAGCATGCTTCCCTTGCGGGACTAGCGTCAAGTCGGCCACTTCGCCCTCCGTTTCTCGTGCAAATTCCGACCCCTCTTCTTTCCTCCATGCTCGACAACGAGCTGCATCACTTCGCAAGCATCCATGGCAGCCTCGACACAAGATGCTCTAGAGAGCATCGAGCGCCGCCGTGCGCAGCTCCAGGAGAATGTCGACAAGCTTCAGAAAGCCTTGTCGCACTGGACGACCTGGGAAGCCGAGTACCAGATGCTTAAAGAAGAGATACAGAGTGCCGGAGACCCTGCCCCTTCGCAAATCCGTGTGATTGCTAGTCATCTCGGTAGCTCACTAGTCAACGAGAAAGAGGTCGAAGAGCTCCTCGGCAAGAAGCTGCAGACGCCGCGCAGTGCTAACCAAGTCGTTGATTTAATCTCTAGACGCATTGACTATGTCCAACAGAACAGTGCCACCATCGAAAAACAGCTCAATGCCGCAGAAAAGCAACTTGCAGGTGTCGATGTCCTACTCGAGCCGGGCATGGAGAATGAGGATGGGCTACCGATGATGGATATCGAGGAAGAACTGGATGACGAGGGCAAGGAAGTCTCAAGCTCCGTCAATCAGACTGGCAAGGCTGCCGCTGAGATTGTAGAAGTGTTGCGGAAGGCTGGCTTACAAAAGGCTGAGCTGGACAGGCAAAGTGCAGTACAAGAAGCACAAGAAGATCCCCTGGAAACCCCGTCAACATCGGTGTCTACTGCGGTTGTAGCGGGAGAGCCTGACCCAGCAGCTGCGTCTACCCAGTCAAAGCCAGAGCTATCAGAATCCGAATCTATCAGAAACATTCCCGCGACGTCCGTATCGTCTGTAGAGGCTATCGAACATGAACCTAGGAAGAAGTCGGCTTTGGAGATGCACGGCTACAATGACGATCTTGCAGCAGCAAATTTCAACAGCGGGACAAAGGTCATCGAACTTGATGCGGACGATAATCTAGTTGCGACCTATCCAATCATCCCGCAGGGCGAGTCACCAGAAGATGCTGAGCTGCGAAGACAAATGCTGCAGTACGGGTTGTCCGAGGTTGGGCAGATAGTTGCTGAACTTGACCTTGATCAACCCACCGCATCGTACTCGGACGACGACATGGACGATGATTACGATGATGATTACACCGAAGGAGAGGAGGAGGAAGACGAGTACGGCCGCACCACCAAGCCTGTACTTACAGAGGAATACCGCGAACAGATGCGAGAGCTGGAAAAGAAGCTCGGTGCTCGCATGCTTGAAAACGTTGGACCTCAGTCTGAAACTTCCCCTCTGGCGGAGCATATCGGTGACATTCGCACGATGCGTGTGCGGAAAGACGATCGATTTGACCAGTCAATGGAGGCAGAGGCATCCCAGATGCCGAAAGTTGAATCCAAGTCGCAAGCCAAGAAGAAGGGTGTACGCTTCGCCGACGACCTCGACATCTCCGAGGCCCCGCAGTCAGAACGAACAGCAGGACAAACTACCCAGTCCGAGACTAAGCCAGCTGGTACCATGTCAGATACCATCGTCGAGCGCGCTGCCACCACGCCCCAACCGCCTATGGAGCCCTCCAAACCCGCAAAGGTTTCCAGATTCAAGAGCGCTCGAGCTGAGTCAAAGCAACCGCCACAGATGCTACCAACGCCCACCATTCCTGAGGCACCTCCTGTCCCTACCGGACCCGTTGGTCGCACGTTAGCCAACACAATAACCGAGCATGTGGGGTCATCGTCTGAGCCCCAAGCCCCGGATGAATTTGATCCGGTCGTTGTGAACCGCGAGATTGAAGCCGAGTACCACGTAGCGCGCAACAAGTTTATCCAGCAACAGGGCGGCTTCAAGCCCACGGAAGAAGACAATGAGAGCGCCATAGTAGAAGAACGAGATGGGAAGACGAAGAAAGTGAGTCGGTTCATGGCGGCCCGATTGAAGGCTGATGGTATGTAAGATTTCTGTATAACACTGTGTTCATTTACATGCACCGTCCCTATTCCGCTACTTGACCAAAGTCATTGCTGTGATGCGTTAGGCTGCCTGTACATCTGTGGTACTTTCTACACGGTCAATCGTGAAACTGCAGAGCGTACTAGGAGTAGTCTGGGTGGCAAATGGAACAATTCATGCCCGTGAGAGATACCACTTATGTATCATGTCTCACATTACATTCGTTCCTAGAGTAAAGACCAACGGGGCTCTCTGACGTGGCTGGCTTGCTTGGCAGCTGATGCCTGGCACGATTGTTTATGCTCTGTACATATGGACGTTGATTATGTTAGTATTATGAATATCATGTTGAATATGCCAGCATATTGCTACTATGAATCCGAATCTGTGATGACTTATAGGCCCTAATAGCTCTAATGGAGTAGAGAGTCTTGAAATCGGAAGGATCAGACGCTTAAAAATTAGAAACTATATATACCAACTTAAAACCTATCTTTCTTCCCGTAAAGCTCTTCGTATTGGTATCATCAACCTGCAGGGGAAGATGTAAACTGTGGGTTTCTGGAACGGCTTTGGTGGGGCTGCAAGTGGGGGTTATCGATAAGTGACGACCGAAGCTCGCACGAGATTTTGCAATCGGCCGTCCCGCCCACGCGGCTGACAAAAAAGAGCCTACACCAAAAGCTATATCTACTACAAATTCAACCTAGAATTAAGTTTTTTAAAAGAAAATACGTATAAATTTTAACTTAAATAGCTTAAATTATAATATAAAAGCTTTTTTAAGTTTTTCAAATGCTGTATAAACTTGTAATAAATATAAAATTTGGTGGTAGTAGGGTGAGCCAAGGATTTTGGTGTCGGCTCTTTTTTGTCAGCCGCGTGCCGCCATCATGTCAACGACATCTGAGTCGACGCGCTCGCGCCCAGACACCCTAGACATTCCCGACGCGGTGAAGAGCCTTGACGACCTTGCCTTCGCGCCGGTAGAACTGGCGCAGTATCATAGCATATCCGAGAAACTGGCCTCCAACAACGTCTTCCGCATCCTACGCTCGCCCGCGCCAATCCGTCTATGGGTCTACCGCTCGCTGCTTGCTGAGAACTGGCTGTGGAGTGAGTGGGACCGCCCTGCTATATCTAGATTAGACATGGACAGTCATCTACGGGACGACGAGGTCGACGACAGCCCAGGCGATAGCGAGAGCACCGCCGAGTCGGAAAGCTGCCACTACGTAAAATCAAGGCCGTACCTCACACGCCTGCGCCTCGCACTCGGCCCCTATACCGTGCACTTCCACAATCCAGGCTACATAGCAGATGACACATTGCGCATGCTGGAGCGAGTTTCGATCAAGAAGACACTCGAAGAGACACGGAAGAGCCTAGAGCTTCGTGAGGAGCTGGGCCTCTCGTGGGAGTTCTGGGACGAGCTCGCTGGTGTGCTCAAGGCCGCCATACCTTCGCTCGAACGCCGCTGCTTTCCTCAACCACCTCTTGGTGGACTCGAATACGAGGGCCAGTCCTGCCTCCTCATTGCAAGCTACGCGCCGAGTTTGTTGAGAGATTTGGAAAGGCTCAACCAGCTCGTATGCATAGCGCGAAATGTGCAGGTCTATGGCGAAAAGGTGCAGAACCTGAGCGCCGCGAGGCTATTCGACAAGGATATATTTGCCCTCATCAACGTCTGCGTGCGCGTCACAGCCAGAGGTTACGATGGCGAGGCGGGCTCAGCGGACGAGGACAAATGGCAGGGCGTCATCAATGCATACAAGAAGCTCCTCATCACCTGTCTTCAATTTCTCAACAACCTTATTGCGCGGAATGAGCAAAGGAAGCTCATGCTATGGATCGAGCTGTTCGACAGCCACCTGGACAACGAGCTGCCCAACTTCGCCGATATGAAGTACAAGATGGACGAATTCCCCCAACAGGATAACACAACGCCATCAGAGGAGCAGCCATTGTCACAGCAATCATCACGCAGTCTAGACACATTCAGAATCCCCCAACAACCCGCTTCTTCCCCCTTCTTGCTCTACATCGGCGAGACGGGCAACGAGGTCAAGAGGTCCCTGACGCAACATGGCGTCAAGGCCGGCGCAAACGAAATCGCGGCCGAGTGTAGGAGGCGGTGGCAGACCATGAGCGAGGAAGAGAAGAATGTAGGTGATTGTGACTCGGAAGACGGACCATTGCTGATTTTTATAGAAATGGAACATGCTGTATGCGGATGTAGTCGCCAGATATCGTGATCAGATCACACAATCCAGCACGTACAGAAAGGTGGTAGACCAGCACGCCAAGAACGAGGAAAGCGTACAAGCGCTCGCTAAGAGCATTACTCAACTCCAAGTGGAAGTGGATAGAATGCGGTCATCAATCGCCGTCTACCCCGACGGATCGGCTCTGGATCAGCAGGCATCTCCCGTTTTGGAAGAGAATCAGCCCGCAAAACCAGCAATGGATGACTCGTTACTAGATCCCAGCATCAAGCGGTCTTCCCCGGCAGGTGAGATCGATTTCCGTGTGACATACCCGCCATCCTTCGGTGCAGAGATCCTCCAGAATGGCAAGGAAGATCTTCTCAAGCGTCTGGAGCCAGACCCCGACCGTCCCTCAGGGCTAATCAGTGATGTAGCCTCTCCAACTTCTCCTCCACCGGAGGAGGACGACGATAATGATGACGATTACGATGACATTCCTGGAGACGAAGGACGAGGCCTCCTTACCGATGTACCCCTCATATTAGGTCCTACCGAGATCGAGGTGTTGCCCATGATCGTCATGGCAGGCATCGTGGAACCGACCGAAGGACAGCCAGGCTATCACTCTGATCCGACAGTATTCAGCAGTGTGAGAAGCATGCACGGCGTCCGTTGTCATCTCCTCCTTGCGCAGGACAACGGTCGAAATCTCCTTCGAGAGCTGTTGATATTTGTTGCGGCTTGGGATCTGAGGGAAGAGGAGCTTTACTTCAAATTCATGGTCAAGATCATGGAAGCAATTTTGGCGAACCAATTACTACCGTTTGCTTATCACGCTTTCAGAGAGTCTGAGTAAGTGTACGGCCCAAGTTTCGGATTGTAGCTAATGTTCGAACAGATCCAAGGATATTATTTCTCCGGCTCAAGCTGTCATCATGAAGCTCCTCACAAACATCTTTCGCGCCAGGCAAGCTCGCGCACAGCCCATCAAAGGACATCTCAAACCAAAAGCTCCACAGGTCGATCAAGGCGACGTTCATATGGTCAACTTTCTACTAACCGAGTTCCGCCGCCACATTATTCCCCAAACCTGCGCACTTATTTTCCTGCAAGGGCAAATCCGTGTTGGTCATGCGCAGCCCGAAGATTTTCCTCTGAACCTCTGGGATATGGAGCGCATGTACGAAGGCGTATACCAATATCTCGAGTTCTTCGCCATCCTCACCGAGCACGAGACGTGGAAGCGCATGTTGAGCAATTGGGAGATTGCTAACGAACTAGTGACCCTATTGAAAGAGCTGGATGCTGCGATTCCCAAGGGTCAACTGGGCATTCCCCCACTAAAGAACATGGCCCCTGCGCCGCCGCCTCCAGCACCTGTAGAGGTTGACATGCCGCCTCCCCAGCATCAACTCAATCAGCAACCTCAGCCCGTCGCGGTCGAACGACCTTATGACACTAACGCCGCAGCAGCAGAGCCTTATATACCTCCGCCTACTTCACCCTCACCCCGACCATACATGGACGAAGCTGCAGACGAGCCCTCGGACTTTGAATGGCGCAATCTTAAGAAGCTGGCCGTTCTTGTTTTGAGCTCGTTGGTATGGAAGAACAAACATGTTCAAGATCAAATCCGCCCACTCGGCGGTATTGAAGCAGTCCTCAATTGTTGCTCATACGACGAGCACAATCCATACATTCGTGAGCACGCTATCATGTGTCTCCGCTTCCTGATGGAGGGAAACAAAGAGAACCAGGATCGCATCCGTGCTCTTGAGCGGACCAATCAAGACGCAAAAGCGAAAGCAACCGCACCCGCGTCAGAAAATGCCGCAGGCGAAACCAAAGCACCTGTTAACGTCCATGTCCCAGATGAAGTACTCGACCAACAGGGGTACGAGACGTATATGGACAGCAAGGGCCAGGTCATGTTAAGGAAGCGCCAACCGCAGGGGCAGCCAACACCATCTCGAGACATGGGCAAGGGCAAAGGCAAGATTGATGTTAATATGAGGGACCCGAAAGCGCTCGAGGAGCTGGTGCAGCAGGTTATGCGAGATTTACCGAGGGTAACAAAGATTGGAGAAGAGAGAGCGGCAGAGACAGAAGAGCTCCTCAAGAGGCTAGATAGGGGGTTTGACTCGAAGGGTTAAGCTATCATGTTGTACGAGAACGAATAAGTCGAACGCGTAATCCGTGCTTCGTAAGGCATGTGATCATTCCTCTGTGGAAACGCCGAGTTAATTGTTGGTTGACGATGAATCGACTGCATCGATCACGCTGCCAGCATACCACCATTTAGGAAGCTAGTACGGACGACGCGGATACCTGAGCCTTGGAATCATTAGTCACTGTTGGACCTTATCGCATTGATTTCCCATCTTTGGAGGCACAAGGATGGATAAAACACCCAGCTTTTCTTACCTAGAGGCAGGGACGCTTTAGGATACGATGACCTTCAGTATCAAGATTGGCCAAGTAGTCTATCGATATGGCCTACCGTGCTTCTGGTAGAGAATCAGTAAAGTCATCAACCACCACGGTGTAGATCTAGTACTAAACAAATACGAAATCTATTAAGGATCGAGGGATTCATCTGACATACCCTATCATATCTTCGAAGCATTGATAACGGGACGTCTTCAACGAGGCTCAAAACCCGTGGGGTTTCGAAGAGGATTGGATTTGTAAAGGGAGGGGGTTCGGTAATCATTATCGCTTAAATAGTAATATCCTACATACTAGAGTTGGCGGTGAGGTGTAGGGTTGATAGTTCATGATATGTTTGTCAAAGGACGTGTATAAAATTACAGTCCTTAAAACTCATCTAATATCAGTGCCCCGCTTCAAGTCCCCTTTCTTTTCGTACACGTACACAGGATATCTGATTTCAAGGGGAAAAGAATTCCACTTATGTTATATTTCAATAGCCTAACACGAAGCTCAATACGTCTCCCAACTACTAAACCCGCCACCTCTAAAGTTAGCCTCCGTACGCGGCAAGCGAGCCAGCCCGGCGCGCGCCTCAGAAGTGCCGTACTCACCCGTAACAGAGATTGTGGTATTTGCTCGCGATGGAGTGCGACCACGCACCGCATTGCACCGAGAGAGGCTAGCGTTCCCTCCACTAGATTGCGTCGCTGAAGGCTGAGCATTATACCTCTCATGCGACAATACACCACGAGCGTCACTAGCTGTAGCCGTCCGTCTAGAACGATCATCTTTCGAGGGTGTTTTAGACTTGGACTCACTGGAGCGCTCAAATTGTGATGATCCCAGAGGACTCACGCTTCGATGCTCGGTGTAGATGCCACGCACGTTATACTGTGGCTGCTCGGCCGGTGAGCGCGGTGGGCTGATGTCGCGAGCTTTATGGGCGTTACTATTGGTGTATGCTGAGGGGTGAGAGGGTGAATGGGCAGATGTAGCGTAGTTGTTTGAGGGGTATCCGCTAGAGCTATACCCTCCAGTGTTGTAGTAGTTACCGGAGCCGTTCTTGTCTGGAGATGAAGAATAGACTCTAGAAGTGTACATGTTATGAGACGGCATGATACCCCTAGTTGTGTTGTGCTTGTGCTTGATCTTTTTTCGTTTTGGGTTCAGGTGTCAGTGTGGCTTTGATATTCTAGGCTGCTGATTTGTTTGAAGTGAACCGAGAGAATATTGATAGTAGAAATTATCATGTCCTCCATTGTGGTTGTGTTTTCACAGGGCCAGTGAGACAATGTTGCAGAAGTACCACAGCTAGAGCGACTACATCCTAGCAGTGAATACTGTCTGCCGAGCAAAACATTGTGTATATACACAGCATCGCCGGGAAATTCACAATCCGAGTTTAACATTAGGTTATTATAGGCCTTTTAAAGTGTTTGGGGATCGCGAAGGAATGGCGCAGCTCCGTGGATATCGTCAGTAGCTTTGGCTTTGTTCAGTAGTGCATTGCGCATTGCCAATAGATTGATTCTGAAAATTCCAGCAGTGTATTATGCGACGGAACTCCCTTATTCTAACTATCTCACGGCTGACTATCTGTGTTTGCGACAATCTGATCGTTGATTTCTACCTCCAATGTGTCGCCAGAGCTGACAATTTATGAGCACTATACCCACTGCTTATTTCCTAAATGACTTAGGAATTCCCCCGAATGCTCCAGTGTCAAATTTTCAATAACCTTCAACTGTTGTCCTACGCTTTCTTTTGGGCTCACCGGGCCTTTCAGATCTGGATTAATCTTCTTAAACCCCTCCGTTAACTTATCGAAAATCTCAACCAGCTGAGGCGGCACTTTTAAAGTTAAAGTCAGCACTCAAAAAAAACTTTTCATACAGAAGCGTACGCTGGGCGTTATACGTACTTTGATCCAAACTTTCCGCAATCGAAAGAACATACCCCGGGCTCAACGCCAAAAACTTCACTCCCTCCCCCCTATACTGCGCCGCAAATTTCGCAACCAAAACATTAAGCGCAGCCTTACTCATACAATACGGCAACTGATCTTTCATATCGCACTTGTCGTAAATCTCTGTATCGGCTGCGCCACTCGAAATACACACGACTTTCTTTACATCAGACTTCAGAAGGAGGCGCATGAATGCGTTGATACTGTATAATGCGCCCATCACGTTGGTGCGCATGCAGATGTCGAGCTCAGAAAGAAGAAGGGCTTCGGTAGCTGAGTCGGTGCAGGCGCCTGGGAGGAGGCCGAGGGTTGAAATAGATACGTGGGCGCCGTTTACGACGAGGTAGTCGACGGTGCCGTTCGCGATGCTAGAGACCTTTTCTGCAGCTGCGTAGAGAGAGGCAGAGTCAGTTAGGTCGCCGGGTATGATGTGAACATTTTGCAGGTTGTCCTTGGCTAGGTTCGCTTCGACTGGAGCGATGGTGCGCGCGATACCGATTACTGTGTTTGAGGGTTCGGATGAGAGTGTTTTGAGGTATTGGTACTATGAATTGCATGTCAGTCTCTATAGCTAGGGGAGTGAGCGATCAGGGATAGAGCTTACTCCAATACCGCGTGAGGCACCGACGATCACCCAGGTCGGCATTTCGTCTACGGAACTAGGGATTATCAGTACTGCTAAATTATCTCAGAGTAACTCCAGGCCAGTCCAGTATTTGTGCAAAGCCGTCTTTAAGGTCGTAGGGGCATACTATATAATAGCTTACCTTAGTCGGTCTTGCTTGAAGCTAATGTGGTATTTGTCAGCTTAGGCGTTTAAGATAATAAGTACCGGTATTTGTCAGCTTAGGCGTCTAAGACAATAAGTATTTGTCAGTTTAGGCGCCTAAGATAATAAGCACTACATGCTGACTGTGGAGAAACAAGTCGTAGATCGCCAGCGAACATGCCTGATGTACACCCAAGTGATCCTTTAAGACATCAATATTCCCAGTGCACGCTAACAACGCCGCCGGCATGTCGTCTCCTAGAAAAGTCATTAATTGGCGTGCAGCGATATAAGGTAGATCTGTGCTTAAAGACTTGATCTTTAGAAGGTATGTGAAAAGAGGATTTTCAAAGCGCCTGCGCCCTAGTTGAGCTATCGCTGGTTCTGTGAAAGTACTTTGAGTGCGGAGATGTTTGTGATTACATTGATTCTTCCAGGATAGGCTTCGAGACGGTCGCCAACGATGGTTCCAAACCTCATCAACCTAGACATACACGTACCAAGATTAACCATTGCTGATACTAATACTGGTATGTAGAAGACTACACCACTCAAAACTCCTTGCGCGACGATGCGGTGTCCGAGCCGAAATAGTGCTCGCATCATAAAGCCTAATCGGAGTACGAAAGTCTTAGTCTTGTCTCAAGCTAAGTCCTTCCTCAATTTGCGTAATTGATTTCTAACAATTCGTTTTCAATACTGCAACTCAGGATGCACTCCTACACCAGGCTGCCATGGGAAAGACTTATCCAATTGAGTGTGAAGAATTGGCATGGCATAGTAGGCCTGACGGGCCTTGCATGTAGTCTAGTGCTGAGATCACTCAATGTTGGAATATGACTTTATCCGGACACAGGAGAAACGATATCCGGACAATCTGCAGGATATATCGGACATAAACTTTAAATATTCTCATGACGTTTGAGCAAGCGGACTGAACGGAAAGCGTTTCAAGTTGCGAGACTAGCCTAAAGAGGAATATCAAAACGCTCGTGGTGGACGCCTAGGCATCCGTGGAGACGGTAACGGCGGGGCAAATTGCCTGACACCGGCATCGTACAGAAGCTTCTCTTCAGGGACAGATATAATCTTCGACCGATTTAACACGTACTCTGCGGTTGGGTTTCGGGAAGGGCTGCTTCTCCTTGAGCTGCCAGAGATATTGCTCCCCGAATCCCAGTCTATAGCGGGTATCACGCCGACATCGCCTAGCCTCCTAGGTGCTTCCGAAGCGTTTGTGTTTGAAGATGGTGTCCCAGGCCGTGAGCGGGGAATCTCAATGAGGCGATTGAAGAAAGTCTCAGGCGGAGCTTGGGTGAACATGGTTCGTGCGATGTTTGTTGGGAACCGGGTTGCTGATTGGGAGTGAAGGAGGCCGTGCGTTGCAAGCGGACGACAGTAAGGTTCCTCTGCCTTTTCGGAGAATGGAGCAGTAGATGCATGTGATGACTGCGATGGTGCGAAGCTAGACCTCTTCCGATTTAAATATTGCCGAATGCATGGCGGTGCACCATAACTGATCATGATCGTTTCTGGCTCCGTGGCGCCCGCAAGTATATTAGTGATGAAGGGATGGAGGCAAGGTAGACATGCACTAATGACGGAGATATTTTGCGCAACTTGTTCGCAGAGGACAGTGGCCCACGAGTCATAAGTGTAATCAGCCAGTGGGGAAGAGTTGACGAAAGAAAGCTGTGCACAGACAGCAGCAACGATGCTGGAATTTGGTCAGTTTACCGCTTCCTTTAGTTTGCTGTTCTACCTACTCACCTCATTCGAGCAAGAAATACCAGAGACACGGAAACTCTCCTCCATGCTGAAAGACGAACATTCCAAATGAAAAGGGGTATCATAACAAGGAGGACCTCAACAACAATGTTCGTGATGCCAACGTAGTTAACAAAGGCTACAAGATCGTAACAATTATGCGCCCCAGTGAACCTCCAGGGATTTGGCAAGTTGCACGGAAAGGCGCTGACAAGGACTCCAGACACCGTCCAGATAGCGGTGAAACTAGCAAAGACGAGTGCTGTGTACTTCGCTACGACACCAGGAAGGACCTTTCTAATCACAAGGCAAACTGAAATTCGAGCGCAGCCCATATTAGCGATATACAGCATGCACGCGGCATACTCGGCCTACTCCTCGTCAGTCAAAGCATCTAATCTACCAACGAGCTAGACTCACTTTCTGATAAATATCTCTCTGCCTAGGACTAAGATCCGCGAAACGCTGTCCCAAGGCATGTGTAGACTCGATGGAGACAGCAATCGTTTGCCCAAAGCTAAACAGCTAGTAATGTCAGGGCGTTTCTAAACGACCAGCAGCTCAGTATCCATCAACTTACAGCCGCCAAAGCAATAAAGACATCGTCCAGACCGAACATCCTTCGACTTGTCTTCATACAAAGCTTCATAGCGAAGCGTGCCCCGAGCGTACACACCACGACCGCAAGCAGTATCCACGAGACGATATTCAAGACATTCCCTCGATCGGCCATCGAGGCTATCCGCCGCCTGTGTAGAGCTGGCATTGCACCATCGAGCATCGTTGAACTGGACTTCGAATGCCGAAACCTCTAGTGTAGCGTGGTGTAACGAAAGCCTAACGGCTGGCTGTTCCTAACGTCATGTGATGTGATGTCGCCGCAGCAGACTCCGCGGAATGTAGATAGATGTTCCAGTGTTGGGTCAAGAAGAAGGACTTGGGCTGATGATGAATTTTATAGCAGTTCATGTCCGATCAGCACGAGGTATGGCTGCGTACGGGGCGGATTCCGAGACGTGCGCTCAATGTGGGCTGACTGACTGTTCAGGATATATAGTAGTGGTAACCTGCTGCAGGCAATGAAACCCGGTCATCTCATCATACCTCAAGGGCCCACAAAGTATGCATGTACCATGCATATGTGCACGACGCAGGAAGACCTCATCGCGACTAGTAGGAGCCCAAGCAACTGGCAAGTGAGAATCAGTGCCCAACATATGCACGTCGGGCCAAGATGGGAGAAATACTTTCCTTCAAGGCTGTGGTAAAGGTTAGACTATGACCGGCCTTGGAATATTGAACGGAGCGAGTGAGGACTACGGCTTCGGGGTTCACTCGAACGTCTTCGGGGACTATCAGTAGCACGGGCCAATTTCCAGTAAGCACCGTCTAAGACTTGCACTACGAGAGTCAATATCCAACGGTGTGCTTGACAGGATCATTATTGGCCGCTGGGAATCAAATATGTTCTACGGTTGTTCTAGCGTAATGTGCGCACTGTGCTGCCGACTTTATATATCCGCTTAGCTTCGCAATTCCCATTTTGTCAATTCTCCTTTGCGGAAAAGTACTCATCAGAAAGAGAAGCATGCAAAGCAGGCATTTAAGTCTTTTGAGATTCCACATCCTTCAATATCGCGTCTAATCATGATTCGTTGCCAGTACACCATTCTACGCACGGCTCATGTTGGCGCCCTCTTCCGCCTTCTGGAGGCCATACTTCTTCAGTCTGTCTCATCATTAGCAACGCTCTCATCAAAATCTCCATCGCTGAACGTACCTGATGCTCTGGATGGCAATGAAACCGGTAGTATCCATTGGGCTGAAGTTGTCGAGAGTATCCATGGACGCCTCCTCCTCCGAGTACAACTTCTCCGTCTTACTTGAGCGACCGAGGACATAGGCATTGCCCTTGTAGAGCTTCATCCGTACCTCGCCGTTCACACGGCGCTGGCTGAAGACCAAGCTGTTCTCAATGAACTCGCGCTCAGGGCTAAAGTACATGCCGTTGTACAGCTGGTAGCTCCAGTTGTGACTCACGAACTGATCGCGCAAGTTGCGGACCTGGGCGTCCATGACCAATCCTTCGATGTCCAAATGCGCAAGGCGAAGTATTGTCATGGCGGGCGAGTCGTAGCAGCCACGGGACTTGAGGCCGATGAAGCGGTTCTCGACAATGTCGATGCGACCAATTCCATGAGTGAAGCCGAGCTTGTTGAGCGCAGTAAAGAGCTCAACGCTGTCGGTGTAGGTCTTTTCGGGCGTGACGACCTTGACAGGGATGCCTTGCTCGAAGTAGACGGTGATGTCCGTGGGCTCGTCAGGTGCGGAGAGAGGAGACTGTGTCATGGTCCACATGTCATCGGGAGGGGACTGATCGGGGTCCTCGAGGATACCTGTACTTGTCAGCCATGGTTCTACAGGGAGAGCAGAATGTCGCACCTGCTTCGTAGCTGCAATGGGCCAAATTGGCATCCATGCTCCACGGCTTCGCCTTGGTCGACGTGACAGGAATGTCATGCTTCTCCGCATAATCCAACAGGTCCTGCCTGCCCTTGAAGCGCTCGCAGAACTCAGGCAGCCTCCAAGGCGCAATGACCTTGATGCTTGGCTGGAGCGTGTAGAAAGCAAGCTCGAATCGAACCTGATCGTTGCCCTTGCCCGTACAGCCGTGCGAAACGAACTGGCAGCCCTCTTGTTGTGCGACGCGGATCTGTGCGCGAGCGATGACTGGACGAGCCAGACTGGTTCCGAGTAGGTAGCGGCCCTCGTATGAGGCATTGCACTGTACGGCACGGAAGCAGAGCTCCTCGACGAATTCCTTCTGTAGGTCGAGGATGATCATCTTCAGCGCACCAATCTTGAGTGCCTTCTTCTCGACCTCGTCCCAGGGCTCTTCCTGGCCTACATTGGCGAGGAAGCACACGACCTCATATCCTTCCTCTTAACCAGCGAGTTAGTTCAAGGCATGCGAATGGTTGTGGTGTTTGGCGTACCAATGAGCCATCGCAGAATTGTTGACGTGTCGAGGCCGCCTAGTGAGTCAAGATTAGTACATATACTATTATGATGACGACGAAACATGAATTAAGGGAAACTGTGAGCAGATCAAGATCATCATACCAGAGTAAGCCAAACAAACGCGTCCTTTTGTCATGTTTACAATTTTGTAGGGGTATCGAACGTGATTGAAGAGTCAATTGCAGATGACACAGCGTCCGGGGAATGTGCGGAGGAGGAGGGGCCTGATAACGATAGAAAAGTTTGGTGGTCATAGCTCCTGCGGGCCGATCATCGGTTTACTGCTAGTGTTTTCAGCCCTGCAGCATGACGACCCAAATCTCCTCTGAACGGATATAAACGGCATAGTAAGACCTCTTCACTAAGATAAGAGACTTCGGATGTATGATTCTCACAAGCATGTCGAGTAAACAAAGCCAGACACCGCCTGTGCAGCGTCCAGCACTACATCTATCCAAGCCAACGCCATGCATGCAGATGAGTCCCTTGCTAGAATACGAGCTGTTGTGAATCAAGACATCGACTAAAATGCAAATGGGTTCCAGTGACTCCTCCAAAAGACACGCTCGCTGTACGAAAGTGGAATCAAACGCCGTACGATGCGAGCAAGGTGAGCGCATATACAAATAACGTACCGTTCCATGCCCATGCCGGCGTGGAAATTAGAACACACCTCCAGCGACTCTCTCCCGTTCATAGAAGACGATGTAAGCCTTCTCATTCTGAAGACGCTGGTTTGGTGGCAGGTTGCCAGGTTCGAAGTCGACAACCTTGTCGTCATTGAACGACCGCCAGCAACCGCGCGATTTGTCCTTGACGAATGCTATGTAGTGGCCACTACCAAGGGTAGCTCCAATGTGCCAGATGACAGCGTATGCATTATACTGGAAAGGTCCGTTCATTGTCGGATCCGCCTTCACGCCAGCCAGCTGCGCTGGGCCGTCGTGGGCATTTTGCGCCACATAGATTTCTTGCTCTGGCGTCATGGGTGGCTCCACGAAAGGTCCCATATCCAACCCTTGGAGCGGGAAATGCACAGGCGTCCGGACCTTGCGGGCGCTCTCGGTCCGCGACGCGCTGAAGCGTTTGAAGTGGATGACAAGCGTGTCCGGGGCGCGGGTAATCGTAATCTTCTTCACAGCCTCGCGATCCTTCTTGCAACGTGGACAACGCCAGACTTCATCGCCCGCCAAACGCTCTGCCGCGCAGTACGATCGGAGGCAATCACGTACGTCGCATTGACCTTCACGTGGTATCTCTACACTTATACTCCAGAATGCTTCGTAGGTGGTGCTTGTTATTCCACAAGTCTGGCAGGTAAGCTGCGAAGCATGTTGTCCGGCGAACATGCCACCAATGACGGACATGTCCCGGTGCTGATAACGACCCCACTCAATCTTCGCGGCATACTGACGCGGAAACTGCTCCCGTTGCAGTTCTTGCTGGTCAGAGAGTGGCTTGAGCGGGGGCTTGTTCCAAGTGACGTTAAGGTCTTCGTGCATGTAGTCCAAGACAAACTCAAGAAACTCCTTGGCGTCTTGTTGCTCATCGATGCCCCATTGAGAGTTGAAGTGACCACATATTCGCTGTATTGAGTTAGTAATTGGCCCTGGAAAGTTGCGATTCATAGTAGTTACCCTGAACGTGCTTGGGCGCACAGAGCTGACATCACCTTTGAAGAGGTTGGAGAGAAGTGTCGCGTATGCCTCGGGTAGAATACCTTTCGTCCCCTTCCAGTTATCTCTTTGGAGATCTCGATGATAGCGTTGACTCAGAAACAGATCTGAAAGTAGCAGATGACCACTCAGGCACTGCACCACCGAGTTCATATAACACGTCACACCAAAGTTTAGCAATCCAGTTTTGTGCAGCCTGACATTGCTGAAGCGTGGATGAGAAAGGTAAACAGGAGGTTGGTTGTTGCGGCTTTGAGCAGTGACCTGACGTTCGTGAACGCCACTGTAGCTGACTCGAGGCACAGACGGAGCTGGTCGAGATGGCGCGGCTGGGATGGCTGGTGCGACATAGTGATTTTGAAACTGCGGCTTCGACGTTGGATAAACCATGGACTGTTCTGCTTCAACGTCTGGGTATCGACGCAGGAACTCTTCGGTGGTGCGGTAGAAGGGCGAAGCAGGTTCCTCCTCTTCCTCCCCATCTGCGGCAGGCAGATCGACCGCCGTTCTCCCTTTCCGAGCTTCCTCTAGCCACTTTTGTGCCTCCTCAGGGTCCATGGGAACGTATTCTCTACGTCGTTTTTGCAGGTTAGTCCGCGCAAGAAGACTTGCAGCAGGTGACCTTCGAATCGCTCGAGTCCTCGGCTTTCCTCCGGCCACCAGAGCAGCAGTCGTCGACATTTTTAGTGCTTGTAATCCGACTAGATCTATCCATGCATCGAGGCCGCCTTTGAGGAGAACTGGCGGACGCTTCAAAGGCTTCTCTACATTGAAATCGTGCAATGTATCGAACAAGCGTTTAAGGGCAAGTTCCCCCTCTGTCCGTCCGTGCTTGTGCATGAAGTCAATGTTCCCGGTCGAGTCATCGTAATATACCACAACATCGTAATCATTTCGCTTGTCGAACATGATCTGCTCTTCATCCGGAGATACGACTAGGCGGTCTAGTAGTTGCTCCGCAGAGTCGCCGTCCTGCAATGCCAACGGTTCTATACAGATAATATTACGCACGTAAATATGCCCTGCGTCGAAATCTGCTCGATCTCGCACATCGATGAGAAGCACGTTGTACATGCGGAAGTAGTCGTAGAGTTTGCTGGCATCGATCTCCAACTCGACGGACTTACTGACAGACATTGATCGTCCATTAGAGTCGCGTCCACCTGACTGGGCCGGGAAGTAGGAATCTAGCGTGCCATTCGCATTCGGCGCATGATTCGAGATGCTAGATGAGGCTAGAGAGTTGCTGCGTGCTCCAGAACCAACCATGCTCCTCGGCGTACTTCGAGGCGGGTTGATACTGGCAGGGTTGGAGATATTGCGGGCCGGACTGTATGTGGGGCTAGGTTCTTTGGGTAGGGAAGAGGCAAGCTGTGTATTCAAAGGTAGCTTTGGTAATGGAGATGGCTGCATATCGCGTGGGCCCATGGGCCGATTCGAGGACGAATAGTCTGCAGGAGATGGCATCTTGACTGACAAATCTTGGGTCGAGCGTGTGGAAGTCGTGTCCACTGGTGGCGCGAAACCTCGAAGGTTTGCGAACCGTTGGGCGAGATCATTTACTCCATTTACAGACGACACACTTTGATGAATAGCCCGGCCGTGGAGCGATTGGGGTTTTGGTTGTACAGGTGGCTTCCCTCGTGAAGGATCAACAGAACCCACAGATGAAGGTCTGCCATTCGGAATTGAGGTTGGCACATCCGGTAGCATCAATTCGTCGTCTCGTCTAGGTAAAGTAGAGGTATTGCGAGAGCCTGGCCGTGCAGATGGAACTGAGGCTGTAGACTTGTGCTGGCCACCGTTCCTGAGGTTGTCGTTCTTGATGATGTCCTTGATGCGCACAAACCTCTCCTCGCTAGATTTGATGTCTTTCAATAGCTCTTTGAAGTCGCGATGTACCTGGCTGCGGCTGTTTTCGACCTTGTCGTAGTAGTCACGGTGCCGTGGTATGAGGTCGACGACGATCTGATAGGCTACAAGATATTCCCAGTAGGCGCCAGCGGGAGTCCTTTGGGCCACCATGAGCTTGGCCGACTGGAAGTGTATTTTGCATTGCTCCAACAAAAACTTGATCTATGCCCCGTTAGCGACTACCGTGACTACGGAGCGCCGTCCTTCAGTACCGATTGATTTCTGAGTGACTCGACCGTCTCTGTTGCAGAGCCGACAATCTCAGCTATGGGCGGAAATGGGCCACCTGGGCCGCGAGGGTCGGCGGGCCCATCGCTGCCTCTCCAGCCGTCTGCACCGTTTGGATAGCCAGCCATGGGGAAGGCGGGCGAGGGCGCTGGGGGCGGCAAGGGAGCAGCAGCGCTCATAGTCGCACCCTAGAGACCAGGCAGGTCGCGCATGGCCGGAGAAAAGAGGCAGGCCAAGAGGGTGGCTATACAGGTAGTCCGGATCGTGTGCGCCGCGAGGCAGTGTTTATACAAAGGGTTGCGGGGATGCGCTAGAGCGTGGTGGTTGTGCGGAGGACGGGGGGCGGGGAGGGTTGCAAGACGACCTGACGCACGATTCTTCTTTATTTCTTCTTGCAAAATGTACCGTGCGGCAGCGAAGGTGTAGCGGAGAAGGATGCCTCTGTGAAGCGTGGAGCTGTTTGGGTTGAGGCCATGCACGGCGAAGTCGCAGGGTTCAGGCATGGCGATGCGGCTCGTGAACGTCTCCGCCACTCGTCATCATAGGCCAAGCGTCGTCCACGTCCGAGAGCTTGCTACCCAGGCAGCACACCACGGTCCTTTGCGTATGCGTATCCAGCCCAAGATTGTGGGAGCTCTCTATTCAATACCCCTGAATCACTCTTCCACGTCAATCAAGCCCCCCATTCAAACACCATGGCGGGCTGGTTTGGATCCTCGCCCAACAGCGCGCTCGATGAGCAGATCGAGCGCGCAACCTCGTCAAGCCTGTATGCTATGAGGCCCTGATACCGCGAGCTCTGCCGTGCACTCTACTAATGCAGCACAGGGAGGACATGCCGCTCAACCTCGAGATTTCCGACGTGATTCGATCCAAGACTGTGCAGCCCAAAGATGCCATGCGCGCGTTGAAGCGGAGGATAGGGCACAAGAACCCCAACGTCCAGCTCGCCGCCCTGAATGTGTGTTACTTGCGCCACAAACACCCTTCACGACTGGCCGCTAATCTTGCCATAGCTCACCGATACCTGCGTAAAGAATGGCGGCGCCCACTTCATACAAGAGATTGCTTCGCGGGACTTCATGGACAATCTGACGTCGCTGCTCAAGGCACCAGCGACCGTGGCACCGAACAACGATGTGAAGAACAAGATGCTGGAACTCATCCAGACATGGGCAACCGCGGCTGAGGGCCGCTTCAACCTGAACTACATCGGTGAAGTCTACCGCAGCCTGCAGCGAGAGGGCTACCAGTTCCCCCCCAAAGAGCATATTGCGAGCAGTATGCTCGACTCTAGTGCAGTAAGTCCCCCCAGTACAAAAGCAAAGCTAGATGAATGCTAATATGACCTCTCACAGCCTCCAGAATGGGCCGACTCCGACGTCTGCATGCGATGCCGTACCCCCTTCACCTTTACAAACCGCAAGCATCATTGTCGCAACTGTGGAAATGTCTTCTGTGGTGCCTGCTCCAGCAAGAGCATCCCACTCCCCCACCTCGGCATAATGGACCCTGTGCGTGTAGACGATGGCTGCCATGCCAAGATGACAGACAAGTCTCGAGGGCCCCCAGTGCCAAGGGGGTTTGATGCGGTTAAAACCCACCAGACGCTATACCAAGGCTCAATGGAACCCCGCAGCGCGCGCGTCGAGGACAGCTTCGACGCAGACCTGAAGCGAGCGCTAGAGATGAGCTTGGAGGAGACCAAAGGCAGCAACTCTTCAGGCTTTGTTCCGCAATCACAACTGCAGTCGCAATCCAAACCCGCAAACGGAACATCGAAGAAGGAGCCCGAGGAGGATGAAGACGCTGATCTCGCAGCTGCCATTGCAGCTTCTCTCGCCGATATGGAAGAGCAGAAGAAAAAGTACGCCCACACCTTCCGACAGCAGACGGCCAATGTGAATGGGACGACGCCTTTCGTTGCACCCAAGAATGACTACGAACTTACTCCGGTTGAGGCCGAGAATATCAACCTGTTTTCAACTCTCGTAGACAGACTACAACACCAGCCCCCAGGCACCATATTGCGAGAACCGCAGATACAGGAGCTGTATGAGGGTATTGGTAAACTAAGACCAAAACTTGCGCGTACCTATGGCGAGACAATGAGCAAGCATGGTAAGTTTATGACGATCTGCATGTCTATATGAGGCTAATATGTGTAGACACACTACTTGACCTACACGCCAAGCTTTCCACCGTGGTTCGGTACTATGATCGAATGCTTGAGGAAAGACTATCAAATACCTACAACCAGGCCAATGCCATGTATGGTCTTCCCGCGCCCACGCAGCGGCCAGCTTCCAATCTCTACCCCAGCATTCATTCTAGCGCGCCGGACGGTTCAGCCGGTGAGAACTACTACAGCAGTAACGCGCCCCCATCCGACGCATACGGAAGACAGTCGTACTACGGCGGCGGCTACCCCCAACAACCACACACGCAGCAAGCAGCTGTACCACCGCCATCCTACACCTCCCCCCAGGACCCCTACCAACAGCCCTCGCAGCCGTATCCAAATCTTTCTTCATATGGCGGGGCAGCAGCACCACAGCAACGGCCACCGAGCACAACCTATCAGAAATCCGCGTCACCACAGCTTCAACGCCAAGTTTCAAATCAGCAACATTATCCATCGCAACCCTCACAACCCCCTCTATCCACCGCATCAGACGCAGAGAGCGCAAGCTTCTACTACGGCGACAGTAACGCCGCGCAACCATCGCAAGCAAACTTGCAGCACACTCAAAGCTATCCCCCCCAGCCCTCACAACAACCGCAATCCTCATCACCACAAATGTACAACCGCGGCCCACCACAGCAACCTCCCATCTCGCCCCCCTCACAACCCGCCACCGCATGGCAGAATCCCCCGTATCCAAGGCAAGACCAGGCGCCGAACTGGCAACCTCAGGACCAGAACCAGGCATCGCAACAGCAGGCCTCATCCCCCCCGCAGCAGGCTCCCTCATCACAACACGCACCACCACCGCAGCAGCAGCAGTACTGGCAACAACCACAGCAAGCCCCGCTGCAAAAGCAGAGTTCAGCTTGGCAGCCGGCTCCGTATGCGTCGGGTGGATACGGCCCTGAGAGTTTCCCCAGTGCGCCGCAGAATCAGTTGCCGGTGCAGCAGCAGAAGGTTGTGGATGAACCGTTGATCGACCTATAACTCTGACATTTTTTTTTTCTCTTCCCGCGACAAGTCAGCCAGCCACGACAAAGCATAGCGAAGCAAAGTGAGAATGAAGAAAGAGGGCATGGAGTAGCTAGCTAGCGAAATGATTGTAGCATTTGCATGGACGGGCTCGGTGGCGCAAAGGAGAGGCACTCTCTTCTCTCATGGAGGTCTGATTGATTCGTGGCTTTTTGTGCGGTTTTATGGATCTTGCGTGCTGGTCAAGCGCAGCTATCAAGTCGGTCGTAGAACAGATTAGCCGTAGGCTTAGCTAGGAACGATACCTTTTAAAGCCTCACGTTACAGCACAAATCTAATGCATGCTACGCTTTGGTCCTAAGATATACACTTGGACTAGACTTGTTGAGCATGAGAAATACTTAGTCATCGAGTGTTTGAACATTTGATTTTCTCATTTATTTATTCACATCTGGCTATTGCCGCGCGCGTTATGATTTTGACCCTTATAAGCATTCCCTGTACCCAATTCTGTTCCGTATGCCGTATGTAGTATGCAAAGTGTAAAAACAATCCTCAAGCCTGTCGGCGAGCGCAAGTGAGGGTATCCTAAAAAAACACAAGGTGAAGCGAATGGTGGGGGTGCGCCACGAAAAGGTGTGGTCGCTAAGTAGATTGACAAAAAACGGCGCCTCAGAGGGGCGACGAATGGAACATGGAAATTTCCCTGCGGAACCTGTGCGCCGGAAGTGGCATGCGTTTTCGGGTCATGTGTAGAGGCCGTGACATGGGCAGGGGTATTGACAGTGCCCGTTAATGGTGCCGGCAAGCTGAGCTGGCGCAATGATGATGACGTCCAGAGGTCGGACGTACTCGCTCGAGGTGGTAGGAGTCTTGATGCGGCGATCGCTCGACACGGCGACCTTTGCTCCTCGTGATTTTGCTGGACGAGGCGAAAGGGGGGCTGACGGTGTGGCCTTGAGGCCGATGCGAGCTCATACATACTCAGGCCAGTAGTTGTACGGCATCAAACTTGGACCAGACCAGTTCTCGCCATATGGATTTGTGCGGTTCCCGGCGAAGAAGCCGTCCTGCGCATGCTCAAGTACCGCTATCCAGGACGAGGGTTCTGGATGCTTGACCCACTGAGACATTGATTAGCCCATGTTCCTTGCTGGCTTGTGACGATGTTAGAATAAGAAAAACTTACTTGGTTGTGAATGTGGTACGTCCAGGCGCCCCTGAAGAAGTTCTCCAGCGTGCGATTGTTGGGTGGAAATCTATCTTCGGAAAGGACATAGTCAGACACAACGCCAGCCTTGCGGAGTTCGACCTCCTCATCAAGCGTAGGTTGGAAAGAGTCTGCATGCGCCGCTTTGTCACTGTGCTGTGACGACGGTGCCGTTGCAGAGGTAGGCACATTCTCTTGGTCTTCATGCTCGCGCTTGGATTTGGGGGCGTCGGTGTCCATCTTGAGCACTTTTCGCTGTGCTTCCTCTAGGTTGATAGTTCCTAGTTGCGGACCAGTGTAACTTTCCCATTCATCTTTGATTGCGCCCGTTCTGCCCTTGAACACGGCACCGTAGTCTCGTACACAAGGTATCGTGCACCGTCCTTCGCGGTCCCAGTTGAACTCGGTCCAGATGGGGTCAAAGGCGGCAGTCTCAAACATGAGGAATTCTTGATCGCGTCCGTCCTTCCATGCCATGCGGCCTAGGACTCGAGGATGGAAGTTGACACCCATACGGATGCCACCATAAAGCAGATAGGAGGAGAGCGAAGAATTTGCCGAGAGTGACATGATAGCTGTGTTGTAGTCGCCCGGGTGGGGATGGGCAGCCCATCGCTCAGCAAAGGAGTGCTCTTTGGGCAACAACAGCGGGCGCATATCCCTAAGCATGAGCACGTCCATGTCGAAGTAGGCACCGCCGTAGATGTGGAGAACAATGAATCGGACAGCATCCGAAACGGCAACGGGGAGGAAGGTCATTTGCTTTGCCGTCAGCACAAGCCACTGCTGGCCGTCCTTGTCCTCGACAATGTTTTCGGCCACGGCCTTCTCGCCGTTTGCATCTGGCGCTGCGGGCTTGCTGTAGTAGTCGAAGCCATTCTTGTCCTCGTCGTCCGTGGCCAGAGGGATGCGGCTAGGGAAGTTCCACGCTTTGAGGACAATATCACCGCGCTCGACGAGGGGAAGGAATCGGGCAAAGAGGGCGTCCTTGTTCAGCATGTTATGCACAGCATTGGGGTTGCGATCGCTGTCGAGCCACAGCCAGAGTCGGGAGCATGCCAGGTTCTGGGTATACAGATAGCTCTTGATGAAGACCTCGACGCGCCAGGTTGCGGGACCCGTCCAGTAGACGTGGTAGGGAATAATGGGACCAGGGCATGTGCCAATGGCCGACCCGTTTGCAGCGACCGCGTCTTTGAGTGGGACATAGCTCGAGAGTGTCTTGTCGTGCCCGTCTGCGTTGATGTAGTCGGCCTTGCGAGGGTCTTGGGCGCTTGCTCGTTCCGCAGCCTCGGGCAGTCGGTAGTAGCGGTCCTGTTCCTCGGCGAAGAACTTCAGACAATCGTAGGGCCTCCTCATCTTCTCCAGCCCGGTGTAGGAGCCGCGGCATTCTTCCACCAACATGTGCATGTCCGCCTCGGTGTCGACATGGGGGCGGGGACCCATGTAATCGTCCTTGTTCTTGACAGCAGTGACGGGGCGATTGAAGACGTTGGCGTGAGGGTTTATAGTGACGGTCTTGGAGGTGCCTGCGAACTTGACTCTGATGCCTGCCTTGGTCGTCTCCACCAGCTCGGTTGGCCCAGCCTTGTCGAGAAAAGCGGGAATGCCCAGTTTGCCCTTGGTCGCGACGCTGGGATCGCTCACAATATTTATGATGCCATAGATGGTTGCGTAGAGCAGGGCTGCCAGGAGCAAGTTCTTCAGTAGCAGGAGGACCGCCCTCAGCTTAGATGCTTCGGCCATGCCGACAGAGCTCTCGGGCTGAGGCGCCGTAGCTGCTTCCGCACAAGAGTTACCAAAGGGCCGCCAGTATGTGCTGTGTGGGTAGTGCTTGGACGAGTCGATTGGGGGAGGTTCGTGGGGAGCACGGCGAGGGGCTGCGGTGGTGAGTGTCGAGCGTCGCCTGTAGGGACGGGAGGTGAGAGCGGGTGCAATTGAGGGCTGGTCGAGGGGGTGGTGTTGTTGAGTGCTATTGGGCTGAGTATGCAGGTGCATGCATTAGGCGGCCCCCAGGTTTTGTTCGTGTCGGACGCCGTCGATGAGGCAGTGCTCTGAGCGGGCAGTGAGGGCGGCTGATGGGCGAATATGGCACGACGGGAATAGATACGGAGAAGAAGTATTTGGACAAGAATAAGCGCGCAGAATGGTAGATTGACAGCTCGCACAGAGGAAAGAAAGACAAGAAGGAGAGACTGGCGGCGTAGAAGGAAATCAAGGCTGCGCAGAGGCGGGTGCAGAGCGCTAGGCCGAGCCCATTCGAGGTTCGGGGGAGGGTCGCAAAGCCAATTTCCTCGCCCCACCCACGCCGCTGGCTGCCCCGAGCATCCTTCCCCTGAGCCTGGTTGGATCGTGAAAAGGCTTCTTTGTAGCCAGACTCGCCCGGCAAGTCTGTCTGTCAGTGTTTACTGTGAGACCAGTGAGTGCGTGCGAGCGGTGTCGTGTGCGTGCGTGCGCCTACAGCGGTTACGCTACCACTACGGGGTGCATGGTCGCTCCTTCCCTCCAGTCTCATCGGCCGTCGTGAATACGGCAGTCGCAGCCTCGCACGTCAACCCCCAAGCCATTACTCGCCAACACCCACCCATCCACCCACTATCTATCACTGTCGCTCGTCACTTGCATCTGTACCCACCACAGACGCTGTTAATTAATGCCGCGTCGCCTGCTCGCGACGGCCTTCACCGCCCCACCCGTTCTACGACCGCTTTCGCTGCGTCGCTACTGTGCAGGCCCCTTGAGCAGACGCGCATATTCACATGCCGCCACACCTCGATCCCCATGCGAGCACGTTACCATTCCATGTCGGACAAACGGCCACATCACCATTGAGTAAGTCTGCCTCGGGCTCTCCTCGCGCTCCTTCACAAAGACGGTCATTTGACACTGGTTCGTCGCCTTGTTGTCTTTCTTGCATGCGGCCCACGGCTCGCCAGCTGCGCAATGACCTCACACACAGCTAGAGGCTTCTCTTTAGCCTTAGTCAACCTCCTAGCCCCAACGCCACTCAACCAATCTTTGCTCCATCTGAACATACTCTGTGACCACGCAGCCTCAGCAAGGCGCGTCGTGTTATCTTCGAGGACCGAGGATCTGCACGTCTAAGCTATGGAGCGCTCCACTTATCCACTACACTTCATTCTATACATGTCTCAGCGTAGCATATGCACATCAACGAATAGATCCCTTGTGCACGAACTGACTGAACACGCTCCAGTATCTTCCATGCATCGACTCCATCGTCTCCCATTCTCCTCTATCTGCCGCCGGGCCCTGTAGTGCCAGCTTGCCCTGAAGAAGAAGAGCGAGTCATCTCCACACTACGTGAATCGAGCAGTGCTACCATTGCCCGCATCAACTATCGTGCATCATCATTGCACCCATACCCAACGCCTTGCCATGATGTTCTGGCAGGCTATGACTGGATCCGAGAAAATCTGCTCCTCGACGAGTTCAAACGCCCATACCTGGCGCGGCTCGGTGTCTGTGGACAGCTCGTTGGTGCCTCACTTGCAACCATGCTGGCCTTGACCGAATGCCGTCTCGGAGAAAGTCGTGTTGGTGCTGCGGCTGTGAACAACCCCATCGTAGATTGGGTTTTCCCCGATCATCTCCCATTCATCAATGCCTCAGAGCTACCGGAACCAGCTGCACCAGATGAGACCGCGTTTCCGGCCGATGAGGACCTGGCAAGCTCATGGGCTACACGCGAGAAGGAGCAAAAGGCACCAAAGGCGGTTCGTAAACCTAGGAAACGAACGCCAAAGCCACCACCTTTGACAGCGTGGCATGCCCAAAGCGCGAATACCACTCTACCTGTATTGACCCTCTCTGGGGAGCGCGATATGCTGTTCCGCAAGCCAGAGGACTGCTTTGATCGCTTCGCGTCTCCTATTCATTTCTTTCGCTCTCCGCATGCACAGCTCATCTTTCCACAGCAAGAACATCTGACGGCGTCAGAACAGCCTGATGAGGTACTCGACATGGAGACTCAGATGCATCTCAATCACTACGCTGCTCTCGATAACAAAGCCAAGGACAAAGCCAAGGTGGTGCAAGTATTGCCCACCTTGGCTCGGTGCCGTTCGTATGCTCGCAACTATCCCCCAGCCGGCACAAAACTGAGCTTGCCAGTCTGGAACATCACCTCTGGCTTACAAAGCCCTCTTTCCGACCAGGCAACAGAGCTAGCAAAGATGATCAGACGAAGCATTGCCCGCCAGACTCTCAAGACGCGCGCGGGTCGGACACGATGGCATGATGCAACGGAGAAAAGGCAGTACGAGGAGTTTGCACAGAAAAGGGTAGAACTGAATACATTTAAAGGGACAGGTCTATGGACTGAGCAAGAAAATAACCCGAATTGGAAGGCAAATGTAGAAGAAGTGGGCGACTGGATGAAACAACGTTTAGATGTCGGCTTTTCTTAAGAATAACGTAAAGGAGCCTATAACATACTACTCGTCTCTACAAATACACTAACTGAATCATGCGTCTTGAACATCAAATCCGCACTGCACCAGCTCTGTTCTAGCAGCCTTCCGCACCACCTCCTCGGGCCAAGGCGTCCCTGGCATAACCTCCTGCGCAATAGCCCAAACCCTCTCGTCCAACTCAAGCGCACTCCAATCCTGCGACTCAACACGCACAAGCACCCATTCAGCATGATGCAGCAACGGAACCCTCCTCGAATCCAACCCCTTGATAAACCAACGCAACTGCCTCGCCCTGCCCCCCTGCGCCTTTTCAAAGACCCCATCCTGCTTAAACGGCAGCAGCATCTCCAGTGCTGATTCCGCGCCCACCGAGAAATGCTGATCCAGTTCTTCCACGCAGGGCGGATTCATCTCCGCGTAGAAAATACTGCCGTCGGGCGGCGGGGAGCTGAAGCGCAGTGTTATACCGTATCCTTGCGTGTTGTACACGAGTTTATGCATGAATGTTTTCGCATCTCCCAGTTCTGGATACGGGACGAGGAACTCAAAGTACGCCCTGTTCTTCGTCTGGCGGAAGAGCGGTGTTTTGAGGTATGGGAATGCAGTGCTCCAGCCCCAGGACGCGCGTTGTTGCGTCGACACGCCGCCGTCTTGGACGAAGAGTGGGATGATGCCTTTTTGCAAAAGGCGCTTTAGCCCGTGCTTGTTCGGTCTGTTCCACCGCTCGCGAATGGAGCTGTTGTAGTGTTGTCGAAAGGGCGTGTACGGCCAGTCGTTGTCGTGCGCCATGGCGATGAGCCCGTATAGGACTTTCCATTCTGTGGTTTGCCAGGGCGCTTGCCAGCTTTCCTCGTCTTGCTCGTCGTCGTCTTCTTCACTTTCACCTTTACCTCCGCGCGCGATCCACCATAAGATCGGGATACTGAGTAGTAGAATGAGGTGTATGACTTCTGTGATCCAGTAGTGGAGTGGTTCTTCTTTGAGACTGCGGGACCAACGGCGGAGTTGCGGCGCGTTCACGTTGAGCAGTGTTGCTGTCGTTGTTGCAATCTTTGTAAGGGTGGCGTTTACGGTCGGAGTGGGCGTGGCGCCCTGCCACCAGTACTTGGGGTTGTGAAACACCATTTTGGGCATGTTGGTGTCAGTCAATGTAGTGTCGCGATGAGGTTGGCTGCGTCTGGGTTCACTTGGAAATCGTGGTATGATCTGGCTCCCCGCAATATCGTCAAATAGCACTGAGAAGACAAGACAGCGGCTTCCAAGGTTTGTAGTTGAATGCTAATAGGTGATGGTTGCGCGCTTTGCTTCATCCGGCGCTTCTATTTCTTTGTAGCTTTGTTCATGTGCCTAGGGATGGGCGTCGGCAGGGAAGCACAGTGCCTGTATTGTTGGCTGGAAATGAATCTTGTGGCTTGCCTTTGTCTTCATTCAACAGATCTCAATAGGGATAGGCATCTTCTCTAACATCTGGAACGTTTTTTTGCAAACTCATGAATTATGGCAAATTGAATTCATATCATAATGTAACGTGACGCGGCAGAACTGGCTACGTATTGATCTCACGGATCGTATTAAATGCCATTCCAACTGTGGCGAAAAAACAATCTGGAGCTCCTCAAGTTGCACAACGACACAGCTACATTTGCCGACCCACCCTTCGTATCGTTCACTTAGAGAGCATGCCGTTGTTCCAGAAGCCACACGTAAAACCGCAGAAGAAGAGGCAAATGAGCAAGACATCTGTAGGCTCACTGCCGGTCTGCGAGAACAGCCGGAATAGCTCCGCATAACCAATGTACCAATGCGACACTTAGTCACATCAAGAGTGCAAGGGTAAGACCCAGAGTGACGAAGGGCCCTTTATGTAGGTGTTCCAGGCGAAGCGTTGCCAAACCAGATATTGGGCCAATGATAGATGCCTACGATGCATCCTCCCCGTACTTCCTTTGCTCAAGGTCCTTCAAGATTTGCTGGCCTTGAAGAAACGAATTCTTCATACCGAGAAGCTCCTTGCGCTTTTGTTCGCGGTGGGGTGGCTCAGCGAGAAGGCGGATGGCGTTCCGATGTCCTAGGAGATATATAATTAGCAGTTTTTCAGAAGATGGCATAGACAGCAGTGACATACCTTCGCTTCCGTCGTTGAGGCCAAGGCCGTTCTCAAGCTCATCGCGAAGTTGCGAGCGCAGCTGCTTGTAGAACTTTGACTCGATTCGCATGCAGACCGCATCGTGGAAACGGCGCGCAGCGATGATATAGTATGTGCTGACCTGTGCGATGACGCCGAGCTCGACATGATATGGCTCCTTAGCGAGCACTAACTTGAAGTCGGTGTCTTTCTTCAGCCTTTCCTCCTCTTGTGGGCTCATGGCCTTGCCAGTCCGCTGCTGTCGCTCTCGCCTGTAAAGATTGAAGCGAGTTTTAGATCGAGCCTGGTGGTAATGTTCGAGAATCGCGTCTTTCTCTCGCTCGAAAATATCATTGTGAAAGATATAGGGACCTTCTCTCTCGTCGTTAAGGCTCTCATCTGCCATAGTCGTGCGCTGTTGATGGAAATTGAGGTTCAGCATCTCCTCAACGATCTTCCACGCACTGTCAAACAGATCGGATCCCTCCCACTTGCTGAAGTGTTCACGAAACAAAGCCTTCACCTGAGTCCGCAGTTGCTGTTCGAGGGCGTTGAAGAAATCGTTGAGAGGACGATCCCAGTGTTCAAGCGTTTCGAGCATCATGCCATAGATGACCCTCGGCTCAATCTGTCCTGGAACCCTAGATTTTGATGTTTCATCTAGGTGTTGCGCAACTCCATCAAGGCGGAAAACTTTCCTCAAGTCACTAAAGTCCCGTGGCATTTTGGTGTCTTTGGGATTCGGAAGTCCCAAGCGACGGAGAGGCGTTTTTGATGGCGTTGGGCCGGGTGTTCCCTCAACCTTGCGCTTCTTAGATGGTGTTTCTGGTGTGTCGTCCATATGCACATCTTGGTCGTCCTCATCATCGTCAATAATAATGGACTCGTCCATAGATCTACCGGGCTGCGAACCAAGAGTGTCGTAATATATGCCGACGTCTCGATTTCCACTGGTCGCCATTGTCGGCTTCATGCTCACCTGATGTGAAGATTCGAAGTCAGTGTATGTTTCACATGAAGTTCGTCCATGGAGTTGCTTACAAGAGCATCAAAGAAATCATTCTGCAGAGCTGCCCAGTTGTTACGCCACACCTTGCAAGGGAACTCAGCCTCCAGCTCCCTGCGGACATGCTGTGAGAATTCTAGCAGGATATCGAAGATGATTCTCGAGGCGTTGTGCGTGGGTGGTTCAGGAAATTGCTGGAGATCCGTCTCCACGCCGCGGAGTCGGACCTCGATCTCTGAATGGATGACGGGGAGTTTCTTCGTGATCTGCTCAGCGAGCTTCTCAGACAAGAAGCGTTGGAGATTTAGAGTTCCGAAACGCGATTCGTAGTGCTTGAAAGTGGTAGCCCAAGGTTCACCCTCAAAGAACTGCTGTTCTCGAAGACGTGCATCGTAATGCGAGAGACCGGCGTCGAGTTCATCTTGTCCCAAGTTTTTAACAACAAAGTAGCCGTGTCCAAGAGCGAATCGCTTTTGGTCGAGAATATCGCGTAGTGAATCGTGACGAGAGCCTGGCGGGAGGCGGTCCGGTTTAGTCAATACGCCTAAGAATAACATCAGTACAGGGAAGGGGGGTCACTGGATGTCTGATGGGTATTTATAACGAACCAATGCAACGATCAGTAGCTCGCAGCTCTCGTGCTATCCCGCCGGCAGTGGAGTTTGCAATGTCATTTTCCAACGAACAGGTTACGAGAATAAGAGCTTCTGGGTCCTTGACGTACTCGACGACGAGGTCACGTACGAATTTGACCAGGAACTGCGAAGACGCAGACTCCGCTTGACCAATGATACCTGGCAAGTCATAAAAGCTCAAGGCAGGAAGACTAGGGTGTGTAATGGAGATGCAGACGATATTCGGACTAAATTCGCAGCGATGGTGGTCGTTGAGTGAGGCAATCGATGGACGAAGGAATTCCTTGTGGTCTACCATAGGACTAATCGTCGCCAGCTGCGCACGGGCAATGATGTCTTCGAGATCTTTGGGGTTATCCGTCACTGAGAACTGAACGATTGTCGGTTGAGAGAGCTGAGCCCAACCAGGAAATCGTCGCTCAAAGCCCCGGCCAGTCTTGCCATCCCAAGCGAACTCTCGTCGAAGACTAACGCTAGCGCTCCATCCAGCAAGAGGATCTCCAGACGGCTCAAGCTTGATGAAAAGAGGACAACGAGTACAGGTCCCGGTTGACCTCGGCGTCTTGATACCAGAAATTGCTTCGATCACAGAAGACTTTCCCGTGGACTGCTCACCTATGTCTGTAAGTATCTAAACTAGCAATGTCACGAACGGGGTCTGTAGCTTACCAAGCACTATGCACTTTGGAAGTGGGATCTTGAGCCTTTGCAATCCGAGACTCTCTAAGCGGTTGATGGTTGCGATTGCCTCCTTGACGTGGACTCCGAGGGGGTCGATCTCGCCAGCTGCCGGTGGGTGAGATTGCGGGAGCCGTGCTGGAAAGCGATGTGTTAGCCCGGTGATCGTAGTACTATTTTGGCACGTTGGACCATATTGCTTACTATCTTGCTCAGCTAAGTGCATTGGCTCAAGGCCCTGGCTGAGGCGAGACACATCGTCTCTTGCGAAGGGTTGCTCAGATCGTCGCGGGGTCATATACGCATTGCGCAAACCGGTAGTGCTCTCGTCAACTGTTACTTCAGGTGCATGACCTTCATCGCTCTGTGCCGAGGGCGACGCTTTGATTAAAGTGTCTCGCATCCTTCTACTGCGAGTTGCGCCCACCATTATTGGTATTATAGCTCACAGGTGTTTGGATTGAGGAGTTGAAGGTGGAGATACGACGACTGTGACATGAGGGTGAGGTGATAACGTAGTCAGTGCCAAGACTTAACCACCCAGGCGTATCGTGGTGACGGCGACATGGAATATGTAAATTCAGGCATGTTGTCAGTGAAGGAGGGTTTGCCAGGAAGAGGGAGGGTTGGGATCAGCGAGCTCAGGGACGTCATTTGGCGGGCAATTGGCGTCCAGAGGCATTGGCCTTTCGTAGGCGATGAAGATAGGCATAAAGTTTAAGGAAAGGTTGACACTCAGAGCGAGATGAAGTAGACATGGTAAGTAGTGATGTCATGTGTAAAGTAATGGGAAACGGAGATGAGGGGTAATTGCCTGTAGCTGCCTTTTCGTAGGTCATGTGAGGAATCATATATACTGAATAGGGGAATGGGGCAAGGTAAAAGAGATGCATGGTGAGGCTGGATGAGAGGAGTGGGGAAAGCGGGATACTAAGTAGTAGGGTGATGGTTGATAGTAAGATAATGCGATACATTATTAGCATTTTCCGTACGCCATGAAGGCGACCTAGGCGTTGGTCCAGCGCCGAGAAAACAATGGCACAGACTTGTTGTCTACATGTCAAGATGAAAGCAAATAACGTGGAGAGATGATGTCGTCTCGACTGAGCCGAGGTTTCGCCGACTAGTGCACGGTCTCGAGAAAAGTTGCAGTGCATCGTCAACGTCGACATCATCAGACAAAACGCCTTTCTGCCATCTCCCCGCCTTTGCCTTCTCTCCTTGGACCTCTGTCGCCCTTTGTCCTCATTTCGGCATTCTAGTTCAGCATGGATCACTCGCGCGACCCGTGTCCCTGGGTGATCCTCAATGACTTCGGCGGTGCCTTTGCTATGGGCGTATGTGTGCCCCCGGCGCATCTGGTCGCAACCCAGCAACTAAACATCATCTAGGCTGTCGGAGGCGCAGTATGGCACGGTGTCAAAGGTGTAGGTAGCGCGCTCTCCTCGCCCCCGCCATGACGCTCACAATGACTCCCAGTTCCGCAACTCGCCCTACGGCGAGCGACGCATTGGCGCCATCACAGCAATCAAAGCCCGCGCACCCGTTCTCGGTGGCAACTTCGGCGTCTGGGGAGGCCTGTTCAACACATACGATTGCGCTGTTAAGGGAATACGGAAGAAGGAGGACCCTTGGAATGCCATCATTGCAGGCTTCTTCACCGGAGGATCGCTCGCTGTACGAGGAGGTTACCGATCCATGCGCAACGGCGCAATCACATGTGCCATCCTACTGGCGGTCATCGAAGGCGTTTCGATTGGATTCAACCGCATGATGGCCGACAACACGAGGCTGGATGCTCCACCACCACCGCCTACCGATGTCGGTGCAGGAGCGGGCGGGGGCGGCCCCATGGCTGTGGCCGCGTAGAACAACTTGAATTCTCAACACATACACCTTTGGAGCAAGTGATTATAAGACAGAAGATGGTCGGCACGGGACTCTAGACCATGGGTGCTTATCGGGGATATTTTGCATATACCGCAGCCTACATTTTGGCAGCGGTCGGCGTTCGCACTCTCCTCAGCTTATGTCCTATATTTGTATCATATATTGGCTTGGCCTGTACAACAAGCGGTGGCGTCTCTAAAAGGAGGCATGGACTCATGAAAGCTCTTAAACGACGAAAACTACTCTAAACTTCTCGTCATGTTCCATTCGTACACTTGCTGACTTCGAACCTGATCCTGCGTAGACTATTTAGAACACGCTGCTATGGTTCGATCGACGAAATAGCCCGAGGAAGAGAAGTGCAAACAAGATTTGGTCATGGGCGTGGGCAAACATGGTGAAGAATGACCAGCCTCGAGTATACCACTCTAACATTGGCCTTTGCACTAGGCTTCGTAGTCCACCAATTTTCTGTGCTTTGATATCTATAGGGCTTGCGTTGGTCTTGATATTGTATCGACACCCGCTTTTGAGCGTCTGGTTGAGGCATTCGCCCGCTGCTACCGTGGTAGATGAATCTTTCTTGAACCAATGCCCAGTGAGATTTATCCAATCCACTCGTAGGTTTCGCCTTATCAGCCTCTCCAGTTCCGCCCTTCTCGCAAGGTGAAAGCTCCTCTCAACCTACTACTTTGCACTCACCTATCGCCGTCAACTCAACCGCGATGTCTTTCAACCCGGGAAACAATCATGGCAGCTGGCAAGCTGGATCACGCCTGCGCACATGGGATGAACAGCCTAACCAGCTGGTGCCGCAGGCTCCTAGCACATCTCCGCACGAGTTTCAACACCGCCGAGCAGATGTGCAGCTGGTACCAACCCTCATTCATAACGGCAACTACGGGCAAGCTGTTGGGCAAGCGCCCTGGACACAAACACCGCCAAAAACACATTCCCACTTCTCACAGTATGAACAGCTTCCCTCTATCTTGCAGAACTCCCCGCGATTTCATTCAACACAGTATGTTCCATTTCCAGCTACCTCAGTAGCATATCAAGGAGCCCCCCAACAGAATTGGCGACGCACGACGACCGGCAGTCCTGGCCCTTCTGCTGCGACAAATCGTGCGCGAGCAGCTAGTGCAGCTAGAATAAACCGAATCCGCGCGAACATCGATCCTGTAGAGCAGAAGGTGGAAAGGCGAGGAACACCGCTACAACGAAGTAGAAGCGGCACACAGTATACACCTCTGCTACGGAATCCCCCGAGCCAAAGCAGCTCAAGACACCAAGAACCAGTATCAGACCTTCGAGGCTATCAAGCACCATACCCACCTCGATCCTCCAATTCTACTCTTCCGCCAAAGCACCTTGCCCTCGGCCAACAATCCCATCAACCACAGCCAGACCCCAAAATGGCTGACCCGGAATCTCCACCCTACACAGACTCTGATATCGATGAGGCGTTGGAGAGGTGGGCTGTAAGGACAGGACTATCTGAACAGTCTCCAGTGCAATCGCCTCCTACTTCAACTCCCAAAGAGCAACCAGATACCCCTTCCTCGTTCGCCGAAGAGCAACCAGACACGCCTTCCTCACTCGCCGAATCAACACCCGAGGTACCCCAAGCAGAGCGACGACGAATCAGCCTGGTAGAAGCGATAATGGCAGTCGGCGACCAGCCTGGACAAGAAAAGCTCGATAATCAGGGCGAAGAGGAGATGAGGGATTACTTCACTCGGTTGGTGCAGGAGGCGGAGGAGCTGACGAAGAAACAAATGGCAGAGTGGGAGGTGGAGAGGTTGGAGAAGTTGAGGAAGAGGGAGGGAAAGAAGTAGTGGAAGTGAAGCGAAGGATCAGATCAAGGATAACGGAGATTAGAGTGAGTGGTTCTGTGGTTGAAGAAATGAAGTGATGAGAATGCGATCGGGGTGGTTCTAGCATGCGTTTAACATGCATTTAGCATCGTAAGGTATCAGAGTGAGCATGACCGCATAGAATACTTAGTGCACCGCGCTATTTCTACCATCTCGCTTATGTCCCCGCCATGTTCTGATTAGTGATGACTTTTGCTGGGAAGTAAGTACGTTCAAATACATCCGTACAAGGCTGCATGGTCATATTGAGGAACATCCTCTCACATATAATATTTGAGTTGTAAGCTGTTTTTTTTTTTTCAATATTGTGTAGTACCTCTACACCGTTGGAACAGATAGTCAGGACCTTAGGCACTGATTTAGTAACCCTTATTCATAATGACACTACATAGCTAGCTTGCTAGAGGATTATCAGATTTTGTCTAAGTGGGAAACATTAAAACATGATCATATCGCGAATGACGCTGGTAATGTTCTATTGACTAGCAGAAAGTAAGAGGCCGGGCATCTCATCACACTAAGCCGCTTCGCCTCAACCCTACATGGCACTTTGATATTTACTCCCCGCAGTGTGAATATCGCTAAAAATAAAGCTGTTTCTGTCCCGTTTCTTCTTACCCGTTGAGTGTTCCTTGTACATATGAGCATAGTTTGGTTTCTTTGTCAGCAGTCGCGCAGATGTCTCGAATATAATTGAAGGGAAATATGATGTTAGAGTTGGATTAGCGTGCTGTGGGACTACAGACGTAATCTTCCATAGAGAAGAGATACAGGGAAGTATAAAGGCTTTGAATCAAGTAGACATAGCCATATGATACGAGTATTGTACATAAAGATATTTCAGTTTTATTCCCATACCCTGATCAACACTAATCATCTCCAACTTTCCTTTGTGTGATTGTTCTTTCTAGTTGAGCTAGTACAAGTATGTGCTAAACTGTAGTCCCGCAAGTTCTACGGAGATGCTGTACCTCAACTGCTTTCTCTTCTTCATATCTATAAACCTAATGTGACCTTCCTTGTTCGTTGTCTTGCAAGATGTGTTGGCAAGTGCCACATGTAGTCCCTTTTCAATTCTCCAGATTCTGTGACATATTTATAATTGGAAAGCATGGCTGCTGAGGCGGGATCTTCAGATGATTCGATCTTTAGAAAATGAGCTTGTATCGCCTTCAATGCAGTCTCTAAATTGAAGCTACTGTCTTCTTGCTGACAATTATCTCTATTCGCTTCTAGTTAAACCTATGTATATTCACTATCATATTGAAGGCTGTCTTCTATCATGAGTTTCTCGTATACAAAGACATACTGACGCTAGCGAAAACAGCTCAACGGGTCAGCTTTCGTTGAGCTATTAGTACTAAGAGGTCAGTAATCACTAATAGCTCTAGTGCATACTCTCCAGGCTACTACACGTATCAATTTTGTAATGCATTCAGTTGCCTTGCCAAAGTGGCCAAAGTATTCGACTACATAGATATGGAAGCTATCGATATACACTGGCAAGTTCCATTCGATCAATGTGCCTACTCATCCGCAACTGATGAAGTATTATTGGAGTCGCGCTTGTTTCGAGGCAGGAATAGGTTGCGCTCAGTAGATACTGTTGGTGCTCAGAGCTTGCTCTGGTTGGAAGGTAGTTTAAAATGTTTACCTAGCAAATCGCCTCGAGCTGCCAGGATTGTGCCGAGATCTGGAAGTTTTCATGCAACATCCCAACACTGTGCGTGGCCTTCGATGTTCAGCCCAGAATTCAGCCAGGTTTGGTGCATTGAAGCTCTGCTTCAACCTCCAACAACCAGACGCTGCCCGTTATGAAGCCCTTCAGACCCTCGGCTTGTGCAATAGTGTACCCCTGGCCTGGGGGTCATACTTGGCTAGAGCAAAAGTACAGCCCGTGCGAAAATCGTTCAGATGTGGGTTGTTGTGGTGTTTGAGCTTGATGCCATAAGGAAGCCTTTAATCCTCGAGTTCCCTGTAGCTCCTAGGGCTAACCTTCCGTGAGGGTCATATCTCCTTGCCCTAGATACTCCTATTTCAATTGCTTTATGCCTCAATCCAATTCTAGCATTGTGACAGAAGAAGTGTATCAGCACCTGTCAAAAGTCTGGCCGCTCATAGTCTCTAGAAGGGGTGTGTGAGAACTTTTCACAGGCGTCGGGCTTCACAGCCCGGGGCCCGTGGACGAACTCCTCCTGCTTGCAGATGGCAATTTATCTTGCATCAAGCAGCGGGGATTGGCGTCTACACCATGTAGCTCATTTTCTCTGCTACAGACCAGTGTTGAATCATCTGATACGCTCTGTGACATCATTGCCGTCTTCACGCTCCGCAACAACAAAAGCCGCACGGATTAGGCTAGCCGCATCCTTGTGTTGCTCCCAATGAAGGCGTGCATCTTGCTCTGGAGATCAGTAGTCGCATAGTACTACTCGTTGTTCACGAGCAACTGTGGGCAATTAATCGAGTTTCCCATGCCTTTACTTGCAAGCTCCTGTCAGTCGCTGACAGCCGGCGACCGATCGATTCACATCAGGCTGCCGTTCGCTTCCATCTCCGTCTTTCCCTCTTACTTTCCAAAACTCTGTGCCCCAGCTGAGTAATGCACAGCCACTAGCGCCTGAATGTTTCTCGGTGCCCCTCAGTGTATATAAACACGTGCCCACCAGCTCTTATCATCCACCACAACAGCACATTGCCACCATCTTGTGCTCCCTTTCTGCCACAAAAACCTCCCAACCCTCTAGCTCCTTCCGAGGAGACGAACGTAAGAAGCATACAGCTACACCAACTTGGCGGGGTTGAACAACCTTCCGACGAACGGATTTTCGGAAGCATCGAACGTCAGGCTGGCTTACTCGTACCCCCCAGAGGGCCTTGAACGCCTCTCTAGTCCTGACTTCAGCGCGGCTAGCAACAGTCCCCCGGCTGGCTTACACTCGCCCAAACCACAGGGCCACACAAGGACACTGGAGCCTGCCACCACTCCCGAGGACGCGCCGCTTGACACGCCGCCCGGACAATCCGGCCAACGCTCGCACTTCGCCCCGTCCCTGCAGGCGTACCAGCGAAACAACGACAGAGAAGTAGGTCTCTCACATTTGCGCTACCTGTACACGCTGACCATCTGCCTGTAGTTCAACATGAGCTTCGACCCTTCTTCGCCCACCCGGGAGTACGCCGCTGTCAAGGATGGCGGCGAGGAGCCTGCGCCCATGGCTCAACCGGAAGACAACCAGGCTCGCCGTGAATCGAGTGACGACGACATGCCCATCATGATCCGCCGACAACTCCGAGAGCGTGCCAAGGAGCGTGAGGAGAGCATTGCTCTACGGGATCGTCGCCCTGTGCGAGACAATGGCCGCGACTCTGACCGTCCTCCTCCCCGCCAAGTGTCAAAGCCGTCCCCCAAGAAAGTCGGCAAGGGACAAAAGAAGCCTGGACCACGAGCATGGGCGGCGAAGCCTATCATGAAGAATGATATGGTAGCGAAGAAGGCAGTCATCCGCGAGATCGAGAGCTACTGGGGCAAAGGGTTCATCAAGTCCTATATCCCGAAGTGTCACCGCCCTCTGGTCAAACGTGGTAACCACGGCAAGCGCTCCATATACCGCGACCACGAGTCCGATCCTAAGAAGTGGCTTCCTTCTGTCCTGAAGGCCATTCTCATGATCGCGAAGCTTACCGACAGCAAGAAGTGGCTGAAGGATGCCATGAACGAGGTCGTTCGTTATCGCATCAAGCATACCGGCAATCGCAAGCCCCAGTTAGTCACTACTGACTTTGATGTGATAGAGGACATGCTTGTGAAGCAGTGGACTGTCGCTTACGCTTTCGAGATCCGTTACAAGCATCTTCTGGTGAATCGCAAGGACCAGCAAGAGACCGACGAAGACATTGATCACATTCTACAAGCTGGCTCTGATCCAGATGATGGTAGCGAGGACGAACATGAGAACGACGACGCGGACATGGATGACCAAGAGGAGGATGATGACGATGATGACGATGAAGACGAGGACGACATGGACCAGGGCCACGGTGGTATCTCCGGCAAGTATCTCCAGTCGAGCGGCTACACCAAGGGGCCTCAGTATTCACCACCTGCTCTTCCTCGCCAGCAAGTCAAGCAACAGAAGTCGTCCAAGCCGGGCCCTACTAAGGCAGGACAGCCCAAACAGCCCCCGCCTCCTCATCAACAACAGCAGAACATGTACGGGTATGGCGGGCAAATGCCTGGCTATGGTCCCCCAATGGATCCTTGGGGTCGTCCGATGCCTTCTTTTGGTGGTTCAGACAGTTACGGCGGTTATGGTGGCTACGGCGGATACGGTGGATACGGCGGATATGGCGGCTATGGCCCCCCTCAATATCCGATCAAACAGGAGCGTCAATCATCTCAGCAGCCTCATCATTATGGCATGCACCCTCCTCACCACCCGATGACACCGGCACCCAGCATGCACGATTCCGAGTATAGTGGCAGGCCTGACAACAAGAACAAGCGTGGTCGCGACGGTTATGAGCAGGGAAATCCGAATGGCCCTCGCCCCAAAATCAAACGTGAGTCTCCAGCATATGACGAGCGTACCATGTCTATGGACGACTTCGACGGCCCAATGAACGAGTTTGGTGCTCAAGACGACATCGACGATAGCTCCGCCGCCATCGACGCAGAGGTGGAAGCCGCTGAGCTTGAACTGAAGCTTGCCCGTCTTCGCGCCAAAAAGGCTGCCATGAAGAAGTCCACTTAGGTATGTAATAATCGCCTCCCCATTGAATGGCTCGGCGCTGATGCCTCTTAGCATCACTTGACTTCCAGACCTCGCCAATTCGGCGTAGACTGCGCTACAGACGTAGCTGAGTCTTAGTGATTTGATTTTGCTCCAAACATGGTAGCGGCTTTCTTTCTGACGGATTTACGGATATGAAGTCTTGTGCTTTCTTGATCAACCGGTTCCTTGGAACTCGGATTCGAAAGGCGCTCGGCGATGAACGAGGCGTTCGGGTATAGATTGGCGCTCATGGCAAGACTGGCACTAGGCCTCTAATAACACTTTCGATTGACCGATAGTCCTCTCTTTATTCGATGATGCTCAACGTGTAGTTGTTGCCACACGGGACCTCGACTACGTTCTTTATGGCAATACAGCTCTTATGTGGCCACAGGCGAGCGCTTCGACAGGTGTTGCCGCGGCTTGAGAGTGCACCAGGAAGAGCTTCGTGCCCATGGCTCGACGGTGATTTGTTGCGCATGTGGACGGTTCATGACGTGCATAGAGACAGACGAGCAGACGAGCCCATAATCCCCCAGTGACCCGGAAATGGTGGCATATTGTTGAAACATGATCTTAGGCAAGTAATCGTTGTAATAGCCGTCATCACGCACCCTTCTTCCCACAGATTCGTGAAGCGATAGACTGAGACGGACAGGTCGCTTCAACGAACTGCAAGACATCGGGTATTTGGGTTGACAGAATTCCAAGATTACAAACAAGAGATGCTATGTGCGGCAATTGAGGTGACGGTGTGCGAAAGACGTGTCGTGCAGTTCGGCAGCGGCCCAATGTTGGCATTTTACGCTAGCGTCTAGATTGTTTACTCAGCAAAATGCGGGCGCTTTCGTGCCACTCCATTTATCACCCCTCCACTAATCAAAACAGCCCGAATTCATCTAATAGACGCCTAGTAGCAATGGAAAACTTGCAGCCCCAAGCCCCGCACCACGCCCAACTCTTTGTCGTACTCTATCCACTTCCCTTTCAGGTCCGCCTTGTATCGCTTCAACCTCCCAACTCCGTGGCCTAAGTACGCTCCTGGCTCTCGTCCACCACAGCGCATTCGCAAGTATGCATCAGCCACTCACAGAGTTCGTCCTGGAGGAGGAACATTACGGCAAAGAGGATGGTGAGGAGGACTCCAAGAGCTCTAAGGCTCTTGGCGGGGCCGACGAGGAAGTACGTGAGTGCAAGGAGCAGCAAGCTGAGGAGCATCGTTCGAAGTTGGAGGTAAAACCTCTATGTTGTATGGTTGGTGCTGGTGGTTGAGACTGGTAGGGACGGTGTGTCGTGAATGCATTTGCAGAATTGAACGCTAATGTTTTCTGAAGGCCTTGAAATTTCGGCAAAGTGACTCTTGGGATGTGGATGCAGAAAACAAGTCTGTATCAGCTTGTTGACGCACTTTTATAAGAGTGACATCAGGGTTTGTTTGCCCGGGGCATGTGGGCAAGTTCTGTGCCTTCGCTTTGAGTCAATTCGATTGATCTAGATTAGACAATCAGTTGAACGAAGGAGCGCCGCTGACCCCAAACCTCGATTTCCACACAACAAGCGCCATTTTTTCCATATATGTGTTACCTGGGAACACCGACTATCTCCTCTTCTATCTTTCCCGTCGGTATCGAGTGTAGATCATGCTTCTATGGTTGTTGCTGAGCCGCCACGTTAGGTCACCCTGCCCAGTAAATTGGTCGCAGTCTTTCCGCCGACTTAACAGGCAGGTCCCCAACGAAAATATGCTCTCTTCATCCCTGTGCTGCTCTTGACCGCCAGGTTGGACGAACTCTTTACGGTCGCAGGAAGTCTTTCGCCGTAGATTGATGGAGGGACATGGCAGGACTAGATGGAGCAATAAGGTACGGCGTGCTTTTGTGAAGCAAATGTTGCTCTTCGACCTCAAGCTTGATTTTAAACATATCAGTCCTCGTTGTTGCAGCGTTTCCGTCTCTTGTTGTGATCTTGGTGGTAGTAATTGTAGCTTTGGCGCCTTCAGGAACGCGACTCTCGCAGGTACTGTTCTGCCTTGCTAGAACTTATTAATATTAATTCTCGCTCATAATCAGAAGAAGCTCAGCTCACAATCTAGTCGTCTCTTAGTACTAGGCGGAGCGTCGTCGCACCTCGCCTTTTCAGTCGTCTTCTCTATCCTTCTGTACTCGGAATGAAGCTTCTGAAAGATGTGCGGCGCGTGTGGGCTGGAAGCAAACGTGTAAATCATATTCGATGCGCACCACGACAGATGAACTTTTTGTCAAGGTCAGTCGTCTTGCTTGTCTTCATTCACCGACTCGAGGAACGTGGTGCTAATGTACTTACTGTGGCCATGGACTAATGATCGCTAGCTTCCCCTTTCGATGCCGAAATCTTCCACGGTAACTAGAGCGAGTCGAGTACAGAAATACGGGCGTCGAACTTTGGCGAAGGCGAGCTCTTTACTGACCGGGCTCTCAATGTTGCCAACACGAGACTAAATTGTATAGCGACCGGAAGACGAATCAAGCCTTGATGAACCCTCAAGCATGCATTGAACTGACGGCGTCCTGATGTTAGATCCAGAACAACAAGGGCCGATCACTTGCGAGTATCCCATCAAGCGAAGGTACGTGGAGCGGGTACATCGTGTCCAAAAATAGCTCCAACAGTTCAACGGCCATCGACAAGATGGCCATGAAAGATCTGATGGGTATACATAACATATAGGCAACCCTATATGTCTCTGAAGCCGTCATTTGTTGCTGTTGTGATGCCGCGATATACACCTTATATCCAGATCAGCCGCAACGTGCTTACCTTCTCAGAAGGTCAAGAGGCCCTGAAATATCTGCATGCCGAGAAGGCGGTAGCTTTCAGTGGCTGGAAACCCATCCCCAATATACAGTCGCCAAATGATTGCTAGCCCTCTTCTAGATGGGATCTATTTGTGGTGCTTGTCCCTACCTCTTCAGGCGACCCACGGCAGACAAGCCGCTCTCGTGTTCCAGACTCAATAGAAACCATATCACGCACACCTATTCATTATGTCGGCCACAGAGGAAAGACGGCCCGGGTTGTGGCTGCCAAACTTTTATCAATCAGCTCTTTGGGCTAGCCCATTGATCCTTGTCACCTCCACAGGGAGGTTCAAAGCCTGCCCAGGTGCATCAGCAACATGATGGACATCGCAATACTCACCACAGTTTTCTCTTCGAATCCTTCTCTGAAATTCATTTAATCTCAGCTAGAGTCATCACTCTAGATTACAAACACTACTACTCTACTGCTCCTGCCACTCATGCTCCTGCTCCCGGCTCCTGCTCAGTGACCAGTTACCAAGGCTCCGAGTCGCGACAACAGACCGACACCTACCGATATCCACACTCTTCCTACGTTCCAACTGATGATTGACACGCATCGATATGCCCACATATCCATAAACATGAACTGTCCTTATATACTTGCGGCCATTACCATAGCCCAACGAATTCCGTCAACTCCCTTTCGTGCTGCGAGTGAACGATCACTTCAGGCATAGCAAACGCAAGGATATCGAAGTTGTCAAAGACGCGTTCATCATGCACTCTTGAGCGAATACCCACAGAACCAACACGAAGCCTGAACTTGTCGCAGCGGCGCGGACTTTAGATCAAGACTACACTTGAACAACGGGGGTAGAAGAGGCATGCAGCACCAACCAACGTCTAGTGAGACCTAGATCATTCGAGACTTCCTAACAAACTGTGCAGCAACTAAGTCCCCACTTCCACGCGTTCTCCTCCCGATCCGACCCACGACAATACCACTACAACATCACACCTCGCTACGCGACGAACCCCCGTCTCATACCTCGCGCAATAGAGCCACCCACAACGTGTTCCGCGCCCGTACTTTCGAAGAGACAAGGACTGTCGTGGCACCAGATAATTGCCCTTTGCATCAGCATGGCAGATACGGTCGATACTTCGTACCGGTCAAACAAGATAGTAGAGGAACTACACATCGGCGTATTCAGTATTCCTGCATCTACATCAGAGCCACAGTCCTCCTAGCGGCCCGTAATGCGACCCGAAAGGCATCCAGTACCTACAAAATGCGCATGAACCGAACGATTCGAGAAGGAAGAGAAGGACTCAGACTAAGACGACCATCATATTCACACTCGTAGACTCAACTGCAATCTTGGTTTGCGTCATAGAAATCTCAGTAACACAATGTGGCATCGTAAGCTCTGCAAAAACGTCTTTGGGCTGCTTACAACATTCAATGCGGACTGTTGGCACTTACGCTGCAACATCTGGTGCAATTTACTTCGAAGATCACGGATGATCTAACGTACGATGGCTACAGTGTGTACTGAATACTGGTAACTCCCTTCTACCAGGTAAACACAAAAAGCGCGATACAATAGTTTCACATAGAATCGCCGCACTTGCAAGCAACAATGTTTATACAAAGTATCATGTCACAATTTCTATGTTAAAAGGTAGAAGTGATCAATTAACCTATGCATAGAATAATAAATATGCCGAGCTAAATTCGTCAATCTATAATACGCTCAAATGCAATCAATCGTTCCCAGCCCCATCTACCTGAACTTCCACCTCACCTCACTCCACCTGTCATCTGTCATCTGCATCTAGTAAACTTCAAGCACGTAGCGCCCCTCATCCTTGAGTTTCTCAATCTCCTTCCTCGAGTCCACCTTCTTCGCACCCGGGTTCTTGAACTTATGTTCAACCTCAATGGCCTCCTGTAGCACCTCCGTGACGTCCGGCACCGGCCATGTGGGTCCGCAAAGGTAGAACGAACCTTCCTGTTCGATGTAGCTTCTCCTAATGTCAGAGAGAGTCTCTCGCATCCTGTCTTGAATATAGATCTTCTGAGGCTGGTCTCGAGAGAAGGCGCGGCCGAGGAGAGTAATAATGCCGGCATCTTGATAGGCTTCCCACTCCTCACCGAAGAGATACTCTTCGCGTTGAGTGCGGGAGCCCATGTAGAGGAGGACTTCGCCAATCTCATGTCCCTGCTGTTTCTGGTATGCGCGCTCTTGCACAAAGGCGCGGAAAGGCGCTAGACCTGTTCCAAGACCGGCCATGATGATAGGGGCTGTGGTCTTGGTGGGTAGTTTCATGACAGACGGCTTGACGGATACGGTAACTGGTGCGCCGACATGTAGCGCGTTGAGATAACGCGTTGCTTGGCCGAAACGGTCGCGGCCCTTGGGGTCGACCCAGTTCACAGTTACGATGAGAAGGGCGACGCTGTTGGGAGTAACATTTTGCGCGGAGGCGATGGAGTACTCTCTGCGCTTCATGGGACTGACAATCCGGACAATGTCATGGAAAGAGGGATGCGCAGACGGGAACTCAAGAAGAATGTCCGCAAAAGTAACGAAGTCGACTTCGGCGCGGCGCTTGAATTCCGACGCACCCTCTGGGCTAAGAAGCTTTAGAATTGCGTTCTTCTCGCCCTCGTCATCCGCGAACTCGGCAAGGCTTTCGTAGAAGCGCTTTGGTGGGCGACCGAAGATATCGACGTTCTGCATGAGAGATTGGTAGACAGTGCGATTCACCAGGACATTTGGATCCTCACGGGATGGCACTTCGACAATCTCGTCGGGGTTGAGGCCGTACCACTTGATGAACTCTTCGACGTGTACCTTGTCGTTCTCTGCGTGGATGCCGAGAGCCTCACCGATGGCATATGTGACACCGGAGTTGCCGAGATCAAACTCGATGTGGAAGATGTTACGGTCATAGGTGAGAGGCGTAAGGCGGCGGTGCTCCTTGACGGTGACGATGGAAGTCTTGACACCAAGATCTGGACGAACTTGGGTATCAGTACCGAAAGCCTCCTTGAAAGCAAAACCCTTGGCCGCAATTTGCCAGTCCTTTAGGAGTGTAGGAGGCTCTGTTTCGACGCGGTCGAAGGGAGCAAAGCTGTTGACATTGATGTCAGAGGGAAGTCGAATGGGCTCGACATCCTCTTCAACGGTGGCCCATGTGGCAGGCACTTCGACTTCGCGCAGTGCGCTCTCCAGCTGCTGGGAAAGCTGCTCCAAGACTTCAGAGCTACCGTTGATAGCAGCTAACTTGGACAGACCAGAGGTCAGGAGATCCTCGCGAGCAACCTTCAAGAACGCCAGCTGAATCAGGTAAGACTCAAGGGTAGCATCCTCAGCTAAGGCCTCTGATAGCGTCGGATCGAGCACGAAGAGTTCGACATCCTTGTCGACCAACGCCTTGCGGAATGCAGGGGAAAGCTTCGTCTCTAGATCTTCATCCTTGATGCCGGGAAGTTTGACGATGATAGAGCTGTCAGGCTTGACGCTGTTCAGGACGTCGAACTCCTGGAGGATGGTCAAATCGCCAATGAAAGCTATGTCGGCCTGCTCAACGGAGTATGGAGCCTCAATGGTGTAATCCGCATTGCGGATGTCAGTGCGAGTGACACCACCCTGGACGAGATTGTCGTGACCACTGCGAACGAAGACATTCTTCGACGAGTCATGCGATAGGAGCTTGCCAAGCACGACTGGGGCATGAGCAGCCGAAGATTCGTCCAAATCCCAGAAAGTGTACTGCTTGACATCCGTAGTGTTCAGAATGTCAACGTACGACCGCACCTCGGTCTGCGCCTTCTCGCCGTGGATCTGGCGGAAGACATCGAGGATATTGCTTGGTGTCCAAACCTGCTCGCGAGAGTACTTGACATCTGTGACCTCAACGTTCCTGTCGAAAGCGAACTGAGTTGCTGCCAAGACGTCTGAGTAGAGCCTAGAGTACTCAGCAGAGTCGAACACAGCAGCCTCATCCTTGACCTGGCCGAGAACAGCAATGCGACGAGTGCTTTTTGGGAGAGCCTCAAGGAAGGCTTCTTCCACAAATGGGCGGTAGACGCGGACATTGATAACACCGACCTTGTCACCATCCTTGGATAAGGCATTGGCGACCTGGGCAGTCAAGGAGGCCTCGACGGTACCAAAGACCACAAGGACGCTCTCAGGCTCCTCGTGACCATAGTAGTCGAAGAGCTTGTAATCTTCACCAAGCTCGTCGTTGAAAGCTTGGAGTAGGCGTAGAACGCGTCCCTCAGTGTCCGAATGCTTCTTGTCGACCTCAGAAACAGCCTTCAACACCGCCTGATAGTTGTTGTGTAGCCTAGTCTGATCCATAGTATCAACCAATCTAGCTGTCTCTCGTCCGACGCTGATGCCATCGTAGGTATGCACCGTGGGGAGGACGCTCGAAAGCAGAGTCGCGAAGAGAGCCATATGCTGCGCTTCGAAGACAGAGGGACTGCAGACGAGACCAAGCCCCAAATCTTCGGCAAGTGTGAGTGAGGAGACATAGTCGGTGACTAGCCCGGCGTTGGAATTGGCAGAGTAATCGACAGCGGCGATGTGAGCGGTAAGCGGATTCGCGACCGAGTATAGGGCGGAGAGCTGGTCGAAGGAGGAACGGAGGTAGGCGAGCGTGGAGGAAGAGGCCAAAATGGACTGCGGGATGTGGCGCTTCTTCAAGTCGAAGTCTCTTGAGAAGATGTAGCCCAGCGCGATTGCGCCAGCCCCAGTTCTTGTCTCAAGCGAAGAAATGCCCGTTTCATATCCGAAAGCATTCTTCTCGCCCTGCTCTTGCCAGTGCTTGACGGCTACATCCAGGTCGAATGACTCGTTTGAGTATGCGAAGATCTTGTCGGAGAGAGTGTACGCGACTTGCTGCACGAGCGTCTGCGCCGTGAGGTAGGTAGGGCCGCTAATAGATTCGAGAGGAAGGTCTTGCCCAAATGGCAGACTTGACGACTTCTTCGTGAAGACCTTGGTGGAGATCTTGGGTACGTCTTGTTCGGCGCCAGGGCCAGCGGATTCGGTCTGCTGAAAATGCATGCTGGAAATAGAGTAGACGTCTCAACGAATCAGTCCTTTGAGGTTCGGAGAGTCTCTCTTTGAAACAAAAGGGAGAACGAAAGCAGGCGCAACTCGCTGACTATTCACTGCAAGGAAACGAGGGTAGAGGACGTATTCTGGAATTGCCGCCTCCATAAAAAGACAAAAGGCTACCGCAATATGGGGCGGAATTGGAGCCGAGGAATGCGCGACCCTTCGTGAGGGCCATGATTGGCTTGTTCCAGACTTTTCCTCGGGCGATAGATTGCGAATTGCGGAGTGTCGCCGTTGTCGCGACCTGAAGAAAGTGCTAGCGCGAATTGCGTGCTCATTTGCCACGAGGACGGAGATAACTTGGCGCTCGGAGATGTGATAAGATCTGATAGTAAGACCCTGAACCTGCACGAGAAGAATGTCTTCGATCATAATTGAGCTGCTCTCTATATAATCAGAAAACATAACCCCCGGTTGCCTCGCGCATGGATGAAATTACTGGTGGGATTGAAGGTATTTGTGCTAATACACCCACCAGAACACATCTACCACAGAAGCTGAGAACATATCCATGGTTATGAGCATCACTGAGACTGTTTTAGATCCAGTAGCACTTTGGAACACTACGCAACCACTGACTTTCAATCACCGGCTGCACATCACGGCATTAATACCTCCAAGAGCATCGATAACCTTCAGTCGATTGGCTGATTCCACTTCACAAATGCTAGGATCCAACAGTACACTTCAACAGGTTCAAACGCAAGGAAATGTATTGTCTGGTATTATACAAGACCCTACAGTCTGTCCACTCTATCCGAGTGTAAACCTATAAGATTCAAAACGCCGTACGCCTCCCTGATGCTGATGCAATGCAATCACGCTGCGAATATGCTCAATCGTCCCACCGCATATTCATTATCAAATCCTGCACCTCTGCCGAACTGAGCCCATGCCTCTCCTCCCGCTGTGGGATAGCGGTGCGGCGCTCTCCTTCAGCGAGGAAGCGTCACATGTTTCCGTTGAACCACCAAGCGGCGGCTACTGGCCAGCCCAAGACTGCGACGTAGAAGGGGACGAAGCTATTTTTACCATTAGAAATTGCTTGGAGGAGTAGGAGGGTGAAGGAGGAGACGTACGCTGTGCTTGTCTTGATAACACGCTTGCTTAGGTCGCCGGCTCGCCATTGGTGCGCCCTTGATGTGACGGGGTTCCTGGCGAATGGGTGGGGCTCGGATAGGCTGCGCGCTGCGGTGCGGAACATAAGGCGGACTTGTGTTGGGGAAGGCATTTTGATTGATGTGTGTGGAGTAGATCGAGGATCGAGAGTAGATTTGTTGGAGTGCGGTGATGTACAGTGTACAAGATGTAAGAAGTGACTTTTGGTTGCTTGAGTTGAGAAGACTGAGTGTCTATGCTGTATGTCTATCGATGCTGTGATGGGCTGAGTGGAGTGAAGCTTCAATAGCAGCAGGACAACAATCTATTTATTTAATTCACATAGCGAGGCTTTTCCCCCTCACCCTCCTCTTTCACATACAATATGTGGCACCACCAGAAGTCTCACCTGAGATGCCTCTCTCCGACTCATTGCCGCAGATCAGCTGTACGGTTATGGTACGAGATCGCTATCCCACAGTCAGACGAGTAGCTCGGACGACGGCGGGCGCTGCAGGAACGAGACCAGAATCCTTCATTGTTGCTTATTGCTACATCTGGTAAGACTCTGAGAATCGTCGATGGCTTTCGCGCATTTCCGGGGGCATGTGGTTGGTTCTAGGCCGGCTAGGCCAACTGGCATTGATGGTCGCGAGAGAGTGGTGTGATGGGGTCGCAAATCCTTCAGCCAGGGGCTCGGTACCCGCCGACGGCTTCCACCAGCCGTACCAAGGCTGGGGAGAGAGTGGTGTGACACTTGTGAGATGGCGAGACATGGTCGTGGGATTTCGTGAGATTTTTTTTTCATCCGAAGAAGTGAACCCGGAAGAAATCGCAGCAATTGCACGCAACTTGAGTAACTCTCAGATTATTCATCGTTTTATGATTGGTTAGCCTTTTGGCATTTCCGATTGCGCAGGCTATGATTGGCCAAGACGCTTAAAGTGCAGCAACTGCAGCCACTGCACAAAGAAGCAGATCTGCAGGAGTTCACATGGTAATGCTCAGCGATCTTGATGTGAAGGCGGGGTTGGGAATTATGCAGAGGCCTGATGAATGCCCAAGGCACCAAAAACCGTTGACGACATTGACAGAGGCACAGGGAGGTGGCAGTAATGAAGACAAGAAGATGAGCGTATTACACTGCCGGTGGTATCTAGTTAGAACATCAAATGTGCATCGTGACGCCGTCAATCGTCCCTCTGGCCTGTAGCCACCCCCTCCATCCTTATGCCTTACCCAACGCGATGATATCCGCCTGTCCCAACTCCCAAACACCCGCCTCTTTCTTGCCCTCTATACACTGCACTCCAGCGTTGACCGCAGCGCGAGCAATCACACTTGCGTCCTGAGCCCAGAAGTTAGTCAGAGCAGGCGTGAGACTCCTCAAGCCTTTAGCGATGCCCCGTATAACAGCCTCCGCAGGCCTGCTCTCATTTCTCTCGCCCACAATCAGGCCGGGCCGCAGAATGACCGTGTGCTTGAACTCGAGCGCTTTGACAGCCTCTTCGAGCTCGCCCTTCAGGCGCGGATACGCCATCATGCTCGTGCTGCTCGCTCCTCCACTGCTGATCAGAACGTATGTCTCCACACCAGCGTCCTTCGCTGCCTTTGCTAGCTCCAAGTTGAGCTCATAATCAATCTTCCTTTGTCCCTCGAGACCGCCAGCCCCCGCGCGAGTCGTACCTAGAGCACTCAAGAGGATTTTGGGCTTGGATTCCCGCGGGAAAAGCGAGGGCCATTGCGCGTTGTCGGTTGAGGTTATGGGGTTGAGCTTTGTGGAACCGTTTGGATTGGGGAGCTCGCGGCGGGAGTAGGCGTAGATGGCGGAGAAGGAAGGTGAAGCGAGGACTTGATTCAGAATATTCGATCCCTAAACTCTGTTAGTTTCTCGCTCTGCCTTGTATCGAGTGAGTTCTGCTGAACGTACGACGAGGCCGGTACTTCCGGCAAGGGTTGCTGTTGCCATAGCTGTCTTGAAGGCCTGCAAGCTTTCTTTTGAAGGCGTTGAGAGTGAGATGCACTATTGCGAGTACCTCGAGTGTATTCAGGAAGCTTTATCCTGGGACGATGATGGATGTTCGGGGCGTTGTGCTGCGCGCATAGCGCATTGTTTCGTCCGTCCCCAGAAAGACGTCATTGCGCAAGCGAGCCGAGGCGCCTCAAGGAATGACTCTGGTTCATCACATAGCACTGCTATGCTACAGATTGTACAAGTCGTCCCCAGGCAAGGTCTTCCATAGAAACCATCGTGAGGATGGGTAACTACCAACCAAGTAAGCTAGGTGCTGACATTCCCCTCCGTAAGCTATAGCGGCCAATCAACGAGCACGCCCGCCTGCCCTTTCGAGATAGGTGGTCAGAAGGTTCACCTACTTCCATGTTGCTGTCTATCAATTGTCTTGTATTTTAGGCATCGCATGATTCAGCTAGACACTCTCTGCTTCAACTCTACACACGATTTCTTCCAGCACCCACCCTCAGAAGTTGACAACACTAGCCTCCAAAACCCCCTCAGGCCCAATCAACGCCTTCAGCACATCTTCTCCGACTGGCTTATCCACACCCAGTATCATGAGTGCTTCATTGTTCTCCGCTGCCTCTCCATTTTCATTCTGCCTTTCCTCCGCCTCCTCATGCAGCGGTGCCACATTCATAAACTTGATATTGACACCTGCCTTCCCTAGTAGATTCCCCACGAATCCGATCTTGCCACACGAATCAAAGTTCCTGCAGATCAGTAGGGTGCCTCTGGGGACAAACTCGCCCTTGAATTTGTCCAGGCGGGAGATAAATGGCTTGTTGCCAGATACAAAGCCCTGGATGACTTGGTCTTCGTGGTCTTGTGGTTTGAGACTACGCGCCGCGGAAGGCGAGTTATTGCGCGAGCTGATGGAACGAGCCTGCGATACTGAACGTGTGGCACGTGCTCGGAGCGTAATGAAGGAACTATAAGGTTTATCTTCGACATTTTCGCGTGAACTTTGCTCATTGATGAGAATCCCCCGTTCTTTTGCGAGTAGCTCGGCGTTGACAATGTTGATATTCAATCCATCTGACGAAGTAATTGGAGTCAAAAGGCCTTTGACAAGCGCAGCGAAGAGCGGTTTTGTGGTATTGATGTTTGCGAGCTTTCCCTCGTAGGTTATATCAAAGGTCGTACGGAAGGATCCGATCTTGACAGAGGAGTAATGTTGTGTGTAAAGGGAACCCATTTTTTCCACCAAGCTGATGTAGGGCTGGAGAGTGCGGTATTCGTCTGGTAGGACAATTGGAGCATTGACCGCTGAGCGCGGTAGCTCGCCAGATAGGATGGAGACAACTTGTTCGCAGACGTCAATCGAAACGTTCTCCTGAGCTTCTTTGGTGGATGCTCCAAGATGTGGCGTCGCCACTACCTTCGGATGTGCAATGAGACGACTTGCAGAAGATTCTTGCTGCGGTGGCTCCGAAGTGAAGACATCGATACCCGCTCCAGCAATTGTACCAGCATCAAGTGCTTCCACGAGCGCATCTTCGTCAATCATTCCTCCTCTTGCTACATTAAGAATGCGGGCTGTAGGCTTCATCGTAGCCAGCTCCGCCTTTCCAATCATACCCTTGGTCGAAGCAATCAAAGGCGTGTGCAAGGTCAAGAAGTCTGCTTCTTTAAGAAGTTCCGCAAGACTAGGTCTTAGGGTAACGGATGCAGCTGCGGCCAGGTTTGGATTTGCGTAAGGGTCGTAGGCGACGAGGCGCATACCCAACCCGTTTGCGATACGAGCTACCGTGAGACCGACTGATGGGAAGTGAATACACTTCAACAGAACTTAGTCTGGTAAACTCACCTTTTCCTAGGCCAACAATGGCGAGGATCTTGCCCTTTGCCTCGACGCCCACAAGTCGGCTTCGTTCCCATTTTCCGGCCTTGATACTTTGAGACGCATCACCAACGTTACGGGCCACAGCCATGAGTACTATTTGTGGTTAGTAGGCGCGAAAATTTGGTTGCTTGGGCTACCCACACGCGATGGTGTGTTCCGCTGCGGCATTGATGTTGCCGGACGGCGAATTCACGACAATAATGCCATGGGAAGTAGCACTTTGGACATCGACATTATCGACACCAACACCAGCACGAGCGACTACCTTCAAATTCTTGGCCATATTCAAGAGTTCTGCTGTCACCTTGGTCTCCGAACGAACGATGAGAGCCTCATAGTCACCAATGATGTCTTTGAGCTCTTCAGCACTTAAACCTTTCTTCTCGTCTACCTCGAATAGATCTTTCAGCAGTGCTAGTCCATCAGGTGAGACCTTCTCCGGTATAAGCACCTTCGGTTTCGTGTTGGGGATTAGGATGGCCATCTTGTTTACTAAAAAGAACGGTTAGGCGAGGGGATTCAATTTGAGTGTGAGTAAGAGTCTCGAAGAACGGAAATCCCTTGGTTTTAATGAGAACAGACAACAACATGGGCCGCTATCGGACTACTGCAGTGAGGTGCGTCAGATTGTCTTTTTGTAAGGGGAAAGCTCACTTGTTGTGGCCGGCCGGAGCACTACTACCCCGCCCCCGCAATATTACCCCACGAATAACGCCACCACAGTAAAGGAATCGAGACCTGAAATGCTGTCAAGTTACAATCGAAGCTTGTATGGGGTAGCCAGGACTGAAGCGGTATGGAGAAAAGGCTGAAGTATGTCAATAGTGAGAACTATTTATTGTGTTGATATGGTGGTGTATTTGCGCTAAGTATATTTGTTTGTTCTGATACTACGATGCGCAGATGACGCGTGGCGCGGGTAACTGTAATTGTTGTGGCCCGCAACCCCTGGAGGCTGACGACCTGCAGAGTGGGGTTTGGAGCACAATGCGGGCAGCCGGCGCCGCTCTTTTACCAATTGGAGTGTGTCTTGAGCTTCTCGTTTTGTACGACCTCAATCCAGTAGCCGTCGGGGTCTTGATGAGCTGTCAGTTTATTGTGTCAGAAGGGTCAAAAGCCACGTACCTAACACAAATGCGATGTTTTTCATTCGGCCATCTGTAAGCCGTTTCTTCCAATTGACACCCTTTTCCTCGAAGCGAGCACAGGCTGCTTCCAAGTCATCGACGGAGAGACAGATATGGCCAAACCCCTGCGGCTCATCGTTCCCGTTGTGGTACTTGAAGTTTGCATCATTTTCCGTGCCGTAGTTCCAGGTCAACTCAAGTACGCCTTCGCTGTTTGCTGGCTTATCGGAGTCAACCGGGCCGTATCCAAGGAAGTAAAGGTTGAAGCTAGCATTCGGATTCTCTGATGTGCGTTTAAGCTTCATACCCATCACATCCTGATAGAACTTGAGTGAGGCATCCTTGTCTTTGACACGGATCATAGTGTGGTTCTGCTATAATTAGCCTCGTACGAAGTAATTTCGGAGTCGCCTTACCATTCGGTATGTGCTTGTATCTGTGTCCTTGACACTCTCAGTCTCTTCCAACGGCTTCTGGCCGATTACCTCAACCCAATAGCCATCAGGGTCCAGGACAAACGCGATATGGCGCATCCGCCCATCTGTCAGTTTCTTTTGAAATTTGTAACCGGCATCCTCTAGTCGCTGGCACGCGGCTTGAAGGTTGTCTACCGATATGCATAGATGTCCGAAGCCCTTGTGTGGTTCTGTGTTGCCATTTGTGATTTTGTAGTTTGGGTCGTCCTCTGTGCCATAGTTGTGTGTGAGCTCGACAATGCCCTCGCGATCTGTCCAGTGGTTTCCGTGTGAGACTGCCTTTGGACTATCGTATGCGAGGAAGTAGAGGTCGAATTTTGCGTCGGGGTTCTGGAGTTTATTGATGACTTTCATGCCCAGGAACTCGTAGAATTCGACAGACCGCTTCGGATCCTTGATACGGATCCTAGAGAATGTTAGCAAGAGCAAGAGACTAATGGCAAGCAGCTAGCGCTGAGAAGGACACGCGGGGACTCACATGGAGTGATTGAGCTTGTACTTGGCTGGGTCGGTCGCCATGGTTGCTAGCTGTCGGAATAGGCTATTTGGTGTGCTGCAGAGTTTCAGAGGTCGGGTTACGAATGCAGGTGATATTCTGGGGGCTCTGAACAGTGCTGGGCGCAAGAACAGCATTAGTAGAGCTAGGGTGAGCAGAACTGAGCTATGTGCGAATGCTTGATGACGTTTGCCCGCCGATTAATAACATTACCCCTCACCCGGCTTTTGCTCGGAAATAAGCCTCGTGGAAAGAAGCTCTCCGTACTTAGCATAAGGCTGAACTGTGATCACCATGTCACAACATTTGGCATGAGGCTCAGTAGTTATTATTAGTTGGTGGAGAGTCCCAGAGAATGTTGTTATGCGTGTTTCTCAGGTAGCTGGACAGCATACACTTGTGTACCTAGCCTTTGCGCACCGAACGTGGATAGCGTAGGATAAATATAGTCCTAATGGGAGGAGATTTTCCTGGCGATGAGTACGACGTGGACCATACAATTTTTCCGTTCATCTTCTTAGTATTACAACGTTAGCGGCTTGATCGTTTGCTAGATGATGACTTTCGCGGGGACACATGCAGCGGGAAAACTACTGCGCCGATAAGACTTGGTCATAGCTCTTCCAAGCTGGCTGCACTTCGCCTCGAACAACACCATGCCGGCAACGACGATAGGCAGTCTCTTTCCTCTCACATATTCGCGGTCTTCAGTGCTGTACAGCGCCCGCAGCTGAGCCCCTCTCTTATCTTCGCAGGCAGGCGCTCTCATCATTGCAGCCGCAAACGGGTCGAGCAAGGTCTCTTCTGCAACACGGTCACCAGGTACGCGGATTGCTTCCACTTCGTCACCACCATCCATATCGCGTCCAACTCGCACTATTGCTTTCGCTCGACTATATCTTTTTCAGCGATCAAAACTGCATTTCCTTTACCTTTACCATCCACAGGTATTGGCCTCTTTTCTAACCATGCAAGCGACGACAGATCGACCTATGATCAATATTTCTAAAGTGAGCGAGTGGCTCACTCAGAATGCCAACGAGCAGTTGTATCCACGGCTCTTGTAAGTAATTCGCCGTGTACGAGTCATGCCCACGTCTAACGTGGTCAGTCTGATGTCCCCGAATGGCACCCTGCTAGCCTACTCAAAGCCTGTGGATATCAAAGAGCTTCGCGACCAAGCAGCTCTCATCTCTATCGCGTGGAAAGATAATTGCAACGGCCGACAGAAGTTTCCTGCACGATCGGACTCAATACAGGACTCCACGTTGAAACCTGCGTTGAAGACACTCACCATTGAGACTGAGGATTGCAACATCATAATTCGTCTTCTTCAACCGGAATTGCTTCTTGTTCTAGTGGGCAAGCTACCACCGAGGAAGAGGCAAACTTTCAGGATCACCCCCGAAGGACCTGGCGACCCAAGGCATCCCGACACTGAAACCCCTCTTCCGCGGCCCGATCCAATCGTGAAACTCGACCAAGGCGACGCGGCAGCCAAACTCTCTGGAGCTCCCCTTGGGGATGGAAGCACCACTAAGGCGAAACCGCCTTCAATCCTAAGCAACATGAGCCAGCGCGAGAAAGACATCAAGGTTGGCACTCTACACGTTCAACGGAAGAGGCTTGACGCCCTGGTGGACTATATTCTGAAGGATTTTGAAGATACGGGATTCGTAATGCCAGCAGACTCGGATCTCCAGTAGTATCGGTGCACACCACACTCTGTCAAGATGCAATCACCTCGGCATGGCTTCGCAAATGCTGCTCCAATAATCGACACACCACGTTCTATTCCAATAGAGAACTCGATAGGCATATCTCCAGCAAAGGACACTACAAGTACGGCGATTCCCTCGCTCAACTATTACAAGAGACTAGTAATACCACGCCCACGGTTCAAGGCCCCATCTGAAAATGCCAAATCCGAACCAAGTCGTTCGTTTCACAAAGGTCCGACCCAGCGGGATCAGCTTGCATCATTTCCATCCAAAGGAAATATCCAGGGTCAACCGAAAGCTATCGTGCAAGCTTCCTTTAGCGACAGCGCTGCGCCTAACTTTTTCGGGGCCCAGAAACCCCTTGTGGATACCACTCGATACAGGTATAAAGAATCGCAGGATGCTACACAGAGTCAGGAAGATTCTAGCCATCGATCCCAACCCAGACCTGGGAATCATGCGATTATGGAGTCCGCGGGAAGAGTCATCGGAGAAGAGGTGCAAGCGCCACGGACTAAGTCGATTTCGTTTGCAGGTGTACCCCAATCACTACCAATTAGAATTCCAGGGTCTAAAAAAAGGTGGTGAAGCACATTCCCTGGGTTGACCGAGCACTCCGAAAGTGCTTATAACCTTTCCACCCTATCGTAGGTGAGCAGGCACACATTACGTTAACTGAGGATATCGTGGTATCTGCAGTCCGTCAGGCTTGCTAGGTAGCCCTAGAAATAAGACAGATATTCAAATATTCTCACAGGTCCAAGATGATTCGTCCCACGCCTCTAGACACGCAACTCAACATACTCCCGCATCTTTCCTCCTCCAGTAACCCAGTACCTCTATGCTCTATCCTCCCTTCGGTCACATCAACTCTACAAGTCCCACAATTACCCACCTCGCAGGAGCTGTCAATATCCATGCCCACAGCCTTCAGTGCATCGAGTAGTGTTTGTGTAGATCCAACCTCAACCACCTTGTTGCTCTGTTTGAGCTCGGCGGAGAACGGGTCCCCTGATGTCGTAACCGTGAAAGCCTCGATGTGTATATTTGACGGGGGAATGGCGTAGGTAGAGGCTGTGGACTGGACCGCGTCCATGAGTCGCTGTGGACCGCAGGTGTAAATATGCGTTCGGCTGTCGGCGTGAGAGAGTATCGAGGGAATATCCATGCGTTGGCCCAACGCCTTGTTATAGACTGTAACATTGGGACCGAGGGCAGCCATGTGCTGTTTGAACGGTACCTCTTCCGCTACAGCATAGTGTAGGTGGAACTTTTGGTTCGAGCCTTGCAGATACTTGAGCGCGGCTAGGAAGGCAGTAATACCAATCCCACCGGCTAGAACGATGTGTTGGTCTGCATCCACCGCAATAGGGAGACTTGCTATGATACGCCCAACAGTCAGAATTTCTCCGATATTTGCTGTCTCGTGCAGGTACTTTGAGGCACCGCGACTCTTGGGGTCCAGTGCAATACCGAGTTCGAAGCGCTTGGATGTTCCGCCAACGACCGAGTATGCCCGGACTAACTTCCCACCTAGCTTCAAGCGTACATGGCTGCCTGGCTCAACGAGTGCCGGATGATGAATGTCGTCAACGGCTTCCAGGACAAAAGCTGTGACTGTGCGGGTTTCCTTTCGCTTTTCAGCGACGCGATACTCGCTCCATGTATCCATTTTCTCTTCCTCGCCACCATACATCCTACCGTCTTGATCCTCGGTCATTCCCTTCGCCAGCCGCGCGCGGAACTTTCCCTTGATATCTTCACCAAGAGCCGGTAACTCAACGATCTCCTTCATCATCTCTACATCCTTCGTATCAATGAAGAGGTAGTACATCACCCTTGCTACTGTCCACTCAGGATGTGGTCGTTCTAGGAGTTGAATCATATCCCCAGATTGCACAGTGCCAGGCTTGATGACGCGGTATAACCATCCCGTGCGCAGGAGTGTCTGGGTTCGTTTCGCCATGTCTTTGGTCTCAAAGCGGTGGTTGAGCTTGTAGCATGGTGCTCGGGGCTCGCTTACTTCGACGATGATTTCTCCGATTGCGATGCGATCCCCAATGCACACTGTCCTCTCGCTGACTTCTTCGTTGAAAAAGTTTTCGCCAAACCCACCCGGTCTGAACAGGTGCTCTGATGCGGGCAGCTCCTTCTTCCACTCCTCATAGTGGGATGTGCAGTAGTGGAGCAGTGCTTTGTCGGGACTACGGTGCGGTTCGAATGCGTGCTCATCTCTTGTGATTCCGATTTTGGTGATCTCCACGGGGCCGGATAGAGGTGCTTTGAAGATTGCGGATTCGATACGGCCATTCCCTAGCGACTTCTTGACTTTTCCAGCGCGGAGTTGGATGAGTGGAAAGGGTGCGAAGGGTGCTGGGTTCTTGAGGGTTTCAGGCCTAGGAGGTGGAGGTGGGATCCAGGATGAGATTGCCATTATTGATTTCTTCACGAGACTTTTAGTGGGATAGTAGTTGACGGCAGGATGATTCAGGTGTAGTAATCGAAGAGCTTTGCGATTCGACCCTGCAGGGCCTTACGTGATGAAGCCTAGAGATACAGAACGGCGTGAGTACATCCGAATAAAAGGCTGTAAGTACTTCAAATCCCTTCTGGGCTGCTTACCATGGAGTTTGTGATCCGGATGAGTCGCCCTAAACCTTGCTAACACTGTCCTGGAGTGCGGAGGAGACAAAAGGATGTAGGAGTAGAAGCCGGTTGCCAAATTATGGGCAGAGTAGGTTAGAGATCCTCCTGTCAAACTAAAATCCTGTCATGATAAACTGACACTGCACCTTCTTCAATAAGAATAGCTTTTGTCCTTTCGAACTTCTAGATTCAAACGTGACTATGGTTGCCTATTCCCTAGTGTCGCTTATCTTCGGGGAAAAAGGATTCTGTCGGAGATCGGCGACGAAGGTCCCTCCCCGAGATGCAATCTGAGATTGTTAACGGTCAAACTAACCCTTGCCATAGTGTTGTCAAGGATTTGGTTGTGCGCAAACTGCCAAAGGGTGAACTGGTATACCACTTTACTTGTTGAACAAAAAAAGGGTAACGTAGTTTTACACAGCTGTAAGTGGTGCGATCCCTTGTGCGATTCCAGGTAGTCTCTTGTAGAATTGTTCAAGTCGTCCCAGCTGCATTATCAAGAGGCTTGTCGCGTCTACACCTTGCTCTAGATTACCTTCTAAGGTTGTAAAGTGCGTCGGTTTCTATTTAGTGTGATCATGCAGAGCAGATTGCGATCACGTGCTCACGTTGGCACCGGCTATTAGAGTGACGTCATTTTTAGCAATGAGCTATTCGTCACTTACAACTCCAACAAAATCGCCCATTGCTGTCTCCTCAGCCCTTTTCAGTCTCCAATCATCCAATCATCTCTACAGAGCTTCTCCGAGTCTCAAATAAACAACTAGCGACCCATACGCAGCTCTCAAGCGTAACCATGTACCGTTTCCAATCCTCACGCGTACTTCGACGCGCAGCGTTCCCGCGACCCTCAGCTTTGACTACTCCCCGTTTCCTCTCCACGACACCTACCAAGTTCGCGGCAAAAGACTCGCAAGACAAAGACTCCGTCAACCCACGATCAACCGAAACCTCAAAATCCGGCTCCGACGATGCCGCCGCGAGCTCAGACGCAGCATTCAACCCAAATAAAACGAGTCCTGAGTCAGCAGAGGCAACTGCTGAAAACGAAGCAGGTGGAAAGGATAACTCGCTGAATGTGAGCCCAGGCAATCAGGATGTGAGCCAACCCAACGACCCAAAGACCACTGGACGCGAAGGAGCCCCCGATAAGAAGTCGAGCGGAGGGGGCAGCGCGCCGAAAAACGGTTGAAAGTGAGTGGTCTGGTTAAGGGGGGATGACACGGAAGCAAATGGATAACTAGGGTATGAGACGCGTATATGGAGCATCACAGCATCAATGCATGACCCGAGGCTTCTTTCCCAGCCCGATGAAAACTATATCGAAAGGAAGCTACTTGCGCAGCATCACTGAGATGATATTTTGGTGATTGTGCAGCCTATGCTACCAAAACTGCCCGCCCTTCATGCCCAAATACTTTACCATTGCAAGTTTGCACCGTGTAGAGATCGAATTGCAGAGAAAATTAATGATATTGATTCAAGCACCTTTAGTTTTCTTGGGCCCGTGTTTGTAGGCCGAGGCACCTTTCACGCTAGCCTCTGACGTCACTGCGAATGACGAACTACGGTTGCGAAATCGTGGAACATTCGTGCGTCCTATTCAAAACCTCAGTCAACACATTGAAACACCCAATCGTCCCTCATACACTTACACAAACCGCGTTCACACCCTTAAGACAAACCCTCTAGAACGCAATGGCTTCCCGCGCCCTAGTCTCCCTGCGCCTCCGCACACCTTTCCTCAACACTACACGCCGCACCCTCTTCACAACACCACGCATGCTCATCAAGGAGGACGCCGACCGGTCACCAGAGCAAGTTGAGAAAGCCAAGCAAGAACAGTTGAAGGAGCAGCAGCAGGGTCAGGGACGATGGCGCGAGGATCTAGCAAGCAGTGGCGAAAGCAACATCGCAGCAGACAAGGAAAAGGTGAACGATCACCAAGATCATATACAGAAGTTGCAGCAGGAAACTAAGAACAAGGGGGAGAAGGGGGAGATCTGAAAAGAAGTTCTCTCGGTAACGACGCTCTGCAATTGCCGAGTGGCTTCAAGACTTGATGATCAATTAGCAATGTTTTGCATTCTCATTTCATGATCAATATTAAGGAGCGGGGTTAAATTGGGTCTGGGGATGAGCTAGAGGTTCCTATAGTAGGAAGAAGTGGGTGTATACACATTTATCAAGGGTTGTAGAGCAATAAGCGAAACGAATACTACAAATAAACAATCGCCTGGATCTAGATTCCAAAACATCTTTCTTAATTTGTCCTCTACCCTGTTTTTTACTCCTCGGTTCCGATCTCCAGAAGAAGAACCTCATACTTTGTATGCTCAAGATCGCTTTTCGCCTTCCTCTCAAGCCTCAAGGCCTTATAGTACGCCTCGTCTGCTTCCAGCGCTACCTGTTTTTGACGCAATACTACCAGTCTCTCGTATTCTTTCAGATACCTTGGCAGGGGAGGGAAAGGATCTACTTGGGCTGCTTCACCTTGTTCTGAAGCGACTTCAAATGCTCGTTGTTCGTCTGGTGTGGGCTGGTCGCCTACTAGACTCTCTTGAATGTCGTTATAGTATACCGGCGCCTTCCCTTTTCTGCGTCGCTGCTTGGAGGGCGATTCGCCTACTTCGCTTGATGACCAAGGAGGATCTTGGTAGCGTGGAGCAGGCCCGGATTGCAACTTCGTTCCATTAGGTTTCTGCGTTACCCGGCGTCTCTTCTTGCTACTCGGAGGTTGCGGCGGCGGCGTAGCATAAGCATCTAGCCTCGGTGTGCCCATGTCGAATTCCCGCTCACTTACATCCCCACTAAGCACCCGCTGCCGATAATCCCATCGTTTCCATACCAGCTCAACATCTTCAACCTGCACGTCTGGATCGTTTTCAGGGCTCTCGTCTAGGCGTAGGTCACGGGCTATTTGCAATTCCCTCTTTATAATCGAGTGGCGACCATGCGTGATTTCTGCTAGCTCAGAAAGACGTGTTACGAGGAGAGCAGGCCATTCTTCAGCATCACCATGTGGCCGGATGGTCTGAGGAAGACATTCTGTGGCGTTGGAGAGTTCCCAGCGGAGGCAGATGGTGTTCAATTCTGGAGTTGAGCGACCTCGAATGAAACGACCGCCTGTCGTTCGACGGGAGGGCTCGGCCATTGCAATTTGGATAGAAGTAACAGTCACTCTTCTTGATTGTACGGCTAGGAATATTGGAAAGCGCGCTCAAGGATTCAGTCCGAGAAGTTGTGCGAACAGTCGAGGAACTGCAGGCAACGATTTCTCGAACCTCGACCTGTGTTGTACATTTTCGAAACAATGACCACGGATTGAGGCCGAGACAAAGATATGCTAACGACTTAGGTTCCTTAGGCTCCGAAGGAAACAAAGACGTTCCAAGTTAGAAAGGAAAAACTGACATCTAGAGTTGTAGACATAAAGGAAGTTAAGGAAGGGATAAAATCATCGAAGTGATTGATCAGGAACTGGACAAAGAGCATTGAGCAGTGCTGGGATCCTGCATTGGTGGCCGCTTCGTGTAACTCTTCCACATTCGTGTCGCAATCATGTCCTTAGGAACAAATGTTGTAAAGCTCATCTAGAGCTCTCTGCGAATCGTGGAAGCGGTGTTGTAACAAACGGTACCTGGATACTCGTAACTCAACGCTAAACTTACCCGCCATGAATAGAAGCCCTCGAGTTCTGCACTGCCTTGACAATTCCATTCTCTTCATGTTGACTTTCAACTCAAGCTTTTCTTCGGAGGCACTCAGTTCGCGGCAGTACAATTGCCCGCGTTCATCGCTCTAGCGCCAAAGGAGTATTTCGCAGAGCTTCCACCATGTATCCACGATCTGGCCCCTGGCGATGACAGATACGCCGGAAAATACATAGAATACCTAAACTCCGAAGAACTCCCTCATCCTAATTTTCCCGATCGGGAGCGAAAACGCGGCGGCCAAGGAGAAGCCTCAGCTCATGCGGATCCGTTAACAGGAGGGGTATGCATTCGATGTCCGCAGCCTTTGAACTCCCGGCATTGTCAGAAAGCAAGAAACGCTCATCCCTAATTGATCCGGTTGTGGAACGCGGCACTATGAGAGCTACGAAGAGGCGGTAAAATAATGCGCTCGGCTGAGCGCCCGAGGTTCCGGCAATGCACCCGGCGGTGTCCATTCTAATTGGATAAGACGGCGCAACTCGTGCGCTCTTTCATCTCAAGAAGGCATCCCAAGAAAGCTGTCTATCTCTTAAGAAATAGGTAACGCTATTACACGTAGTATCTTGCGGTAGCGGCGAATGATAAAAATGCCTTACATTCGGTACGATGTGGCGGGGTCCGGCTGTCTCGAAAGGGAAACTAGGTGCGGCTCCGCAGCGGGAGTCCACAATACTTCCAAGCAGCGTGCGATTGCATCATTTCGTAGATATGGTATCCGCGCTTCTGGGTCTTAATTGGGTTTCTAGTCCGGTGGAGGAACCGTAGCTTGGACCATAAAACCGTCTCCATGCCTTCAATGTCAGTCCTCTGCCGCCGCATAATTCCACCCTACAACCAAAAGCTTCACAAATAACCACATACCGTCAACATGCCTTCTCTTCACGCCTCAGTCGACAATGGTCTCACCAAGGGTGATCCAAACTTCTCCGGTGGCAAACTTTACTGCCACTGCTCCTCAAAGAAGGTCGAAGTAACCCTCAAGAGCAACGTTGCGCACAACCACGCCTGCGGATGCTCAAAATGCTGGAAACCTGAAGGCGCACTCTTCTCCGTCGTCGGCGTCATTCCCGTCGACCAACTATCCGTCACCGCCAATGGCGACAAGCTCCACGTCATCGACTCGTCCGCAGCCATCCAACGCAACGCCTGCAAGGAGTGCGGCGTCCATCTCTTCGGACGCATCGTGAATGATCATCCGTTCAAGGGCCTAGATTTCGTGCACACGGAGTTGAGCGACAGCAAGGGATGGCAGGAGCCTCAATTCGCGGCGTTTGTGAGCAGCATTATCGAGCAAGGTTTCCATCCCAAGGGCATCGATGAGGTCAGGGAGAAGTTCAAGGCCGTCGGACTGCAGACGTATGATGTGTTGAGCCCAGCATTGATGGATCTGATTGCGACGTATACGGGCCAGAAGGCGGGAAAGCTGCCTGCTAAGCTGTAAATATTAAAAGAGATATTGTGTGGATAAATGGAGAATAATAAGAGGTTAAACGACAGCCGATCATGTATTTATGTTCCTTGCTCGAGCACCTTGATAACCCTCTATACCTATTCTGATAGAAAAAGAGGCCACCATACTGAACGAAGTTATCTGTTTTATGAACACCATTGAGTGCTGTTCGTTCAAGTGCACGCTCCGAGTGGGCATGTTCCTGCCTACCAACGGACCGAGAACGATGCGCGCAAGACGAGTCCAAACCACCATCAAAGCGCTCAGCATTGCGAAGCTAATCCTAAGCCCACCAACGCCGTACAAACTTAATCCTCTTACTAATCCATCATCTTCTAGCCTCATGCTCAATTTCTCCTATACATGGTGACGACACCTAGATTCCCCGACTCGTCTGACGTATGTCTTGGTACGGTGAAAGAAACGGATCGACGATGCGTTGGGCGCCCAAACTGTTCGATACGTTTGAAGGCTCGTTCGAAGACTCAGCGGCTACGCCATGTGACATTCCATCGAAACTACTCAAGTCGCTAGTAGAAACGTCTAGTTTGCCTGTGGTATTCTGCTTTTGCCTGAATGGATTCTTGCTTCCATTGCTCGGCGTATTGGTCATAGACCTAAACGGATTGGTGCTTGGAAATGACTCGATCGATTCGGCACCATATATGGTTTTGGCTGGGGTGTGCGAAGGGATGTTTGCTGAGGAGGGATCGATGATGTTTAACTTAGCGATTGGGCCATTCAATTCGGGCCAGGTAGAGGTTCGCTGGAAATGCTGATCATCGTTGAGGTCTGCATGAGTCAGCTATAGAGCTTCTATCTGGGCTATGCCGATTCAAACTGTCAGCAATCATGACCTACTGGATGAAGTGGCTACAAATTCAGGTTGACAGCATTCGTCGAAGAAGCCGCCTTTCGATAGCATACCGATAACTTGATCAACGGATGGGCGATCATCGGGCTCCAGAGCGAGCATGCCTGTAATGAGCTCGGGGAGGCTATGGTTGAGTTCGAAGCCACCCAGGGATCTTTTCAGAAGTAACAAATAGGCTTCTACTTCCTTGAGATTTGCCTGGAAATACCAGCCTCTCTGCTTCCATGGCGTCCAACGCTCTTTGGGCTCAAGTACAGGTCTTGCTAGTTGATGAGCTATTTCGACGAAAATGCACCCCAAAGCAAAGATGTCTTCTGATCGACCACAGGGCTTTTGTTGTGCCCTTTCCGGGGCCTGGTACTTTAGTGTTATATTGTGACCCCCGTCCGTTGCACTTTGAGTCAACTCCGATATGTCTTTTGACCACCCAAAATCTGTCAACCAGAGCCCGTCCGGTGAAAGTAGGATTTGAGAAGGTTTCAGGTCTTTGTGGCGGATGCCTTGATGATGAAGCCACGCGACGGCATTTGCGATGCATCCTACATTCGAGCGCAGTCCTCCCAATGCTAATTCGTACAGACGCGTCCCGCCTTTCTCAAGGGCACCTTTAAGGCTCCAGGGTATGCGAAAACCTGTCATGGTTGACAGACTCTCAATAGCCAAGTCCAAATCTTCGGTCCTCGCTCTGGGAACCACTTCTGGTGCTTGTTCAATCCACTGCCCAAGGAGACTGATATCTTGGAGATGGACTGCCAGGTCACAATGAGCTACAGGCCAAATCAAAAGTCCGAGCTCATAAACACCCCGTTGTCGGTGGATATACGATCCAATTAGCTCCACAATATGCTTGTGCCTCCTTTCTGTGATCTGACCAAGGATCTTGATCTCGTTCAGCTCGTAATCAGTAAGTCGCTTGGCATAGGTCCGTTTGAGCGCGAGAGAGATGCCATCTAACTTCACCTCGTGAACTACGCCGATACCACCGCCGCCTAGTCGCCGTCCTGGAATGAAAGGCTCGGGTTCTTCTCTTGCAAGCCGCACCTGACGCGAAGCGAATCTGCGATTCCAAGCCGATAATGCATCCTCACTGGCAGTACTTCGACTAGATAAGAGTCTTTCTTCAGTAAGCTTAGGCCTTCTCATATCGGCCGGGAGCTCAGAAGTAACAGGTAGTCGTTCAATGTTTGATTGTTGTGAAGCATTTGGAGCGGGGTTCGAGGAGGCTGAGTAGCTCGGTGGTTTCTCTGAGGACTCAGCTTGGTTTTCCAAAGTAGGATCAGAAATCTGAGCAATGCTTTCTGTTGGTCTGGAGATATTTGTACTGAGGCTGAGAACAAGCTTGCCGTAGATGATCTGATCGTCTGCCTCCTTTTTCAGGTCCCGTGTTATATATTCGTCACCACCTGTGTTTAGGTCTAGAACATTTCCTATCCGGACTTTTACAGTTCCAAGAAACCCTCGATGTTTCTTTTTGAAGTGCCTCTGGTCAAATATCCGAGCCGTTAGGACACTTTCCTCGTTCACAATCACATCAAAATCTTCGTTCCAGTAAGGGTTAATTGTCTTCTTGCCTACAGTCGTAGTTCTAGTCTGCTGGTCGTCGATACTCAGTACCGTAAAGGGATTCGGAAAAAAGAATGTGTCGCGCTTATACAACCCGTCTGCTGCAATGATACTGATCCGCACATTGGGTCTGCCGGATACGCTCATGTTGTAGAACTAGGGACAAAGGGCTGGACTGATTCGCAAGCTGATAGGAGCCGACCCCAACTGACGAACAGATATAGCTGTGCCTTGCCGAACCCACCGCTCATGGTCAAATCATTCGAGTAATGGGTACTCGCTCTGTTCGTAGTTCGGCGAAAACAGCCTTAGCCTACAGAGCGCGTGTGCCCTGCGATTTCCGCTTGGGGCGATCGTGAAGATGACCTAGTGTTGAAGCGATCCGGTAATTGATAAGTCCCAGTCTCTGTTAATGCGTGATATCGGAAGCAACTAGGGCTATGTGGTGAGTCTAGAAGATTCAAAGTGCGGCTGGGAACAGTTGAAGCTGAGGTAGTGCCGCTTCTTGGCAGAGTAAGTGGCGGGGGCCCAGAACGTGGAACGCGGCATTCAGCCTCATCAAGACACCGCAAAGACGACCAAATCCTAGAATTGGCAACCACCAATATGCCATCGTTAAAAGCCAACGACGGGATCAATCTCTATTATAGGACATATGGCTCGATTGGAGCGACACCGTTAATCCTAGTTAGTACCCACTTCGCGCCACTGTCACGCGGCATCTTGACAAGAGCGTTGTTTGTATCTTTCCTCGACTTATAATGAATAAAGACGCTAATATTGCTACTTAGCTACATGGTTTCACAGGCTCGGGCGAGGTATTCAGGCGCAACGTCAACACGCTTTCCCAAGACCATTATGTTCTCGTACCGGACCTCCGTGGACATGGCAGCTCAGACAAGCCAAAAGCCGGTTATCACGTTGCGCGCTTAGCGCTGGATTTGAGAAATTTCATCGATCACTTCCAGTTTCAAGAAGGCAAGATATCAGCTATTGGTACAAGCTTAGGAGCCGCTATCCTCTGGTAATTAACTAGTGTGCGATTGTATGCTTCAACCTGAGCTGAATTGAGATAAGGTGCTACTGCGAGCTCTTCAGCGCCAGGGCATTCTCACACGTCGTCTTTGTCGACCAAGCACCTTTGCAAAATTATCTTACAGACTGGGGCCCAGAGTATGGGAACCGCGGCTGCAATTCCCCAGAAGCGCTGGGCAAGATGCAACAAACGCTCGAGACCGATCCCAGGGCGGCTCATATAGGGACAATCGCTGCTTGCCTAGGCTACAGGTCTCACCCACGACCAGACGATCCGACAGCAGGATCAAAAGAATGGGAAGATGATGAGGTATTCTTTCTTGGGGAAGCATTGAAAGGAGACGGATGGTGGTATGGCAAGCTCATGGCGGACCATACAGCAAACGACTGGCGATACTCGATCGCGCAGAACCTAGGGCCGGATAGTGGAAGCACAACGAAAGTCCTAGTCGTGGCGATTAGTCGGAGTGGATGTTTTCCTGCAGCCGGTCCGCTCAAGGTCGTTGAGCTGGTGAATGGAGGGATCAAAGATGGGCTTGCACGGGGCGTAATTGTAGACTGGGGCGGGCATTGGTGTTATTGGGAGAAACCCGAGATGTTTAATAAGCTGGTGCTTGACTTTTTGTTGTAAAGGGATCTGGGCGAATATCTCTCATTTGACAACGGGCGTCTTAGTAGGAGCCGTCTACGATATTATACATGAGCGTTGATGTTCAAAAACCTCACTGGCAAGACCAATATCACACCACACGTATTGAAACGGTTGCGACCTAAGCAGCTACATATACATTATTGATTACTAGGTTGAATAGGCTATAGGCGATGAAATAATAGAGTTAGAGTCTGACAGTCTTAGCAAAGCAAGGGGGCTTTCACATGTATTAGGATTCTATTAGGTGCGAAGGTGAATTTAAAACTCTTAAGGCGTGATCATGGTTCTTCATATTTTGATATCATCTTTACTTATTACACATAGTAATACACTCTGCAATAAATTGCTTCCTCCCTCTCATACATTCTAGACGTAGACGTGCTTCACCTCGTAGACCATGACGCACGAGTCAGAAGACGGGGTTGCCGGTGTCAATGTAGCAGAGGGGACAGCAGACGTAGGAGCTGAAGGCGTGACAGAGGTAGCAACAGAAGGCGTCGCAGACGTCGCAGCGGAAACTGTGGAAGACGTCGCAGCGGGGGTGGAAGCCGAGCTGGAGACAGCACACGAAGCCAATGGTGCGACGTTGTCAATCTTGGATACAACCCAAGAAGAAGCGTCGTCGGTGTAGAGCTCGAAGTAGTTCAGATGGTCGGCAATGACGTTACCGCCAGCACAGATTGGGTCGCCAGCGGCGCAATAGGCGCGGAGGACTGAGGAGTAGCGGTTCATACGCGCAAGGTCGTCTGCGCTGCGCCCGTTGCCCTTTTGCTTGTCCGCGCCGTCAAGCACGTTGTAAGGCTGGTTGGCGGTATGCATGACATCGCCCCAAACAAGAGCGGCCGCAACTGGGTGAAATCAGCCTGGAGAATACTAGTTGTATAAACTGGGGATGCTTACTCGCTTTGCCAGCAGAAGAGGTATTATCAAGACCCGTGGAAACAAAAGTGCATCCACCAGGTCCACCCAAGACATCACCAACAACGTGGGCACCCTCGGAGTAGCCATTGACCACAATATGAGTGCAAGGGCACTTTGCATTGAAGGCAGTAATCTGGGAAATGCCGTTGCGGGCGCCTTCGGCGACTTGGTTGCAGTAATCTGCGCCTAGGGTGACGTCGTACTGGATGTCGATGTGGTCGCAGGTCTTGCCCTGGGCTCTGAGTTTGTCGCAGGTCGCCTGGACGAACGGAAAGGTGCGGCTGTCATGGTAAGGCGCGTTGTTGCCACGAGCCATGAAGATGACTACATCAGCACAGGTTGCGTCGAGCTTGGGGGCTACCGTCTGAGCGGCGGCGAGGGCAGAGAAGGCGCCCAAGGCGAGAGTGTTGCGGATGCTGAAAGACATGATTATAGATTATAAGATTATTACTGTCCACAATGACAAACGAGTGTGGGAAAAGACCGTATATGGTTGGAATGTTGGACAGGAGTGGGTGTAAGGGTCCGTAAGTTCGTGGAGAAAAGCTCGTGGCAGTAGAGGGACCAGCTTTGATAACTACCCCATATACGAGCCAGGAGATTTAGAGCCGGCCCAGTGCTCCGCTTTTGGAAGTACCATCTTGACTATCAAAATCTTCCAGATCCACAGTCCGTATTTCTAGCTCATATCTAAAAGGATCCGATTTGTGCGCGAAGCTAATGGGGGAGTAGTTCTTGCCTAATTTAGCGCCCCTGAGAAATAGTGGCACCGTTCTGCTGCAGCAATTCTAAAGTACGAGTTCAGGAATGGTCCTTAGTTCACGCCCGCCTAATGCTGCTACTTCTCTGTCCAGCAAATAGCAAAGATTCCAAGCGGTGCACCAACACACGCCCTTGATTGTTGTTAATGTTTCCCGATGTGAGGCCGGTGGTGTAGCTAGCGACACCCATTTATCTATACATAACTCAGAACCAACGCTACCTCTGCAATCTTGCGAACTCCTGTGGACTGATAAGAGGCTAGCAGGGTTCCGGCTGCGTCGGAAACTTCCATAACTATGCTCTTATTGGATTAAGAGGCCTTTTGCACGCGCAAAATATGGGGTCCCCTTCGACTTTTTTTACAAATCGCGCAGCCAAGCTTTGTTTGGGAACTGACCCATTTCTTTCTAGGCGGGATGTAGATTCGGTTGGATGTGGCCGAGAGCGCCCGGGTCGCGAGCGGCACTCTGCGACATCACCCGATCGATTGTCTCGTGGAGCTGATAAGCGTCACCTCATTTATGAGCTCGTACAACGGTGCATAGGAAGTATGTCTCCTGCAACCGAACGCGTGCCCGATTTCTAGCTGTAAGCAATGTTAACAGCAGCATGTACATACCATCATTAATCTTGACTTACGCGACTTCGATGGTTTCGACCCGGAACTTTAGGCAGTACTGTCTGAGAGAATTAAGGAAATGTCGACGGTAGGCCAGCTCACCTTGCTTCGTTCGCGCTTCATGTGACCTCATCGTGTGAGCATGCCGTTCAAAGACCCAGGTCCTCGTCCACAGTGTAGCAACAGCCACTAGTTGACATGTTCTCGTCCTTCTAGCATCGTATCAAGCGACTCAGCGTCCCGGTCAGGCTCTTTTCTGTTCCTTCAGAATCATGATGAAGGAATGGGTATTTTGCGTTCAAAGTGGCGTTGACCAGCTCGAGTGCGAGGCGGCACGTACAGGGCAGACCGGTGTATTCCCCTTCGAACATGAAGTCGAGGACACGGGAGATGACCTCGGGTGGCAGGATATCGAAAAAGGCTCTCTACGGTTGTCGGCATGCTTTGCAGAAATATAAAGACGTAGCAGGTACAAGAGTGATGGGTATGAATTGAAAGGTATTACTAATCAGCGGAGTAGGAACGCTCGAGATGAACCGGTATTGTTATGACATCACTGTCACACACGAACTAGCGCCCGGCATCATGCAAGAGGTCGCAAATTCTGAAGAACGGCTTCTATCTGGCCCACCACGTATATATTATCTATCATTGAGGATGTCTAATACATACGACCATAGGATCTTGAATTCAGCGCTTCCCGTTCGCTCAGCGGTACTTAAGCAGGATACCGGCGGATTAGTAGTTAGGTGGGTGACCACTAGCGAATCCCCGCTGTTGTATGTTTTTGGCTCTTTTTGGATCTTAGGATTTGGTGAATCGACAGCAGCAAAAGACTGAAATGGCACTGAGTTCCTCTTTTTACATCCAAAAAGCGAGAGGGAGGGTACCTGCTACAGGAAGAGGTTAGAGCGTCTATAGATGTTCTGATTTTGCCAGTGAGACGTGTAGTTCTCATACACAATAGAATCCTTTAGCATGTTAGTTTCAGCAAGTCGCATGTACTCTAAGTAGCCGTCTTAAGATGAGAAGATCCCGCAACAATGGCATGGTCTTGATGTTCGAGGCGTTCGACTCAACTATAAGTTTTCGAAAACTGTCGTTTCAAAAACCGATTTACAACCGTGCTACGCAAATATGCCGAGAAAATTGCGGCCGATAAAGGCTTGGTCTGTCGGGTTGTACGCCAATATGGAAGTTCTGGATCACGTTCAACCATTGGTATCAGAACTTGGAGTGAAGATTGTGCTTGAGCACTTTGCTTCCCCAGTAGTGTTGTTACTAGGATCAGCCAGGCAGCCGGGGTGGGATGCTCTGCATAGCATGATGAAAGATCCTCGCGTTTACGTCAAGTTCTCAGCACCGTATCTATTCTCCAGTGATTCGGGCGCTAAAGAATTCGAGTCGCTGGCAACGTCGCTTTTGATCATGCGGAATGGCGAAGGGCTTGTGATCAGTTCAGACTGGCCGCGTACGCAATCCCGAGGATATTATGTGACCCCTTTTATGGAGAAGGCTGTAAAATGGTGCAACGGGGACGGAGAGCTACAGAATAAGCTTTTCCGAGACAATCCTCGGGAACTATGGGATGTCTGACGATGGGTCGTAAATACGTAGATATCAAGTCGTCAATGATCAAGCTAAACTTACAGAGTTTGGTTACTCTTAGCTAGGCTTGGGCATTATCGGCTATGAAAGCAAAATCAATTTACCAAATTAGATAGGTGGATGTTCTACTTCGCGGCGAGCGCCTTTTCCAAATCGATGATCGTAATTAAGATATCCGACGACCTCGCATCATTTTCCGACCCTCCGGCAATGCGTAGCTTACTCTTATCATTAGGCACTATCATGGTCAGCTTTTATCACTCCGTAAAACTAGAACTCGTTGCTCACCTGAGCGTACCTCCCTGGCATAAGCCCTTCCAGCCGTTGTCTGGATCTCCTTCCATAACCCTTCACCTAAAGCTTGATTGATGTAGATCGAGTTTGAAGTCGAATCGGAAAGCACAATAGTGCCATTTGCACCCCCTACCGGCGACCAAGTGGCATACGGAGCGCCTTGGAGCCTCGTACCTGTGGTGGTGGTGATCTGGCGCTTGTGCTCTGTACCTACGTTCTCAGGGGTATTGGTGAGCTTGAAGTAAACCGGGTGGTTATCGGAAGAGCTGTTGCCGTTCTCGGTAGATTCAAAGACGATCATGTATTGATTGTTCGGTAGCTAGGTGTATTAGTATTAACTGCAATGAGAATCATAGCAGAATCGAACCTACTTTAGCAATACTAGTCATGCCGTTACGATCTACTAGAGCATCTGATGCTACGACATCGATCGTTGTGCCCCAGTTCTCCCACATGTCAGCTGTAGACTGATGGACAATTTTCTGCGCGTGCTGGCCGTCTCGCTGGTCGGAGTAATAGACTGTAAGGCGATTGTCGCTAGAACCCAATCAGCATTTCCTCCAGCTCTCTCAGTAAGAATGTATTGTGTGGAGGCGACGTACTGTAATACCATAAACGGCTCTCCAACTGCAGTCGAACCCGTGGTCGCGATAGCCGGCCCGCCCTCGGCAATAAGATGCACAAACTCAAAGATCGTGCCGTTGTCCCAAGACGCATACAACTCAATGTTCGTACTCTTCTCATCGACGGCGTTCACAGTCAGTAAGGCCAAGTTCGTCTCCCCACTCCATATCCCGTCCACATGAAGAAGGTGTGGCTCTAGCAACTTCCTGCCTGCTACCGTTGACTTTGCTGTGCCATGAGCATACCAAGAAAATCCATTGTTAGTTGATCGGTAGATAGAAAGCGTGTCACTGGTCGACTCAGGGTCATTCCAAACAGCTAGAATAGTGTTATTGGGCAGGTTCTCAGTGCGCGGAGACGTTAGGTGGTGCGTTGAGTCATCGGGCTGGTAGACAGTAGCGTTTGCGAAAGTGTCGACACCAGTTGGCAAGGGCGGCTCTGGTTCATCCGTCTGTCCAGGATCAGGCTCTGAGGTAGGGGTTGGTCTTGAAGGTCCACGTGTAGGCGTAGGTCGTTGTGTAGGCCAGTTTGGTGGGTCGTCATCTGGGTCTTCAGGCCAGCCCGGATCGTCGTCCCACTGAGCTTTGACGAAGCCCAGGAAGAGAAAGAGAGGTAAAACGAAGACCAAAAATTGCATCTTGGGAACACCAAATGCCAAGGTCGACGGGCTGATACGCACCGTCTGTGTTATACGATCCGGACCAAGCTACTTGTACGTCTCGGCGAATGAGTATTTTCATAGTCAAGAAACAATATTCCCCACTTTAGATGATGTGGATGAAATCCCAGATTGTATTTTGCGGTCCCTTCAACATAGAGAATTGGAGACAGGTGGAATTTTGGTGATACATGACGATGGCTAAATAGGGGAGGAGTTAATCCCCGTAAGCCACTATAGTTGATCGATATGTGCAACCGCTTTCGGTAGCGCTTCCGCTGAGCTTCAGGTAGAGAGGGCGTTCTACTGTTCTCTGAAGCATGGGTTTGTCGGCAGTTGAAACATGCCTGTCGAGAGCTTTAGCACCTATAGTATCGCCTGAAGTTCAAAAATTGCATCTTAGATATCGGCCAATTGTCTTTTTGCCGGAGTTTTTCGGTTCATATAATTTATAGCTGTAGTTTCTTTTTTCAAGAACAGCGCTATAGGCGTAGAAGATGCCGCGTGGCAGAGAAAGTGACGACGACGCAGACGCACTTAGCCAATACTCAGTCCTAAGCCGAGACCTTCCAATCGATCCATTAGCCCTCCTAGTATCTGTTGCGCGCGACCTCCATCAACTGGATTATTCGCTGTAGGAGGCCTCGTTGTCTCGCCAACGCAGCTCCAACTCGATGCCCTCTTTGCATCACTGATACCCATGTACTTTGACTTTGCGGGCCAAGCGCACAGGTCCCTTGTCACTGGTTCCCCGTAGTAAGCGGTGGTCTCGGCTTCCAAAGTCTCGGGCGGTGCCTCGTTTTCAACCCAATCCACTAGCGCTGCGAGCGGATCCTTCGGTACAGGTCCGATGCTGTTGGCGCCTCCGCAATGCTCAACGCCAGGTGCAAGGAAAAGCCGATAGTAGTTGTCGACCTCATGCGTACCGCCCATGATACCTTCCACCTTCTTCCGATACGCGACAGTATTTTGGTATGGTATCATTTGATCGTAGATTCCATGCCACGTAATCATCTTGGTGCCTGAGGCCCGCAATGCAGATAGGTCAGGGTTATCTGTGTTCAATAGACCGCCGAACTCAAAGCTGGCTCGACCGAACAGATCGAAGTATGTACGCAAATCCAGGTTGGTCAAGTTGAACGTGGGATCTTGAAGTAAGATATGCTTCAGCCAGCTCGCTGAGATAGGGAACGGATTTTGGGAGCGCACGCCATCTTTGGACACCGTAATATTCGCCAGCGTGTCCATGGGGACTCCATATGTTAAACCATAGAAAAGAGGTGCATACTGACTTATGCCAGGCCCGCGATGAATTTCGTCCACAAGCTGAGCCATTTCTGTGGTGAATTCGGTTTGGCTTCCGTCGCAATCAAATATGTCATCGCCTTGCGCCAAATGATATGGATTGAAATTGCACTCTTCTGGGTCCTCGATAATGCCATCACGAACTCCATCCAACATATCGCAATGCTCGATGGCCTTGGCTCGATAATAGTCCAGCTCGCACTTCGACATATACGTATTCGTCATCTTCATCCTCAGCTGAGGCCAGAATTCTCCAGTCACTAGATGCGTAAAGCTGATTGCCGGCGCATTTGCAAGAATACCGTCCACCAAATGCGGATGTCTCTGCGCGATTGCATATCCTTGGCGGCCACCGGTTGAGCATCCATTCCAATACGTGTGATGTGGCTGCTTTCCATAGTACTGTTGTGTAATGCTTTTGCCGACGAGGATCTGCTCGACGCTACTTCGTGAGGCAAAGTTGTGTAGCAGGTTCCAGTTGATACTTTTATCTTCATTCAGTGCCCACGAAGCGTCCGTCCGCTTAGCTGGATCTGCATCATGACCACCGTCTGTAGATACTGCAGCCCAGCCATTCTGAACTGCAACGCCGAGCTGCGTATCGAACACTCCGGTCGCGAAGGCCGCTCCACCGGTTGCTTGGAGCCGACCATTCCAGGCATCGAGCGCCAGGGGTAGCCATACTTCCACCAGAACTTTGTCTTTATTGCTTTTGTTGCCGAGTAGAATGTCGTCCGTTGTATGATGGGTAAGGTATATTGTGACTTGGCAGAAGCTAAACTCGGTTGTAGTAGGCAGTCGCGAAGTCTCTGAGAACCTGGGGTAGTTGTATCGTGGCTTTGCCTCTATCGAGAGGACCCTCACTCCATGACTGATGTCCGGTATTTTGAACTGATCAGGCGCGCACCTTGGTGGGGAGGTATCGCTCAACTCGTCCTTTGCAAACGTTGTACAAAAATGTGGGAGCAAGGTGAATAGATGACTGTACTTCATTGTGTGTCAAATGCTAGGAAATGCACAATAGATTAAGGGGAGAGGTGTCGTGACTGATGTAATCTAATAGTGACAGGTTACCACACGAAGATCCGAGCTCGGTTCGGCGTAAAATATTATCATCTACCAGAAACTGGCAGACAAATACAAGCTTGTTGAACGTGATAAGGTTATATCGTGCATCGAAGGGTCAATGAGGAGGTATTCGATTATCAGTCAGATGGAAGAAAAGGTCAAGTATCATCCACGCATCCACCCGTGGACGGTACAGCCGAGGCTGGCTCCACACTCTAGTCTCCAACAGTGCTGGCGCCCTTGGCGCTTTTGTTCCCTGGCTTCATCTTTTCTTCCTCCATCCGCAAAATACTAGGAAGTTCCCTCCATGCTTCGTCGCGTCTCTTGCAGGCAGTATCTCGGATCTAGCCAATCCAACTCTAATCGCTATTTCGACATCTTGCCTTTCCTGCACCTATGGCACCACCCACCGGCGTGCGCATTAATAGCTCACGACCAGGCTGCAGGTGCCTGTTATCCTTTGCTAACCGTGTGCGGGGAAGACTGACCCAATAGCAAGGCGATCACGAATCGAAGAGGCTCATCTATTTGAAACAGCATGTATTGCGACGCTGACTAGTCTCAAAAACCTCTCTTTCTTTCGGTGTCCGAAGATCCCACTGGGATCCTGACGAAACAGCGTAAACAGCATCCGTCTATCTCTTTTCCAGTTGGCATACCTTTGAGCAATTTCCGAAGTTCAATTGGCACCAGTGCGCTTCACATGGGCCTATAAAGAATATCTGATTGACCCACGGTCAACAATTGCTCTGGATTGTCATGTGTGAGTAAGCGTGGTGTAGCCTATGTAGGGACTACGATGGCTCTCGAGATATTTTCGGACCGCGTTTCATCGTTCGGCTTCGGTAATTGGGTAATATGGGCACGATGCGATGTTTGGCTGTGAAGGAGCGGCTAATATACAACAGGATTTCGGGCGATGCTGTACAACACCACCAACAACGAACGATAACTTCTCGAATGAGTCGCTACGCGGTGTTCAAGCCCCCCCTCTTCGACAGCTATACGGCTCTAACCGATCATAATTGTCACATATTGAGAGAGCAATATTAGATCGACATCATATTCCTTGCTCTCTCCACAAATAGCCATGCAGTTCCGCAACGGGCGGCCGGGAGGACGGGATGGCGCCCCAATGTGCAAACCAGCTGCATGTCAGCCGCGCCACCTACAACCACCCTATAATGAGAGCAAGCGCTTAAAGCCACCAAGATTAGGTGCATGACGCAAGCACTCCCATTCGCCTATGCGCTTACCATCACACAACCGCGAGTTATTCTAGAACGAAGGCGCATGGTTCGCAGATTATTCGTTGTGTGCCTCGTGCTACTCCTATCTAGCTCCGTGGATGTACTGACGATCGCCGAGGTGAGCATCGCGGTGAGCCTCGACGGGAATATGTCGTTACGATATTCTGGGCATGGCACGCCTTACGTTTGTTTTTGGTAAGAATCATGGGTTTGGCGAAACATGTATTTGGTGTACAACTACCGCCCCATATCATCGACACTCCGGTCCTCGATCTCCAACCTTGAAACATCCTTTCCTTACACTCGACTCCGGGGCCGAGATCCTTCGCCATGCTTACGGTGTTCCGGTGTGCCACAGTCTAGCATTTCTTTTGTGTTTGTGTTCTTCTTTTCGTTGTTTCGTGTTGGGTCGGTTTATTGAGCGTTCAGTATCATTCTCTTCTGCAAGTCATGAAGATCTCTGCGACATCCGTACAAGAGGTGGATAGAACGAACGCGATCAAGATAGCATCATGGTCACTTATGGGGATCACCGTCGCTGTCTTCATTGCGCGGCAGCTCATGAAGGCGATTGTTTTCCGAAGAGTTGCTCTCGATGACCTATTCATTTTGTTCGCTACAGTAAGTAGTCTAACAAAGCTCTGTATCTTTTTACTAACAAGTCGAGGTGTTTGCGATCGGTCTGTCAGTCACGACCATCGTTCTCGCATCTGAAGGCCTCGGTGTATTTGGCTTTATAACACTCGACCGCGCTGATATTCTGATGAAAGGATACTATGCTTCAGAATTTCTATACATCTCCGCTATATGCTTCGCAAAGCTATCCCTTCTCGTTCTATTCTACAATATCGTAGTGGTGCAGCGCTTGCATCGACGATTTGTGCTGGGCTTCGGCATATTCATCTTCGTATGGACCATTAGCTCGCTGCTAGCAGTCGGGCTCCAATGTGAACTTCCTCGACCGTGGGAGATGATGACTTTGCGATGCTTCAACTCGGTAGGTCATCTGCACTGTCTAATATCAAGAATAGCCTGGACGCTAACCGCTCTAGCGCATCTTCTGGATCGTGTATGGCATAATCGACGTGTCTACCGAGATATCTATCATCATGCTATCCGTTAACCTTGTTGCTTACCTTAAAGTGCGATTATCTCGCAAGGTTGCAGTCGTTACATGCTTCGCACCCCGAGTACTCGTCATTAGTACTGCACTCATTCGCTTAGTCTGGCTGTACCCGATCACACCACACAGTAATCCTCAATATAGGCTTTGGCTACCCGCAATCATTACGCAGATGCAAGTCTGCTTGAGTGTTTGCACAGCCGGCATTCCCTACATGGTACCATTCTTCAAAAGCTTGGAAGGTAGCCTGCGGAGAACGTATTCGACGAGGAGTCGAGACCTCCGAATCGAGGACAGGTACATACGTACGAGATCATCGCTCTGGTCACGCAGACATAAAAAAGGAGATGTTTTCAACTCCTGGGACTCAACGGCAGTCGCGAGTCTACAATATGAGCGAGTAGCACAAGTCTCGCCCCACATCCCCACTCCAACGCCGATGAGCCCGTTAACACCACCACGGCTCTATACCCCGCCAAGTAGATCACCAAGCGAGCTCGGCCTGAGTATCAGCATTCCAGATTGCTATGCTCAGCGACAGAGAACTAACGAAATCGGAAGTCCCCAGACGGCCAGTTCATTTGCATTATCCCCTACGTGTGTATCGCCACAACCATTACTATCGCCGGCATTCATTCCAACAAGAAAAGCCCCCATGCCACCGCCAAAGACCCAAAGCCCCAATCCGTCCACAGCCAGCTCCAATTATTCAAGTGATGAACCAACCCCATCAAGCACACCACGAACACAACAGTTCTCTCTATTCCCGTCTCAGCAATCAAACTCTCGCTCACCACAGTCACAACACGGTGTGTTCGCCTCTCCGACGATCCCACCCATTCGAGCACTACGATCGCAGACTAGATCTAGCACTGTACAGCATCCGATCTATCTAAGGCCATATAATTCTGTAAACAGAACATTATATCAGTCGCGTAATGCGCAAGCACCCAAGTTCAGCACAGCAGCGCCGTTACAACAATCTCCATCGCCAGCAACAACAACTCGTAACAGACTACAAAATCGACCGGACTCCGCCCAGGACCTAACCTCTCCGATGGGTGCTGCCATCAACAATTACTTTAAGAGTGATGTTCCGAACCATCCGCTGCCTCCACCAGTGACACCTCCTTCGAGCTTGCAGCAACAGCGCAATCAACATATTCTTTCGCCTTCAAACTCGTCTCGCATGCCAAAGTCGCCGCCTAATAATACGACGCCACACGACGTTCTTCACGATGAATTGTTCCTTCCACGCGACTCGATATCCATGACGAGGACTTCGAGAACTCAGACGATGCCTTCAGTACGAGATGTGCGGCACAGTCCTCGCATCATTGTTCGAAGTCCGGAGTTGTAAATTTGTCTTGTACTTCTATATTTGTTGTCTTTTACGGGAGTTTTCATTGGCTGTGGGTCTATGGGACTCAGCATTGGGTTGGCGTTCTTTATTTGAATCAATGTAGCACTACCTTACCATTAGGGGATAAAGACATCGGAAGGAGTAAATTCGTAATTTCTATACATGTTTATCAGTTTCCACCTGTTCGTTATTGCACTCCTGACTAGCTTCTGCTCTATGTGGGGAAGGTTATCTTCGACTGCTTCAAGAAAATTGCCTCATTTGCATTGTTCTCTCCCTTTCCCTATCGCAATCTCTTCAACTGCTAGCGGCACTATCCATTCAAATGATCACCCGCTCCCCAAGCTGGCTCTGTAAGCTAACGCATATACTCCTCATTTGAGCCATATACTCAACGCTCATCCTCGTTCCCTGACGCTAACCTCGATATCTGGTGCAACCTACGACTTCTGCTGAAATATGTTACGATCTTCGTGTGTACCTGTCAGAGGATAGTGAGAGCTGGATGGAGAACAAGCTATTTCTCATACTGATTACTGCAGAACGAGCAACTAGATGAGAGTGAATCGACCCACGCGAAGAAAGTACATCCCTAAAGGTAGTCGAGTGTCTGGAAGCCGTCTAACTGAACACCGGGGGCGTCTGGGCAGTCATATACCGTCGCCAGATGGTCATTTCCGTAGGCATGCGCCCAGAGTTTTGATGTCGAGAGTGGTGGTGGGACGGGGACTTGCGGAGCCCGGCTTGGCACGTTGAGCTCCAGGAAGGCGTACGTCACGCCGGACTTTCCGACACAACACCAAGACTATGGCACGCACGCTTCAATGCACCGAAGTTCACAAGATGCAGAACATTTGCTATGGTCAACCCGACTGATAACCGGCTGCTGTAGATGAGCATACGCGACAGCGTGTCGATATAGTTCTTTCTTCTGTCATGGCCGCACGTTTACCTTCATACCCTCCTCCCCACCCCAACATCACCATAGAATCACAGCCCCAAACACCCCCAATAGAACTACCTCCCGCTTACGCCGTCGTGGACGAAAAGGCCACCAACTATACGATCTACGGCACCTTTATCCACACACCCTCGGGCCCCGCGTACCAACTCTCCTCCCTCCTCGACGCATGTATATCGCGCCTGTGTATACGCCGCTTACGTGCCGAAGAAGTCACACGATTACAAAATGGCGCTCCAAATGTCGCCTTCGACAATTCGAGCGTACTGTACGAAGCGCACGACCCTCCCGACCTCCTGAATGAATACTACATCTCTGGCAAGCAGAGCAGCTGTCTACCGGGCGTCCTGCAAATGCGATTTGGGCTAAGGAGATGGCATGTACAGCACCTTCCGGACAAATGGGCCAAGGCAAATAACTTGATGACGTGTGGCAAGCGTGGCACGTTTAGTCGGGTGCTAAAGGAGCGGAGAAATGAGATGGAGCCATCCGAGTGGAAAGATAGCGAGGGCCACGTGCTTGCTACTGAAGTGCTGAAGATTGTCGATGGCGGGAAGATGCCTACAATTGAGCTGAGAGAGGGCTTAGATCAGACGTGTCGGGAGTTGTTACTCGCTTTGTGGGTTACTCGGCTGTGGGCTGCACTTGGGGCGTCTCCGAGGCTTATGTACTTGGGGTGATGATGAAGCCATCGAGACATATGTCCATACGGCCAAATATACTGAACGCATCTCATGTAACCCGCAGCTGCGAGAGACGTGGTAGACAGAGCTTCAGTGCGTAAGAAGCGTGCCATAATGCGCCCGAGGAACTTGTTCAACTAGGTTCAGACACCAAGGCGCTTAACAGCTCGAGATCACTCTCTTGTCAGCACCAAAACTTTCACAAAAGTCGGACGATCTCAAAGGTCCAGCCAATCGAAGAACGTAATGGATTGATCAAGACTATCTTCCTTCGCAGCTAGCTTCCCTCCTCTCCCGTCTCGCCACACTACTCCTTTCGCACAACCCTCTTAAAACCCTGCAATTCAACCTGCGCCTGCGCCGCAGCAATCACAGCCGCCGCATTCGGATCATCGAATCCACAGCCAGTCTTCCCATTCTGCAGGCTCGCCGCTTCAGCGCTGCACACACCATCTCCGGTAGCAGCAACTTGGCTGCAGCAAGCAGAGGAGCAGTCAGCGTCGGACACACATCCGCCCGTGATAAACTGAGCGCCGTTGCCTTCACCGACGTTCTTGGCCCCTGCGTCGTTGGGCTTAACTTGAGCGGCGGCCATAGCGGCGACTGGATCAATGTTAGTGAGAATAGAGTCAGGTGGTCGTGAGGATTAGTTGAAGAGATGGGGGTAGATATTGAGTAGTTAGAGGATTGCACGTACATGCAACGAAGGCGGCGAGTGTAAAACGCATGTTGATATTTTGGTATTGAAAATTGGAGACTTGAAGGTGTTGAATTAAGAATGTAAGGTAATGAACGTCACAGACGCAAAAAGAATGTAAAGTGGGTTGAAGATTGCTAGAATGGGCTGATGTCCTTTCCTTTGCGATGCGGATACGGCCGTCTTTTATGCCTGGGGAACCAAAGACTGGGCAGAGCGGAGGCATACTTCCAGCAACGCCTGCATGCACTCCTTCATCTACCCTCGTTCTTGGAACGGTGTGATCGCCCGGTTGGCAGTAAGGCGAGGCAATTCGGATCGCCGCGTGGAGTGACGCGATGTGCCAGTGCCTATACTGCGCTGCAATAGTTGAGTTATCAAAGTCACAGGGATTGTCCTTGGAAGTCAGGCACACTGCCATTTACGACGAGAACGTCCATGGAAGCTTAAGGCAGCCAATCAGAATCGGCGAAGTCGTGGCGCATGAGGCGGATGTCGTTGCGATACGTTGTCGTTTCAGATATCTCGAACCGTTACAGTCCCAGAGCTGCCACGTGACCTTATGCGGCTCAACTATCCATCCGACAGACAGCTTGGCGACAGCTTGAGATGTGTAAAAGTAGTGTGTCGAATTGTCGAACGCATTTAGCCATGATGAGAGCACGTGTACCCGGATTCGGTACTGATATTCAAGCCGCAACGGTATCGAAGAACTTCATGACGATCTCGCTGGCCTTGATGACGCTTGGTCCTTGCGGTACAGTGAGTTGAGAGATGTTTAGCTCTGTATCTGCCCAGCAATGACCTGTTATGGCTGTCAGCATCTCCTCGTCCCATTATATATTTTTTACTTACCAAGGTCGTCCACTTTGTAGTGCTGCAATAACCCAGTCACGCCACCACATGTCCAAGAGTAATGATGGACTTTCCCATCGTCGAGCATTTCCTCCGTCTTGCTGCTACAGGCGTTGCGCTGCGCCCACCACTCAAGCCTTTTATACACGTTAGATCCCACGGCTCTTAAGCCGCAATGCAACTCACCAGTCTGAAATCGCCGGTTCCGGTCCACCATCACCCTGACCACCCTCGTACTTCACGGTCTTGTCGGCAGCACCATGAATTTCAAGCATCGGAACCACTTTCGAGGGCGCGCACCCGTTAGCAGGCCCATTGACATCCGTATAAAAGGCTCCAGACGCCGCAGCGACAGCTCGGAAAAGCGTGCTACCGACAGCATCGCAGGCAAGCGTGCCGATGAAGCCTCCGCCATTTGACATGCTGTTCAAGTCAGCTCCAGTACGCAGAAACGTAGGTCAAAAGCGTACCCAACACCATACACCCTCTGCTCATCCACGCAAAACTTTTGCTTCGCATCGGCGATCACGTCCGCAACGAACTGCACGTCTTCTTGCACACTCGAGTCTTTATGATACGTCGGACCCGCCCAACTCCCTCCAACTCCGTTCGGATACACCATAATCTTGTCGCCGCTGTACCGTGCCTCGCTCATCTTCGTGTCCAACTCAAAGAACGCGCCGATGCTGCTGCTTCCGTGAAAACCAAGTACGACAGGGTAAACTTTGTTTGGGTCGTATGAAGAAGGCACGTGGTAGGAATAGCTACGGTCTTTGCCGCTCGATTTGAGGCCAAAGCGATATTGTGTTACGCCCGGTAGGAAAGACTTCTTGCCACATCCCGATGATGCGCGCGTGTTCAGAAAGGGAGATTGAGGGAGTGCGAGAGCGAGTTGTAGCAAGCATGCAATGAGCACGATCGTTGCCTGAATAGCCATGGATGGTGTCGTTAAAGTCGTAAGAAACCAGAATTAAGGAGAGGAACTCAGAACAGAAGAAGACGAAGAGAAAATGTCCATACTGAAGGCTGAAATTGCCACTTCAGGAGTGCCATGCAACTTTCGTGCATGTGAACTAGGAAGGTCACACTCCGTGGCGGCCATTGGTGGTCGCGATGTTTCATTCAATTTCCCGGTCAACTGCAGCCTTGTTTGCACCCCGGTTAATATCAACGAGGTGTCACACTGAACGTTCGCATGCTCGCATACACGTTCGAGTGCAGTGACATGCTAGGGTGGTATTCCATGCTGTCGCGGTGATGACCACGGAGTTTGTGGAGAAATGCAGGTGCTGATGCTTGAACAGCAGTTGGGTGGGGCGCGCTGATTTAGTGGCTGTAGGGAACCGGCTGTATGCTTCCGGTGGCCAAAACAACGCCCCATTGAACAGCAACATAACATATGTCTTTACCCTTTTAACCCTGTCCAACGTCAACAACTTGATGTCCTGGACTAGGCGGTACATCGCCTGTCTCCCAAAGCTTCTGCTCACTCCCCAATCTGAACAGGATCTCCCCGCCCTCAGTCATGATCCCACCCGCGTCCTCATGCTCAAACCAGTTCTTATCCCACTCTTTCCCATTAATACTCACGCCCTGTACATAGTACCCCTGCTTCCCATCCCCATCGTCTAGGCCATGTGCGCGAATGCGCAATGTGTGGTTGTGGTTCACAGTCATGTTGATGTCGCTGAACCACGGAGACTCGAGGAGGTACACGGGCGTAGTGACAATAGGGTAGAGCCCGAGCATCTGCCAGATTAACCAGCAGTTTAGTGCACCAGCGTCAGAGTTGCCTGGGATTCCGGTGCTGGTGTTGAAGTAGAAGTCATTAGACAGCTGACGCGAGCGCTCAACACTCTTCCATTGCTTGTTGAGGTAGTTGTACAAGTAAGGTGTTTGGAAGTCGGGTTCGTTGGCTACATTGTTGATGGTGGTTATGCCGAGGCCATTGACGCCGAGGTCGACGCCTGAGGTGTTGGGTTGGAAGACATAGTCGAGGCGGGTTTCGAAGTGCGAGGGGCCGCCCATGAGCTCAATCATGCGTTCAACATCGTGGGGGATAACGAATGAGTACTCTGTGCTCAGTCAGTCATTGCGTCTATGTAGAAGTCATAGAGAGTAAGACGCTTACCGAACGCAGTGCCTTCATAGCTCTCGTCAGACCAATTGCAGTCGCCACAATTCGTGATATTGTAGGTCTTGTGGAACGTCCCATTTGCATAGCGAGGCATAACGAAGCCCGTGAAATTGCGGCTCTCTGCTTCCGGGTCCCAGCTCAACTGCCAACCTGCGGAGCGGCGTAGGTATAAATCGCGGTCACCTGGAGCCACTCCGGCTGCAATCTGGCTAACGGCGAAGTCATTTAGGGAGTACTCGACTGTTTTCGAAACTGCGCGCGAGTTACGATCTGCGGATACATAGCCAAGTGGTATCCAGTCATCGAGCGCAGAGCGACCTTCCTTCAGTGAGCCTTGTGGATCAACCGGGTTTTGATCAAAGTAAGGTAGCACTTCAGCATTCTTCTTGACAGCCGCATATCCGTCAGTCCAGTTAACTCTTCCAGCCAAGCCCTTCACATACGCATCAGCAAGCACGTTATCCGCATTCGAGCCTCCTTGAACCAGACCATTGTAGTTTCCAGATCGTCCATCTGGTAGATAACCCTCGTGTTTGAACAAATCTATCAACGATCGGATCATCTTCTCGTAGTACGTCGGTTGTATGAGGTGCCATAGCGATACCTGATTACGGAATAGATCCCACATAGTGTACCAATCATCAAATGCAGGCTCATCTGATTCCCAGAGCGGGTTTTCGCCAACACGCTCACTCGGGATGAGGTGTGTGAAGTATAGACTAGAGTATAGTAGTGCGAGGCGCGTTTTATTGGCAGATTTAGATGTATCGACGCGGATCTTGGAGAAGACATCGCGATTCCACTCGTCGCGAGCTGCTTTTGCTGTGGTTTCGATAGACCAAGATGAAAGCTCAGAGTTCTTGTATGCGCACGCTTTGTCGACCGAGATGAAAGAAATGCCAACCCGTGACTTCACCTCCGTAGTGTTGGTCCAGGAGAACACTGCGCCTACACGGTCATTCATCGGCCCCGAGCGTGCATTCGATCCAGTGAACGTAGGCTGAGGCGTGGTACTATTATCGAAAGTTCGGAAGTGCCGGCTTACAGGGAACGTATTTTTTCCTTTGAAAGTTCGCGCGACAGCTGGCGAACTGTCGAACTCTCCGCACACGTATACAGTTACCGGAGCGCCGATAGACCATCCTCCCGCAATAGAGGTATACCCTGTGTATACGCTTGAGTTGGGATGGATCTCGACTTCACCGCCCGTATAGAATTGCGAGTCCCACGAACGTGTTGGATGAGGAAGGTAGTGCGAAAAGTCCACAAGAACGTGTTTTTCGGAAGATGACGGATAAGTGTAGTGCTGTAGCCCAGCGTGTCGCGAGGCTGAGAGTTCAGCCGTAACGCCGGAGTTGAAGGCTGTGCGGAAGTAGCCCACACTCGCAACGTCGTTCCCAACCTTTGCAGTCGTTAGCCACACATTGCTCGCCTAGTCGGCAGTTACTTACCCTCGTCTGCCAATAAGTTCGATTGTCCAGTAGATTTACATCACCATCAATCGTCGTCAATGGCATCTGCGCCGGAAATCCGTATTTAGGTCCTCCTCCTGTACCTGATACGTGCATCAGGCTAATACCCGTAACATGTCCCTTTGGCGTCCAGCCGCCATTCAGCGCGCTCTGGTTGACAGGTTCCTCGTATGTGTCGAGGCCGATCTTGACCATGCCAAATGGTAGCGTGCCACCGACAAAGACATCGCCACCGCCATCTAAATCGTTAGTATGTAGAGACGGTAAAACCGGACAGGATTAACCTACATGCGTAGCCAGGTATCGCGCCTTCGGATCCGATGAAGGGATTGACGAACTGCGCATAGTCGACATCTTGTGCGATCACAGATGCCACAATCGCCAATAGCCCAAATTCCCACATTTTGAAAATCGTCAAGGACGTTGAAGAGCCTCAACTCGCGGCTTACGTCCTCTTTATCCCCCGCCTGTTCGCAAGTTTCGGAATACAATACCCCACATTGCTTCCTTCGATGCGCTATCAAGAGCACGATCAAGCTTCGAGGTTACATTGATAAGCCACTGTTGCTTGGGGATAGGCGGTGACAAGAAGCTATGACGTCGCGTCAGGCCCCTCCTTCTGCATCTGTACCTGCCAAGGAGCGGAGATGATGTTGCGTCGGAAGGAGTTTCCGAACACAACGTTTGCCAGCTCCTCTACTCAGTCCCTCTCTCTCCAACTTGGAACCTTTCAAATGTAGTTCCACTATTGTATTTGAATCTGAACTAAACTCCGACGTCCTTACGACCTTGGCTGAGAACCATTATTTTTCTATATTGCCCCATCTTTATCCCTCCGCCATTCTTATTTTTTCTGGTCGTGGTTTGGATCTACCTGTGCAGGTCGTACGCCTTCAAGCTTTCAAAGGCGGTTCAAGCGAGATGTCTACACGTCGCGGAAGGCCATATAGTCCCAGCTCCTTATTGCGTCCCTTTATCACCTGCTAAGATCAGATGTGAGGGTTTTCAAAGCCCCTACGCCCTAGCTGAGCTGTCGCCGGTTCTGTGAAGGTATTTTGAGTGAGATCAGATATGAAAAATTGATGGATCTAAGTGATACATGTAAACGAGGGGACCCTAAGAAATGTGTTGAACCAGAACGAGTTAAGTGAACATATGATCACCTGAGCGGCCAAAATGGCGAAAATTAGCAATATTAATATAGGTGGTAGCAATGTCCCGCCAGATGCGCAAATTAGCGATAACTTGTAGATGATTCAGAAAACACATGCCGCCGACTGGGGATAAGATTAAACATGACCTAGGTTAGTCAGACCTAGTGCATTGCGCGGTCGCCAGTACCGCAAACTGCGAGATGGTGTATCCAAAGGCTAGGAGCTGAGGTACAAAAACGATCGTGTGAAAGGCATGTAAAGTATTTGATAATCCGTCATCGAACGCTACTGCAAATCGAGGCTTGTCATCATATCATCGAATTGACGATAATCTATCTGATGCCTCAGTGATCACAGCAACAACAAACGTAACGAAGATCGAGATGCCGGGAAGTGATTACATACAGACGAACGACGATACTAATTACAGATCTTGTTAACACGTAGTCGGACAAATCCTGATATACGTGTTTACAAAAGAAGAACTGAAACCATTGATCGATGAGTAAAGGTCGCAGATCTGACCAACGGGGCCGGTAACAGTGTATACAAAGGCAGAACAGTTGGTACGAGCATCACAAGCTGCCCGACACGCATCTCCGTTTGCCACGCTAGTTCCAATCTGGCTAATTACCACAGATCCTGCTGCAGGCGCTTGGCTGCAGCGTAAAAAGTAGTTGTTGTTACACATCCCATTATTTGCTGGACAGCCGCTTGTAAGAGGACTGTTGAAAGTGGGACATGTCGAATAGGGTACGCATGAGACTGTAGGCGCAGGAGGCACACAGGAGCTTGAAGTCGATGTAGAGGAGACCGTAGAAGAGGTCGTAGAAGACGCCGTAGTAATCGGTGTAGAAGACACCGTGGAAGACATCGTAGAAGATGCCTCAGAGGACGCTGTGGAAGACGTCGTGGAAGATGCCTCAGAAGATGCCGTAGAAGAAGCTGTGGAAGACGCCGTGGAAGACGAAGCGGACGCGGAGCTAGATCCCGTGACAGTAGACGAGGTGCTGGTTGACATCGATGAGGACGAGGAAGCTCCTTGGGACGATGAAGACGATGAAGACGATGAAGACGAAGAAGTAGATCGAGAAGTTGAAGTGGACGATAATAAGACAGGGTTGCACTTCCCGAATCCAGCTTGACATCCAGTCCCACAGTAGGCACTGGTGCTTCCACAGTACGAGTACTGGGAGCAGCAATTCCCGTACTTCGAGCCCAAGCAGGTCATGCCCATTGGCAATGCATTGTACAAGGATCCGCAACGCCCGTTTGTGGAGACTTTCAGAGTTGAAGATGGCGCAGCAGAGGACGTCGTCGGGGTAGAGGGAGAAGATGAAGATGTCCGTGTCGAAGGAGATGAGCTACGTGTTGAGGAAGTTGATGATTGTCTTGATACTGAAGAGCTCGCTGCATTAGAGCAAGTACCATATAACTTCTGGCAGCCGCTACCGCAGTATCCGCTGGTGCTTCCACTACGCATAACCAGTTAGTGTGTGTATGTGTACAAGGACTAGATGAGGTAAATACCAATAGCCATATTGAGAGCAGCAGTTGCCCCACTGCGAACCCAGACAGGTCATGCCGCTGGGCGAAGCATTGTTCGTTTTGCCACAGCGAGCGTTGGTCGACAATGCGGCTTCGATCAACGGCAAGGCCGTGAGAAGCCACAAGCTGTTCCAATGCATGTCGATTAAATAAGATGATTAGTTTATCAGAATAAAGAGTGACTGAGGTAAGAGAGTGGACTGATTGTAACTATTGCCTGAAGCCCTACGGAGGAATGAACATGGTCGGGGGAAAGTGAGACTTTATTCCTACTTCAAAGGCGAAAGAGGCGTTCTCTAGTGAAGCTGAGTTTCGGGAGCTAATCCCACGCAAGGCGAGCGACAAGCCATCAATGAACGCAAGGCTGTATCGTGCTCCTTGATTGGATGATAATCGATAGGAGATTTGTTACGCAACCCATATCTTCTGTGTGGCTGATATTAGCGCAGCCTATTCGTGTTGATCGTGCCATTTTAGTATGGAGAAATCTCAGGGGGTGATAGCAATTGAGGGGAGACGTTAAGCACCACCCCGATAGTAAAGTATTTACTACCCCTGTTACTAAATCTAGTATAAATTTATATAGCTAAAGCACGCTGCGCTACTTTTTAGCACTTTAGTTTGTATATAAATTATTATATTATTATAAGTAAAATAAGTAACGCGCGTATATTTAGGCAACTTAACTACTATTTGTACAATTAACTTAATTACTACTACTATAATTAAACACGCCTATTATAATTAACTACTACTATTACTACTACTATTATGCCTATTATAATTACAATTACCGCGATATATTGCAATTAATTATAATTAATTAATTATAATATATTATAATAAATTGCAGTAATTGTAATCGCAATAGGCGTAATAGTAGTAGTAGTAGTAGTTAATTTAATTGCGCAGGCGTTAAAATATAATAATACTACTAAAGCAGATTATCTATTACTTAGTATTATCTAATATAATAGTTAGCTTAGTTAAAATTTCTAAATACTTTTAGTCTATTAATTTGCTACTAAAATTACTAGTATTTTAATAGCGTAGTAATAGCGTAGGACTAATAGTAAGCAAGCTTTAGAAGGGTAGTAAATACTTACTATTGGGGTGGTGCTTAACGTCTCCCGCAATCGAGGCCTAGAGAGATCTGGCGCGAAGCCACGTGCTCGGGCTTTCATTAGCGTGGCCAACTGAGCTTAGCGCGTTACGGCATTGACTCGTGGAACACGCATCGCAAGGACAGCGATGCAGAAGAGGATTTCCATAGCGCCTAGGCCATACTTGAGCTATCGCTGGTTCTGTGAAGTACTTTGATGTGATTGTCGTACATATTCATGTAGGGAAGTTTATATCCGAAAGCACTGTGCATTCTTAACAAGATGTATAATTGCAATATCCAGATATAATCTTGGGTGCGAGAAGCAATCAGCTTAAGGAGAAAAGTGCTAGACTGGTATAAGAGCTACGAGAGTTGATAGATCCAGTGTACTTTGCTAGGCTGTCGAATGCGGTGCGTCTCCCTTAGAACCGCAATATTGGCATTGCAAGAGTAGACAGAGGGAATTCGAACTGATCAAAATGAACAGTACCAACTTCACACAGATGCCCTCAATAGCGACCTGATTTGAAATCGCGAATGTCGTGTCGATCGGATTGGACTTGCCCCTCAGACACTTTGCAGAACTTCTCGGTTGCAACATTCAACTTCTTCACAAAGCCGAGGAATCCCGTTAGAAAGTAGTCTAGACCTTATTTCATTCATACCTACTATCCTGCGCTCTCTATCTGTACCAATTTTTATAGCTCGGTGGTAAAGCCGCTCCATTCGACGTCACCTCCATAGTGTCGCTCTTGCGTGTCGAATTGTGTAACATCTGAGAGCCGGGTCGTGGTCTTTTGTCTAATATACGGTGGTCGGGAGGAAGGGCCCCATGGCTGCGAGTACGATACCGCTTAATAGGTTAACGCTGTACTTTCACTTCACCTCTCGAAAGTACCACGTGCGTGGGCTAAGACTTAGCGCGTTGCCTTTACTGACATTGCTTCTCACCGTCAGCTATACGATCCTCTCACTACGGTCAACAACTTCTTATAGCAGCGCGCAGTTCGCAAGATGCCATCGGTTGTAGATGTTGAGCGCTACCGCAACTTGGCTCTCGAGCAAGTCATCCGCGATTCCCATTTCACTTCCGTTGCTAACATGTTTTGACTCGTAGGTCGCTCAAATTCCTTCCACGGCTTCGAAAGCTACACGCCGAGATTGAACGAGACAGGTGCAGAATACGATGGAATCTCTCTACTTTATTCTACGACCGCTCCAAGAGCGAACGTCAAAGGCTCTGGGGTCAACTGTCTAATCGGCAGGAATGTGAAAAACAAATTAAGCAGCTGCTTGATGGCTTCGAGAAAGACGTGGAGTTCACCATGGATATGTACGCCGAAGTTTCGTGCCGACACCTATGCGACATGATGCGCGAGCTTTTTCCTCGAGAGATACGCGATATAGTGTATGGGTACATACTTGAGCAGCCGACAGTCACAGCTCCGAAGACGATAGTGGACCCTAAAACAAGCAAGCTTTCTGGGAACTACTTCCATCATGCCCCGGGCTCGAAGCACGATCTCCTAGGAAATCAACACGTCTGGAATGAGAACTTTGTCGGCCTACACCTTAAGATGGAGTTAGTCGAGGCTTGGTACCGCGAAACGAATTTCGTCTTAACTCTTCCTTCAACTTCCGTACTAATGCTGTTCACGAGAGATCGGTGGGATGTTGATGTCGTTCCTTTTGAGCACCTCAAGAATGTCACGATGATCATGCACACAGACATCTCAGAGCGATGGCTCGAGTCTGATGTAAAGTACCTTGTGAGCAGTCTCCTCAAGTGCAAGAAGAAGGTCAGCATGACTTTCATCATGGAAAAGCCCAATTGGTCCGAAATTTACTACACATGGCTCGATTTTCGCGTCAATGACGACACTTCGTCTCGAGACTATATCATCAAGGTCCAGAAGTTGCTCTTTGCCTTCATGTACAAGCTGCGCTCGCTCGAAATCGCCGGGCACTCTGTGGATGTGAAGTTCTGGAAGGGCTTCACGATGGGTGACCTACACATACCTGCGTCGAAATTTCTGGAGAAAATCGAAAAGGTATGCCTTCACGAACAGTGTCCCAAAGATATGATAGACTAATTGACACAGCTGTCCGAAGAGGCTTTCAACAACAAGAGCGCCGAGAATGACGAGAGTAATTCCAGCCTCTGAAATGGCTTCCGTTCTTCTCTCAGGGTTGGAGTCGTACAGAGGGGTGTTGGGGTAATATCAGAAGCCATTGCCTACTATCCAGAATTCACCTACCTCGGTTGTACCCGGTTTTCTCGGGTTAATGCACTCCGGCGTTCCTTTCATGATCTACACGATCGTCGCTTGGAGAAACTGGTGGAAAACACCCGATTCGTGCAACATCAAGCGCAATGTGGGGTATAGACATCCGTGCATCTCTACTTTCTCGCGCTGCTTCCTTATGCTCAACTCTGAGGCTGGGATATTACCCGCTATCTAGCGGAGAGGGCCAGGAATAGCAGAGAAGCCGATTTGTCGGCAGTGCTACTGGATTGTTGGCAATAGTCGCATTCCTATATGTAATACCAAATTCCTTCAGGACATGATGGCTTTTTAATGTAGCTCATTGGGATTGTTGTCTCTCCACCTCAACTAGCATGAAGCTCTTCGCCGCACTTTTGCTCGCATTGAGCGTAACACCAGCACACGGAAACCCGACGGCAAAACGAAAAACGTGCACCATCAAAGCCAGCGGAACTAACAAAACAGACGATGCGCCAGCAATTCTAACAGCCTTCAAGGAATGTCGTAAACATGGCAAGATCATATTCGAGCCAAAGACATACTACGTGAACTCCGCATTGAACATCAGCGGCCTGGAAGATGTCGAAATCGATATTCAAGGACAGCTTCTGGTACCTTGAGCCTGTTTCGTTCAATGTTAGTCGCTAACCGTTCTCGCAGTGGAGCACAGACATTCTATACTGGCTAAATGCTTCTCTCCCGGTCGGCTACCAGAACCAATCCACCGCATTTATCCTCGGTGGCAACAACGTGCGTATCGATGGCCACGGCGTGGGCACATTCAATGGAAATGGAGACTACTGGTACGAATGGATTAAGAAACAACCCAATACATCAAATTACCCGGGACGGCCGCATCAGATTACGTTCAATGGGCTTACGAACTCTGTTGTCAAGGGATTGAACTTCCTGCGGAGTCAGATGTGGACCATGTCGATCATTCATAGCCATAACAGTGTGTGGGAAGATATTTTCGTAAACAACACTGGGAATCGGGTGTCGAGTTGTGAGTACTTTCACGTTTCCACTTCGTTTTGCGTGGAGACGACCTAACCATCTCTTTCTTAGCGAACACCGATGGGGCCGACACGTTCTTCTCCTCTGACCTTCTCTTCCGCAATTGGACAGTCTATAACGGCGACGACTCTTTCTCTTGCAAAGCAAATAGTACCAACATCACCCTTTTGGATTCGCACTTCTACCACGGCCTCGGCATAGCCATAGGCTCTATCGGACAGTACAACGACGCATTCGAGACTATCGAAAATATTCGCGCGGAAAATATCTACTTTGAAGACACCCTGCACGCCTTTTACGTGAAGACGTGGACAGATGATCGAGTCGGCTTTCCGCCAAATGGAGGAGGCGGCGGACTCGGATACGCGGAGAATATGCTAATGAAGAATTTGACGACGAAGGGGATGCGCGGCGCTGCATTTTCCATCTCGCAATGCACGCGATTTAACGGTGCGCCGGGGGTAGGGAATTGCACCAACAGCCAGTTTCAGGTTCGCGACATCGTCATCGATGGAATGAAAGGAACTACGAAGGATCGACGAGTCGTGAGCCTGCAGTGTAGTGCTGTGGCGCCGTGTACAGATATCAAGTTGAGTAAGGTCGACTTGAAGTATACAAATGGAACGGTAGTACCGAACTATCTATGTGGGAATGTATTGGGCAATCAGGGTTGGAATTGTACAGGGCCGGTTTGTGTGGGCGGAAGTGCGACGGGTGGGTGCTGAGACTTTGAAGACTGCAAGTCAACAAGTGCTCCAGGGAGTTAGAGTAGTTCTTAGGAAACGCGAAGTCTTATGAGTATCCACCAACTCGTATCTTGCTACATGTTTTCAGTTAAAATTTACATTCGTACTGCCCACCCATTGCTATCGATTATCGACTTTGCTCGCCAGTCTTCCTGCAGGTACCTAAGAGGTCTGCGCTAGCTTCGCGATGCCGTTGTCTGCTTCGAGCTCAGCGATGTCGAGCTCGACTTCGATACTGAGCAGATGATAGCCCGAGACATCTTGATTCTTCTGAGAGACGGTGAGAGCTTGCGTAAGTCGTGCGACGCGACGAAGAGCGCTGTTGCGTTGTTACTACTTAGATACATTTGACAGGCCGAAGCCGAACAGGACTTGCCTATGAGTGCTGCTTCGCAAGAGCTCGAGATGCTCATCGACTATATCCATGTCGGCAGTCGTGTTGCAGGTAGGATCCGAGAAGACCAAACTGATATGAGCATCGTAAACATCAAGATCATGTGCCCGGGTGCCCAGGTAGTACCCGAGCTGGGGTGCGAGTCCCCAGCGCGCCGCTTTCCTATTAGCTTAGCGCGCTTCCGTTTCACTCCTTTCTAGGTAACGATGGTGATTCTGCTACCTCTCGCGGAATTCGATTTGTAGCAGCGTGACTCTTGACAACGCGTGGACTCGCTTGGAAACGACAAGGTTGAAATTTGACTCTGCATTAGATTGCACGCCGTTCAATGAGTCTTCCACGTGAAAGAGGATTCACGAATATGTAAGACGTCCAAATCCAGATCTGTACGTGAGTTCACGTGAACACGACAACTGCGATTTCCTTAGGGCTGTTTGCACCTTCCCGACTGCTTCACCGCAGCTCATAATCACAATCGTAACTACTGGTCTGGCAACAATCTCGGTCGGCCATCCACCACACGCATTCATCTATGCGGCATTTGACAATGAACATCAACATGGACAACTCCGATACTCGCGATATCGTCGCACAGTTTAGCTTTGCAGGCAGCAGCGAGCGCTGGCGGGAAGAAGCTCGGCGGTAAGTTTGACCATCCTTACGATTTAACACAGCTGACCAGTCTAGGACGTCGCGGCGCATCACCAAGCTCAAGAAGAAGTTCACTGCCAAAGCCGGAGAGCTTTCAGCAGGAGTGCAGGACGCAGATTCCAAGAAGCAAGCAATCAAACAAAAGCGGGAGCTGCGCAAGGCGGGCCTGGAACTGCGGGCAGCGAAGAAAAAGTTCAAAGACCAGGTCGCGGCGCAGGCCAGGCGAGAGTGTCGACCGCTCTGTGAGAAGATGCACGCAAAGCTGCCGCAAGAACTTCGAGACATCATCTGTGAGAGTATCATTAGCGATCACAACGCTACTTTCTTCCACGGCGAGAACCATGAGACCACTGTTGCCAACGGTACATCGCCACTCCAGCACTGCTTCGAACCCGCGTATACAGGCAAAGGTATGCACAAGGATATGGTCGTGAGTCTGGGTAGACTAGGATCCCGCTTCGACTTCCGCGGTCACCACGAGCTGCTCGGTACGGTATTCGAGCAGTACCTCGTCGAGTTTGGACTCGACTTGGCTACAACGATCAAAAGGATAGGACTCTTAGTCACCGAACGCGACCTCAAGACTCGCGAAACCATGTTTGAGCGCCTCGAAAACCTGTTCAAGCTCAGTCCAGGCACCGCCATGTACATTTTCATTGAAACCGGTGACAAAACCCTACCACAAGTTAAGCGTCAATTCCGCCGTGTGCTACGCGTCCTGTTCCCTCTCCTTCACCGCCTCAAGGATGCCGGTTATCTCATCAAGATTGTTATGAATCCCCCGTACCTTTCATCTGCAGTCAAGAATAGCAACGCCAGCACCTTCTCGGTCGTTCCGGAAGCGCCGTATCGGTACGAGATCACCCCAGACAACGCCCAGTTCACTGCTGCAGGCTTCGAGGACAAGTTGGAAAAGGTACGTCGCTTGCTTGCTACATTGTATCTGAGTGGCTCTGACTTGTATAGTGCTTTGAAGAGTATGGACTGAACTGGAGGCTTAGGAATGATCCAGTAATGACAGAGGAGGACGAGGGTGATTGATGAGCCTTTTGTGCTGCTGGGCGGAAACGAAGTGGGTGCATCAACTATGAGGCTATGCAAGATCAGCGGCGCAATATTTCAGGATCTAGGCTTCTTCTTTGTCGACGTGTCCGAGCCATACCGCTAAAGTAAATGTGTCTCGCCTCCTCTAAGCCCTTCTTCTCCGACTGTTTCATTGTATCTCACCTAAAACTAATTTAGCCCATACAGTGGTGTTAGATTATGATCCACTTCCCTTTGCGGATTCTTGGGAGTCTGAGAGTAAGCGAATTAAAGAATTGGATGAGAGTGTACACTAGAACTCTTCGCGCATTGTCTAATCTAAAAATATACATTGCACACACGACACCTACGCTGCTACCGCAGTACCATTCGTCGCGCTGCCATTCGTCTTGGCCCCATTTTGCTTACTCTTAAAGTACTGGGTAAAATCATGGCGCACCGCATGTATCGACTCTGCCACCGACTTGCCCCAAACGGGATCGTCGTTGGCCTTGTCACACATCTTGAAGAATTCCTTGCGCTTCTCTTCGTGCGCAGGATCCCAGAGGCGGTGAAAGTTTTCTCTGGACATGGGATCGATCATGTCGCGCCAGATTTTGATGCGCTCCTCGCTGTACTTGTCGAGGATGTCTTCGTCGAGCTCGTCTTGGTGGATGCCGAGGAAGCAATCGTAGAGGGAACCGACGTCGGCGAAACCGCCTGTAAGTCCCATGCCGCCGCTGTGGGTTGTTAGTGCTAGAAATCATCGGGCTCAGCGGGGAGTGTTACAATGGGTTGCAGAGATGGGCAGCATCAGCTACTAGTATAATCTTCCCGACTCTGAAGCTTGGTGCGCAGCGTTGCTGGAGCTTGTACGGGCTCATGCTGACCAGCTTGTACTCATCTGGCTTTGGGTTCCCGGGAAGAATCTGCTCGTAGCGAAGGGGCTGTCGCTTGATAAGTTCTTCGCGGGAGAGGTTATCATCGTCGCCATACGTGACTCGCCATAGGCCATCGTTTGTGATTTTTGCAGCCATGTACCAGTCAGTGGGGTGGACGATGAAGTTGGAGTCCCAGTAGCCATGTCGTTCGTCGAAGGGGAGGTAGACCTAACACCGCGTCAATAACGACTCCTGATGTAGAGTTGAGTAGACGCACATTTGTAGCCACGATTTGCTTGGTCAACGTCTCGCCTGGGTACTCTTTCCCAAACAAGGCGGTTCGTACACCACTTGACGCGCCATCTGCGCCGACTAGGTAATCGCCCGTGATCCTCTTTGACTCCCCACTTGATGTTTCAACAATGGCTGTCGCTCCACTTGCATCTTGGTCTACACCCACGAGCTTGTGACCCCACAGTATCTCGGTATTGGGGTAGCTCTCCAAGTGCCTTACAAGCAATGGTCCCAGGCGATCCAGAGGTAGCACTACCATGGAATACTCGGTCTGTTCTGGCTCCCGACCCATGCCCGCTAGGAAGGTGGTATCTTGCAACCGCCAGCAGACGCCCTTGGGCGACATGCCTTCCTTGCGCACATCCTCGATGATGCCAGCGCGGTGAAAATCATAGACGGCCGAGGGCGCATAATGAGCAGCGCGGGGGTTGCCATTGATCTTGGTGTCAGCATCGAGGATAGTGATTTTGATGCCCAAGTTACGTGCAAGCAGGATGCCTAGCAAAAGGCCAGAGGGGCCAGCGCCGGCAATAACAACCTGCCTTGGGTCAGCCTTGTGGTCAATCTGTCTAGTCACGATGTACGTACATGTTTCAAATTGGGCATGGTTCGGGTCCTGTACTACTTGGGTGAGTATTGCAAGGTTTGTGCTTGGTCAACGTCAACTCATTCAGTCCGAGGACAGCATCGTTCAAATGTGCCATGACGGGGTGGGGCTACTGGTTCCCCTTCTGGGGGTGGGACTGCTTCTCCAAGCCGCTGTGTGTAGCAATGCGGGGAAACGAAGCTCGGGATTGCCCCACATGGTATCGGCCGGTACAGAGGACCGGCTTAGGGCTGTCGCAGCACTTCACGTGACTGCATTAGTAAATTGACGTTAGTCATCAGATCGAGATGAAGGACCAACGTGAATACGAGGACTAGGAAAGCACTAGGAAAGCAGCGCTGGTGCTGTGGACTTTTTTGGTGGTGGTGAGCAAGTGTATGACGTAGGTGGGCGGTCGCGTTTTGCAGGAGGCGAGTCGCGTTATCCGCGCGCAGCCGAGGCATGTGATATGGCGAATCTGTTGGAAAGGTGAGCGCCCTTGGAGGAGCGTTGCCCAGAGATTCTCCTGCATCATCGCCATCCTCCAATAGAGATCATCTACCGATCTGATCATATCATATCATATCAAATCATATCATGCGCTCTTAATGTTTATGAGCTAATTGTCGACACAAGTAATGCAATTCACGACTCACTAACAAGACGCGTCACTGTCATTGCGCCCGTCACAGGAATGCCCCATAGCTTGCCAGACGTCATCAGGAGTGCTATCCATGCGCATCCATCCCACTCCCTGGCGGGCGAACGGGCGATGGCGACACCGAAACAGCGTCGACTCGTGCTGCAACTGTTGGGATGCGCAGGGCCCGTTTGTCGACGCGTAGCGAAACAAGCTTTTTTGACCAGGCCAGGGTTTTCAGCCTCTTACCGCCACCATCTCAACCACCACGACGAAGCAGCAGCAATATGCGATGGTACTCTACCTCTACCTATCGCTCCCCCTTGCCGGCAGCATACTGCGACAGTGATATCGCGCTGATGCTTCTCGATCTGGCCATTAGACGCTGCTCAACCATGCCGACTCCGAGTATTATTGGTACCCACGCAGCGAGGGGCTTGGATGACCCATATATACCCACTGTCTGTTATCTCGGATTGCCTCAACCAGAATAACCCAAGGCTCTTGCGCGACATGTCCACTTTTCTTGTGCGTCCGCTTCCGCGCCTGGAATGGCCAACTGCAAATCCTCGCCAGTACCGTCTCTCGTCTCCGTAGTGTGTCGTCAGTCAAGAGACGCGTCGACGTTGTTGATTCCATGGCATAGTCTTGTGGTCCATGTGCAGGCGTGGGCGCCTTCGCCCAAATGCGGCCTTGAACAGCTCTTGGAAGCTCCTGACAGCTCCTGAAAACTTTTTTCGCTGCCGCTGCGCTGCGTACACGCCTTTCTTATCTTCTGCATGGCAAGCATCCGTCCATCCCGGTGTTCGCGAAGCCTCTAAAATATTTTCGGCGCCACCAGCCGCTCCCGCTGCACCTTCCCAGTACCTAAATTCTGGCTCCCATTCTCGGTGTCAGTTGTGCATTTGGCCTTCTCAAGTTCCATGTTGTCTGCAACATCGGCTCCACCTTGTCTTTGTTAGGCTTACGAACACCATATCGACCCTTCTGGCCACTACCGTTCCGGGACAAAAACTGGGCCTCTTCGCACCACTACACTCTTTAACACCGTCTTTGGCCAGTCTGCTCGCCTTTTGACAGCGCGTGCGGCACAACCGCACTAGTGCGACTCTTATCAAACCCACGCAGCCAAGTTGTCTTTCATCCTGCCATTGCGAATTTCGTCATCACGCCTATACGCCAGATTTATACCACTTTGGTTTTCACTCGCTCCTGTATTTCTCAACAACAACCCAGCTTATCACCCCTTTTTCTCAAATTACCTAACCACCGCGCCCAAAAAAATCCCACTCATACCCGAACAAAGTTGATTGATGCCCATTGCATCTACCCTGCCCTTAGGAGATCTGCCGCTAGGTGCAGTAACCGGTCCCAAACATCAAATCTTGTCGAGACTACTAGCCGCATAGTCTCACGATACCCCCACGTGCGAGGTTCAATTTCTCAAGCCAAGGAGAGCATTGACGTTCCAGAGCTCTTCGTTGGCAAGCAAGGCTCTTTGCCTGGTCGCCCTAAGGGTAGCTTTCCAACCCCAGCGTATTTGCTAGTCACCTGGCATTTACAATATCAGTCATGAACCCCTTCCAGGATCCTGGGGCCTCATCCCAGTCCCAGGTCGACCCAGACGACAACATGTCCTCCGCTCCAGGACGGAAGCGTGTTGGCTTCACCGCAGAAGGTTCATCAGCTGTCCGCCCTTTCTCAACACACTCACCCGATGAAGACACAGGCTCGGCTGGCCATAACACGCCACTTCAACGGTCAGACGTGTCACATGACGACCTCCAGAAGATGCGGGAGTCGTTACGGCTTGCGCTTGGAGATGAACATGCCCACGATTCACAGGAACCCATCGCTCCTCCAAAAGAGGTACAGAAGCCTCGACCAGCAATCCGGAAAAGTCCCCGGACTCCGCCACAGTTTTTTCTCAACGACGAGCCAAACCCGTTCGCGGATGAGGCCTCTGAGGGACCTTCGCTGGGTGCTGAAGCCAAGCAGAGGTCAGGTCTTGCAGCCCAGCACCGCGCGACCAAGCTATCGAAATCTATCGGCACTTTCTCCGCCCCAGGATCTCGTCGCAATTCTCAAGAAATGTTAAGCACGCCCCCAGTTGAGTTGCGAAATCTGGCTCGAGGTTACGAGAAGGGTCTCGAAACGCCAGAGGAGGACGAAGATCCACAGTTCATGAAGCGCGCCTCCATGCTTCTACGTCAACACTCCATTCGCGCGGCTGGCCCGGCGATCAACAACGAGGATTTTTTCCACATAGACGCATCACTCAGGTCCGGCCAGGTAACACCGGATGCTGCCGAGTTCGAAGATGAGCATGTTCAACGCCCCTCTAAATACCGGACAGGAGTATTAGGCACCCTCCTCCAGGTTCAGAACGCGAATCAAGGCCCAATGTCAGGGAATATCGGCCATGGTCGGAACCTAAGTGCTGGCACATTCAGCGGAGCCTCAACGGCCGCCAACTCACCGAACCCATCGCCCCCTGTCTCGGGGTATTCGACACCCCGTGGTGGCCGTTCTTGGTTCGCTCGTCATCACAACAACACTTCGACAGCATCCATCTCTCAGTTGGTCGGGTCTTCTACGCATAGCTTTGTTACTCCTGCTCAGAAGGAGCTCGGCCATGAGTTTGATGAGCAGTATAAGAAGACTCGACCAGGAATGGGCAAGCGATCGCGTTCGGATGACTCCGTACTGCCGTTCAGGAAGCCGGGAAAACGTCGTGATCATGAGATTAAAATCAAGATACATCTGTAAGTCGAACATCCTTTGAAGCACCTAATCCTACCCCCGTAGGCTTTATCGTTGGCACTTTCTGACTTATATCTATAGTGCCGGCACTTTGGCACGCCAGAACTACCTCCGCAAGCTCTGCAAGGCCTTGATGATGTACGGTGCTCCCACGCATCGACTGGAAGAGTATCTCAACATGTCGGCTCGCGTTCTGGAGATCGAAGCACAATTCTTATACATGCCAGGCTGTATGATCATCGCCTTTGACGATTCTTCAGTCCATACTAGCGAAGTTAAGCTTGTACGAACCAGCCAGGGCGTCGATCTGGGCAAGCTTCGTGATGTTCACGAGATTTACAAAGAAGTCGTGCACGACCGTATCGGTGTCGACGAAGCCACACCTCGTCTCGAAGCTATCATTGGCCGCAAGGACAAATTCCAAGCGTGGCTCAGGGTCTTCGTATACGGTTTAGCATCTGCGACTGTCGGTCCCTTTGCGTTCCAAGCCCGCTTTATCGACTTGCCATTCTGCTTCCTCCTCGGCTGTATCATTGGATGGCTACAGCTCATTGTTGCTCCTGGAAACGACCTCATCAGCAATGTATTCGAAATCGGTGCCTCGATCATCACAAGCTTCGCCGCCCGCGCTCTTGGCTCCATCAGGGGTCGTGACGGCAAGGAAATCTTCTGCTTCAGCGCCATGTCCCAGTCCAGTATCGCGTTGATCCTACCCGGGTTCATGGTTCTATGCGCATCGCTTGAGCTTCAGAGTAAGCACATCGTTGCAGGATCTGTCCGCATGGTATACGCCATCATCTACTCGTTCTTTCTCGGCTTCGGTATCACCATCGGCACCGTTCTATACGGCATGATGGACCACAACGCCACCTCGAGAACTTCCTGCATGGAACCAATGTCGACCAACTTCTACTACCTCTTCGTTCCGGCGTTTGCGATATGTCTCATGATTGTTAACCAGGCCAAGTACAAGCAAATGCCCTCGATGACGGTAATTGCTTTCATCGGCTGGGTCGTCAACTTCCACAGCTCCAAGTACTTCAAGAGCAACGCGCAGGTCAGCAATACGCTCGGCGCCCTGGCAATCGGCATTGCGGCCAATGCCCATGCGCGTTTTGGTCGCCACATTGAGAACAAGAGTCTTGATATTTGGGAGAACACGCTCCGCCCACGCCTGGTCAAGGTCCGCAAGATGTATAGGCGAAACCGCCATGGGCCGCATCGTGCGGCGCCCAAGCTGGAGCGATCCGAGTACGACCCTACGCCAACCAGCCGACCTGTCTCGCGGGCCAGCTCAATGAGCGAGTAAGTTGCTCCTGTCACATAACTTGTAAACCTACAGTCTTACTAACCCAAATCTCAGGTATGTAACCCACACCCGTAAAGTCGGCTATGGTCTCGCCGCCGCCGCCATGTTGCCCGCCATCTTCGTCCAAGTCCCATCTGGTCTCAGCGTTCAAGGCTCACTCGTATCCGGTCTTACATCGGCCGATCAGATCGTTCGTAATAGCACCGGGAACGCTACAACCATTAACCCCGCAGACGTGGGGAGTAGCAGTTCTGTCAACTCCATTGCGCTGGACGTGGGTTTCTCAGTCGTCCAGATCGCCATTGGTATTACGGTCGGTCTTTTCTTGGCTGCACTCATTGTGTACCCGCTTGGAAAGAAGAGGTCTGGCCTATTCAGCTTCTAACCTGTCCTTGAAAACCTTCAGGGGATTTCTAGTCGTTTCAACATTTTTTTGGTCACCCCCATTTACTATCGCTTACAGTTTTCAATTTTGTGGAAGGAGAGGAACACTATCATTTACAGCGTCACACAGCACAACACAGCACAGCATCGTATCGCATTTTCCTTTTTGTCTTTTTTCTGAAGCGTAGCATTAGATCTGCATCAGCGGCGTTTCAATTCATGGCATCTGCACAGGGCGCACATTCTTGGGAAACCTTGCTTCAGAGAAGCTACGAACAGGCAGCATTAGATTAGATTCATGGTGTTGCATAATGTATTAATAGTTATCGGAGAGGTTAAAAGCCTCAACAAGCAAACAATCAATCAAACAGCGCACATGCGTTATTCTCTTAGTCGTTAGTTCCTACAAACACGCGTGACTTCAAAGTGGATAAACTATTAGTAAGTTGAAAACATTGTCATTATCGGATCTTGACCCCCTAATCATTATTGAATCCCATCTACACCCTGAGGCCTTCTCTTAGCTAGACTATTGACTCCCTCTCTTCACCCTCCTCACCGCACTAGGCGTACTCGAAGGTGGCAACGGCACAAAAGTCTCCGTATGGGTAGCCTTGGCCGTACCATTCGTGCCATAATCACTCGTTACAACCTGACTTCCATCCGCAATAACGACATGATCGAGCACTCTCTTGAAGTGCTCCAAGCTGGCCTCAGGTTGATAATACGGCACCTCATGGCCCGCCTCGTAGATTCGCGTGAAGCTGAAATTTCCATGCTCACGCACCTCGCCGTATTCCACGCCGTCGACGAGGAAGGGCGTGTAGCCTGCTGCGCGGAAGGCTTCGCTGTGGGTGTAGTTTACGGCAAGTGAGACAGCTTGGCCGCCGAACCAGTTGCAAATGTAGTCTGCGTCGCCGTAGAGAAGAGCGACGCGAACGCCGTAGCCTAAAATCTCCTCGAGATCTTCGATGAAGTTGGGGAAGACAAAGTCTCCAGTTGAGGCAAATCCGGCAGAGACGTTGCGCGCGTTAGTGGTTGTGTAGTTGATGTTCACGCCAATAGCTTCTTGTGTCGACGCGAGGTTGAGAAAGTCTTCGAAGTAGTCAGGGGGCGTGGGGTCATCGTAGGGATGGCGTATGTCGTAGACGCCACGGCCACCAAACGAATAGTATGGTTCTTCGACGAGTGAGCGACAGAGGTTGGTGGCAGATGAACAAGTCAATTGACCGGCTTCGGTAGAGCGATTGGCCTGCTTGCAATATTCGATCTGGTCATGGCAGCCTTCCGGAAAGTAATATGCTTGCTTCATAAATGTGTAGACTGTGTCATTGATAGCCTTGATGCCGTAGGTGTTATTCACGGCAAACTCGGGATAGTAAGGCGCCTGAATTTGCTCGTCGATAATGCCGTTGATGATGCCAAGGGTATCCATTTGAAGCTCTACGCCAGGAACAGTGCCATTGCGGATCGCTTCGTTTTGCTGGTAGAAGTAGTTGTAGAAGCCCGGACCATAATGGCCGCCATAACTAGATCTTATTAGCAACCCAGCTTTGCGAAATGTGCAAAAATAAACTTACCTTTCAGTCCAAAGATTGAAAGTAAAGTTTGTGATATCAGGATCCAGCTGCGGACTCAACTCCAAGAACGCCTGTAGGATATGCCAAGCGCCAATTGCCGCAGCATCCGTCGTGTTCGCAGTGTCAGCGTCTACGAGCGAATATCTTCCCTTGGTATCATTCCTGGTAGTCTCGTACGAAAATCCTACACCGACCGGTTGGCTCAGATACAGCATGTTGCTGTGTTCGTTCCAGGAGTAGGGATTCCACTGCGTCTTCAGGTCCTCTGTAACGTTGCAAGGCCCATGCTCCTGAAACAACCCGATCAAAGAATCACTTCCCGGTCCTCCGTTTAGCCACAGTGTCAAAGGCTTCTCTGATGGCTTTTCACGAGCTTCAAAGAACCAGACTGTAAGACAAGAAACCATAAAGTCAGTGTATGTCTCACTTGTGATTTCGTAAGCGAAAACTTACAGAACATGTTTGTCTTCTCGTTGAGGCTGATGTAGCCGGCATAGTCGTCGACTCCCTCCTTCGTTTCGCATATACCTTGTTTTCCGGGTTGCTTGAAGCGGATCTCTGCGCCTTGGGCTGAGGTGATGGTCGTGACACCGGTTGGGTCTGCGGGCACCTGGCGTTCTTTGAGGAAGGGTTCGCGTGCGCTGCTGAGGGCTGCAGCTACCAGGATGGCAGTGAGCTGTGTAAGGCGTGCCATATTTGATAGCTTAGGTGCAATGAAGTGATAAGACGCGTACCAGATTCTCTACAGTTCCGGTCATGTCTTCTCTTTATATACACCCCGCACCACGGATGCAAGCGGCAGTAAGGGTACCATGTTGTCACCTTCGTATTGCCCATCTGGTTACGTGATGTGGGGAAGATGGACTTCCTGGTTATAAGATGCAGACCGTGATTCGTGTTACAGCAGATTAATCTGGATCAGGCAACTACGGAGTTAACAGAAAACCGCGATTGGCCGGATAACTGGCGGCATGGTTGGAAGTGTTGATCATCGCAAGGCCTTGCGCAGAGGAGATTGTTTGGATCGCTCGGGCACGTCATCGGCCAGTGTCGTGAAACCTGTGGTAGGTGCTGCCGTCGTGCCTCGCGACAACAAGAATGGCGAGGTTTGAATATATCTTCCATGTCAGTGGTGTTGAAGTATCGGGCAGGACTTGTAATGCTGAAGTTGCGTGGCAATGAGCTTCCACGGACTTTGTGGCATTGCAACGAGCCCTCGCAGCGGCGCCTTACCAGAACAAGAAGGAGCGATGCACGACGGATGGATAAGACCCGGCTGCCAAGGTCTGACAAGCTTATTACCCCAGCTAATGAAGCTTATTCACGTCATGAAGTGTTGAAGGTGGCTGGGACGCAAATCAAAAGGGTTGTCGTGTTTCGAGTTGTGTGAGTGGAGGAGAAGAAGAGGGGGACATGCCGCGACCCCACGCGACATGGGAGCCGCGACCGGGGTCGGTACCACCAGGCTCTGTGTGAGCTACAGGTGCATGAAAGAACCTGATGTCTGCTAAGCCTGCATGAACCACTATGTCATGTGTCACAATGACCAAATGTAAAGCATATCTACGCATTGAGCGTTCCGTCCTGAATTCAGGGACCTATATTATCTTGCTCAAAATAGATTCTTCACCGCATCCTCTCCCCATGCAAATCTCCATTCGACAGGATTCTCCTCTACCCTCATCTTCGACAGCCTGACGTCTATATCCCAGTCCGGCTTGGGCATCGCATTCCACAGGTCCGCATTTCGCTTCGTAGGCGCTATCCACTGTCCCTGCAGAGGCAAAACTTCGTACTGCAGTACCACCATTGCGACCAAGCTCAGAATGACACTTGTCGAGAAGTGGCGACCAGGGCACATCGTTGCACCCGCCCCAAACGGCCGAAAAGCGGATGTTGTTGATAGTTTCTTCTTGCTATCTGGGGAAAGAAAACGGTGGTGGTCGAACGTGTCGGCACTAGGGCCCCAAATATCCACGTTATGGTGTACGCTTTCACCGGGTATCATAACAATGCCGTTCTTCTTTAGCAAGTATTGATCGCCGAGAGTGGTGTCATGCTGTACTTGCTTGATATTGATCACTGTGCTGTGGTAGCGCAGAGTCTCGTTGAGCATTGCCACAAGTGTAGGACACTTTCCCTTGATACCGCTCAGATCGAGGACTTTTGTTCTCGGAACGCTATTGTCGCTTGTGGATTCCAATTTGGCTACAGCATGTAGCTCTTCACGAGTAGCCATCATAACATCGGGGTCGGAGAGAATGTGGAACAGTAGCCAGAACGTAGTGACCGCGCCGCTGCTGAGCATAGCAAGCGAAGTGGCCATTTCCATCTTTGCCGCCTCATCCAAGGCCAGGCCGTGACTCTTGTTGGTTTCGTACATCTCCGCAATCATTGGGAATGCCTGTAGGTGACCGCCAGTCTGGAAATACTTCCTGAATGCATGAATGACGCGGGTCCTGGCGTTTAGAGCCTTGCGAGCTGTCACGGAAGGACAGGGACTATAAAGTAAGTGGCTGATTCCGGGAAGGAAATCTCTGTTGTACATGGTCAGCTGGAAACCTTGTGGAATAGAGTGGCAAACATCTCATTTGGTGAGAGCGGGTGACACACGTACCTCCAGCTTGCTTCGACGTCTGGATCATCGTACGGATTCTCAGGCCCATAGATGGCTCCAGTCAATGCGAGCGTAAGCTCATGACGGACCAACTCTAGCAATCCCCCTTGACGGTCATCCTCAAAATGGTTCGGCACACTCGCACTAAGTCGATCGACTGCCGCTCTTGTTGCAGCCTTGAGCGAAGGTCCGGACAGTAGATACTTGTGCACGCTCATGGTAAAACCATTTCCCTGGACACCAAATGCGTCTCGAAGTGTCCGTTGTGACTGTTCGTTTAAACCGCTGAAGAGCATGCCAAAATCCAACAAATTGGGAATGAAGGTTGCGGCATTAGCTTTGCTCTGAATGGTTTGAATTAAGTTTGGCGCATGCACAACATAGAGGCGTTGAAATGGCATCCGCAGGGTGTAGATCGACATCCGGTACTTGCTCCTAAAGATTTTAAGTACCACTAACATTGCCTCAGGATTCACGTAGTGGAACTTACCTTAGATTTGACAGATAGTTGGCTCTGTGACGCAAGATACCGATAGCTGAGTCGAAGAATGGTACCGTGGTCTCTAAAATGCATGGCTCTCTCTTGCTTTGTGTGCCATGTAGTAGGAATTGAAGTGCGAGATATGCGATTATCGCCACCGCAAAGCCGACTACTAGGGAAGGATGCATTTGGACTTGTGCGAGAAATTATAGCGGTGAATAATGGCCATGCTACGCGGGATGTCTGAAGCTTATATGCGCCATCTTACTGTCCTTCAATACTTGATGCTCATCTTGCATTTTGTCGAAGGGAAAGCGTGGTCGGCGAGCAATAGTAGGGTCCCTTACCTAAAGCATCGATTCGATAAGAAGAGATACACATGACGCGCAAAACGCCAACCCTAGACACAGCCGAACCGTTTTTCACGGTACCAATGAGCATGACGAGCACACGGAACGTGATCCGAAGCTTTCGTGCAAAGCGCAAAGTACAGAACAGCACGACTCAGAATCCAGAGCATCAGCCTAGCGAGGCTGCCGCAATCCCGGTTGTGGACTCTTGTTAGTTAGCCTTTGTTGTGGATCAAGCCTTCGCTAAATTATCAAGTTGTGCATCGATCGGTTCAAAGGAATACTCTTGCCGAAGGCCTTATCCTTACCGATGACCATACCCTAGCATCTAGCCTCTTTACCATAGTAGCATCAACATCGCCGAACTTACGGTGCCTACAATTGGTAGCCATGTGCTCGGCAGCGGACCCGCCTCGCGTGCAAAGTGAAGACAAAGAAATGGGGGGATACAAAACAGGGACCTGGAGACACCGACTGATCACAAGGGTTAGGAAGGACGAGAGGACAAGTATGTCAAGCGAGCTTTGGGCCCGCTGGCGCGGTGTTGGGTACGGCTTCCTCGATCCCGTTATGCAATGCTGTCCATAGGAGCCCTAACTGGTGATCGGGGTTGTACAATGACGTCCGATATTGCCGCTTCGATTTTGAGGAAGTTTTAATCATCGGTAACTAGAGTGACACCTTCTACGAGATCGATTATGCTTGAGTAAGAGTTTAACGATACATTTTAGGGGTTCAGAGGTTGGGAAGTGGTGGTTGACAATAGCAGGTAGGGCGGCAGGATGAATAGATTCGGCCTACCCGAGACGCTAATTATTAATAGCTTAGTCTTTCGGCTTATCGATAGGAAACTTGTCTCATATTTACCAACAATTGAACAGGCCCAGTTCCTCCTTGCTTCTTCAGTCTCGTCACTTTCCTTAGAGTAGACTACGTCTTAGAATATCATGCGTGTTTAACTGACGCGGACGTTCTAGATGACACCATCTTCGGCATCCCCAAGTTCAACACGGTGGAAGGTCGACACGCTCGAAAGTCGAACGCTGGAAATCCGATACGCTGGAATTTCGTCGTCGTCATGTGCTGTACTACCAGGGCCCATTTATGCCGCACCTAGACCTACCTATCAGATCATACTCGACAACGAGTTACTTAGTAATTCACATAGTTCTCTACGACTAGCCCACTCTGTTCCTTTGGACATTTAGCCTTACAGCCACGAGAATATCTCGACTGATATGGTCGTAACGAGTATTAGGAGCCAGTTGGATTGGGTCACTAGCTTGCAGATTTTGAAAGATTGGGAGTAGGATTGCAGGAACTAGGAGGCGATATATCCTTGGCTACCGATTAGCTGTGTTCAAAGCGCAACACATAATATACTCTGCTACCTTCTCCGAGAAGACAAAGTCCTAAACATAGTCAAATATTCTATTCCACTATTTGATGATACTAACAACACTCACTGCAAAGCCCGATCTCATGTTAGGACTTAGATACCTAGAACATCGCGCACGAATACAATCGAAGCTATTCAGGAGGTAGAAGACGTATCCAATATCAGAGTGCTCTAGATCAGTCATTATAGTATATAAGCTTACAGACCCAGCATTACAAACACCCGTTCATTGTTCCCGAGTGCCAAGATATAAGTGACATGTCGCGATCGGCCGGCCTGAGGTGTGTTTCAGATTTTCAAGACGATGAAACACGCAACGCAGCACCTCCCGACAGTCTCTTGGCACCCATTCTCAAGCTTCGTCGTGAACCGAATGTTCATTCTCTCAAGGATATTCTGGATACACTCGTCATGGCGATACCACGTCGCTTCATACTCATCATCTCATCAGTATTCCTCATCCTCTTCATCGCGCTATCATTAGCCACGGCGATAGAGATACGCGCACCGCTGCAGAACGTCTTCCGAATATCCCTCGCGCAAGCTGCGAAAGTGGGCAGTTCAAATAGTATAGTTGGAGCGAACGCGCTCCTCAATGGAACCGGATTCGATCGCGGAGATGTATGGAACGGGACGAGCATCATCTCGGGAGGAACGCCAATCCCAACTGCGATAACGAAAACACAAGAAGGTATGATTGGGTTCACGCCAACCCCAAGACCAAGTGCGAGTTGGAGTGCTGAAGGGATCCTCGGACCCGTGCATACACCTACACCATCAGTCATCACAGCGCCACGACCTCCACCAAGTAATCAGATTCCCATCCTCGCTCTGTCATATTCCAGGTCCGGAGGTCCAAAGCACTGCCGCGGTGAGCTTCTCCAAAAGATGGCTTTCGCGCCACCGATCGAAAAATGGAAGAATGGAACATGCATCAATCTCCCAAGCGAAGCGCGCTGTGGGGTTTTCTTCGCTGGAAAAGGCGACAATTGCGAGGCGCAGCTATTCAATATGGCTAACTGCTACAATACGACGCGAACATATGTAAATACTGTTGTATTTATGCCAGAGGAGCGAGCAGTTGGAGCGCTTTGGAGTAGTATGTGGGTGAAGTGCGGAGTTGAGGTGCCAGAAGCTAAGATGCTGGATCCAAGCATTCTGGGTGGATTATTGAAAAAACCTAGTGGTGGCTGAAGAGTCGTGCTGAATGTATCAACACAGCGTTGAGGAGCAGACTGTCAAGAGGGGCGGTGATCACCTCTTAAGCTACGACCCCGAAAAATGATGAGTCGGACAAAGCCACGGCAGTGAAAACGATTAGAACTCATCCAGACCTACGTCCAGATCTAATGAAGCGAATCGCAATAGTGCTCTTGCTTCGCGGATGCACATTTGGGCGTAATTTGGAGGTGAGGTGTCTTCATTTACGACGTCCTACCCGGTCCTCTTGAAGGTACTTCAGACTACATTGCTAGTCCATAAAGCAGCCAAAGCTTGACCAGGAAGAAGCCTTCCTAATCGCCGGCCAAAGTGAAGTTCCAGGATTCATATCAATCGCCTCCTATTCAATTTCGTCAGGATCCTTTTTCTTGATATCCTGTATCTACTTGTAATAAAACGTTAAGATGGCGGTATTCGCAAAACAAAAGCTAGTCTAAAACGGGTGTCCTTGCTTCATTGCCAGGAGATCTCCTATGTCTAGTTCCTCGACCAAATCATCGGGGTCCACAATATCTGACGGATCAGCCGTGTGCACATACTAGGTGTGATTCTCAGCACATGTCTTGCCTGCACCAATAGACCATACTTCCCACCTGGAGGACTCCAGGCACATGAGAAAATTTATCGGAGCGACTGTCCAAAAGAGGCGACGTTATCTCTGAAGGTCTATCTCTAAGCTCATGCGGGGGCCGGATCAGTAATGAGCTGAGAAATGATAAACTCAAGCATCTCGCGACTGCATTATGGAAAAGCTGAACAATGTGATTTGTGCTACACTGAGGGATGTAGTGAAGATGAGATGGAGCCCAATGTGCGGTTCGCGCTATGATTGGCGAGATCCTAATATGGTGATGTAATTGGGATGTTGGTACTAGCGCCAATGATTATCTCCAGACTGTCGCACATCATCTCATGCTGTCCACCATGAAAGTCAAAGTTAGAGTCCGAGAGACGCCGGGCTGTAAAGCTCGCTCGGAGTTCTCTACAAATCGTAGAAGCCGTATTGCAATATCGACCGGTACATGGTTATCATCGAAGCTTGGAGCAGCTGTGGAACAATCGGAGAATAGCTTTCACTTTCACTCTAATCCACCTTCACCTCGTCTCGCAAGGTTCTCCGTTGTATCTTATCGTCACCATGCTTCCCACCTGCACAAGCGAGTATATTCGACTCCCTCCATAGCCGTATAGCGCAGCTCTAGGCACCAAATGGCCGCCTCGACACCTGCAAAACTGAAGAGCCTGCGGGCAACTCTTGCCGCAAAAACACATCAAGAAGTGCTACGCATGTACATACAGAAACACGAAGTCGGTCTCCTCAAGCACGCCTTCCTCGTCACTGTGTATCGCAAGTGGTCCGCCAACCCACCATACCACCTCACTGAGCTCGGTATAACAACTTACGATCGGCAACGAGTCAATAACGGGCAGCCGGTACTCGCTGGACCCCATGCCGAGTATCTTCTCAAGCATGTTTGGTGCTTGCACCTCCGCATACGCTCGCACGCTCACCTTCCTTCTACCGGCGATGCCAACGCCTACCATTTCGGCACTACGACATTCGTTTCGCAGGAAGAGGCATTGCATATGCTTCACGAAATCTGGCATCAGCCGATGGATGAGGCAGATCCCGACAAGGGCTTGCGACCCATCGTATACATGTCCTTTGGTGACAATGACGGCATGGGTAAGATGAGAAAGACAGCTTTCGACTTCGATCCCTCGAGTATGAGCACTACAGTCGCTATATTGGATGCTCAGAATATTCCAGTCCAGGCCAAAATAACGCGCTCACAGACTGCGCCATTCGAGTATCTCCTGCAACAGTTCAAGATTCAGGCTTTCGATTTCGACAATGGCGGTAATGCAGCAATGTACGCCACCGTTATCGCTATCCTGTCGGCATTGCGCAATGAGCTTTATGGCTCGTTGGATAATCCCAGGGCCAAGGCAGGTCAGAAAGGACAGTCGAGCTCGAAGTCAGCGCAGAGTGTGATACAGTGGTTGATGGAGTGGCCTACTCCAGCTCCGCCAATCGGTGTTTCCATGTACTGCTGGCGTTGTGGAAGCGCTGAGCATAGCTTTACCGAATGCCCAAACTCGGATCTCGAGTGTAGCAAGTGCATGAACTCACCGCATACGTGGAGGAAAGAGAATGCGAGTACTCATACAGAAGGACTATGCATCTTCCGATGATAAGGGGTATGTTGGCTTTCTTTGAAAGCGTCGTCGCGGGGATACATGCCGAATCGCCAAGCCCTGTTACAGTACGAATCATCACTGTGACTCGAATCAAGGTGCAAGTTCTCAAGGTGCAGGTCTGCATGGCTCGAGCGAATATAATGGCGTAAATAAATAAAGCCTAATATAACGTAAACGGGATATCTGAGTGTCACAAACGCCCCACATTACATACCACCAATCAATCTGAAGTGATGACCTTTCCTGCACACCTCCTATTTCTCATCTTGCCTAACCTTAACTACAACCTTCCCCTTCGCCCTACCCGTCTTGAGCTTCTCAAACGCCTTGGGCGCATCCTCGAACTCCCACACACTATCCACCACTCCCTTCACCTTCCCCTCCTTCATAAATAGCCCCAACTGCCCAAGATCATCCACAGATGCTTTCGTGATGATCATCTGATAGCTGTTCTTCCCGCCGCCAAGAATATGTGGAAACAACATGTTACGCCCGGTCTGCGTCAAGCCACCAAGGCTAAGCGTCATCCCGACTTGCACGAATTTGCCGTGGGGAAGGATGAAGGAAGAAGATGCTTTGTAGAGGTTAGGAGGACTGCCGATATTGTCGATGATAAGAGAATAGGTGGGCCCCTTGGAAGTGAGAGCTTGGACAACATCTTCCTTCTTGTAATCAATGACTTCGTCCGCGCCCAAGCTCTTGCACAGCTCTACATTGGGTGTTGAGCATGTAGTCGTGACATTACATCCCAATGCTTTTGCAATTTGGATGCCAATCGCTCCAGTACCGCCGGAACCGCCATTGATAAACACGCTGTCTCCGCTCTTCACATTCGGCTTCGTAGCTTGGATTGCAGTCAACCCCACAATACCAACCCCGGCTGCATCTTCAACTTTTACACCCTCTGGTAGACTTGACACCATCTGTTTCGGCACGGCCACATACTGCGCCAATGTGCCGTCCTTTAGCGAGCCGATCTTCGCGCCGAAAACCCACTCGTCGACTTTGAACTCGTTGACGTTCTTGCCGATTTTGGCGACTTTGCCGCAGAAGTCGGCGCCGGGCGTGAGGTTGGTACCTATGAGGCGCAATGGCATGGGTCCTTCGGTGACTTTGTGGTCGACGGGGTTGAGGCCCATGGCGTGGACCTGTACGAGGATTTCATTGTCGGTGATGGTGGGTACGGGTGTTGCATCGTTGATTTTGAGGTGCTTCTCGAGGCCACCTTTCGTGCTGTTGTATTGCCAGGCTTTCATGGTTTGAGCCATCCTTGGTGTAGGATCGTTTGATAGGGTTTACGATAGGGTTTGGGTATGATCTTATATGTTGGTGGTTGGCCAAGTGCCCTGACGTGATAGTCACCCAATTTGAGTGGGGCATTCGCCACCATTCTTCACGACTCTGAATGCGGAACTCATGTTCATCCGGGCAGGGCTTTAGGGCCTTCCCCGGAAATGATCGCGTTGGATAGAGGTACTGTATTAAGATGTTCTATGTCCGTGACGAACCCCATGTGGGTATTCGCCGACGCTTCGGTAATCTTGTTCTCCCGCCGGCCCGCCTCAAGATCCGCTCGATGTGGATTATCGCGTACGTGCACGTAATCTTGGAGACTACGGTCGCGAACCAGCAGCCCAATCAGTCAAACAACACCATCAAGCTGATAGAAGTATGATGCAGGGCAATTGCGATGTTAATGACTGATGTCTGAATGTACGGAACGAAGGTGCTTCTCCTTGTATCGCATCAAGCCTGAGCGCCTTCCTAAAAGCCAAGCTAAGCATTCCTCGTTCATCACAACACTACCTCCCTCAATATGCAATGAACATTTGGTTGAAACCCGTAACGTTCCATGTCCCTGTTTGCGTGTTCAACGTCAAATTCGTCGGTACAGTCTTCCCACGCTGAAGCGCACCGCTCTCAACGCTGCCGTTCGCTACGTTCCTCTGCAGATGATTGGCACCAGCCTTTACAGTGAAGTTTGCAAGGCTGACTTCGAAAGGGTTGCGGAATGCAACAGATGGTGAGCCTAACAGAGTCAGTAGCGCATGCGCCAGCCCAAGCAGACGCGGGATGGAGGGGAAGGTTAGCCATGGGCTAACTCACCGTAGTACCGCGCATTTAGCTCTTCCGGTGAAATATGGAGCTCGTAATACCCCCGGTAGTATCCTTCCGCCCATTGAAGCTCCCTGTTGTCTCGAACTAGCCCTGCAGAGCGATCACTTGAATTTGCGATCGATCGACCCGCACCGTAGCCGGTGGAGGTCACAGCAGTTCCTGCAAACTCTACACCGATCGCGCCCGCCCCAGTAACCTGGTCGTATGGCGTCTCATCGAGCCATACGAGATCGGACACCCAGTTAGCGTGTGAGTCGCCTGCTAGGAATGCAGTGTTGGAGATCTCGTTGGAGTATAGATGGTGGAGAGTGCGGTTCCGGTTTGCCGTGTAACCCTAGAGGAAGGTTAGTTGCCGACTGAATGACCAGCTCGAGTGGACAATCAACTCACATCCCATTGATCAGCGTTCAACGGGTTTGTGTACACTGCACTGTTGTTCATTCGCGAGAAAATGATCTGATTGCCCACGATCCTCCAAGCAGCCCCTCGTTCTTTCGACTTGGACAGCTGGCGGTAGAACCAGTTTTCCTGTAAGCTGCCCATGAGCGAGCGACCGGCATCGTCCTTGAGTTTCTCGATGTAGTCATCGTTCCAATCTAGAGTAGTGATAGACCGGTCATAGTTGCGCGTGTCGAGCATGATCAAATCGAAGAGCTTGCCCATCTTGAAGCTTCGCCAGATGCGGAGGTTGTCGTCCATGTCAACTTGGCGGATACTGATAGTATGTCAGTACAATCACGACGGCAATGTACTCCAACTTACGGCATCCATTCGAAGTATGCTCGAACAGCATTCATCTTCCTTGAGTCAACACTAATACCTCCAAACTTCTTAAAGGAGGCTTCTGTGTTATTCATGCCGCTTGTGCCATCACGATAGACGTTGTTGGCTACCTCTATTCAACTATTAGTTGTGTTCCAGAAAAGGGCATATTGCAGCTCACCATGATCATCCCAAGTCGGAATCCATGCAAAATTCTGGTGAGCGAGGCGAAGGTCAAGGTCGCTCCGGTCTGTACGCGAGTTAGGTCCCATCCGAAGCTAAGTTATCCAGCATGCTTACATTGTCCAAGTCTGGTCCGGTAGTCTGCGAACTTTGTCAGTCACTATCGATGTTTATGCAGGATTTCAAACACTACCGTAAAGACTGAAAATCTCTTTTTCTGGGCTTGCAGCTCGTTGATCCTTGCCAATCTTGCCTTTGCTGTACTCGTAGATGTAATCCCCAAGGTGGACCTGTTCACGTCAATTAGCAAACGCCTCTGGGTGAACATTCTCTCTACGTACAAAGAAGTCCACTTTATCTTTTCGCGCTGCGTTGCCATACGCGTTGAAGTAACCCATGGGGTAGTTGCTGCAGGAGAAGACCGCAAGACTGATCTTTGAGACGGCATCGTCATGGTCCGGGCTTGTTTTAGTTCTTCCGGTGGGACTCTTATTGTTGCTGCCGCAGACATTGAACTGGTAGTAGTAGGTCTTGAATGGTGCTAGTTTCTTCGCCTCTACCTGTTCAAAATCAGTCAATTGTTTCTAACAAATTCCATTATAAAGCTTACCTTGACCGTGAAGTCGATATCAGAAGTGGTATAAGCAGTCCCCTTGTCGACTACAGTCGAGAAATTTCCATCTGTCCCGACGCGGTACTCCACACAGATCGGATTTGGCGAGGCTTTGATATACTTCTCAGTCTCGTGGCTGTAGAATGGCACGTTACCTGATACTGTCACATTAGACCCATCATTCACAAGGGATGGCGCGATGCGAGTCCACAGTATAACAGAATGCGGGTATGGGTCGCCTGATGCGACACCGTGTGTGAAGTTTAGTTGTGAAGGATCCCAAGGAGTAGCTCGCTTGACAAGGCTTCTCTTCGCAACCTTAGGCACATCTATGCCGAGGCCTTCATGTCGCCGTGAGGGTGAATGGTAATTGAGATTCGTATCGAACGATGCAGTAACAAGTGCAGCAAGAGAAACCGCAGCAAATAGAGACGAGCCCATCATGATGGCGAACGAAATATCTAGAAGCTCTAGTCAAGTTCCTACATATTGGAAGATCAGGTTGCCTTTATACCGCCACTCTACATATCGACATCCCGCGGTCTGTTTACTGGTATAATCATACTGCGACGTCAGGCCCACCGCCTGAAGCTGCTGCATCGCGCATTCGGTATCAGATCAGCATTAACAGCGACCAATCACAAGCAAGATATTGTCAGTGTGTATAACAGTGTCTGTCAATCGTCAACGGAGACATATGGACGGTGCGCATGTGCGGATGGAATGAAGTGGGATTGGTCGAGGGTGAGATGCATCCTAGGAGCTAGCGTACTTCCCGGACGTTACATCCTGCATGGTCTAGCCTGACGTAACTTGGTGCGAGAGGCCTGAGATATGAAGGAAAACGAGTAGAAGTGACCACACGTGGCAACAGAAGGTTGTTCGACGACAACGAGGATCGAGAGCACGTGGTCGGTTCGACCATTCATCGCTTAGTGCGATGGCCAGTGCACGAACTGCTCTGTAGATCAATCCATCGGGCCACTTCAAGTCTTCTACAAGCATACATTTTACACGATCACAATAACAAATGAGTTTATCGAAAGTGGCTACTGATCGAGGGTTTCAGGATCTTGCCAAAGTTCTGCATACGAATATACGAACGACGGTAGAATTCCATGTCAACTATTCAATTTTGTAAACGAGCTTCACGGCAGATACCTTCCCGTCCTTCAAATCCTGCAGCCCCTGCGGGATACCCTCGAGGCCATTTCGAAGCTCCGCAGGATGCGCCTTGATCTTCCCACTATTGAACAAAGCCTCTGACAACTTCCAAAACTTGGAGCCAAACTCGTAGTCCGCCTGATTCGCCTGGAACTGTTCGTTGAACTTCTCGCCCAGCGCCGTATATCCAAGTGTGAATGTGACTCTTACGTCATCTCGGGGGAAGTTCTTGACCGGCAAGAGTGTGGACAGATGGCCGCCGGTTGAACTGATCGCAGCTGCAGCGATGTCGATTGCGTTGCCTTCGGAAATGCAATCGAAGACTAGCTTCAACTTGTCGTTGGTCGCTTTGCGGATATTAGCGCCTACTTCAGGGTCCTTGTAATCGAACACTTGGTCGGCGCCTAGTTTGCGTAGAAGCTCGAAGTTATGCGGCGAGGCGGTAGCAATGACTTGGCAGTGAGAGAGCTTCGCGTACTGCACAGCGAGGGTGCCAGTTGCGGTAGATGCACCATAGATCAGGATAGGTGTTGGCTCTTGCACCTTGGCTGGCGGAAGGGGAAGGCCGAGTGACTGGTAGAGACCTTGACCCACAGTTGTGATGCCGACACCTAGGGTTGCAGCATCTTCGAAGGGAATGTTGTCTGCCACCTTAAGGTGGATGCCTACTTTGGCTTTGATATGTTCGGCGAAGGTGCCGTTGGAATGGTCCTTTGGATCACCTGGTGGATGTTAGCAATCGTTCAAGAGAAGAGGTGTAGACTGTCTCACCTCCGTGGGCAAAGCCAGCAATCCTATCGCCAACTTTCAGATCAGTTACGCCCTTGCCAACCTCTTCGACAATACCAGCATAGTCACATCCAACAATTGCCCCCGGTGATGGACGGTAGACGATGCTCTTCCAGTCCGTCGGATTCAGGGCGACAGCTTTTGTCTTGACGAGAACCCAATTGTCGCCCGGGAGCTTGGGAAGAGGAACGTCGCTCCGTAGCTCCGCAACGCCCTCGGAAACGTGGACAACTGCTCTTTGCGTGGACATGTTAGAAGGGAGATGGTACGTGAGCGTAATAAAAGGTAGAAGAGGACAGTGATGAATGTGTTGATTTGATAGCTACAGAACACTGAAGCTCTATACACATACTTATTACGACGAATACTCTCTTGCGCAATAGTGGATTTGTAATACCAAGTGCGATGAGATCATCGGTCAATTCTCGGGGCAGTTTGTTCGCGGCTTAATCAAGTCGTGAAGCCCGAGACGCGTAAGACAACCTTGGAGGGCCTAATCAGATTATACAGACGAGTGAATGAGACAAAGGCCCATATATACAGACACAAGTGAGACAAGGCCCGTGTTCCGTGCTCAAGCGGGGAGCGCGCCAAGAGTTTGTGGAGAGCAAGGGTCCAGCCTCCCAGCGCTTTCAACCTTGACGCACTCACGACCAAGCCAAAGGATCACGCACGCAATATTGAGACTCCTACCAGGTAGAGCTTCTCACGGCAACCATGGCCGATCCACAACAGCAACAGCAGGATGAGGACCTAATCTTAAGCTTCTTCCCTGATCCTCCCCCATTTTACCGGCACTTTACCGCAGAGAACCGGGAGCGCTTGGGCGAGATTGAGAAGGAAGCTGCAACTGGTGATGGTGAACTTGCAACTTCTGCCCTTGGATCATATCTCTCCGCAGAGCAGATCCTTGCCCTCCCGACCGAGCTTCGATATCTCATCCCACCCGCACCGCCCGCAGACGATGAAGAGTTCAAGGTCTTTGGCGAGGCGACGAAAGCGAAGGGATCAGATCTCTTTAGCAAGAACATGGAGCTTATAAGTCACAGGATGAAAGAAGAGGGTGTCTTACAAGATTGGACATACGAGCAACTCTACCACACCACACCCCCCTCTCAACCCACCACGACATCCACACCCACAACGCTCGACCGCCAAAACTACCTCTTCCGCTTCCTACGCTCCATGCTCCTCTCCTACATCTCGCTCCTCGGCCTCGTCGCTATCGACCCCGTCTCCCCCGCCAAAGACGACCAAATCGCACATATCCTGACCATGGTGACGAATATGCATGCCCTGATAAATGAATATCGGCCGCATCAGGCGAGGGAAACACTGATTGCAAAAATGGAGGAGCAGCTCGAGCGGAAAGTGAAGGAGGTCGAGGGCGTGAGGAAGGTAGGAGAGAGGGTTCGTGGGGTGCTAGAGGGGTTTAAGAATGCAGTTCCGGGTGAGAAGGATGAAGCCAAAGTGGCTGATACTATTGTAAATGACGAGGATAGGGCTCAGATGACTCAGGCACATATGTGGGGGTCTGTGGATGAAATTTTAGGGCAATGAGAGCGGATCAGAAACAGCCTACGAGCTCAACTATATGCTCCAGTCTCGAACAGGGACATTCAGTTCTTCTACACGCAACATGGTTGTGCCACTAGGACCTGGATGAAGCCGACATGAAGGCACTTGGCACACAGTTCCGCTAGCAGCACCGCGGCGCATGACGTCACGATGTCAAGTATAATCTCAAAGACCTAACTCAAGCAAGGATTTGGCCCGGTGTGCTTTGGTCACCACTTCGTGTCGGGGTCCGCTACATTCCGCCGGGTCATATGAATGTGCGACACAGGGGCGTTTGGCACGCGGGCACCCTGGACACCATCAACAAGCGGCAACTGCACCTGATCAGCGAACACTACTTCAGCGCCTGATACAGGAAATAAGCAAGAACGAGTGGGAATTGTATGCGTACCTCATATATCTGGTTGCGAAGAGCCTGACTCTTACGTCTCCCTGTCAGCCACCTTTCTATACCTCAGGCCTTCCTTGTTATCTTCACCACGACGTGAACTTCGAACTTATCCATACAACAGCATCACTTCGGACGCATCGCCATGCCATCAACGACCTCCACTCGTCCCCCAAAGCGGCTTGTCATTTTCTGTGATGGAACATGGGTCGGCCGCGAAACCAATGTTGCAAACGCGCCCGCGAGCAACATCCGGCAACTCGCAGATATGGTGGGCGATGTACAGTACACCGAAGCTTCGGACAAGAAAGCTGCAAGAATACATCTTATCAAGCCTCATTCACCGACCACTGTGCACTTCAATCATCATGCGAGAGGAATCGATGGGTTTGACGGAAGAAACATCATCGCAGGTTACCAAGAAGGCGTTGGTCTAAATGGAACTTTTCTGGAGTATATCTGGGATGGCGCAACCGCTTCTACGATTGGAGACGAGTGCATAAGCGTGTACAGGTTCATTGTCGAAAATTTTACCTCCGACCATGAAATCTGGCTTTTCGGCTTCAGTCGTGGCGCCTTCACAATCCGATGTGTAGCAGGTATGATTAATAACTGTGGCATAATTAAACAGTCTCCTGAGCACACCAACGAAGAGGTGGATAGACTGTGCTATGAAGTGTTCCGCACGTATCGCTCCAAGCTCCCCGTTGATGCACCGAAGAGCGAAGAATGTCGGCGGTTGAAAGGAGACGGGAAGAGGGTGTGGCAAGTGCAGAGGCCGATTCGGGTTATGGGGTGCATTGATACCGTGGGCGCCCTTGGCATACCCCGTCTCAATGCTGGGATAGGGTTTGATTGGAGCCCCCTTGAGTTCTTCGACCAACATGCCTCTTCTGTAATCCAGTACGTCTATCATGCGCCCGCACTACATGATCGGCTGTGGATCTTCCAGCCCTGCCTGATATTCCCCGGCGTAGGTGAAGGGAACGATAAACCAATGGTAAAGCAACAATGGTTTCCTGGCACGCACTACGACCTAGGACGAATGACCTTTCGTTTCGTCCGCCAGAGTCCTGGGAATTGGATTGAGGGGCTACTTGGATGGTTGCCCGATCTTCTGAGTAGGACGATATATCCAAACGAAGTACTAAGCGACTGTGTGCTTAGATGGCTGCTGGAGAGCGTTCAAGAAGCCGGATCCGACGTTCAGAATCCCATCATCGCGGATATTGAGGACCAGGTCCGGAGAGTAAGCGAGCGTCTCGTGGGTACACAGGCGAAGAGTACCGGGAGTGGCGACATCTACGGTGACGTGTTAAACTACGCACCAACCGGTATCATTTGGGGCAGTATACAGCGCGCATCTCAATTCTTCTTCTCTCTCCTGGACCACGTTCTCCCAAGACTGGGCAGCAATATTCAAGACTTGCTGGGCATCAAAACGATCATCGGCATCTTAACAGCCACTGCCGATAGACGCATCCCAGGTGTCGCTGCAGACATATACCCATACACCAAGAAAGAAAGCGTAATGGTCAAGGGACAAGAGTGCGTATTCAGTATACAGGAGCAGGCGAAGATGGGAGGGAAGAATGAGTGGGGGAAGGAGAGGTATGCGAGTAGGACATTTGAAACCTTTCTCCTTTGGAGACGGGTGTTCGGACGAGGCGGACAGATTGATGTTCCAGCGCCGTCTGTTTCTTAACATTATGTTTTCTTTTGAGCAATACCTATGTACGCAAGTACGCAATGTGTCGTCTTCACACAGTACCCCTCATCTTTCTCCTCCCAGACTACTCACTCAGATACCCCACACTGTCACCCAGATTCGACGCCTGACGTTCCGGTAATCAGTCGGAATTCACAGGGTGCTACACTCTGCACGCGACTTCGAAATTTCTCATGACAAGTTTCTTCGTACTCAGCCGCACAGAGATGGAACTAAAAGGAGATCCAGCCAGCCACCCATGTGCCGCTCTCCCTACGAAAGGAAAAGTAACGCCGATTCAATAACTTTGGCTCGCCTTCCCCCCTTTCTGTAGAAGATTTCCAAGCCACGTAGCTTAAGTGGCGCTAGTTCAAGCCTCCAATGCAGGGTCCTTTCCACATCGAGCACAACCACATCGATAGTTCGGCAGCCCCGTCAATCTCGACGCAGATTCAGATGGAGGCCTAGGCCAGCCATCGACATCGCGCTGGTTTTCACCAATTAGGACTCTGAGCCAGGGGCGCCCACATGCGTCGGCGCACGTGGCTTGTCCCTTTACAGCACTGCATCTCGCTACTGAGCCGCATCTCGCTTATCGACCATGGGCATGCACCAAGATACCTGGCCATAGTGCCTTCCATGAGGCTGATATTGGAAGTATTGCAGGTCTTAATCTACGACTATACTGTGGCTGGCTAGGGTCGAGCGGCAGGAGAGTTTCTTCTGGGGGCCCGATTCATGATTCATGCAGGCATGTCGTTATCTTATGATCTGCTTTTCCTCCACACCAGAGGTACTGCTTGATCCTCGCCAGTCGCTTTCTCTGCGTGCTCTTCCGGTCTGTTCTGTGGTGTAGCACTCGTTGTATAACAGTCATTTCAGTATACTGATACCACTACACATCGAGAATGCGTACAGCTTTCATTTGGGCCTTAACGGCCTTGACTGCTGTGTCTGCTCGAGTGAGCAACACTGGTCGCTGTGGTGCAGCGAATGGCGGCCTTGTTTGCACGGGCTCGTCCTACGGCAATTGTTGTTCCCAGTCAGTTCATCTAGGCAGTAATAGTTGCGGGACGTAGACTGACTGTGAATTTCAGATACGGCTGGTGTGGTAGAACTTCAGGTAAGTAAAACTCCACGTAGGACTTGTATACCAGACATATACTAACTCTTTTTCTTTAGCTTATTGCGGAACTGGTTGCAACTCAGGTTTCGGTACTTGTTCGAATGTTGCTTCGTCTTCGGCGCGCGTCTCGACACTCCGTACTAGCACTCGTTCATCCTCCACCGTCAGCTCGAGTACACGATCTTCGTCTGCGGCTGCTGCATCCTCTACACTCAAGGTCTCCACGAGCGCTCGCTGTGGATATGCGTTTGGTGCGACGGGTGGGTTTACCTGCGCAGGGTCCAAGTTTGGAGATTGCTGCTCGCAATATTCGTACTGGTATGCAGCCTGCGTAAAACTATACCAGCAAAGCTAATTGGTCTTGTACAGTGGTTCTACTTCAGCCTATTGTGGAACGGGCTGCCAGCCTGGATTCGGAAAGTGCAACGGCGCGTCTTCGTCGGTTCGATCGGCTTCTACCTCCTCCACGCGTGCCAGCTCGTCTTCGACCGCCTCCTCAAGCCGTGCAGTGTCGTCTTCAGTTGCATCTTCCACCATCTCTTCGAGTTCATCAACACTGGTCGTACCATCTTCGTCTTCGGTCGTCTCTTCAGTAGCAACCAGCTCGTCGTCTGTAGCTTCATCTTCAGCTCAAACTTCGTCATCATCAGTGGCTTCCTTGACTTCAGAAAGCTCGGCGTCTGGGGCCTCCTCTACGCAGCTTAGTTCATCGCTCTCGACTCCATCGATTTCATCCACGCAGTCAAGTTCCGCTATCAGCTCAACTACGGTATCGTCGTCTACAAGTGAATCTGCTTCCTCGTCGAGTGCGGCGAGCTCGTCTGCCGGGTCCACCACAGCCAGCTCGTCTAGCTCTTCGTCTAGTGTTGTCTCTTCCAGCCTCTCCTCAGACATAGTCTCGAGTTCTCCCACCGCCTCGTCTGCAAGTGCTTCCAGCACACCAGCGCCCACCTCAAGCTCGCCGGCAGCCTCTTCAACTACTAGCGAGTCCGCCTCGTCGAGCGCATCTGGCACTCCGTCCTCGTCCAGTGAGCTTGTTTCAGCTTCATCGTCCAGTGCACCGGAGTCAGCATCCTCATCTAGCGCATCTACCAGCGCGTCTTCCTCGAGCGCATCTGCCAGCGAATCTTCCTCGAGCGTGTCAAGCATCCAGCCTTCCTCTACGGAGTCCGCGTCTGTCTCCTCGATTGTTTCTGTCTCGGAATCGAGCTCCAGTGCCTCGGCAGTTGGGTCTATTTCTAGCCAGGCAGCATCTACTACGTCCGATGCCAGCCCTTCTAGCACTCCTGAGGTCGCTTCCAGCACATCCTCGGCCATATCAAGTTCTTCTGAGGTCCCATCTTCGAGCTCCTCCTCGTCCTTCTCAACCAGCACTTCTGAACTCGCCTCTAGCACGGCTTCTGCTATTTCAAGTTCGGACGTTGCCTCTAGCTCCTCTTCAGTTGTTTCAAGTGCTTCTGAGGTTGCCTCTAGCACGTCTTCTGCTGTCTCAAGCTCTTCGGACGTTGCCTCGAGCTCCTCTTCAATGGTTTCTTCAAGTGCTTCTGAGTCCGCCTCTAGCACTTCCTCGGTGGTATCGAGCTCCTCAGTCATGTCCTCAAGCGCATCAGAAACGAGTTTAAGCACGACATCGACTATCTCAAGTTCTTCGGACGCTACTTCAAGCTCTTTCTCATCAGTATTTTCAAGCGATTCCTCCAACGTGGTTTCAAGCACTTCGTCTGTAGAGTCGACAAGCACGCTCGAACCTACGCCGACGACGCTTTCGACGCTCATATCGTCCAGCTCTCCCGCCGCGCCTTCATGCTTCAGTCCCCAGGCCACGAACTATGTGTCCAACCCGGGCTTTGAGTCTGGTTCGCTCAGTCCATGGACTACGCAACAAGCCGTGCCTGTCTCGCCAAAGATATGGACGATGCTGGTCTCCTCCGAGTCTGGCGTATCAAGGCCCGGTGGCAACTTGGGACTCAAGGGCGCTACAACGTCCACAGCCGCAACTACCATTGATGTTTCTCAACCCATCAACAATCTCGCCCCTGGTACCACTATCAATGTCGGCGGTTACGTCAAGTCACTCCTTGACGCCGTTAGCGCTGGTACAGTAACATTTTCGCTATATTTTGACGATGTACTACTTGACCAGTTGGTGAGCACGCCTGGGACCACCAAAGTCTATCAGATGCTGTCTTCGCCGTCGGCTTTCGTTGTTACAGGAGGCGATAGCCACACACTTAAACTCCGGGTCGAAGCTGCAGGTTTCAGAGGAGCCATTTTCGCAGCCGACGATTTCTATGTCATTGTAGCGTCTGGGCCTGGCGACGTCCCTGTCTGCAATCCCACGCCTGCACCAACGCGCGCCTGCTTCTCTGCACAGTCGACCAACTATGTCAGGAATCCTGGATTCGATAACGATCCAGTGCTTGACACGGCTATGGCCTACTGGAGTGTATCGCAAGGGTCTGCTTATTCTACAAACTCTTGGGTCTGGGACTATGCGGGCCGTGGAGGTGGCAATGGATTCCTGGGCTTCACCATTGCCGGCGACGCCGGGAAAGTGGACAGCACACAGTTCCTCAAGCAGGAGAACATCAACATCCCCGAGGGTGCTATCATCGACATCCGCGGCTACGTGAATCCGCGGCGTGCGAGTACTGTTGACAAACCACTCTCGTTGACGTTGAAGTTTGACAATCAGGTAGTGCAATCGTACACTCCTCAAACTACAGGTTTCACCAGGATTGGAACGACTTTTGGCAGCCGTAGTAACACACGGGTTACCATAGTTGGGTCAGGGCCTCACACTCTTTCTCTGGAGGTTCGCACCGCGGGTGTGGAGAACGCAGATATCTATTACGCAGATGATTTCGAGATCAAGGTAGTTTCTGGACCTGGCGGTCTGCGACTCTGCCCGTCTTAGAGGGAAGTAGTTTGCAATGCTTGGAATTTAGATCATGTTCGTAACTTTGCCTTTTAATTGAGAAGAGGAACAAGTGATGCAGAGACGATGTACCAGGTTTTTCAGCTGGCCAATCAAATGCACCAAACGTGTTTTGTTTCAAGATGCCCATGGCTCCAAAGGCTGAAGCAGCCGATGTGCCCCAAGGGGAAGGTGCCACCTCCGCATGACGATGTACATGTTGTGTTTAGTACTGTAGTTGGGTCGTGTGTGGCGGTGAGTCGGTGCTCAGTGTTGTATATGCGAGCCTCAGACGTGGAATGTGGCACAAGGCAGACGTCGAGGATTCGGTGACACGAGCATGTAGCAGCCGCCCGTACTACGGCCCGATGTCTTCAGTGTTGTTCATTGTTCAGTATTATGCTCTTTTCTGGAGTTGCTTCCTGTGGCGGTCTCCAAAGGACGACCTCGGTGAGGCCGTCGGCGAGGCCATGCATGATAGGGCCCTCTTTAAATGAAGTTTGCAATTTACCCCAGGACGATTACGGCAGGCCAGATGAGAGAGACCAAGGAACAGGCTAGCGGCCTACTCTCTTGAGCGTGCTGAAGCATGGGCCGAACGCAAAGAATGTGGCAGATCCAATGAGACGCAGGTACAACGGAGCCGGGTAGCCGCTGGTGTAGGGGAAAGTCCCAAGTCCAACACCAAGAGAGACCCAGACAGACAGAGTGGCCGCGGGCTCCTTCAACACCACTCGTGCTCGCCTTGCGCTCTGCCAGAAAACACATAGACGCTGGCGCTGCGTTTGAATTTCTCGTCGGTCTCTAACCTACTGGCACCCATTCGCTTTCTGCGGCTCTCGCGCCTTGCTGACGCCCTCGCTCCGAACCCAATTGCTCGCTGCCCTCCTCGCTCGCCTGCCTTCACCGCGAGACTACAATAGAACCCACACAGCGACGACACGGCCATTGTCAATCCTCATATATACCGAGTCACCGCCGTCGGAACCCGCTCGTCCGCTGTCCATCAAGGAGCTCCAAGCCCTGACCTGCGCATCTCCGACACAACGTGCCCCACAACCGCCTTCGCATCATGCGCACGGCACCTTACTAGCATCCCGAACGCGCACTCCCTATTCTCCGCTCTGGCTATCAAAAGCGGCTTCCCTGTCACTCTTTCGCTCTGCTCGCTAGTGGTGAGCAGCCGGCCTGTCACCACCACACTCTCTCGAATCTATCCTTTGAACAAAGACGCCTATCCGGCACTCTGAGCGCAATTCCATGTGCTAGCTCAAGCCAGTCCTTATACCGACAGCTGGACTGCACGAGATACTACCCGTTGAGCGGACGCACAAACCGAGTAATACCAAACAACACCAACCATGGGCTGCTGTGGAGATCGCGAGAAGGGCGTCACCGTCACCGAGGAGCAGAAGTGGGACTACGTTAACCTCTCAGACTTCAAGTCATCCTCCTGTCTTACGCCCTTTTCCTATGTCTGGCTATGGATCCTCGTCATCGTCTCCTGCGCCGTATACGCCGCCGACGCCTTCACCGCCGTCAACCTCCTCGCCTTCAACAAGTGGTCGAGTCAAGTCAAGCCCAAGGTCCCCTTCGAGGTCGCCAAATGGATCTTTGCCATCACCATCATCATCTCCTACCTCTTCCTCCTATACCGATGGATCATGTGTCTGCGTGTCATGCGCTCAGGGAGCGTAACGGAATGCTATCTCGAGCCTCTCGCAGTCATACTGCAGAGTATGCGACTGACCAAGAGCGGCCAGGGCTGGCGACGCTTCCTGGTCTTTGCCGAGTTGACCAAGAGTAAAAAGGGTGCCAACTACATCGCTCTCTTCGTCTACTTTCAGTTCAAGAGCGCCCTGCTCGTCATCGTGGCCCAAGGCCCTCGCGTCGCCATCAATGGTATGACACTATACGCCGTCATGCAAGCCCAGCTTCTCCCCATTGGCGACCATGCCTCCAAAGATCGCTCAGGCTTCGAGCAGTTTTTCCTCAACATCAAGGTCATGGTTGAGCAGGGCAACAAGCAGGAGACGGTCATCTACTTCACCATGTTGTTCTCGTTGGTCATCTGGGTCTTTGCTGCTCTGGGCCTGCTCATCTCTGCCTTGCTATACATCTTCTTCCTTTGGCACTACATCCCCCGAGCTGACGGAAGCCTGACCAACTACTGCCGTCGCAAGGTTGAGACTCGTCTGGAGCGCATCGTGGGCAAGAAGATCAAGAAGGCGATAGAGAAGCACGACCAGCAGCGAAGACGAGAGGAGCAAAAGGCCATCAAAAAGGGAGCCCTCGACCCCTCACAAACGCGACCCACGCTCCCGAAACTTGGCGGACAGGACGGTGATACCTCTTCCATCTTTTCGATACAGCGATCGGATACCATGAGCTCGAACACCGCCCTCCCGCCACCCTACTCGTCAAACGCGCCGTCCCGCACGAACACAATGAACACGATGAATACCAACGGGAGCATGTCGAAGCCGTCACTGCTGTCGAAGCCGTCACTACCGTCGCTAGATGAGAGACCTGGCATGTCAACCAGAACAACTACACAGGGCACAAACTATTCTACAGCAAGCTATGGTTCAAATGCACCGCTCCTGAACCAAGCTGGCGGCATGGGCAGATCGTCACCAGTACCTACGATGCCAACCCTAGACCGCAATGGCGATTCGTTCGGTGAGCAGCCACCACGACCCTATGGCTCAGCTGGCGGCATGGGAAGGTCATCACCAGCACCTACCCTGCCACCTCTAGACCGCAATGGTGATTACTTCGGCGAGCAGCCACCTCGAGCTTACGGCTCAACTGGCCGGCCATTCTCGCCAATGTCTCAAGGCAGGGCATCTCCACGTCCACCTCGTGGACCTCTTCCACCTGTCGATACGAGCTACTCCAGCAGACGATATGAGTCTGACCCTCAGCTCATCTCGCCGCTGCCCAGTGACGTGCGAGGCCCGCCCTCGGTTCAATCGAACCGACCGTACCCTGAGTTCAGTCCGTTTGATAGCCGTGGGCCACAGATGGGGCCTGCTTACGAGCTATCCCCTGTTGATGTGAACCCCGTGGATGACATTCCTCCTTACTACTCGAATCCACACGGCTCGGACGATTACCACCAGCCACCTCAGATTCCTAGTGTGTTGCGGGCCGGATCTCCAGCTATGTCGCAACCGTCTGGCTTACCGCATCACCCACGCGCCGGTACCGCACCTCCGCGACCTGGGCTACCCGCGAGCCTGCAATCGGCCATCCAGCGCCGCGAAGCTTCACAGCCGCTCCCGAATAGAGGAATGAACAGCTCCGTCCAGCAGCAACGAAGCGCAACTGCGCCTATTCAGCAACAACGCAGCGCGACTGCACCCGTTCAGCAACCAAGCTGGAACCAAGCACCTGCACCACGCAGCTACACTCCCTCAGCACCTCGAAACTACGACAATAGCTACGGCTATTAAACCACTCTTTCTGCTCGAGTAGTTCCTTCTCTACCCAACGACATGTCATTTGCACGTTTGATACCATGCATAACACGGCGTTTTTTCTTTCTGCCATTCTATTGGACACAAAAACCCTCTTCTGTTCGTTTGTATCCTTTCGCTCTCATCATGAATTGTGAGATGAGATGGCTTGACGACCTTATTTTTTTTTTGTTTCCTACTTCTTGATCTGAGATACCCACACGCTTACCGCTGGTCTCGGACGTCCGTTCGCTTTTCTTACTGGTGGACAAGAGGGGGTTGCATTTTGGAGATGTTTCATGATCATGTGGAGGCATGCAGGTGTGGGAGGACAATGTGTGCGTAACGTGATGGTAGCGTGCGCTATGAGGGTCATGTGTACTACTCTGTACTACTTTTTGAATGAAACGATATATTCTGACTACAATATTGGTTCTTTCGGTCATGCTGAATTGTTATGGTCGCATGCAAATGTCGTGCCATGTTCGTTCCGTTCCTAAATTCCAAAGTCCACAGATTCATACGTCTTTAAACTACGGCAGTAAGATGGCCGGCTCACGGGAAAACGTAGTAGAGTAACCCCCTTTCCAGAAGATTTACCCCTTCTTAGCCGAGGAGGATAGATGGACTGAACCATACCACGCTGACTACTGACTCTCCCCCTGACCGAAAAACAAATAAACTACCCGGGCCTCACAATCAACTCCGTCTGAGGGATATTGCCATGACATCACATCCATAGGAGCAGTGCTTATTTATCGATAAGCTTGCATACAGTGGGCGTTTGCCCTGCGTTTGGGGCTAAAGAAGGTGCATTGTGGTCTAAGGGGAGGACTACAGCAGGCTGACAGCAGGAGCAGTGCGTGGAGAAAGCGTGCATGTGATGGTATTTCTGTGTATCTTTGGTGTTTCGGTTGATGCGGTCAGCTTGGTTGAGCCCGTAGCTGCGTCATTTGTGTGTGCGTAGTGGAATCGGGGAGTCTGTCTGGCCCGTCTTGCGCAAGCTGTTGAACAGGTGCCGACGAGAAATCATGCAGCACTAACAGGGAAAAGAGAAAAAAGTAAATGGGACATTCAGTCATAGTCATAGCCAGCGACAGGGAAAACTTTGCAGTTGTTTTCATCGGATTGCTGATTGGAAGAGGGGCAAGAAAGCGACAGCCAGAGAAACCCACTTGCATTTTGACTTACTGGTCCAGTTCGGCGGTTCTTGACAGCGCCCAGCAATGACAACCCACAACATCGGACGGGGCTTTTCTCAACATGGCTGTAGCTGTCTGTGTTCTGCATCTGACTGGCGGAAATCACATGCCAGTACCAGATTTTTCTTGGTGCATATGCAACCCACCACCACGTTGCGATAAACTCTTATCGACCCGTGTGGCCCCGGATCCACAGCCGCGACTTCGGCAATGCGTTAGCGGAGAAAGACACTGCTCCGGTGCAGGTGGCTGCAGATGGACACCGCGAAGAGCAGGAGAGTTGTCGTACGTTTGTGTTGCGGCACGACTCACGACTGACAGTGCGGGAGGATTACTTACGTCGACGAGGCCAGGTTGCTATGGACAGTCGGAATGGAGAGTGTCAGAACCAAAAGGATGTTGTGGCAAGTGACTTGGGCTAGTGACTCTACTTTAGCTGCTGCCAAGTAGAAGAAGCAGTTCTCGCAGAATCTCAAACCTGTGGTTGTTGAGAAATGAGACATGTGCGATCTTGTGTGCCCCCGACGCAGATGACGACGCGGCCTCTGTGGTGAGGGTCTGGAAGAGTCAGTGGCTCCACCTGCGTTCGCGGCGACAGGAAGCAGGGGGGCAGTAGGTCCCAATCACAGCAGACTGTCCCCACTGCAGCGGTGATCGCAATTGCGCGGCCATGATTTGGGTGCTGGGGTCTCGTCGTGGTTGAGCATTTGTGCCGTTGCTTAGCGGGGGGGTTGCGTGCCGGAGTTGTTGATGTGCGGTGTTGACGACAACAACATGTCGTCGTCGCCTATGCTGTTGTCGCTTGCGGCCCGGGAAAAGGGCAAATGGAAGGCCCACACGTAGGCTCCCAGGAATAGAGCCTGTTTTCTGCGCAACGCAAATGAATGCTGGCACTGGGCCATGGGTGAAACCCGCAAAGCCAAGCGGTTCCTGATCCAGGCACACCAATGGGGCGTGGGCTGGCTGAGGCGCCACGGGGCAGGCGCGGCGCCCAATTGGCCTGGTCTAGATGAGCTGCGTTGATGGGCCGCAGCGCGCTATGCCCCTTTGGCCCACAGGGAGATGAGATGGGGCTCCCCGGCTGAAGTGCCCTCTTGAACACTCGCCTGGCCGCTTTCCTTTCCCTTTTCTCTCCTTCACCGCTGTCCAAGCTATAACTCACCCTATTGTCCCTCGCTTCTTTGAATAAGTAATTCGCGCGTTCACTCCTTTACGCCCGTCTTGCTCCATCGCTCGCTGTCACTCCTTTCGCAGTCAAACAACACTCAACTTTTAGCCGCCCATTTGCGCACCGCGACACGCCGTAGAACGAGGTTATCCTCTCTCTGCTGTATAAAGTCCGACCCTTTCGACAAGCAACCCCCCAACCCAATCTCAACATGCGCTACTCTTCCGCCGTGGTGATTAGCACCCTCGCTGTTGGCCAGGCCGCCGCCTCCAACATGCACAACCGTCACGCCAGCTTCCATGCGCGCCGTCAAGCGTAAGCAGTCGGAACTCTTCCTCGTCTCCTGGTCCTTGCTAACATGTCGCAGTGATACCAAGCGCGGCGCTGAAGCCGAAATCGCCTGGGACAAGATCGCCTACGACCTCAAGGACGTGAACTGGGAAAAGGTCAACTGGAGCTCCGTCTTCAACACCCCAACTCCTACCCCGGTCGTTGCCCCCACCCCAACTCCCGAGCAAAAGAAGCCCGAGTACAAGGCGCCTGAGGTCAAGAAGCCTGAGCCTACCACCACCAAGGAGGCGGCCAAGCCTACCCCAGAAGCCAAGAAGGAAGAAGCCCCAACTTCGACCAGTGCAAAGGCCCCGGAGCCCTCGGTGAAGAAGGAGTCGATCAAAGGCTCAATCAAGGACACCCTCAGCGACGTCGTCTCCGATGTGCTGAACGGTGTCGCCGGGATCGCAGGCAAGGTTGGCGCTAAGATTGGCAAGAACGACAAGAGCAACAACGGCGGTATTTGGATTGGAGACGACAGCGACTGGCAGGCTGAGTTCACCAACGACGCCAGCAAGAACGCTGTCCTGTACTGCTGGAAGGCCAACGGCTTCTCCGGTATGTCTGTCAACGTCAACGTGCCCGAAGTCTCCGTCGGCCTCAAGCCTGGCGAGAAGGTCACCCTCTCGTTCGCGCCCAATGTCCCTGCTGCCTGTGCTCCGGCTTTCATCGACACTTCCCTTGCCATCTTCGGTGGCTGGGACCAGACCTGGTTCGAGGTCACCTTTGGCCAGTTTGGTGCTTTTGACATTTCCCGCAACGTCAACATGAACGGCTGCAACATCAGCTCCAAGGGCTCCAAGTGCACCTCCGACATGAACACCTGCGTCTTCAAGTGCAAGGACAGCAGCGTCAAGTCCTGCGAGAAGGGCGCCGACTACGATCTCTTCAACTGCGGCGCCAGCTCTGGTGGCGGCGGCGGTTACGATACCGTCATGGCCGGCACCGGTGGTGGTTGCGCCATGGGCTCTTCAGGCGAGAAGATCTCCGTCAACTTCTCTTAAGTCGATGATGATGATGCCCTCTTTCAGTTCAGGTTGGAGTTATAACGTCCTTCTGGTCGGTTTGTGCATACCCTTCTCTCCCATATCCCTCCACCGCTTTTTGGATAGTAGTGCTCGACCACCTCGGCAAGCTCGTGGACATTGTTTTCTTCTCGCACGATACCCTCACTTCTCTTGGGTATTGGTCATCGTCTCATATAGGCGAGGGAGTTGTCCATCTCGGCTCTTACAGAGATCAATGTGTATTCGCTTCAATGTCTAAATTTGTTAATGTCTGCAAATCAAAAAAGTCAAAAATAACTTCGCCTACTTGATCCTAGTGATTTGCTCGTGTCGCTTCGTCTGCAGTGTACATTAGCCGCAGGGCGGCTACGTACCTTGTCGCTCAAATTAACGCTCCATCCGTTCCGACCAACCGCAGAGAGACGCTCAGGGGCAGCGCTGGGATGCAAGATCCTACCGTGGGTGGCGAGTGGCTTCAGCTCGAAACGAAGCGCAAACTGTAATATGGCGGACATGGCGTTGCGACCAGTCGAGAACGAAGTAATATTCCTAGCGCTAAGAAGAAGGCGCAATTGAGAACCAGACGAGGTGCAGGATGAGAGAGGCGCAGCTACGAAGGCAAGAAAGAACGAGAGAGAAGAAGGGAATAACGATGTGAAGTAGAAGAATACAAGCGTAACGCAGCTGCTTGCATGTAGGCGAAGAGCGAGGGTCAAGGACGAGCAGATTGTACGTGTCAAGCGTCGAGGTGAGAACCATGGAAGAGTCAAGTGTTGAGGATAGTGAGTGGTGGACAGGCGCCCGTCCAGGCAGGAACCGTGGTTAAGGAAGGCGCGATGGCGTAAGAGCGAACCACAACATCGACTCTTCTTTCTTCCACGTCAAGAGTGGTCGACCACTATGCATGTTACACTCGCATGCAAAGTTGAGTGTACACTTGGTGGATACCTGATAAGCATTCAACGTCACCATCACCTGCACTTATCACGAGCAATACGCAGCCTATTGTCAAATTCGATTCATACAGGACATATTCTTGTAAACTAGAAACTCAGCATCTTCCCATGGTCGTTTAAGCCATTTACCATGTACTTATACACGGCCGGTCCAAGCGGCCACAAACTCTGGTTTGCTCCGTGAATGCAAGGAAATCAAGTGCTTTTTCGCCCACTGAATCTCTCTACAACTCGTCGTGGTCAGGCTCATCGTCACCACCAGCGCCACCAGCCGAGCCGTAAAGCTTGGAAGTGATGGGGTAGGCGACATCAGACAACTTCTGGAACTGCTCGTCAAAGTCCTCGGCGGCAGCCTCAGCGGCGTTGGAGTCGAGCCAGTCCTGAGTCTCCTTGACGGCCTCAAGGAGGGACTCCTTGTCGTCGTCCTCAATCTTGCCACCGAGACCCTCTTTGTCGTTGACCTGGTTCTTGAGGCTGTAGGCGTAGTTCTCGAGCTTGTTGCGGGACTCAATGCGCTCACGGGTAGCCTTGTCTTCCTCGGCGTACTTCTCAGCCTCCTCAACCATGCGCTCAATGTCTTCGGTGCTGAGGCGGCCCTTGTCGTTGGTGATGGTGATGCTCTCAGCCTTTCCAGTGCCCTTGTCGACAGCGGAGACCTTGAGGATACCGTTGGCATCGAGCTCGAAAGTGACCTCAATCTGGGGGACACCACGGGGCGCAGGGCTACAATCAGGTTAGTATAAGCCAGAATGAACAAGGGCATGGAAATAACTTACGGGATGTTGGTGAGCTCGAACTTTCCGAGCTGGTTGTTGTCCTTGGTCATGGAGCGTTCACCCTCGAAGACCTGGATCAGGACCACGGGCTGGTTGTCCGCAGCGGTCGAGAAGATCTGGCTCTTCTTGGTAGGGATAGTGGTACCACGCTTGATGAGGTGGGTCATGACGCCACCAGTGGTCTCGATACCGAGAGTCAACGGGTTGACATCCATGAGAATGATGGAATCCGTAGCGGCATCACCAGCGAGGACACCACCCTGAACAGCAGCGCCGAAAGCGACAGCCTCATCGGGGTTGACGTCCTTGCGGGCCTTCTTTCCGAAGAACTCCTCGAGCATGGCTTGAACCTTGGGGATACGAGTGGAACCACCGACGAGAACAATGTCATCGATGTCGCTCTTCTTCAGCTTGGCGTCCTTGAGAACCTGCTCAACAGGCTTGAGCGTCTTCTTGAAAAGGTCGTTGTTGAGCTCCTCAAACTTGGCGCGGGTCAGAGTCTCGGAGAAATCCTTGCCCTTGTGGAAAGACTCAATCTCGATCTTGGTGGTCTTCTGGGACGAGAGAGTGCGCTTGGCCTTCTCCACCTCGCGCTTCAGCTTACCCATGGTCTTAGCATCCTTTGTGATGTCGACGCCATTGTCCTTGTTGTACTTCTTAGTGAAGTGGTTGATAATACGATTGTCGAAATCTTCACCGCCGAGGTGAGTATCACCGGCAGTAGATTGGACCTCGAAAACGCCCTCCTCGATGGTGAGGATGGAGACATCAAAGGTACCACCACCGAGATCGTAGACAAGAACCTGGCGTTCTTTCTGGTCCGTCTTGTCGAGGCCGTAGGCCAGAGCGGCTGCGGTAGGTTCGTTTACAACACGGAGAACGTTCAGACCGGCGATGGTTCCGGCGTCCTTGGTGGCAGCGCGCTGAGCGTCGTTGAAGTAGGCGGGAACGGTAACAACAGCGTTCTTGACCGGCTCGCCGAGATAGCTCTCAGCGACCTCCTTCATCTTGCCAAGAACCATGGCCGAAATTTCCTCAGGTGTGAAGGTGGTCTCCTCCTTGTGTACCTCGACGCTGACGTGGGGCTGGCCATTCTTGTTGACGACCTTGAAGGGGAAGTGCTTGAGATCGTTCTGGACGGACTTGTCCTTGAACTTGAGGCCGATAAGACGTTTCTACCCCACAGTTAGTATTGAACGAGGCGAGTGGTGAAACAGCGGTGTGCTTACAATATCGAAAATGGTCCGGTGGGGGTTGCTGGCGAACTGGTTCTTTGCGGCGTCTCCAACAAGACGCTCTTCGTCCGTGAATGCTACCCAGGAAGGAGTAATACGGTTACCTGTAGAGGACACCTGTCAGTTTTTGCGTCTGGTGGCAATACCATCGATAGGCGTACCTTGGTCGTTGACCATGATTTCAACTTTTCCGTTCTTCATGATACCCACACAGGAGTAGGTCGTTCCCAAATCGATACCAATGACGGGGCCGGTGACAGCATTGCTGTCTCCCTTGATGGGCTCCTGCTCGTCAGCGTGTGCTGTTTTGGCCAGCATCAAACCGCCGACAAGGACGAGGAGGAGGTAGAAAGCGATCGACCATGTCGACCGCTTGCTGGCGGTCCGCGAGCTTCGCGCCATTGTATGTGTGGTTTGTGTAGTTGTCGTCTATGAAGACTCGACTGGCCTTTGCAGCGAAAGCCAGGTGCGGGCGCAACTCTTCTAGAGCTCGCAGTGCGGTGGGGGTGGAGTACACAGAAGCTCCGGGTATCAAAAAGAAAAGTGGAGGGAAGAAAAGGCGAGTTGCGAGTGGATGTCGAAGGGAGAAGACGGCGGCGGGCGTCGTTATATGGATTTGGGTCGACGGAACTATTTCGAAGTGAACATGTTGCGAATTCCCAGAAGGGCTTAGTGCGCCCACCCAGCAAGAGCCACCGTGGTCTTTCGCACAGAATTGCAATGTACCTCAGCCTCAGTTTCACCTGCTCTGATGCCGCGGTGTGACAGGACACGTGTAGTTTTTACTAGGTGCTGGAACCTTCTACAGACACAATTCGCCATCCCATGTCTGCCTACTGTAGGTATCCAGGCTGAGTATCCAGGCTGACGTAAAGGCAAGTATCAAAGCTGTACTTTGCAAGGCTTATTATTAATTATCCTCACCCGCTACGAGACTGATGAGCCCTACCAACGCCCACGCCCACGCTCTCGTGTGAATAGAATAGGTACCTACCCATGGATGGCGTATCGCAGGCACCCCGCGCTAGCGAGTGAGCGTCAGCCTCGCCCCCATCTCCAGGGCTGGCTGGATCCATTGAGCTTGGTTCCAGGTGTCCTTTCGCTAGGCTTGTCAAGCGCGGGACAGGTGAGACAACTGTCCACTACTACAGAGTTGTATGCGCTTGGTCTGCTATTGATCACCCCGAATGACTCCGATTCTAATTTGCGACGTCGCCTCAGTTCGTAGAAGAATATCTCCGTGCTTGGCACGTAGAGATGAGAATAGAGTTGTAACCGCAGAAATTACAAAACGTCCCATGGTTAAATTCCACGAGATGTCTTGCACTGGTAGCGTGCATCTCCCATTCCCTGAGACCTTATTCCCGCCAAGGTCCTCACCTCTTCGCCTGCGTCATTCACATGTCACCGTACCTTTCTAAGCTTCGCAGAATGCTTATTTGGCTGCTTCACCGCTTGAAACCATCGTCATCCTACTGCATTCGGTATTTCTCGAGGCATTGATCGCAGCACTAAATTATTGGCATCGTGAGACGTTTTGTCTGGTCGGATTCGGGCTGTGTCAGCACTCGCCGGGACACCCACGGTTGCAAACTTTTCAATCCAAACACTCTTGGTATACTCGAATGGGAACTATGCAACAAAGTGTCGATTCTAGCGCTAAATATTGGCATTTCTGGTGCTCTTAGTATTCTGTTGATTACCATTGCACAGCCGTATATAGTATCATCTCGCAAGCCAAGTGTATGCTTCGCAAACGAGTCCACTCATCGCCACCAGGGCAGATATCCGTTCGTAGCAATGAACAAAACTATTATGCTTGTAAAACTTTGTGCGCAGGTCATCTTTAAGGTACTTTAGCAATTGCAACGACCTTTGAAGATATTCACGCTTCGCTTTGTGACGCCTGCGATTTGATACGCTGCCCATCTCGCGCCTAGCCATTTACCTCACGACTAATCGCACTTTCCCTGACTGGCAGCTTTGCCACAGAGAATGCGCCCTGTGCAACACAAGGAATCTAATCTCGAAATAAAGTTCCTTGGTCTGCTCAGTCTGGAAGTCTTCGTAGAGAATCGATCGCAGCACTAGAGGCTTGGAACGGGCATGTTCGGCATCCATGCCCCAGCCCGAGCCTCAACCGCAAAGTCAGAGATGTCGCCGAAGACATGACCGACCTCATGGATAAATGTGTTGGTGATTAGAAATCGACGTGCAGAGCGTCCCGATAGGCACGACGCGCATCCTTCGGCAAGCTTGTGAATGATTCAAGGATGTGCAAGATATGCGGAGCAAGACCCCTTATTCATCGTTCCAAAGCAGAGAGGTAACCTCACCTAACGCCCGAATTCGCGTACATATCCTCTTTTCCATAAATGGTGGAGGATCACGGTGCTCGGCTATACTTGTCAGCAAATGTGTAAGCTTATAAGCTTCCCATCAAAGTTCTGACTGGCGACTCCACCCATACAACGACGACCTTTAGGGTACTGGGAATCTCGGGGAACCTGGTCCCACATGCTTGACACCTACTACTCGTATCGGCGAAGGCAACATCATACTGCTGCTTGCATCTTACAATTACAAATCAACAATGTGAGTAGGTGACGTGCAAGCTCCAATTGGAAAGGCGGGGCACGATTTTTGGCCCCGCCACAGGGTCTCTTCGAGGACTAAGATCTGTAATCGGTACGTGTGAGAAGAGTGGGAGCAAGTATAAAGCCTCAATCGGCAGCCCACCCTTTGAATTCGACATCACTTGAAGATTTTGTTTTCGAGACTCAGCCTCACTTTCTTCCACCAACCTCAACACTATCGCAAATATGGGTGTCGAAGCCAACACGGACAAGCCGCACTCTCATCATGCCATTCCCAAGGACATCCCAGAGGATGACAGCCTAAGAAACAAAGCCGCACCTGGTGTATGTATATGTCTCAGATAATGGTAGAGTACATCCTGACAAGTCCAGATCTCATACTTCACTCCCCAACAATCCCCACCAGCCGGAACTGCACTTGGTATGCTGGATGGCAGCTCTAAGATCCCAAAGCTCTTCACCCCACTCAAGCTTCGTGGTCTTGAACTCCAGAACCGCATAGCGCTCTCACCGTTATGCCAGTACTCTGCCCAGGACGGCCATCAAACAGACTGGCACATTGCGCATCTGGGTGGCATTATTCAACGTGGTCCCGGTCTTACGTTCATTGAAGCGACTGCCGTTCAGGCAGAGGGTCGCATCACCCCAGAGGATAGCGGACTCTGGAAGGACTCGCAGATGGAGCCACTCCGCAAGATTGTCGAGTTTGCGCACTCGCAGAACCAAAAGATTGGCATTCAGCTCGCACATGCTGGTCGCAAGGCCAGCACTGTTGCGCCATGGTTGAGCAAGGGCGACATTGCTACCAAGGAGATGAACGGCTGGCCCGACAATGTGTACGCCCCTTCGGCGATTGCGTTCAACGACCACCACTGCACGCCAAAGGAGATGACGAAAGAGGACATTGAGAACTTCAAGACTGCATTCAAGCAGGCTATTGAGCGCTCTCTGAAGATCGGCTTCGACACAATCGAGATCCACAACGCCCATGGATACCTTCTCCATTCTTTCCTCTCGCCCGCATCCAACCACCGTACCGACGAGTACGGCGGCTCTTTCGAGAACCGCATCCGTCTCACACTGGAAGTCGTCGACCTCGCCCGGAAAACGATTCCAGACGACATGCCTCTCGTCCTCCGCATCAGCGCCACCGACTGGCTCGAGGAAGCGGGTATCGAAGGTTGGACCCTTGACCAGACCGTCAAGCTCGCTGAGATCCTCGCAGACCGTGGCGTCGACCTCCTCGACGTCTCGTCCGGCGGTCTCCACGAAAAGCAGCACATCCATGGAGGACCCGGGTACCAAGTACCCTTCTCCAAAGCCGTCAAGGATAAGGTAGGTGATAAGTTGCACGTCGGTACTGTCGGTTCGATCACCGAAGGCAAGCAGGCCAACGGCTACCTCGAGGACGACAACCTAGACGTTGCCTTCATTGGCCGCATGTTTCAGAAGAACCCCGGGCTCGTGTGGACGTTCGCGGATGATCTCGGTGTTGAGGGGCGCTGGGCAAACCAGATCCGATGGGGCTTTGGAGGCCGCGGCAAGAAGTAAGTTGTTTACTTGTTGCTTCATGCCTCTCCTGCCCATGCCTCGTCGATGAATTCCTGATTGAGCAATGGGGGAAGTGCGGGAGTTGGGGTTGTTTCGACTAGATTAAACGCGTCGTAGACTATGAATGCATATAGATTCTAATATCAACTCAGGGATCAAGTAATTAAGAAAGACGCATTTGCTAATGAAGCGGCGTTCACGCTGCACAAAGGTGATTAATCACGGTGTTTCTGCATGTCATCAGTTTAAACCTTGTCATCAGCTACGTATAACTATCTTGCGATGACTTGGGATTCTAATTTTACTCCATGTTAACAGCCAAATGCACGAGTGCTCGCAAGCAGGAGGTGAAGGTCATAACATAGATACGAAACACTTCCTCATATTTAGATGCGGACCAGACAGTCATACTCGAAAACCTCACTTCCCGCCTGCAAGATAATCCGCACACTGATCGCCTGCGATCCTTCCAAACACTACACACTCCAGGAGCGACGACCCACCGAGCCGATTCCCACCATGAACGCCTCCTGTGACTTCGCCAGCGCCCCACAGCCCTTTGATAGGCTTTTCGTCTTCTCCTAGCACCTCGCTCTTCACGTTGATCAGTACACCGCCCATTGTGAAGTGCACTACTGGCGTTACTACGCCTACATACACAACTGATTCGGGCGTGGGGTTCTTCAATGTCCAGTTTGCGAACGTCGTCCTGTGGAATTCATCGGTTGCTTCTCCAGCTACAACCTTGGCGTACTGGGTTATGGACTCCAATGCTTGCGGGCCGAGCTCAGCTATCGTGCTCTTCTTCATAAGGCCCTTGAAGAGGTAGAAGTCGATATGCGACTTGGCTGCCTGATATGTGCCTTCGTCGAGGACAACTTGAACAGTCCATTGCTTTGGCGATTCTGAGCTCGGGGTCGTGGTGGTGATTGCATTGGAGACTTTTTCTCGTGTGTCGAGCTCATCCACGAAGCGCTTTCCGTTGAGCAAGAGGATGCCACCCTCTCCTCTTAGTACTTCTGCGCCCAGGAACTTCAGCGGTGTTGCCGCATTCGCTGGATCGACGAAGCCTGTGGGATGCACTTGTACTTGATCCATGTCGATCAGTTGAGCACCTATCGCAGTCAACAGCGGCTGCGTTCCAGGTCGGGGATCGTTGGTCGAGGGATACCCGGCGAGATCTGGACGGTATTTTGCCAGGAGGCCTTCTGCATCGCCGCCGAAGCCTCCCGATGCGAATATGACCGGGCCGTGAAGCTCTTCCTGTTTTCCATCCTCGCGCGCATATGCGACGCCCGTGACGTGCGCTCCATCTTGCAGGACTTTGGTCACGGTACAAGAAGTTCGCAAGTCGAAAAGAGGGCTCTCCTTCAATTGCTTCAAAAGTGCACTCACGATAGCAAAGCCTGGTGGTGCTTGCCCGGCGCCCCTATGCGTCCTGGCATAGGAGTGCCCGCCAAGCTGTGCAACTCGACTCAGGTCTACGCCCTTCTCTTGCACCAACCACTCGACGCCTGCGGCCGAATTCTTGGTCAAGGTCTCAATCAGCTTCTCACGTTGCGCCGTGAAGCTAGACATGGCATGTCCTGCCGACCGAGTGGTGTCATTGTAGAAGGCGTCAAGAGGCTCTGCGACAGGCTGATACGTGGTCGGTGCGCCGTTGATACCAGACGAGGCTTTGATGCTGTTGCCGCCGGGCTTTGCTCCGCGTTCCAGAAGGCGGACGGGAATATTGCGGCTGATTAGTTGCGAGGCTGCGCTGAGTCCTGCTAGCCCCGAGCCCACTACTATGGCGTGTCTTGAAGCCATGCCGGGGTCTGCGATTGGGGCGGACATTGGTGGGTAGTTTTGTTTGTACAGATATGCTATGGTAAGGGCGAGACAGGAAAAGAAGAGAACAGTGAGCATGCGATGAAAGACCATGGCAGATAGGAAGAGTAGATGCAGTTACTGCTAATAAGCCATCAGTCGATGCGATCTAGTCAGCTTCGGCATTCCAAGAGTGCCTCGAACGATCAGGCCATGGTCACGCCTTTGATTCGGTCGTCTGGTAAGCTCTGAACATTGCGCAGAACACCTTTCTGCTCAGCGTGGTGTCGGGCTTCAGGGACACCGAGAAAGGCCCACGGATGACATTTGGCCTTCTATAGCCCGTGTTCTAAACAAAAGGAAGAGGTCCAAAGCACTGGAGGAGTGGACAGGGCCGGAATAGGCCTAGCGTGCGGGTGCCCTCCACGGCTCCCGCCCCACTCCATGTCGAAACTCTCCTTGACACACTCTTTGCATCTGCACATCCTTTACATGGCAACATTACACGCTCCCAGGTCGCGTAGCGCTTTCAAATAAGCAATTCCAGTCGGCTCGGCTCCACTAGTGACAAGTCCCTCGCGCCAGACACATAGGCTCACCGTAGCGCTTGCCCGAATCACCGATTAGCATCTCGGAACCTCGTGCTTCCATTGCACTAGAACGTTTTGTCTTGAAAGTCCGCCGAAAACGCCCAAGACGAAGCGACAGCAAGTATCGCTTCAGCGGAGTCCCTACTCTCCGTGTGCGCGGGAACATGTGTTCCAGTGAAATGCACCTACGGCAAATCCGTGGCGCGGCATCATGCGTTCCGGATGGGTACTCTTTATGTATCTGTACACCGCGCGAATTTTCTCCAATGAGTGCATCCGCTATTCTTCTCACATGATCCCACCTTCCTCAGTACCTTGAGTACGGTCTTTTCAACTTCAACAAGTATGATGAACACATATCTTGACGTGGCGCTGCTGTGCCATCCAGTACTGGCCTTCCTTACCATCCAGCGACCGAAGATGCACGCCAGGGAGTCCAAGTGGCAGTACTTTCTCTTCTCATTCTTGTCGATACTTGCAATACGCTATGCGAGCACCTCCTCATACCTTGCGGTGCCAAACGAGGTCCTGGCCGATGTTTGCCAAACCCAGGATCAGCCGAATCCGATTGCCTCTCTATATCCGATGAATGCGACAGGCACTCTTAACGGAACGATAGCAGTCATCCCTATTTCACTTCAGCTAGCACGAAAGCTCATTCCCAAACAATATGGCATCTTGGAGCATGCGTACCGCGACCTACTTCCTTCCTTTCCTGAGGGCATGTATCCTGCCGTTCTCCAAGCGCTGCATGATCACGAAGTTCAAGCTTTTGGCTACCAGATCCCGGATTTCACAGTAAGTTTCATGGACAGATGATGCTAGACCACGGGCTGATAATAACAGCGCACCGGCATTGAATTCCCATTTGTCGATCTGCTTGGCGACAACACTACATCCTTCAAGTGGGCCCCATCGCTACTCATGTCCGCCGGCCATGAGATCGCCCTGAAAGGGGCAATGGACTATGGAACCAATACTTTCCCCGCTTCCTTTGAGCCCTCGTGCGACGCCTACCGTGCCGTACCTGATGCAAAGCAGCCTGGAACCACCTCCTTCAGCGCAAAGAGCGCCGACGCTGATGCAGCATCCATCACCACACTGTTCTCGTCAATACCTGAGCTACCATATCCACTAGCCTTGTTCAAAAATGTCACCAATCAACCGACCTTTGCTGATGGAAAGACATGCGACAACATGATTCGACTATTCAATACCAGTGTCACGACTACACCGAACCGCATCGAGACCGTGAAGGGGACTGTAAGAGCCAAAATACATCCGTTCGATAGTGAGCAAGAGTGGCGGAACGTTTACGGCTTGCGAATGGATACTGCATTTATTGAGAACAATTACCTGCCATGCGAAAACTTCCGTGGATATGGTGCACAGAATTGAACATACCATGGCCCTGGTATGAAAAGAAATATTTCGGTACTACGTATCGGTGCACGCTTACGTCGCTGACGGCCACTCCTTGTGAAACTCACAAGCGTTGCCGGGCAAGATGCTTGGACGGTCTCGTTCAACGCCACCCTACCACGTGTGGAGGTGTTCGGATACGGAGGTTACAGCGAGGTCTCAAACAATGGTGTACCGCTACACACAGTTCGGCGCCATGACCACGTAGCTAAAGCACCATAGAAGAGCAAAGGAAACGCCCATCAACATGTTCAGCATCAGATGATACCCATAACACGATACTTCAGTTAATATATGTATATATCCTCTCACATCGCAAATACAATGAAACATAACTATCATGCATCATCCATACTTGTACCTTCCTCAACCTCTTTCACAATGAGAATCTGCAGGCAAACACCGGCGGTTCGCTCAACAGTTTCATAAGTATTAAATATGTTGTGTCCAATCCGTATCGTCATCCCCCCCCCAAAAAAAGCAACAAACGAAGATCTAATAATTCTCCCGACCCGCAACCTTGATTTCATTCCTCTCCAAATCAAAAACGACCAGCACATTCTTCAACCACGAATCCCCCAAGACCAGAGTTCCCTGTCCCGCTCTCTGCACTGCTAAAGTGCACAGTTTTCTCGCTAGAAGGTGGACATTAGTAGACATCCCACATACGCATCTCCGAAAGAAGTAACGTACCTGACTTGGACGATGGACCCGGCGTCCTATTCATAAGATCATCCTCACTCATATAGAAAGTCCTCCCATCGATAATAACGCCAAAGCGCGGGGCAGACGCACTACAAGGCACTGTATACAGATCCAACGAAGCACTGTACTTGGCGGGCGGACTGAACAGCGCGGCAATATAATCCGTGATATTGTTGGGCAAATAAACAAGAGAGGAGCCGGAGTCGAGAATGACATTGACAGGCGTATCCGCTGGGTCGATTTTAGGGACTAGGAGCTGGCGGTGCTGCTGCTTGGAGTGACGGGTGGAGCTACCGTGGCGCAAACGATGTGTGGATGGTGAGGGGGGTGTGATGTCGAAGCCGTCAATGTCGATGGAGTAGTATGCGTAGATGTCCTCGAAGATAGGCTGAATGGGCACGGTGACGAAATGGCCGTCATGCTCGACGTCGGGTATACCCCCTATGGCGAGCATGCCTCCTACTCGTGGATTACTGAGCGAGGGCCGACTGAGCGCGAGGCTGAAGATGGGTGCAATTCCCGATTGTTGGGTCCTGAGGGTCAAATTTATTAGCACTACTCCCACGCGCTCGGAGGTCTGTCTAGGGGGATGCAACAGAGATTGAGAAGACTTACAAAGTGAACATGATACTTTTATAATCAAGTGTCATTGCTCCACTGACTATGGCCGGGTACGCAAGTCCCATCAGCCCACTACTCACTCCATCGCCGAGCCAGTATCCATCATCCACAACACCAATCGTCTGGTTAACAACTAGTGCTGGCTGCATGCCGATACTCACACCCCCAATTCCCAACTCTTCAGTTCCGAGCTCGCCTTGAAGGAATTCACCACCGGTGTAGTTCACTCCGAATTCTTCCTCGGACATTCTGGACCAAGTCGACGAATGGCGCGGATTATATAGCCTCGCGAAGCCGCACTTGTCCCTAGAAATGGAACCCATTGTACTGGGATTTCGACATTGGAAAGTCGACGACGCGACCCAGGTATCTGAGCTGCCTGAGTCAATTACGAGAGTAAATTGCTGTCCTGCAAGAGTCACGTCGGCCATGTATACCCGACCCCCGAGGGTGATGAGCGTTTCTTGGATGTCTGCAATGGGTTCATCCTGCCGGCGGTTATTGTCATGGGAGGCAATATTCCTCGCTTTGCGAAGCTTGAGCAGGTGTTTCGAGGATGGAGGAATGAGATGGGGCGCGTTTGGGGCGGTTTTGAGGTGGAGGACGTTGCTCGTTACTGTTTGTGTCAGTCGCGTTCTCCCAACATTGACGGTTTGGAACCATACCTGCGACGCGTGCCGCAGCCCTGTCAGTTAGTGCAAAAACATTATGGACGGACGAAGCAAAGAAAATTATTTGCAACGGCAGCAGCATGGTGGGAAGAACATATGAAGATAAAAAGGAGACAGGAGTAGACGCAACTGTTTACTCGAGAATATATACTATTATTGCGGACTACTTTCTACCTCGCGACTGCCGAAGGATCTTGGCCCCAAGAAAGGGATAGTAGTTGATCTTGAACTCTTGACGCAATCATGGTCAGCGGCTACGCCGCATTCCTAAGCCTGAGAGTGATCTTGTGCGACCAGTGCGGACCTGCACTACCTCGGATATAATGACATCGTCTCAGGTTTGCTCCTCTTAGGGACGTACTAGAAGGCCTAGGCGTGAGGAGCTCTGGTGCCTTCGAGTTTATAGCGGACTTATAGATCAAGCGAACAACCAACCTACTGTGTGCTGGGTCACACTACTAAATCGAGAGAAAGGTGTCGACTAGAAGCAGACTATCAATGAGGAGCTGTAGTAGTGTGTAGAGTGCACCCTTGAATGTCACAACGAGAGAAGAAAGACCATCGAAGAAGATCGACGCACCTGGAGCCTCGTGCTCACCCCGACAGAATGGAAAGGGAAATATAGCTTGATGCAGCGAAACTCGGCAGTCGCAGGCAAGTCCCTTGGTGATCGTTAGAAGCATGCCAAGGGCATCATGGAGAAAGCGTACATGTTCTGATTGGACTAGGTCGCAAGCTCGAGACTTCAAAGTCTCCCAAGTCGCCTCCTTGTTGTACAATTACTGCTGGAAAGACAGCCGCAGCTAAATGTTCGCAAAAAATGCTGTAGTAAGTCGAACCTTTTGGGAATCGTCATGACACACCTTGAACGCCAGATCCAGGAAACGATTACCAACCGCCTCTTCTTCCGCGGCCACCACCACCACCACCACGTCCTCCTCGGCGGCCGCCACCGAATCCGCCCCCTCCGTATCCACCTCCGCCCCATCCTCCACCGCCTCGAGGGCCGTCCATGTCGCCGCCCGATTGCGGATAGGCGTCGCGAGGTGGCGCACGGCCCTTGAGCTCCTTTTGCAAGGCCTCGTAGGACTTGCGCATCTGAGCGTAGCCAAGGTGCATCTTGCCGTAAAAGTGGTCTGCTAATCGACGATCATTGTCAAGGCGACTGAGGTACGCACCGCATACATCGCACACTTGTAGTTTCTGGTGACCGGATGGGCCCCCTGTGTCTGACAGGGCTCTCAGCTCCCTCTCTCGCTCCTCCTTCTCCGCCTTCTTCATTCGGACCTTGGTAAACTCCTGAACGGCCATGTTGACAACGCCTTCTTCGCCCATGATCTGAATCTCAAGCATGCCGGCGTCGATCGACTTGGTGAGTTCGTTGATCGCTTTGAGCTAGGGACAGGTTAGCATGTACTGGAGGCTAGGCTCCATACTCAAGGGACTCACCAAGGCATTCGTCTGCCGAATCTCTTCAGGTGTCTTCTCCAGCCTTCGCTGAGCCGTGTCGATTTTGCGGTTGCAGCTGTCAATGTGATGCTGCATGTCTCTCATGTAGTCAAACTCAAAGCCCCACCTGCGCTTCTGGTCTACGTCTGCGTCTTGGTACTCCGTCTTGAGCGCCTCGTTGTGCACCTTTGAGCAGGGGCCCAGTTCGTTCTTTGTGTTTGTGAAGAGATCGTGCGGGCAGTTTCCGACTAGATACGAGCGACAGACTTTGGGGTCGGTGATGCTGAGCTGCGGCGCGCGCTGGTCGGTGCCGCTCATGAGCTGCTCGCCCATAAGCTGCTCTAAAGTGAGGTTAGTATGTAGTCGGGCGCAGGAAATTCAGGTACATACCGAGCAGCCTACGCGTCTCTGCTGCCGCCATGATGTGTATGCGCGCACTGGTAGAGTTGGGGTTTGATAGTAGAGAGCTCTAACAGCAGCAGCAGCGGGAAGAAATCGCGACCGCGGTAGTGCCAAGTCCATAGTCAGCCAGCCAATCACATGCGGATTGACTTCACTCCTCCGCTCTATACACCTGGCGTCTATATTGCCTAGACTCCTTCCGCGAAGAGAGCGCTGCAATGCTGCGATGCTCTCGTCTCTTTTCTTCTTGTTGCTCAATGCCTTCGTAGCATTCGTCCACGCGAGCTCCGACTACCACGAGCAGCTCCTTCTTCGACCCCTTCCGCAAGGCACACTTCTTGCCTCGTTCAACTTCCGCAGCAACGAGAGCGCTGCCTCGTTCGAGCAGCAGAATTTCCGATACTTCCCGAGGCCTTTCGGGCAGATCTTGCAACATGCGCACGCAAAGGAGCTGCACCTTAGATTCAGTGTTGGGAGGTGGGACGCCGACAACTGGGGCCAGCGGCCGTGGCACGGAGCAAGAGAGGGGGGAACTGGTGTGGAGTTGTGGGCTTGGGTAGAAGCTGACACTGAAGACGAGTATGGAACATAAATACTACACTAAACATTGTATACTAATCTAGGCAGAGCATTCGCACGATGGCTGACGCTCACAAACGCGCTGTCTGGCCTCTTCTGTGCTTCTCTCAATTTCATCGATGCCACCAAAACGATACGACCCGTCATGGCTTTTTCCCCCGAAGGCAGTCACGGAAACACATCGAATCTCCATCTACTGCACGGCACACTGCCTCATGAGGTAGTATGCACGGAGAATCTGACTCCTTTCATCAAGCTGCTACCTTGCAAGGGCAAGGCGGGTATCTCAAGCTTGCTGGACGGCCACAAGCTCTTCGATGCTTCATTTCAGACCATGGCCATCGATGTACGCCCAACGTGCGAGGAAGGCAGCTCCACCTGCTCGTTGGAGATGGAGCAGACTGTTGACATGGTCTTGGACATCGCCCGATCAAAACGTCCACGAGACAACCCCATCCCCCGGCCCCTGCCAATCGAACAGATTGAGTGTGACACTTCGAAGCACTATAACGCGGATGACACTTGCTATCCCTTGAACAAGGGAACTGAACCGTCGTGGACACTAGAGGAAGTGTTTGGAAGGCCACTGAAGGGAGGTTGCCCGTTGCATGAAGAGAGTGGACTAGAGACAAACACTCTTTGTATCAATACGCCACCAGAGCGCACTGTAGAAGTCAACACAACCGGACAGTTTACCGAATCAAAATTGGTTTCGGACACGCTTCGATGTTACCAGTTGCCCACTGGCCCAGACTTCGACCTCGTCCTCCCCGAGCAGAAGATGACTACCGGTCTCGTTCGTCCCGACCCCCCGGTTTTTGCTGCGAGGTCCATCAACGGACATGGTCAGGAACGAGGAAGCACGCAATCTATCATCAGGAATCCTTCCACGACCGAGGCGGTAGAGATTGTGTATTTGGAGTCTCTCCCTTGGTTCATGAAGCCGTACCTTCACACCCTGCGTGCCCATGTTGACACTTCTGATGAGAGCCCAATCAAGGAGACGTACTATCGACCAGCAGTTGATCGAAAGCGCGGCACACATCTTGAGCTACGCATGGTCATCCCGCCTAGCTCTACCTTGACGCTGACCTACGACTTTGAGAAGGCTATTCTGCGATACACTGAGTATCCGCCCGACGCGAATCGCGGCTTTGACGTTGCGCCTGCCGTTATCCGAATTCTCTCGCCACACTCGGGGGACAATAAGGGCATCTACGTACGCACCACTTCGTTGTTGCTGCCACTTCCTACGCCAGACTTTAGTATGCCGTACAATGTTATTATCTTGACTAGCACCGTCATGGCGCTAGGGTTCGGCAACATCTTCAACCTGCTGGTGCGCCGCTTCGTAGGCGTAGATGAGGTGCCAGCGACCGGGGGGTTGAAAGGCATCTTGATGGGCAAAATACATAGACTCAGAGCAATACTCGGGAGGGCCTAAGTAATACAACATGTGCTTAGAAACTTTGAAGACTTCTCCTATGGCCTCTGAGCGTCTGGCAATGATGAACACCCAACGGTTGCTCTTTCCTGAATCGGAGAGTGCTGTCGAAAGCGTACTTTCACCTCCACCGTCACGACGGGTTCTTCCTTCCCCATGCTAACCTGCTGGACCCTTACACCCAACAGTACAGCCTTTGAACACCCACAACACTCATACCACATCCACGAAACTCATATCACATCCACAACACTCATATCACACTCGCATTATACTCACAACTATGGCGATGCCTTCTACCAACGCAACAGATGCACATGGCCTTTTCGCTACTTACAAGGCCATCAAATTTCTACTCATAAACACCATCATCGGCAGCTGCGTCTACCTCATCTTCTCCGCATTTCCAAAAACAAAGCATCACGCCTTCCACTACACCATCATCGTCCTCCTCCTCCTCCTCCGCGTTATCTACCTCGTTTACAACTGCTTCACTCCACGCAGATAGTACAAAACGTCGTAACTTGAGTGACGGGTGGATGGAACGCGACAGTACGCTGCAGGTCCTGTACTATGTCAAACGAGAGATGGCGAAGAAAGGTGTGACATATGAGGTCATGGAGGGCCGGATTGGAGAGCTAGAAGGCACACAGAAGATGTGCGCTAAGGATTATAGGAATTTGATGGGTGCGGTGGACAAAGCAGTGTCGGAACTGGATGATGAGGAGCGCGGAGAGTAAGCTACGAAGGAGGTAGAGAGTGAGATGGAGAACAGCGAGGTGCTGGATGGCAAGGAGCGGTCATTCATGTTCCGATTTCGCCATTCTGGTCGTCGCTGAGGTGGGCTGGCTTATTCTTTTCTAATGGTCAACGCCTGGAGGCTTTAACGCATTTTACATAACCGGTTGCTACCTCATAGTTAGCTATGGAGTCCATTCCCTCATTCTATAATATTCCCCATCATCTCGTACACCACACTACTACTCTTTGCAGTCCTCGGACTCTGCACACTCATCTGACCAAGCAAGAATTTGGAACGATTCCGAACCGAAATCCCCTCGGGTGAGCCGCCAAGGGACATAGACGTCAAAGGAACGAGGAAATAGTAGTAGGCTTTGTGTTGATGGTGCAGTTGCTAATAGTTTGGATGGAACATAGCGTCTGCAACTTGAGATGAGAAGACGGGCTTGTGGGTATTGTAGTGTTAACAAGCACCGATGAGAGTGCCATTGTGTGCGTCTCTACTTGTTTCAGGAGCTGCTCTGACCGCTACGCAATATTCTTGCTCTCCCTAGCCTTCGTCTTTCCATATGCGCCACCAGCCAACTTCCGCATTTCCAGCGCGCGTTTATATGGCGGTGCGGTAGGCGGTTGTACTGGATCCAGGCTCACACGATCCTTGGGTAGGTTATACGTCGCGTCGGAATCATATGCTGAGAGGTCACCGCATGCTAGAAACGGAGCAATCCATCGCTGTCCACCTTCTTCCACGTCATCTTCATCTTCGCTTTCAGACCCTAAATCTAGCTCGATCGCCCCATCTTCCCTCACGTTCCGTGACACCTTCTTCTCCTGCTTCGGCGCATCTTGGGGGATGGGTAGTTGTGTTCCTGCACCTAACGGCTTGTCTAGACTTGGTGTGAATCCCTTTGGCGGGCGAAAGCCCTCACATACGACAAATGCTTCGATACTGCTTGCGCGACTGCTCCGTGGTTTCGCTACCCTCACCCTCTCGAATACGATCTTCAGTTGCGCAAACAGCAGGTCCACATCCTTTCCTCGGAAGATCTTTGCTACAAACTTGCCGCCAGGCTTCAGAACACAAAGGGCAAGGTTGAGTGCGGCCCAGAGTAGTTGGCTTTGGACGTAAATGTCGAGATCGTGAAGGCCAGTGACATCGGGCGCGCCGTCTGAAATGACAAGGTCTACAAATGAAGACGGAGTGGTAGAGTTAGGATCATATGTGTCAGGGTCAAGCGCCTTCAGCATAAGAGGGATGGTCGAGGGATGTGTAATGTCGGCGCGCATTGTAGTGACGCCTTCAAGCGGACTCATGGGTTGTAGGTCGATAGCGACAATTCTGACCCCGTCTCTCGGCTTTGGCCGCTGCTCTTTCAATTCAGCCTTGTCTTCTGAGTTGTTGACTGCCTCCTTCTCTAGCCCAAGAACATAGTTCCGTGTCGTAGCTTGCTTTTCTTGCCAGCCTGCTCGTCCAAACTTCTCGCCTTTGATGAGTACTCTTGACAGCACCTGACTCCAACTTCCTGGCGCGGCACATAGATCAACGACCCTAGTAACACCCTCGAAGAGATTGAACTCTTCGTCTAGCTGCAAGAGCTTGTACGCAGATCGAGCTCGCCACCCCTCTTCTTTTGCTAGTCGGTAGTATGCATCTCGCTTGTCTTTCGAGGACTTCCCCATTCTCACTCCTTCCGCGCAGATACGACGCTCAAAAACGTATTTTCAAGTTCTTGAGGCCTATATTAACTCAGGCTTCCGGTGCTGGCTCAGCTTCTTGCCGTGTATAAATGTGATTTTGGCAGACTTCGAATTTTGCTGCTCGTTTACACTCCCTGATATCCCTTTGCGGGGTGGTAGACCTGGATCCACTTTACTCGCGGATGATTTTCCCTGCTCTTACTGCTTTACTGTACCGTACTCTGCAAAGACGGACCTGTTCTCGAAACTTTGGGGATATGAGTGCTGGTTTCACGTGAAATGTGCGGGCGAATGTCGTTGGGCAAGTATAGCCGAGCGGGGCTGTCGGACTACCGAACGCCGACTGGTTTTCAAAAAATCTAAGAAACTCTCGAAGTCGCGACAACGATCAATCGCATAGCATACATGATGAAGCGCCCTCATGCTGCTCCAAAAGCGACTCGCAAAGTGCAGCACAAACGCCAGAAGATCGACGACTTCCCAAAGCCGCTGCCGACCAAACCCCAGCGCAAAGTACGGCTAGACGAGCTAGGATGGAAGCCCGTGTCGATGCCCGACCGATTGGAAGACTTCGAAGGCTTCTACGGGCTTGAGGAGATCGACGATGTTGCAATAGTCAAGGACGGCACAACTGGGAACCTTACGTTCGAGACCACAAAGACGGAAGAAGAGGTTGGACAGGACATAGAGGAAGCATGGCGCCGTGAAGAGCAGGAGGCTCAGCGTTTGGAGAAAATAACATTTGGCGACGAAAAGGAGCCCGAGGAAGATGAAACTAGGGAAGATAAGACTAATCATGAGGTTACGAAAGAGGTGCCACAGAAAGAGAGTGTCGACGAGTCGTGGGAGGGATTCAGCGATGACGAGGCTGCGCAAGACAGTCAAGAGGAGACTACACCTGTCGTGAACGACAACTCGAAAGACAGAAAGGAGACAAAGAAGCAAGAGGCAAAGTCGAAAAAGAAAGAGAAGAAAGGTGCAAAGGTAGAAGCTCCGACAGCAAATGGGAGTAAGAAGAGTGAGGATGAAGAGTCTGACGAGGACGACCGCATCGATGGGGAGACTTTCGGTCCTGGTGCTTTTGATATCTTGGCTAACCAGCCTGAGGACGAAGAGGACGAGGTAGACGTGTCTGCTTGGGCCGAACTAAATCTGTCCGAAGAGGTATTGGACTCGCTAGCGAAGCTCAGGTTCTCGAAACCCACTGAAATTCAGGCTTCAACAATTCCCGAGATCATGGCTGGAAGAGACGTCATCGGAAAGGCTTCTACAGGATCTGGAAAGACACTCGCTTTTGGAATCCCAATCGTGGAAGCTTTCCTTGCCTCTCGATCAGCTTCAGAGGAGCCAAAGGACAAGGGGCCGATTGCTCTTATCATCGCGCCCACTCGAGAATTGGCACACCAAATCAACGCCCATCTAATCGCTCTTTGCGATAAGGGGGATTTCGATGCTCCACATGTAGCATCAATCACCGGTGGTCTATCAGTCCAGAAACAGCGACGACAACTTGAGAAAGCAGACATTGTCGTGGGAACGCCAGGGCGATTGTGGGAGGTCATTAGCACTGGTCAAGGTCTTCTAGAGAAGTTCCAGCAGATACAGTTCTTAGTTGTGGACGAGGCTGATCGTCTACTGAGCGAAGGACATTACAAAGAGCTTGGAGAGATCCTCAAGATCTTGGAAAAGGACGATGAAGCTGATGACACCGAATCAGGGGCTCAACGCCAGACTTTGGTCTTCTCCGCAACTTTCGGCAAAGGTTTACAGCAAAAGCTTGCTGGTAAAGCCAAAGGCGGTTCTGATCTCATGAGCAAGCAACAGTCTATGGAATATCTTTTGAAGAAGCTTAACTTTCGAGAAGAGAAGCCTGCGTTCATCGACGCCAACCCAGATTCGCAGATGGCGAGCAGGCTAAAAGAGGGTTTAGTTGAATGTGCGGGTACCGAGAAGGACCTTTACCTCTACTCGCTCCTGATGTTCTACACAAAGAAGCGCGCTCTGGTATTCACGAACTCTATCTCAGCGGTTCGACGTTTGACGCCGTTCCTTCAGAACCTCGCTTTACCGGCCCTGCCGCTGCACTCCAACATGCCACAGAAAGCCCGTCTACGCTCCATCGAGCGCTTCAAAGAGCGACCTGGCTCGATACTTGTCGCCACAGATGTTGCCGCTAGAGGTCTGGATATTCCTAAGGTCGAGTTAGTCATTCATTACCATCTGCCCCGCGCGGCCGACACTTACGTACATCGATCTGGACGTACTGCGCGTGCAGAAGCTTCAGGGTCTAGTATCCTGATATGTGCACCTGAAGAAGTCGGTGGAGTGCGAAGACTGATTGCCAAAGTACACGCCCGTGCCGGAGATGCACCCAAGTCGAAGAAGACGGCGTTCTTCATCCGCACATTAGACATCGACCGCCGTATTGTCTCCCGTTTGAAGCCACGCGCCACAATATCGAAACAGCTAGCAGACACTGTCATTGCAAAGGAGAAGAAGCACAGCAATGACGACGTTATGCGACAAGCTGCAGAAGATCTGGGCGTCAACTATGATAGCGAAGAGTTCGAGAAGGAAGCCAAAGGAAAACGAGGTCGCGGAACCGGGAGGAAGAAGAAGGAGAAGGAAGCGAGTGAAATGACAAAGGCCGAAATGCAGGCTTTAAGGTGGGAACTAAAGGGTCTGCTAAGTCAGAGGATCAACACAGGGGTCAGTGCGAGATACTTGACGAATGGCGGGATTGATGTGGACGCGCTCATGGCTGGAGATGGAAACATGGAATTCTTGGGTACAATAGATGGCCTTGGACTTGAAGACGAGGAGTAGTCCTGAGTATGGCAAATAGAATATGGCAACAGTTGGAGAAACCGATTGAAAAGAAGCAAACCGCAAACAACAGCTTTTACTACCGCTTGCTTCGACCAAGCCCATCTACGCAAACTTTCAGTACTGTGCCATCATCGCACTTATAATCATGTTGCCGCAACCGTCGTCTCATGTCCTCTTCCACTTCAATCATGACTTCTAATGATGACCGCGAGCTTTCCGCTACTTTAGATACGGATACGGACACGTCTATCGACGGTGAGACGGACATGAGTATTGACGACGAGACAAGTTCTACCACGACAGTAGATGCACTTCCCGAGCTACACATACGCATCAAGAACATGCTCTTGCCGCTCAAGATCCTCGCGCCGACCCTCTACGCACTTGTACGCATCGGTTTCGTCCACTCCTCTCTCGAGTTACTAGATTACAGTTTCTTCATCCCTCTCCTACTCATCTTCCTCCTCGCCACCATCACCGATTGCACCCGCTCCCGCGCCGATCAAGCACGCAAAGCGCACGCGTCGCAGTTCAAACAGTACACCATTATGCTCGGCGAAGCAGGAACAGCGCTCCAGGCTAGCAACGAAGCTATCGTCGAACTTCGACAAGGACAGGAAATGTGCCAACGCAGCTGGGAAGAAGCGACAAGCGAACTGAAGCAAGTGTACGAAAAGCTCAACCAATCGCAAAGGCAACGAATTAAAGAGTACGATGAGCTACGCAGAAATACCAACGATATGCAAATAGTGTCCTACCAGGCGCGATACGAGCACCAGCAACTCCTCATCGACACGTTGACCAAGCTCGTCAAGAAGTTCAAGAACGTCCCGGTACCCAAGGTAAAGGGCGTGAGTCCTAGTAAGGCGAATACCAACACATTGACGGGGCCGTTGGAGCGCCTCGCTATGGTACTGAGACGTGCTCAGCATACGACGGAGAAACGGGTAGCGGTGGCTGAGAAGATCAAAGCCGTGCTTGAGCGGGAGGAGTTGTCGACACCAGAGATCAATGAGTTGATCGGGGACGCGGAGAAGGATTTGAAGGACGCTCCGAGTACGCCGTTGCAGCAGGCTCCTCTCGATGGCTCTGGACTCTCTACAACGACAGACTCAGTCACGGATGATGCGTTCGAGGTCAAGCTGGATGCGCACTTTGAGAGGTTGGATGCGTTTCTCCAGAGCGTTGCGACTAAATCAGGGGAAGAGGAGGACAAGGGTGACGACACGCATGGTGCAGGTTACGGCGAAGTTTCTTCGACTCTGGAGTAAATTGTTTCCTTAAATCGCTCCACATGGAATGGATGGCCACGTGTGAGGCTTGTCATTGTATTCCTAGATCTCATGCATGGTAGAGAAAAGTAGAAACCTAGACAGGCAGACCAGACGTTATTTTTCATACCGTTCTCCTACCGACTTCGATGTGCCTCCAGGAAGATCATTCGTTCTGTGATCCCACCCCAGCCATCAATCGTATGTTTCTTCTCCAGCCTCGCCATCGCAACACCATCTCCACTTTCTACCGCTTCGTCGTCTTCAATGCTCCATATGCCCCTCTGATTTGGCAGTGGTTTGCCCTCCTTCCAGGCATCCAGCACCTGAACTGCAAGGCCAGGTCGGAGGCGTGTTCGTTTGAGCGCTTTGACGACGAATTCATTAGACATTCCGTCTGCATATTGCTCGTCGAAGAACTCATCGATCTCCTCAGCTTCTAATGGGATGTCGGGATCGCCTGAGCCGGTAGATGACGACGATGAGGGGGTTGGTGATAGCGATGCGGTGCGCAGGTCAAGATTGAGCTGGGGATAGGAGAGTTGGGCTATGTCTTTGTCGTCGAGCGATCGGCGGAATTCTTGTAGTGATTGTGTAGTTGATGCGTCTGACTCTGGTAGTTGAGTGGGTGATGAACTCCTTTGGGGATCTGTTCGAGCTCTGGGTTCGCTAATAACGTCTTGAGAAGGTGAAGAAAGAATTGCTTGGGTATCGAAATTGGACGGTTTCTGACGGGCGGCGCGCGGGGTGGGTGTGTTTGGAGGAAGGTCATCTGCAGATTCGGTGTCATACCCATCGGATGGTGAGGGCAATCGCTCGATTTGTGAAAACTCATTAGACTCTATACTCTCCGCGATATGGCTTTCTTTCTTCGCATTACGTTTGTCCATCGCAATAATGTCTTGTCGGATCTGTTCCTGTGAAGGGTCTTCCGCAGCTTCTAATTGCGATGTCGGGGACGAGGAGCTCTCGGCGGAGGCTAGTTCAAGTGGTTGCATCTGTGTGCCGACGAGCTCTGTCTGTTGTGCTCTATCGTCCGTTGAAGGTGTCGCACTCGCACTTCTTCGGCGTTTGGTAGGCCGGGATGAATCCTCCTGCTCGTCCTGCTCCTTTACAATCTCATCTTCACGTATTCGTTTCATTGCCTTCTCGTACAGTTCATTCAGGTACTTTGGAGACTCGTGACGGGCCGTTGAGGATGACAGCAGCTTTACCTCTGAAGTCAGCTTAGCCTCTTCCCCCACAGCGCACTTCAGGTTGGCTATGTCCCTAGCTATGTATGCTGTTTTGTCTTCTTCGAAGCGCTCATTTTCAGTCTCTAATGGCTGGTGTGCCTCAGTTGCCTTCTCTTTGGAGACAGTCGACTCTTCCTCAGGCTCATCCAGCTCTTGGCGTTGTTGACTAAAAGATTGGCTCTGTCCTGCGCTGCTGCCGTTATACTTGCGCGAAACCTTCTTCTCAATCTGCTCTCTTTTCCACGCTGGATCACGCAGCCACTGTGGACGGACGACCTTCTCATAGTATTGTTGCCACTGTTTGGCCGTTTGATTGTCTTGCTCTTCAGCCCATCTTGCCCAAGAGGCTTCGTAACCAGCCTGTCCTGCTAGTCCATCGATGATTTCCACGAAGGCGTATAACTCTTCCCAATCGTCTGAGCTGAACATGCCCGCAAGTTCGTCCAAGGTATACTCGTCTTTCGTTCGAGCTTTGCCCGGTCCGCTGACCTTATCCGCGGCCTGGCTCTGCTCGTTTTTGAGCGCCGACAGATTAGTTCGCTTGGAAGAAGAAGGCACGGTAGGCGTTCGTTCGTTGGACTGGTCTGAAGGTGGAGATGGGGGAGCGTTATCGGGGATATTGAAGGCAGATGGAGGCCTATGTCGTAGCTGCTTGAGATAGCGGTCCCGCCATGACTGCCACGTGTGTCGCGGGTACTGTGTGCTGTGAGTCTATAGTCTCGTATTGGTTTCGGCGATGTATGCGCATACCTTCGATTCCAGTTGCTTGTATATTTCATTTCCACTCGCTAGGCTGCCTGCTGCCGCAGCGTCGCTCACCCATTTGTACAGTATCCTGTCTTCTTCGGCTGTGTATGCTGCTCTTCCACCCTTTGCCGGTCTGTTGAGCGCGCCTGGCTCACGCGCCTCTCCTACGCGCGGTCCACATCGATGGTCCTCGGGATCTTGAATTTGGCCTTGTTCGATAGACTTGTCTACAAACTCATACGATATGGACCCCGGTGGACAGTCTCGTCGGCAGTGGTCTGCAATGAGATAGTCGGCAAGCTTCTCGACCAGCACGACCTCTCCGCCATTCGCCTTGATGTCTTGTAGTACATGGAGTCGCGTTGGCATGCGCTGCGCAACCCAGAACTTCTTGCCGGCGAACAACTGGCCCTGACGCTCGAGCTCGACACCTTCGGCGACATTGTGGTATATGGTTGGCGCGGCCATGGCGGAGGCTGTCGGTGAAGTGGACGCGCCTATGCGAAACGCGTGCTCACATGTGTCGAGTCGTAGGTGGGGACCGTGGGGTGCGTGGCAGCCGCGGCGGTCGGGGCTTCGTTTTCACAACACCGTGATAGCATCAACTTGCTTACCATGCACTCACTCTATATGACATTCGACTGACTATTGAGGTTTGTGGTGATCCGCCTTCGTCTTTCTCTGTCCCGCAATGCAGCTCGCTTGGCCAATGTGAGCTGCTTTCAACATGACCCTCGCCCGCAACATCATCGTCTTCACAGTCACCGTGTCTCTTGTCACATTCGTAGCGTTTTTTGGACGTCTGCCGGCTTTTAGGTATTCGTCGCCTTCTAGCTCTACATATCCATTCCTAAACATGACAGGAACACGCCCATAGGCTTCCTGCACCGGCTCCTCATCGTATACATCCCCTCGGCACTCCGCAACCTCGACCTTAAACTCACCAATGGCCGCATCACGAACGGGGGCTTCCGTTTGGGCCACTATCTCATGCATGACAAACACCCGCTCGTTGTCATCTTCTTCCTCGGCCTCGTGACCGCGTGCGCTTCGCTGTTTCTTCCCGCCCTTTGGCACCTACTTCGCCCGCACCATAAGCTCCTCGTCTTCCTACTGCTACCACAGCCCTATATATTCCTATACCTGAGCGCCAAGAAGAACACCCAGACCTATATAAACACGCTGAACCATGCCGAGCAGATGCGGTACTACCCGTACGATAGGGTGCTGTACTATCCTGGGCATACCTGCTCGACTTGCAAGTTCCTGAAGCCGGCAAGGAGCAAGCATTGCAGTATATGCAAGACCTGTGTATCGAGAATGGACCACCATTGCATCTGGGTCAATAATTGCCTTGGTCGTGGCAATTACAAGTGGTTCCTGGCCCTGTTGTTGTCTACGGCCATCTTGATAGCCTATGGAGCATACCTAGCCTATCTTACTCTAACACCGTTGGCCGAGCGACAGTACAACAAGTATGAGCGATGGTACATATACGTACCCAAGCCAGGCTCGAACTCTTCCAGCTGGTTCACTTATTTTGACAAGAAAGGTCATTATTTTCTCGCGTTCACGAGCATTTACCTCGACGTAGGCGGTATCCAAGCCTCAGGTGTCGGCTTGCTCGCGCTTTTGACTTGGCCTCTCCCACTCGGTCTACTTGCGTATCACGTCTACCTCATCTGGGCCGGGATGACCACGAACGAAAGCGGGAAGTGGGCAGACTGGAGCGACGACATGGCAGATGGCGTAGTCTTCCTAGGGCAGCGGAAAGAAGACACAATGCGTGAAAATCGCTCGGACACCCATATGCATGCTATTCCTCTTCGCTCTGGTCGTTCTTCTTCAAGCTCCCCGATTCCACCGGAGGACGAAGAGCCTCTTACAACATGGCCGCTTGAGAGTAGACACGTACTCGTCCGAACACGAACCGGACAAGCACCGAAGACTCTTCCAAGTCACATCAAACACGTTGCGAAGGAGGGAAGCTTCGAGCAAGTATGGAGTCTCGCTGCAGTGGAGAATGTATATGACTTGGGGTTCTGGGACAACCTCCAGGAGGTTCTGTTCAACTGAACTCCCATACATAGATCCAAACAATATAAAAATACTTGTATTCCAAAGTGAATCGATTCCCCGCCGTGAGGCTGCAAACACCCTTGCCGCTGATCTCGGAGCCTCCACGCGTTCATGCAAAACCTGCTGGTATTGCGCGGGAGTGCGGGATGACATCATTTTCTCCCCTCAACACCCAGCGCATATACAAATGTGAGGTACCTCGCCGGCAAACCTCTCCACGTCCAATCGCTAACCAAAATTCAACCCCTAAAAAAGGCTACAAAGATATCTTCAACCATCTTCAAATACTGACTTTGAGATAAACCATTATCACCATGTCGTCAAGCTCCCTCACAAAGAAAGAAGCGCAACAGCAGCAAGTCCAGCAGCAAAAGCAAGACGCGCGCGATGTAGAGACGCAAGAACATCATGCTAGTGCGAATGCTTCGGTATGTCTTTGATTTTGTTTTTGTCTTTTCTCTATTTCCCTATTCCTGCATACTCTGTAGCAAAACTCTCCACCAACGAGGGAGCAAAAAGAAAAAAGAACGCAGTTATACCCCAAGCGCAATGCAGATAATCTCGCAAAGAAACTTGAGAAGGAGAGTCCCAGACCAAGCCAAACTAACAGAGTAAAACCCAACAGGCCGGCCTAAACTTGAACATCCTCGGCGCGCTATCCGGCGCATTCAGTTCCAAGTCCAAGAAAACAACGCATCAGAACGCCGATGGGTCATCACACACGGTGGAAGACAAGCATGATAAAGGTATGAAAACCCAATGTTCCTCGATTCTTAACCCGTCCCATCTCTTACACTCTCCGATTTACTCTATACCCTTTAGTCCAAGATTTGTGCTGATAATGTATTCAATAGGCGTGGCAAACGGCGTCGCTCAAGGCCAGGGCAATGCGTTCGCGGCAGCAAATGCCCAGGAGCATAGCTTGAAGGCGAAAGAGAGGGGCGTGGGACAGGAAGCGACGCAAGCGAAGACGCTCAAGGGAAAGAAGGAGGAGGTGAATCATTTGGGTCTTGAGAACTAAATCAATGACAAGGAAAAGGAAATGGGAGTCAGGTGTTTGTCTTTTTCTTGTTGGGCTTACGCAAAGGAAATTCCCACTAGACGTCAGGAGAGGCACAATATGGATAACTAGAAGAAATACTTGGTATTATCGGAAAATAGGAATGTCTAAACGTCAAATTGAACATGCCCTCCAGAGAACTCCAGAAACTGTTCCGAACCCGCGACGCTTATACCGCGTATGCAAACCATAAACGCCAATTGTACGCCCATCATCTAAAATCTGTAGGCCGCATTAAAGGCCGTGATATGGACTGCTAATAACCCTCTCCAGCCCTTCCACCCCCCTCTTAGCAGCAGCGACATGCCATGGCACACTTCCGTGTCCGCTTCCCCTCATGCCTCTCAGCTTCGCCAACAACCCCAATGCTCTGTACTGCACTAGAACCTCCCTGAGTAGATTTTCCGCCGTGCTACGCGTCTGCACCGTTGGCGCCCATATAAGCGAAGTCGTACTCCTGACTCCATCTTGCGCGGGGCTGGGACTCGGCGGTGCACTGCCGCCGCTAGCATACGGGTTTGGAGTCGCGCCACCAGGACTCACACCTTCACCAGCGGCTGGCAAGGGGGATGTAGCAGCACGCATACTCCCGATAGCGCCAATCCATAACATGTTTACACCAACTACTATGGGACCGTGTTCTGGGTCGGGAATTGGGTGGTTGATAGTGTTACTCGTGGCGAATGTCTCGCCGCGTTTGACAAGCAAACCTGAGATGAGTGCTGGACTGAACTGGTTCGTGGACTTCGAGTTATGAAGACGATGCGCGAGGATGATGCCCCATGATTCATCTGTGACGTCGACGAGACGCGCTTCAGGGTCTGCTGAAGGGTCGGCGGTGGTCGGGTCTGCAGAGGGAGTTGCAGCCGGGGTGAGGCCAACAGCTGGGTCAGGTGAGATACCGGCTTGGTTGGAGTCCGGTGTGTTTGCGGATGGTTGGCCAGTGGTTGCGCTGCTTGTTGACATTGTAGTGGGTGTGAACTTGAACGGTGAATCAGTGTCCACCGTTAGTATCATGAAGAAGAGGTTCAGCTGTGTGGGGCATGAGACGAGAGCGATCCAAGTCTCAAACTCATCTCTATCCATAACGCCTGCTTTGGCAATGCAGACGCGCCAATGTACCCTTCGAGACTGCAGTATTTCGATCGTAGTCTGCCAGATTTCTTTCGCGATTTCTCCGAACACACGTGTACCGAGATGATACGACACAAGAGCCTGGGACTTGCCACAACTGTCAGTCCAGGCTGCTGTAATCCAACTGCCATCAAAACTAATCGCATAGCCAAGGTGCATATAACTGTTTTCACGGAGCAGGTCCTGCGCCGGCTCCGATACAAGCCTGAACGGGACGCTTCGAGGAAGGGTCTCTTCCAGTTGAAATGATGGAGCCTTATATATGCTGAGAGTTGTCTTGTCTCCACTTGGTGCGCTCGGTGGGCAGCGATCGTAGACTTCCCGCGCAAGACTTGTGTATGTGCTGGGATCCAGAATGACGGGGGTGTCGTAAGAGGCGATATACTTCATGGGGATGACCTGAAGCACAAGATCCGGCTTCTGAGTTTGATCGGGCCGTCCTGGTGGTCCTTGGCTGTAAGCCTGGAAAAGAGCCCAGAAAGCAGAACCTAGCTCCCATAGCCCAGAGGGGCCGCCGAAAGAATCTACCATGTAGATGACGAACGCGTCGATCTTAGCCTCCTGTTGTTCTCGTATCTTGGTATGCCGCATGGAAAGATGATTGCCAAGTTGAACACATGTCTCTCTAAGCACCTTAGACGTATCATGCTGGGCGCCTGGTGTGGTGACCCGGCAAGGTACGAGGCCTCCTTCAAACTCTATACCTGTTTCGACGCGCACGTGACTGCCAAGCTTGCAGCTGTCGTAGGCCAGCTGAAGGTTGAGTAAAAGGTTCTCTAGGCATGGCCTGAGAGACTCACTATGTGGGTAAACGCAGAAGGCAACAACATTCTTCGGGGGGCTGATGGGCGACAACCCAAGAGGCTCCCAGAATGATATTGCTGGAGGAAGCAAGTCCCAGTGGGTTTCCGCACGTCGGACTCTGAGGAAAGGGGGACTTATTTGGAAAAGGTGGTTCCCAGGTATCACCGCGCCTTCATTTGGCTTGCGTGGTGGGGGTCTTTGATGTCCCTTTGCTTGAGCTGAGAGTTCGGGGAACACATCGTGGACTGCTGCTAGCGCAGGTACATTACATTCGATTGCGTCTGGGAATATGCTTCTGATGGTGGCCTGCCAGCGTGTCTCTGGCGATATCCGAACGTCAGACCTCAGCTCGACTAATGGGTCCTCTCCAAGGATGTCAAGTGTTGCTGACACAATCTGATCAGTTACAATCTGGGTTATTGCAATACTATCCTTTCCACTCAAAGGCAAAGGCCTTTCGTCTGGTTGTTCAAATATAAGGTCAGGCTGAGATGTCGGGGTATCTGGCATCTCCATATGGAATGGCGGCATAGCAGGCATGTTGTAGCGTGCGCCAGCGGCGATTCGTTCGGCGGGAGAAGGAAAGTTGACCAAAGACCAATCCCAAGAAGTGGGTTCGAAGGAGGTAAGAGATGCTTCATCGAGTTGAAGTGCATGAGGGTCTTGCCAGTCACCCCCAAGAGAATCTGCGAATGAGGTTACAGACATTGGGGTGGCATTGTCTTCAGTTGGTAACTTTCTCTTTGCAGCTAACACAATGCTGCCCACGAATGCCCTAGGCCCACTAGCGATCTCTTCATCAGAATCTTCTTCAGATGCATCTGACGTCTCACTCGAAGAATCCGAGTCATCGCTACTGTCTGCTCGAGCCAAAGATGGAATTTCTGGGATCTTATTGGTCGATGCAACGCCCATAGCATAGCGGAGTTTTGTCAATAATGGTACGTCCCTCAGACTTTTTACCCGGGAAGAACCGGGGTTAGCCCGGCGGTCACTACCAATATCCTTGTCTTGATATGAGGTAGAACGAACACCCTGGTACTTCGCATCAGATATGCTCAGCTTACGGCTGAAGGTCAGTGGACTGAATGCGCTGTCACGCTGATGCCCCAGCTCTTGCTCTTGATCGAGTCGTGATGCGGACTTCTTAGGTGGAGACGGCTGCAGTGTCTTCGCAATCATGCTAGGACTGAGCGGAGGCGTAGGCTCTTTGTTGGTAGCCACTTGTCCATGAGGTTGCGGGTGCACCTCCAGTTCCAAGCTTGTATCCTGTTCATCTTGCGCTGGGGAGGTCCCTGTGGTCGCAGGTTGCTCACTTTCGACTTTCTGCATCTCTTCGTCTGTAGGCCGAGAAGCCGTAGCTAGAGCATTCTCAAGGGCTGCTAGGGGGTCGGGCATCTCCTCCTTGCTTTGTGACTCGGAAACAGACACTAGCTCTTGATTCTGGCCATGTTTGACAGCGGTAATGTTGCTATCAGGCAGCGCTGGGGCGTCTTCCATGTCCACATCTTCCTCGTCGGGTCCATCAAAGAAGTCAAAATCTGCATCGTTGACGCCATCGCCCCCGTACCCATCTTCTTCCATGTCTTCGAACAAATCATCGTTGCCGCTAGACGTATTAAAGTTGTCTGAGGCCGAAGGCAACACGGGAGACGTCAAAGACAGCTGTTGTCCGTCGATATGAGCGTTGTCCTGGGGAGCTGAAATGTTGATTACAGGATTGTTTGCCCCCGATGCTAGTATTACATTAGAAGTGGCGCCCGAGACACTTGGTGTGTCGCTGTAAGAGACCCCAGTGCCGGGGGCAACGCCGTCTGGGGGCGTAGGATATACTCCGCTCACTGCTTGAAGGTCACCATAGGCCCCAGTTCGGGGATTCAGTGGAGATGATGCATATAGATTAGCATGATCTTCTTTTTGGCGAGTAGCCTCCTCTTCGGCCTTTTTGGCTTTCTGTCGTACTTCGAGTATTTTCTCTCTATCGGGTTTGCCGAGGAACCACTGCTGCGCAACATCTAGTGGATCTCTGAAGCCGGTCGAGTCGGGAGTCTCAAACCATCTAGAGGGACTGTCACCGTGTTCTGAAGTTGAGACACCGTCTGACTCTGTCGCTGTAGTTCCAACCGGCTCAGGCATGTAGAGAAAACACAGTCCTCGCGGCCAGAGTATGTCTCGGCCCGAATTGAAAGGTGATGGGCTTGATACAGCGGGTTGTGTCATCTGGGTGGTGCGTATCCTGATCCACGAGCTCGGTTTCTCGAGATTGGGTAAAGAGTAGCCCCTCCAGCCTAACCAACGCTTGACAGTCGACTTCCATTTCTCGATGCTTTGCTCCAAGGAGCTGACCCTTGGTCTTTTCCTCGATCGATGAGCGACATCTTCCGGGACGGAGTCCAATGGGTCTTCAAAGCTCACTATCTTGGCAAGCAAGCCTTTGGGAGCAACACGTACACAGCGACCGACAAGCTGCTCTTGTTCTGTTTCTAGCGTGATATCACCTAAACAACGAATCTCAAGTTTCCGCTCGGTGAAGGTTGAGACCAGGAGCGTTCCTGAACTAGTCCAATGGACGTTAATGCTTGTGAGCCAATGTGGGTCTGCTAGCATGTCAAGGCTCGCATGATGATTATCTTGCGGAGGCAGAGGTTGTGAAATGAATGTTCGGTAGTTCAAGGCAACCACATGGCAGTCTCTTACAAGATGGAATGAGATCATAGCCATGACAGACGACGTATACAGCTCATAGAGGGTGATGCAGTCTGGAGGCTGCTGTTGATCCGTCGTATTAGCTTGTGTGCTGCCTGGAGGAAGTCGCGCGCCTTTATGCGATGCTGGCGTCGAAGGCGCGAAGTTGGATGATGCTGCATTCGGGTTTACCGCTCGCATGGGCGGTCGAGCTAGTTCGACAGCCTTTATACAACCTGTTTGTTCACCTGGGATACATTAGCGGTGATTACAATGGCATGGGAGACCTCTTACGCTGCAAGCGATATCCCTCAAGCTCTGGTAGATCCAAAGCGCCCTGGCCAGCCTTCTCGACCGTGGTGGGTTGGAAATGCCATAGCCAAGGTCGGGACGCATCCTGTACAACTAGATGCAGGCCTTGGCGTAGCTCTGCTTCTGCAGCACGCAGATGGTCTAAGGGGCTCAAATCGCGCGCTCTTGAGGAGGTTTGGGTGGTATTGGGTGTAATGGAAACGGCTTGGTATGCGATGGCCTCAAAGTCGCCCTGCGCACTGTAAGTAGGGATCCATGTGTGTACAAAAGTACTTGGGCTTACTATAGCTTGTGCATTTGTGCTGCACGTCTTGAGAAATTCCATTAGAGACAGCTGCCCTCTAAGGAACGTTCAAGTGGTATTCGCGACGTATATGCACTCCCAAGATTGCGCTGTACACCTTTTCCATCAACTCCGCTGCTGTTGGCTCGACGCGGTTCACGCGACTACGCGGCTAAAGTGGCTATGTGTAGTGAAGCGATGGTTTGTGCATAATGTGGTCGCGTCGTCTGGTGGTGAAGCATGGTGGCCGCTGCCCGAGCCGGCCGTCTACTGCGCGAAGTGTGGAGAGGGGCGCGTCTTCCAGTAGCTACTTGATAGTTGCTAGCAGCTTGCGTGGGATAGATGAAGAAAAGAGGCGCGCAGCATCCCAAGCTACTTCAGGCTCGAGACTCGAGACCAACGCAAGAAGAGTGATGTGTGATGGTAGTAGCGGCTCGGAAGCGGCGCGAGGCCTGGGGTTGTTGAATGCGACGACGGCTGGCCTGGCGAACGACATAGCGCGGCGGGTCCGTCGGGGTCATTCGGGTCGCGCCTACCCTTATTGGCCGATGGGGGCCTGTGCACCCTACCAGCCCTACGGAACTTTTTTGACATTCTCAAGATCACGAAACTTGTTCCCCGCCGCAACGCTTCGTCGAGCCGCCACCATGAAGATCTCCAATTCTGCGGTCCCCGTCTACACTATTAGCGGTAGTGAAGCGCGTCCTCTGCCAGAATGGCTCATACGACAAAGGAAAAGGTGCGCAGCAGTCCTCCAAGTTCCAACCAAGCACGCGAGCTGATATTTCCCTAGGAGTTTAAAGAACGACCCTGAATTTGCGAACCGTGTCGAGCTGCTCCAAGATTTTGGCTTCGAAGAGGCAAGCCAGTGCGTCCGAGTCAGCGAGGATGGCGACTGGGTCATGTCAACGGGCACATACAGGGTGCGCAACTTGCGACAACCGCTTTAAATCTTTCAACCAAACCAACTGACAGTCTACTAGCCCCAAATACACACTCACTACCTGCCTCACCTGTCCCTCTCCTTTGCGCGCAATACCAACACTCTGAACGAGACCTTCCGGCTACTATCGAGTGACTACTCTAAAAGCGTCCATCTTCAAGCCGACAGGGTAATCGAATTCCAGACCGGTGGAGGCGTCCACTACTCTACTCGCATACCTCGATACGGAAGAGATCTGATATACGATAGGCGATCAGCAGAATGTCTCGTACCTTCTGTGGGCGTCAACGCAGATGGGCTTGGTGAAGTCTACAGGCTGAACTTGGAAGTGGGGCGATTCATGAGGAGTTATGAGGTAGATGTCGGTGGAGACGACCTCGCAACGGTGGGAAGTGGCTCGCTACAAGGAGGCATCGATGCTGGTGCGGTGAACACTGGTGCTATTGCCGAAGACAGTCACAACCTTCTCGCCTTTGGCACCTCGTTAGGCACAGTTGAGTTTTGGGACTCGCGGTCAAGAAACAGGGTTGGCATACTATCTTCCCCACAGGATGCGTTCGAAGGACGGTCAGAAACCACAGCGCTCACCTTCCCTCGATCAGGACTTGAGTTGGCTGTTGGTGACTCGAATGGACTCATCCATCTTTACGACCTACGATCCCCGAAACCCCTGCTGAAGAAAGACCAAGGCTACGGCTTCCCCATCAAAAACATCATCTACCTAGAATCCAACACCTCGAGTCGCGCCCAAACCGCCGAACCCAAGATTCTCACAGCCGACAAGCGCATCATCAAGATATGGGATCCTCGGGACGGCGCATCATGGACTTCAGTTGAGCCCGCAGTCGACCTCAATCACGTCGAATGGGTCAAGGACACAGGCATGCTCCTCACAGCCAATGAAGGAAAGCAGCAGCACTCTTTCTTCATTCCGCAGCTTGGACCCGCGCCGAAATGGTGCGCGTTCCTGGATAACATTGTGGAAGAAATGGCAGAGGACCCCAATGATCCAAACTCTTTCGGCAAGAGTTCGGCGGGAGAAGTCTACGACAACTTCAAGTTCTTGACCTTGGAGCAACTCAAGCAATTGAATCTAGACCATCTAGTCGGGACGACGAATCTACTACGACCATATATGCACGGATACTTTGTCGCGCAGAAACTATACGAAGAAGCTAGACTGATCTCGAACCCCGACCTTTGGCAGGAACAACGCGCAAAGAGTATAGCCGAGAAGATCAACAAAGAGCGCGAGTCCAGAATTAGAGGAAACAAGAAGGTCGCAGTCAAGGTCAATAGGAAACTCGCAGAGAAGATGCTCGACAGGCAGGAGCAGAAGGATCGGAGAAGAGCGAAGCGTGTGCTGGAGAAGGGTGGTGACGATGACATGGTGGATGCTGCCAAGGCACCGGCTGTTGGTGAAATCGAGGAACAGAGCAAGGCTGCCGAGGGCGTTCTTGCCGATCCTCGTTTCGCACGACTGTTCCAGGACGAAGACTTCGAGGTCGATGAGCGGTCGCACGAATTCCAAGCTCTCAACCCCAGCACCAAAATCCCCAAGGGCCTCACAGCTGCAGAGCAAGAAGACATCGAGTCTAACAAGGGCTCAGACTCGGACTCGGACTCGGAAGACTCTGAAAAGGAGCAGGTACGACCGGTCAAGAAACCACAACAGAAAGAAGACCCGTCTCGCATTTCCTCGTCCAACTACCGCAAAGCCGGACATCGGGATCAACGCGGTCCCCAGATGGTCGTGTCGTCGTCCAACGCGCGCAAATCCGGGCCCAAGCGCGACTCGACGTTTGGAACCAGAGTGTCGAAACTCAAGGATAGAAGACCAACTTCCGGCGCAAACACTACTACCGTTGTTGGTGAGCGCGAGATTACTTTTGCGCCAGAGAGGAAACAGAAGCAACGGACGGAGGAGAGTGGACAGCGGCATGATCGGAGGAAGGATGGCAATAGGAGGAATGCGAGTAACAATGTATTTAGGACGATGTAGATATGAGGTGTGTGTATGGATTTGTGATGGGAGGAAGAAGCTGAATGATACCCTTTCTCAACAACTTTCCTCACTCACTCACTCACTTACTTACTTACTTACTTAACCATCTCGCTTAAAACCGACGGCTTGAATCAACTTGTAGGCAGCTGTGAGAAGTAATACGGCGAGGAAAGACTTACTTTGTATGAGACGAGAGAGTATGTGGAATATATATTAGATTTGTTTTTCTCTCCGTTCGCAAGGTTAGTAGGTCTTGATGTTTCTAAAATAAAAAGGGCCATGTAACTCATCTAGAATATTGTTTAACAATTGACAGTCGGGGTGACAAATTCATTACTTGCTCCTGTGTGAATTAAAAGAATAATCATATTATATTGCATCTCATCTCGTATGATATGACTATCGATGGTGCGCTGTGAATGTGGAAGCGGGTCTATTACAAAGCCCTGGCGTCAAAGGAGAACCCTACGCCTGACATAAATGGTCCGCTATCTGCTGGCAATGCACATATACGTCTCCTTCTCCAGATACCGACTGATCTTCCATGCTTCTAACATGCTTGCCTGGGCTCCGTGGCATGCACAGCTGTCCTGTATCTCTCGCTCCAAAACGCCAGAAGAGGATTTCGACATGCTTCGTTTACTCTGTGGTCTGCTTGTTCAAGTAGGTATAGGCGGCGAATGCGAGGGCGCCGCCGAGAAGAATGACAGCGTAGAGGCCGACCCCTGTGGAGGCTCCGTCGGTCGCAGTGGCTGTCGAGCCGGATTGCGAGTAGCTCTTGGGCTTCGGGTCGCCTTCCTGTTACTCGTTAGTAGGTCTTCTTGCAATAGTTGCCGAACAGTAATGGCGCCTGCTTTTCGCAGCGGAATTGTTCCGGATTTTTTCGGTCGACGTATAATAGGGGTCGCCCAGGGGGGATGGAGGTATGTGAGGTAGAACGACATGCTAGAGAGGTTCTGGGAGACATTGGGGCCTATTTACCTGTCGCTTCAACGTTCCGACGAGCATACCGTCGAGAATCTCGCGGGCTTCGTCTGAGTGGCCGACATCCTCAAAGGCTTCTGTCGAGTCTTGGCCGCCGACGTCGAGGAGGACTTCCTCACCACCTCTGTCAACCATTAGCAACCATGTTTAAAAATACGACTATGAAGCAATTGCCGGGGCGCAGGTGGGGTGCTTTGGGATGTCGATATGGAGCAGCGTCGGGTGGTGTTGTGGCGCAAAAAAAAAAGGAGCCACGTACGGATGCTCGTCTACGAAGCTCGATGCATTGTAGACCTTGTCGTGAACAACAATGTACAGGTCCTTCTTGGTGTTGTGCTCTGAGACGTCAGAGTAGGTGAATTCCTGGTCGGCCATTGTGGAATTGGGTTGGAGAATTGAATTTCGTCGGTGAGGCGGTGGAACCTTCTGCGAGCAGAACCGGTAAGAGAGGGGAACGAAGCGGCGCTGACTGGAAGGCGCGGAACACGTAGACGAGTGACTCGCTGAGGTGAGGTGGTCAGAAGATAGCGGTGGATAAGAAATGGCCGTCGTAGCGGGATTGGCCCTCGGGTTGGCCCCAGACTGCTGCCAGGCGGTATACGGTTGTGGAAGTTAACAAATTGCAGCACGCCGATTGGCCAATTTTCTCCTGCCTCACCGAGCCATTCCCGAGGCCCCCCCTCTAGAAGGGAAAAGAAGTCCCTCCTGTTCCCTGTGGGGCTCTCATAGATGCGACAATGGCGGGGTACTCAGATACGAGAAACGTCTTCCGCGCACGCCCAGGTCCGTTCGGTCCCGTAGAGTCAGCATTTTCTTCACCTATCTAGTGTTGTTCGCTATGAAGGAACTGGCTGTCACGAGCGACTGGTCTATCTCCCCTCCCTCCTGCTCCTACGGATGGCACAGGAAGAAGAGGAGACAGCGAATCCTAGTGCTGATCGTGTCATATTTGTTAATTCCGCTACGTCACAAGTTTCCTATCTCTACTCTTGTAGCCGACGAAGCCCTTACTTTCTTGGGCTTATTCGCGAGTCATACACTACAGGTATTCACCACGAGCCCAAAACTTTGACCCTCATCCACTCGCTCGTCCCAACCCCCAGATTCAGTCCATTGAGCGCCCACCATCTCCTGACGCTCTCCCCTCGTTCTCCCTCAACGCCGTCCTCGAGCGCCTCTTCGATATCGCACGTCTTGTACTCTACTCTTAGTCCACTGCGTTTCCACCAGTCCAGCACGTTGGCGTGCCCCATCTTCGTAGGCCCCACGAGGACCTGGTTGTCGAAAAGCATCTTCTCGCCGCGAAGTTTGCGCCAGTAGTCGAGAATGTGCGTGTGTCCGTGATGGGAGGCAATCTTGGCAATGGTGTCTTCGTGCGAGAAGGGTATGCCAGACTCGACCCAAAAGTGGATGGCGGGCAGACAGCCCGACTGTGTTGCGTAGGTAATTGATTTGCCGACTTTGAGCTTCAGTAGATCACGCTGGGCTTTGTTGACATCCTTCTCCTCGCTAGGAGGGGGTGGCGTAATGGGCGCTGTGCGGTACCGGCTATGTTCCTTCCACCACTTGAGGACCTGAATGTGGCCCTGTGAGCTTGCTTGCTCGAGGGCGGCTTCGGTGTATTTGAGAGGAAGGCCGGAGGCATACCACCAGTCCAGGGCTTGAACCGAGTTGGTGCGACTGGCACTGTCGATGGCTTCGGTAGAGTATTCTTTGGTGAGAAAGGTGGGCGACGTCCGCCAGTACTCGAGAATTTCCGTCTTGCCGAACACAGATGCCTTGTGTGGCAAGAAAGCATGTCCAAAGGTGCCCCAGAAGAGGTCCTTGTGGTGGTTCTCCAAGTGGGCCAGAACACGTAGTAAGGCGAAGCGCATGATGAGTTCGATGCAAAGACGAGAGATGCGAGTGGGGCTCTCCAAGTCAAACAACGTGTTGATTTCAGCATAGGGACAAGTAAGCAGCGCCCACTCGAGCTTCTGCATCTGCGTCTTGGGCCCTTCGTCGCTGGCAGATTGTCGCCACTCTGGCGGGATTGGCAGGTTTGTGTGCACATTCAGCGTCGTGGCGAGCTCCCAGTCCTCAGTGAACTCTAGAATAATGGACCACAGCTCTGGTGGGAGATGAGCTCCTTTGCTTCGGGTACGTGTCAGTGTTGGGAGATGGGCAATGGGCAGTGCAATGGTGCGATCTCCAACCGCCATGAGATCGATTTGTGTCTGCATGGATTCATTGAAGGCCTTGTGTCCCTCCCAGGGCTGATACTTTCGGCCGGCCGCATCAAACGACCACAGGAAAGGCGGTAGGACGCGGATCCAGTTCCATTTTCTGCGAATCTTGCTGATCTGCTTTCTCGACATGGGATTCTCCCACATGAGGGTGGACATTGCGGGTATGAGCATCACTTTCTTGGATACATCCCAGCTCCGCAGTATCTGCAGGTGGAGATTGCTGGTGAAGCCGTGCAGCATGCGAGCCATGTTCTCGGCATCGAGGGGTGCAAGGACCAGCAGGTCAGCCCATGAGCAGTACTCTGCCACCTTTGTTTCTACGAAGTCGGCATGTTGCCACCCAGGGGTTGTGTTGTGCTCGACGTCATAGGTCTGCCAGACAGGCTCGAGGTGCGAAGGAACCGTGGTGTGAGCCGATTTGGGGAAGCCATTGCAGGCAATCACCTTGAGCGAAACATGCTGGAGGCGGTGTAGGCGCGCGACGACGGAGCAGCCAAAACGGAAAGCCGAGGGGTCGGTCAGGGCGACGAGGACGTTGAGCGAGCGTTCGGGGCGCTGCGATGGCATGAGGGCGCGTGGGGAGGTGTTCTGCGTGTCGTAGAGTTGTTGCGGTCAGTTTGTACGAATTCAATCAAGTCAAATGCTGTGACAGCGATTGGGCGCTGCCCCACATTCCCGTCCCATTTTATCTCATCGAATAGGACAGCGCAGCATTCTTTGCGACAGGAACAGACACACACAAAAAGAGCACTCGATAGTCTTCGGCATCGTCCCATGGCGCGCCGTCCTGGACCCGCTTCTTCTGACAGCCTCAGACAACGGTTAGGAAATTCCTTCCGCATGCATCACGTGGCGGCGACAACCGGTGGTCCATGGTAGCATGATTCACGTCGCGTGGCGACATTTTGGCTGCAGGTGAAGATCATCGGATGGGCTTTGGAGACACGGCTGCACGTCTGGTTTGCTAACGGCCACAAGTCGGTCCCCACGGCGTGTAGGTGTTGTAGGTGTGGTTGAGGCGTTGTCGTCGTCGTCGAAACGTCTAGCCCTCGATCTCATCTCATCTCATCTCTCGGCTATTATGACGTATGGCCGCCATGGTATTTCGCAGCCAAATGCCAATCTCGTAGCTTTGGCATCTCGGTCGTGCCCCCACCCGGAAATCGAAGCCGGCCCATCTCGTGCCACAGCTTTTCATCTGTCTTGTGCGCCGCTACTCTCATAGTGGCCTAAACCGCCGATCCCCATGCAATTTGAGTCGCTGTCGTCCCTAAGATCGACAATACAGTGGGCATCAAAGCCACTCAACCGCGACAAGTGCGCCTCAGACTCGCAATCCTTTCATGGCGGGCATCTAAGATATTCTGCCCTCCACCCACAGTACTGTACACCCATGCTGCTGGCTCCCACCCTGTCTTGTCTGCACCAGCCGCGGCCCTAGTTTCTTTTCGCGGGTCGTCGTTACGAAGTCCTCCTGTTAGCATCACCTGTCGCCGGCGTCGTCGGCGGAACATGCCTTGCACTTGACCTCCTCGCCCCTCACCGCAGCATCGCAACCCCACAAACAGCATCTCTGCAGTCTCCGAGCAGGCGCCGCTCCTGTAAAGCACCCCCTCGCACGCACACGACGACGAATACCTATTCCAGAGAACGTACACGCTATCGCCACACCAGTCGGCTCGGTCCCTGCATACCCAAAGTCACCCAAGTCGACTGGCCGTCACGGTGTAAAAAGCCTGCTACAGTCTACTCGAGCGCCCCCGCCATTCATGGACACTTGAAAGGGAGGGAGAGGGTTCTCGTGTCGTGTTTAGGTTGGAACACAGGTACTACTTCGAGGCCACAACAAACCCCCGTCGTCAAATCCCACAACCTACACGCACCAACCGAACGACGCCTGCACCGAAAGGCACTTACAGCGCCTCCATGTCTCAACCAACACAACAGGAATCTAACGACATATTACCAACCCAATGCGATGGCACTGCTGCCTTCCCCCAAGTATCACCCATCCCAGAAGAGCCACGCACACCGAGCGACGAAACCTCACTACCATCCAGCCGTCCAGGACATGTATCCTTCACGACAGACAGACTAGGCTCGCTCAGTCGTGCTGCGACGGATCGGGTGTTTCCTATTCGCAGCGTCGTTAGTGTCGACCCTACTCCAACCCCGAAGCCGACTTCCCAAGGCGACTATTTTCACCCCTTCTCACGGACAAACGATGCCCGTCTGTCATCCGATACCCGTCGTGGCTCTCAGGGCTCAATTACCTCACAGTCGTCCCAAGCCTCGCAACGCGCCCGCAATCGCCCCAGTGCACCTGCAGCTCCAATGGCAGACCCGGGTTCGGCTACAGCATCAGCTTCAAACGCTCCTCAGGCTGATGGGAAGCCAAGTCAAGAAGGCGAGACTTCCAGAAAGGCCCAACCGTTGCTAGCCACGCAGCTGTTCAATGACCTGGCCTCGACTACGTCGGGGGGGAGTGTTGCTCCGGGAGATAGTCGGTCACCGTCGCTGAGAGTTGACCACGCTGTATCTGCTGGCGCTGCTTCGGTAAGCAGCCTGGACCTGGGCGGCTTGGTGACACATCGCTTCAAGCATGTCACGACTGAAGGGGGTCATATGGTCATAACAGGGCGCGACGGAGACACATTACAGCGCTGCGAGGATGAGCCCATACACCTTCCTGGTGCGGTGCAAGGTTTTGGCCTTCTAGTTGCGCTGCAGGATGACCCAGCAGGAAGCGGCGGCCTGCTTGTTCGGATCGTGAGTGAGAACTCCAAGAGAATCATAGGACGCACGCCCAAAGAGCTGTTTGCTCTTGAAAGCTTCACAGATATCCTCTCGGAAGAGCAAGCAGACAACCTTCTCGATCACATCGATTTCATTAAAGACGAGGACTCGGATATTACTGCCAACGGCCCTGAGGTCTTCACCATGTCCATCAAGGTAGCAGGATATTCTCGGACTCGCAAATTGTGGTGTGCTATACACATTAGCGACGCTAATCCTGGGCTCATCATATGCGAATTCGAGCTTGAAGACGACCCGCAGTATCCACTGGTACCTCCTAATGATCATACGCCTGATCTTCCAGAAGATACCATGTCCAGCAATCCTACCGCAGAGGAATTATTAGAGAGCACCGAAATCAAAAGCAAGCCTCTCAGGGTTTTGAGAAGTGCACGGAAGAGGAAAGGCGAGGCTGCGGCAATGGAGGTGTTCAATATCATGTCGCAGGTGCAAGAACAGCTTGCTGCAGCACCGACCCTAGACAAGTTTCTCAAAGTGCTGGTAGGCGTCGTGAAGGAACTGACGGGCTTTCACCGTGTAATGATTTACCAGTTTGACCAAAGCTTCAACGGCCGGGTGGTAACCGAACTCGTGGATCCTCGAGCGACCAAAGATCTTTACAAAGGACTAAACTTTCCTGCATCCGACATTCCCAAGCAGGCTAGAGACCTATACAAACTCAACAAGGTTCGCATGCTCTACGATCGTGATCAAACAACGGCTCGGCTCGTGTGCCGTACAGCCGAAGATCTCGAGCATCCACTCGACCTTACCCACTCTTATCTCCGCGCAATGTCCACAATACACCTCAAGTACCTTGCGAATATGGCTGTGAGGTCATCCATGTCGATATCCGTTACTGCTTTCAACGATCTCTGGGGCCTGGTCGCTTGCCATTCGTACGGGCCTCGAGGCATGAGGGTGTCTTTTCCCATTCGGAAGATGTGTCGCATGGTTGGCGATTCAGCATCTAGGAACATTGAAAGAATATCGTATGCATCTCGATTGCAGGCTCGAAAGCTCATCAATACTGTTCCCACTGAGGCGAACCCGTCTGGATACATTATCGCCTCATCTGACGATTTGTTGAAGCTTTTCGATGCAGACTTTGGCCTTCTTTCGATTCGAGACGAGACAAAGATCCTTGGTCAACTAGAAAGTCCCCAAGAAGCTCTCGCCATGTTGGAATACCTACGTATGAGAAAGATACAGTCGGTCATAACTTCGACGGACGTTACCCAAGATTTCCCGGACCTACGCTATCCACCCGGCTTTCATGTAGTAGCCGGCATGCTTTTAGTGCCATTGTCTGTTGGCGGTGAGGACTTCATTGTGTTTTTCAGGAAGGGTCAATTGAGAGAGGTAAAATGGGCCGGTAATCCATATGAGAAATTCATCAAAGAAGGCACAGCAGGCTACCTGGAACCGCGGACGAGCTTCAAGACATGGTCCGAAACGGTAGTTGGAAAATGTCGCGAATGGGCAGAAGAAGAAATCGAGACAGCTTCGGTGCTGTGCTTAGTCTACGGCAAGTTTATCGAAGTCTGGAGGCAGAAAGAGGCTGCTTTACAAAACAGCCAATTAACACGGTTGCTACTCGCAAACTCCGCACACGAGGTTCGAACACCACTGAACGCGATCATTAATTACCTCGAGATCGCCTTGGAGGGCTCATTGGATCAGGAAACACGTGAAAATCTAGGGAGATCTCATTCGGCATCAAAGTCCCTTATCTACGTTATCAACGATCTTTTAGACTTGACCAAAACGGAAGAGGGTGGGCCTTTGGTCAAGGGCGAGTCATTCGACCTGTGTGCTACCATCAAGGAAGCTACGGACATGTTTCGAAATGATGCGAAACGGAAGAATATCGGATACGAGGTTATTGAGCACCCTGGGCTACCAAAGCTTTGTATTGGAGACCAGCGCCGCGTAAGACAAGCCGTCTCGAACATCACCGCCAATGCTATACAGAATACGAGTCAGGGAAGCGTCAAAGTCGAAGTATATGTAGCCGAACGGGTGGGGCAAGACCATGTTGATGTGGAAGTGGCAGTCTCGGATACAGGTGTCGGCATGAACACCAAGAAACTAGACCAGCTATTTTATGATCTCGAGCAAATTCAGTCGGAGCCCTCGTCGTTGCTAGAAGACGCCCTCTTACCAGATGCCACAAAAGTAGCGGAGCAGGGAGACAAGGCTACACTAGGCCTAGGCCTAGCCTTGGTAGCACGCATAATCAAAAATATGAACGGGCAGCTTAGGCTTCGGTCTGAAGAAGGCAAAGGCTCTAGATTCGTAATACAGTTTCCATTTGACCTTCCAGACTCTGAGGCAGAAGATGCACCGCCTACGGTCAGCTCGCCAGTACCGTCACAACCAGTCACACCTCTCCTTGGACCGACAGACGGCGAACGCACCTTGATCGCACCGACTTTGACACGCAATGCATCTGAAACGATCCAGCATGCTGATAAGGGTATTGCTAGGAGATCGAGCGCAGAGAGCTTGACTGGCAAGTCGAGTCTTCGGAGTTTCATGAGTGGTTCAAGTCAGAGAAGCGATGTCGATCGACTCATCGACGCCATCCAAGAGCCGCACCCAATCGGCAGACAAGCAACAGGCGATGGAAGTCCAAGTGCGCGTTCTTGGAGGCCTCCCATGACCAAACGCCACAGCCTAGAGTCATCCCGCCAGAGGTCCAAGAGTCTCGAACCAGCAGGCGGACCAGTTGTGATCCCACCGCATCAGAGAAGCCTAGACACGAAAATACCTGGTGAACGCCCTATTGTATCCTCTGGCGTGCCCCTCAAAGCTGTCAAAGTTCCCGGCGATGCCGGCTCGCCGGTGGAAACTAGCCCGAAGATTGGGGGGATATTGGGCGAAGTGCATGATGACGTTGCCCAACTAGAGCCGAGTCCTCCGGAGAATTTGACTGCGGAGCACTTGCGTGTTCTTGTTGCTGAAGATGACCCGGTGAACAGTAGGATCGTTAAGAAACGGCTGGAGAAAGTGGAACACGAAGTCTATCTGACCGTGAATGGTGAGGAGTGCGCATCCGCGTTTTGTGACCAACCAAGCGCCTTTGATGTTGTCCTGATGGATATGCAAGTACGTAAAGCCGCTTGTGATTGCAGTTTGTTCCCATGCTAACAAACACACTATAGATGCCAATCGTGGATGGTCTCACATCAACCAAGATGATCCGATCATTTGAAAAAACCCACACGGAAATCTACTCACCACGGGCGGCCCTCTGCGGCCGCATTCCAATCATAGCCGTCTCTGCTTCCCTAGTTGAGCGGAACCGCAAGGACTACATTGAGGCCGGCTTCGACGCATGGATCCTGAAGCCTATTTCATTCGACCGACTGAAAAGCCTCATGGCGGCCATTGTTGACACCAGCATCCGGGAAGAGTGTCTGTACCAGCCGGGCCAGTGGGAAAAAGGAGGGTGGTTCCACCGAGGCCAAAAGAGCTCGCAGGAGGCGTCAACCAAGCCTTCCGGCGAGACAACGATGTCCTATCTCACGCAGCAAACAGAGGAACCTGCACAAGCGGACCATGATGCAGCTGGCGAAGGCAATAAAGAAGGTACCACGGCTGAGGAGAAGGCTGGAGAGGAGGAAGAAGACCAGACAACGCCGACTTGAGATGTCACACCACAGCTCCGTTACGAGGGTAATATGGTAGTTTACCGACCCACGAATCCATGGCTCTTTTCCCACTTGAGGGGAACACTACTAGTCTCATCTGTCGGCGCGCATATACGACTCTTGCCGGGGTTTCCGCATAACGATCTGACGGACTTGAAGGTATTGCAGCACACATTACTTGGCGCAGGTTGTTGTTTTCACACCAAGCGCACATTTCCTTGTCCTGACGGCACTGTTGAACATACTGTCCCGTCAATTTGATTGCAAAGTATGATTTTGAAGAGCAACGATTATGGCATTACTATTGGAGCGATCTTGCAATACCCACGTCGGGGGTTTTTAAGGGGAGAGAGATAAAGACCGCCTAGCCCTAGCACAGGGGTGATGCCACGAGTGGCGATGAGAGAGAAAGAAGAAGCCCGAGAAGAACATCAAAGGGACGTTGTGGGAATGGAGGGGCAGAGAGACGTGTAGACTAGTTATACACCCAGTGTCAAAGTTACACGCTGTATATTCCTTTCGACTCTCATCCTTGATCGGATTTCTAACGTTGTACCCAACAGATTAGGATGACGACGTGAAGCATGACACAAAACGCCCGAAGCGGACATGGACGGAAATGATAGTCATCGTCACGGGACATGGTTGTCTTGGAAAGTCATTCGACATTTGCGCCCAGACGTCGCTAAGAGCGAATGGAGATGGACAGTCGAATCCTCATGACTTGTCTACATGCAGCCGCCTGCTCATCAGACATTGGCGCTGATCAGCGGTTCCAACACCATGGTCGACGGAGCCGTTTGCTAGTGCGCGCCGGTAGCGTGCCTCAGGCCCGGGAGATGGGCCGGTACCGCGACGGGAGGGATAACCATGTGCAGTCACAGTAGTGAAAGGGTCAACGGCGCTTACTAGATGGACAATACAGCAACTGCGACTCTGTGAACAGAGCTCTAGAACTTTTGTGCAGATGAGTTGTCCGTGCCACCATGCCTTGGAAGTTTGTTGAGGCAATGCTGTGTTCTGCATCTTCGGACATGACTCTCTGCGCGACTTGGGGTTTCTTCTTACCGTTCTTGACGTTGCTTTTGTCTCTCCTCTTGGAGTTACTTTTGTGCAACTGTTAGTTGCTTTTTAGCTGCTTTGGGGGCGTTGTGGACGTCTGCATGGCGCGTTTCATGAGCGACGACGTTGGAGATTTTGTTGCTTTTTCTGTCGTGTCCTGCAGGCGAAGGGGGGGCCGTTGCGCAAAGTGGGCGGGTTCGATGAGGGTCGAGATTGGCTGGCGGTGCGACGATCGGTGGGTTTGGTCGTGGTGATGGATGGCACTGGCAGACAGTTTTTGTCGGGCGGACCTACACCCCCTTCACCGAATACGTCGATAGGCGTGGATGGGGCTGGATAGGTAGGGTTGATAAGTGAGGTCTTTGATCTGGCAGGGAGGAAGCGCCACATGGATCGGAAACGATCAGTCGCGTGCACGGCATTTGTAACGCAAAGCGAGGCGGGAGTGACGCTGCAACCTGCTGTGTCGTCGAAAAGCAGCGGTTGTGGCATGGATGGGGGAGGGGGAGGGGGGGTCGAAGAGAGACATGTGAAGGTTCGGGGGGGGGGGGGGAAGGAGCCGCATGTCATTTAGGGAAGCTGCCCATGGAACACGCCCAATTCAGAAACCGCGACGCAGCTTTGAAACATGATTATTATTGTTATTGTTATTGTTATTTTTTTTCCATTTGTTCCTGTCTAGCTAGCAATGTCTGGCAACATATGGCCTTATTGACTGCCTACTCCTACGATCGAGGTGGTGTGGGGTGGAAAAAAAGCAGCGGCAAGACGTTGACAAGCGCAGGGCGGTGCGGGCCTGGGGCTTCGGCTTCGAAATGAGAGGAGACACGGCGTGAAACCCATTTTCCTGCACCCTGGACGTTGTGGAGCTAATAAGCAGGCAGGGCCCATGGCGGCGGCGGAGGACATGTCGTCTCTGGCTCGACGGCAGAACCCAGACAGAGCCCTAGAGAGAGAGAGAGGAGGGAGACGAGGAGCCAGGATTATTCGACGGGCTGAGAGGGCCTGTCCTGTCCTGTCCTGTCCGTGCTGTCTGCTGCGAGCGATCTTGTTCTTGCCCAGCTGTTTCTTCCATGCATTGCATCAACTGACGGTGTGCTGTATCGTATCGTATCTATTCTATTCCATTGTTTGTTCCCTTTTTTCTTCCTTCGCCCTGCACTCGTCCTTTGACAGCCTTGTCGCCCCGCTCCCATTCGCTGCCCTCTAGCTGCCGTGCAAGCCGTGGTCGTGCAAGCCGACTAGCCTTTGGGCGCCTGGCATCGAGTGGACGACAGCCCTCAAAGGCGCCGTGCCCATCATGGAGGAAACACGCAACAAGACGGCCTCGAGACGCTTGACCAAGAGGGAGCGTCTCCCCCCGCCAGTTGCCTACCTCAACAACAAGGCAAAGTCCAACACGCTCAAGCGTGCCCCCTCGGCTGCTTCCTACTTCACGCCCAATCAAGGCCTCGCTCTCCAGTCCGCCGCCGCCGCCTCGTCGCTTTCTGCCGACACCCAAACCCCGGGCTCCTCACTTCGTCGCTCGCCCTCACTTACGCCCGTCCACGAACACCACCGCGCCGCCGCGAATGTAAATTACCCGTCCTCCCAGGCCCCGGTGCCCTCGATTGCCCACCTTCCGCCGGCCTCGGTCGGGGAGCCCTTCAACCACGCCATCGTCGAGGAAGCCCTCTACGCCTCCTCCTCCTCCCACCACCTTAGCCTCCACCACCACGACCAAGACCCACGTCGACCTGCCGGCCCCCAGCATTCCCTCACCGCAGACCCGCCCTCTCGCTTCAGGTCCTCGCCCAAGCTGCGCCAGTCGGCCTCGTTCAACACCCTCGCGCGCAAGATGGATACCCCGCCATCGGGCTCCAAGAGCCCGCGCAATCGATACAGCGACGATGGCGACACGGCCAAGAAGCGCAGGTCCGACGGCGGCAAGAAGAAGGGCACTTTTTCCACGTTTGTGAGCAGCATGCTGGGTTCGCCGCGCCGCCCTACCATCTCCACGCCCACCAATCCCATGCATGTTACCCACGTCAGCATCGACAACGAGACGGGCGAGTTCACGGTACGTGGCACAACTGACCGCAACCCGCGCCTGGCTTTTTTTTTTTTTGCTTGTGCAGGCGTGTGCTGGCATTCCTACTACTGCCCTTCCTCCTCCTCTACCGTCTTTTGCTAATCCAAATGTGTAGGGTCTTCCCAAGGAATGGCAACGTATGTTGCAGCAAAATGGAATCACAGAGCTGGAGCAGAAGCAGCATCCACAGGCGGCCGTGGATGTCGTCAACTTCTACAAGGACAACGCAGAAAAAAACGAAGAGGACGCCATCTGGGACAAAATGGGCCCGGCAAATCCACAAGGCTATGCCTACCAAGCAAACATCGCGCCCGCCTATGGCTCGGTGCAGCCCCTCTTGAGTCCACCCCAGAGCCCGCGCTTCCCACGGAACGACCACGACAGCTTCGAAAACCCCCGCGCCCCGCCTCCAATCCCGCGCAGTGTTACCTCGCCCGTTCCCAATTCACCTCAATTGAATGGCGCTCTCGTTCCGAATCGACCAGCGCCTAGGCCACCGGGCGCTGCCTCCACCTCGACCAACACCATCCCCACACGAGCTGCACCCCCAACGCCCAGTCCCATAGTCACACAGCAACAACAACAACAATCGACCCCGCGTCAGGAGAATGACTTCCCGCAGGTTGCCTATGCGCCTCCTACCATCACCGACAGCCCTACTGGAATTTCCTCGGCGCCCCGCAGTCGTGCCAACACGACTGGAGGCACACCGCCACGCTTCGATTCCCCCGCTAGTGCGTCCGCGATATCGCCCGCCCAGCAGTACCAACAGCAACAGCAACAAGCCATGGCAGCGGCACAGCAGCCCAAGGCTCCCCTGGGCCGGAGTGTCAGTCAAAGGGCACCGCAACCGGCACATCACGCACCAGCACCCGCTGCGGTTCCAGTACCATCAACCCAGCAGCAATTCGCGCAACAAATAGATCCTCAAAACATTCCCTTGCCTTCGCAGCAGGCTCGCGTCGGTCCGGCACCCCGGCCGCGGCAGCGGCCTCGTCAAAGCCAAGGACCGGATATTGTTGCCAAGCTCAACGCTATCTGCACCAATGCCGACCCAACCCTTAGGTACCGCAACCTGAACAAGATCGGCCAAGGTGCCTCGGGTGGTGTCTTCACAGCCTATGAGGTTGGCACGAATAAATGCGTGGCTATCAAGCAGATGAATCTTGAGCAGCAACCGAAGAAGGATCTGATCATCAACGAAATTCTCGTCATGAAGGATAGCAAACATAAGAACATTGTCAACTTCATGGACAGCTTCCTCGTAAGGGGAGATTTGTGGGTCGTTATGGAGTACATGGAAGGCGGAAGCTTGACAGACGTGGTGACTTTCAACATCATGTCAGAGGGACAGATAGCCGCCGTGTGTAGAGAAGTGAGTTGACTCTTTGTCGCAGTGAATTGCGTTATGCTAATTTGTAGACTCTCCACGGTCTGCAGCATCTGCACTCAAAGGGCGTTATTCACCGAGACATCAAATCCGACAACATCTTGCTTTCTCTGGAAGGCAATATTAAGCTAAGTAAGTTGAACCATGGAACCCACTGTTATCATCTCTAACGTACTGGAACAGCCGATTTTGGGTTTTGCGCACAGATCAACGAGAATCACAACAAGCGGACGACCATGGTCGGCACCCCATACTGGATGGCCCCGGAGGTTGTGACTCGGAAAGAATATGGCCGAAAGGTGGACATTTGGTCACTGGGCATCATGGCCATCGAGATGATTGAGGGAGAACCGCCCTATCTGAATGAGAGCCCTCTGCGTGCACTTTGGCTGATTGCGACGAACGGAACGCCCACGATCAAGGAGGAGCACGCTTTGTCGCCCGTATTCCGCGATTTCCTGGGCTTCTCGCTCAAAGTTGATCCGGATAAGCGAGCGAGTGCTCATGATCTCTTGGTGGTAAGTTTGGCCCAGTACTTGTTCGATAATCAATCACTAACAGAACCTCAGCATCCGTTCATCCAAACCGCCGAGCCGCTGAATACACTGGCACCGCTGGTGCTATCAGCGAGGAAAGCGAGAGCCGAAGAAAGACGCAAAAAGGGCGGTATGTAAAGAGAGCTCTCCTTGCTTATGGGTGTCTCTTATCGCAGGAACTTAGGTACGGGCGCAAAGCACTCCAACGGCGGCGATTCTTCTTACACGGATACGGAGTCGTTTGTCGAGTGGTATAACCAGACGGAGGCATTGTAGAGCGGCCCGGTGTCGAATGGAAGGTCTGGTCATTGTTACCGGAAGTCCTACTCGAGGCACGCGTTCAGTCTACACAGCACGAGTTTATGTGGCAATTCTAGAAGCTCAAGGCCTTCTTCATTACGGCCGATGGCGTTTTGAGCGATTATCGCTTGGTAGAGCGGTTTACGTACGGTTCGCTCGTAGCGAGCCACGATCAGCATACGGAGATCGAAACCATGTCATGCCGTCAATGTACATTCAGGATGAGCATAGTCGAGCGGATTAGCAAGCGCATTACATGTCTATTGCCTATGCGGGTCGTCTTGTTCAGACCGCATAGCACCAACTTTCACTTCAGGAGGAGATTTGGGCGTCCAGGCAAAGTCATTCGATGTGCCGCAGCTGAAGGAGCTCGAAGTCCCCTAGTCCTTTTTTTGTGTGTCTCACAACCGGCTCTTTGGGACTTTTTTTTCAAGACATGTTTGTGTTCTATACACCCTTTCCAATGTTTAGTGTCTATATATGATCTGGAAGAGGGCACGGTCAGTTTCCTAGGGGCATAATCGGCATACAGAAAAGTCGAATCTGAGAACAAACTCTGCGAATGAGATGATTTCCATACTTGACGACTTTACCAAGATCACGTCATGACTATGTTGTATTGCTAAAGTGTGGTGAATAGACACAGCCTTGCGTTTCACTGTGGCTGAGGCAGGCGTTCAGTTGCTCTTGCCTTCCGCCGCCACAGCTTCGTCATCACCCCGCTAGCCGCTTAGGTTGGGTAAGCGCAACGGAGCATGAGCTCCAAGCCTACTTGCATACGACACCTAGTTGACGCAAGCTCGATTCTTACAACCTACACCTTTACCTTGGACACTCCTGACACAAACTCACATCCTCACCCTACCTCTCGCTGTGCCTCACCACGTTCTCCGACTTCGGTGCAACTGCGCATCCCCACACGGAGCCTCGACGAGCACGAAGTAGGCAGACACCATGTTTCGCGCGCAATCGAATATCTTCGACGATGTCGTCGAAAAGGCGACCGACGAGAACCTGACGAGCGAGAACTGGGAATACATACTGGTACGGATATATATTTCTTCTACGGTCCCGCTGGCAGGCATCTTAGACGGGGGGCCTCGTGGATGCCCAACGTTGCGATTTGGCCATGTCATCTTTCCTGCCAATGCTAACAAGACACCATAGGATGTATGTGACAAAGTCGGATCTGCGGATACGGGCGCCAAAGATGCAGTTGCTGCCATGATCAAGCGGCTAGCACACCGAAATGCGAACGTGCAACTTTATACCCTCGAGCTCGCGAACGCCCTCAGCCAGAACTGTGGAATTCAAATGCACAAGGAGCTTGCATCGCGGAGCTTCACAGATGCTCTGCTAAGGCTGGCTGGCGACAGAAATACACACCAGGCTGTCAAGGCAAAGATACTTGAACGCATGGCGGAGTGGACTGAGATGTTCGCTCGTGACCCTGACCTAGGCATCATGTCGGGCGCCTACATGAAGCTGAAGACACAGAATCCAAATCTGCGAGCACCCTCCAAGCCACAGAAGACGCAGATATCTGATACGGACCGCCAGAAGGAGGAGGAAGAACTACAAATGGCGCTCGCAATGTCGATAAGGGAGTCAAAGGGCGCAGCCCCGACTGCTGCAAAATCCAACACACCACAAGAAGCTGGGTCAAGCGCAACTCCCCAACCCGCAAAGTCATCACAGCCTGTACCCGCGGGCACCACCGCGGCGACGGTTTCACGAGTGCGAGCCCTGTTCGACTTCCAGCCCTCGGAGCCCGGCGAGTTGCAGTTCCGCAAGGGCGATATCATTGCAGTGCTGGAGTCAGTGTACAAGGACTGGTGGAAGGGATCGCTCCGCGGGCAGACAGGCATTTTCCCGCTCAACTATGTCGAGAAGTTGCAAGATCCAACACGCGAAGAGCTGGAGAAGGAAGCGCACATGGAGGCCGAGGTGTTTGCCCAAATACGCAACGTGGAGAAGCTGCTCGCCTTACTGAGTACAAGCTCACAAGCAGCGGGCGGCGATGTCCGAGACAACGAGGAGATTACAGAGCTATACCACTCAACACTAGCCATCAGGCCGAAGCTGATTGAGCTGATTGGCAAATACTCGCAGAAGAAGGGTAAGTTGGTAGATTAGCTCTATAAAAAATTTACTAATAAGCTCTAGATGACTTCACGCAGTTGAACGAGAAGTTCATCAAGGCTCGTCGGGACTACGAGTCTATGCTCGAGGCCTCAATGTCTCAGCCTCCTCAACCTGCATACGGTGGCCGTCCCCCCTACGGCGCCTACAATGCGCCTCCACCCTCGAACTATGCTGGATATCCGCCTACATCTTCTCCTCCTCCCCTTCAGCAAGACCCAACCCGTTTCAACTATGGCGGGGCACCTCCTCCGCAAGGAGCCCCTCCTCAGTTCCCACCCGCAGCGTCAACCCCTGCATTCTTCATGGTGCCGCCCGTTGACCAACGGCCTCAGCAACAAACACCGAAACCAGCTCCCGTATCAGACCCTTACGCACCTCCCCAGGGCAGGGTACCAGTAGGGGGTCGACCGCAAAGCTTCGCACCCCAGGAGCTAGCAACTGGACACCATGATTCGCCTGTGGACAATCGACAGTCATTCGTCGCGCCCACCCAAGCACAAGGAGGCGCCTCAGCACCACCGAACTACGACTATCCCCCTTCGCAACAACCCGGTGGATATCCTCCACAGCAAGGTGCAGGCCAACAAGGACCACCACAAGGATACGAACAACTCTCATCGCCACCACCACAGCCTGCTCATGACCAACAGCCTCCCTCGGACCCATACTCGCAACCACCGCCTCAACAAGGATATGGATACCCACCACAACAACCCGCATATGCGCCACCTGCAGCACCTGGACCAGCATCTAGCCCCCCACCACCTACGCAAGGATATATGCCATATCGACCTGGAGGGCAAGCCCCGAGTGCGCCACCTGTTGGTGGGGACGAGGGATTTTACCGATAGAATCGGCCTTGGAGACGGTTGGCCTAAGGGATTTCTGTGTATATATATAGCACCTTGGGAAACTAACAGGGAAGAGTCTATCGTACCACGAATTTGCAAGTTTCAAGTTTCACGAAGACAATGCATGGTGCTATCCTTTCAAGACCTCAAACTGATCCAGTCCTTGTTGGGACAAAGGTAGTCGACTAATCCGGTAATTTTTACAAAGAGGTCCCCATCTCGCTTAGGGTCTTGAGTCTTTTGATAGGTATTTCATTGTTTATAGGGCTAGTTATAAACTCGAGGAGTTCTGTCTGTATTCAAAAGCTTCCAGACAGTTCGTTCACCATTGCCTACGATATCTCTCACTGTCAAGCTTAACCACATACACGGAACAACTACACCACAATGCTAAACCTACTTTCCACCCTCCTCTTCCTCGCCCCCCTCACGGGTGCCTATGCCCTCTCCCCCCGCGCCCCCGTCCCCGGCGCCTGCATGAAAACCCACCTCCCCAGCGAACAACAATACACGCTCGGCTACCAAACCTTCTGCGAGACCTTCATCGGCCCCGACGAAAAAAAGACCATCACCGAAGGCAACCCGCTCGTCGCCACGGTTACCTTGACCGCCCACGACGACAACAAACCGCTGCGCTGGGTGTACAAAGTCAGCGTATACGATAACACGCCGCTTGCGCCGCGCTACGAGATTACGCGCGACATGTGTCTGGAGAAATTCAAGAGTGCCGTCGAGAGTGATGCGGCGGGCGGGCTGGGCAAGGCGTATTGTGTTGTTGATGGGGAGGGGGTTACTTTGGCGCAGGGAGGCGTGGTTAAGGAGAAGAAGGGCGGGCAGGGCGGGTTTGGGTCTGTGTATTGGGAGAGTAGGGGCAGGTTGGATGATTGAGTTTTTAGTGATGCGTGACTTGAGTGATGGAGGGAAGGGGGGGGCAGAGGGCTTTGAGTGGTTTTTTTGAAGGAGCTTTCAGTTTATGTTTTTTTTTCTTTTTTTTTCTTTGGTGGAAAGTATGAGAGGTACTTCTTGTCGGTAGTTGTGGTTCTCATATTACCTACAAATATTTGACTCTTTTTGAATTATCTTGAAGAGTACTTCCATATGGTCCCTAGAGCCTGGTCGCTTCCGAGGTTCTTAAACAACCTTAGCGCAAGTAGATGCTGAGCTAATGCATGCCGGATAAAATCCTGTAGGCTTCGCTCTGAGGTATTTACGTGTGATGGTTTGAAAGTATAGAATCTGCATAGCGGAGTAGTCCAACCTTGGTCGAAGTCGTGATACACACTTTCGGGTGACCAACCAGGTGTGGGCGAACGCACAAGCCGGCGACCATTCCCTTTTGGAATTGGCGGGGAAGCAGGGGTCGCAAGTTCGAGGACATTCTGGAGACGGCCACATCGTCCTACAGCTCTCCATCGTCACCACACCCACCTGTACGGCTCCTGCGATAGTAGTCGTCGTCTTTATATACAATTGTGTCCGCATACTCACGCCCGACAGCGTTATGGCTTACTGAGCACCTGCAACTATCACCGAGTCCATACATCTCTTCCTTGGCTGTGCTTCAGTGACAGACCATCTCATCTCTGGTACGAAGACCCAACCATTGCATTCACTAGTGAAACCCACAGGATCTGCGCAAACTAGACCTTCCATTCACTTTGCTGACGCCTGCTGCAGATCTATACGTAAATCTTAACCTACAACTCCTGCGATCCTCAAAGTGGCTCTGCACTTCTAAACCTCCACCCCCACCGTCTACGCGAATACCCTTTGGTCAACTCGAAACGGTTTATACTAAAAAATGGCATCCGAAGCAGTTGCCAGCTCTGCCACCGAGGGTCTTACCCCTGCGCAACAGCTGATGGAGCAGCACGACCACCACGTCACGGTCGAGGATGTCCCGGATGAGGAGGACATTGCTCATCCTGCGCCGTCGACGTCCGCCAAGTCTGCCTCCGAGGCTGCTCCTCTTAGCGAGAAGGCTGCTGGCAAGCAAAAGGTCGAAGACACCCCTATTCCTGCGAAAAAGCCCGCCTTGAACACTGCGTCTGAGGAGGCCTTCCCAGCTCTTGGTCCTGTCAAGCCTCGTGCGCAGGCTTCTGTTGCGCCCACTTGGGGCAAGAAGCCTGCTGCGGTCACGTCCAACGGTGTGAATGGCAGCGCGGCTGCTAATGGCACCAACCCGGCTTCCGGGGCCGGCACGCCCGCCTCTCTGCCTGTCGGCCGCGGCCCTGCTCTCCCGACTATGAATATTCCTGGCAAACACACGGAGCGCATCTCCTTCTCGCCCAACCAGCTTACCCCTCGCCAACAGCTGAAGAATCCTGTGAACGACATCATCCGCGATATCAACAGGCGCTCCAAGGCCAAGCTCGAGTACAAGTCTGGACCTGGTGGCACTGTCATCTTCGAGTCCACCGGTCCAGTGGATGCTGTGAGGCAATCGCTCAAGGAGATTGCCAATGAAGTCGGTTCTAAGGTAAGACTACTCCCCCCTGAGAATTTCAGAAGACTAACAAGTAACAGCAATCGGTCGATGTACCCGTTCCTGCCTCCGTTCGCGCTCATATCATCGGCCGCCAAGGTTCAAAGATCCAAGAAATCAGCAAGCGCACTGGCGCCCGCATTCAAGTCCCAAAGGCTGAGCCGGGCGAGGATGAGGACACCGTTGTCAATGTTCATATCGAAGGCAATGCGCTGACCGCCGAAATGGCTCGTCGTGAGATCGACGCTATTGTCAACGAGCGCACTTCGACTGTCAACCTGCGTCTGAAGGAAATCCCTGCCGAGTTCTATCCTTTCCTGGCTGGTCCCCACAATGTGCATACGGACAATCTTACACAAGGTCGGGATGTGAACATTCAGATTCCTCAGTACCATACGTGGCGTTCTCAAGCACCGCCGCAGACTCCCCGCAATCAGCCCGTTTCCTTCACTCCGCAGACGAACTTCCCCATTCAAATCTCTGGAGACCGAGTTGCTGCCCAGCAAGTCCAGGCTGAGCTTGAGCGCCGTGTTCAGCAGCTGCGCCAACAACTAGCTGTTGAGCAGCGATCCATCGAGCGTGGCCGACACCAGTTCATTGTTGGCGAGCGGGGTGGCTCTTTGCATGACTTCTTGGAGGAGACTGGCTGCAGCATCGTCTTGCCTCCCAACTCAGATGACAGCGAGACTGTCTACATTGTTGGTCCTCCTAACAAGATCGAGCAGGGTATCAACAAGCTCGAAGACCTTGCTGCCAGCATGACGATGGCGACCGCCGATGCCGCCCGCGAGCACAGGGGCCCCAATGCTCAAGCGCACGCCCACAACTTGACGCAATACTTGCGCCAGCGTCAGGCTTTGGCTGAGTTTGAGCGCCTTCACGAGGCTAGCATTGTGGCTCCCAGTGATCGTGATGCCCCGACTGGCTGGGAGATTTACGCAAAGAACGGCAAGAACAGCATGAAGGCCCGTGGTGATATCATGAGCGTCTTTGCTGGTCACCCACCGAGCAGGTTCGCGACAATGGATGTTGACCCGTTCTATCATCAGTTCCTACGACAGCGTAATGCACCCAAGGTTCGACAGGATCATGGTGTACACATTGTCTTCCCAGACGAGGCTGGACAGTCACCACAATTAATTCTCGTCTATGAGGGCAGCACTCCTCACGATGAATATACCATTCCACGTGGCGCGCCGTCGTCTGCCGAGATCAAAGCATACCAAAAGGGTCTCGAACAGGCTCAACAGTACATTCAGGGCCTTACCAGCAAGCAACCGCAAATCGAGTCACGTGGTCTGGAGTCCAATCCCAAGTTCCACCGAAAGATCGAGCAGTTCGTCAGTGACGAGCAACAAGGTCTTGCGCATGATCAAGTTCCTGTTCAAGCCTTGTTCGGCCAGCGACGTCCTGAGGCTCACAGCCGCTCGAACAATCACTTTGCCATCCGTGGACCTTCTAATGCCGTTGATGAACTCAATGCCAAGATCCTTGCTTTTATCGAGCAGGCTGAGAAGGACGAGCTTGAGCGTAACCATGTTACCAGCTTCGACTACCCGCAGAAATACGCGAGTCACCTCGTCGGCAAAGGTGGTGAGAACATCCAGAAATTGCGCCAGAAATACGATGTTGATGTTCAGATCGATGATGGCAAGGTGCAGCTCAAGGGCCCTTCAGCCAAGGCCCAGCTGTGTAAGAAGGAAATTCTCGATATGGCGAAGAAGCTTGAAGATGAAGCAACCCATGTACTGAAGGTCAAGCCGCAGTATCATCGTGACCTCATCGGAGCTGGTGGAAAGCAGGTCGAGCGTCTGCAGGATCGCTACGGTGTTCGAATCAACTTCCCCAGGAGGCAGCATCACGACGACGACGCGGCTTCAGATGCGGCTTCGCAGCGGAAGGTTCGAGGCCAAAACCAAGACGAGGTCATTGTACGAGGTCCCAAGAAGGGTGCAGACGAAGCCCGCGACGAAGTACTCAACCTCCTACAGTACATCATGGACAACTCTTTCAGTGATACTGTCTCTGTCGCTCAGAGCCAGGTCCCACAACTGATTGGTTCCGGTGGGCGCGAGATGGAGAACCTGCGTCTCGAGACCGGCTGCCAAATCGATGTACCTGGTGCTCGTGAAGGCGCTGCTCCATCTGGACGTGCTGACATTAAGCTAAAGGGTACTAAGAAGCAAGTCGAGGAGGCCAAGAAGATTCTGCAACAGCGCGCCAAGGCCTTTGATGATACCGTCGTTGAGACTCTTGAGGTTGACAGGAAGCATCACAGGAACCTCATTGGTGGCAGCGGTGCGAACATTCGCTCCGTTGTGACCTCGGCCGGTGGACCTGATAACGCCCGTGATTTGGCGCGTATGGTGCGCTTCCCTCGGGCTGAATCCGACGAATCCTCCATTCGTATTGAGGGTCCCAAGAGCGTGGTGGAGAAGATCGTCGCCGCGCTCAAGGCCCAAGCCTCAGCCTTGGAAAACCAGACTACCGAAACTCTCGAGATCTCTCCCGACAAGCATCGTCTACTCATTGGTCGCGGCGGTGAGACTCGTCGCTCGCTGGAATCGCAGCTCAGCATTCAGCTCGATATCCCTAAGCAAACCACGACTGGTGCTGCACGCAGCCAAGTCAAGATTACCGGTGAGCCAGCTGCTGTTGAGAAGGCTAAGGAGCACATTCTTGAGCTCGTCAAGGGCCAAGAAGGCGAGACGATCCAGGTTCCTCGCCATCTCCACCACACCATCTCCGACAATGGCCAATTCTTCCGTCAACTGAAGAACCAGCACAAGATCACCGTGGACCACGCTGGTCAGCAGCTGCCGCCTAAGCCCGCTCAGGCTGACGCAGGAAAAGCCCGGAAAGGTGCCAATGGCGCTTTGCCTTTGATCACTGATGACGCGACTACTGGTGCCGACGAACACTCCTGGGAGATCGTCGACAACAATCCTCCTGAAGAGGGCGCTGATCTTTCTGCTACCATTCCCTGGATCCTGCGTGGTCCCGTCGAGAATCTGCCCAAGGCGCGTCAGACGCTTGAGGCTGCTATCGAAGCTGCGTCAAAGCCTTCTTCTACCGGCTATCTCATTCTGCCCGACCCTCGTAGCTACAGGTAAGACAGACAACACCATGTGATATCATTGCTTAACTAACGAAATCTAGACTTGTCGTTGGTTCCGGTGGTAGCACCATCAACAGCCTGAGAAAGAAGACTGGTACCAAGATCCAGGTGCCCCGTGACCAGGCCAAGGACGAGGCTATCGAGATTGTTGGCACCAAGGAGGGATGTGAAGAAGCGCGCCAGTTGATTTTGGACATCGTGTCCAAGGGCGGAAACGGTGGCCGCAAGTAAGCTCTAAAAACTATTTATGACGACTGGAAGACGCTCAAGGGGAACAGCGTGTGTAGGATGTGTCCAGCATACGCCAGTGCTTCGATACATTACATTAGGGAGTGATACGGGGTAGATTGATACTTGAGCGGCTGATCTATTTGCGCGACTCTATTTGGCATGGGTGGTGCACTTGTCTTTTATAGTAGGACAAAAGCATGCTTATACTCAAAATATCCTTACGAAATATACTTCATATCCTAACGCTGCGTGTTATCACTGTCACTTAGACTGAAATCTTGAATAGATGTGGAGTGAAACTCTGTGTTGTTGTTCACTGCTTATATTAGCACTGCGCCCCAAAAGCAGTCATCCAGGCTCGTTAAGGCTGATAAAAAAGAGCATTTAGGTGTCCAGGGTATGCTTGACAAGGCTGAGGCTGAGGCTAAGGTAGCGGCAAATGCGACGTGGCACACCTTCTTCTTAACCCGCGCGGTAGCCTGCATTTTCAGCCTGTCTCATTTAGCTGCCTCTCCAGTTGTTAGTGTTGGGCCATGACTTCATCACCTCACTTTCAGTGGAGATATGAGCGCTGGAAGCGAGACCCCGAGAAGTTGGTTCCTTACGAGAGACACATATATGTAGAAGTTTGCAAAACGAGTGTAGGCTTTTTCTCCAATTCCAAGAAATTTTACTGACTATGCGCAGACGGGGACAAACTTCAGCAAAAGAGAAGTGCGCCAAGAGGATATACCAGCCTTGTGCGAGGGCTCAGACTCGTCGCCGGACGCGAAATGGGCACTGCGACTGTGAATCCTGAATACTCAAAGTACCAGGCTCTTTACTAATCTTCGTCAGGCTTTTAACGCCTGAAAGATCCTACAGGAAGTTTGCTGATCTAGTTCCATATTCATTGGACTCGATTCAAGCTCTACAAGCCCATTGGCATATTCCAACCAATTACCTTCCTTGTTTCCCCCCGTCAGACATGAGCGCCATGTATTTCAGTCCAGTTCCAAGTGATACTTCCTGGAAAGGTACGTGTGCTATCAGCCGTTTGCTAGACATCATCCACAACAATGTCTGGAATGATGGGATAGGCAGCAGCATCACAATGATTAACAAGAGAGACTGCAGGGCTTCTCATAATCATTCCCGGAACGACTTTCGGCTCTTGTGCATTAGCTTACAACATTGTAACACGACAAGTATTCGGGGTGTGTAATACGTTGTCTGAAGAGACCTTGAACGACTTGGTACGACATCTCGAAGACTTGCAAGGCTGTGCTTTGCACCCCTTATAGTGCCAGTCATTTTGATATCCTATGCGGTTCATGACATGACAGGTCGCAATAAGTCGTATTATGCTAAATTTGTGGGCTTATCTTACGGCATGGGCTGTACCAAGTCTTTCAGGCCTGAAGCCCGTTCCTGGTATGGGCTTGCACCGAGGAACATGCCCCAACAACTAACAGAACTTCTGCGCGACATCGCTCATGAGTTCTATGGGGCCTCGTCGGTGGCCCAAATCCTCGATCACCTCCAGTGCCTGCTCAAAGCTCTGCCCAACGACTATTGCTGCGCCAATGGTATTGAGGTGCAGGAGCAAGTATTATTGATGCAGCAGTCTGTGTTGAACATAAAGCATTTCAACAACTTCTTAAGAGATGGCGTGCAGTCTTTAGTACAATTGGTGAGCCTACGACCTTTTCGTTCGCTGCGTACATGATGAAGCGGCGCTTAACAACCTAGGTCTACGCGGTGTCCCAGCAAAGCGACAACGAGATCAATCACCGCTACGGAGCTGACATGAGACTGATTACGGCCATCACTCTCATCTTCCTGCCAGGTACCTTCGTTGCGACCTTCTTCAGCTCCTCGTTCTGGGACTTTGCCCCTGGCAATACAGGCTCGAAGGTTTCTGGTTGGGTGTGGCTGTATTGGGTTGTGACGATTGTGCTCACGCTGACAGTTCTGTTTGTTTGGAGATGGTTCACCGCGATTAGGCGGCTCTGGGAAAATGGTGTGCTGAAGAAGTTGAGACGAGAGAAGAAGCATGAAGATGAAGAGGTTGGAAAGAAGAGTGCTTGACTGGGTGGTGAGAGGGGTAGGACTGCGGCATGGTTACTAAGAGATACGTTGAAGATTCCGAAGAGAAGGGTCGTTTAGAAGTATATCTTAAGTTAGTGCGCACTCATTCTTCGAATTTAATCGTCCTGGGGAAGATATTCTATGCAGCTCCGAGTTACTAAGGGTTCAGCGGTATCTAGAGCTGCATGGGGTAGATCATTGAAATTGACAAGCTAGGACAGACCAAGCTACGCACCACATGTCATGGAAAGCTTGAGTGGAATAGTGCTGCGATAAGGAAAAGAAGTGGGTAGCATGATGCTTAATTTTCACGTCATTCTCGTGGCTAGGCGAGCGGGCGGTCCGAGCCGAGAACCGCCATCTCATCCACGTGAGCACGCCGCACAAACCCTACTACTGTGCCCGTTCGTACTGCAATATGTATGTTCCGGTGGCAGGTGATTCAAATGAAGCATTTTGAATGCAGCCCAAAGAGATGATGACTCCACGGCCCACAAAGTTGCCGCGTTTGGATTCTCGAGGCGTGGCCATGATCATCGGGCCTCCAACACCACCCTCGATATCAGGAAGCTTTGAAACCACTGCTGCGTCCCGGAGTCCAAAAGCTCCACAGCTCTTCTTTCACTGGACGCCTCCGCGATTAACAGCATCAACTTGGCCCCCAACCACTACTTCAGCCGTACCACCATCTTCCAGGATAGGAATGGTCCATCGGGTAACAGCGAGTAAGAGGCTAGCCAAGGATTACATAACTTGGGGGCCGCCGCGAAGCTGAGGTGAACACAGCCGATTTAAGTCCAGGCGCTGGCTTTGGCTGCATTGAGAGGATTGGGCTAAGCCTCGCAATTTGCCTTTTTTTCAAAGTAAAAATCTGGGGTAGCCCACCGAATTTCAAGTTCCTGACTCTTATCAAGAGCATCCAGTCTTTGCGATTTTGCGATTTCACGGTTATGGCTTCTTCTGGACATTTCCGTTGGCTGACAGAGGATTGGAGGAATCAATCGCGATATCTCGAGCCCAATGGTAGACATGTCTTCGTTGAGATATCGGAGAAGGATGTAAGTTGGAGCCCCGCCCGCGATGTGTGATCCGCTTCTGACATACGGTAGAAAGATATTACGTTCAACAAAGATAACAAACATGATGACGACCTTCCAGAGCTATGTAAACAGTCTCGGACAAAACAAGCAGATAGCGATTGGTCGCTGCGACTGTAGGATGATCACCAGTGTGTGACAAGTATACTTTTGCTAAAGCAGCGTTAGACTTTTAACGTCGGTCAAAGACAGCCGCAACAGAAACACATTGCCCTTCTCGTTGAACACGATTAAAGCTCTCCAAGAGCACTGGCATCTAGCCGATCTTTGTTTCTACAACCAAGGTCAAGATTTGGGGGCTTGCGCGATGACGTTCAGCCCTATGGAATGTGACTTCGGAGTCAAAGGTAAGTTTTCGAATAATTAAATAAGAAGAAGTTATTGTTGATCGTTCACAAGGTATATACGTCATCATTCCCAACTTGAACTTCTGCGAGTGCGCAATGATTCACGATCCGGCTACTCGCAGTACCTGGGCCGTTGTCTTCAACCTTCCCACATGGACCATCGACACGCTACTTCAGTATCTCGGCCACGCAAAAGACATAGCTCACATGCCATTCCTCGTACCCATCCTTCTCGCAAATGCTGCATCTGGTGGTCTCTGGGACCGCGAGTACGAAGCTTATGGTCACTTCAACACTATCCGCATAGCGATGAAGTGCGACAAGTATGACCGCAGTGCGATCAAAGTCGATCCGCGTGATCTCGCCGACATGCCTCGAAAACTAACAGCTTCAGCGGATAACGTGGCGACAGTCGTTTCCTTCGCTGCAAACTTGGAAAGAATCATGAAGTTTCTCGACTCGCATTTCGACGAATACCATAAACAAGCTCCCCCAGCAGTCTCGCGTGAAGTTCGAGACCACCTCCACTGGCTACAGCAGCTTATCGAGGACGTTACGGTAAAGAACGAAACCGTGAGATCTGCCGGCCAATCCGTCGTTCAAATGGTGAGTCGATTCGAGGTATTTCAATCTTACAGGAACTGATTAGCTTGACTAGGTGTACGCAGTCCTGCAACAGAGAGACAATGAGATCAATCACCAGCACGGAGGCGACATGCGTGTCATCGCTATTGTCACTCTCATGTTCCTTCCGGGAACGTTCCTCTCTACATGGTTCAGCGCCAGCTGTACGTACACCCAAACCACCCCCAAAAGCCGACTCTGACATCCCATCTAGTCTGGAATTTCAACCCAAAGGAAGGCGGTCCGGTAGCCTCAAAGTGGGGACTCTTCCACTTCGGCGTCTCAATTGCCATGACACTCGCCATCTTCATCGCCTGGCGCAACGACTCGCTCGCCCGCAGAAAGAAACGCAACAAACCCCGCAAAAGTAAATCTAAAAACAGTAAAGCCTCGCGCTGGACCGGAAAAGTTATTCGTAAACTCAAGCGCTCGCCAACAACGCAGGTTGAGGAAGGTGATGTAGAAAGTGTAGATGATGACGATGACGATGGGGATGAGACGGATGGGAGGGAGAAGGGTCCGAGTCCGTGGGATAGTTTGAGGCAAAAGATTGTTCCGTTGGCGCAGAGACGGAAGCATAGTACGGCTGGGGGAGGGGAGATTGTAAAGGTGAGAAATTCATGTACGAATTACGTTTATATCATAAACTGACATCATCCGCAGATGGTAAGGAAGACGGCGCCGAGAAAGGATAACATGACGATCGCAGAGGAGAATGTTAAGCCGACGCCTCCGTAGTGGCTTAGAATTTGTCTTTGGACCTGGGGTTCATTATTTCTTCGGATCATTGAGCAGCGGCGTTTCGTTTTAGGATTCTGTTTCTAGGCATATATGCATATAGACACTTTCGCTAATTCATAATTGTGTTCATTAACTGCTAGATAGTTCTGTTAAGCCGTTGTTGCAATCTACACCTGCAAGTTCTGCTAACCCCTCAAAGAGAGCCTTCACTACACCTCTTTTTCAAATGCTGTTTTCGGTGATCCCCTGAGTGCCTTTAAAAGAGGAATACCTCTCCAAATGCCAAGAACAACCACTGTCAATACCACAGTGCATACCCAGTACAACCACACCCATGCTGAAACTTTAGAGCCCGTGTTACCAGGGGAAAAGTCCCAGACTAGATATGCCAGATTATATTAGCGTTGAGTCAAGATATAATTCGCCGGCACGGCTTTCTGCGAATGGGCTCGAGAGTGTCGGGTCTGACAGCTAGAGTTGTGAATGGGATAGCATCACTCACTATCAAAATTAGTATGGTGAATAGGTTAGGGTGATGGGAAGTAAAATACCAGCTTGCACTAAACAGCGTTGCTACAAACGTTCCCGGAAGAAAGAGAAGAGTGACTATTGCAACCATGCGCACTGAATGGTGCAGAAAAGGTTAGGCACTGGCATCAAGCTAGTAAGCTTAACTTACTGTCAGCGCCGTAGCGGTGGTTGAGCTCGTTGTCTTTTTGTTGAAGAACGGCATAAACCTAACAAAAGTTATCCCAGTAAAAAGACTAGGTAAGAAAAAGAAGCTACCATTTGTACAATGCCTTGAACCGACTCCCTCATATACTCGTTTTTGCGTCGTGTTCCGTCTAGTATCTGCTGCAGGAAGGCCAAGTGATCTCGCATATCTACGACTAGCTGAGTCGGAGGTTGTACTGCCTGCAATATTCTCCCTAGGTAGTGGATGATGTCAGACGTACTTTGAAGAGCTGCGGCGTTGCCTGCAGCAACGTTTATGAGCGCTGTGAGCTTCTGAGGCATGTGCGTCAGCTCGGGTGACTGGAAGTTTTGCGCTGGAAAGTAGTAAAGATTAATGCCCATCGCTTCTCGAATGGGGAGGAAGTCGGAGTATGTCTTGTAGCAAAAGGTGCGCAATTGAGTTACGGCCAGATCCATTATACACAGCGGCACCAGTTCAGGTTGGAAGGCGTGGCTCTGCGTTCTGCAAAGTTTTTCAACCACATGGCTGACTTGACTGGGATCGACGCCTGAGTATACCCCAAAGGTAGAGCGAGTATCTGAGTTGTGTGTTATGATCACTGTGCTAGTGAAGGAGAGGCCGTAAGTCAAATGTAGAAAGAATCCTGATGGAGTGTCAATGGCTGCAGTACAAGTTCCTTCTTAGTGAAGATCATGCCAAGAGACGTACCGCTCCATGCTGGATCACACGCTATCGGAGAGAATTGGAAACAGCATGTTTCTGTCTGCAATGGTGCTTGGAAGCAGATGTCGGGTATGTTCCAGTGTTGCTTGAACGCTTCGATGGTGGCCTCCGAGTAAGGGATGCGCCTCGTTTGTACACGCTCGTATTTCTGGGGGGTAACCACGCTTCAAAAACGTTAGGTAGATACCTATGGCAGTAGCATTACTTATTTACAGGCGAAGTAACCAAGTAGCATCTTTGTCGGTACGTGCCATTTCGCACATATTTGGGATCGCTCCACTAGTTATTCGCGTTTCTTTGAACGATACTTTAGACTGTGGAGTTGAGTTAGGGTCTGAACTTAGTATCACTACTGCTCACAGCATACATCCTTATCCTGCTCAATATGAATCGTCGTGTGTATATCATGTGGTTCCAGGATGTCCAGATTGGCAGCCCATGAATCAAGCAGGGAGAAACGAGTAGTCGAAGCCATCGTAAAGACAATTTCCTAGCATGGAAGCTTAGGGGCCTTTTCTCAAAATTGTCGCCCTTAACATTAATATGTAGTGACAGGACCCGCCAGGCTGAGCGATGCATACGCGCCAAGCATGCGGAGGGGCAAGGCGATGCAGCAACTGGTTAGCATTCGTAACGATTAGTAATGCTGTAATCCAGTACCCTTCATTCCACCGCGCATACCCCATCAGATGATTGAGAGGAAATGGTAGTGGGTAGTAATGGGTCGGAGTGTAGATGAGACGAAGAGTGACGAAGATGTACATAAACGCAGATGATTAGAGAGTAAGACAAATGGGACGAAAGTCGATGAGAGACGAAATTAGGCGCGATATAATGAGCGAAAAGTTAAGGCAAATGTTCGTCCATGAAGTTCATGGCAGACATCAGTGTTTGACCGCTGCGCCGCATCCTGCATGAAGTTGTCACCTGTAAGCGCCCGAGGGTCCGCGTAGCGAACACCTGAGACAAATCATCGCCACAAGTATAGGGGTAGGCAGAGAATTGAAACATGAGGAAAGTACACTGTGAGAGCCGCGCAATGAATATGTGTACAATCATATCACGTTTTCGTCTCTGCTGGATGACTGGTTTACCAAGTGGTAGGAGGGAGCGCGAAGTTTAACCAGAATTGCGATTGTGAGACCCTGCCGCTCATCCACTCTGGACCGCCATAACAGACATTCGACAGCGCTTGCCAATAATGTATACCCTTTGAACTCCAGTAAATCTCAAATCTCCACAGTATGCTCGCTCAATCCGTATCAACTGAAAACACCCCAGTCTTTGCACAGCCGGTATCGCGCCATTGCGCTCTTGATAATACATGGTGTCCTTTGTGCTACCCGTAACCGTTGAATCGAAGCTTTACATAACTGTGCATGGGATGCAGCAACAACTGCAGTCGTCGGTGCTAAGGCAAGAGCACTTGCCGCCCTGAGGCTTGACAATCGAGCCGGCGGCCGAGGAGATGGAGCTGGTAGTAGATGCAGGCATTTTGGCGGAAGACGAGTTCCTTTCGAATGTGGTTGTCAGGTATAGGTGGGGATACGCTTCGTTCGAGAAGTTGGAAGTTGCACGGAGGACGGGTTGGTAGAATGTCGGTAACGCGCTGTGATCGAGGTGTTAGCGCCCGGCCACCTCGTAGAAGGAAACCGCACTTTGGCGAACTTACAGTCTGGAGAGTATAGGAAGGGTGGCTGTCGGTCTGAAGTGCGTGGGAATAAGTAAGATATCGAGGAGGCAAGGATTTAATACCGTTGGAGAGGGCGTTCATGCGCCGCAGTTGGACCAATGTCAGCTTCACGCTAGTGGAGGATGACGTCGTGGCAGTGGCGCAGTCGTAAGTGAGCGACATCAAGGCAGGGCAAAGATAACAATGTTTCGCGTAAATGTGAATATTTGCGTGAATTTCAAATCTAGCTAAATAAAACTTAATTAATCACCCAGCGTTGAAACCTTGAATGCACAAGTTTACAGCTCACAGCTCACATGCATGAGGTGATACCCACGACCTAATCGCGAAAGCCCACTATCAACTCTCATACGTCTCTCCAGGTAGGCTGACCCCTCTCGACCCGCGGAGTATTGACGACTTTTCGGCGTTAGACAATGACTGCGAACAATACTGAAGAAACTCTCACCATTTTGATCGCCGAATGGATCATCTTCATCATCTTCTGGCTCGCTTTCGGGATCGGCTCGTTGTTTACCAGACGCTGGTGCTGGCGCTGGTGCTGGCGGCATGGGTATGCTCATCGGCCTCGGTGGCTTCACGGGCGCAGGTTCATCGATCCTTAACCTAGCCATACCCGACTCGGCCGAAGGCGATGTGCTTGGCTCGTTGTCGCTGTCACTGTCGTCGTCAATACTCTTGTCCATGATCTCGAACGCCATTAGGCCTTTAACGAGCTCGTCATTGGCGTTAAGAAGCCCACCGATATATTGCTCAGACTCCACCAAGTGAATATAGCGTAAAATTTGACGACGGAGCTGTTTGCAGGTTTCGAATCGCCTCATGACTTCGGGGTTCTCACTGACACGCTGCTGCTCGCGATTGATGAGTTGCAACCCGTTCAACAAGTTTGTGCTAGCGACATTGGCGGAGGCAATTGTTTCCAGAAGTTGTCCTTTCTCCTTCTCCAGATTGAAAGTCTTCCCCCGGTGCTTCTTGTCTTTTTTGTCCTTTCTGAAGATCGACGAACCGGGCAACGTAGAAGCGCCAAGAGCAACAGTCCGGCCTATTGAGGGAGACGCTTGATGTGGCTCCGGACGCCTGGTTCTTGGAGGAGACGGAGGGGGTGAATGCTCCTCACGTTCACGCGCTGCTTCCGCATCTTGCTGTCGGACAATGCGGGACTGCTGTGGCTGTGGACGTTTTGTACGAGGGAGCTCTTTGTGCAGTGTGGCAATACGCTCGAGACCAGGTGTCCCTTTGTACGCTACAGCCCATTGTCGGAAGAGAACATTGACCTTTTGCCGCACTTCTGCATCGACCATATCGTCCCTGGCGAGAATGCGAAGCCGCTCAAGAAGGGGTTCATCTGCGAATCCCTTTTGAAACCTAGTGCCAGCATTTTGAATCAGAGCGTCCAAAATAACCAGCGCACGTATTTGGCGATGTACATTTCCATATTTGCTGAGGTTGGTGTCAAAAGAATATTGCCAAAACGCGCTCTTCTCGCTTACAGTTTCTTTCGGAGAGCTCGTGCAGCTTCTGTAGGACCGGACGATTGAATGCGAATGACTTCAATGAGGTCGACAACACCACCAATGTCCTTGGCTGTTCAGCACCATGACGTAGGGGCGCAAGGAGTCACTTACATTTTCCTCGTATTGCTCACTCGTCAACCGTTCAACCTGTACGGTAACGGCCGAGAATGCGTGTTTCTATTGCGGGGCAAGAGTTTCAGTACTGTGGCAAGGTTCGAAATAAGGATGAGCATGAAGGAAGATCTGTCTATGTGTCGAGTGCCCTATGGCAGTAAAGGGGCTTGTAAGAACTCTCAGGTCTAGAAACGCTCGACATGTATATGCTTTCGTGGTACGAAGAAGCGCTTGTACTTCGAACGAAACTAAAGTGGTAGATGAGGAAAAGATTGATGTGAGGGCCTGGCAATCGAGAAGAGGCTCGTGGTCTCGACGCGACGAGCTTCAACCCATGGTAACGCCTCGAAGACGAACAATAGTAATAAGGAGTAGAAGGACATAAATAATAGAAATCGGAGGATTAAACAGTTTGCCTTGAAGCAAGCATATACAGTAATTGACTTTGAGGTTAGCTTACCGTCATTGTGAGTTTGAGGTGTTTGGGCGAGAACCTGTCCGCCGACAACAGCTAAAACTGTACGGCCAGGAAAGGATATGATTGTTTGAAGATGCAACCTGCTTATTCGAATTCCCAACCAACCTCTAGGGGACCAAAGCCGCAACTCACGTTCGGACTGGTGTAGAAAAGCGTGGATATTGGGTGTTTCAGATAAAGAGGAGACAACACTGGAAGATGCCCAGATAGTACAGGTAAGAGTTATCGAACCTTTCAAGGAGGACTAATGAGGCGTAAAGATCAGGTGCTGAGTAAGGAGGTTGTATGGCAGTTCCCAAGATGAACGCGGTACGTGAATGAAGCTCTCCGTTCGGAGCCGCCCCGCCTTGGATGTTTGGCAGGTGGGGGCTGAGTAAGCGAGTGCACGACGCGTCGCGTGCCACCGCTCCATTCACCCACAATCTTCTTCACCTTGCCATTCACTCGCATCCGTCGCACTGTCTAATTATGGATCTAGAGAACACGGCAGGGGTCTTGTATCGTGGTAGGAGCGCAGAGCCAACGAGGGAGAGAAAGAATGGCGACGATACGTGAGAGGCCCAAAGCGCGAGTCCACTCATCAATCTATCATCATTCGTTGCTCTCGTTCAAGAATTAATCCGAAGTTCATAGACAATATGTGCCAGTTCCTGTCTCATCAGGTTTCACGGCCGTCAACCGTCATCCAACACAGCTCCTCACGCCACGATCATCAGCGACGACACGAAGCCAACAAACTCAGCCTCGACTAAGAGCAACCGGCAACCGCAGACTGCGACACAATCCTGCAGTTGCTCAATACCTTGGGCTCGGTAGTTCTAATGAGCCGACACATCTCGTGAAGTATGCGCCTTTGCCAGTTGTGCTAGAAAGCCCACCTCCTAGCCCTGCAAGGAAGCGACGAAGGCTGGCCGATGGCGAGAGCACATTGGGCTACACGAGGAAAAATGCAAACGACAACCATGGTTCGAATCAGAGACGTGTCTCGGAGAGCTTTCGTGTGACAAAAACTACCCGCAAGTCTGCCTTAGTCATGGCGAAGACGCCTGCATCTGAGAGCTCACGACCACTGTTCGCCTACGCAACGGGCACTCAAACTTCTCTCACTGATGGAAATCTTGATGCAATTTCAAAGCAGGGCCAGCCTGTCCAGATCGCCCAAAGCACTATCTTGAAGAATGATAACTCTAAGTCAGCTCGAAGTATCCATCATGACACTGTGCTCTCATTACAATTCGAGGGTCTCATTGATCGTCAGTTATCCGAACTCGAAATTCACGATTACAATATTAACGGCTCTGTCCAATTCGAACCTAGCTCACCGCAGCACCAGATTGATGGCTCAATCATTGACGACGATGACTTTGATAACGATATCAATGACGATGATCTTCTGCTACTCACCTCTGAGTTACATGACAAGGTTAGCGACAAAGTTGACGAAATTTCATACGCATCAGCCGAGTCGAGCACCGTGTTTGATGATACCGAGCAACATCTTAGCCAGGGCTCAACTACAGACACGGCCATTATGTCAAAGCCAAACACTAGCATCTACAACTCTCAACCCCTTTCCAGAAAATATGTATCGCCAGTAACTTTGACGACTCGACTGCTAGCCGCAACTGGCAACATGGGTGTCATAAAGATTCGGAAACCCATTGTTAGACCATCGTTCCCAGACTCTGTCCGCGACCGCTCGCCTATCATAGGCTTGACATCATGCACGCTATTGAAGACGTGCTTTCGCATCGGTGAGGCGATCAATCAGAGCTGTCAAGCCTCAAGGTCCGGCAAGCGTATCACCGTCGAGCTCTATGCCCGCGTGCTTGATTCGGAGCGAACTGATACGAAGCAACATTTCACCTTCTGCGATCTCTTCCACCCCAAGCCGCCCCACATCAAGGCTGTGTACGAAGCTGCTATCTGGGAATCGGTGCCACTCTACGAGTACGACAGCAGGCGTCTGTTGCAAGAAGGGAGAATCTGTCGTTGCATTGGGACGATGAGGCGCGATGGAAAAGCGTGGGTGATGACTGTGCTGAACATCTGGGAGGCGACGTGGGACGATATCGAGTGGGTCGAGGGCATCGTTAATTTCTAAAGTGAAACTAGGGAAGTATTCAAGATCAGATGTAAGATGTGGGTCGAGATTATCAATGCTCAGGTTCTGTCTAGAATTAAGATCATGATGAATATGTATATCAGGTCAATTTATGAATATTAGTTAAATGCATAGCATCACATGGATTGCCACTGTACGCTCTGGAATCTTTGCTTTAGCTTGCCTCCAATAGAACTAAACCATGGTTCTCATTGTGAAGGTCATAGCTCGACACGTGATGGGAGGCCATTGATCATCCGCCCCGCTCCACTACCTCCCCCGACCTTCAGCATGAAAGACATATTCAGCAATTCGACGTTTTCTCCTCAGCAGGTGGCTGATATGTGGACATCTCACGCTCATTCTACCTACACGCATAGTCGACGCAATGTTGACCGCAGCCATGACCGGTAGCAGGCCCGAGACCGTCGACGAGCGCGATGGAGCTACAATGGGCCCCCAACCCGTACGCACGCCGCAGAAGTCGAGATCACCCAAAGCGCGTTCCCTTTCAGACAGTACACCCCGTCTTGAACCTTCGCCGAAGTTCAGAGAGCCCGCTCGCATGTCCAAAGACGACCACACTATCATGGCCAGCCCGAGCACGCCTCGTAGACCAGACTTCCTCTCACGAGGGCTTTCTCTACAAATGCCCTCTCGAGAGATGCCCATGCCTAGCCCCGCACACTTTGCCGCACGCGTGCCCCTCTCGCCGCAACTAGATGCTCGCAACACATACGCCTCGCCCTCTTCGCTGCTACCCCGACGATCGCGCGGTGCCGAGTACTCGAGGGCCTGCACAAACCTCCACCACTCGACCCTCCCCGATCAGTCGTCGCCTGATTCGTCGCCGACGATTACGCAGAAGGGAATCAAAATCCCACCAAGGAAGCCGCGCTCGAACTCGATGATAATGGACTCGCCGAATGTGAACACCCACGGCGGGTGGAGCAATGGCGACAGAACTGCGGCCTCGAGTTCCATGGGCAGCATTAATATGCTTGGGTCCGATGACTCGAGCAGCTCTTCAGACGACATCGATCCATTGGACCCGGAGGACAACGACGACCCTATGATCATGACCCCACAAGCAAAGACCAACACCTTGTTCCCTGGACTCGGCGCTGCAACTAACAATATCTGGCCTGGCCTGTTCTCGCCCAACGGACAGCCCAACTTTGCAAGCATGCACCGAGCGAGATTGCGCAAGGGTCGGAGCCGGAAGAGCTCGAGCTCTGCTAGCGGACACAGCTCCATGGCGAGCCCTGGTCCTGCGTCGCCGCCAAATGGGAAGGGTGACGGCTATTTTGCACGGGAAGCAGCGATTCGCAAGGCAGGATCACGGCGGGAAAGCCTGTCACTTTTCGCGAACGACCTTCACATCTCATCAGGTAATGATAGCGGAGATGAAGCTGCTGCATTGCCTCAAACTCCAGGCGTTGTGCGGCGCCCTGTGACGCGAAGGGGTAATCTATTGGTAAGTGGTCACACCCCCATGGCGAAGGGGTGGATATGCTAACTTTAGCAGCCAAAATCAAGACAGTTCGGCCGTATCAAAGCTGAGTTATTCGAGGAGTCAGCCCCTATCGATAGTGAGGTCCGTCGTGAAGCCGAGATCATCCGGCAAGTAAGAGAAAGTGATGTGGACTTGGAAAGGCCCTCGGGTACGGCACACTCCTCTCCTAACCTCCTACCCAATGAAAGTCTTCTAGAAGGAGTGCCAGAAGAAGGTAGCGAAAGCAATATGAGCCTTGATGGCTCGACAGCCAAAGGCCTGTTCGGATCATTTGGCAGTCTCAACAATGGCCGAAGTTCTATCAGTCACGGCTTCTGGAATCAACGCCAAGTCCACACTCCTCCACCCCCAACTTTTCCTCGCGCCGAGTCATCGGCAATAAGTGAAGATATGAGTATGGACTCGCCTACCATTGGAGCCACTGCGATGGAGCAGAACAACAACATGAGATTTGTATCCCGAGCATCTACGCCAGGGCCGATGTGCCCACCGACGGCGGCGGACGGGCTGAAAAAGTCCAACAAGCGTCGTCGCGATGACGACTTTGATGAGGCATCGATCAAGCGCCGTGCCGTGTCCCCTGGTGTTAGCGTGCATAATAGCCCTGTGGTATCACAGTCACCTGCTCAGCGTGACGGCAGCTTATGGGGTACGGCTACCAAAGCCGGCAGAGAGTCTATCAGCGGGCCCTCCGCCAGCGAAAGGTCAAATAGTGCAGGGAGCATGAGCTTGACGCCTACTTTGGGCCCAAAAAGGGTTGGCCTGCAAGGCATGACAGACACCAGTGACGGATTCATGAAGATGAGCATCGAGTAAGAAGGATGTTGCAATTTTGCTTTTCTCTTGTATGATATTGTATCTTTCTTTCCTTCAGCGCGGCGTTCACGGATGGGTGAGGGTTTAGAATTATAACGGCCGAGAACTGGAGTACGCAAGCTTTTGCTTGACATAGATACCCCCAGTAAAGTTTTCAATTTACAATACAACCATGTTATTTTTATCATTCTAAATTCACGCCCGTAAGGTACAGCGGGGTGAAGCCGGTCATCCCTGCACTCCCGCTGCTGGACCCCGCCAAGCTCTACCCACCTCAACTTCCGCTCCACAACATCACATCCGCAAGCTACAACTACCGCTCGACGCAAAGACACCACCTTGCTGTAGCTTGAGTCGTTGAAAACATGTCAAGAACAGCAGCCCTCTCCACTTTCATAGAAAGCGCGCCGCCTGGCGAAGTACGCCTCCCAACCTCTCCTCTGCCCTCCTAAGCCCATCCAAACACTAGCTAACACGCAACAAGCTCTCCGACGTTACCAAAGCCATCAAATCGATCCTCGGCGACGATGCGGTGCAGAGCGAACTCTCCCCATCCTTCGAGAAATACAACGAGGAGCAATTCACAACTACAAAGCTCCCCGGTGGCAGCACAGAGGTCCTGGTCAGCGAGTACAACAGCTTGGGGGAGGGGAGATATTATGATGTAGAGACGCAAAGCTCGTTTGACTTTGATCATGCGACAGGAAAGGCGAGCGCGGTGCAGAGTCATGTCTTGGAGTCTCAGCATGAAGACCTCATGTACGTATTTCTGTCGGCTAGCTCCCATACTCACACCGACCACACTCCAAGACCTATAGCAGTAGTAGTTTGGGCATGATGCTGATATCACCGGATAGAAAGGGCCTCGTCAAAAGCCTCAACACGCATATCTCAGAACACTACCCTAAAGCCTCCTACGGCGTTTTCCCCACGTCAGACGCTACCACCCTCGCCATCCTAACCGTCGCAAACAAGTACTCACCCACAAACTACTGGAACGGCCGGTGGCGCAGCTCATATATCTACAATCCCTCCAGCGGCTCCGTGACCGGCAGCATCAAGGTCGATGTGCACTACTACGAGGATGGTAACGTCAGATTACTGACCAACAAGGACGTCAACTTGAGCATCGGAGGAAGTGCGACCGCAAGTGAAGTCATCAGGAAGATTAGTGCAGAGGAGAAGAAGTACCAGGAAGATTTGAATAAGGCGTTTGCAAGTCTGAGCGAGGGCGCATTCAAGGCGTTGAGGAGGCAGTTGCCGATTACGAGGCAGAAGATTGAGTGGGAGAAGATTAGTGGGTATAAGCTGGGGCAGGACATTGGCGGGGGGCGACGGTGAGAAGTGAAGCGGGGCGAATCGGTGCGAGAATGATCAAAGCCCATGCACGATACATGGATACAGTACGTCCCACAGTAATGAGAGGAATGGAACGCTTTGAATATCCTCAGCTGAATTGTAGAAGCCATACAAGTCGAAATGACAATTACATACATACATAAAACATTCCTGACCCTATACCGTTCGTTTTGAGCTTGACGTTTTCCGTTTATATCGTGATGAATGGCTTGAGTGACAGAAGCGGTTAGCGCCTTGGGAACAAGAGACGGTTGCATCGTCCTCTACAAACAATTCTACTCCGCTCACTGTCTTCCCACTTTCTCACCGTGCCACATTTCAATCGACGTGTACCTCAACCTTGACCGTATTAGCGTTGAGCCTGTGCCATGATGATCCATCCGCAGCCCTTCCGCCTCCTCGACTTACCGTTTGAAATTCGCAACAAGATCTATGAGGAGATGCTCTGTTCGGTCGGGTCGACCTCCACGCCTGACATGTCGCCCCTCGCTAGAATCGTGCGGCAAGAAGCAGAACCCAATGGTATCAATCAGGTGTCGCATTCCATTGAGACGACCATTCTTCGGGCCTGCCGGGCGGTCCACCTAGAAGCTTACGATGCCATGGTGAAGACAAATCGTTTCATACGCATTCGAGTCACTAGCCCTGGAATGCCGGGCTATCTAGTACGAGCCCAAGTTCCTATCCTTACGATGGACCGGGCACATACAGCCCAGTTCAGGGGATATGTCATGCAGTTAAACATGCACTTGGAGGATGGCCTGCGCGACCTCGAGTCGTTCCCACATCTCGATTGTATGTAATAGATTCCTAATTTTGATCGACATACTGCTAAAGGTCCTCACAATCGGCTGTGCTAATTGCTCTGCAGTCATGATACTCGGTCGCGATTGGGAGGCTTTTTGCGATTACTTTACGACGGTCTCGAGAAGGGAGCGTGAAAATTCATGTATCAGATTAGCCTTCAGCCCAGACACGGTCGACCTTCTGGATTACCAGGCTCCACTCACCGACAGCTTCCTGGAAAAGACACAAACCTCCCTCCTAAAGGCATTCCGGATGCACGCTCGAGACCTTGACGATGTTCAAATCACCGGGCTAGTCTCCCCCGCGCTGGCAACATCAGTAATCGCAGAAGTAACTTCAAAATCATGGCAGGACACGTCAAAGATACTTGCAGACATGCAAGCTGCACACAAGCTTGCAGGCCAACTTTTCGCAGCGAACAAGATAGTCAAGGCATGCTCAACATGGACCGGTATCTTATGGCTCATCCCTCGCATAGAACGCAACCCAAACTGGCAGTCTCACACCACGCAGCCCGATCAACGCAGTGCGTTCGACATCGTAAACGAGCTCTATTTCACCGCCGTTGCCAACATGGGGAAATGCTACCTGTGGTATCTCAGGAACCCACCCACCCAGTTGTCCACCCGGTTTATCAAATTGCTCTGCTTGGGTGCATTGGGCCACTGCACCACCGCCTTGCGTCTCGCAGGCGTTCACGACAACTACAACTACTACTACGAAGACGAGGAAGACGACGACGACGACAATGACGACGACAATTATGATGAGGCAGTAACGGCAACAACAACAACAGGTTCATGGCAGCCTAGCCACGCCGCTGTGGTGAATCTGAAGATCGATTCGCGTGAGTGCCGTAGACTACTCGTGGAGATAGACAAAAGGTATGTGAGGGAAGGGTGAGTCCCGCCCGAGGAGCGGCGTTTCGCGGTAGGTTATCAGGAGCATGGCGACCGATGATGCGGAATTTGCGGAGAGATTCGGAGAGTCTGGTCATGTTGACGACTCTTTGGTAGTAGAGGCTGGCTTATTGCGAGGCTAGTATGAGTTGAGCATAGTGCTGGGGATTTTCGGTGTGTGCTGGGGATTTTATGGGTTCTCTTCTGGATATGATATGGATGCATTTTACAATTCCATCATGTCGGCCCTACATACAGAAAACAAGCGCTTGCAAAGGGGAGTAGGTAAATAAACGCTTCCTTGATAACCCCAAGTCCGTCAAAGTGAACACCCCCATCCGATTCTCCTGAAGGTTGAAACGCCCAAACACCGCGAATAGTTGGTTTGAGAGATGCCATGTAGGTGACAAAAGGTTATTAAAAAAAACGCCGCTAGATTGCTCCTTAGATCTCCTCGACTATCAACAGCTTCGTATCACTTCGATATTGCTGTTTTCGTTCCCTTCAAACAGATCATTTTGTAATGAATCCAAGGTAATCCGCAACAATCAGCGTTACCATACTGTGCAAGCATCAATTAGTTATATTTCTTTCGTCAAAGAGTTCCTTTGAAACCTAGGAAGGGAGTCAACTTACGCATGCGGCGCAATACGCACATAATACGTGCCAAACCCTCTATAAAACCTCAACAGCCCCTCCTCTTTTGTCACTTTCTTAAAACAGTCGAACATGCCCTTGTATGGCAACGACCCATCCGCAGCACGCGTCTGCTTCTGCAATCTCGTCTTCATGAAATCAAACGGCAGCGACAAGAAGCTCGCAAAGAAGCCCGCGACGGCACTAGCCGTCAACGTCTGCGTCCGGGGACTCAGACTCGTGCCCTTGAGCTGCTGCTTTGCCTCGGAGAAGAAGGCTAATTGTCCAAAGTTCAGCGCCATGGCGCGCACGACGGTCGGGTAGCAGCCAGCCCATAGCCGCGTTACGCCTTCGTTTTTGGATATCCGGACCAGGGCGTCGATGACGGATGTGTAGTTTGCGCGCTGGGCGGCGGGTTTCAGGCCGTCGGATTGCATGCGGATGAGGGCTAGGTCTGCGGGGTTTCCGACGACGGCTGCGAGACCACCTGCAGCGAGGCCGGCGCCTGCGCGCTCTTTGAAGCCGATGGTTGTGCCTTTTTCTTTGGCGGTGGCGGAGAGGGATTTCATAAAGGTGTCGAAGAAGCCTAGGCGCGCGGTGGTGTAGACGGCTTGTCGTAGCAGTCCTGCGCTGAGGCCCGTGTATAAGTCTAGTACTTTTCCTTGGGCGAGAATGTCCTTGAATACGGTTACTGGCGTGGGCTTCGGGCCTGTCTTTACGCCTTCTCCTGCTAGTTGGAGGCGGACTTTAACCATATCGACGGGTTGGATGACTGAAGTAGCTGTCATGCCTGCGAGTCCGCCATTGATAAACGGTAACGCAGCGCGCATAAACGGCGTGTGTAAGAAGTCGGAAGTCGCCTTCTTAGGGTTCTCAGCGGCTTTGGACATTGCGGACGAGGCGTCGCTAAGCACAGCTTCTGAAGATTGTTTTGCGTTTTCGAGAGCGCGGGCTGCGGGCATTTTAAAGGTTTGCGAAGAGACGGGGGCTGTTGTTGACATGGCTGTCAGTTCAAGTCACTGAATCCCACACTCTGACATGTGAATCAAGTATACGCTGCGCTGTACTGAAGACAAACAGAGAGACTAGTGAAGAGAACGAGTGAAATGGGACATGATAATGGAAGGAACCCGGCCGAGGATAGACAATCACCGCGTCTAGCTCCCATCACGCAGCTCATCACTACGGCATAGAGCTTCAGGATGCGCGATACCAAGCGTAGTCGCGATGTAGTGTAACAGCCGCGGCCGTGGAAGCTAGCCGGCTATAACATAGAGATACCTATCCCTCGGCGGACAGGATGACGGCTTTGGCATGTTGGGCGCAGCCGAGTACACAAGCCCGCGTGCTTGACCCTCTCCTCTTTCCGAAGAACCCCGCGATACATGACATCGTAGACGGGATGGCAAGACTGTTGAGTTGAGTTGAGTCTGAAGAAGCAGTGCGTACCTCATGCGTCTGCAGAGTGGAGTAATCCCGTCCACGCCAAGGAAACGAGTGGGGCGCGGGTCTGGAGGGTGCGGAGCAGGCTTAGTGAAGATGTAGTATGGCGTCTGCTTTGCTACAGGGCAGGTCAAGTCGAACATGAAATGCTTCAAGAACGGGCAAGAAAGAGGGAACAAACAACGAGGCTTGTAGGAAGAATGGAGGGTTTCAACCAGTCGAACCACGGATTTTTGGTTTGTTGTGCAAGCCAATCCGACGTGCCTGGATGAGGGGCCCGATGCCTTTTCCCCGCATCAAAGAGCTGGCGGAGGGAGCTTGACCAAAAGAGTCGCGCTCTTGTCCTACTGTACAACGGATGGATGGAGTGGACCAATCGGCTGCTGCTTATTTCTCTTCTTTCTTGCTCATGGACTCAAGACACTCATTCATTCATTGATCCACATTCAATAATGCTGCGAGACGAGCGAGAGCCGGAATCCCAGGACCCCGAGCAGTGTCGCGTGTCACACACTGCAATACCCTCGTTGAATGTCTCCCGAGGCCTGAGAATGAAACGCGTCTTCTTTGTCTGGAAAGACAACAGGGGTGATCTTCAGGCACACTGGCATCGTGGCTGTTCCTCCCATCCGAAAGCGGACCCGCGACGCCCTGGACGGGACTTGCTGGTGAATAGTGACGTAGCACGAGCGGCCCAATACGCCGAATCAAACAAGTGCACAGCTCAACACCACAGCGTGAATCACATGTCAATAGTTTGAGCTTCGAAGGCTGTTTCGAGGATTCAATGGCATCCGAATCATATCGATATGAGGGCGTAAGCTTGAAATTGCCTTCTGTTGTATTCACCGCGATAGAGAGATAGTGATTCTGAGCGGACGATTGCCATCCATCCAATACGTATTCACGACAGGACAACACCAAGTACCTCATTTAAAGAAAGCCCCAAGTACACATGCATTGGCATCAACCTACAGTCCCGCATCACACTATCATAGCTGATACGCCACGCCAGGGGGTCAACAGCACTTGTCCCTGAACGTCACCTGCACCATGGCGTCAACACAAAACTCTAATTCCTTCCACGCCTCGGACTTCAACGTCCCATCAGGGTCCTCGAGGCGCTGTTGAGCGTCTTCTGCGCGCACGGTTGAGCTGCAACTCTGGGTTGTTGCGCACTGGAGGATATCGGAGGCGCATCCGCGGCCGAAAGGTTTGCATAAGACTATGCAAGCTGGCTTTCATACTGATTTCATCGGCTGTGTTGATTCTGAGGAAATGTTGAGAGTTCGAAAGGTGAGTGGTGGAATAGGTATTGCCGATATTTATTCCATGCTTCACAGCTGTTGATAAATGATCGGGATATGGGGGTTGTGATACATCTTTTGGTGGTTTGTTTTGCTTGTTGACATTGAGATGTTCATTCAACAGCCTAAATATGTAATTGTTGATTCATAAAGAGGTAGTGTCACACATCTTGCTATTGGACATAATATCGTGTGGGATGATGCCCCAAGCATACATTCACCAGCGGGTATCACTTCTCCGTATCTTCCCACACATCAAAACGCCATGGATGACCCATACTACATATCCTCATCGCTCTCGCTCGGATCCCCCAAATCCTCAAAATTGCTTGCCCGCGGTCGCTGCTGGGACGAAGGGACCTGCACCCTAGAGGCTGAATGAGGCGCAACATCGCTGTCATCGGCATTTTGAGCGGACCGGCGAGGGGCCTGTACTTCGTCGTCGTCCGAGCTCTCCTCAGCCTCTTCGGCTTCGGCTTGTTGTATGCGCTTGATTTTGCGGACGAGAATCGCATCGGTACGCAGGTCGTCCGAGGTAAGCATCTGATATGAAGCGTATTAGCATGTTACTTCTATCGGATAATCTTTTGAAAGATGGTAAACTTACCTGCCCACATCCAGGAACAGGACACTCAATCGCCCTTGCTCCACCGATTCTATGTGGCCCCGTCCGAATCATATCTAGAACCGCGTTCTTCTCAAATGTATGCGGACACTTGAAACTCGTATATGGCTCCTTGTACTGTTGGAACGTAAGTGGACAGCGTGTGCTGATTGTCGCCTTGTCTACCACGATATCGTCATCGTCGTCAAAGTCCCCTCGCTGCGTGCTGTCTGTGATTCCCGGGGCTGGCGAGCCCGACTCAGTGAACCATGTGTCTTCGTGGCCGAGCGGAGGCCCGTCGTCGCCGTATTTGGCATCGTGCACGATCCGCTTGAAATCGCGGTAATCGTTATTGCGGGCATAGCGCGCCGTGAGAGAGAGCGCTGTATAGGAATCTTTCTGGCTCTGCATGCGTGATGTGAAGAGTTCGCTGGCTCCGGTGAGTGCTACGCGAGACCCGTCGAGGGGAGTGGGACCGGGTGTGGGAGCGTCGTCAATCTCTTCGTCGCCATCCGCGCCCTGCGTGCGCCGTCGCTGACTCTCTGCCTGGCTCTGTGACTGTCGCTGTGTGGCGCGCTGCGTCACCTGCGTATGGTACTCTTCTTCGAGATGCCTTGGTGCATTCTGCCTCAGCCAGTCGAGCGTCTGATCGATCCTCTGCGCAGCCATCCCCGAATCAACCATTGCCCGCATGCTCTCCTCCAGCTTCGCAGTAGCCTCATCGACTTTCTGCTGCAGCTCTTTCATCGTCTGCTCTTCTTCCTCTTTATCATCGAGACTCTTGCCCGCATCCCACTTCTTCTGCCGCCGCTCGAGGTAGTGGGCGTGGTCGCGTAGCATGTCATTGACGCTTTCTGCTGTGCTTCTAATAGCTGTCACAGCCTGCGTATTGTGCCGCTTGACATCGTTGAGGCTGCGACCTTGGAGGTCTCGAAGCGCTCTTGTTGCTTCGGCGTCGAGTGGATGAGAGGGTTTCTTGTACGGTGGTAGCTCTTCTGTTGCAGTTCGACTAGGAGTAGGAGCGACGGAAGGGCGACTGGCGATCGGTCTTGAGGTCGAATGACGATTGCGGGAGGTCATCTCGAGGCTTTGGTTGAAGAGGACTTCAATGTTGCGCCCTGGGCAGGTTGAAAGGTGATGCTTCGACGCGTCCGAGCCTAGCTTGCGCTATCGCGATATCGCTAGATCACATGACAACGACCACTTTGGTGAATTTGAGTGACTTGGAAGCAGGTGACCTTGAGATTGATGTGAGTTGATGACTACATGATTAGTCAATCATGTCATACTCGCAAATAGCCACTGACCACTGGTCAGACATGAATCGTTACGAGCACTACCTCATCGCTACAATATCAATCTGTAACACGCTCATCGAAGACACCTCCTACGTGCTTTGCAAAGCTCCCGAGATATCGTACACCTAGCTTACTTGCCCTGATCAACCCGGGAAAGAGCTTTCATGCAACTGGTTCACACGTCCTGAGCTATGTCCACGGGCGTTGCACTGCCAACATGCCCCGCAATTGTGATGTGAATCGTTTGAGTTGCACAATGCTTGGTTTGAAGCCAAGCCGGTTACCCTAAATATGCCCGAGCAGTAGTAAGCGCCGAGTGGGCGCGTACCAGAACTGCGGCACTGTAGACTGAGGTCAGATCATACTCGCATTGCCAAGCTGCAATATTTCTATTTCAAGGAGTCAATTGATTGAGCAAAGGTCATGCGGAAAGCCTTCATCGGTAGACGAAAAGCTGGGCGAAAGAGGGATGGAAAAGGGGAGATTCGAATGGATGTAGTGTTGAGATATTGGGCCCGTAACGTTAGGTGCGGGCTTGCGTGTCTATTATCGAGCACTCTAGCTGATGGTGGATATCATAAACTATAAGAAATAATGAACAGAGAAATAGAAATCAAGATCCTCCTGAGCGTACATCATTCGCTCTTAAATCCCCTTTGCGTACCCGACTGCAAGTGGCGGCACCAACAAAGCCTTTGTATGACACCATGCCGACGAATGTTTGTTTGGAGATTCGTCGGATGTTGAGGATAATTGAGGGCTCGGCTTACGCTCCTCCGTCGATTCACGGAATCGAAGTGCCTCCCAATGAAGGAGTGTGTCGTCTGGTCCCCGTCAAGGTTATATTGCGGCGGATCGCCTCGTTGCCTTTACTTCTTCACGCTTGTAATCGTTGTGGTCGTCTTCGGCTGTTTGTTTGACATGGGGAAACCCTTCTCGAGATCGTGTTCTTGCTTGGGCTTGCTGCCAGCATTCTTTCCAGGAGGCGGTGAGTTGAGACGAATGCCCGTTCTCCGGTTGTTTCGGTTCTGTTTGCTAACATCGGTAGTCGCGCGACCGGTAAGACGACGAGAGGCGCGGCGGATAGATTGTCGAACGTCCCATTGTCGCTTCTTTGCGAGCCAAAAGAGGGTCGCTGAGCCAACTGAGATGATTGTTAGCATACTAGAGCTGTGTGATGTTGTGAAGGGGATGCATACTGCCTCCAATGACCACAATGACAGCTACAACGATGATCGCTGCGAGAGCTCCTTTCGAGAGTGAGAAAGCACCCTTCTGCGCTCCCTCTGCACCAGCATCGCTGGGATCCTGTGGGTTGTCTGTCCCTCCATTGTAGCCCGCGGGCGGTAGTGAGCTCTGCGCTGGCGAGCTCTGCGCAAGCGCAAGGAGCGGGAGAAGGAACGAGAAGAGAAGAGCCCGGCTCATGATGGCGAGATACGGCCTTGTTGTTGATATTGTGCGGCGTAGTCACGAAATAACTTGACTGAAGGTGGCACAGAGAGCGGACGAGTATGGCGTGAAGGTTGCGAGATCAACTCGGAATCACACAGGAGAATTACCAACAACTCGCTACCAGGAAGACGGAGGGCACGTCTCTATATTGAGCCCGTCTGCAAGGCCTTTATCCAGTCCAATACCTGTCCATCACTCGTCCAAAACCCCGCGACCTCCAAGGTCCCTGGGCGGTTAACATGGTGCGCTTGGACAGCAGACCAGGTTGGCTGCCGGTAGTGTTCTTCAAGCCATATTCTTAATATAGAGGGATTGGCGTCGACGACTGCTGGCTTGGGGGGATAAGCAGAGCGGATTGGTAGATTGTGAGATGTTGTCGGCGCGTAGAGTTGAAGGAGAGATTCACCGTGCAGCGGAGCTAGTGCGGGGCGACCCGTGATTGGGTTGAGGTGTGTGCAAGCGCCCGGCACTGTGCATGCCGGACACTTTTTTTCAGGGGTCGCAGCGATGCACAACGACTCCTCTTGGTTGAAGGCAAGGCGGCGGACATGTGGCAGCTATCGTGTGTCATGGCCGGCGAGGCCGTAGTGTCAAGTATTTTCGGGTCATTATGTGCGAAGAGCAGCCAAACGGAAGGTCGAATGCATCCAGAGGCCACTGAGCTAAAACACGAAGCGAAGTAGCAACGATGCCGTGTCGAACGCGTTCTGTTGCGTCGTCTTGCCTTTGAACAGATGTATTGAATGCATCGACGGCCAAACTAGCAGCTAAAACGAGTAGAGTGGGTTGCTGTCATCTGACATGCCCCTCGCCCTTCCTAGTCCTTCTCGAGATCTTCCCTCCTCGCCAGGGCTCTCACATATCTAAATAGGGAACTAACGAGCTGTGGAGCATGGCGAGCCCCGAGTATTAGGAAGCAATGATAAGAGCTGGACCTTGGGGATTTGATTGACATGAGTCGCAGGGTGGGACGAGGAATGCGGACCTGAAAATTGCGGGTGATGGAGTGGAGCGGTGAATAGTGACCCCATGCTCTCTGGCTGCGCTGAGATTTATTTTGAGAAGCTGGATTCTTGGGTGGCAGCAGTAAGAGGGGAGTGATCAGTTGATAATACGGAGAGTTACGTGTTGGATGCAGGCCCCATGGTTGCTATAACCGTCCATTACTGCAACGCCGCTTCTACGATTTGCAGAGAGCTTTGGGCCAGTTTCGCGTTATAACTCCACTTCTCTCAGTACGAAGACCCGTCAGAGTTCTTGAGATGAGACGAGAGGGAGAAGGTAAGTGCCATAACATAGGTCTTCCTATCACGGCTACAATCTTTTAGCGTGAGGAGTTATAGTCTTTACAATCGCTTTCATCTCGTATACGTAGTAAAGCTGGTAATGTTACGTCATGTTGCTCCTTCGCAACATCCTCATGTCGAGGTAGGAAGGAAAGAGCGGAGCAACGAACTTTGCCACCCCTCACTTCAACCATCTTACCTCGTTTCGTCGCACCTCACCTTGAGTCGTTTTCTATAGTGGCTGCGAACTCTAGCTGCTGTCTGTTTCATCTCACCTTTGTATACTTGCGTCCCTGCTGTTGTCGGATAGGCAGTCGTCGCTCGTAATGGCTGGGCTGCCCTCCAAGGGGAAGCAGCCAGCGAAGACGCATAAACCATCACGATTGAGGAACGAGGTACGCCCCGAGTCGACAGATGATGAGAGAGACGTCGAGAAGCACAATATCCAAGTACCCCACAGCGACTCGGTTATCCCGGATACCCAGCTTCAGCAAGATGAACGCATCGATGGTGTAGGTCACCGCTTCGATAAGCGTTCGGACTACGGAGAGGAAGTACCTCTCAGCCCCAACTCTGCTGACATTATCGAACGCAACGCGGTGAGGAAGATGACAGAGGCGTTGGAACCTGCTCCGTTTACCATCAAACTTTTGACCAAGGAGGGTTGCGGATCGAGAGGAACTCCAGCGCCGTCAACATCCTCCGCCTTCTCCTTTGGGCAGGTCAGAAAGGTGCATAGCAAAACCTCCCCAAAGGATGACCAAGCAATCACAGACTCTGCCACTCAAGCAAATCCAACAGATGCTGCAGTGGGTCATCTCGAGGGCCAAGCACTTGATGGTGTGTGGCCTCTCGCAAAATCTAAACTCGAGCCATCAGGAGACAGTATCGTTGCCATGCCTGCAGCTCGCTCACCTCTAGTAGCTGTAAATCATACTCAACAAAATCCCCCCAGTACGGACCGTCCACAGCCTGCATACGAGCTACTACTTCCGTCTCATATGGCAACAACACCTTATCACAACCTAAGTGCTGGCCCCATGGGGTAAGAGCACACACTAAGTTGATGGAGTCTACACTGACAAGTATAAACAGATCTGAGCTCCCAGAGTCGAGGTCGAATACACCACCTTCTGCGCAACCCGATACAAGGCCTGTCACTGGCGCTAAGAAAACCCGTATTGTCAAGAGGGCCAAGAAGGGCACGAGAGCTCTTCTCTCACAGGAACGCAGAGCGCCATGGCCTCCACGACCGTACCACATGACGGGCTATCGAAGTCAAGCTTCCAGCCTTGTCAGCTTGCATGATACAGCTCCTGCTGACGATCACGCCTTCCAAGAACATGGCCCCGTTGTAGGAGACACTCAGACTATTACCGCCGTCCCTGGTCATCACGGAGACGTTCAAAATCACCATGGCTACGCGTCTCGCGCTGTTGATGACGATGGTTCGCAATTTGGACTGAATACTTTCAATGCATTACAACATACGGCTCCTATGATCACTGCCGGCCTGCCGGTTGCCTCTTCTCGATCGGGTTTACCTGTACCTTTGGAGCATTCATCTACCGTCTCATTTGAGCAGCTATCTAAGGCAAACTCAGAACAGGCGTTAGAGTGCGTTCCTGAGGAATCCGCCACTCAAGTCTTGCCAGAGCAACAGTCAATGAGATCTCAACGGAATGGAAGTGCAAAGTCGCGACTACGAAGCATCAATGCATCAGAAGATCTTCCCGGGCCTGCAAATCGACTGGACCCTCAATCACCGACTGAACTGGTTGCGACGCAGAAGCAGTTTCAGAGCAAAGAAGGTGAAGCTGTTCTCCACGACACCTCTACCCAAGGTGGGCCTCATCGAGTGGGCAAGCCCCACAAGAAACCACGAGCCACGAACGGACTTTTGCCACACCGCGTCCATCCTCCATCCATGTCTTCCGGTATCGAACGCTCTATGCAAGACTTACGCGTAGCACTCCTTGCTGAGCAATTCCGTACTCAGCACGAGAATAAAGCAACTACAAAGCATCACGAGGAGACTATTGGTATGCTTCGAGATATGGTTAGCTTGCAAAACGATACCATCGCTGAATCGAAAGAAAAGCATCAGAACCTCGGTAATGCTATCATTCGAATGACCGAAAAGGCAAAAACAAATCAGAAATATGCTGCTGGTCTTCAGAAAGATTACGAGAAGCTACAGAAATTGGTTACTTGTTTTCACGACCAGAGCAAGAAGACTTTGGAAGAGAAAATTGCCGAAGTCGAGAGTGAGAAATCCTCGCTTCGACGTGACTTTGAGGTTACACTCGATGTACTAGTAAAGAGCCAGAAGAATTTGAGGTCGACGGCTGAAGATCTGTACGTGCGTCTGACCAATTCCGAGTCGAAGAAGCGAGATTTCGCGGAGTATTTGAGCAAGCACACCGTCATGTACGAAGAAGAGAGAAGGAGGCGCGTCGACCTGGAGAAACAACTTCTCTCGGCCGTCCAGAACACGCAGCGCCAACTCGGCGATGTTTCCACTGCACTAACCGACAAGCTCGAGCTTCTTCAGACGGCCATCGACGGTGTTGCTATCGGCGACGATCGGGATGTTGGGATCAAGGAGTGTCTGGTCGCCTTGAAGAAGCTTCAGGCTACCCCATTCATTACCATTAAAGATGTCCAGAAGGCTGAAGGGATGCTCCGCTTCGTAGGCGAGCGGTAATATAAAGTCATTCCCATAACAAGCCATGTGCTAATACAACAAGCAGCGTCGATGCCGGACTCGGAACTCTATCCAGTGCGGTGGAGAGCAAATTGTTGCCCACTGACGAGATTCAAGTTTGTGTCAAAACTGAAATGCAGCACCTTCGCACAGAGATACTAAAGTATGAGGATGTCCTTGCTGAGGACCGCAAAGCCCAAGAATCGAATGCTACCCTCAAGAAGGAGCTCGAAGCTCAAAAGAAGAATTCTCAAGACTTAGACAGACAGATCAGAGTTCTTCAACAGAATGAAGCTGATCTTGAAACACACGAATCTCAACTTGAACGCGAGCTAAGCGATATGAGGAACACGACTCGCAACCAAGAGTCAGAATTGGCAGAACTTGAACGAGGGCTGACTAACCTACGTCAACAAGTGAGAAATGGAGAGGATGATCTACAGACGGCCAATTCCAGGATAGACCAGACGGAACGGCTCCGGCAGGAGCTTGAACAAGAGGCAGCCAAGTACAAGGTATACTTAGCTTCCTTGTCCGACTACATACTCTAACGCACCACAGAATTGGTACGAGAGTGCAAAAGCTATGCTCCTCAAGATTGACGCATCTGCAAAACAGGAAAAAAAGGTAAAATCGTGGCTGTAATCACGGTGTTGCACTCCCTAACCTGCTATACAGACCGAGAATGCGGCCGACTTGCGTGCGAAGATTGTGGAGGAGTGTCAGAAGTCGATGCAAGAGAGGGAGAGTGGCTTCAAGAATGAGATTCACCGTCTCACTATCGAGTGTGACGAGAAAGGAGGGAAACTAGATGAACAGCGGACGGAAGTAAGCGCCGCGAAAGATCAACTCCATACGCTACGGAAGAACGCCAAAATCCTTAGCTCCGAGCTCACTACGACACGCATTGAAAAGACAGCGCTGGAGAAGAAACTGGAAATTGCAGGAAAAGCAGCATTAAGAAGTGATTCAACGTCTGCTGAAATCATAGGTTTGAAGGAAGAACTACGTCAAAAGACTGAGGAACTTCAGTCCACGACGCGCGACTATGCAGCGTTGAAACAAACGTATGCCGACCTAAGCATTAAAGCGGCAGACCTTCAAGCCTCGTATGACCAGTTGCAGACCCAAATATCCCAGCATCTTTCAACGATCGATAACTTGCACCAGCAGACTGAGGACCAGATTTTGGAGACGCGACAAAATGCTCAGACAGCTGTACAATTAGCTCAAGGCCAGATTTTGACTTTACAAGATGAGAAAGAGAATCTCCGGTCTATGCTTGAGCAAGCTACATCCAACGAAGCGAACTTGAAAAATGCCCAGGCAACGTTCTCCATCGAACGAGACAATTTTCACCAACAACTGGCCGAGCTTCAGGCTGCGAAAGAGTCCAAGGATGCCGAAATGCGTCGTGTTCAAGCTGACGCCGCCGAGGAAAAGCGCAAATCCGAAGACGCTCATTGCACGGAAATCAATGATTGGAGTCGCCGCCTGACGCATGCTGATGTAGTGTTGAAAGAGGCTGAAGCAAAGCTTCGCCTCTCCGAAGCCGAACACAGTGCCAAACTCGAATCGGATCGTAAGAGTACGGAGAAAATGCTACAACAGCTTCATGAAGAGTATGACCGGAAACTCCAAGAGGCAAACTCCCGAAATGGCCCGAGCCAGAAGCACACAGCCAGATCATCGAACGTTGGGGAAGAATCCTCCCGTTCGCTGCGGAGCATCCAAGCTGGAAGCAACAGGAAGAAAGTCAATCGCAATAACCATTCTGTACTCAACTTGGCTGTATCCTCGGATATTCGGCATGACAGCCACGTGTTCACGTCAAATCTTCTCCAGCCTGATCTTCCCCGTACACAGAGGGAAGATTCGCAACTCTCGTTTAACCTGTTTGAAGAAAGGTCCCAGAACATCCCCGTGGCTGGAGACTTGTTCGATGACTACGGTCTTTCTGTCATAGACCCTGCGGCCGAACCTGTTGCCGAGACTCAAGAGAAGGGAAGTCCATTGATGACCATCGAGAAATTCGGCGAGAGGAGCCAAATGGCGCATCACGAGACGAAAAGTCAGGACTCAAACTTGACTGACCTGTCCACAGTCAGCTCGGGGGAAATGGCACAAATGCAGGTAGATGCGCAGCCTCTATCGCCTCCAATGCTCCGTGGCCAAGATCGTAGCTCTCCCACATATAACCTGTCTCAAGGGAACGCAGAGAAGACTCCAATGCGTTCTGACAACGTTTCTGTATCTGGTTCCCGTTCATCTCGCTCGCATTATCGTCCAAGATCTCAAGCTAATACAGCTTCCCGAATGATGCCTCCCCCGGAGGCTGTTTCTCCTCATTTGGACACACGCATCAAATTTACAGCTAAACATCCAATGTATGAGAAGTCGAGTCGGAAGCTTGTCAATAACAGTGGTACGAGCACCCCAGATTCTATACATCCTCCCTCATCCGCCTCGAGGTACTCCTATGGCCATCATGATCCTCAGCTTCCAGGTCACATCGAAGAAAGACAGGGCCCACCTCAGGCTTTGGGCCAGAGCTACAACCAGAAGCGAAAGAACTCCATGAGCCAAACCGAGAAAGACACGGCTACTAAGAGGTTGCGCATCTCCTCACAATCTTACTCAAGGGATCGGTCATCTGAGCCGCGGACCAGCTCACCGTGTGTTCCTCGTTCACCAGTTGTAGGTCCCCGTTCGAACGTACAACACGGTCCATCTTATCCACGGGAATCGACGCCTGCAGCATCTCGTTCAAAGACCAAGCCTAGCTCGTCCAGAGTGCCACCTAGTATGTCCAGTCGGATATCGCCTTCCAATGACATGTACCAGTCTCGCGGCCAACAGGCCATACCATCGCAAGCCATAGACAGTGGTTTTACGCGTCGTACCTCTTCTCGGCTAACTAAGAGCAAGAGTAAGTATATCTCCTCTTTCTCCACATCGTACCATACTAATCAAATTCTTATAGGCCGAGGACAAATTGGGACGTTCGAGGGTCGTTCCGGTCGCAAGCCGGGTAAGCGTTGAACCACTAGTCTGCGGTCTCATCGGCGGCGAGGCGCTATGGGATGCTCGAGCTTCTTTCGCAGCGCTATTCCAGAGATCTTCAATCGGTTATGCATGCTAACTGCGTATGATTTCCACCTGGCATGTTGTCAATGGCGGTCCTTGGTCAAGGTCAAGTGATACTACAGCAAGACGACGCAATTGCCGATGGCATGTGGGCATTCCTGGGTATGATTTCCCTGTGGGGTATTCGGAAACATGAATATGGCGTATTGTTTTCTTTCTTTCATGGCTTCTCGGGGACATGATATCTCGATATGTGGTACGAAGGGACGATGTGGACGACTGTATTCGCGGAGAGTGCGGCCGACGAAGGGTAAAATGGTGGTGGTAAAGATGTGCTCTCTAGTCTGTCAGCACATATGACTTCAAGTTGATATAGCTATGTAGCAAATATCAGGTCGGAAGCTGGAAATCCATGCGCCGCATTACCTGACTATGTGCATGGTTGAAGCCCTTGCGGCAATGTCTGTATGGCTACCGCTGACTTCCTATGAGTGACTGTGGCGAGTTGTTTTGCTGTTACCCGGTCATAGCTTGGCGGGTGCACTGCTGCGACTTGTGTTTTCGGATTTTCTTGTCCCTCCCTCTCTCCCCTCCTCGCCCACCCACCATCACCATTGAGACAATATCTTCGCAGATAATTTCTCGCGCTCGGCTCGACCTCCTTCCAAGCAAAGGGATGTAGCTTTCTCAATTCTCACTTTCTTTACCACTCTGATGGTCGGCTGCAGCCCCATGATGGTGTCGCCAACATCTGGCTTCGAGCGGTTGCGTCTCTGACCACTTCTTCCTCACTCTTAACCAACTTGAATCGGTCTTACAAAGCTAATACCTCATACTGAGAGCGAGCTCCCACCCACTTCACCTCTCTGGGACACCGCGATGTTGAGAAAAGGTACTTGGTGTTGACCCCCGATTCCGCACTCTCACCCCGCCTTCGCGGGCAACAAGAACACCGCACCCAATTACCACCAGAGACATCCGTAAAAGCAAGTCGTAACTCTAGATATACATAGCGCGTATGTGTTGTCCGCGAATTCACTATGGTTCGGCTGACAGGACTGGCGGAGCTCGAGTTTCTCCGGTTTGGCGGCCGCAGCGTTGCCGCTGGGAAGGCAACCACAACCAATTTCTAGGCGCGAGTATCCAGAGAAAAGATAGACAGAGGGGCTGACTCTTGTATAGGTCAACCGATGTTGTACGCCTTGCTGATACAGAAGCTCGAGGGGGCTGCATGTCACTGGAGGCCCGGGCGCACATCGCGCACAACGACCATAGCAACCGGGTTGGACAGTTCCAAGGCCACGGCCTATTCTCCCAATTCACTGTTGCAACAACCACTCCTGACCTCCAGGTCACACCGCAGTTGACATGAGTCGAGTGTTTTGCCATGAGTAAGTCGTTCATGAACTGAGTCACAATTCCGCCTAATAACCATATACCTTGATCAGAGTTAGTGTATGACCTGAAGTAAGTGCAGAAACACGATACCTCTCTCTACTACCCTATCGTCCACCGAAACTACGCCTCCTGTCCTTGTCCTATCGTCGATCCCCAATCTCCTGACAACGTTCGCAGACCTCATGATCGCTCCAGCAACCTCAATTTGGCGAAGCTTGGGTACCAGGAAAGGCTTGGAACAAGGAATAAATTGCGACGTAAGCGACTCGTTTTGCCTTCAACATCCCTCATAGCGCAGTCCAGAGGAGTGTTGAGGATAAAATGCATTGCATCATCTCCTTCAGGGTAATTTCTATTGCTGAGCTGGCTTGCCCGGCGCGTTAGGCTGGAGGGAGCTGCGCGGTCTGAGATTCGCCATTGTTTCTTGCTTTGCCTCTTCGTATCAAGCTGAGCGTCGAACCAAGCTAATGAGTCGCAGGACTTGAATTGGGCATGACTTCACGTATGACAGACCCAAAGCTCCACAATCACTACTACCTCCGGTGCGTATACGACTTCTTTCTGCTTTGACGCCAGTTTCATACCACATGAAAGGCCTTGAAGACGTGAGTGCGATCCCAATATCACCCTCACACTTCCATCGGCCCCGATCAACGTCAGTGCGGTGTGTGGGATTTTTCGGACATCGCCTCAAGCCCTGGGCGAGATCGAACTACAACTATGAGGCTCATCCGTTGGCTGGATATATGGGCGACCCACCGCATCGACGCCGGGCAGATCCTTAATCGTGGCAACCATCTGCCAATACGGTGTGAGGTATTCCTGACTCGTACATTTTTGTCGCTCGTCTTACTTAGCGTGATTGGAAAATGTTAAATCGCTGACGCTGACAGGTCTTGTAGATGCCTCGCCTTCTTCGGAGTCCCACTCGATGACATCTGTACATACCAAGTCTCCATTCCCACCTACCCACGGCCCAAATCAGGTTGTGTACAATGCTCAATATCATACACATCATCGGCGGAGCTAGCAACAACGATAAAAACGCGGTATCGTGGGTGTCGAAAGCCTTGACCAGGGGAATGGGAAGATGCCACACTTGGGCAAGCATAATCTGACCCCAGGGCATCGATCCAGATCAGGTTATCCTGTCTTGTTTCTAGCGGCGAGAGACATTTGAGTTGAATCTGTGGCCATCCGTGGACAGGTCCTTAGAGGCTGCAGTCGCCCTATAATGCCTCGGTGGCTGTCGCTTGTCGTACATATCTTTCTTTCGTCTGTATATGTTCCGCGTATTTGAGAAGAGCATATACTAATGCCTTGACAGATCCTCGAATCTTCAATATCCTCCCATCTCCGAGTTCCCGAGTCGTCGAGTCAGCAACGCAGCTGCAAGCAGACGTTTAAAAGCATGCTGGGTGCATCTTGCGAGTACGTATATCGCCAATAATATCCTCCTTACACTACCCAATTCAAAGACGCCATCGCGTCCCGGCACCTGGTGTATGAGTTTATGATCCTTCATATCTATACTCGTGCACCTCGTCTAGATCAGGCAGCGCCAAAAGCAAGACAGACCGCATGGCTGCAGTGGGTAATTCGGGTAAAAACGATACGGAAGCGGTTGGCCGAAAACCTTACGGCTCATCTGGCGGGAGATGTAGAGAAGCTTATTTATCAGCCTGTGGTCGACGCTTGATAGGTCCACGAAGGCTGCACCCTGTTCTGCATGTGTCTTCCGTGGTTTGTCAGGCTCGTACATATCGGATATAGGAAAATGGTTCTGGAGAGTCGTGTTTGGGAACGAAATGCTGACTGCATAGTCACTATTTTCGATGGCATTTCGAAAAATAATGTGCAGCTCTCGAATTCGAAGTTCGAATTTCGCCGCGCATACTGCGTTAAACCAGGTTGGCCTGCGCTCGAGTATATCTGGTACGTCTCCGCTTGCTTTATTCTCTCTTTCTCTTAAAACCGCATGGCCCTTGGCACTGAGCTGGATTCCTCATATCCTACCTCAACGCCACCATTCGCAGCAGGATTGCAGAGTGGGGGCGAGGGCCAAAATTGATGATGAACCAACCGCCATCAAATCACCAAAGGTGCTCATCTCCCAAAACAGGACTCGCTATTGTTGTTGTTGTAACGCGAGGGGAGCTATAGCACCTGCTTCACAGTACCTGTCCTTCAGTTTAATATGGTACTGCGGTGGTGATTGGCGTCGAGCAGAACGGTACAAGCCTGTTGGCCCTTTCCTGTTGGGCAATGGGCGGGCTTGTGTTTCGGGCTCGTACATATCTTCCTCTGCAATATGTGTCGGAACGGATTTTGGCGGGGTTTGCTAATTCGACGTACAGATGTACATTTCATTCATAGACATGTAATTCGCCATCAGCCGGTCTCCATGGCACTCTAGACTCCCAAATCCTGCTTGCGAGGAGCGAAGAATTCGTCTGCGGTGTAGAGAAGCGCATTTCGAGCCCAATCTCTGGTTGACCTCGCGGCGAGTATGGTGCTTGACATCTTGCGGTCGACACAAGACGGCTTCTTGGTTGCTGGCGTGTGGCCATGCGCGGATTCTCGAATTGGAGATTATGGCTTTGACAAGTGCTACCTTTTACTGACAGATTCGCAGGGTTTCAGTTGAGAAAACGCATGCGACCGAGGGTTGGAGATCCGAGAGGCAATACGTCATGGAAACCGCAATGAGATAGACATGTTAAGGTCAGTAAAGTCATGCTTTTCCTCATGATTTGCGACATACCCAATGATGCTGATACACCATCTATTTGACTCAACTGAATATTCCTGTTGATTCCTAATCCAAAGTGCTCTGAGGCTCTAGTCTGCACCTCAAATGTTTCTGCTATTCTTGAACACTGCTGACGAACATATAGTACACGACGGTATCTCGAATGGTGTCTAGATGATAGCCTCCGGAATAACAAGTCGGGACAGGAAGTGATAACCAGTATCTGAGGCTATTATCCTCCCTATACAGTGTCAGCACTTCTCTCGACGCTGCACATACCCGTTCAAAGGGCAGCTTTCTCAGTTCTCTCCATCTAGGCTTCTCATACCCGATGATGAACATCTTCATTCAACTGTAGCTGAATCTTCGACATTCTGGTGACAGCTTTCCTACTATGACTGTATGGTTGTTATTGTGTCTGAGCTGACAGCATGATAGTCCTTATTCAGCACTTAGCTCGGTTTGCACAGCATTGACGCTAATCGGGCGTGATCCCTACACGGAGCTTCCGCGAAGAAAGACAAGTCCAGGCACAGCGGTTATGCACTGAGGAGGACCTTTCTCGAGCCCAGGTCTGATTATATGTATCTTTTCAGGGATTACTGATGGTGTAGCTCCTCTCATTGTGGGCATAAACTGCTTTTGGGCACCGCAAGCTCGTCTTGCATGCTTTTGTCGCACGTAAGAGCTGTCGACTAAGGGAATTAGAAGATGCTTTGAGAGTATGCTTCGGCTGTAGTGCTTTATGCGATTGTTTTCAAAGTAAGTTGAACAATGGGTCCTACTAATGGAACCAAGATGACTATCAGCATAATTCCGGAATATCTTGATGGATGACAAACCATTCTGAACGTCCCCAAACAGCTTCTACTCCGCTATTGCCTCATGGACGACACTGAAGAAAATTAGGCTCAAGCTCCACCGAGTAAGATCACCAACAACAGAAGATAGTCATTGGCGATATCACTTCCTAAGAGGAGCACTGACCCTACGCGTTTGCGAGATGGGTGCGAAACCACGAGGGTAGACACAGGTCAGTAATCATCCAGTTGCTCTAAAAGTGCCATTGCTACGATGCTTACCGTTTCTCTGATTTGTCCTGGAGACTAATTATTGTTGTACCGAGCGTTCGATTTCCACTTTACAGTCTTGTCTTGCTGTCTCGACATTGCTAATGAAGGGTGTGCTTAGCTCGAGAGATCCAGAATGGCTATATGGCTACAAATTGTTAGTAAGTAACCTGGTGTTATTAATGTAACTCAGTCCAAGACAAGAACATACCTCAAAGCCCATAGAAAGCTCCCTTCGGGTTGCAGACATGGTGTTGCAACAACGGACGATACTTGGTACTCGACGCAAGACCTTGCCGCACCAGTAATTGAATCGAACACGTAGCAGTGTCATATAGCACTCTCAGTGTTTGCTATATCGATATCGATATGTCGCCCGGGGCACCTTCGTTTCCTCAACTCTCGTCTAGGGATCACTCGGAAAAGTGGCCAGTAAGTCGTTAGAGGTTTTTCGCACTGCCAGATCTTTTACCTGCTCCATAGTAGGTAAGCCAGTCTTCCAGCACTCGCTACTCCACGCTATGATGAATCAGGAGGTGTGAACTGAACGACTGTCGATTCTCCGTTCCTGAGATTTTCGGATCTAGCTTCCACGTTCGTATCTTTATCGGGCACGGCTAACCTAGTGTAGAACGATCTTGTTGTGCGGGAGTATGAATTCGGAGCCAATACGACTGCCACTGGATCGCGACATCTTCGTCTCCGTGCCAGAATCAAAGGGGCCAGCATTTCGGGTCTGCGCTTTCGCCCTGCTTCGGAGCAACCCGTGTATACATTGCGCCCCTAGTACCCAAAAAGAGGGGTGCATGCCCATCCAGGCGATTGTTCACATTATCGTCGCTTCTCTCCCACTGTAGCGTTTTCGGGCCGCTCGGTGTGCTACGGGCTGAAGAAGTCTTAATCACGACGCAGGGAGGCATCTCTGCTTCTTTCATCCGTTTATCAGCCGTCAATCACGGCGTAGAACGTATCGATATCGATTGCGTTCTGGTCACGCTCGTGTATGAGGAGGTGCGTGGAAGGAGCGCCCGTGGTCGAGAATGGTTAGTCTGAACTCTATTCAAACCTCGGTCCGTCAGCCTTCACAACATCACCTTCGTTCGTCTAAAGGATGTGCGGAGCTTTGCAGCGCCATGTCCTATCTAGACAGCCCAATACTGGCCACCATGCCTTGTTTGTTTGATGTTTGTGCTCGCCCTTCGATCGATGCGTCCGGCAGATTCCGTGGATTGCTCAGTGCATCATGTCTGGATGAGCCCCTGTCGTGCGCCGGCTTCAGCATCTGCCCCGCATGAGGGAATAGATTTTGCTTCTATCGGCATATACGAATATCGTCGCAGATATGGGCATATGATGGTCGATATGATGGCATTGCTCCGTGTGTGTCCACAGTCATGCGCAAGGTACGTGTCGCCTGCATCTGCTCCTGCAACTATCATAATTTGTCCCTGAGTTCTCTTGTTGTCATTTCTCCTCAAATCGTATCTCTCCTTTCTGTGTTTCTTTCATCATGCCGACGCGACGGGGTACGTGTGGAGGGCCGAGGCCGATCGAGGAAAAGAGGCGGGATCGCGCGGGTGCTGCGCAGCGTCGGAGGGTGCTCAGAGTAGCATCGACTCTGGTGCGTTCATGCCGTTGGACTACGATATACTGCTTCTCAATTAGTACCTATCTTTCCCTGTGCACAATCGTGGTGCCAGGACGCGCGAGGGCGGATGAGATGGCGGTACCCAACGCGTGTTGCCGTCATGCACAAAGGGTATCACCAACGCACCTTTCTTCGAGCAGGCCTTTCAGTTGTCTCCGCTGCTTCATCCTAGTAGCCCTAAATCCGTAAACCTCGGCCTCGCTCCCATAGTAGCTGGTGTTCGGTATGGCGGAGGTACAAGTCGTTATGAAAAGAGAAGGTGGGGTAGGCGAATATTGCGAGAGCCTTCGAGAAGGTCAAGCGAGCCTGCCGACTCCCTGCTATCAGAAGGTGGAGTGTTATATGCATTTCTAAAGCCTCATCAGAGTTCGACCCTTGCGAGCGTACTGTTGTTGATCCTTCCCCTCCCGACAGGTGTCATACAGAGTGCCCCAAGGCCTGCCGCACAACTGCTGCCAGAGATCCATACCGGAGGCCGATTGAGCATACCCTAAAGTGTAGGTTCTCTGCTCTGCTACTTGTATCAGAGGCTTCATGGCCTGCCTCGTGGCCAGCGACACTTTGGCCCGTATCGATGACTTGTTCTGTTGTCTGCGAAAGCTGGCTCGGCCGCCGCCTTTCTTGTCGTTTACTGACTGCCCGCGAGACCTTTTCGTATGTAGGAGATATTGCCTCGGGGCCCGATGGAAATAGAATATCGCGTTCGAAGGTCTGAGACGAGGAGAACTGTTCGGTGTTGCTGAAGGGAGCGGTAGATGCTGAGAATCACGCCCAAGGTCAGCCATGAAAGTACGTTTGTTCTGCTTACAACAATTAGATGCCACGGCATATATCTTACTTGCCGCGTAAGGTCTTACACGTGCCGCCCTCAAGTTCAATGGCATGTCGCCCCCCTTAGGGTAGCTGTTTGCTTCAGGGCCACCGTCATCGGCGATGTAGTCTGCCTATCCTCATCTAGCCGGAGTCCAACATTACCGATACGAATGAGTACTCCTGGAGCCCCCCTGGATTCCCCCGCTCATCTCTTGGGACAAGGCATGGGTATCGAAAGCATACGGAGTTGTTCTTGGTGACATATGGCGGGGAGGTTGTTGCGGCGGGACCACCGTTAGGGTCAAAGCTCTGGATGTCCAGCAGTATCAACATCACGAAGCCGGCTGTGTTGCAGGGCTGCAAGAAGCTGCAAGGGGCTCTAATTCATAGATGGCTATCTATTGATCCTATCCTGATCATTATTATACTCAGCTTGGTGTTGCAGTTGCTCAGTGCCTCTGCAGCGTGCCTGTTCGTCCCCTGTGCCACTGCCACCGATATTTTTGTCGTTGCTGCTCTCTTCCGTAGCCCCCCACAACGCGTCATTAGAGTATAAATAAAAGTTTCTGCCTTGCTCTCACCTTCTCTCCTCCACCACAAACAACCTCATCACCACCACACAAATTTTCCCACACTTGCCGCCACCATGCTTGCCGGCCTACTCTTCTCCATCAAGACCTTCCTATCTACTCTCTGCTGTCGCCGCAAGGCACCGTCTGCTCAGTCTCGTGCTCGCACGGCTCCCATGCCACCAGAAATGGTGCCTCTGCCGCCTTCTCCTCCACTTCTACCCCGCCCAGCGTCGCTGTTTGGCCGCCGTCATGAAGTTGAGCGTTCGCCCGCTGTGGGTTTCTTGCCATCCACCTCTTCTGTCGCTCTCGGTACTGACGATCATGAGCGTGTCGTGCCTGTCGCTCGCTTTCGGAGCTTCAGTGATCCGGGCACCTGTCCAGCTTCGGTAGCTTGAGCTGAGCTCTTGTAAGTCTTCTCACCATTGAACGCATGTTGACAGCATGTCGTCACCTTGCTGTGATTGTCACTACACTGGCTTGCCCACTTCAACTCACTGACCTCTCATCACTAGCTCCTACGACCTTCCCGGCCGGCACTGTCCTTGGTTGGGGCGTCGAGCCTTTGGTGCTTGGTGAGTACAATACCACTACCTCCTTCCACCAACACACATACAGTTCACTGACCTCTTCTTTCAGATTTCACGGCTCGCCCACGGGCACCGTCTTTGGGGCTACTCGCCTTTGGGTAGCACAATGAACCATTATTTCCTTCCTTCGCCGTCCACATTCCACTCACTACTTCTGCTGATGTTTGCCATGACTGATGGACAGTCGCCGACAAGAACCTTGCCTGGTAAGTATATCTACTTCCTGAGAGCTCTTGACTAACACCTCACCAGTGATGTTTACAAGCTGGCACTGATATCGCATATCCCCATGAGCCCTACTCATGACCACACGGCATTCGATCAAGATGGCAGCTCTATTGAGTACCACCTGAAGCCCAGCAGAAATACACAACCTGGGGAGTTCTGGAGCAACCTTGGACCCATGGTACGTAACGTCTTGTACAGCGACACATACTGACCACAGCCAGTCAACACCGCTTGTACAGAGTGGAGGCAGAAGATACTGTCGTTGATCGTAAGTCTTCCTCTCCGAATTAATTTTGCTGACCGTGAACAGTGTGGGAAGTGAACCTGTCTCTACGCGTCCACGTCGCGCTTCCCGGAAACATCTTCGGATGGCCAAGTAGAGCAGCCCTCAGCGAGGGAACTGTTTGGACTTGTAAGTACTTCGCCCCAGCCTCCCGCTTGCTGACAGTGAACCATGTCGACATAGACTGCGGAGAGGTGGTTGTTGAACTAGTAAGCTTCCATCCGCAGTTAACCTTTGGCTGACCGTGTACAGGGTGGGAGGTAAAATCTGACTCAGGGTCCCCGTTCCCGCCTCCTGGTAACGTCCTCTTCGGAGACGGCTAAACAGAGCAGTGCCCTCCGACTTTGTCAACTGCTTCTGGTCAGCTACGCGGCTTGTCGGTGGGCTGGGCTGTGGCAAGATTCAGGACTACCGTAAGTACCCCCACTCTGACTTTGAAGCTTCATCCGCTAATTCTACGGAACGGTGCCTTCCTCTCGGGCCGAATTTCCATCTATTCCCCTCCTGAGGCGGGCGCATCAACCCGAGGGTACTTCCTGACGGCACATCTGATCGCACCGCCGATGCGTGGGCTTCCGGGGACCTTTGATTCAAAATGGTAGCGAGAACGGCGATGTCGGAGATGGGGACATGCAATCCGGTCAGTGTCGGTTCATTTTGGCCAAGTGCTTGAAGTTTGAACAGAGATGCTAACTTGCTCTATACCTCGACGACTTGACCGGCCCAAGGCTTGGACTTCTAATACGACTGTAAGTTTGCTTTGACCAGATGCTTGAAGGTTGAGGCTAAGTACTGACTTGAAGCATATACACCGAGTTTGAGGTTTTGATCTAGAGTGGTAGCTGTCCGGTGAGTGTCGTTCGAATTGATCAAATGTCCGAAGATTGATCTTGATACTGACTTGAGTTATACTCAACTCGAACCTCTCTCTACACTCGAGGCTTCCTGCCACCACCGATACCGAATATAACAAGAGGCATGCAGCTCTCTGTGGGCTGGTAAGTTTATTCCATTCCTCCCAATTAACGGTCTTCATATGCTAATTCTTCGTACTCTATTCTACCTTCTATCTTCCTCTATTTCCTCCTCACGCCGCACGTCGGCGCGTCAACGGCGGCCCAAAAAGCACGCAGTTCATTTCTCTATACTGCGCGTGAAGGCGGGTCGCCAAGATGATGTAACTCCGTCGCACTCGTCCGACTAGATTGCAGATGCCGAAAGTTGCGTGGTACCCACGGTGTCCGTCTCACCAGTGTTGGATTCGCCAACGACTACGCTCTGGTCTGGAAGGTACTGGGTGTCGACACGGGCGTGGACTGGTACCATGTTTCTCAGCTTCAGCTTTTGAGATTCGTGGTTTGTCTTGTCCGTACATCCCTCAGTTTATGTGGCTGAATGGTATTTTGATCTAGAATGGTAGCTCATGGTGTCGGTGACAGGGTGTTAGAGTCTCGTGAGTGTCGTTGCAATTGATCAGATGCTCGAAGGACATTGATGCTGACACGAGAGTAGATTGTAATCCAACCGGCCGCAGGATCGTAAAGCACAACCAATCCTCTGCGTTAGAGTTACTGTATGGTGGGATGGGCGGCTGTCGCTTCAATAGTTTCGCCATTCGATAGTAAGTCGCCGCCTTTCATAAGAAGGATAGTGCTGATATGCTCATATCTCTTACCCAGGTGTTTTTAATCGGGATCGCCAACGAAATCATCGCATGCGATGCCAGTATGTATCGTCTCTTCAGCACTATGTGGGTCAAGCGATCGATGCACATGCATGCACTAACGCAAATGCAGGCACCCGAAGGCCACACACGAGGCGGCAATAACAATCTTCCACTCCCTTCTCTTGAATAGATGAATCGATTCTCTTCTACAATCGAACCGGCCTTTTCAGCGTACTATCCTTGGTGCAGAGTCTATGCCGAGCTCCTCTATACCGGTTCACTTTGACCAAGTGCGCGCAAGGGCCCAGGTCAGGCTAGAAACGTTTGCGCTGACACAAGGCCAGGCGTCTATATACAATGGACGAGGGATACTGTCACTGTCATGGCGCTTATGAAATGTGTAGAGCTTTCTCAATCAACAGTAGCTGAGTAGCAGATCTGATATCACAAGTTATCAGCCGCCACCTCATAAAGACTCACGCTAACATGCCACAGGCCTTCCAGCTACCAGTGCTTGCCCCTGCACTCAGCTCGCTTATCGCTAGCTTTGTGCAAGACCTTACGAGTTTGTGAAAGCGTTTGCAAGCTCCCCTCACGTGCCGCCTGCTGCCTTGCGCCCCCGTGGTCTCAGCGCCTCACAACAACAACAACATGGCCTATATGTTGTTTACAATTCCCAGTACTTCGCCTTCGGGCATTTGGTCAATTTGAAACGATACAGAGAAGATTAGCATGGCCCCTGCACTAAGGATGACACGCTCAATCAAAGAGAAGCTACAATTTTTTTTAGGAAAATTCTAACATTAATAGGTGGTGAGTTCGAGCCGCTGTGTTGGCAGTGGCACGAGCTCAAGGCCTTCGAGCTTCTTTTTGTCCGTTCTCATGGTGAGGTGGATTGCTTCTTTCACCTTGTCGAATGTCCGGGTGGCACAGCGTGTAAGTTCAAACCTCCATCTTTTGCTATCTGCTCATCATCAAAACAGTGTCCTTCAGATTAAGTCATGGTCAGCCCATCTTACTCCTGCTATTCATGCCTGAATCTCCCTATCTTGCCTCCTCTAAATTATCTTCCCTTCCGATCTTCCTCTTCTCCATTTTCTCTCCTAGAGCAACACAGGGAAATGGCACCAACTTTAGGGTCTACTTCCTCGTAGTAGTGTCCCATAATAGCTGCCTAGATCGAAAAAGACGCATCGCTTAGTGGGTATTGTCCGCGAGGGGAGGGTGGGTTACCTTCTATCACAAGAACCGCGACCGCCGCGCGAATGAATCTGGGCTACCGGTTGGACAATGGGGGCGTGATTTAATACTGGGCCTGGGGGTATGCGATGCAGGACGCACCACAGATCCATGGTCACATAGGGCGACGGCGGCGTCGTTCATGGGGCTCGTGGTGGTTGAGGCTCCGACATTTTTATTCGTAGTATAATCTCATGCCTTCTATCTAAGCTGAACTTTGACTTGTGTTAATTAACTATCGTGCAATAACTCAGTGTTACCATTTTACACTTGCTAAGTGGTCTTATCAAAAGGTCACAAGGGTGTCCGTAGGGACAATGATGCCACAGCTTCAATGGGCATTAGCTTGTGGCATCTCATCACAATGGTCCACCGAGAGAGCTACGCCGCTGCTTGGGTATTCGGACAGCCCTCAAGAGTTAAGGTGGTTGTCGCGTGAAATTGCGACTGTAAGTCCCTTGGTATATCGATTTGAAGTTTATTGTGCCAGTCAATCATTGACTAGTCAACAAGAGGCGGAAGCCTGCGTAAAATTCCAATCTCGACACGATCAAGTTTCAATCAAAGCGTCCTTCAGTGCTAAACATGGGTTAGAAAGGAGTCTATTAATAACATCTATTCACACGCTGCTAACGATTTCCGGGCAAGCGTCGCATGCCAATCTACTGTTGAACAACCCTTCGCCTTGTTTTGGGGCTGGCGAGTGTGCGCCTTAGAGTTCCTGGGCTAAGGCACCCGACAATGACGTGTCTTTAGTCGACTGCCACTTCGTCTCGATACTTTACCGCCAATTCATTCGGATTACGCAGAGGAGGTGAGAACCAGAGATGAGTCTGCGGATGCAATACTCAGAAAGCTACAAAATGTGCAAAGGAGATTTGACTCGCACTTGCATTGAGAGGTGAAGAATGATGTGTGCAAGATCCATTAATGGCAACTTGCCTGGTATTTGACTAATCCATCTATAACGCCGGGCCATGCTGCGTGTATGGTACACTATGCGTACATATATGCGATTCCCTTCAGGTCTTACTGCACGGCGAAGTTCGGGGCAGCGAGACCTTCCCATCCGCCATCTTTGCAACGTCCATCTAGCATACTCCGCTGTTCGTCGCGATCTCAGCCTAGATTCTATGCTGTAGTATAGTTCGTATGCGCTCGTTTCGTGATTGAGGTGGGCGTGCTATTTCTTGCCGCGCTTCGCTTCGAGGAAAAGTACTTGCTTCCGCACTGCCACCCTTTGTCAGCCTCTGATCTCTACGCACGAGACGTTTGCTATTGCGTCAATCGCATCCAACTCCACGCATTGTCCACTTAGCCAACCATACTACATCCTGTAGAATGGGGTAGGCGCAATGCGTCGTGTCGTTGGGGTAAGAGCAGGGTATTCGTACCAATGGGATCGTATTTGAGCATGCTTAGCGGTTGATGCGCTCGCGGTCTTTGCATTGTGCGGTAGTAGCCCGTCATGGCCATCGAGATGAGACGCACCATGATGGTACGGGACTTTGCTAATCACAGGGTCAGCCCATGTCGAGAAGTTGTGAAAGTGCTATGAAGCATCGAAAGAGACGGAAGGTGCAACCAAGAGCCATCTTGAAAGTATGCATGGGAAAAAGGTATAGGGAGACATACCTTTTTTCGCCATTGCGACGCGCGATTGTGTGTTGTGCCGGCGTCAATGGTCGTAATGTTGAAGCGTGTGGTTCTGGAGAGTCAATGTTCTCGACGGGCCATCTTCGGCAATCGGCCACCCCGCCAATCAGAGCGCGTTGAGATAGGAATCTCCCGCAATGACGACTCTCACCTGGGCAGACGCTAGTACGTATTGAGTCTAATTTCTCGGGCTGGCGCATCAACAAGTTTCCGCCTCCTCGTAGCTCACATCCATCTTCCTCGCTTCGAGTACGAGGATTATATAGACTAAATCGCTTATACCCTTGTCATAAGGTACAGTTGAACGCTGCAGATATGCGCACTGGTTTTGTGACCGCAATCTGCTACGAGACGTGGAGACGGGTTACGTTTGCGCGATACGAGCAAGACGAATCAGACGGTCGTAAATATGGTGTTGCGTCATGTTCGATGTTGATGCGTAGGTCTGATATGTGTATAAAGGGTCAGTTAAACTGTTGGGTAAGAGCATCAACAAGAACAGCCGCAGCATCTCCTGAATTTGTACCACATCGTCCAACCTACTCTCTCTATATCTACTCTCACATCGACGTCAATTTCTTTTTGATCCTATTCCACCAAAGCACTCACCCCCACTATGCCAACCCCAATCCCATCTGAATTCGACTTCATCCTTATCGGCGGCGGCACAGCTGGCAATGTTATCATAGGTCGCCTCGCCGAAACCCTCGTGTTTCCATCCTTGTCATCGAAGTTGGGATCATATCGAGCAAGGCGTAGTCGATTCCGAACTTAGGGTACATGGCACGCAGAATTTACGCATCATTGATGCATCAACTTTTCCTGTGATTCCGGATTGCAGAATTCAGAACTCGGTGTATATGATTGGCGAGAAGGGTGCGGATATTATCAAAGCCGCATATCCGGAGCTATATCAGGTTCAACCCTAGGGGAGGACTCTCTGGATCGTGGATGGAGTAGGTTTGAACGTCGGTGATCGATGCATGAATGTTTCCTTCGTTGCTGTTTGATAGACTATGCTTGTTTTATTTTCTATTTCCAAATGTATGAAGTTCCCCTTGTTTATTGCATCCAGCAGGTCTACTTGTGCTTGTGAATGCAATTTGACATGGTTACATGCTTGCACGTTCACTGACTTTTCAGTACTGTCTTTCGCGAATTAACTACCCACTTAAACTTCGATCATAGAACACAGCGTGACGTTTATTCGTAGTTAAATTTATAAGATGGGGGCGGCGAGTCAGATAAAACCACAGCCCCAATGCCCAGCTGTGCAACGAGGGTGGCCTAAGTCTCATGCTAGTTTAGCCGTAGCGCTAATATAGTCCCCAGCTCCTCACCCCATCTCACACTCCATAGTAGACCTCGCCATGTTCTGTAATCAATGTCAGGCATTCTGGCACGAAACATTTTCGAAAGCAAAAATACCTCAAGCCATCCATTCGTGCGAAGATGTCCACTGGGAATATCACGAAACAACCCTCCACAATAGCATTCGCGACCTGAAGCAGGCATCTGATCTTCGCTGCCGCTTATGTCGCATTATATACTTTACGCCGACCGATCATGAACACGAAACGCTTTTAAAAGATGTGGACGAGCCGCTCAGTATCGTGCTTACTATTGATCCATCGAAAGGACCACACCCAGTGCTTTCAGCCGAATTTCGTGAAAAATCAGGTGATGGCGCTAGGATCTCGAAGCGCATGGTGGCGTCTTGTAGTGGGCTGTTGAGTGACGGTATGCTTGTATAACACAATGACTAGAGGAGTAGGCTAATTGCATCCTAGAAAACCTTACAACCACATTGAAGACCAGTGCTGAGTCAAACAACGATAGCACTGGCTCAGATGGCGCGCTTGAGCTCGCTGCTTTCTGGACGAAGACATGCCTTGACGGTCACGACAAGTGTCGTCCGCCAGCTGGTCATGGTGCTAGCTCTTTTGTGCCTACAAGGCTACTGGATGTTAGCAGTAATTCCATTCGCCTCATCGAAAGCGAACAAGAGATCAAAGAGGGCAGCGATCGGAGCTTCGTGGCACTTAGCCATTGCTGGGGTCTTATTCCAATTATCAGAACCCTGATCGATAACTACGATGAGCATCGTAAAGGTATTGCCCCAGAGCGACTGTCGAAGACATTCAGGGAAGCAGTTCACGCGACGCGCAAATTGGGCTACCGCTATATATGGATCGATAGTCTTTGCATCAAGCAAGACGATGGGGAAGACTGGGCAGCAGAGGCAGCCACGATGTGCGACGTGTATCAATACGCAACGTTAACCATCGCCGCTGCACATGCACCTGGAGGTGATGTCGGATGCTATGCTGAAAGAGACGGGCTACTGCAGCTTCCCTTCTTTATCGAGCTGCCGCAATCTGCTGTTTCAAAGGAACCTACTCGAATCCAGTTCACATCTTACGGGCGCGTCAAAGATATAGGTGGAGGTAATCCCGCCTTATACGGACGAGCATGGGTTCTGCAGGAGCAACTTCTCTCCCCACGAATGCTCATTTTCGACGGAGCGCAAATTAAGTGGGAATGCTTAACCATGCATGGCTCAGAGAAATCGCCTACTTCTAGTACAACGAGGCACAGTCTCTACTATAAGTATTGTGGCATACTACGATGCGCATTCGAATAGAGGAGGCAGGCATTAATCTGTAGTTAGTAAGACGTGCAATTTATATTTCTAGTATTTTATTATAAGCTAGTATTAGTGCCTTTTTTTTTTTTTACTTATTTAAACTATAATATAGCTTTACTGCTAAAAATATTTATTATATGCTAACTTACTATACTATATTTTTTTTCCTAATTATAAGCTTAGTTTTTTTAAATTTTAATACTTTTTTTTAAGCTCTAATACTCCCCTTTAAGCTCTAATACCCCCCTTTAATACTAAATATTATAGTATTAAGTATTATTTACTATTTTATTTTTTTTTTTTTTTTTTTTTGCTTATTGCTTAATATGCTATTTAAGTATTAAGCCTTTTTTGCACGCACTTTACTACTAAACTAATAATTATAATTATAAATAACTATTTATAAAATGCTAGGCTTTTATTTACTATAGTATTACTTACTACTTTAGTATTAAATATTACCTGCTAGTTTTAAAGTAAAGGCAGCTTTAATATAATAATAGTATAGTAAAAGCTTAGGCCTAATACTTTTTTAAAAAAAAATATATATAAACTGCTTTTTTTTTTTTAGTTATTTTTTTTTTTATTTTTTTACTTTTTTTTTTTAGTTCCCTAAGCCTTCTTTAATAACTTACTATTTAATTATTACTTTTTTTTACTATAGCTACTGTTAACTATGCTTTAAGCAGTACTGCAATAAATACTTTTAGTAAAAGTAGTAGTAGTAGTAATAATAGTAATAATTATTAGCTTTTCTATCTTCGCAGTTATTACTTTACTAATAGTAGTAATAAAAAAAACTTTTTTTAAACTTATAACCTACGCTTAGCTAAAAACTATTTTTTTAAATAGTATAAGTTTTTTTATACTAATACTTAGTTATAAGCTTATTTTGTATAATAGAAAGCTAAAAGTAGTAGTAAGTAACTTTTAATTTTATTTATATACTAGCTTACTTCTTTTAGCAGCTAGTAGCCTAAAGCATTAATTTTAGCTTTTATTTTTAATTTTTTATAGTTTACTAAAATAATATTAAGGGTTACTTATTTTTAGCGTTTATTTGCTTTGCTAGCGCTATTCTAAGTATTTAGCAACTTTTTAAAATAAGTATTACTTATAAATACTATAATTTTAATATTAAAGCAGGTAAAATGTGCTTTCTTTTTTATACTAATAGTTTTTTACTAACTTTACTAGTTATTTAATAAATAGCTGCTAGCAACTAAGTTTACTTTGCTAATAATTGCTGTACCTATTACTTAAGTACTAGGGCTAATTATACTTTTAATAACTGCGCGCAATTTTACTATTAAAGCTGCCTTTTTAATTATAAAGCTTATAATAAGTATGCTTTTAATAGTAATACTGCTTGCTATAGCTTTTATAGTAAGTTTCTAATTTTTACTTAAAAATTTTTTTTACTAACTTTTAATACTAGATTGCTTTTTTATAAACGCTATTAGTACTGCTCTTACTTTTGCAGAAATTACTATTATTTATAACTAAAATTATTTTAAGTATTTTAGCTTTTTTAGTTTATAAAGTTTTTAAGCTTGTAATTATGCTGCAAGCTTAGTATTTATAAATTTAAATAACCTGCGTAGCCTGCGTAGCCTTTATAGCCTAATTTTTTTTTTTATTTAGTTTAGTAGTCTAAATACTTTTTAAGGCGGCAGTAGTAAGGGCAAAGGCTATAATAATACTTTTAGTTTTTAAGTTAGCAGTATTTTTTAGGCCTAGCAAATATAAGCAGATTAAATAATAATAAGCAGTTAGTATAGATTAAGCTGCTTATTTAAAAATTTTTAAAAACTAGTTTTTAGATATACTATTAGCACCTAAAGCTTCTATTTTCTTTAATAGCCTACTAATAAATTTTTTTTTTTTTTTTTCTTTTTTTTAATTTTTTTGTAGCTTTTTTAATTTTTCTTTTTTACTTATATAATTTTATTCTAACTTGCTTTTAGTATTTACAATTGCTTTTCTTTTTTTTATTATCTTAAAAATATTATTTTATAAAATCTTATTAATAGCTTTTTAAAGCGCATTGTTAGACTTTTAATTTAAAATATATAAACTTATTAGAATATAGCTTTTTAGTAAAGGCTTGTTATTTTTAGACAATAAAGTTTTAGTATTTATAATAAAAAGTATTAATAATAGTAGTTTTTTAAGTGCTTATAGGGTGCTTAAGATTAGCGTTACTATCTAAAACTTTTTAGTTTCTAAATATAATTTTAGTTTTTTTACTAAAATTTTAGCTTTAAGCGTTTTTAGCATTTTTTTAAACTTTTTTAGCCTATTAGTTTAAGTAGTGCTTGCAAATACTACTTTATTTAAATTTTTAAGCTAATAATAGCTTTTATCTAAGTTTATAGTATTTATTTAGTAGGGTCCTAGCTACTTTTTAGCAAGCTTTTAATTTAAGCTCTTATTAATAGCTTTTATTATATTTTAAATTAATACTAACTTACTTTCTTGCAAGGCAATTAGTACTTTTTTTTTTTTATTTTAATTTTTAGTTGCTTTTCTGCGAAGCTTTCTTGTATAATTAACTACTTTTTTTAAGTTTTTTTACTAAAATTATAGCTAGGTAGCTTAAACTATAAGCAAATTAGTATAATTTTCTATTACTAACTATAGCAGACTTTACTAAGTAAGTACTATAAGTTTTATTAGAAGTATAAGGTTTTAGCTAAAAACTAGTTGCGTAGGAAAATATTTAAAAAAACGTTACAGTAATATACGCTTAGCTTAAGTAATTACTGCTAAATTATTTACTTAAAAGCTAGTTAGCTTTACTAAAGCATAAATATAGCTTTAATGTCTTTTTTTAATAAGGCTTTAAGCTCTTAAATTATACGCAAAAGCTTATATATAGTAAATTTTAAAAAAGGTAGCAAGCGCTTTAACTACTAACTTATTTTTAGTATTTTTATTAATAGAGAGCTTTTATAGTACTTTTTACTTATAGCAAATTTCCTTAAAAATAAATTAGGCTATAGTTTCTAAGTTTGCAGTATAAACTGTATAAGCTTTAAACTATTTTAAAAAGTATTTATAGGCAATTAATAAGTAAGTTTTTTTTTTAATTTTTAGTATAAATGTAATATTAATAGTTTACTACGTCTATAATACTTAAAAGTATATTGTATTAAGCTCTACTTCTTTTTTAGCTTTTTTAATTAACTAATATTTTTTATAAAAGCTAAGTTGCTTTGCTACTTGCTAATATATTTTTTCTTACTAGTATTACTAGTTAATTACTTTAAATATAGTCTAAATACCTTTATGTCTTAATTGTTTATGCATTTTTTAAATTAGCGCTACTTATATTTTAGGCTTATTAAATACTTTTTGTGCTAGCATTGCTTTAGTAGCCTTTTTAAATAAGTACTTTTTTTAAATAAAAAAGCAGGTTGCCTTTTTAGTTTAAGCTTAGAGCATTTTGCCTTATATATAAGTTAGGCATTCTAGTATCTAGAAAAAGACTGCTATTTTTTTTAAGTCTTTATTATACTTTTTAACTAAGTATTGTAGTTTAATTAAGCTTTTAGCTATATAGACTTTTTTATACCTTTCTAGAGTTTAATTAATAAAGGGCTCTAAGTTGTTTTTATCCTTTAAAAAAAGCTTTTAATTTTTTAGTTAGAAATACCTTAAAAGTATATTAAGAATAATATTTTTCTTACTTAGTATATAAATAATATTAAAGTTTTATTAAAAAATTGTTGCAAGCTATTAGTTTATTACAAAGCTAAAAAAATCTAATAAAAATTAGTTTAATTAAGCAATTAGGACTTTCGCATTTATTTTAATAATAAATTAGTAGCTATATAAATAAGACTAAAACGCTTTTAGCGCCTAAACTAGAGCTTTGCACTTTAATTTTATTAAATACTATTAAAATTCTGCTTCTAACTACAAAATACTATTAAATTTAATTAAGTATTATTATTTATTAGCTTTAACTTACTCTAGGTGCGCTCTTTTACTAATATTTAAAGTATTTACTTTAAAGTATATTGCTTTTTTTTTATAGTCTATTACTACTAGCGTAAGAAGTTAAGTAATTGCGCTTTTAATTAATTGTATTACCTTTTATTAATTCTTTCTTTAGCTTTATTTAGCATTCTTTTAGAGTAACTTAAAAAGCAGCTTAGTTTTTAAAAAAAAATAGAAAATCTACTGCTAATAATATACTGCAATTCTAATAAACTGTTAAACCTCCTTTACTATTTAGTATTTAGGCTAGTTTAGTATCTTTAAAACCTTATTATTGCTAAAATATTAATTTTACTAGTTTACTTTATATTTAATTATAATTATCTTTAATACTTTCTATTAAAATTTTATAACTAACACTATTACCTTAGCTTAGGCTATATTAATAAGTATTTAGTTTATTTACTATATATATTTAAAAATAAATTAATAAATTTTATCTAATACTTTTTTATTATTGTACTTTAACTTTGGGCCAGCTACCCCTATATTATTAATAAAGGGCGCTATATTTAAGAAATAGTCTTTAAAAATCTTTATAATAATGCAAATAAATATAATAACTAAGTTTATAGCTCTTTGCAGTAAAGTGCACTACTTTATAAATTTAATTAAAATTTAGAATGCTATAATATCTTAGCTAGCTAAGTATAATTTAATCTAGTTATATCCTAAGAATAAGTTAAAGTATAAATATATTGCCCTTTTAGTAAATTTTTTTAAAAACTTGTTAGTAAAAAACAGAATATATATATTTCTTTTAGTAATAGTATTATATTACTAGGCATTATTAATTAACTAAAAGTCTGTCGCTTTAGTAAGATTTTTAACCTTAGGCATTAGGAAATATAAATTTTTATACTAGCTATTGCTGCGCTTAAGTGTCCCTTAATTTAGCTTTATTTTTATTATATTAATAATAATTAGTTTAAGCTTTCTAAAGTACTAAAAGCTTTTTACTTACTATGCTTTATAAAGCATAGTTTAAATTTTATATAGTAGCTAAATATTTTAATATATTATTAATATGTTTTTAAAGTTTTAAGCTAGCGCATCCTCTTACTAAAATATTAAACTTTAAAATAGTTAAACTTTATTTAGTAGCAAGTTTTTTTTTATATTTATTTTTACTAGCTGTTTAGCTGTTAACTAATGCCTTTATAAAAAGCTTACTGTCTTTTTTCTAAAAATATAATTATATAAACTTAGGTCTAAGCCTTTTAATAATGCTTTTTTAATATACTGCGCAATAGTTCTTTTTTTTTAATTTTTTTTTTTAAGTTCTATTAGCTAATCTAGTTAAAGTATATTAATAGGCTAAACTTTATTACTTACTTTTTTATATAAAGTATTTACTTTTCCTAAACTCTTTTTACTTTTTAATTAGTACTACTTTTAACTTTTTAGTTCTTTAAAAGATTTTTAAAAGTTTTCCCTTATTTCCTTATACTTTTTACTAATATTTTTAGTTTTAAAGAAATTTTAATACTTTTAAACCTAGATTTTTAAGCAATTTTCTATTAAGTATACTTTTTTAGTAAGTATATTTTCTACTCTTTTCCTTCTTTGTTAATTGTAATTAAATTAGTTATTAAAGCTAAATTGCATTTTATAAATAAAACTTTTTTCTGCCTATTAAGGGACCTAATATAATATATAGTACAGCTAAAAGTATTAAAGTAAATTTAGAGCTAGGTAGCTAAATACTAAAAAATACTAAGTAAAATTGCTTTTTTTAACTTTTGCACTACCTAAAAATGCGTTAAGATTAGTACCCTACTAACTATAATTAGCACTTTATATATAGTACTAATAAAAAAGTTTATATTTTTATCTGCAGTAATTATTCTTTACTAAAGCTTAATTAGTAGTTTTTTTTAGTTAAATTTAGTAATATACACATTAAGAGCTCTTGCAGTAGATAGTTTTATTATATTTAACTATAAGCTTATATTAATTAAAGCTTAACTTATGCTTTTATATAAAAATATTTAATACGTAAGGAGCTAACTTTTAATTAATAGTTTATAATATTAGCTTTTAATTTTTAGTTAAAAGTTAGATAGTAGCTATAACTACTTTTTAATATATTTATCTTTTTTATCTTTTATTTTATAACTTTAGAAATTATAAATTTTATTTGCCTTTTTAGTATTTTTTAATTACTTTTACTATTTATAACTAAGCTTTAGGCATAGCTGTTTAAGTACTTCTTTAATAATTACTTTTTTAAATTTTTTTCTACTTTTAATTGCAAAAGTTTTTTTTAAGCTTAATTTTTAGTTAAATATTTTTTAGAAATTTTTTTTTATTAATTTTTCTTTTTTAATATTTATAGTTTCTCTTAAACTACGCCTAGGAGTTTAGAATCTAATAATAAGTTTTTGCAAATTCTTAATAGCTTTACTAATAGCTATTACTATAGCTAAAGTAGCTAGTAGATTTATTTATTAAAGTCCTTTTACTTCTTAATTAAGTATTGCTTAGGCTATTACGTTTAGAAATATGTTCTGCGCTATAATTGCTAAGTTTTTAGTAGTTAGTATTTAAATCTGCTGCAATTTCTTTTATACTTTTATTATAAGTAGTAGAAAGGTTTTTAGGCCTATAATTATACTTTAACTATCTTTTATAGTTAGTAGAGTTATATTTACTCTAAGGCGTTTTTATAATAAGTTTACTTAGGTATCTTTTATCTGCACTTTAGGTACTTTTATAATAAGCTTATATTAAAAGAGCTTATCTTCTAAATCTTCTTTAACTAATAGGAAAATTTAGTTATATAGCTTACTACTTTTTATTTTTAGAACTATAACTACTATAGGCTTTTTTTTAGTAACCTAATTGTTTTTTTAATACTACTCTGCCGCAGTCTTTTAGACTCTTTTATTTTTTATTTCTACTGCGTATAAACTAGGCTTAGTATTATATACTTCTTTAGTTTATAATACTATTTCTAAAAATATTACAGCTTCCTAAAGTGCTATTATCTACTAAACTAGTATACTTCTATTATTATTTACTTTAATATTGTAGCTTTTCTTACTAGCTAAAAGGCAGGTAACTTTAATTACTTTTTTATTAGCTTTAAACTAGCTTAGAAAAATAGATTTAATAGGCTTTTTTAGCTACTTATTAGTAACTTAGAATTAGTTTTTTAGCAACTATAGTACTTATTATAATATTTTGCTATTAAAAGCTTTTAAAGCAAACCTTCTGCCTAAAAAAATGCCCTATATATTAGTTAAATAAAGTCTAAAATAGTATTTAGCTTAGGCCTAGCTACCTAGTATTTTCTTAAATCTAGTATAAAACTACTAATTTTCTTTTAGCAATCTTAAGTTAGGGCAATTTGCTATTATATATTTTTTTTTTTTATAGCAGCAATACTTTATTATAGTCTACTCCCTGCTTTTTACTATTACAACTCTAGCTTAGAAATTAACTATAGGTAGGTAGATAAACTAAAAGCTTTTATTATTCTTTTTAAAAGGCTTTTGCAATTTTTGCTATAATTTAAGTATTAGCTGCTTATAAGCTTTTATATAGTTCTTGCTTAATGCTAATACTTTCTTTATATTTAAATTATTATTTACAAAAAAGTTAAACTTATTTATAGTAAGCGTTAGCCCTTTAAAGCCCTAGATAAGATTAGCTATAGTAAAATTAATTTTTGCTTTAATTAGCTTTGCAGGTATAGGCAAGTAAAAAATACTTAATATAGTAGCCTTTAAAACTACTTTAATTAAAAGTATTAGTTTTTTTAGAATTTTTATATTTTTTTAGGCTAGCACCCTGCTTACTGTGCTATAATTAGTAGTAAAAGTATTTAGTCCTTTTTCCTGCTTTTAGTGTTTCTGAATAAACTTATAAATTTTTTTAATTTTAAAAGTTAATATATTTTTAAACTAAGGATAATCCTCTTTTAATATATAGTATATTACTTTATTTATATTCTTTTAAGCTAGTCTTTAAAAGAAAAAATAGCTTTTTTTAATTTTTACAACTTGTTTTTAAAGCTAAGCCGCTAGGAAGTATATAACAAAGTTTTAATAGTACTTAATAATTTTAACTATAGGCTAGCGCTTCTAAACTTTGCTTATATAGCTTTTAATAAAAGCTTAGGTACCTTTTTTTTAGCTTTTATTTTAGCCTGTATAAAAACCCTGCAATTTTTACTAGTATTTAGCCTAGCTCTTTTTTTTATTTCTATAACTTAGAAGCCTTTAGATAAATACTTTATATTAAGTTTTATAGAAGTATAAAAACTATATTTTTTAAGTACTCTTGCTTTATAACACTTAATTAGCTTTAAAATTATATTTTTCTAGAAATTTTATAATATTATGCTTTTTAAATTTTAGTGCATTTATATTAATAGGCTTAAACTAGCTTTTATATTTAAAACCTATTTCCTGCAAAAAATATAATAAAGTATTAGTACTAACTATATTATTTGCCTTAAATAATTAACTTGCCTTAAGTTATTAGGGGTTTTAATAACATATTAGTAATAAAATAGACTTTACTATTTTATTTTTTAAATATAGATTATAATTATAATTTTTGCTTTTTATAAAATACTTAAGCAAATTAAAGTAATTACTACTAGCTTTTTAAATAGGACTGCTTTAAATTTTTATAGTAGTAGTATTTTTTATTTTTTACTTAAGTAAAGTATTTCTTTTATACTATATACTAATTACTACTTTAAATAATAAGCTGCTTTAGCTAAGAGCATTAACTAATACTTATTTAAAAATTAATTTTATAAAGGATGCTTCTTAAATTTCTTTTTAAAGTATAATTATAAGCAAGTTACTATAAGCTTTTTATAAAAACTTATTCTGCCTTTGCCGCATAAAAAGCCTTTAAATAAAAAGTAACTGCTTTAGCTATTACTTTAATAAGTTTTTAGGGTTAGCTTAATACTTAATTTTATTTAATTTTTAAGTACTAATAACTTCGCGCTAAGGTTCTCCTGCCTTAAAATTTTTTAGTTTTTTTATAAATTTTTTTTTTTTTTTTATTTTATTAATAGACTGTTATGCGCTTCTTAGTTAAGTTATTAAAAATATAGTATACTATAATGCGCATTTAAATAGAAGAGGCAGGCATTAACTTATAATTAGTAGGACGTGTAATTTATATTTCTAGTATTTTATTATAAGCTAGTATTAGTGCTTCTTCCTTTTTTTACTTATTTAAACTACAATATAGCCTTGCTGCTAAGGATATCTATTACGTGCCGACTTACTACACTACAGTATATACGGAGTGGGATCATGGACGACTTTGAATATTTCGATCATCCAGATGCTACAGATGAGGAGTTCCAAGATCACGAGTTCTGGGCGCGCATGAAGCACCAATATTGGTGCTATATCATCATGGATTACACGCACCGCGGGATGACGAAGTCCAAGGATAGGCTTGTCGCTATAGCCGGTATAGGGAAAGCGTTGAGTCGGCATACGAAGAATAGATACCTAGCCGGATTGTGGTCGGAGCATTTTACAACTGGATTACTCTGGAGCATAGCCCATAACGAGAAATTCGCGATGTCAACTGCTGATACTTTCGATGTCGAGAAAAACGAAAAGATTCGCCACGAACAAGAACTCGCACCTAGCTGGTCTTGGGCTTCTGTGACAGCTCCCGTCATGTACGCGACTAATGAGCTGCTCAATTACGATCGCATCTGCATCATCGTCAACGTTAACGTTGCCGGAAATATTGACAACCAAACTGGTCGCGCCCAAATCCGTGGCCACACCCGCCGTGGATACATAAACGCAGTATATCCTCACTCTATACGCGAAGCAGCCGCGAGATTCCCACATATGACTACTACAAACCTTACTGGGACCCTAGGCCGTGAGGAAACAAACTTCAAGGACCGCATGTTCCATCCAAATGACTGGTTTCTCTTCTCCGAAAAACCGCCCTCGACAGGAAGTTCCGACACCTCCACCCAACGTCTCACAACACATGGTAGTTTTCGCCTCGTTCGTGGCTCCTTCAAACCCGACCAGATCATTGATCCAGCTCAAGAAATAACATTCGTCGCAATCGCACAACAGCACTTCGGCGCGCAGCTTACCACCCGCTTGCCCTCACACAAGGAAGATGACGCATTGAAAGTTCACAGCATCGCCTTGGTTCCTACGGGGAAGGCAGAGGGGGAATACCGGCGTGTTGGACTCGCGATTTGGGAAGAGTGCGCGTGGTATGGATACTTGTGTGGCTGGAAGGATGCGCGTGATAGAATTGTAGAGAAACCCGGCCGGTGGACGGAGGACGGGCAATGGACGAAGGAGGGACGGTTGGATAGATTGGGGAGGAGGTTGTGGTGGGACGACTTGGAATACTATGAGGAAACTAAGAAGGGGTCTCATCAGCATGCATATGAGGCGAATTGCTTGCCAGAGATGGGGAAATATCACAAGAAAGTCAATGTGAAAGAGACGACGCTGGTCATCGTGTGATGGAGGGAGACTAATCGGGGTTTCTTAAGATCTTGTTTACATGGCTTGCTTTTACATCTCGGTTGGTAGATATGCTACGCAAATGGCACCGCCACCGCGGCGTCGAAATCCTGGCGAAGGTACTTGGTACCGATCTCGACAAAAGCCAAAGATATAGCGATTAGATTTTCGTGTCTTTTCTATGTGACGTCACATCGTACTCGCATTCGAGTTCAAGTCCGCTCATTGTGCCCGAAGTAAGTTCCATTAGCTCACACGTCCGCAGTTCAGAAAGCGTCTTGCGGTAGTCCGTATACGCGACTGTACTGGCTGCTTGATTGAGCGTGCTTAACAAGGCAGGGAATTCCATAGTATACATGGTCTCAACTGGTTTTTAAGCTCGAAGATGCCGAGAACGCAAGTGCGATGAGGTTATTGGAGTCGTGGAAGGCCATATATTTGATCGCAGTCTCGCTTGATCAGCTTCAAGCGAATCTCCGCTTCAAACTTCTACCTTTCAAACATGCTTTTAAAAACACCAAATACAGGATAATTCAAGTCTATCGTTGAAAACTCCAAGCACATTGTTTGTACTATAATCAAGAGCCTGCGGTGCGCAGCAATTACACACGTGGATCCTCGTCTCCAGCATCGATCACTGGCGCTAGCCCACATTCAGTCGCAGTCCCAAAAGGTTCATGGCAGCCTACCGGTTGAAACACGAAATGGAATAGGTGGCATGTATTTACCCCATCTCCTGACCTATCTCGGTGTCTTTCGCAGCAGTTGCACATAGCCCCGCCGTGTCAGCCTAGCGATCGCTTGCACTGCCCTTTAAGGCCCCCCGCGAATCGACACGACGGCCAAACTGAATATATATATATATAGAATTACAACAGTTTGCAGAAGGACTTATGTACTTTCCACAAAGTTCTCATCTCACTTCATTTCTCACGTCGTCTTTCTTCGTGTTCCAAGTACGCGTTTCGCTTAGTTCTACAACATGGCCGGCCCGCTCCTCAACCTTACCATCTTCAAAAAGTCCACATTCCACGCACTCCGCGCCATTTCTCTAGTCGCCTTCCCGCCTGCCTTCATCATCCTGCTCATCCAAGGGATTATCTCTGGCGATGTGAACCCAGCCATCGGCATCTTGCCGCTCTTCTTCTCGTCTGCATTCTCGGCCCTACTTCTGGCCAATGAGAAGAAATGCGGTTGCCAGGCTTCCGGACTGACCGGGACGCCCATTCATTTGGTGTTCGATGTGTGTTTAGGCGTTGGGTTGTTGGTTTGCTTGATCCTGTGAGTTTGAACTCTTGCTGAGAAATTGTACCAAACATGTTGCTAAACTGCGATTTCTAGGGATTGGGTGTTCATGGATGATTCACACGGTGAATCGGGCATGGTCATGCTCGGTACCTACGGTACAAATTTTCTCATATGCAACTTGTAAGTCTATTTAGCTCCTTCTGCCTTTGCTACCGTTGTAGCTCCAGCTCATCTAATTATCTCAGCCTCATCCATTTATACTTCGTTGCGAGGCAACTTAGCGATGCTCTTACGCCGGGTTCGAGTTATCCAATGTCCTGCCCACAGTGTCAGAATGGGTCGTTCTCGGTGGGTAACATTACGCTTGGTCCTGGACCGCGATCTGACTATACCCCGTTGCTTGATGAAGGGGAACAGTCGAGGAACAGCGCAGAGGGAGAACAAGTTAATGGAAGTGCCTCGATTGTGTAAAACTGTCACATTCTGCTGTTATGTGCACATATGTAAAGTACGTAGAATATGTGTACACTTGCTTCTGCTAGCTGATAAGACCCCATCACTCAACTATGGCTTCCACATCTGGTAACTATCATATGAAATTCTTCCCTGCTAGACTTTCTTCTACGTGGCGAACCCAGTGCGCCTTTGCGACCATGCTTTTCAGCACCATTGAAGGATCAATCGATGGTCGAAACAGAGGGCGCCATTGACGTTGGTAGGGTCGAGGGTAGTATCGGTACAGCTGCTATTATCGTTACAGCCGGTACATACATATCTCTTAGTCTTCTTGCCCGGGGTTGATGAAAGACTGCGGCGTCCATGATTATTGTTTGGGTTCAATTAATAGAGAACGCATAGCCCTGTTCCCTAACCCTTCTTCATTTATCGGTGGATCGATTATTATCTTTGTCGTCCACCTGATCTCATGTATGGCAGGTGGACCGTTCAAAGCGAAAGCGTGCGAGTTATGTTGGAAGCAGAAGAGTTTATTGAAGGCAGATGAAAGTGAGTTTGATTTCGCTCGCAATTGAATGCTTTCGCTCTTTCTAGTCTATACCGTATACACCGTAAACGCCCCAATCGCCGTACCCAGTAGTCATTCATTATTCGTAACAAGTCTTGCTCTTTCATCTTGACTTTCCATATCTACATTTTGCTCACATGTCTTCACAATTTCTGCGCACCAAAGCTGACATCTATAGCGACGACCATGCTCGTTGAACTATCAAGAGTCGTTCGAGGGGCTGGTAGGCGTCGAGACGTTCGGTGTCGCAGGCGCCGAGTAGGACTGCGTTACTGGCTCGCATGCGTTGCGGTGCGTCTTCCAGTGTGACTTTTGGCAGTTCCTGTCGCAGTAGTAGGCCGACTTGCAGCGAGAGCAGCGGCGTCTGGCAGGTTGACCCGAGCATGTTGAGCAAGCTGTGACAGGTTAGTAACAGCTCCACGACAGCAACCTATGTGACATGAAGTTGATGCAGGTTGGGAATTCTAGAAGGGGTTGCGAATGAAAAAGTGGAGCGGGCCATGTGGGCCACCGCTAAATGTGGAAGGAGAAACCGGGTTCCTGCAGCAAGGCCACATGGGAGGACGTACGTTTGGAACTCAACGCCATGTTCATGCTTTCTGTGCTAGCCATGGGCCGCAGCGTGTTGAACATTTCTGCGCGATTGATGGCAGAGATTGGAGGGGTCCATTGGGGTGCTGGAGCTGAAGCGATCGAGCCTGATGAGGACCTTCGAGGGATGTCTGCAGTCATGTAAGTAACGCGTCAATAATGGATTTAAAGGCAGGAATTGGGGACATTGAGCATAGGGGAACGACATACCACTCTGCGCACTATCCCTCCTCTCCATGCCACCCGGAATCCCATTGTTCAAACTCCCATCGTCCCTCACCGCCGTGTCGCCAAGACTAGTCGTAAATACATTCAAGCACACGCTTCGGGGCGGCATATCCTCTCTTCGGCGTTGCAAAGTTCCCTTCCCGCGTCGATGTACCAGGTCGTGGAGTGTGAAGAATTAATTTGAAGGAGAGCGTCAAGTATTTGAAGGAAAAATGTCCCATGCAGCTCTCCCTAAAGTTTCTTGAAAAGCGGTGTGAGGTGTAGGCGCACTGATCGCAAGCTAGCCCCGGAACAGGCTAAGGCTGACCCGACCGCCTCAACGTGTAGCAACGCGCGGTCATGTGTCTCAGCTTTGGATGCAATCGTATCAATCAACAGCGCTGGAGATTAGATCTCGCTGGGAAATGGAATAGGGACGAGTTGATTCGTCTTCAGCAGCTTTGGCGAGATTTGACTCATTATTGCGCTCGTGGCGAGCTCTGTTTTGTGCGAGCGTTCGGGAAGTTCCTGGGACAAAGTTCCGACTGCTGCAGGTCCTGCAGCAATTGGGTGTGAAAAGGAAGCACCATGCATGATGCATGTGTAAACGGAATCGGTGAGCCTGCAACAAACTGTGGGGTAAGTGACCGACACGCGCGTGAGATATTCCAAGCTTCTAGCTGAAATGCGTACGTATTGCTTGTCATTTTCCCCATTCATGACCTGATGAGGAGATATTTCACAATGCCTTCTTAGTGCTCTTCTCAGATTTCTTGTACAGGCTGGAGGCGATTCGGCAGCATCTCCAGAGTTGATTCCGGTCAAGACTTGGGTGTATGAGATGTCTTTCAGCTGACTAGTACCTGCTGTTGTTGATGTTGTCAGCAACAGCCTTGCGCTGACGATCGTTTCAAGAAACCGGTGAACTTTGTCAGCAGATTTAGAATGTCACCAGCGGTCACTCTGTACGGCAAGAACGCTGGGGCTACATCGTGCGCGATGTTGAACGGCTATTGGATACAGTTTCGAGACAAGATTGGTGCGAAATGGAAGAAGCCCATCAACGCTGCGTAGTCGTAGCTTCTATGCAGCATGTAGATGATCCATCCCTGCGCCACTGCCACTTCAATACATATGGTACCATAACCAAGAAAGATTCTTTAGCCTTCAAATCTATACGATGAAATCTAATCGATCTAGAAGGACAGTTCTAGACTGATGTAGCAGTTAGATGTTGGATTTTTTAAGGCACCGCACGAGATGAGCGCGAGGCTCGTCTGTGGTATGTGCGGAGCAACAAGCCAGGTCGGTCATTCTAGGTGCCCGGATGACCCGATATTCAGAGCAATATCGTAATCAGAGTCGCACTCACTGTTTAGTCATACACTGGCCGTATACAGTGACAGATAGATGACGAATTGGCAGAAGTGGAAGTCAACCTAGAGATCCCGAAGAAGTGGAGAGGCGAATATCGGAGTCGACGAGGTTCCCAGTTCGTCGCTTTGAGTTAGCATAGGAGCTGTTGCCTAAACATTGCGCAACCGTGATAGGACCAAGGTGTAGTTCGGATAGCGGCAGATCTACATAGCGTCAGCGGACTACACGGATGGAAGTCGTTTCCACGCTGCTGGTAAATTTTCAATGTTTTAGGAGTCGTCGGCATAGTGCCAGAGATGATGGTACAAGGCAACTGAGACAAATACCGTGACTGCGGTTACGTACGACATATGGAGTTAAGCTAACATTAATCTCTGGGACTCCATGATTACGTATACGCTTTCTTTGCCACAACATGGTGTTAGTATGAAATCCGGATGTAAACGCCCGTCGGCTGGAAAGCTCGCAAGGCTTGAGAAGGGCCACCCGTAGGGCAGATGGCGGCCGCAAAGGCCGAGAAGTAGCGGAAATATCAGTCGTCTTGCTAGCCGCATAAGCCACCGGTGCAAATCTTTTGAGGATCCGCTGGTTTGCAGCGTTCGCAGCATGGGTGACCTCTACAGAGCCGCACTAGAAGTGACGGCCTTTAGACAAGCCTCATGACCGACTGTCAGCTGGTCTAGGGAGGGCCTAGGATCAGGGCCACAGCCACAGCCACAGCCATATTGACCTCTGAACTCTCTTGCAACCCGCGGGGCGGGCCGATGGCTGAATTGGAGAGGGAGTCATATCCTGGTAGCTAGAGACATGCTGTGAACTATCCGCATTCAGGACGTATTGACTCACCGACGGCAAAATCTATTGACTGCAGAAAGAGGAGAGAGGAATCGAGCACCGCAAGAGCAACGTCGTAGTTTGACCTTCAGGCAAAGGCGAAGATTGCGAGGGATAGTAGAGACATAGTAGATTGCGTCTTCATATCTACCATGCCGCGTTCCGCTCGATGGTGCGCAAACGTGCCACATGCCCAGATAGTACTGTAGAGCGTCGCTGCTGTGGAGCTTGACTGACGAATTATGGGGCCCCATAAACCGGTCAGACAGGAGGAGGAAGGCCGTATGGGAGTTAAGCAATACCTGGGTAGCGTGCATGGCGCCTGCAGCTCTTCGGCTAGCCTCACGCGCGAGTAACAGGGTGGGGATGATGAGTCTTCAACCTGAGGGCGGCGAACTGGACCTAATGTTTGCGCGCCTTTCTGTCTTTCTCAAGGGCGCATGGAGGGGCAGTGCCCGTGCAAGAGAGCGCTGTCTCCATGTTGCACCCGTCGGGCAGATGCATGCCAGCGCTGCAGAGTGCGGTTCGTCGGACCTGGGAAATTGCATTCGAGACGCCAACGTCGCCCATGGGTTTTGCGCCGTGAACAGCCACTCCACAATATGCAAGAGTGTCAGCAGCTGTGGCTATGCAGAAATATGGTGTTGCGGTGAGATTTCGAAAGTGCTGCGCAATGGAGGCGGGATGACCAGTGGAAAGACGACGCGCTAGTCCCAAAGGGGAGTGGCTAGTATCATGGCCCCAAGGCAGGCGCAGGCAGCAACAACGCCCACACCACTCAACACCTGCGAACGCGACGCCAGCCATGGGGCCCAGTGTCGAATCACCGAATGTCTCTCACGGCCACTGACCTGTCCTGTTCGGCGACGGAGCAGCAGCTCCCCCATGGCCGAACATGTTTGCACTCGCGCTCAGGAGTCGAGCGGGCGGCTGCTGGCACACGTCTTCGACGGTCAATCCACCTCCATCCGAGCCAGGAGGCAAAGCGCATAGGGCCCCGTCGCCAAATATAGCGCCCTTTTGCGACGACTACCAGCGACCTTCTGACTTGGGAGGATGCCAAACATGTTTCTAGCGCTGCGGCATCCACCAGACGTTTCGTCATGCCTGACCGCCCTGACCCCTGCACGCCGGCGTCGACTCCCCCTGCAACCCAGTACTAGCTCAGGCTTCCATCCCACCCCGGCTCGATGCGGCCTCCATATCGAGAAAGACATATATATCATCCGTGCCCACTCCTACCATGGCTTCTCCAAACCAACTATCCAGCACTGAACCGACGCAACACTTGCCTACTACTCCCTGTTGCACTCTGATCACCTCGACCCAAGTACACACTACATCTACGCTCAAGTCACCCTCACAAGCAGCAAGCGACTTCATCGCCGTCATTCCTCGCACGCTTGGCAATAACGTCACAACGGCCTCCCCACCGCGTTCCATCCTGAAGAACCCATCAACAACAGCGAGGATGCCTTCCATCCGCGCCAACATGCCCACCGTCATCCACGTAAAGCCCTCCACCTCCAAGAAGGAGCGAATGGTCGGCTTCCACAAGGATCCCGTCGCCTCTGTCTCGCGTCCAGTCAACACCTCAGAGAGCTGGCCTGCCTATCACTTTGAGATGCACGCTCGCAAGTGCGCCTACTGCCACAACCCCTATGAGGTCCACCGCAACCACGAACAGCTCTGCGATATTGGCCATCGCCTAGCCCAAGAAGTCACTCGCTTCATCTACAACAAGTCGGATGGAGAGACCTACTCCACCGTCGAGGAGGACAACAAGCCCGTCCGCGTTGAGATTCCGGCCGGCTACGTCGAAGTCAACGGCCTTTTGAAGGCCATCGAGCGCAGCCTACGTCACAGGTCACGCCAACCCTTCGTCTCCATGGACCGCAGCTACTACGTTGCTCCTCGCAAATCTCCCTCTCTCCCTCAGCGATCTCACTCTGTCAAGGTGGAGCAAGAGCCAAAAGCCAGGACCAAGGTCTCAAGACCGCGATCTGGCGAGATTGTGGACTGGCCGGAGACCAAGCCGAAGCGAGTACTTGCGGAGATCAGCAACACTCCCAACTCTAAGCGTGGCTCTCTGTACGAAGAGGATCTGGCCAAGCAGCGACGCAACGCAAAGCACTACGCTGTCGAGGTCCGCGAGCCAACAAGCCGCGACCTACGCGAACACCGCCTTTCCGGCTACTATCGATGAATAATCATTTAAACGAATCATGCGCTTTAAAAACAAAAACACCGGCAAAAGTCTAATACGCCAAAAACAACACACCCTTCCACGCCACGACGCTTGTGCGGATGCTGAAAAGCTCCGCGCCAATCCGCCACCACCGCTGTACTATTTCAGCTCGAGCAAGTTTGATCTTTGTTATGGTCCTTGTATGCTTTGCTTTCAGGAAAAGCTTTGCGCTGCTGTTTACCAAAGTCAGTTGAGTTTGGGATGGGGAGGAGACATGGGATGAGTAATGAGCGGGGTGGAACTTTGGTATGCCTCCACCCACGAGGTGTTGAGGGGAGGATGAGGGGCTCTGAAACGATGGGAATGAAGGATTAATTAGGATGGCCTCGAAAAGGGGAAATAGCTAGTCTGCGATACTCTGATTGAATAAATTCGAGAACATTGAACTTCGCATTACTTTGGCCTACATGACTTCATTCGTGATATCTGTTCCCGCTCAACACCATCTGCCACAACTGACTGCACACCAACACTTCCCTTGATGAGCTATCGAAACCCCTCTTTCACTATGCATTCTTCCAACACTGAATTCAACGCTACACCACTACCAACATGTCAATACACACTAACCCTCCTCGCTCTGAAACAGTCACACACAATGACTCCCACTCGCACCCGCTCACCCCATCCGCGCACACCCTCCAATCACCCACTCAATCACGCGCAAGCGAGCCCTGAGGCCCCTAGCACGAATCGCTACCACACTTGCTACCGTATCGCTTCGAGCCCCATCGCTCATGTGGCCCGGAATGTAGATCGCCAGTGGCCGAATACGAGGTAGCGAACACCCTCATTGCGCATTCAGACCCTGACGCTCCCTAGGGTGCGCAACCACCCTCCTTGTCATTCATCATCCCCTTGCGCACGAGCGGTACACCCTCAGTGCTTTTAAGCGCATGTCTAGCTGGTTGCTAGAGTGAAGTAAGCGCATTTTGCTATACACACGCGCGCAACTGCGCACAAAAGGCAAACCTGCACCTTCCAGGCTTGAAACAGTGGTTAATGCGAATTGCGCTTGGTTACTGTGCACCCTACGCCACAGTCTGACTTGCATTATCGTATTCATCATCGTCAGCAGCAGCAGCAGCATCATCAGCTTGTTTGGGTCCCCCTGTCGCGCATTCCAAGATTTTTGAGGGTTGCGTTTAATAAACTTGGCTGCGGCCGGGGCGGGGCAACCAGACATCCAGGGCAGACGTCAGGGTCCAGTGTGGCGGCTGGGCGCCTGTCATCAGAGTGTGCAGTTTTTGGAATAGGCAATAGATGATAGTGATGGGTATGAGAAGTTGTTATACTTGCTGCATGGTATGATGCGTGCGTTTATGGTGGTGTTGGGGAATGCATCGAGTGCTTGCGTGAGCAGTCGACACTTCGCCAGAGCAGTCGACACTTCGTCACCAGCCAGATTCCAGGGTCTTGCGATATTCGCCGTTTGAGATGCGACGATGCGCATCCTGGTCTTACTATGAATGTTATAATCGCCACCTTCTACGATATCTATCAATAGAGATGATCTTATTCAATGAAAATGATCTCATTCAATAGAGATGATCCACAGATCATGTTCATGCCAACCGTTATTTCGAGTATATTCTCCGCGAACCATACCAGGTTGCAATATTGATCCACTACCAGCTACTCGCAAGACATTATTGACAATGAATAGGATAATCCTTCAATGCTGTTGATCGTGTCTTCTTCCACTGCAGATTGTCGCCGGTATGCCGGAAACAACATTGTCCGCAACGACCCCAGATCTGACTCGTGCGACGAACACGTCGTTCCCTCCAGCAAGGATACCATGGCCGGCAGAAAGGACAATGGTCGAGGATCCGCAATCAAAACCTCACGATGCCCAAGTGCCATCTCGCTTCATTCCTACGCGGCGCTGATCGATTTGCATATCGCTGCCTAGACGGGATGAGGTATGGAGGGATCGTCGACAATGTTTCCTCGCAATAGATGCAAGACCGAGTTGCCACCTAGTTCGAGGCGACGAGTGAGGTTGTACGCGTAGGAGGTTTTCGGTGCCATTCTTATCGTGTGTTGAGGATGTTCGTCATCGCTATCAGGTGTCAAAGAGGTCGCTCTCTGCGCGGTCAATCGGGCCTATCCAGCACCCACTAGACTTCAAATGCGTATCGCATTTTGCTCGTGGAATGAGTGTAGGTTCGAAGAACAAGAGCTGGTGAACATTCAAGGGGCAAAAGGTTGGATTCCTTCGTCTCAACTGCCAACGCTCAATGCCCCGCAGCCCCTCAACTCCATACTCGCACCACGCCATTCGGGCGAAGGCCCAAGTGACTTGCTATTCCTCAGGCTATCAAATCGCGCACTACAGATGCCAACTGTCATCCCATTGCGCCATCTCCGCATCAGGGAGCAAGGGCATTCCCAGGTACGCTCTCTAGCGAACAGCTTGCGCGCCGTTAACCGTACGACCCCGCTACCATCAAATCAAGTGAGTGGCCCGTAATGTCCTCGCTGTTCTAGCGAAGCGAATTCGCAGGGATGGCGATTCAATCGTGCATATTTTCCGGTGGAGCTTCACCGACTTCTCAATACCGCTGCTGCACGTACATGCACCTTCGTGCAGGCTGCTGCATGCGTTGCAGCCTCACCGGTCAAGCCCAAACTCACCACTTTGAGGTTTCGAACCGAATACATAGCGACGATCGTCGGGCTTGCCCGCTGCCATCTTTTCCCCTTTGCGCTTCTAGCAGGCTGCCAACGCACTGGCAATTAAACTACCCGCAGGTTAAGTTCCTGGAGAAGACTACCGGCGCTGCATTGCTGCCATCAACCGCTTGTTCGCTCTACCAGGACCCATCTTTTATCTCTCCTGACTCCATCCTCTATTGCACTTCCCCACATGCTAAGATGCTGAATTCCACTGCCGCGCTGTTCCGATGCCACATCACGCTTGCTAGCCAGGTCCAGCTCCCAAAGCACCCGACCCAAGTCGTCCTCGCGGGGCCATTGCTCGGACAAAAGAGGATGATCGCTGCACAAAGTCCAGGATAGTACAGTTTCGCATACTGGCAGAAAAAAGAGATGGCATTGGTCAATTGCAAAATGAACGCGTTTGCGGGCATGGGCAGTTTGGCGTCGAGCTGCGGCAGGACAGGTGAGGCGCAGCACAGGGCTGAGCGCGAGAATGGTTCAGCCACCCGTTCGCACGTGAGGTTATCTATGCGTTGACGTCGGAGCCGATGCCCGGAGATCGGAAGAGCTGAAGAGAGGAAATGAAAAATACGAGATGCGATATTGTTGAGGGCATGTTGGGCAAAGACGCGATTGGCTATCATCGATCGCAAAGACAAATGTGGAAATGACATTTGAAACATATTGGGGGCCATTCCACGTGCGCGAACCGCCCAGCCCTATCCCGAAATAGCACGCTCTCGAAAAGTCTCGCGAGGATCACTGCGCCGCTCTCAGATCTGTTTCGACACCATGTTCATTAGATTCTACCAATTGAGCGTCGTTTTTCTGCCAAACATGGGTTCAGGTACTGACGCAGGTACTGCGCCAACTTCGCGTCTTCCGATCTGGTTGATTCGTCTGAGGCTTTCGATAATCGAGCAAACAGAAACAGCCTATATTTGGTCGGGGCTGGGAAAGTATGTGGAAAACTTAGGCGCGTCGAGCGCAAGCGTAGTAGCGTGTCGGTTTTGGGAGGAGAAGAGTACGGCTGCCTTACTAGCAACTGTAGGTAGGATAGTGGAAACGTAATAGGAAGAAAAGGACAGAACCATCGTCAAGAGGGGCAACTGTCAAGGAACCCACCTAGAACGCCTAATGGACTTGACCCTTGGGAAATGCGTGCTTTACGCGAGCAATGGCTGCGATATTGACTCTCAATGCAAACGCCAAAGTGCATCATGTTCACCCCCGGCTTCCAACGTCTCGTTCACTTCAACGTTGCAATCTTTTACGACTATCTTAGTGTTTTTGTGTTGATCATCTCAACACCGTTCTGATCTTTCGCCAAGGACGCCATCAGAACACACACACCCAGTTGTATCCTCCATGTGGTATTCGCAGCGTTCTTCTCATCTACATACATATCTACCTCGCTCACATTGCAGCGAAACCGAACCTCTTCAAGTCCAGCCAAGAACAAGCGGAGCCCCAAGCAAGACCTAATTCAATTATCCACCAATCACGAGTATCTCAAGAAAGCGACGCAACAAAACGATCCCGCGCACCTCAACGCTTCCTTCAACCTACATCAACTTCACTCTACCAAATACACCAGAAACAAGGAATATTCAAACGCAAAAATGGCCTCCAACGCCCTTCTCGACTCGCTGCGAAGCGCAAACCTCCTCCCCTCCAAGGTCATCCCAGAAACCTTCACCCCCACCTTCAACCTCACTGTCAAATTCCCCTCCATATCACCAGAACACGGAAGCTTCGCACGCGTCAGCCAAGTCAAAGAGCAACCCATCATCTCCATTACATCCACAACTCCCGATGCGTCAGCCCAATCCTTCACATTCCTGCTCATCGACCCGGATGCGCCCACGCCCGATGACCCCAAGTTCAGCTACTGGCGCCACTGGGTCGTGACCAACATTCCTTCCCCTTCTTCCTTGACGTCGGATATCATCCAATCTGGACGCACGTTGACGCAGTACCTTGCTCCTGGGCCCAAGGATGAGAGCGGTCCGCATCGGTACTTGTTTCTTCTTTTCAAAGAGCCTGGGGGTTTGAAGTTGGAAAAGGCGGATGTGGGGGGAGAGGAATTTGTGGATAGGAGGAGTTTCCCTGCCGCGGAGTTTGTTGCTAAGCATGGCTTGGAGTTGGTAGGGTTGCAGTGGATGAGGGGCGTTGGGGATGGGTGGAAGGAGAAGAAAGACGAGTTGTGAGGAGTTGTATTGGCTTGTGGAGGTCGGATTGATATGATGATATGGTTGTGAATGTCAAGCAGGCTGAGCTTAGAGGTGGGCATCAGATGGCGCAGCGTAGTTTGCACGTAGCAAGAGACTTATGGTGCTGAGCTAGTGAGCTTCATATACTTCTGATCGAATTCCGCTCCTTATAGAGTCATGCTTCGAGTTACTTCCAAGCACTCTCTTTTTTCATGGTAAACTCCTCGACGGTACAAGTGCGACTGCTGAAGAGCCTGCGGACGGCCTCCGGGGGCTGGAGGATCTCAAATCATATCTACGGTCTAAATCAACTGCTTTGGATGGCTCCAGAAGGGTGTCAATGGTTTCTGCGTCTGTAGTTTGAGCGGGCCTAGACGTTATCAGGCGCAACGTGGATTTCGTTTCTATTTGATAGAAGATGCTGACTGAGTAAAGCCTGTTAATTTGTCTCTTGCTAGCCATTGAGAATGTTCCTGACAAACAAAACGTGGGATTATCAACTTCATCCTCAGTGTCCAGCGCTCACGATGCTTTCGCCCTACTCGCAGTCAGTCTTGTCCGGCTCGGCCCGAAAGGATCATGCATCTCGCCGCTTGTTTGAAAGCCCCTCAATACTCTGGCTAGATCCATGTATACATCGCTCAGCGGCCAGCAGCATGTCATCGCTGGGGAGCACATATATTCCTCTTGCAATTCCTTTGAAGTACGACGCTTTCCTAATCCTTTCTCTTTCTGGTACGCGGCGATAGAATCCTCCAATATAAGGCGTAGCTCCGTGTCCAATCCGAGAGATTGAACAAGTAAAACATGCGATGCTAATGTATCACCTAGGTCCGTGCTAGTCGACGATAGCATCCAAAACTCGACCAGCGTGCTTTCTGGTCCACGGCAACCTTCAACACGCTTGTACCGGCCTATGACTTCTAGAACAAAGTCAAGATTTATACCCCAGTCTTGGACAGGCTCCAACACGGTCTTTTTGATAAGATCTTTATCCCGCCCACGGACTAAGGGCCAGCGACCATAACTCAGATCCTTCTGTAGGTCTTGAATAAGAGCGGAGAGTTCTGTGATCATGGCTCTACCTTTGTCATTTGCGACAGAAGAGGAATCATCGGTACATGAGAGGTCGGCCCAGTCAGGATTGATCTTTATTAAGGCTTTTTTGAGTTCCTGACAGTCTGTCGAGAATGTGACAGCTATTATTTCCATGAGGAACGAGAAGAGTCGGCTGCGTCTTTGATATCTGCTCTGATGACTGACTTCGGTCAAAAGTGGATAACTGGTATTGCCGTTGGGTAGGGAATCTTTGCTGTCGTCTTTTGAATGAACATCGGTATATTGCGGCGGTGGTGTGGCGGGTATTTCATCTCCTCGTTCTTCTTGTACAGTCTTCTCAGATCCATCAACGCCTGTTCTTGTTCGCTTTGAATTCTGCCAGATGTTCTTGAAAAAATTATATTTAGTCATTGTTGGACTTGGTTTTTGGTCAGGCGCTGGACTTGAGATGGCGTTCGATGTGAAGTTCGATAGTTGGAGTGATGTGAGCTAGCCGGCATACGGATCAGCACAAGATATACTGCTAGAGCCAGCTCAGCTGTGTGACCAGCTGATTCTTCTTGCGACCAAGATTAACTTTGAAATGAAATGGGTGGCCCACATGCAAACCTTGGTCCTAATCTGGCCCGAGATCACCTGAGCAAAGAGCTAATCAAGCTTTATAAATCTTTGTATGTGGATCTCAGTACGCGGAAAAGAAACAGTAACAGCACTTTCTACGTTATATAATTGGTCCTGAGCTCGAGTAACCAGGTTCTTCAAGACATACATCATCAATCTCTCAGGTGTGATTAGCTCAATGCGTGACCTTGGGCCAGATTAGGAAAAGTTCTTGGTTAACTTCGCTAGCTAATACGGTACCGCATAATCTCAAACACCTCTTTTGTCTAGGCCCAATTTGAAACTAGATGTTACCAGGAGTAGATAACCAGAAGGCCAAGTAGGATAGACGACTGGCTTCCGCAGATTATGAGTGAACGGACATGATCTTCGGATCATCTCTATTGAATGATTGAACGATGATGCAGAACCTCTAGGCAACCTCCATTAAACTGCCCTGGTTTTCACGTTCAAAAGACTACATTGGCTCAATATTATCACGTAGATCTTGATTTGTTGTTCGCGAGAGAACTAGCGGCCGTGAACCACCGCACAACGGCAGCTGGAAAATCACGGGATCCCTGCAGGCGTGCGTTTGACCCATTCTCTGCTGGTGATCCATTGTCGACAGAGTGATCTGCAATTGAGCAAGGGTACGACTAGTACAGCGGTCCGTAGCCTCATAGGAATGGAAGCTACCTTTTTCAGATCTGTATACTGGTTGTACAGCATTTGACGTAGTGTGCAAATAAACCGTACTGGAAAGAAAAACTTGTTCAAGTGGATTCTCTTTACACCCCCCACGTCACTCGTCCACGTCAAAACACCTCCGCCTTCTCCTCCTCTTCCCTACTACCTCCAACACCCCTAATCCTAACTCTCAACCCCCCCTTCGGCCCCGCCGTAATCCCCCCCTGAATCTTCAACTCATACGCCTGATCCTCAAACTCCAACTCAAACCTCCCCACCAAGCTCGCCACCAGACACGCGAACTCCGCCTTTGCAAAATCTTTCCCAATACAGCTCCTCGGCCCATGCAAAAACGTCGTAATAGCATAGTTTGATTCCGCGCCGCCCGTGTTGGCACGCCCGGAACCAAGCCAGCGCTCGGGGTTGAATTCGCGCGCGTCGGCGCCCCAGAGGTGTACGGATGTGTTGATGGCCCAGGGGCAGATGATGATGGTTGTGCGGGCGGGGATGAAGTGGCCTTGGATTGTAGTGTCTTTTGCTGTTTCGCGGAGGGTGAGTGGGACGGGTGGGAAGATGCGCATTGTTTCCTGCAACACGGCGTTGAGGTAGGGTAATCTGTCGATTTCGGCCGATGAGATCTGGCTATTGGAATTTGACAGTGCGGGGAGTTCTGTGCGGATTTCTTCCCGTAGGCGTGTTTGTACGTCTGGGTGTTTGCAGAGGAGGTAGACGGCCCAGATTGTGGCTGACGCGGTGGTTTCGTGGCCGGCTGCGAGGAAGGTCATGAGTTGGTTGACGAGGTCTTCGTCGCTGAAGCCGCCGGATTCCATGGCTACAGAGAGGATATCCGTGCCTATGTCGCCTCCCTTTTCGAACGTTGTGCGCTTTTCTCGGATCAGATCTCTTGCTACTTTCTTGATGGTGCTGACGGCGTTTCCGATCTCGTCGTTGCGTTTCAGAGGTAAGTTCACCGCTAACCAGTGCGGGAGCATGCTTAGAAGCAACTGGACAAGCTGGGCGTAGCGGTTTCCAGCGAAGATTTGTCGATATGTTGCGTTCAGCTCGTTGGCTGGATTTGTCAACGAGTCAAAATCTCGGCCCATTCCTGCTACGCCGATGATGTCGAGCGTTGCGCGCGAAGCCCAGTCGCGGATCTCAACTACTGACGATGCATCCGGACTGTTCTTGATAGCCGCTGCTATTCCATTCGTCATCTCTTGCGCCTTGCTCCAGAATATCGGGTACAAGTCCTTGACATGTCGAAAGGAGAAAGCTGGCATCAACATCTTTCTTTGACGCTGCTCGAAATTAGTTGACCATTTCCTGAATGTCTCCCACACGAAATGCATACCTTGTGCTCATCGCCCTCGGCAAGCAGAATCCCTACACCAAGCAACCTCCCAAGGCCATTCCGAAGTCTCTCAGGCTTAACAAAGTCATAACTCCGCTGCACAAGCACCTCGCCCAAGGCTTTCGGATTCGTCACCAGTACCCTTGGCTCATTAAACAGCCATCGATAATACAAAACGCCATCATTTGGCACGGTATCAATCCAATCTCTCTGCGGCTCACCACTCGGATCCTTGAATATCCGCCTGAAATGTCCTAGGAGAACATGGGCATCCTAACAAGCGACGCCGTCAGTGATGATTTCAAAAGATTCATCCCAATTCGTGCTCGCTCGGCATCCAGACTTACCGGCGGCTGCGGCAAATGACGCAAGGGGCTGAGAAACAGCGGATACAAAATCACACTCCAGCACAACTGCGCAAAGATTCCGAGCAGAAACAGCGTCGTTATATTCCAGAAGTAGCTGCGCGGGAACAGAGCGACTTGCGGCGCATAGCGAAAGCTGAAAAACGTAAAGGCTGCGGACGAGAGGAGGAGCGCGCGCTTGGGGATCGCCATTGTTTGGTACGTCGTATCGATAAGGCGACCTGGGAGAACCACGCAGGGGCAGGGTGACAGCTGGTGACAGACAGAGAAATTAGAAGAACAAGAAGAAGACGCAGAAAAGAGAGAGCAATTTGTAGACAAGGAGTGGTCAGGCTATGTAGTCGAACGAGGTGGCCACACACGCGTCGTTTCAAGCTTCGATATACGATACGCTATACGACGGCATACGGAACCGGCCTAGCGCCCTTCCGTCAGGCGGTGCGCGGCGCAATCGTTCTTGCCGCGTCTGTGCACTACTGCCCAATTACTGCTGCACATTGTCATCTATTCCTCCGCTTCATGCTAGCGCTGATTCGTGCGTAGGTTGAGGTGAGGATGCGGACGAAAAAGAGGCTATGGGTATGATGATGCAGAGGTAAGGATGTGGTGTGTGTTGGTTTGGTGGCTACGGCTTTGCTTGGTTCCGAAGGCGTTAGCCTTGCGAGGTGTAACGCCACGAAGAAGAAGGCCATACGTAGGACGAGTGGCCTTTAAAACGAAGCAACGATACGTGTTTGGCTGGCTTGCGGTTTTACGTCGGATGGCGTATCTGACGTCTGGTATAAACATCGTGAGAGTAGTATCCGTCAGGATATCTTCAGTGTTTACCGTTGGGAGGATTTTGGTGCAAGAAGCATGCATTTCGAAAATGCAAGTAAATCATAACGTATATTCATAGTAACATTGAGTACGTAACTTCTCCATCTGCGCCGTACGAAATCGCAACAGCTGCAACGTATTGAGACACCTCGTGGTTAAACACAACGAGGAGATCACATCAAAACTGCTACCGCGGTAGCACCTACCCCTACTCCTTTACAAACCACCATCTGCGTAGATCGCAGTTACCCCGCTATTTGCTTTTTGCTCGACGTTCAATCAAGTCTTCGAAGTTCCCCACCGTGTTCGACCAACTCGTTTGGAATGACACTCTCCAGCTGCTTGGGTCGGACTCGGAATGAGGCTGAATGAAAATGGCCGAAGCCTACGTTCGAGACCTCTACATCTCGATGTGTCTTACTATCGCACCGCCTAGGCGGGCATCTCTACAGGCATGTTTACTTGCGTCTTCCCACTGTATCGTCATCACCATCGCTCCTTCCAGTCGCTGTAGCCGAATCCTCCTCAGCGGGCGTGATGTCAATCAACGGCGCGCTGTTATCATCATTGCATTTTGTCGAGGGCGCCTTGGAGGGTGCCTTTGAGTTCGCGGCAGACATGTGACCGGCCGTCTGCTTCGTCCAGAGTTCATTATATTTCCCACCCATGACTTCCAGTAGCTCATGATGGCTTCCTCTCTCAATGATCTGGCCTTTCTCAATGACGACAATCTGGTCCGCCTCAACAATGGTGCTGAGACGATGCGCAATCACGAAAGTCGTGCGGCCTTGGCTGAGCTTGCGGAAGGCTTGTTGAATGAGTGCTTCGATGGAGGAGTCGATGGCCGATGTTGCTTCGTCTAACAGCACGATCTTGGGATTCTTGAGCAGCACCCGGGCAATGGCAATGCGCTGTAGCTGACCGCCAGAGAGTCTGACACCACGCTCACCGACCTTGGAATTATAGCCGTCTGGGAAGCCAATAATGTCATCGTGAATCGCAGCAGCGCGACAGGCATCCTCGATCTCAGCATCCGTAGCATCGAGCTTTGCATAGCGGATGTTCTGCCGAATGGACTGGTTGAATAGGACAGGATCCTGGGGAACGAGGCCAAGTGCATCTCGCAAACTCGCTTGTGTGACGGAACGCAGATCCTGTCCGTCGATCATGATGGAGCCTCCAGTAACGTCGTAGAAACGGAAGAGCAGCTTGAGCATCGTCGATTTGCCGCCACCCGTCTCTCCAACGAACGCAATCGTCTGTCCACCTCCTGCTTTCAAATTCACGCCCTTGATGATAGGCTTTCGCTCATCGTAGTGGAAATCGACGTCCTTGAACTCTACCTCTCCGGTGTGAACTACAATGTCTTTGGCGCCTTCTTTATCAGCCACGGCGGGCTTGGTATTTAGTAGCTGAAGTAGACGCTCCGCATCGATCAGAGAACTCGAGATGTGCCGGTAGCTGTAGGACAAGACATATAACGGAGACGTCATGGTATGCCAATACATGATGAGCGTTACGAAGTTTCCAACAGGTTTCCGCCCAGTGACGATCTGCGACATGCCGAATATGCAGCATCCTGCGAACCCAAAAGTCGTCAGTAGATCCTGCAGTGCGTGGCCTCCCATAGATCGGAAGTAGTACGTGTATTGCGCCCGAATGGTGTTGATGATGTTAGATGCATAGCGATCATGCTCAAAAGCTGCGCGGTTGAAGTAAGCCACCGTTTGCCAGTTGTGCACGGTCTCGTTGACCGTGGAGCTTTCCATGCGTTGCTTCTCAACATAATCTCTGCGCTTGGGCTGAGAGAGTGTGGTAAAGTACCACCCGATGGTTATGTATGCAGCTCCCATGAACAGGATGATGAACGCCATGTAGGCATCAAACAAGTGCGTGACATAGTACATGGCCACGACGAGATCCAGAAGGATCGGGCAGATGTCGAACAAGAACATCTCGATGAGCGAATTGAGAGACGAAGCCTGCTCTACGGCTTTTAAAACCTCACCGGAGTCTTTTGAGGTATGAAAGTCCATAGACAAGCCCAGGACGTGCCTATAGGCTAGCAGAGTGATGCGTCGATAGGCAGAGTTGGAGATGACAAGATTGGCCAGCCCATCAATAACACCAAGACCGGCATAACTGTTGATGTAGCTAAACAAGACCCACAGCATGATATCTTTCCAGGGCATGACGCCGTCTTGTTTCTGCAACTTGTTCGTGATTATACCAAGTTGTCGGGGCGTAAGTAGGTTGAGAAATCTTTCCTGGATCACGTGGAGGAGCCGCAGACCAAGGCAGCCCATGACTTTCCAGTCATCCTTGGGAAACAAGTACGGCAGGAAGATTGCAAACCCCTTGAGGTATCCGAGCCACCCACCTTCCTCTTCGAGACGCTTTGCCTGCTGCTCCTTGATCTCTTTGTCGCTGTCGGTTGGCTCAGCCTCGTGATCGCTGGAAACTTCCTGTGCAATAGCGCCATAAGTGCTAGTGTCGGGTTGAGTTGCTGATCCATTCGTCTGCTTTCCTAGTAGCGATTGGCGCTCCTCGTCTGAGCTCTTCTCCTTCTCCGCGTGCTTTGTGATCAAGATGACGAATCCGTCGAGCATCAAGAGAAGAGACGCAAGTGCTCTGATGCAATCGATGACAAAAGGCACGTTGCTCGAACGGGCCTCGACTGGGATGGAAAAGGCGCTCATGAGGCAGGTCGTGGTCTCGAGGGCGAATTGCAGGGTGAATGCGCCAAAGTAAGGATGCCATCGCAGGGACTTGCTCGTCCATAACGAACATATGAGAGGGCTCCACACTAGTATGGAGCCTAAGCAGCGGACTGCCGCAGGTTCTGGCGCTTCGTACTGCCAATCCGCCATGGACCGGCTGAAATAGTAGAGAACTTCAGTAACATAGGAGAGAAGCAGTGCAACGGTCAACGCTAATACACCCCGCCGCCTCTCATGTGATATTGGCTTTGACTTTTGCAAGATGCACAGGCTGAATGCGCAAGCTCCGAGGTAATAGAAGCCTACGGTAGGGGCATGCATGTAGTCCAGAAGCGTCAATGCTGGAGACAGCACTGCGGGCGCGCGAGCATCGGCCATGGTCGCGGGTGATGTTGGCGGTTCGTACATTCGTGGTTGGTAAGGGTATATGGTATAGATACAAGAGATAAAAATAAGGTTGGTGTGAAGCGGAATGTATGTGACCAGTGGTGAGCTTGCCGGTGCTGCTTTATTCTTTCAGCGTCCAAAGTGAGGCCTGCGACAAGGGTAGCCCAGTGTCCTCGAAGGGTTAGATAGAGGCCGCTTAGATGATGGTGTTGGTGCCTGGTGGATGGATATGGCGGTCGCGATGGCTGGAAAGGTCGGCCAAGCCTGCCTGAAGCTACGCTATATGTTTGATTGTGCAGCGCCACAGGGTTCGCTCTTCTCCGCCTGGGCAAATGCGGCAGAAGAAAACGAGACTGCTGCAGCGAATAAGCAACGCCAAGCGCAGTTGCAGCGTTGCAGTAAAAGGTGTCTATACTAGGTTCGAATTTGATGTGGTAGGAAACGTTGCAGAGCTGACGTCGTCGCGGCGGCTGCCTGATGATGAGTCTTCGCCAGCTGAATGCCTCCGTACGCACAACTGTTTGCCACGAAACGACTCAAGGTAGGCCAGATGCCTGTAGGTGTTGAGAGCTGCGCGACCCGACAGCCCCGTTCTGCGCGTGCGCGTCACTGGCGCGAGATATAAATTGAAGAGGCTGCGAACGCGTCGGCTAGTGGTACGGTAGAGGAGCGAGCACCTGCATGACTGCGTCGGCCGTGCTGATGTGGCTGGAGCTGGGCCTCGCGACTTATTCTTACCGCCAACCGGCAGTCCTCCCCAGCTGCACTATTACTGTGCGAGTCCGGGGTAGGCCCAAATCCTAGTCATGGAGTCGCTGTGACTCGACAGAACCCCATCAGCTCGCATCGTCGTGCTTGCCCATCATCGCCAAAGGGCGGTGGTTGAAAAGGACGCGTAGCCATGTTGACACGAGGAGTCACTCCATCGACATTATGGATCCTATTGCCTATCCCCCTAACCAGGTGAGATGTCCTGCTATTCATGGCTGGTTGATTAGCACGAGCACGCGACGTCTCTTCAATGTGTTGACTTTCTTTACAGCATGTGGCTACCAAAGATAGTTGAGACCTAGGTGCATTGCCGTTGTACGTCAAGACATCAACGGGAAGTATAGGTAGTTTATCTACCAAAGTAATAGCTCAACAGGCAACACTGGGGCGTAAGCGCTTTTAACACCTTAATTCCAATCTACAAATTGTGCTATTACGATTCGCACTGTAGAGATCTAACAACTTCACCCCTATCTCTTAAATCTTTATAGATTACCAACCAATACGAAGCATAGACGTATGCAAATACGGCGATTCAAGTTCAGGAGTTATTGCACACCACTCCAACCAACCCGCCTCGTCATTTTGCTGTACCAGCCAATCGCACTATATCGAACCAAAAAGCAATAATCTCTGCCAGTACTTCTGCACGCCTTTTCATTTAAAAAATCGCAAGCACGGAACACCATCGTCTGTGCATTCTCCCCATTACGAGCTTGAAACACGTCTATAGTACACTCAAGCCTCTACACTCACCACGCTCATACCTCCACCCAACTTTCTCTTTCCCTTTTCAGCACCCCATATCACAATGCCATGTGCAAACAACGTCCATGCAGCTCGTTTGACAACTACTGTGACACGATCACCGGTAGCACAGAGAGGCGAAACACCAAAGTGAATGAAAGGATGACAGAGAGAGTCCATGACTCCAATGACCAAGGAGATGTGACTGCACCTGTTGCCCGCACGAGACACCCCACACGTATAAAATCCCGTTCAGCATCTTGCTCCGTTCGTTCTGTACATGCATCGCTTGTAATTCACAGTCGCTTCCTTTGTATATATATTTATCAGACTCATCCTGCAGACATTACCGGCTCTTTACGTTCGCAACTACTCCTCACGGACCGAAGCCCTTAGGTTCTCTCTCTACCGTCCCGCTGTACAGGTGAGTGGTTAGATATCCAAGGTGAAGCCTAAAACTGAACCTCGTAGCTCAACTCAATAGAACTATAGCAATTCAAGGTCACCCCGGGCTTCCCTGACTGATATAAAGTCGTTCACCCGCTATCCAAGCCCGCTATCCTCTACGAGTGACCAAGCTCCAAGCACAAACCACCTCAGTCAAACCGTCCGCACTCGTTCCAATCGACGTCTCACCTCGTACCCCTCACAACTTCTCAGTAGGCCAAGACTCACCGTACCCACGTCCATTCGTTTGCTAGTTGGCTGGCCCCACCGCAACGAGTCGGATTGGTATTTATTCTCAAATCACCAGCGTCTATTTTCCAATATTCCAGGACGATTGCAAATACCCTCCACCTCCTTCGTTGGACAGGGTCATCAACCTCACCCGCAATGGCCCCTCGCTCCACCTCGACCTCCACCCCGCCCAAGCAGGGCTCACCCTCTGCCTCGATGGACCCTCCCGCAACCCCAGGCCCCAGGTCCTCTACCACCCCAGCGCCAGCAACGCCCAGAAGCCGCAAGCGCAATCTCCCTCCCGCAACTCCAGGGCGGTCCATCACCTCGCCTTTCCCGTCACGTACACCTCGTACACCCGGCGGAACAGTCACTTCGTGTACGTCTGACAACTCTCTGTTCGCTCTTGTGACTGTCCATACTGCAAAGTGCACCGAGTGTGATCAGCGCAATAAGGACACTATGCGGCGCTGCCCAGGCTGCACATTTCAAGTGTGCAAGCCGTGCTATGAGCGGAGGGAGAAGCAGGGTAGAGGATTGCTGCATGGGAATTTGATGAGTGGCGGCGGTGGCACACCGACGACGCAGCGCACAGTGCGGAAGAAGCCAGTGGCGACCACGCCAGGCGGTCGAAGTGTCAAGGCTGAGGTTGAGGCTAAGAAGGAAGAAGTGGCCACAAAGGCTGAAGCTGAGGGTGAAGTAAAGAAAGTGACCGAGAGGAAAGAGAAGGCAGCGCCTGTGCCCAAGTTGGCGGCGAGCAAGAAGCGTGCGGTGCGGAGGAAGCTTATGGTCTTGGACTTCTCCAGTGAGGAGTCTTCCGACCACGACGATACTGACTTTGTATCTGACTCGACGTCCCCGACGCCCAGCAAGCGTCGCCGCACAGCTCTCAGCTTCGACGGTGCCGCTTCACCCGCATCATCGTCTACCACACGCGCAACCCGCAAACCACTCCCTACAGCAGCGATGCCCACTAACCGCACTGCCAACCTAGCTAACACAGGGGCGCCCCTCGATCCCCCAGGATCCACAGGCAGCTTCAGGTCGAGCGAACTCAACGAAGATGATATCCTACACCTGTACGGTGTCAAAGGCTACGACGAGCCATTGCTAGGTCGCCGCCAACCAGTCATGTCGAACCCCGTGATTGAGATTCCCGACATCGTGAAGCGCAACTTCAAGCCGCGCCCCACGCAAGAAGAGATCCACAAGAAGCTACAGGAGAACACCCTAAAGCACATGGAGGCGCAGTGGGTAAGTAGTGGTTGAATGAAACAGAAGCTTGCGGCTGTAGGAGAGGAGAGACTGACAGGATGTAGAAGAAGGCTGAAGAAGAAGCATACTTGTACACCGTGCGCGCATTCGTCGAGAGGGAGGCGGCCAAGCACCGAGACGACGTTGCCATGGATGAAGATGAGAACGAGGCGCTGTTCTCTGCCGTCAAGGAAGCAGGGCGCAAGTGGAGCAATCATACCTACAACAAGTTGGACGTGGCGACACAGAACCTGGTGAGGCGGGGCTTGGATATGCGTCTGGACAGGATCGACGAGAAGTACAAGGCGGAGCTTGCAACGCTGCTGTCCGATTGCGCTGCTCGCAAGCTGCAGGAGCTGGCTCAAGACAGCGCTCCTTTCGCGGCGCCGAATCCGGGTCGAGTGGCCGGGTCCAAGTAATTGTGGTAGTTGTAGGTCATCGATTGTGCGATTGTGTGAACGCCTCCACGCTATCCTTTTACAACACATTTCAACTCCAGGAATAGTAATCTCAGGTTGGCAGATGACATGTCACGTTAGCCGGCCATGTACCTGCTGTGTTACGATGTCTGTTTGTAGCACAGTGGGCGGCATCTTATTCTTCCTTTGTTCCTTCATATGTCAAAGTCTGTTTGGGGGTCATGGTGTGTGGCGCCTTTAGGTGGCTTTGTGTAACGAAGGCTTTCTGTGTAGCATGCTGCACCGATATCCATATACAGCCTGAAGTTGAGCTTTAGTAACTATAGCCCATCGTATGAATATCAAAGACTTGATTGAGACAACATCAGCTTGACGTGTGATATGATGCAATTTGAGTGATGTTTTCACATGTCAGCTTGTAGGGAGTCGGGTACTATCGAAATTCGTGGGGCAAATCTGACCGTGAAAGGGAGTAAGCAAGACACATGTAGAGGGATGAATAGAGGGATAGTTTCCGGTGAGATGAATTTGGAAGCTACTGACAAAAGAGGAGCCCGCCCGAGAGAAAGTGCGTAAAGACAAGACTGAAAATATTATGGGTATCTGAAAGAAGCGCGGCTAATGCAGGGTGGAACAAGCAAAGAAAGGAGGCAACAAGCCTTTGCTCCCAACGACATAGGCAAGCGTGTCACCGCGGCTGCCACTACGCCTATCGAGCACCAAATTGGATTGTCAATCTGCCCTGCGCGGGCTTGACTTGCGCCAGCTCGTCCTCGCCTTGGTTGCCGGCCGCGTTCTCTAGCCACGCTGCCTCATCTTCATCATTGTCTGCTGCACCTAGCGAGGCGGGACGGTTCCGTAGCGATCGGAAGCGTTCATTGAAGAGGTGGGCGTATTCGTCGTTCTTGGGCGGCTGCTCGGTGACTTCGGGGAGAAGGTTGGATTGTGAGACGGGGATCAGTTGCCTGCAGCAAGGGATGAGCATCATGTCCCAACTGGGATGGGAGGAAAGGGGCGGCTTCGCCGGGGGAAAATAGCAACAGGAAAGGAAGCAGCAACGGGGCACTCACTCTGACGTCTCGGCACAGATGCGCTCCAATGTCTCGCGCTGGCGACGCAGCTCTTCAGGATCGGGCTGGGGCACGTTGTGTGTGCCGTTGGCTGCGCCGTAGTTGGGCTGATATTGGTCTCCGAGTAGATGTTCTCTGTCTGATTGCTGCAAGGGAGCGTCAGCAGCTACAGGAAGAGAGCAATAGCGTCTCAGAAGGGAAGATAGGCGGAACACTTACATCAGACTCGGAAGGGCGCCGCCCTCCTAAGCAGGACGAACAGATGCCCATGGAATGGGTGGTGAGGGGGTTGGCTGCGGAGGGGAACGAAGGCGGCGTTCACGACGGATGGGGGTGGTACTGAGCGAATATCATGTAATTACTTGGGAATGATGGTGCGAGCAGGACCTGAGAGGCATGCTGAACGCTCAATGGGACGGAGGCTGGTGGCTGCTGCTGTTGTGACGCCAGTCAATTTCCCGCCGTTGCGGAGATCGGCAGACAAAGTCTCCGATGGCCTTGGCGACCCAGAGCCTCATCCGTCACCTTGATCCAAGCATCGCGTCCCCTCGTCGTCGTCCGCCTCCACGAGCTCATACAGTACCCACATCTCAACACTCACTGCAAAAACCTGGGACCTGAAACAATGACTCGCAGCTCACCAACTGGCATTCCGTCTCTTGCCGTCCATCTATCCCACTCCAGCAATGCACCCGTCTCTTCCACCCCGTCCACGTCCATGGACACGGTGAACCCGTCTACAACGTCAATGTTCCGTCGCCTCATCTTCTTGGTCAATTCATTGTCTCCGCTCCAATAGCTTCGTGCTCCCCGGTTACTGCTCTCCGGATTCTGATTACACGTACTCCCATCAACGCGTGCTTATGACCTAAGACACGGTCACTCCCTTTACAGACTCGAAATGGTCTCTAGATACGGGCGGAGGTGAGTAGTGAAATGCAACGACGCGCCCACCACAGGGAGCTTGGCCAGCTCCCTTCCATTCCAAGTCGCCACGAAGGGCATGGCCGACGCCAAGACTCCCACGACCATCTCATCTGTGGTCTCGCTACCAGATGTCCCAACATTCCCAAGAGCCCGTTCCACGCAAGGTCACCCTCCTCCATCACGCCTCACGCGAAACTGATCCAGCCCGATTAATCTATCCGAATCAGTACTCCTTTCCCCTCTGCAAGGCACATTCTAGACATGACCGCAATTTTGATGGCTGGCCGGATGGCTGAGCGGCCTAGCGCTTTTGGCCTTGTTCCTTATATGTGCACTTTCGTGACTTTGCAGCTTGTCATCCGTCCTCAAACGCCTCTTGGACGTTCGATCAGAGCATCTCTCACTCTCTCGAGTGCTCCATCATGTCCATCATTCGCTCGCTCCAGGCCACGGCCTTGATTCTCTCGTTTTCTACATTGACGGAAGCTTTAGCTTTTCGCAAAAGCAAAGCCAGCGTTCAGGCGGAGAATGTTTTCAACTCTCCTCTTATTGCCCGTGACAGGTCCCCAGCTGGCATCGTCGAGAAGCGACAAGATGGACAAGAGCTGGATTGCCCGAATGATCGATGGCAGGCTCTGCTGGACAACAACCCGCCTGATCGCGTCGAGACCTTTTGCAACGAATGGCTCGGCATTGGTGCCGCAACTCTCGTAGTCGAATGGACTCCCACCGTGTCAGTGTTCTGCGACGGTCTTGTTCCGACTCTCCGCTTACATTTGACAGTACCATCACAACTAGTGCAGCCTCAACAACCATCTATACCTCCACCACACGGTTAATAACAACAGAGACAATCACCAAGACAGCAACTACTACTGCCCCAGCACTCCGACCAAGAGCCGCCAACATTGCCGCTGTTGCCGAGGACATCATTGAATCTGTCATTGCCAGCGGCACTACGGACGGAGTATCGAGCTCAAAGAACTCGCAACGTGTTCAGGCCGAATCAGGGCTCGCGAATGCATGTTCTTGCAAAATGGTGCAGCCAACAGAAACTGTGACTAGTTCGTTCGCTCTGCCTCCTGTTGTATGTTGTAATTCTTTTAAGCTTGCTCTTGCATTTTAAGCTGACTGGCATAGACTACAACCGTGGGTTTCAGGAGGGTCATCATAGCAAGTAAAACTGATACTAGGGTGTTCACAGCCGTTGCAACCGTAACCATCACAGAAGGTGACACCGCGGCCTCTAGCACATCATTGTCGTGGAGTCAGTCCGCTCTTAACGTGTCCAGCACAGATTCATCGACCAGCTCAGTCCTCTCAACCAGCGATATCATCGAGACTGGCACTGCCGATGTTGGAACGCCCACTACCACACTTTTCTCACGATCGGTTCTGCCCACAAGTGGCTCTTTGAACTCCTCCCTCCCTGTGGTTACTGCGCTCCCATTCAGCTGCCCGGGCGATGCCAATAAGCGCGTTGATCAAATTGTAGGCGGTGTCAAACTCGACTACCTGGTACTTTGCAACACAGAGCTCGTCACCGAAGACCGAGTAGGTAAACCGATTGCTGTTGAAAGCGAAACGTCATGCACTGCCCAGTGCTCACTTGTTAATGCCCAAAGCGGCCAAGATACATGCCAGGGGGCCTCTTTCACACCCTATACCGATGGTCGCCGAGGCGGAACCTGTACTCTCAGCGGTTCAGATGCCGTATATGTCGACAAGCCAGGCTCCGTTGCTATTGTACATACGGGAACCTTCTCCAATGGCGATGAATGCGGGCCTTTGAACTCAGCTTCCAACTCGAGTAGCAACTCTGTCGACACTTCCGCCCTAATCGCATCCATAACATCAGCCAGCTTTTCCTTATCGACACCGGGCCTACTCACACAGTCTGTAGACGGAGGCGTCTACGAGACATATGTCTCTGCGAATTCGACCGACGCGAACGGCTATGTACATTGGAGCTGGTATGCCATATCTGCTTCGTCCAGTTATTGGTGGGCAGTATACTCAACCTCTTGGGAGTGTACCTCTACAATCTCCCGAACCATCGTGCTACAACCCGCAGAACCAGTCACAATCACGTCGGTACTGATCACAACTATCATCCACGGCGCTACAACTACGATAATCTCGGGCACGTCGACGCGAATCTTCACAAATGGAGGAGGCGGGTTTTATCCTCCCACATTTGTGCCCGCGTCCACAACGGAAGGCAACGGCGAAATTACCACATGGTTCTCTGTGGGCACTGAAACTTCGACAGGAGCAAGTGGTATCATCCCTCCTACTCCTGTTCCTACGGCCACTGCGAACTCATCTATTACCATTGAAGGAGCATCCAGCGCCCAAGGATCCGGTAATGCCAGTGTTTCTGGAGGAACCTCCACATTCTTCTCAACCGGAGATGCTGGTATAATTTCGCCAACTATAATCCTTCCTGTGCTTCCAAACTCCACCGTGGGTATTTCAGAAAATGCCTTCACGGTTGTCTCTGCTGGTGGCACACAGTTTGCGTCTTCTTGGTCTACCTACACCCGCAACGCAACGGGAGGCGAAGGGGTAAACCCGCCGCCTTCTTCCACCGCCGGGCCCAATGGAACTGTAGCGTCTGGCAACGGCAACTTTACAACCGCCGGTAGCACCTCTACATCCACGTCCACAGGCGACATTGGTATCATCACTCCTGTCATCATCATCGGAAGCAGCACTGTCGCTTCTCTTACCATTGAGGCGGTTTCTAACTTCACTGTACCAGCAACAGTGACTTTAGGAGGATCCCTGGAGTGGTCAACATCCGGTTCTACAGCAACAATCAACAGCACTGGGGCATCAGGGGTCATTCCTCCAATTCCTTCTGCAAACGTATCGGTCGTACTTTCGGCGTCTGTTGCATCCGGAGGCGCTTCGTTCGCCATCAGCAGCAGCACATTTACCTCCAACTCCACTGGAAACGCCGGTGTTATTCCACCTGTCAGCACTGGCTCTGTCACGCCATCTAACGTGACTGTATTGGTTCTCTCATCTACCGGAGGCGCTGGCAACGTTACGATATCAGGAGGCACTGCAGTCATATCTGCCACAAGTGACTCTGGCGTAATTCCACCTGCTAACGTCACCGGTTCTTCAGGCAGTGGTAACTTCACCATTTCAGGCGCAACTGCTATTACTTCCTCCACCGCTGGGAACGGTGTAATTACCCCTGCTACCGAAACCTTGGCACCAACTCCAAACGTCAACCTCACGTCTGCTGGCGGATCAGCTGGCTTCTCGATCCTAGGAAGCACTGCTGTGACATTAGCTTCCAGTGGCAGCGGTGTCATCCCACCAGCACCATCTTCGAATGCATCGTCAACTGGCCCACCGTTTACCAACTCTGACCTACCTCGTACTGGCGGTTTCCGTTCTTCATCGTCGATTGGCAGCAGTGGCGCAATTGTGCCGTCCTCTAACTCTACCGTGCCTGCTCCACCAAGCTTAACACCGAGTCCCAGCGTAAATGCGTCGTCAACTGGACCTGCCTTCTCCGACTCTGACCTACCTCGTACTGGTGGCTTCCACGCATCGTCGTCGATTGGTAGCACTGGTGTAATTGTGCCGTCGTCCAACTCTTCCGTGTCTGCTCAGCCAAGCCCTAGCGCGAATTCTTCGTCCACATCTACTGGCCCGCCCTTTACGAACTCTGACCTACCCCGTACCGGTGGCTTTCACGCGTCATCATCGATCGGCAGCTCTGGCGTAATCGTTCCGTCGTCCAACTCTTCCATTTCTGCGCCTCCAAGCTTGACACCCAGTCCTAGCGCGAATTCTTCGGCCTCGATTCCTGGTCCACCGTTTTCGAACTCTGACCTGCCTCGTACTGGTGGCTTCAGTGTAGCAAGTGCAAGGCCGAGCAGAAGCTTGAGCTCTACTCTTCCGACGATTGTTTCTACTTTAGTCGTAGTAGAGACGGTTTCTCTCTCTGCCCCTACTCCGTCTACCAATGCTACCACTATTTCCCCTTCATTGATTATTCCAAGTCCGTCAGGGAATTTCACGGCTTCCGCCTTCTCGTCCCTTGCTGTACCACCCATTTCTGCGAACTCGACAGCACCGATAGGAACAGCTTCCAGTCCCGTGCCTTCGGCCAGTATACCGGTACCCTCAATCAATGCGACGACGACCGTGACGACGACCGAATCGATCATTTTGCCTCCGCCATTCGGAAATGTAACTACAGGGTCAAGCTTCACCGCCGAGTCGATTGGAATACCCACACCGTCTGCGAACTTGACCATTGCTTCTTCTATCCCATCGGCAGTTCCTACACTTTCACTAAATAGCACTACCTCCCCCGAAGTCTGCCCAACAGTAGCACCCATTATTACCACGATCGTCACGATTGTTTCAATTGACGTCGCAACGACCACCGTCGTCTCAATCCAGACTGTTACTGTCGGCCCATCAAGCACTCTCTCTGACGTCCCAATAACACCCACTGCGGTCGTCCCAGTCAACCTTGAAGCCCGCTTACGGCGCTCCGGCACGCTCGCCACACAGGAGCAGATTGACGCCGCATGCGCGGATCCCGGGAGCATTGTACTAAACCCCAACTTCGCAGTAAGTACAGATGGCGACGTACCAGGCTGGTCCGTCGACGCAAGCGATCCGGTGATCTCTGTCCAAAGTGAACAGAACCCCGAAGGGAACGGCACAATCGCCCAGTTCCGATCCGCAGTTGTCGGCCGCACATTGAGCATCACACAACCTCTCACGCTCTGCCCAGGACAGCAGTACACACTCTCTGCTATCAACCGCCAGGCAAATGTGCTAGCCAAGTGCAATGCTACGTACTCGGTGGGAGATAATGAAATCTTCACCGTAACGCCGCAACAGGCGTGGCTGCCTACAAGTGGGTTCTTCACCGCCGGAGTTGGAGCTGGAGCAAATGGCGCGAGCGCGAACCTAACCATCACGGCGAGTTGTGCCGGCTACGGTGGTCTACCGGTGTCGGATCAGGAAGGATGGATGAGAGTTGAAGTCAGCGGCGTCACCATCGTGAAGGACGATGATTCTCAGGCAGACAAGGCGAAGAGGACTGCGGCAGTAGCGACCGCGAAGAAAGGCTTTTTCGTCTTCACGTGGGGATGATAAAGTCAAGAGTCCGTCAGGTGTTGTTTCTAAACCCTTTTTTGTTTGGTAAGATTGAAATTTTCTAGTATACGCCGTTTTAGATTTTGCTTTTGGAGGATGCGTTTTGTGTGTCCTTTTTGTAATTTGTCTTGCTGGGTAACTTCATAGGCGTTGGAGGAAATTAAAGAACATTGTTAGGATATTCGTTCAGTCTCGCTTGAATGCTATCTTTCTCTCTGGATGATTTGATGTGCTTGCATTAGGTATGCTGGAAGTGTCATGCAGAATTAATTATAAGTGACGTGAAATGACCATTTACTCACACACAGGTGGGTCGCATATAATTGGTCAGTAGCTCAATTTCCTTTTTTTGCTCGGCTGTTCCCTAGAAGTAAAGATCGCCAACTTGCATCTTCATTTTTCCCGTCGCTACACTTAGCGAGTCCTCCTCGCAGGTCACTAATTGAGTTGTTTGATATTTTATCACGCGTATTTCCCATTGAGAGTTTGCGGCTTTCCGAGATAAGTGCAGGACCATTCCTGAAACCAAATACGATAACGCGGTGCGACTAGAGAACGGCTGTGATTTCTGGATTTGGATGAGAGGTGCATATTTGGAGCAGGTGGCGTAGTGTGTAAACCGAAGGATAACTCTATTCTAGAGGCAGATTCTAGTTTAAGAAGGAGGTTATGCAGGTGGTAAGAGCCAATGAATCAAGGGTCATTGTCTATGGTCATCGTCTATCGCAGCGATGACTTCTCTTCTTTTAGAGGTGATGAAGTGTTAAAGATCACATCTTTTTATATTTCTAGCCGTCACGGTAGTTTCCACCGGTATGTAGGAGTTGTATATTCGTCTCTTTTCGAACTCATCGATAGAAGTCTTTTCAGCTGCCCCATAGGGAGTGTGCAGTGATGAAACCAAACTCAATACATTAGATTTGCGCTAAGATGCCCTGTGACATGGGTGTCGACAGAGGCTGTTGTGGCTACCTTCTATTGGCTCTTGGCAATTACGCCAGTCATTTTCGTCCAGGATGTGTGTAAAGTTCCAAATAGACAGTGTGAACTAATCCATATACTCTTCCAGGTTGATTGAAGTATAGTAGTATTCGGTGGAATCTGTAAAGCCATGCATGGGAAGCTGTCGCGGTGTGATGAATTTGAATTCGACTTCCATATGCTAGCCTATGTAATTGGATCAGTCACCTTAGGGAAGAAGTGGGATATTTTTACGCAACAGGAAAAGGGGATTTCCAAAGCGCTTAGGCCCTTGTTGAGCTATCGAAGTTTGTAAAGGCATTTTGAGTGCATAGATGTCTGTGATCACATTCAGTCTTCCAGGATAGGTCGAGCGGTCGTCAACCATTTATAGTTGCGCATCTGTCATGAGTTTTAGAAGAGTTGAGGATGAGAACAACTTGGTCTGTCGGTTGACTTCTGGCGGCGATTCGAAGCGATAATGTAACACAGTCTGACGAGTTCGTGGTAGTGGTGGGCTACGAGATGCAGCGGTTGTCTAACACTGAACTTACTGCAGATATGATCGGCTCGTAGCAGGGACACCCTTGACGCCAGCTGCGAGACGAGCCGCCAGGTGGGCGCGTGCGCTGTTGACATATCGTTCATTATGTCTGCTCTAGAAGTCATCGTTAGGACAGTCATGCGCGCTTCCTGGCTCGAGGAGGAAATTGCTAACCATGCTCGGGTACTTGTTAGCGCTCTGGTTTGTCTTGGTTGTCTCCTGAGGTTCTGTTGGGCGACCTCGGCGGCTTGCAAGGTAGGCAGAATGAACGTTCTGGGGTTTGATTGGTCAGCCACCCTGTCGCATGCGGTGCCACATTTAGACGTCCTACAACATCTGCGAATGTTTGACGACATTCGAGGCGAGCGCACCGCATGCTTTGTCGCCGTGGACGTTGCTTCATGGTACAACGGCAAGAACTCAGCCTTATGGAAGTTCCCCAAACGTGACGCAGGCTTATTTTGATCTGGAATGTAGTGGCGAAGCGGATAGCAGAAATGGATGAAGGCGCTCTCAAACAGTACCTGTTGCATACTATGATATTTTCCATTGGCGCGGAGGATGCGTTGCGCCCGTCCCAAGTATGCAGATAATTTGCGAGAGCGCTATAGGAAGCAAGATCGACCGGAAAGGGTAAGGTCGTTATGCGAGAGGCTTCGAACAACGACGAATATCGACTCAATTGGTAAACATGAAGCGATACATAATGCCACAGTACGCAAGTCGCCCAGTCCGAAGTGGAGCGAAACGAGGAAGGTAATGAGCAAATTTGCCCAGTAGAGCTGGATGGGACGTTTACACCCCTGATTGGTCCGCTCAGTGCTTTACATGTGTTCCGAGTATGCACACAAATACTGGCTGCTGCCCAATACATCGAAGATGCAGCATTCGGACGTGTTTGTCGTCGTATTCCATGTAGGTAGCTTGCCTAGTCGTCCTGCTGACAACACGTCGTGCCGCCTCATTGGCCATCCAGCCAAGGTTTGGACTCACAAATCCACTCGTCCGCATCCCTGGATCCAGAGACGAAGGTGGTACAGAGTGTCAAGTCACTGTATATGACAAGCGCTTAACCTGCTCGCCGTAGTAGGGCCGCGAAGACAGAAGCCTCAAAAGCGTAGAATTACCCACACCCTCTTGCCACTTCTCTTGCGCACTACGATGCTCCACCGCCAGCTGCATTCGAACGAGGCAGACTACACAGCCAAATTGACCACTAGAAGGATGTGGAGAGCTGGGAGCTCGAAGGAAAGGCTCCAAAAGAAGACGCAGTCGATCGGCCGTTTTTCAGGCCACTCAGCGTTCGCCACGTAGGTAAGAGATCTTTCGATGGTCTTCCTGGCTCTTGAGACTGATGTGGCACACTTTCTCACAGTGTATACCACTGCCAGATCCGCGCATTATTTTTTGACCCGACATCGACAAAGGAGATCAGATTGCGGGCCGACACGAAAGTACGGTGCAGCACAAGCGACACGACGGATGGTGAGCGCAAACGCGCTCTTCAGAAGCGATGACAACAACGAGAGATTAGTTTGCTGCAACCTACATTCTCGACATTGGCAAACCGATGCTTTCTCCTCATCTGGAGATTTCGCCTTCAACAGTCCGCAAGCGAAGCCATACTCAGAGGCAAAATGAAGTGGCAGTAGGCGTATGACCAAGTGGCTTCTTGCTAACCATCAGGACGCAGAGCATCGACGACGGGCTGAAAGAAAACTAGGTCGACGTATAGAGGAGTGCAGCGAGCGATGCACACAAGACGATGAGGCGGGAAAGCAGGCACTCAAGGATTGGGGAAGGCTGGTGCAGTGCGGCATTTCTTCGGAGATCTGGAGTGAACAGTGTACTATTCCCAAGGCAGCCTAGTGCTATCACGTGCTGCAAGAGACGCCAGCCAGAATTACCCCACCACACGTCGACTCCACAACAAACACCCACAACAGTCACCTTCCGCCCCCAAACGTCATTCCCGTCACTGCGCCCACCGCATATTTGCGAACACATCGGCCCAGCTCTTCTTTGCTTCTCCAAAGCCAACAGGAAGGGCGACGTGCTGCTTCGCCGAGCCGTGCCCGACGGCCTTTCCACTTCTATTTGTGGCTACGCGACTGTCACGGATTGGACGGCTTCAGCCCCCCTTCCACGGCACAGCGGCTACCTTCACCAACGTCGAGGCCATGGCCAATCATAAGAGTTCATCACGTTCATTGCATCACTAAAGCTCAAGGGGTTCAGTTATAGAAAAGAAGCGATTGTAAGAGGTAACGCCCGGCCGTATTTATCCCGTCATCTGTCGCTCAAAGCCAAATTCCTGCGTCATCCCACCTCCAGACGTCAAAAATGAATGGATTCAATCTGGAAAGAAAACCCGAAACGTTGTACATGAAACCAGTTCCCTAACGCCCGCGCCATGACCACGGCGAGCTCAATGTTGCCCAATCTGCTGCAGTCTGCGGTTGCGCTCGCAGCTGAGCTCATAGATTTCGCTATCAAGACCTCGAATCAGGTCCACCGACTTCTCAATCGAGGCAGCGAATTTGTGCGGCTCGCGCTGCCACCGTCCGATGCGGTCCACCTCAGCGGCCCGGCGCCGCATCTTGGTGTCGATCTTCTCACAGAGCTTGCACTTCGTCCCTGTGGGAACTGTTTGCATGATGAGTTTCATGCCGCACGTCTCCCCAATTCGGTACTCCTTGGCACAGTGCTGTCGGAAGTGGCCCCACTTCCAATCGCCACAGGCAAATCGATGCTGGTCGAAGAAGCACATGTTTCAGGCTTTAAGAACTGGGATGTCTGATGTTTGGTCACACATTAGCTCTTTGCTGGAGTGTTTGGATAACAGCACCCGTCAACATACCTGATGCTGCGTCGTCAAACACTAGACCTTGGCGATAGGACTAGCGATCGTGACACCTGGTAGGGGTCAGCTCAAGGGCCACATCAACTTCGACCCTCGGGGACACATACGAAATGGTTGGATGACAGGCGATGTTCAACAACAGTCGTCGAGGTCTTTGCAGGAGGAAGAGGAGGTAACAAGGAGCCCAGTGTCTTAGAAGATTCAAGATGCTCAGAGGTTCTCGTCAATGACTGGAAGCTTTGGTCGAGATGAGCGTGTTGGAAACATTCTCAGGGCAGCATCACCCGTTATTTATGCTTCGAAACGGAGCATCCTCGCCCACACTGTTTACCGATTCTCGCCCCCGAGTCCGTCCCGCCGTCAGACGATAGATTGATGCCATGGCCCATCCCTTGGTCGACGTGGTAGTACCCCACCCGGTCCCGTCCAACGATATTGCCACGATCCACGAATCCCTTTCTTTCTGACGCTAAAACGATGCGAAGACGGGCTGCAATGATACCCTAGGCCGTGCCGGCGTTTCCAGCTGCAGAAAGATATCACATATGCTAGGTGATCACCGCGTCGTGGCTTCATGGACCACGTAACCCCTTCCTCTGAAAGCGGAAAATCCCTCATCTTCCTTGTCGATGTGTCTCCGCCGAAGATTAGAATGGGTCTCGAAGTGTATTTTCGAGCATTTCGGGCCTTTCATTCCATATGAGGTTGAGGTTTGTGAAGCGAGATACAATCACGTGCCGCTTAGTTCATGCCGAACAACAGTCCGCTTCACGAGCGTTCTGTTATGGGGACAAACCATTGGCCAATGGCTCCTTCTTCGACGGTACTTCATCAATTCGGGACGAAGAACTTTTCCAGCCAATCTTGGGCGCTATTGTCCACCAACTCCTCCATGGCGAAGCTATGGTCAAGCGTTGTGAGACGCATGGGCCAGCGCCCGCTCGGCACACTTCAGCGTATTGGTTGGACCATCTTCACTCTACTGGTTCTCCAAATGGCTTCGTGTTCTTGGTTCTTAGGCCGTTACCCGATTCGTAATGCTCCATGAGTCGACCCCAGCTTTCCGCTTGTAGCCCGGCTAATAAACTTGTGTAGCTTCACGCTTCACCGATGGTGCTCGATCACCCCTCGCCTCCACTAGACTTCCAAGTTGCTACGCTTGGCTGACACAAATCTTGCAAGCCCTTCTTCTACGGACTTGAGACATCATCAGCCAGTCACCTTATCTGCTCATCCTGCATCAGCCTGCCTGGGTTATTACCTTCGGTCATCCATTATGCCACTTGAGTGGAACACTAGCCCTTACCGCATTGCATGTTGCATTGCACCGTCGGCTCACTCCATCCAGCTGATCACCTTCTCCACCCAACGGCTAGCATTTCCCGTGTCCGGCCTATTGTTGACTTGCTAGGCCCTGCAAGCTGACAGGCATGGCTCTCTTAGATAACAAGATGGCGTGAAATTTATGCGGAACCTAGCCCGTCACTGCATATCGAAGCAATCATCTGGACCGTCGGATAGACACTAGAACCGGCCAAAGCATGCCCCGTCGGAGATCCTCTGACGTGGCGAGCGCGGTTTGGTTGATCAATGAGGAGGCCATATCCTGGAAATTCATTTCGCCATCAGTCATGGCTTTTACGAAGCGTCTGCGTTGGCTTCTGCGTCTTTACGCGATATCAAGCGTGGCGTGCTTGGACACAACCGCTTGGACAGGCGTTACAAGAAGGCAAGATCAGATGCCTGTTGAACCGCCCATACCGGTGAGCCCACTATCACGGTGTCTGGGATCATGATGGCACTCTCATGGCCCATGTTTTAGTCAGTGCGGTGGCAACATGATGCAGCATCTTCTCATCAGTCACCTCAACCAGTCTGCCTTAATGTCAGAAGGGGCAACAACTCCACATTAGCGAGCCAATTGCTTCATGTGGTGTAGATTGTGCTGAGCATCTCATTGTTGTGCCAGACACGAGACATCGAGAATCCATGCTTTCAATGCGGGTAGGCAAGTTCTTACCAAATATTGCAGTAGGTGAGTTGTTGTTGTTGTGTCTGTCGAACCATAGACGGCCTCGCGTCGTGCACAGAGCCACACCAGCCACCAAAACAAACACGACAACTGCGGCCATCCTGCGACCCGCAAACAACCTTGCAAATAGGGCTTCAACCAATTGATACAATGCTGATTTTGCCTCTTTCCGGTCTTCCTGACTCTCTATTGTGATTTCCGGCAGTATTGACTCTCAAACATGGCGCAAAAGGCGACCTATTCCTAACCAGCAACATCTTTCATCATGGCTCGACGTTGAAATTCGCTACATGGCACTCCGCGCACACTTCTCGTCATGTGAGATCAAAGCGATGCTGGGTAAGGCGCGGGAACATGGGAGCGGAGGAATAGGGTCGCAAGGTCGCACGCAATTTTGATCCCGAGACGAGCGAGTGCTGTGCTTGTGTGGGTCGGAGCTGCGGTCGCCGGGTCTCGCCCGTCGAATAGTGAGCCATAGTGTGCGATTGGGCAGACAAGGGTGAATGCTGCGTACCGTCGGATTGGAGGGCACCGCTTGAGGTGGGTCGAGGTCATGCCTAGGTGCGTTACGCTGTGCAAGAGAAAAAGTGGTTGGCTAGAGCGGACGAAGGACGTTTGTATGCCGAGCTCTGGCTACGTCTGACGAGCATGGAGCGCGTAGGAATGGGGTAGACAAAGTCACTCCAGGGGTTACATTTGTCACTGAGCATAGAGAGTTTTGTGGGTACATCAATCTTCTAGCCTGCAGTCTTCGGGGGCCGACAGTGATGTGGAGGGGACGGACGACAAGGACCAGGAGATCACCTCGCCCGTAACGAGGCAAGAAGTGGCGGGGTCCTAGGCTGAATTTCCTGCTTGCCGTCTCTCTCTCGATGGTAGCATGTGCAGGGCGCTGGAAATGCTGGCCCAAGCACAGAAAGCTACTTTATGCGCCCATCCTCTAGCTGCATATGCAAGGCAAGGGATCGGGGGTGGATATCTCGTGGACTGGCTGTTTCCGCATGTCTTCTTTGGTTGACAAGCATATGAGTCGCTTGTCAGAATGGTTGGCCATTAGGCTGTGATCAGCAAATACAAAGATAGGATGTGGGGATGCCTTTCGCTCGTGCTAGGTAGCATGTGTCATGCATGAATGTGGCATCCGAAAACGTGTTGTGGTACTCTTGTTGCTGGGTCATATAGTGCTGACACGCAAGAACGCTGGCACAACAAGAGTTTGGTAACAAGCGTGCTAAGAGTGGCTTTTCGTGCATACAATCGGCTAGAGGAGAAGCGTGGAAATGGGTGCATAAGTGGACACGCGTTTTGAGCGGAATTATCGACTTATGACGCAAAGCGAGGGGTACAAGGGCGAGGCATTGTAGGACATGCTCTCTTTTTAGATGTCGATAGTTAGGTCTTTGGCTACGGTTGGATCGGCTTGTTGGATTACTATGGCCACCTAGACGTCAGTATTCGTACTCAGGACCGATTTGCCGGGCCCCAATCTGGCCTCCATGGTGCTGATGCAGTCCACCATCATTTGCATGGGTCGTCGGCATACGTTCAGCATTTCAAAAAGCCAAAGTTGCCCCATCGGTAGTTCAACGGTAATATATACAAGCTTACCAAGTGAGGCAATACGCCGATCATTGGAAGGCTCTGGAATGGTTGGAAATCTGTGCCGGCACTGCGGATTGGTGCCTTTTGTGGCAGATGAGCGGTGACAGTCGGCAGTGTAGTAATAGGACCGATAGAGAACGCTGGCAAACTTTCGACATCAGAGGCAAAAGGGTGGGGTAATGAAAGACGGGAAAGTGCCACGACAGAGACTTCGTTGCTCGCTTAGTGAAGACTCCATCAACAGATAGGTGTTGTGCAGTCACATTAGCAACAATACGAGCGTCTGCTGAAACGCTATAATATTCGAAACACCCATAATCTCTAACGTTGATGGTATGGAGAACGTGAGAGAAAAGTACGGTTTCTTTATCGAGAAGTTGGGCATCTAGATCAGAAAAGGGTTCTGCCATACACGTTGGGTTCTGCAGCAGCGTGCATCGTTAGCTGCATGGTAAAAAGACTAAGCGAGAGGGGGCAAGATCCTAGTCGAATACCGGCCATATGCATAAACGTTGCCCGAAAAAGATTGGTAATGAAGGAAGAGGATCAGGAGATCTGTGGGCGAGAGACGTAAGCTCTTCGCATGCAATGGTGAGCTAAGTTTGCTGGCAGAGATGGGTTGAGAAATTTGACTCCAATTCAAGTGATGGATCCTTATATGAAGGCCTGGCATGCTAGACGCCTATTGCTTACAATGGTGAGGCGTATGGTGTCTTTTCCAAAGGAGGAAGCGGTTGCCGTGTTGCCTAGGAATAGCAAAACCTTGCAGTTACGTAAAGGTTAAATGCTAGAACACGTAAAAGCATTATATGCCGACTCGATTCAGATTTAAAGAGAGGTGCAGAGACGAGACATTCATGAGTACTATGCATGAGAGTGATGATAGTGATGATAGTGATAGTTGTTTCTAGACCGTTCATATCAGAAGCGATCAAGGAGTGATCATTGCCCTGGCACATTCGCTTACCCACAGTTCACGATGCCGTGGGGAATTCGTTCAGTTCAGCCATACCACTTGTTTTTTGTGGATATTTTTTCAACCGCCAAAAGAAGTGTAACGCAAGGTTATGACCGATACGTCGTATTCTAGTACTAACATGTATATGGGAATAGGGCAGGATAGCACATAGCGCGCTGGAGGACGAGATGGCAAGCGAAATGAGCAGTAAAAGTATCCGATTAGTTTGCGGGAGCCTCGGTTTATGGTTAGGGTAGCATCGCAATCCGACTCGACGTCGTCTTCCTCCGTGCCTTGCGGCTATATCCGGATCAAGGCTTGATATGTGTGCAACCAATAACGACTACAAATTGCCAGTAACCGAGCTGTATCCTGGCTAGGCAGGCCTTTGACTTGACCAATTGTAGGCGCATATAAACTGGGTCCACAAGCAACGTACTCTCTGGATGCAAGGAGTAGGTCGCGTTGAATGCGCCCTCCTTGCGAAGCGCAGTACACGCATCGCAGGGCTTTATAGGGCAGGCCATACGCGGGCATTCAGGATTCTATCCTTGCGATTTGTGTATCCGTTGCCAGTTGCAGGCGAGGTTGAGGTAAACGCGAGTTGGGTAGTCTAGCGCGCGTCGTCGCGTCGATCGACAAGACGGGGAATGCTGTAAAGAGGAGGAAGGGCGGCATCTGTAATGTTGGATCAGTGAACCACGCAGTGCTTGTTTGTATGTTTAGTGCATAGCTAGAGGCGCAAAACGTCTCATCTCAATGTCAGCTTCGTCGTGTTTGCCCATCACCACGCCTAGATGGGTGGTGTTCTATAACTTGGCATTGATGACTAAACTTCGGTTACCTAAATGCCTCGAGCGCAACGGATCTACGGTTCTGTCTTTGACGCTATTATGACAGAGAGAGAAGAAAAAGTTGTGAAGCCTGGGGAGCTCTCTGCAAATCGTAAAAGCAGAATTTCAATATGATATACGGTACGGTATCGCGACGGTCGGTCGCAGGACCATGGAACTGAGTCCAGCCGCGAAGCTGCTGCTTACAACGGTAGCACAAGAAGCCAACAACCTGATGCCAGTATGACAGTATCTGGATGCAAAATCTATTACCTGGCCTCTTAATACAACCCCCTTCACCTTCCCATGGATCGTTCCTCGCTTTGCCCTTACTACTTCCCTCATCCTTCTGCGTTGGCTGACTGAACTCCCCTATATCGCGACGCGCCTTTTTACAGCAGTGACCATAATCCGCGTAGACTTGCTCGTCCATCCAATGCGATTAATTGTTATGATGTTCATCTTTTATGACCCTGGTTCAAGATCACTGCGTTTGACTCTCTATAAACGAAGCGGGAGTATCATGCTCGTGCCTGTAATCCTCCAGAAATGAGGTTAAGCTATTACTAGTCTATAGAGGTGTACTTCAGTGGAGATGGTGTGATTACGTTTAAGTCTTCGAGAACAGGTGCGCTATTCTAAGCTAGTAGTGAGCCATGGTATTGATTCCGTAGTCATATCCCCTGATCCACATCAACGCATCGACATATAATCTGAGCTTTCTATCTTGTCTCAAAGTAACTGCAGTCGATAGTTGTCTCACCCCGCCGGTGAAGGTGGATTGTTTGTCTGTGATCTAAACAACGACGTCATTGTTTGTGCTAGAAATATCTCTTCACCTGCAATTTGCGGAAAGACAAATACTTATTATGGTACCGTATGTTTCACCTCAATCTTCCAAGCTCTATATACTCTTCTCTACAATTACTCAACCGTGCAATACTGAACACGACCTACAGACTATCCTGGCGCGTTGACTGGGCGATGGACTACCCGCAGTATACTAGAGGTGGCCGGCACTTGATCTTCGTCAAGAATATCCCGACATACATGGCGAATAGAACGATCCCAAAGCTCTACAACGAATACGGGGCATTCCATGTAAAGAACGTGTACCCCCAGGCATCCATCACCACCGCGGTAGTATCGTTCCGGACAAAGGAAGAAGCAGCCCGCGCCCAGAAAGAGACTGACGGCATGCGATTTCTTGATGTCATCTTGCGCGTAGAGATGTACGAGAAGCACCGGTCAGTGCGCTTCATTCGTGACAGCGGTCCAGCGCAACGCCCGCTCGGAGCCATTGAGGACGATGACGAGGCGACTTTGGAAGAAGAAGTAGCATTCGATACGAAACACAGATATACCCCGCCTCTCGATGTCGTTGCCTCAACCCTCCCAAACGATGCACCGAAGGGCATGACGTGGGCTCATGTTGCTGCAGACAAGGGTGCGCTCACCGTCATGTCTCCACCAAGTACTCCAGAAGCAGCCCTCTCGGAGAACAAAATTGTTACTTCGTCAACGCCGGTAACTACGCCACGCACCAAAGTCGCCGTACCGCACATTCTGTTCGCCCCGAGCCCTGCGCAATCCGACCACCACCGGCTTAAGACGTATCTTGACCGGACTGCGCCTTCTAACTTCACCTTCGTCCCATCACTGGCCGCTAGAGGAAACAATAAACCATACAATGCCGATACCAAGAGTACTAGCAAGCTGAACAATCCATTTGGCGCCGTGGGACAGGCCATGGACGTTCCACGACACACTTCTGTATGGAAGCCGATTGATACGGCGGAGCTTATTCGCCAGAGGCATTGCCAAGGGTGCTCCTTCTGCCAGTTGAGGACACGTCGGTTAGCAGAAAATACCAGTGGAGAGTGGTAAAAAGGTAGTGCAGCGCATGATAGCTCACTCTAGGTCCCACTCTTTCTATCATCATATAGATTCTACTATGATCTCCTCACAAATGTATCAACCCCTTTAGAGTCTCTCATAATCAGTATATCTGACGTCCCAGAATGTGTGAGACATGTCGACTTGTCTCGTGTTGAATACTCTCACCGCTACTTCATGCATCTTTTTAGACCATTGGAGGCGTCTTTGCTTTGTTCAATTCAAGCAAATGCAGATCAAGATAATACGCTGTTTAATACGGCCTAAGCAGTTTAACGTGTGGAGAGCACAGTATTACAAAGTCTGTTCGAGATGCTGATCCTCAGGCGCTGAACACTAGTTTCCGATCCCTTGAGTAGAATTCCTATTAGCGCGCAAATCTACCAAAATGCGATGAGGCAGATGGGGACACGTGTCTCTTCAGGTGAGTAAAATTTACGTTTCGTAGATTGTTGCTTACGGTGCGGGCAGGTTAGTCTTTGCCCTCAGTAGACCTTCTACCAAGGTTCTACGACTTATGGTCCTTGGCGTCTCTCCATTCATCGACCAAGCTGAGACAAGATGATACGACTAGCAAGGACGAATACTCCAAAGAGTTTGTTGAATCGCGTGACACAAGCCATGGCAGCAATAGAAAACTTGTGTAGAAGAAGACAGGAATCATGGAGATCACCAGTAGGCAGCCTATGACGCGACGGAACAGGTCGTTGACGCGTTCGAGGTGTGATGTATGGCTGGAGGACATTGAGATCAACATTACGAACTTGGTAGACGGACGAATGATGTGCATGTCTTTCCTGGTCCCAGGGTCTCGCCCCGCAATTGCCGCCCTAGAGCCTTGCCACCAAGCAACAAACTTGTACCTGATAAGCAAGTAGTATTCCTGCACATATTTAATAACGGTCCTCGCACCCTACAATAGATATTCTATACTTCACTATCAATACAAGCATGTCTCAGTTCTTCAAGCGCATCTTCAGCGAGAATCCGTTCCGGAGAGAGCCGGACATCGGAGACGACGATCTTCAGCGATCGCGACGCGTCCTAGTTAGAAGCACGACAGGCGTACTTGACGAACACACTCACTGGAGGACGGTACCTTTTGATGCCTCGCTGCATACAGAAGAGCACTTGGCGTTGAGAGATGGGGCAAGTCTGGCCAGCAGCGATGTGCCCGCCGAACGACCAATCCTTGCGCCAAGCTACGACCAGCCTTTACCAACACCAAAACAGAGTCGTACTCGCCGGCGGCTTAGCAAGAGACATCGGAGGCCTACTTAGGAGCCCTGCCATGGTGAGTATTAATGCAGACTGCTCTGAATGTACGTCGTACTGACGTGATTCAGATGTATTTAGCATTCAAAAACGAGCGTTTCCACCACATCATTGCGTTGCACTCCACTTCTGTCTTTAAAACCAAGCGTATGCAAATTACCCCTCAGAGGATCTATATCAGTTCTGCCTCGCGACGTATCGATATTACGCGGTCGCTCGCATTTCTCGTTTTCCACTCGCGTAAACACAGCCACACCACTTCATTGGCTGATCCCCAAGGCGATCTCTAGGGCTCACTCGTATCGTGCGCTTCATGACAAGGACCCAATCACATAGTTCGCATACTCTCCCCATTTTTCGCATTCCTTCGTCGGTCATGGCGGAGTGGTTCGTACAGATGTGTGACGATACAGCGGCGAAGCGTTTACATAAGGAACCAGAACTCACACAAGATGTTGAACTTTGAGTCCTTCTTAACACCTGCAACATGAAGTTTCTTGCAGCTTTCCTTTCGTACCTTTCGTCCTCTTTTGTCCTTGCATCTGCGACAGAGGAAGAGTGTAAATGTGTAAGCATTGTGGGGATTTAGCTAAGACCCAATTCTGACATCATTGCCTAGATACCTGCCAGTAGCTGCTGGCCTGCGGACGCTGAATGGTCTTCTCTAAACACAACTCTTAATGGCACGTTAATCCGTGGAGTGCCACCAGGAGCAGTGTGCTACCCAGATCAACCTAGCTACGACGAAGAAGCATGCACATTCGTTGCGTCGCAATGGTTTAACTCAACATGGCATGCAGCAAATCCCGTCAGCGTTGATTATCCTCTCTGGACGAACAACTCTTGCAATCCAATCTGGCCGAACGGCACTAGTCTGACCGGAGATGTTACTGCTGGAGCAAGAGGATGCTCGATTGGCGCTTACCCTGCCTATGTGGTCAACTCGACGGCCCCCGAGCAGGTTGCTGTAGCCTTGATGTGGGCGGACAAGCACAACTTACGTGTCGTCGTCAAGAGCACGGGACATTCCTTGCTAGGGCGTAGCATTGGCTATGGGAGTCTCAGCATCTGGACCCACCATCTCCGCGGCATTGACTACATTGAAGACTTCAAGCCTACGTCGTGTCCGATCGATGGCAAGCTGGCTGCTGCTCGAATTGCAGCAGGCCATACGGGTGTCGAGGTCCATACTGAACTTTCGAAGCACAGCGCAATCGTTGTCACTGGCGCTAATCCGGATGTTGGCTTGGTAGGCTGGCTCACGGGCGGAGGCCATGGTCCGCTGTCAAGGACATATGGCATGGGTGCCGATAACCTCCTCGAAGCGACCATCGTGACTCCAGATGGGAAAAAGCTCCTCGCAAACCCTTGCAAGCATAGTGATATCTTCTTCGCTATCCGTGGTGGTGGCGGAGGTACCTATGGTATCGTTTCCGAAGTTGTTGTCAAAGCATTCCCAACGCCCAAGACGACTGCGCATAGCTTCAGGCTCACGTCACTCAGCCCAAATACATCGACCGAGTTCTAGGAACTCCTAGGTTTCATACATGCGGAAATGCCTCGACTGAAAGATGGTGGTATGCAAGGATACTATTACGTCGGCGGACTACCCATCGTTCCATCGCTCTCGTTTCAGTGGTCATTCTATCTATATGACAAGCCGAATGGAACGGTAGAGAGATTAATGGCGCCCGTTGAAGAGTATCTAAAAGACCGCGGCCATCTCTTTGCGCATCAATCGAATATTACACACGCTGATACATACTTCGACTACTTCGGCGCGGCGTTGGCGAATGAACAGGTAGCTACCGGCGGAATTGCGATAGGTTCACGTCTACTCAGCGCGAGGAGCTTATCAGATCCAAATGCTACTGCGAAAGTGTTTGCAAACATTGGGCCGAGTACAGATCCGCTGAAACCAAATGTACGTTTGCGCAGTACAGTTCCATCAACCGAGACCTCGATCTAACGCAACTAGGCACCGGTCACCAACCCTCTCTTCATCGGCCACATGATCGCGCACCCAGACATCCCTACATATTACCCAGATATCATCTCCATGAACCCTGCTTGGCGCAATACCATCGCGCATTTCATTGTTGTCTCAACCTGGCAAGACGGCATGCCGCAACCCGTCATCGATAGCGTATACAAAGACATTACATACAACAAAACCGAAGCACTTCGCAAGCTATCACCCGAGACGGGAGCGTACTTCAATGAGGCGGACTCATACGAGCCGGGATGGCAGCAGTCTTTCTTTGGCGAGCATTACGATAGACTTAAAGCTATCAAGGAGAAGTATGACCCGCACAATGTCCTTTGGTGTCGACGATGTGTTGGAAGTGAGGCGCTAGTTGAGCAGCCTGATGGCAGATTGTGTGCGCCGCGCTACGAAAAAGGACTTTTCACAGCCAGCGTGAGAAGAGGAAATGGAATAGAGTATACAACTCGGGGTCTAGTGAATCAGATGGGATTGTAAGGAATTTTGTCACTGAGAGTTGAGCAATGCTTGACTACGGATGCTTTGAAGAAAACAGGAAACGGCGTAGCTCGTAGGATTGACTCTCTTGGCGTCAAATTAAAATTACAGATGGGCTCATCTATCCCATTTCTAATTATCTTCAGGCTACAAGTTGGTGGTACCCTTCGACAGGGACATCTCAATTTCCTTCTTCTACCACACACAAGCCTAACCCATCATCTGAATCATCTCCTCGTATGAGGCGTATCCGTGAGCTCCCACGTGAGTCCCTGATATTCAGGCTCATGTTCGGGCCCGACAATCGCTGACCTCTTGATGTAGATATCCGGCCTAGCCAAGGAATTATCGTCTCTTGCCAGGTATATTTTCAGCGACTTGTGCTTGACCAGGTCACCCCACACGACCTCGACTTTTTTCAAGTCTCTCCTCATTGCACGCTGAGTGCTAAGCATGAACCAACAGACCGCGTTTTTCACGTCTTCGAGGCGCAAAATAACCATCCCTTGTACCGGCACTGTTTTTTTATTGTAGCTGAAAGCTATAGTGACGTGGTCGATGTAAGAGGGCATCGCGTCGAGAAGGCGGTAGGTCAGCGAGGCTCGGTAGTCATGGATACCCTTTTGCCTGTTCAGGTCGGCAATGGGGAGGATGAGGATGATATGCGAGAGCAGACCGATGCTTCTGATATCTATGGTAAGTGGCAGAGGGCCAGTGCGGTTGCGGATATGGTTCGTGACGCGTCTGGCAAATTCGGACTCGAGCTCGACCTTGACCTGGCAGCACGTCGCACGGAGTGCTTTGATTTCTGAAAACCATCCGTTGGGAGGGAGTAAGGCGGCGTATACTGCTATGCGGACTTCTGATGGCAGGTCAAGGAGACTCTTACGAGCCTTCTTTGGCTCTGTTCCCTTCAGAACCGTTAGTTTCCTGGCTTGGATCGATTCTACTGACAGCGTGATGCTTACATTTTGTTGGAAGTACTTGCCGGCAGCAACCCCACATCGCAGCAGCATGGCGTAAGCGATGGACCAAATGCCAGCGGAGATGAAGAAGGCCAGTTGCAAGAAGATAAAGATTGTGAGATCCATGGTTGATACACTATTGGCAGAATTGTGTGTTTTGGATGCTGAGCTAGAGCTGAGTGTTGTTATGCTCATGAGAGGGCTAACCGAGTATAAGCACAGGGCAACGCATAAAGTTGCTCTAACACTGTTTCACTCCCTAGTTTGGAACCTTACGTTGTCGTGGTTGTTCGAATCTACGCTGGAGCCTGAAAATCTCCACCTCCAGTGAAAGCACCTCGCAAGTCGACCCCGCCAACTGGCCTGTTCCAAGTCCCGGGTCTCGAGTCCACAGTCAATACACAATGTGTGGGGATGCCTTTCCAACGACTTATATTCGACTAGGGCTGAAATTTCACAATGCCTCAAGAGGTGAAACATGCAAGAGTGTCAGCGTACAGTCCTCCCTCTGTGATATCTAGTCTAGTCATTCTCTCACCAGCACCAAATATACACCTGCACTAGACTCAACTAGACCCATCAGCCCACCGTGATTGCAAACACTCAACTGCTGCCTTTACAACAATAACCACAGCAGCTGTAGCAGACCTTACTACACTATCAAACCGAAAAAATGTCTCAACCGACACATACAGAAGACGCCGAGATGTCCAGCAGCAACGTCGTCAACCAAGTAGCCGAGCACCTCCAGCACACCAACCTGAACAGCAAGGAAGCGAGTGCATGGATCTATTTCCCACAGGGCACAACGCTAGACGAGCAACTGCTCATCCTCGCCGGCGTCGAAGACTGGAAGCTACAAGGCACACAGCCGGGCGCACAATTCAACGAAGCAGACATATCCAGCGAGAACGCGTTAGCGACGAGGAAGCAGGACATGATGACGGGTGAGGGAAACAAGGAACAAGTTGACTTCGCCCACCAAGAAGCCATGGACAAGCATCACACCATGCTGGCTTCCAACTCCGCACACGTGCCTGCAGTCTCACGCTCAACCGCCCGAACGGAAGTACGACAGGAAGATGTCGACGAGTATCTGGCTATGCTGACTGAGCGCTCTTTCCGCGTCTCCACGTCTTCGCCCTCAACCCATTTCCCGGCACTCTAGTGCACTCACTTCTCCCTACGTGGCATTTGGGAAGAGATGGCTAAGTACCGATGAAGCGATGGGATATCGCGCGTGGGCGCTCTAGGGTTGTGAGCTCTGTTTTCATGATTTGATTTGTGCCTGAACTAGCCCGTTAGTAAATATTGGGTTGAATAGCAATCAAACTGCAGTCGGGAAGTATGGTAGCATTTGAAATATTATGCATTCTTAGCCGATAGTGAAAATGTACATATGCGAACGAATCAGGAGACTTTCTAGCCCCTGTCTCCTGGCAGAGCGATATTCGAGTCAATTCCCCTTGCCACCCGCACCCTTCTCACCCTTGGAGCCGGCGTTCCATCCATACTGTCAAGCCACCTCCTCACCCTGAAACGTAAGATAGCCCATCGAATCCTGCACCAGCCACGCGCACTGATCCACAGCCGTCCCACCACCCTAACAGATCTTGACTCCTAATCATCGCTATCGTACTCCTCATCATCCGCAAGGAGTGCAGGGTATTGTCTATTCCTAAGATCCTGTTCAAGACCCCCTTCGCTTTCGGGATCGACGTAGCCTTTTCCTCCAACGAGGGAGAGCAGTACGGGCAGGAGAATGAGTGCGTGTGTGGAAGCCCAGAGGACGAGGGCGACCCAAACGCGGAAATAGTAGATTTCGAAGATCTAGTCAAGATTAGCTAATATTCTGTGAAAAAGATGTAAGATGGATTGAAAATTGGCGATGGGTACATACTTTACTCCTGGTAAATGCCAACACCCCGACACCAAGAATCTTCGTAATCGTAATCCCGCTTACAACACTACTTGCTACATTCACCATCGCAGTCCATGCTCGCGCGTCGCGACCACGGAATCTATTCCGTGGCGCCTTGTCCATAGTCGCGCGGCTAGGGAATGTGAATGCGCGGGCAATATGTGCTGTGAACTCAACACTGATACCGACGGAGATGATGAGATTAACGAGTGAGACAGCGTTTAGCGAGACGCCCAAGATAGCCATGGACCCTATGATGGCAGACACTGTCATGCCGACGACTAGTGTTACGACAAGTGCGGTTGCGAGAGATCCGAGGAGAATAGTGGTGATTACCAAAACGGCAGCGAGGGCTGAGCCGATGAGTGCGCCGGCTAGGCGTACGATGGATATGTACTGGTCGAAGAAGATGTAGAACTTGGAATATGCGAAGACCTCCGTTTCCACATCTTGCGAGATCTCTCGAGAAATGCGACGGGCAGCCGTATAAGCGGCAATAAAGTCCTTCTGGGAACGAAGTGGGGTGTGCGCTGTGCGGAAGTGGGATGCTGGAATGGTGAGATGTTTCGAATCGATGACGAGAGCGTCTGAGTAGGCGGCTTTTCCGCCAAGAGGGCACTCTTCCGTGGTTGGGGCCTCGACCCAGCGTTCGAGGTAATGGATGAACTCCTCACCTTCTGGCATGCCGGATAAAGTCATGTTCCATGGTGGCTGTCGATCTTTGAAGCACGGGTTGCCCTTGCTATCGACGCAGCACTTCTCGTTTTGTGGATTGAGCCATAGGAAGAAGTCATCGAGCCAATTGGCCGCAGAGGCAGCAAGATGCGAGACCTCGGGTCTCTTGCGTTCGGCTTCGATGATATTTGCTAAGCTGGCTTGGTCGCAAGTCGAAAAACGACCACATAGCTCCTTTTGAGGTTTCCGCTCAGTAACGTTGAGATCTTTGGTAACAAAGTAGACTGGTGGGCCGACGTCGAGGTAGTCGTAAAGATCGTTGAAGTAAGGGATAAGGTACGAGTCGCTAGGAATAGCAATACGTTGATCGAGACCAAGCTCAACCCTGGGGAAGAGAGCGATGCCTGCGGTGAAAATAGCAAAGAAAACGGCAATGATACCGACCTTAGTTTTCTTCCCGAGGATGGCAGGCGCATATGTCTTGCGGATGAAGCGCTGTAGTCCACCCTCCTCAACAGCGCCATGACCCACGCCACCTAGATAGCCAGGATCTGCGCGCCCGACACGCACGAAGGGGAAACAATCGGCGCGATTTGTCTCAACGCGATGCTGATTGAGAGCGAGAACAGCGATGAACATGGTGACTTGAAGAATGGCGTTGATAAAGACGGCTCCAGCAGCATATGCAGCAAAGTTGCGAACAGCAGGCATTCCAACAGCGCACCCAAGAGCGAATGCTGTAGTTTCAGTAAGGGCAGAGAGCAAGATCGAGGGGCCCATTCGACCTAAAGCCCGCGAAACGCGGTCCGGTATGCTACCCTCAGGATGACTGATGTTGATACGCTCAAACTCGTGTACGATCAGAAAGATGTTGTCGACGCCGACAGCTAAGACCAGGAATGGAATGACTTCGGCGATGATCAAGGTAACTTTGATGCCAGCAGCAGAGAAAAGTCCGACCGAAGCGGAAACGGACATGAGGACAATGAGGATACCGACTATACCCAACATAAACTTGGACTGTACAAGTGCATTGGCTGGATTGCGGAGAACGGACCGTACTGTGAGCGTTGTAGAGCCGAGAGCAAGGGATGCATACAGGAACATGATGATGTAGCTCACCACAACGATCTTCGCATCTGTGTTGGTGCTCTTGTTCAGTTCTTGCTCGAGACTGACTTCGGTGTTGAAACTCAGTCGCAGGCCTCGCTTCTTAGCATCCTCAGAAACAAACTGCAAGTGATTTTTCAGCTCATTCTCGAAATCCATGGCGCGCTGTTCTTCTGGAGTGCCTTTGGGATGATTCTTCACAACCCATGTGACTACGAGCGCCTTGGCATCCAAGACACTCTCGTTGACGCCACCGAAGAGGAGATGAGGGTCGAGTGGCTGCTGGAAATCCGGCAAGCACTGTGTTGGATTGTCGACGCATTCCTGGAGGTCTTCCCGCCAGCTATGAGGCGATACATTGGCAAAGTCACCCTGAAAATATCCAGAAATGGATTGAACGACGCAAGCATCTCCTATGGGCTTGAAGCACACTTGGTCCAGGGTTACACCGGTTCCATAAGATTTGAGGCGTTGAATCTGATTTTCGACACCGAACCACCAGTCGAGAGTCTCGTAACTTAGCACAGGACCGGAGTCTCCCGAAGTATCATTGACAAGGAAGGCTTGCTCCGCACGGAAAAAGGGCCCAAACTTCTCATCGAAGAAAGCCTTCTCTTGAGCAGCAGCAGAGTCTGGTGAAACCCACAATCGGACGGGATCGGTTTCCACCTCAAATCGCATCCAACCCAAGCTCATTAGGGCGACCACAATAACGCTCGTGACAATGGTAATCACTGGGAATCGAGCACATACGTATCCAAGGCGACTGAACATGCGGTCGCACCAGGTGTTGATGAAGTAGTGCTTAGTAGGTCGGTCGAGCATGCCGACGTTGTGCACAATGTCACCCTCATCCTCATCGTCGCTTGGCTCCAAATCCTGCAACAGACGCATTCGCTCATTCTTGTGCTTGGAATGATTCTGGTAAGCGACATGGCCAGCGACAGCAGTGCACAGTAGCGCAAGGAAGAACGAATAGATGATGATGACGGCGAACGAGAGGCAGGGGAGAAGACCAACGTGGCACTGCTTTTCTTCTTGCACTTCTGGAAGCTCGGTACACGCTCCGCCGCAGTCCAGACAGGCGCATCGGTATAGCTCGTCGGTCGTGTTGCACGGGTACGCGTGCTTGTTCATGCCTTCCATGTCCGGGAACTGGGCCTCGTCTGGCCGCGGGAAGTTGATCTGGAAGGGAGATCCTAGGAACTTCTTGTCCCCTAGAAATTTAAGGAATTGTGTGTAGTTCTTCGCGCCGCCTCCAATGAAGTCCATGGCTTTGCCGTTTGTAGCACCAAACTTGACATCCTTGCAACTGTCGTAGAAGGTGGATGCGTACTCGTCCGACACTAGATAGTCTAGCTCTGTGACGAGAAACTTGTCTCCCTTCGGTTCGGTGCGTGTGACGTTGATGAAGGTGGACTGGTCTGGCGAACAGGTGAATGTGCAGAACTGGTTGTAGAAGTTCTCCTTGCAGGCTGGGCAGGCATTGATGATGGGGGTAGCGCGGTCGAGGTTCGTCTTGAGGGCGTCAAGCTGCTCTTCGACGCAGCATATGTCTGTGTCTGACCACTGGTCGCCGCAGATGTCAACCAGCTTCTTTCTAATGTCGTCATCTGGTGTTTTCGCCAGGCCGTTATCCGGACACGGCAGGTCTGAGCCGAAGAAGCCCTGCTTCCCACAATGCCCTCGTATTGCGCATCTTCCCTTCTCGTGCTTGGATGTGAGGTCTGGTCCAGCCAGCGCTGATCCGGCGAGAATGGCGAGCAACCCTACTGTTGTGACCCTCGGTCCTCGCGAGTGTCGCTGCACCATCTCGCGTGGTCCCGCCTAAGCGGCGTAACGAGTGGATATACGATTGTTTGCGCGTAGCAATTCCGCAAGTGCGAGATGTTGAAAGCACGTCGTGGTGATGTGGAGAACGAGGTGAGCCGAGGTGGCGGGCGGAGCTGTGCAGCTATGTCTTGCAGTGGGGAGAGCTATGATTGAAGAAACGAAAGCGGGAATAACAGATAGCAAGTTATGGAATAGCTACAGCTAGAGTCGTGTCGAAGAATGGGCGCAGTTCACAGACACAGTGCTGTGGTCGAGTCGTGGGTCGTGAGGCGCGCGCGGCGACAGGCAGCTGTTTGCTGCTGCAGCATCCCAACGTCACTGCTTGGCGCCGCTCAGGAACCAACACGGCGATCGTCACGCGCCGGAAGCCACAGCCGAAGCCTGGAACCCGTCTGGTCACATACCACCACACCACATCATCATCCACACAAGCATACGAAGCGCCCAACCATCTGTCTGTCTGTCTGTCTTCTGTGTTGTAACATTTGTTTCATTGCCAAATGTCCAGTCATGCTATCTAGTGTCATAAAGCCGTGGTATCAATATGTCCTTATACCGTCCATCCCTCCATCCTTGTCAATTGTCCAGTGTCTTCCGACGGGTATCCTTCGCTCCTATGTAAACCAAGAAACCATCTACTTGCGCAAATACTGCACAAGCTCGACAAGCTGCGAGCGCGTCTCATCCTCCAGCTGCTCCTCAGGCGATCCAAGTACCTGCTCGAAAATGGGCATCAATGTGGGCGTGAGCTGCTGGATCGTCGGCTCATTCTGCTGGTATAGCTTGACAATCATGCCGAACACAGGCTTGTTCTCCTCGTAGTCCTCGCGAAGCGGCAAGAGTTGCACGAGACGGGGGAGAACCTCGGAGATGGGGAGCTTGCTGGGATGCTTCGAGATGAATCTGCTAACACATCCTGCCGAGTTGTCAAGCAAGCGCGCCTGGTCCCGCGCATCAAGAAGGGGCTCAAGCTTGGAGAAAATGGTAGGCAACGACTTGAGGATCTCGTCGTCGTTCGTCGTCATCTCGCATAGGAGCCCAATACCATATACGGCATTGGACTTGGTGTCTGGGTCCTCGTCCGAGAGGCGGTGAAGGAGGAGCTTCAGGAGGGAACTCGTGTACGGCGTGCAGCCGGCACCCATGTTTCCGACGCACTCTGCAATGGTTCCGACAGCCGCGCTTCGCTCTGTCGACTCCTGGCTACTGGCGTACTTGACAATGGGCTTCTCGAACATCTTCCAGAGCTCGGTGAACTGCGAGCCCAAAGCAACCGAAAGGCATGTGACTACTTCCAGCGCTGTTTCAATGACGAGCCAGTCATACTCAGATGACTCATCAAGGATATCGTCCTCGCCCTCATCGCCAATATCTTGCTGGCACGGATGACGTTTCGTGATGACGGCAAGCAACTGCTGGCAGATGTCGGGAACGACAGTGCCATTTTCAGTCATGAGCGCAGCAGGTCCACAAAGCTTGAGAGTAGCCGCAACGTCGCGGTTGATATCGGTAACCGTGCCCCTAGACCATGTCAGTAACAATCTTGAAGAACAGTCATGACGTTATTTCAAATGGTAATGAAAAGAAGCTCAGACGTGATTTCGCTTTCACCTCAAGTGCACTTTGTGCATCGGAGTGAGCTGGGATTAACGAAGAATGTGTCATCTCGGCAAGTGTGGGGTTGTAGGGCTTGGCACAAAAAGAGTGTACGTACCGATCCATCTCATCTTGCCAGACAGACATAGTCGCTGTCATGACAAGGTTGCCGAGCTTCTTCAACTCCTCAGGCGGCTCAACTGTCAGCGGAAGACCAGGCTGCCACTTTGCCATACCATCGCCCTCAGCCATGCCGAAGAGGCAGGCAAAGGTGCGCCATAGCGTGCCAAGAGCAGCCTTACGGATGCCTTCATACGAATGATCTACAAGCTCCAACAGCTTTGTGACTGTGGTCTCGAGATATGGAATGTATTCGCGGCGAGTGTGGGTGATGATGTCTCCGTAGACTTCTGCTGCAATCTCCTTCTCCATGGCAACGGCAGAGACACCCTCGAGATCGTCCCAGTCTTCATCATCATCCTCATCCATAGCGGCCTCATTCAAGTCGCTGTCATCATCATCGTCGGAAGCAGCAGCCACCTTGATCTTGCGACCCTGAATGATAACCTCAGAGCCAGCTAATTCCGCAGCCTCTTCGCCAAGCTCGACATCATGACCAGTCTCTTCTTGCTCAAGGCAGTCCTGTAGACCCTTGACCGCGCCAGGAAGGTATTTGGCAAATTGCTCTTCATACACCTTTGCCATCGTGCTCCAGAGAATATAGCTAGTCTCGCGCAGGCGGGGATGATCCAAGTGGAGGGCCTCTTCGGAAGCCTCCATAAGAGGTAACACGTAGGGTTCGAACGGCTCAGGGCCAACAGCGGAGGCAAGCTTGCCCATGGCATCACAAGTGACGCCACGCAGATCAAGCTCATCCTGGCTGTCCTTGACCCTAACGTACGGTGACAGAGCGTTCATGGTCTGCTCAAAGTACGGGAGGAAAGCCTTCTCAGAAGCAGAGGCAATGGAGCCAACGGCGCCGATGGCTGCGCTCTTGACCTTCAAGTCCTCATGATGGAAAAGTTTGCTGAAGCGGGGAACCAGCTCTGGCACATACTTGCCAGCATCCTCTGGTTCAAGTCCCTCGATGAGTGAGTCGATGGCGTGGCAGCTACCTCGGATGATGGAAAGATTACGCTCATCTTCCGCGTTCTGTATAGTGCTGGCAGCAAGATCAAAGTTCTTGATCATGGCGGGGATGAGTCGGGCATGCTCCTTGCCAACGTCCTCGGCCAGGTCATCGGCCAAACGAGCAACACCGTTTAGTGCGGCAGCTCGGACCTTGAGCTCCGGATCTTCAAGCAGGTGCAGGACCATGGGCAGAATCTCGTTGAGTTGGGTAGCAATGAAGTCGGGTGCACCCTCTACGCACATGCCCAAGGCCAAGATACCAGCCTGGCGATAGTCGGGGTTTTGCGATGTGAAGTAGTTACCAAGGTTCTTGAGGAGGGGAATGACGACCTGGCTAGGAGGCAAGCTGGAGGCGAGAATGTCGAGGAGGCCAAGAGCGGAGCGAGCTGGTGTGACGTCCTCATCCTCGCTGGACAGGTCGCCCAACTCGGTGACGATATGCAGAGCCTTGAGAGTCAGCTCCTCACCGATCCTCAAAGCCTGAACCTTCAACTTCTTGAAGCGAACGCACTGCATGAGGAATGCAAGAGCCTGAGACCTGTAGTCGTCCTCGACGCTCGTGCTCGACGCAAGCTCAAGCATAAACTTGACGAGGTCGCCGAAGTGCTTCGCCAGAAGAGCAGAATCGCAAGCAAGAAGGGTCTGGAAGACTTCAAAGGCCTGCATTGCGCGGTCCTCATCGCCCTCGTCCACAGTGGCCTTCAAAACGGTCACCATGGCAGGAATGGAATCCTGGAACAGAGCAACCGACTTTGGATCCTCTTCAGGCTCCAGAAGCATGGCCAATCGACTCAGACCCAGAAGTGTGTTGATCCTGACCTCTACACTCTCAGGGTCTTGAATGGTAGTGCTGAAGAGCTTGTATAGGTCGGCTGGCTTTCCGGGGAAAGCGTCACCGACCGACTCCACCGTTGTCCAGATGATGTATGTTCCAACCTCACGGTGTCGGGCTGTCGGGCTTGTAGCGGCCTGGTGTAGATAGCCAGGTAAATCGGCCCACTCTCCCTCCTCAAAATCGTGTGCGGCAATAGCGGCGATCACGCGGGCAGCCGAGTGCCGAGTTAGGGTAACATCCTCGTTCAGAGTGAACTGGAACAGCTGGTTGCGGAGAGAGCTCTTCTGGTCCGCAGGCAGATCCGCCCAGTGCTTCGTCACAAGCTTCCTCGCTTCGACAGCGGCCAGCTGGCGAAGCTCAGACTTGGGGTGCCCACAAAGGATCTGAAGAAGGGCATTGAGGGAGGCGGGGGAGTTGTAGTAGTTCTTGTTAAGAGTGGAGGTAGCAGTCTTGACACGCTCGGTGTCGGCTGGGTAATGTTAGGATGGAGGCTTCGAGGCGAGTGAGGGAAAACTTACGCTGCAGAAGGCCCTCGAGCAACTGCACGAACTGTTGCTCGTCCATGGCGGTTGCTTTTACAGTAGATGTAATGTAAAAGGCAAGCCTTGGGAGATCAGTCGCAGAACAGCGAAAGACCAGAATTTTTTGACAATTGTGGAAGAAGAAGGAGTGTGCTGGACACCGAGGTGGGGAAGATTCGAAAAAAAGTTGGCGCCTCGCAGGGTCTGACCCGAAATGGTTTAGCCTGCAGAGGACGAAAACACGGCCAACACCCCAGCCAATGAATGGTGCTTTAGGAGGACAATACTCCAAGTGCCCGGCAATACAGTGGCAGTTTGTATTGTAATTGTAGGAGACGATGAGTCCAGCTGTCTAAAACACGCCAGCCAAGGCACCAGGGTCTCGTCCATTTGAAGGGACAATGGCCTGCGGACAGCCATGGCTCTGGTGACCCTCCCTGTCTCGTACATTTGAAGTACGGTTGGTGTCCCAACATAGCGGAGAAGCTACAACAGAGGATCAAGGACTTTCGTCTTCGACGCCGTGTCGTGGAAAGACAACTGGCACCATGCTTGAGATGTAGGTTGCGAATCCAACGCGCGTTGTTCCTTGCATGCTTGGACAGTGAGACCGAATCGGAGACGAACCGTGGCTAGGTGCGTAGGAGGATGGTAGAGTGTGGTAGATCAGGAGATGCTTGACGACGAGAAGACAGTGAATAGATACACTTGGTAGCCGATGGCAGAGGAGGACAGGAGAGACATGAAAGTCGAGACAGGTCCAGTGTTGATAGAAGGCGCTAGTGGGTGATCTGTGCGGCCAGCTGGTAGCAAAAACAGCAGGAGCAACGTTGGAACAGCACAAACTCGCCGCTGCCATCACCAAAACCGAGGGGCTTCTCTACCTACCACTACTTCTTCTACGCCCAACTCCACATTACCCCATCTCACCGCAGCCCACAGCTCACGTCCCCCGTATTCCACCTCTGGCATCTCCGTTTGAACTCTCCGCCTGCGACTCCATGGCTTCAGTATGTCCTAGCATCCCTCGACTTCCAATATCCTGCTTTCCAGGCTCCCCATATTGACTACCTCCAGCAAGCTCCCAACCAGCCGCGCCCGTATCCCGGCAGCTACCTCCCTAATGGTGGTGTTTCTGGCGCTCCATCCGGGCCTGCGCCTGGAGCCGTTCCGCTGCTCCCCAATCAAGGCCGCGTGATCCAGCAAGGCAGCGTCAGGGTGCTCTGCGTCGCGGACGTACGAGGTGAGAACATGACCACTATTCACAATTTGGCCTACTCGACTAACCTGGGACAGGAAACCTGCAATCGCTCAACCAGCTCGCCGCAGACGCACGGGCAAACTACATCATCCACACTGGCGACTTTGGCTTCTACGATGACCGCTCGCTCGATCGCATCGCCGAAAAGTGCGTTGATACACGCAGCTGCAGTGATGAAATCGAACAAGGCTGACTGGCGTAGGACACTCAAGCACGTCGCGCAGTACTCGCCCCTACTCTCTGATAACGTCAAGCGCTCCATCGCCTCCGCGCCGCCGCAACCGCCCGTCAAGGAACGTTTCGCACGGGAGCACCTGCCCCTCTCAGAGCTGCCCCTCTTTCTCAACAAGACCTATACACTGAATGTGCCCGTATACACTGTGTGGGGTGCATGTGAAGATGTGCAGGTCCTGGAGAAGCTGCGGTCCGGCGAATACAAGGTAGACAATCTGCACATCATCGACGAGGCGCACTCACGGCTGCTGGATGTGGGCGGCGTCAAGCTACGACTACTAGGTCTTGGTGGCGCAGTGGTCATGCACAAGCTGTTCGACAACGGCGAGGGCAGGACCACGATTGCAGGTGGCCAAGGCACCATGTGGACCACGCTGCTGCAGATGGGAGAGCTCGTTGACACGGCAAATCGCGTATACGATCCCACCGAGACCCGCATATTCGTCACACACGCTTCACCCGCACGTGAAGGCCTGCTCAACCAACTGTCCGTCACGCTGAAGGCAGACTTCTCTGTCTCGGCTGGTCTGCATTTCCGCTACGGCAGCTCGTACAACGAGTTCAGTGTCAATCCCACGCTCGACCATTACCGTGGCAAGCTTGCTGCCTCAAAAGCTTCCTTTAACGATGTCTGGGACACGGTCAAGACAGAGGTTGAGCCCGCAGTCGCGGACAGTGATTCACAACAGCGGCTGCTTGCGCTAGCCCTCGACATCGTCAACAAGATGCCCACCGTCGCAAATGGCGGCAACCCCTTTGGTGGCCCGGCTCCCGGTCCTCAGAGTGGCGTCATCGACGAGAGCGCTTTCAAGAATATGTGGAACTTCAACCTGGCAGATGCCGCTTACGGATGGCTTGTCTTAGACATTGACAATGGTAGAATCGGTACCGAGATGAGGGCCCAGGGTTTCAACTTCGCACACCGTGGTGGTAAGCTTGCGCCCGGGCAGACTCAGCCCACCGCGGCCAACGCTACCACTGGTCCTCCTGCCACCGTTCCTAGCCCTGCTGGTCAACCATCCCCAGCCCCAGGAGGTCCTCGCGGTCCTCCATCACACACTCCCCAACAACCCCGCCCAGCTGTCGCAACCCCACCAGTTCCTCAACAGCAACAGCAGATCAAGCCTGGCCAGCCTACACGGACAGGTCCTTCTCCTGCTCCTGCCGCTGCGTCCAAAGACCCTGTCAAGGCCGCTACCCCACAGCCGAGCACATCCACTAACAACGCGCCTGCCAATGCCGCCGCTGAGAAGGCCATCCCAAGCGAAGTGAAGCCTAATGGCACTGCTGCGCCAGAGAAAGGTCCTGCCTCGCCAGCGCCCAGGGAGCCAGTCGAGCGCAAGGAGAGCAAGGGGCTCTTCATCGCTGGCGTGAAAGACGAGGACGAAGCAAAGAGTCTACTTGCTGAGGAGGACAGGTCGAAGATCGAGAAGATGGAGAAGATTAAGCACTTCTTCGTCGCCCACTTTGCCACCCCAGCCGATATGCAAGGCGCACTCCGCCGCGTTTCTGATGATGTTAGGAATGCTCGAGGTGGCCCAGAGAAGCAAACTGTCAAGATCTACAACGAGCGTCCCAACAACGCCCCTAGGTACGGTGCCGGCAGCTGGCAAGCTAGCACCCGCGGCGGTGTCCAGAGCGGCGGCTACAGGAGCGGAGGCGCCTCGGACAGCGAAGGAGGACGTGGTGGTCGCGGTGGACTTCGTGGCGGCCGAGGTGGCGAGCGCGGTGGTCGTGGCGGCGAGCGAGGTGGTCGTGGAGGCCGCGGTGGAAGGGGATCCTTCAGAGGTGGAGCGGGCGAAGGTGCTCCTGCAGCATCAACGGGAGGCGAGTCATAAGAAGCATGACCGCATCCCTACACCCTAATCTACTCTGATACCCCTTCTCCGGTCTCTGCTAATGTAAGAGCAGGGCGCGCGCTAAAGGGCCTTAACATGTCTTCTACCGTCGTCTGCTATCCACATTAGCTATTTCCATGTTCGTTCAAGACGACGACTTCAAGCGGGCGCATGTCGTGTTTCTTTTCTTCGTACTCTTGGTAGAAGCGAAAAGGTGGTTGGCGTGGTTTTCGGTGTCCTCTTGTGGCTTGCTCAGCAGCGTATATAGCTTGGGAGTCAGTTACATGTGATCCATTTCCATTTGATTGGATCACGATAGGATACTGCGGTTTTGTCAGAGTAGCATGTATGTATTGTAATGTCGAAAACCCATAGAGGCCAATTTTTTGTTTATTGATTATGCATGTATGCGCGGTGAACTGTTCTCGACATCAGATCTAGTCATTGGATTTGTTGTTTGGCACCAGAGGTAATGCATCGATTTTATCACTTTTGTTGTCGACAGGGTGACAAAAGTCCCAACCAAGCCCTCCATACGTGTTTGGAACGCAAAATACAGAGATGTTCGGGAAGTTGTTGGGTGCGCTGGCATGCCTGGCTGCGACGCCTGTGCGATATAGGAGAGTGATTATCTCACTGCAGAGGCATGAGATTGCCGTATCCAAGCCCGGGGAAAGTGAGGGCGTTGAGAATAGGTGAACGTTGCTAATGAATTGAAGAACGGGTTTGCGGCTAGAACGAGTTAGGTGCTGATCATGTATGTTCCCGGTACCAACTTCATTTTCATGCTTATACGTATTCTCTCTGTATTGATAGTCTTTTTACACAGAAGGGTGTTTCAAGTCTAGTCTCGCTACACTACACCAAGTCGCAATATGCCAAAGCATGATATAAAAATATTCCGAATAAAACGACTTGCAACGTTTCCTTCCTCCTACAACATGGGTCGAGTAGTGAACTTGCTTCCTACACCACGTCCTTGCCTAGCTCATTCTAATCATAATTTCGAAATTCCCTTGTCAAGCCTACACTCATAGCTGATTCGGGTGACCGCTATCATTATAGCCATGTTTATCGACTTCTTCTTTAAACAGTTCTTGATGGTGTTATATATATGCTTGGGAGGTTCCCAAGTTCTCGAGATCATCATGTTCCGTTAGACGTTGAACTCACTCGAGTGACCCAGACAGAGCTTAATACGATGCGATTGTTCAGCCTGAGAATGCGTCATAGTATGCACTGTGCCATTCGGTCCATCCCACACTCTAGGCCGGGCGCATGTGTTTGTTTGTCCACGATGTCTCATCAGATTCTTCAGGCTTGCTTCGAACCATTAAAGACACGGGATTAAACTATTCCTCTTTGTCCGTCTCTAAGCCATCGCGTACAAGTGTTGTGAAGATTTGACCTTGGCCTCTCCTCGTGATCTACCCCTCCGAACCGACCTTTTCGGACGACTCTTCGACGATTAGTTTTTCTCATCATCCCCATCGTAACCAAGCTCTAGCGTCCACTCGACGTCATCCGCCTGTGGAGCCACCCTCTTTACCATTGGTTGTGAGCCATCCTACGAGCCCACCTCATCAGCCCAGCTGCGGCCTTTCTCCAGGGGCGATGGTAAGCCAAAAGACTCCTGCTTCTTGATGCTAGGTCGATCTTCTTCGCTGTTCTTGGTTTCCGAAGTCTTGCCCCTGATCGGGAAGTCAAGGACCTTGGGTGTATCGGTATCCTTTGGTGCGGCTGGAGCGGCCGAGGAAGGTAGTTCGGGGAAGTCTGTTGCAGAAGGCGGTTGCTGGTCTTGACGCTTCTTGTGCTCTGGCTGTCTCGATCCATCGTGGTCGCCCCGTCCACCTCTGCCACCTCGACCGCCTCGACCTCTGCCTCTTCCGCGATAAGACTGTGATGAACCGAATTCCTCAGTCTGCTCGCCGGCGAATCCGCTGTCGGCTGGCCTTGAAGGCGCAATGCCACCATGAGCTCCTCTTGCCGCACCCCGCTGCCTTTCTTCCCCAGTACCCGAGAAGCCTTCCTCCTTCTCAAAATCCCACTCTCTGCCCCCTTGCGCATTGAGCTTCCGCAGCCTGTTCTTCTCGCGCTCACCCATCATCTGCTGGCGGTTCTGGCGCTCTGCCTTCTGCTTTTCAGCGAGAACCTTCTTGCGTTCCACGTCCTGTTTTTTCAACACGGCTTCGCGAGCCTCGAATTTGGCCAGGTCAGCTTCTGCACGAGCGTGGGCAGTCTGCAAGGCCTCGTTTTTGGAGCGCATATTCGCAAGCTTGGTATTCAATTGTGCTTCAGTGAGACGCGTGCGTGCAGCACCGCCAGTCAACGTTCTGTCGCCACGGACAGAGTGTATAGGCTTCTCCTTGGGATCTGTGGGAGTAGATGACGTGGCTGGCGACTCTGTGGCCTCGGAAGTCGAGGCGTTGGCCGCTGCCGGCGAGGGCTCTGCTTCTTTTGGTGTCTCGCTGTGTGTCTTCTTCTCCCCTTCTTCTCGGATGTCTGTATTGTGGCCACCGCGACCACGACCTCGGCCCCTTCCTCGTCCACGGCCGCGACCTCCTCTTTCCGTGTTTCTGGGCTCTCTGGGTGTATGAGGTGGCAGGTGCGATTGAGGCGCAGTTGGAGGCTGGATGTCTTCGGGGATGAATTCGGCTGCAGATGCGTGCAGTGCTAGAGGGCTTTGCTCAACGACGGGTTCGGCTATGGGTATGATATCGTCGTCGAAGAAGAGGTCGTCGGTGCTTGCAGTCTGAGCGAATGGGTCTATTGACGGATCATCATAGGCGGGGTCATATGACATGGTAGCGGGCTAGTCGTGATGTTAATATGTATGTTGCAGTATGAGATGGTCTCAAAGAGGTCGTCTGAAGTATGGTGCTAGACTTACTGGAGGAGCGTAACTGGCTAGTATTGGCTCTGGCTCTGGCTCTGGCTGTGTGGGCGCATTCGATACTGCGGCCTCTTGCGTCTCGGTTGGTGCCGTTGGCTCTGTCGCCGATTCGGCCTTGGGCGCCCATCGTGATTGTAACATGATTTAACGAGCTGTAGTGTTATAATAAGCGGGAAAAATAGTGTGATTGTGTAACTGATGTGGGCTGGAGATGTGATGTTGAAACATGTGGTCAAATTATCTGCGGGAAAGGTCAAAGCTCCGCCCTAGATTCGAACTCCCCGCACTTTGTCTACACCCCTGCGTAATGCCTGCCATATCGTCGTATCTTTCTTTCCGTACCATCTGTACCTCGAGGAGACGACTTCAGGTCATGACACATCTCCTGTTGCTTTTGTTCAAAATGAAATCCACCGCCTGTCCGCCCTTCATACTGCGCACCATGCACGAAGCTTAAATACCCACGCCCGCCTCCACGCGCCTCCACTTCTGTCGGTCCTACTACAACTACCGTGATAGGCCGCGTGGACTTGGTTGTGTTGCTAGGTCCTATTCATTGCTGACTTCGTAGAATCGAGTCAAGCTATGCTTTTATATGAAGACTTTGATCATTCCACTGCTTTGCCATCGACCGTTCTTCAACTCTCTTTCGCTTTGACGCTTCTTAGACAAACATGACATCCACCATGAAAGCAGCACAGTTCTTCGGTCAGCGGGACATTCGCGTCGTCGAAATAGCAAAGCCTCAACCAAAAGATCACGAAGCGCTCGTTGCCATCGAGTGGTGCGGCATCTGCGGTAGTGATCTGCACGAATACCTTCACGGTACACACTCAGTGCTGACGCCTTCTGCTAGACTTCAGCTGACCTTGCCAAAGGGCCCCTCACCATTCCGACCAAGGAACGCCCACACGCCATCACAGGAGAGCACATCCCCATCACCATGGGCCATGAATTTTGCGGGCGCGTCATCAGCGCCCCCTCCGGTTCAAGCCTGACCTCGGGCCAGGCAGTCATGGTCGACCCGCGCATCTACTGCAGCAAGTGCTCTCGATGTAATACTGGCGGTACCCAAGGATGCACTACAGGAGGCTTCAAAGGCCTCTCAGGGACCGGCGGCGGCTTCTCAGAAACCGTTGCGATCGATGCGAAGCTATGCTATCCGCTCCCTGACTCTGTAGACTTGAGTCTGGCTGCACTAATCGAGCCCCTGGCTGTGGCATGGCACGCAATTTCGTTATGTGGGGTACCGGACTGGACGAACAAATCCGCCCTGATCCTAGGAGGCGGGCCCGTGGGCATCGCACACATCTTCGTCCTTCGGTCCCTTGGGTGCAAGCAGATCTACGTTTCAGAACCGACGGACTCACGTGCTGCTCAAAACAAAACGGTTGCAGATGCAGTGTTCAATCCAATCAAGGACGATGTTGGCGATAAGTGTCGTGACCTCACTAGAGGCGAGGGTGTCGATACTGTTTTCGATTGCGCGGGCATTCAAAATGGCATGGGCGCAGGTATGGATGCACTGCGATTCCAGGGAACATATATGGCAAGTCTACGCGGTATAATGTGCCTACTGTCTTCGGACAGCTTTGAACATGTACCTATTCTTTCATCAACACTTGCTAACTTGCTATAGGTATGTCAATCTTGTTCCTAAACCTTGCTCTGTAGCATTGGCTTCACAAAGCTCGAGACACTACCTCTTATAGGAGCATACACTAATTTCACCGCGTGGTAGAACGTAGCTCTATGGCCGACGCCGGTAAGTGTACTGGGACACCTACGTACTCGCGAGACTAAAATCTCGCAGATGGTCATGCCATTTTACCCACTCATGTCAAAAGAGATTACGACAAAGTGCAGTCTAGCCTATAACGACAAAGACTTCAATGATACAACTGATGCCTTTGTTGCAGGTTAGTTCCATAATTGAAAATATGGTTCTGGATTAACAGCATCTAGGCAAATTCAAGGGAATTGAGCTCATGGTAACTAGTCGCATTCACATCGATGACATATCGAAGAAAGGCTTCGATGAATTGGTAACGAACAAGGATCAGCATATCAAGATCCTAGTGACTCCTGATAAGTCGATGGTTTAATTTGTACAAGACTCTAGGAGGCATATCTTACACACTCCTATGTGTTTCAAACCCGTCTTGGAACCGCTGTAAGCAGGCAATGAGAAGTGCAGCCTGGGTCGGGCGTTCTTTCAGTCAAGCTAGCTAATGATAGCTCGAAGAGGTAGTAGTACTTATAAGTGCATCAACAGAAGTGGCTTCTGGCACCTGCCTCTTGTATGACACAGCTCAGCTAACTTTCCGTCATCTCGGAGGGGCGTATTCTAAAGTCTGTTTCAACTATACACTGACGCCTCTTCCCTTTTTTTAACTGTCCATGCGAGTCCTACACCCAATTGCGAGACTCTGCGCTTCCTAACTACCTAAAATATAATAACAATGAGAACTAATGCCGGGCGTAGACATTAGCATACCGCTGACACATGTAAGCTGCGGGAAAATAAAGGGCCGCTGAGGGGTAACAACACAGATCCCCCCTTATAAGTAATCATTGCCTTTTGAATTAGCTTTTCGTATTGCCTTGAAAACATCAACTGACTACTTCACTTCAACGCTCTCCAACATCATGTCGAAACGTTCAGGCCCTCTAGCCCCTGGTGTGGCTTTCATCATAGGCGGAGCACGAGGTCTCGGAAACGCGGTCGCTGTGTCATTTGCCAAAGAAGGAGCAAGAGGCGTGGTGCTTGTGGATATCCAAGACGAGCAGACGTTTGCTGAAGGACAGAAAAACGTCGAGGAATATGGGACTGAGGTAAGGTCGTCGCTCACTCAATTTTCTTAATAGTATGCTAACTCTCTAAAGTGCCTTCGCATCCGTGCCGATGTAACAAAAGAGGCGGACGTGGAGCAGGCCGTTCAACAAGCAGTCGAAAAATTCGGCCGCATAGACTACGCAGCCAACTTCGCCGGCATCCTCGGACCCAGAGACCCCATATCCGAGATTTCCCTACCCGAGTGGCAGAAGACGCAAGACGTAAACTCCACTGGTATGCTCGTCGCCACAAAGTATGAGATGCGCCAGATGATGAAGCAGGCTTCGATCGACGGCATCGAGGAAGGCCGCGTTCCTCAACAGGGTTCGATAGTGAACTGCGCCAGTGTAAATAGTCTATTCAGCGTAGCTGGAACGGTAGCGTACACGGCTTCAAAACATGCATGCCACGGAATTACCAAGGCAGCTGCTCTCGAAGGCCGGACACATAACATCCGCGTCAACGCCGTGTCCCCTGGGTTCCTGCCGACAAAGCTGGTAGAGATGGGCGAGGACGAGGAAGCGAACGAAGCATGGAAGACACTGTGGCGAGGGTTAACAAATAGGCAAGGGAGAAATGCAACGTTAGAGGAGGTGGGAGATGTTGTCGTGCTTCTGAGTCTGCCGAGGATGAGCTTGGTTAATGCGCAGAATTTGTTCATTGATGGCGGATTCACTATAAATGCAGGGAACTTCTAGAGATCAGTTAACAGTTTATGTGGAATTGGAATTGAATGTAGCTGCTGATTACTGTTTGACAAGTTTAATTTTGTTTCCATATACAATGTTTGTACGAGGTCGTCAACCCAAATAAGTACCAAGGAACTCATTAAAGCTGAATCAAGGTCTTATTAACTGTTACTAACCACCTTGATTCGACATCTGTACCATGGAAACCAATGAGAAAGACAAATATAGTTGCTGCTACTGGATTTTTTTCAAACCGCGGCTCATAACGCCCATCCATCCATGCATCGCAATGTGAAGATCCAAACCCGTATATGCTATTTCGCAAAACTCAAAATGGCCCCAGGGAAATGAATATGAAATATAGAAATCGGTGCAATGGTCACATCGCCAATCTTACGCTGCAAGCATATTGATGCCCAAGCCCATATGATTGGCAAGCTTTCGCATAAGGTCGGCATCTGGGCAGGACCAGTGGATGCCAGGGAAAATATAACCACTACCAACTCGTACTGGCGAAGTAGAGTGATGTGTGAGTGGCGTGCACACTCGGTCTTCGAAATAGGAGGAAGCTCGACTATGCTTCGCGCTACTAGAAGCCGAGTTGCCGGAAGACTCGATGCCCAGCATACGCTTCAGCTTGTTGGAAGATGTATCCGATGTGGTGTACACCGATAGCGAGTTTATATCGCGGGTGACATTGTTCTCCGATTCCTTGACATTGTCTCTGCGCTCTTTTACCTTCATGCTAATGATGGCAGGATCACCGTTGGGAAGAGTAACGAAAGGAACGAACGTGTTGGCCTTCGGATTCAATGAGCTGTTGGAGCTCAGGTTGTGAATAACCTTGCTATTGGTGCTAGATGCAACGGAGAAGAGCTGCTCGATGGAGATGGTATGCCCGTGACGAAAGCACTGAACTGCTTGTTGCGTCTCGATTGACTCAAGAGTGCGTGAGCTGGTTGGGTGAGATGTGCCCACCTTCTTGGCACCAGTGCTAGAGACCATAGTGAAGAGTTGGTCGATTGTAACTTCCTTCTCTTTCGTCTCCACCGTGCATGTCTTGGGTGTGATTGGGGTGGAGCAGATTTCGTTCTCAGTGAGTGTTCGTACAGCCAGAACGTCCAAGATAATCTCAAAGCCGTTATCGTCAAGGCACTTGATACGCGATGACGAGTCATCAATGTCGAGACCATCTAGATCCTCTAGACCAGCGATATCATCTTCAACTCCGATGTCCTGATGGAACTCAGCATCGGCAGGAGCCGCAAAATTCAGACGTGCCAGCATCTGGTTGGGAGTCTCCATGTTGTTGTAGAGCGCAGACTCGAGGGCTTTACGGTGTGCATGGATGTCGAAGATCTGGGTTGAAGACACATCCAAGATAACTTCCGTGGCTTTCTTCGGCTTGTTCTTCTCAGCAGCAGCAACGCGTTTAGCAGTTTGCTTCGCCTTCTGTACCTTCTTATGGTCTTTCAGACCCTTCATCTTCTTGTTGAAATCGTTGGACATGTCGATGGATATGCTAGTGATTGATTGCTGTAAATTTGGTTAGAGATTGAGTTAATATAATTCGAAACTCGGTGGGATTTAGTGATTAAGTACTTTAGGGGACGATAAGAAGCTCACCTTGTGAGGTAACTACGTACGTTGTGAAAATATACTTTGTACGTAGTGAAGATATACGTTGTACGTTGTGAAGGTATAATTGGCGCTTTGTAAGAAAGCGTTTCGCACGTTGTGAACAAATAAGACGAGACCGACGGCGTGAGCTATGTAGTCGCGTAGATGAATAGTAAGCGTGACGGTAGTAGTGCGTATGTTTTGAAGAAGTAGGGTCGAAAGAGATTATGTATAGGTTTGGTTGGCCACGGGCTTGGAAATCGTCAGGTTGACGAGGTATAGTCGCAGTGTGCTGGGTCGAGAGAACTGGCTGCGGAGGAGGTCGTTATGTACACATTGTGCGTTGTTTGCGAGCTTTCCCTTTGACGTATAACCACTGGTGCATTCTGACGCTAGACCAAATAGGAAATTACTTGATGCAGTGTCCGGTGTTGCTAGGTCAATGTCGACAGCATGGGGGAAATGAATGACGTAGCGGGTAAGAGAGGCGCCAATACCAGGCGTTAGTATTGCATGTGAACGCACTTCTGTGGTACTTTCCCAATGTATACTGAAAATTGCTACACGCAAAACGTCTAATGATTTCTTTTATAATGGCCTTGCGTCTCAAGAGTACTTATTGAGCCATGGTTCATTTCTAGACTAATTTTAAGTGCATGGAGGTTCGTGATTATGTTACTGTTTTCAGAATTGGTCAAGCCAACGGTGAACTATGGTATCAAAAACGAAGCTTTTCAAAGCTCTGTTCGATGGATCCTACACTTTCACTCACATTTCGTGGTAGAAGTTTCAGTTTGGCAATATGGGCCTACTCCATCCGGCGTAGGCGTAGCATCGTGAGCGATGAGGTCAATCCCAATGAGTGTGATGAAAGACCCAGAAAGAACGGGCTCCAATCGCCTCGGACTGACCACATGAGGCAAAACCTATGTCTAGTCGATGCTGATGGGGTTGTCCTTCATTCCTCCGTCTCATCACTCGTAAGGGCGGGTATAGTTACGAGGAGTGCAGCATGCGAGTATAGAGCGTCTACGCCGGCTTGATTTCCATACTATGTAGATTAGCACTCGCTCATATGTGAACTGGTCAAATTACTCACCGTCAGGTGCACCATGTCGAGGGCACTATGGAGAGGCGCATTTACCCAGACAATTTCCACGAAGCGATCACTCCATTGTTCGATAACGTCGTCGATGCTTTCTTCATCACACACACCGATCTCTGTAGGCCAATGTCCTCCAAGGCTACCCATTGCAGTATCCGTGTCGCTTCGCGAATCGCTTCGCGTGTCAAGAATTGCACGTACACTAATGTCCAAGTCGAGAGCCTTGAATACGTTATCCACTCACCCCAGATCTAGTATTCCCCGCATAGAACTGGATTTCTTGCAAGCTTGATCAAATTGCAAGCTCCAACAGGCTTACTCTGTTGGCGCCCAACCGCAAACCGTCGAATGTCGGCACGTCTCGGTCGTTCATCCTCTTGCTCTAAGGTCAAAGCATTAGAGACACTAATATTCCTGCACAAGGATTTTTCAACATCGAGTCAGCGAGTCTGGGAGCCTTTGCGGACCTCATTGATCACGACTGGTTACAACTGAACAGCTGTATAGGATATCTCTAGCGGATCGCCACGTGGGTGGCTGTCACGTAAACGCCAAGGAAGGATAGTCTGTGCCAGGATAGAGTATATTATTTACCTAGCAGCTAGTTTAGCTTAATAAAACTTATAAATATAGATTATTACTTTTATATTATAATAAATTAGTAGCTAAAGCATTTAACAATTTTTATATTTTTTATAATTTTAGTATAGCTAACTGCAATTTGCGCAGCCTTAAAATTAAAGTAGCATTTTAGCTTTATATTACTAGAAATTTTATACTTTAATATAACTAATTTTAAATTAAATTTTAAAATTAAGTATATAATTATATTTTATTATATACTTAGCAAGCAGCATTGCAGGAGCTTTATAATTTATATAATAATTATATTTTTATAAAAATATATTTAATACTATTGCTAAAATACTAGCTTATTATAATAAATAAATATTGCACTAGCATAGCTACTAAAAACTGCTAAGTATAGCAAGTACTTTTTTAAAATTTTTTTAAAAATAGTAATATAATAATTTTAAATTCTAATTAGCTTTTATTAATATAATTATAATTTATTATTAGTTAAGCAAAAGTTCTTACAAAAGCTAATATTTAGCTTATTTAATAATTTATAAACTTTTTTTATTATTTACAGAACTATAATTTAGTAAAAAAAAAAAATTAATAAATACTAGGCAATTATACAACTATACTTAAAATTTCTACTATTTACTTTTTTTTTACTTTTTAAGATATACCTGCAAAAATTCCTAATTTAGCAATACTTTTATTATAAAAGCTAAATATTTTTAGAATATTATTGCTTAAAGTTAAAATTTAGTAGTACTTTATTAAGTATATTAAAAATAGCAAGCCTGCTAAATTCTACTAAAGCACTTTTTATTGCTACTATTTTCTTTTACTTTTTATTACTTTTTTTTATTTAAAAAAATATATACTGTACAGCACTAATTTAACTGTATTTTTCCTTTATTAGAATAGCCTGCTATATTAACTAATAGTAATTACTTTAATATTATAGCTTTTACTATAGTTTATAGCTTATAGCTTTTATTAGTTTAATTAGCTAAATAATAATTAGGCAGCCTTGCTTTATATTATAGCACTTTTTTTTAAAATTTACTAAAAATACTATTATATATACTTATAATTTTATAGCTTATTTAAATAGTTTACTAAAATATTGCTCTTTTATACTTATTAAAATATTTAAAATTGCTATTAGTATACTTAAATTTTATAAAATACTTATATTATTTAAAGCTAAGCTTTAGCGCAGCGTTACTTTTTTAATTTAAAAAACTTAGCCTACTTTTACACTTAAATAGCTTTTTTTTAAAAATTAGGCTAAACTAAAATATTTGCTTACTTAGTTACTATATTTAAAAAAAAATAAGCTGCTAAATAAAATATTAAATATAAAATAAACTTTTTTAATACACAAATATAATTATTTATTATATTATAATTTTTTGCAGACTAGAAGCGTGCAAAATAATTTTATATAATAGTAGAAATTTCTATTATAATAATTTTAGTAATGCTATAAAAATAATACTATATTTAATTATTATTTACTTTACTAAACTTATTTATATATCTAATAATACAGCAAACTTATTAAAAAAATTAGGAAAATAAAAAGTAGCAGTAATACTTTATTATTTTTTCTATTTTTAATTATACGCGGAATTAACTATATACTTATTATATATACTTTTACTATAGTAGCAAATATATAATAGACTTTATTATTTATAATTTTTACTAAAGTTTAGCTTATACAAAAACGCAAGCAGAATAGGAAAAAAGTAATAATTTAGTATATAGTAATAAAATTGCTAGTTTGCAATTTTTTATAATATATAAATACTATTATAACTACTTTATAAGGAAAAGAAGGACTTTTTATAGTATATTTAAAAAATTTAAATTTAGGCATATATTATACAATATTAGAATAGATAACTAAGTTAAGAAACTGCTAGCTAAATAATATATAATAGCTATTTTTATAGCTACTAAATAATTTAAATTTAATTTTAGTAATTAAACTGTAATTAAGCAGATAATAGCAAAAAGATTATTAAAAACTACTAACTATTATATTTAATTGCTAGAATAATTTTTATTAATTAATTTAAAATTAGTTTACTATTAAAAAATTGCTTTTAAAACTTTTACTATAGCAAAGTTAATTTATTATATAAAGAAAACTTAAAAGTATACTTATAAAATTTTAGAATAATATTAGTAAAATATTATATATATATACTTAACTACTATTAATTTAGCACGAAGTCCTAGTGCAAAGTATTTAATAGTAATTTAATAGAAATAAATATTATATATATATAATTAAAAGTAATAGTCTAGCACTGCTACTAAAAAGTAATTTTTAATAAATGCAAAAGTAATATAGCAAACGCGTTATACAACTAAATTAGCTTAGTAATAATATATTAATTAGCTGCTAAATTAGACTTTTCTTAAAAATAAAGCCTATTAATAGTAAAGGCTTTTTTTATATATAATAGGACTAGTATTTATTAAAAGCTTTATATAAAAACTTTTGCCCTTTAATATAGCTATAATATAATTAAAATAATTAAGGTTTTATGCTAAAAAAAGCTAAAATAGCTAATAATAATATATAAGTAAAAGCAATAGGCAGTATTTTAAAATTTATTTTTAAATAAATTAGTTTTTTTTAGCTAAATATGTCCGCGCGCAACTATCTAAATAATATAGTAAATATATTTAATAAAATATACTATTAGAATATCTGCAATTTTATTAATGCTGCAAAAATTATTATTGCTTTTTAAATAATAGCTAAACATACTATTTGTAACAATCTGCACTAATATTTTAAAAAAATAGCTTTTTTTTAGTACTAGTTAAACCTAGGACTAGAATGCAGGCTAAAAGTTATTAGAAAAATAGGCATAAACTAATAAAAAAAAAAGCTAAAATTTTTTTAAGTTTAACTATTTATTGCCTTAAGCTGCCTATAAAAAAAGCAATATAATTTTAAAAATTTAATAAAAAAATACTTTTTAATAGAATAATTTCTAAAAGTTAAACAATTCTGTTAGGATGCTAAATATAGTTATAATAATAATAATTAATATATTATATATATTGTGGTGTAGTAAGTTGGCACGTAATAGATATCCTTAGCAGTAAAGCTGTATCGTAGTTTAAATAAGTAAGGAAAGAAAAAAGCACTAATACTAGCTTGCAATAAAATACTAGAAATACAAATTATACATTTTACTAACTATAAGTTAATGCCTGCCTCTTCTATTTAAATGCGTATTGTAGTATGCTATATTTTTAGTAACTTAATTAAGGGGCGCATAACAGTCTGTTAATAAAATAGGAAAAAGAAATAAATTTATAAAAAAACTAAAAGATCCTAAGGCGGGAAAACCTTAGCACAAAGTTATTAGTACTTAAAATTAAATAAAATTAAGCATTAAGCTAATTCTAAAAACTTGTTAAAATAGTAGCTAAAGTAGTTACTTTTTATTTAAAAGCTTTCTGTGCAGCAAAAACAAAGCAAGTTTTTATAAAAAGCCTGCAGCAATTTGCTTATAACTATACTTTAAAAAAAAATTTAAAAAGTATTTTTTGCAAAACTAATTTTTAAATAAGTATTAGTTAATGCTCTTAGCTAAGGCGGCTTGTTATTTAAGGCGGTAATTAGCGCATAGTATAAAAGAAATACTTTACTTAAGTAAAAAGTAAAAAATACTACTACTATAAAAATTTAAAGCAGTTCTATTTAAAAAGCTATTAGTAATTATTTTAATTTACTTAAGTATTTTACGCAAAGCTAAAATTACAATTATAATCTATATTTAAAAAATAAAATAGTAAAGTCTATTTTATTACTAATATATTATTAAAACTTCTAATAACTTAAAGCAAGTTAATTGTTTAAAGCGAATAATATAGTTAGTACTAATACTTTATTGCATTTTTTGCAGGAAATAGGTTTTGAGTATAAAGGCTAGTTTAAGCTTACTAATATAAATGCGCCGAAATTTAAAAGGCATAATATTATAGAATTTTTAAAAAAATACAATTTTAAGGCTAATTAGGTATTATAAAGCAAAAGTACTTAAAAAATACAGTTTTTATACTTCTATAAAACTTAATACAAAGCATTTATTTAAAGGCTTCTAAGTTATAAAAATAAAAAAAAAAGCTAGGCTAAATATTAGCAGAAGTTGCAGAGTTTTTATGCAGGCTAAAATAAAAGCTAAAAAAAAAGTACCTAAGCCTTTATTAAAAGTTATATAAGCGAAGTTTAGAAGCGCTAGCTTATAGTTAAAATTATTAAGTACTATTAAAACTTTATTATATACTTCTTAGCAGCTCAGCTCTAAAAACAGGTTGCAGAAATTAAAAAAGGCTATTTTTTTTTCTAAAAACTAGCCCAAAAAGATATAAATAGGGTAATGCACTATATATTAAAAGAAAATTGTCTTTAGTTTAAAAATATATTAACTTTTAAAATTAAAAAAATTTACGAGTTTGTTTAAAAACACTAAAAGCAAAAAAAAAAACTAAATACTCTTACTACTAATTATAGCGCAGTAAGCAAGGTGCTAGCCTAAAAAAATATAAAAATTCTAAAAAAACTAATGCTTCTAATTAAAGTAGCTTTAAAAGCTACTGTACTAGGCGTTCTCTACTTGCCTATACTTGCAAAGCTAATTAAAGCAAAAATTAATTTTATTATAGCTAATTTTATCTAGGGCTTTAAAAGGCTAATATTTACTATAAATAAGTTTAATTTCTTTGCAAATAATAATCTAAATATAAAAAAAGTATTAGTATTAAGCAAAAACTATGCAGAAGCTTATAAGCAGCTAGTACTTAAACTATAGTAAAAATTATAAGGGCTTTTTAAAAAAAATAATAGAAGCTTTTAGTTTATCTACCTACCTATAGTTAATCCCTAAGCTAGAATTGTAATAGTAGAAGGCAAAAAACAGACTATAATAAAGTGTTGCTGCTGTAGAAAAAAAAGACATATAATAGCAAATTGCCCTAATTTAGAATTGCTAAAAAAAAATTAGTAGTTTTATACTAAATCTAAAAAAATACTAAGTGGCTAGGCTTAGGCCAAATACTATTTTAGACTTTATTTAACTAATATATAGGGTATTTTCCTAAATAGAAGGTTTGCTTTAAAAGCTTTCAACAGCAAAATATTATAGTAAATACTATAGTTGCTAAAAAATTAATTCTAGGTTACTAATAAGTAGCTAAAAAAGCTTATTAGGTTTGTTCTTCTAAGCTAGTTTAGAGCTAATAAAAAGGTAATTAAAGTTACTTACTTTTTAGCTAGTAGGGAAAGCTACAATATTAAAGTAGATAATAATAAAAGTGCGCTAGCTTAGCAGATAATAGCACTTTAGAAAGCTGCAATATTTCTAGAAATAGTATTGCAAACTAGGGAAGTATATAATACTAAGCCTAGTTTGTACGCAGTAGAAATAAGAAATAAAAGAGTTTAAAAAACTGCAGCAGAGTAGTATTAGAAGAATAATTAGGTTATTAAAAAAAAGCTTATAGTAATTATAGCTCCAAAAATAAAAAGCAGTAAGCTATATAACTAAATTCTCCTATTAGTTAAAGAGGATTCGGAAGATAAGCTCTTCTAATACAGGCCTATTATAGAAGTACCTAAAGTGCAGATAGAAAATACTTAAGTAGATTTATTGCAAAAACGCCTTAGAGCGAATATAACTCTACTAATTATAAAAGATAGTTGGAGTGCGACTATAAGCTTAGAGACTTTTCTGCTGCTTGCAATAAAAGCACAGAAAAAATTGCAGCAGATTTAAATACTAACTACTAAAAACTTAGCAACTATAGCGCAGAATACGTCTCTAAATGTAATAGCCCAGGTAATACTTAATTAAAAAGTAAGAGGACTTTAACAAGTAGATTTACTAGCTATCCTAGCTATAGTAGTAGCTATTAGCAAGGCTATTAAGGATTTGCAAAAACCTATTATTAGATTCTAAACTTCTAGGCGTAGTTTAGGAAAGACTATAAATATTAAAAAAGAAGAGTTAATAAGGAAGAGTTTCTAGAAGATGTTTAACTAGAGATTAAGCTTAGAAAAAACTTTTGCAATTAAGAGTAGAAAAGGATTTAAAAAAGTAATTACTAGGGAAGTATTTAAACGGCTATGCCTAAAGCTTAGTTGTAAATAGCAAAAGCTATTAAAAAATGCTAAGGAAGCAAATAAGATTTATAACTTTTAGAGTTATAAAGTAAAAAATAAAGAAAATAAATATATTAAAAAGTAGTTGTAGCTACTATCCAACTTTTAACTAAAGATTAAAAGCTAATACTAGAAGCTATTAATTAAAAGTTAGCTCTTTACGTATTAGATATTTCTATATAAAGGTATAAGTTAAGCCCTAATTAACACAGGCTTGCAGCTAAATATAATAAGACTATCTACTACAAAAGTTTTTAATATATATATTACTAAACTTAATTAAAAAAAGCTACTAATTAAGCTTTAGTAAGGAATAATTACTGCAAATAAGAGTATAAATTTTTTTATTAGTACTGCATACAAAATACCAATTATAGTTAGTAGGATACTAATCCTGACGCATTTTTAGGTGGTGCAAAAGTTAAGAAAAGCAATCTTACTTAGTACTTTTTAGTATTTAACTGCCCGGCTCTAAATCCACTTTAACACTTTTAGCTATACTATATATTATATTAAGTCCCTTAATAGGCAGAAAGAAGTCTTATTTATAAGGTGCGATTTAGCTCTAATAGCTAATTTAATTGCAATTAACGAGGAGGGAAAAGAGTAGAAAATATACTTATTAAAGAAGTATACTTAATAAAAAATCGCCTAAGAATTTAAGTTTAAGAGTATTAAGATTTTTTTAAAACTAAAGATATTAGTAAAAAGCATAGGGAGATAGGGGAAGACTTTTAAAAATTTTTTAAGGAGCTAAAAAGTTAAAAGTAGCGCTAATTAAGAAGTAAGAAAAGTTTAGGGGAAGTAAATACCTTATACAAAAAAGTAAGCAATAAGGTTTGGCCTATTAATATACTCTAACTAAATTAGCTAATAAAGCTTAAAAAGGAGAATTAGAAAAAAAAAGCTATTGCGCGGTATATTAAGAGAGCATTGTTAAAAAGCCTAGACCTAGGTTTATATAACTATATTTTTAGAAAAAGAACAGTAAGCTTTCTACAGGGGCATTAGTTAACAGCTAAACAGCTAGTAAAAATAAATATAAAAAAAGACCTGCTGCTAAATAAAATTTAACTATTCTAAAGTCTAATATTTTAGTAAAAGGATGCGCTAGCTTAGGACTTTAAAAATATATTAATAATATATTAGAATATTTAGCTACTATATAAGATTTGAACTGTGCTTTATAAAGTATAGCAGGTAAAAGGCTTCTAGTGCCCTAAAAAGCTTAAACCAATTATTATTAATATAATAAGAATAAAGCTAAACTAAAGGACACTTAAGCGCAGCAATAGCTAGTATAGGAATTTATATTTTCTAGTACCTAAGGTTAAAAATCCTACTAAAGCGACAGACTTTTAGTTAATTAATAATGCCTAGTAATATAATGCTGTTATTAAAAGAGATGCGTACATTCCGTCTTCTGCTAATAAATTTTTAAAAAAATTTACTAGAAGGGCAATATATTTATACTTTAATATATTCTTAGAATATAACTAGATTGAATTACACTTAGCTAGCCGAGATATTACAGTATTCTAAACTCTAATTAAGTTTATAAGGTAGTGCACTTTACCGCAAGGAGCTACAAACTTAGTTGCTATATTTATTTGCACTATTATAAAAATTTTTAAAAACTATTTCCTAAATGCAGCACTCTTTATTAATAATATAGGAGTAGCTGGCCTAAAGTCAAAGTACAATAATAAGAAAGTATTAGATAGGATTTATTAATTTATTTTTAAGTATGTATAGCAAGTAGACTAAATGCTTATTAATATAGCCTAAGCTAAAGCAACAGTATTAGCTATAAAGTTTTAGTAGAAAGTATTAAAAATAATTGTAGTTAAATATAAGGTAGACTAGCAAAGTTAATATCCTAGCAATAATAAAGTTTTAAAGATACTAAACTAGCCTAAATGCTAAACAGTAAAAAAGGTTCGACAGTTTGTTGGAATTGCAGTATATTATTAGTAGTAGATCTTCTATTTTTTTTTAAAAGCTAAGCTGCTTTTTAAATTACTTTAAAAGAATGCTAAATAGAGCTAGGGAGAGAGCTAATAAAAAGCAATATAGTTAATTAAGGGCGCAATTACTTAACCTCCCGCGCTAGTAGCAATAGACTATAAAAGAAAAGTAATATACTTTAGAGTAAATGCTTTAAATATTAGTAGAGGAGCGCACTTAGAGCAAGTTAGAGCTAATAGACAGTAATATTTAATTAGATTTAATAGTACCTTGTAGTTAGAAGCAGAATCCCAATAGTATTTAACAAAGCTAGAGTGTAAAGCTCTAGTTTAGGCGCTAAAAGCGTTTTAGTTTTATTTATATAGCTACTAATTTATTGTTAAAATAGATGCAAAAGTCCTAATTGCTTAATTAAACTAATCCTTATTAGACTTTTCTAGCTCTGTAATAAACCGATGGCTTGCAATAATTTTTTAGTAGGACTTTAATATTGTCTACGTACTAGGCAAAAAAAATATTATTCTTAATGCACTTTTAAGGTATTCCTAACTAGAAAACTAGAAGCCTTCTTTAGAGGATAAAAATAACCTAGAGCTTTTTATTAATTAAATTCTAAAAAGGTATAAAAAAGTCTATATAGCCAAGAGCTTAGTTAAACTACAATACTTAATTAAAGAATACAATAAAAACTTAGAAGAAATAGCAGTTTTTTTCTAAATACTAGAACGCCCGACTTATATACAAAGCAAAATGCTCTAAGCTTAGACTAAAAAAGCAACTTGCTTTTTTGTCTAAAAGAGGTACTTATTTAAAAAAGCTACTAAAGCAATGCTAGCGCAAAGGGTGCTTAACAGGCCCAAAATACAAGCAGCGCTAATCTAAAAAATGCATAAGCAATTAGGACATAAAGGTATTTAGACTATATTTAGAGCAATTAACTAGCAATACTAGTAAAAAGGAATGTATTAGCAAGTAGCAAAGCAACTTAGCCCTTATAAAGAATATTAGTTAATTAGAAAAGCTAGAAGGGAAGCAGAGCTTAATACAATATACTCTTAAGCATTGTAGATATAGTAGACTATTAATATTACATTTATACTAAAAGTTAAAAGGAAGACTTACTTATTAATCGCCCGCAAATACTTCTTAGAATAGCCTAAAGCTTGTGCGGTTTGTACTGCAAATTTAAAAACTATAGCTTAATTTATTTTTAAAGAAATCTGCTGTAGGTAGGGAGTACTACAAAAACTTTCTATTAATAGAAGCACTAAGAATAAGTTAGTAGTTAAAGCGCTTGCTACTTTTTTTAGAATTTACTGCATATAAGCTTCTGCGTACAATTTAAAAGCTTAAAGCTTTATTAAAAAGAAATATTAAAGCTATATTTATGCTTTAGCGAAGCTAACTAGCTTTTAAGTAAACAATTTAGCAGTAGTTACTTAAGCTAAGTATGTATTGCTGCAACGTCTTCTTAAATATTTTCCTGCGCAACTAGTTTTTAGCTAGAACCCTATACTTCTAATAGAACTCGTAGTACCCACTTAGCAGAGTTTACTATAGTTAGCAATAGAAAGTTATGCTAATTTGCTTGTAGTTTAAGCTACTTAGCTACAATTCTAGCAGGAGAATTTAAAAGAAGCAGTTAATTGTATAAAAAAGCTTTGCAGAAAAGTAACTAAAAATTGAAATAAAAGAAAAAAGGTGCTAATTGCTTTACAAGAGGGCAAGTTAGTATTAATCTAAAATGCAATAAAAGCTATTAATAAAAGCTCAAATTAAAAGCTTGCTAAAAAGTAGCTAGAACTCTACTAGATAAGCACTGCAAACTTAGATAAAAGTTATTATCAGCTTAAAAATCTAAATAGAATAGTATTTACAAGCACTACTTAAGCTAATAGGCTAAAAAAGTTTAAAAAAATGCTAAAAACGCTTAAAGCTAAAATTTTAGCAGGAAGACTAAAGTTGTATTTAGAAACTAAAAAGTTTTAGATAGTAATGCTAATCCCAAGCACCCTATAGGTATTTAAAAAACTACTACTACTAATACTTCCTATTACAGATACTAAGACTTTATCGTCCGAAGATAATGAGCTTTTGCTAAAAAGCTATATTCTAATAGGTTTATATATTCTAAATTAAAGGTCTAACAATGCGCCCTAAAAAGCTGTTAATAAAATTTTATAAAATAATATTTTTAAGATAACAAGGAGAGGAGAGGCAATTGTAAATATTAAAAATAAGTTAGAGTAAAGTTACGCAAGCAGAAGAAAAAAGTTAAAAAAGCTGCAAGAAAATTAAAAAGAAAGGAGGAAAAAGAGGAAATTTATTAGTAGGCTATTAAAGAAGATAGAAGCCCTAAGTGCTAGCAGCACATTTAAAAACTAGTTTTTAAAAACTTTTAAATAAGTAGCTTAATCTATGCTAACTGCCTATTATTATCTAATCTGCTTATATTTGCTAGGCCCGAAGAATACTGCCAACTTAAAAACTAAAAATATTACTATAGCCTTTGCCCTTACTGCTGCTGCTTTAAAGAATATTTAAACTACTAAACTAAATAGAAAGAGAAATTAAGCTATAAAAGCTACGCGGGCTACGCAGGTTGTTTAAATTTATAAATACTAAGCTTATAGTATAACTACGAGCTTAAAGACTTTGCAAACTAAAAAAGCTAAAATACTTAAAATAATTTTGGCTATAAGTAGCAGTAATTTCTGCAAAAGTAGAAGCAGCACTAATAGCATCTACAGGAGGGCGATCTAGTATTGAAAGTTAGCAAGAAAAATCTTTAGATAAAGATTAAAAACTTATTATAAAAGCTATAGCAAGCAGTATTACTATTAAAAGCATACTTATTGCAGGCTTTATAGTTAAAAAAGCAGCTTTAATAGTAAAATTGCACGCAGCTATTAAAAGTATAGCTAGCCCTAGTGCTTAGGTAATAGGTACAGCAATTGTTAGCAAAGTAGATTTAGTTGCTAGCAGCTGCTTATTAGATAACTAGTAAGGTTAGCGAAAAACTATTAGTATAAAAAAAAAAGCACATCTTACCTGCTTTAATATTAGAATTGTAGTATCTATAAGTAGTACTTATTCTAAAAAGCTGTTAAATACTTAAAATAGCGCTAGTAAAGCGAATAAACGCTAGGGACAAGTAGCCCTTAATATTGTTTTAGTAAACTGCAGAAAGTTAAAAATAAAAGCTAAAATTAATGCCCTAAGCTGCTAGCTGCTAGAGGAAGTAGGCTAGTGCGCAGATAAAGTTAAGGGTTATTTGCTGCTACTTTTAGCTTTTTACTATAAAAAATAAGCTTATAACTAAGTATTAGCGTAAAAAAACTTATACTACTTAAAAAAATAGCTTTTAGCCAAGCGCATATTATAAGTCTAGAAAAAGCTTTTTTTATTACTACTATTGGCGAAGTAGTAGCTACGAAGATAGAAAAGCTAATAGTTATTACTATTATTACTACTTCTACTACTTCTACCTAAAGTACTTATTACAGTGCTGCCTAAGGCGTAGTTAACAGTAGCTATAGTAAAAAGAAAAAAGAAAAAAGAAAAAAGTAATAATTAAGCAGTAAGTTATTAAAAAAAGCTTAGGGAACTAAAAAAGAAGAGTAAAAAAGTAAAAAAAAAAACAACTAGGAAAAAAAAAGTAGTTTATATATATTTTCTTCCAAAAGGGTATTAGGCCTAAGCTCTTACTATACTGCTATTATATTAGAGCTGCCTCCACTTTAAAGCTAGCAGGTAATATCTAATACTAAAGCAGTAAATAATATTATAGCAAGTAAAAGCCTAGCATTTTACAAATAGCTATTTATAATTGCAGCTATTAGTTTGGTAGTAAAGTGCGTACAAAAAAAGCTTAATGCTTAGGTAGCGCATTAGGCAATAGGCAGACAGAGAAAGAGGGGAAAGTAAAATAGTAAATAATACCTAATACTACAATATTTAGTATTAAGGGGGGATATTAGAGCTTAAAAAAAAGTATTAAAGCTTAAAAGAACTAAGCTCGTAATTAAAAAAGAAAATATAGTATAGTAAGTTAGCATGTAATAAATATTTTTAGCAGCAAGGCTGTATTGTAGTTTAGATAAGTAGAAAAGGAGAGAAGTACTAATACTAGCTTGCAATAGAATACTAGAAATACAAATTGCACGTCTTACTAACTACAGGTTAACGCCTGCTTCCTTTATTCGAATGCGCATCGTAGTATGCTACAATATATAAAACCTACTAGACGCGTAAATTTAAGTATATTTATAAAATTTAAAATTAAGTATAAAATTTAATAATTTTCTATTTATGCTTAAAAAATGCAAATATATATTAGTTAAAGTTTTTTAAAATAAATTTAATTAAAGTAAGCAACTTTTCTACTACTAATATAGTAATTAAAAAAATAAAAGTTTAAATTTTTTAGTAAATAATAATACTACTTATTGCAGTTATTAGCTAAATAAAAATTTAAACTTTTAGAACTAAAGCTACTGCAATAGCAATTTCTAATAATATAGAAACAATTCTAATATATAATAATAGTAAAAATAGTAAAACGCAAATACAGCTGCTGCACTTTATTATAATAAGTAGAAAAGAAAATAGCAAAATAAGTCTATTTTACTTTTTATATAAAAAAATATAAATAGGTAGAACTTTAACTACTTAAAGTAGCTAAACGCCTAATAGCTAAATAATATATATTTTAGTATAAATAAGTAATAGTATAACTAAATTTAAAAAATATACTATAATTAAAA